ACCATTAGGTAGATTCGCTGTCAGAGACATGAGACAAACCGTTGCTGTCGGTGTCATCAAGGCTGTTGAAAAGTCTGACAAGGCTGGTAAGGTCACCAAGGCTGCTCAAAAGGCTGGTAAGAAATAAACTCATTGATTTAGATTACATGGTTTTTAAGAAACCTTTAATGCAAGAATTCTTTTAGACCTTATATGGTTTAATAATTTATTTCTTTGGCATAATTTTGTTTTAGTTTGTTTCTCTATAGGATTAATTTATAGGTTGTATTGAAAATGTATGATTACATTATAATCTCAAGCTTCATACATTCACTGCCAGAAAACAGGATGGTTCGAAATTTTTTGTCTAACAAGTTTTCCGAGAGGCTGCAAAATAGTAAACAAGTTTGTACAACTTCTCTTTACGTTCATGTTAAGGTTGACCATATTCAAAATTAGAGTTACGGCAGAGGAGTTAAATAATCCTAATTAGCATTTATTTATGTAAGCAACGTAACTATACAATATAATAGAGGTAAAGCGAGAGTAAACAAGAGTTGCGGCTTGAAATCAAATTAACGAGAGTAAACCTGAGGTATAAAGAAAAAATAACAAGATTAATTATCTGCTATTGGAAAAAAGGGTATTTTAAACAAATAAGTAGGCAATGAAACCCAAGATTAAGGTAAAGACATTGGTGCTGTAAACATTTGCAGCTCCATTGAAGACCAACGAGGTAACTGAAGGTGTTGCAACACTTGAAAAGGATGAAACAGTTGGAATAACTGGGGTTGATAAGGAGGCTTCAGTAGTTTCTGAAGGATTGGATGGGACGTCTCCAGCTGGTGTAGTGCATCCTTCACCAGTGCAAACAGTAATGGAAATCATTGTTGTTGACTCAGCTGGTGGTGGTGGAACAGGACCAGAGGTTTCAGCTGGTGGTGGTGGAACAGGACCAGAGGTTTCAGCTAGTGGTGGTGGCACACTTGAAGAAGATGGTGGTGGTGGACATTCTTCACCAGAGCAAACTGGAGTCAGAGAAGCTGGTGGTGGCACACTTGTAGATGGTGGTGGTGGACATTCTTCACCAGAGCAAACTGGAGTCAGAGAAGCTGGTGGTGGCACACTTGAAGAAGATGGTGGTGGTGGACATTCTTCACCAGAGCAAACTGGAGTCAGGGACGTTGGTGGAACACTTGAAGATGGTGGAGCACTTGAAGATGGTGGAACACTAGAAGATGGCACACTAGAAGATGGCACACTTGAAGATGGTGGAACACTAGAAGATGGTGGAACACTTGAAGATGGTGGAACACTAGAAGATGGCACACTAGAAGATGGTGGAACACTGGAAGATGGTGGAGCACTTGAAGATGGTGGAGCACTGGAAGATGGTGGAACACTAGAAGATGGCACACTTGAAGAAGATGGTGGAACACTGGAAGATGGTGGAGCACTTGAAGATGGTGGAGCACTGGAAGATGGTGGAACACTAGAAGATGGCACACTAGAAGATGGTGGAACACTGGAAGATGGTGGAGCACTTGAAGATGGTGGAGCACTAGAAGATGGTGGAACACTAGAAGATGGCACACTAGAAGATGGTGGAGCACTTGAAGATGGTGGAGCACTTGAAGATGGTGGAACACTAGAAGATGGCACACTAGAAGATGGCACACTTGAAGATGGTGGAACACTTGAAGATGGTGGAACACTAGAAGGTGGCACACTAGAAGATGGTGGAACACTAGAAGATGGCACACTAGAAGATGGCACACTTGAAGATGGTGGAACACTTGAAAATGGCACACTAGAAGATGGTGGAACACTGGAAGATGGCACACTAGAGGATGGTGGAACACTAGAAGATGGTGGAACACTTGAAGATGGTGGAACACTAGAAGATGGCACACTAGAAGATGGTGGAGCACTTGAAGATGGTGGAGCACTTGAAGATGGTGGAGCACTTGAAGATGGTGGAACACTAGAAGATGGCACACTAGAAGATGGTGTAGTGCTTGAGCATGGTATGGTAGACTTAGTCTTTTTGGTACAAGTGGTGGTGGTTGGGGTGGTACAGGTGGTTGAGGATGTTGGAGGAGTAGTAGATGGTGTAGTACTTGAACATGGTGTGGTAGACTTGGTCTTTTTGGTACAAGTGGTGGTGGTTGGGGTGGTACAGGTGGTTGAGGGTGTTGGAGGAGCAGTAGAAGTGGTGCAGGTAATTGAAGTCTTTGGTTTTTCCCAACAAAAGCATGGATAATTGAAGTCCTTGTAATCGTTGTCCTTTCCAAAGCAGTATTTGTACTTTGAATAGTAATCAGCCTTGTTCCATTCATAATGAACATCAAAATTTTTAGCGCACAATTTGTCACCATTATCCTTTGCTTCAATATCAAACTCGGTTATCCAATTGTTAGGGTCTGAAATCTCGTCCTTATCAGCATCCTTGTCAAACAACACTTTGCAATCTTTACCTCCTGAAGTAATCTTCAACTTAGATAACTTCTCCTTTCTCAACCCTGTTGAACAAGTGAAACCAAGTTTGATCTTGTATAATCCTTCGCCAGATGCTGTAATGCTTTTAATATGGTAAGAAGCAGAAGGGTTTGAACCCCAATTCTTTATGGAACCATATGTTTTGAACGGTAACCAAAAGAAAGTGGCTTGTGTACCACTGGTCAATGCCAAAGCGATACTTAAAAGACAAGATAACTTCATTTTACTCGGTTGCAAATGAATTATAACAAAACTACTTGACTATCTCTGGAGCCTTGTTAATTCTTATTTTTATTTGGCATTTTAAGATACTTTTATAGTTTTTTGGATAGTTCTGCCAATAGTGCAAATCTTAAGTTTTGCTTCCGCTGCACCACTTATCGATTCATGGTGGTAGATGGTACACAAGTCTTCTCCAATCAATGCGGCATATCTGCAACTCACATCGGGTAATCTGAGTATCCAAACAAACCACTTAATTTCTTCTTTGGGTGTTTTTTGCAACAAAAGAGGCAATATGTAACCGCTGTGCACAGTCCCAAACACATGCGTACATATCATGCATTCTCGTAAACTAGTCAAGGTACCATGAGGCATCACCAATACAATAGAAAAGCCATCAAGGCTTATTGCATTTGCCTACAGATTGGTGGTTTCGATCGATTTTACTCACACATAACTATTGAAGCTCTCGCAAGCAAATAACACTAATGTTCCTCCCCCCATGCCTATTTGGCACTGCAAGAGTGCTATAATGATTGTTTGTTGCCAGGGTTTGGTTCCTCCAATGCTTCCAGGGGCATTCCCCTGCCTAATTGATGGCTTATATGCAACATTTAGACGACGCATCTCCAATGCAAAGTACACTACTTTGCAGAAACACGAATGCACCGTGCTACCATCCAGAATTGAACAATAAAATTACTAGCCGAATAAGCGATTCTTTCGCCTGAACAATAGAAATAATGCCAGGGGTTACGAAAGTTTTCTGCGCAAATTGCAACAGTATCTAAATATAGGTGATAAAGTGCAGTATGCGCTTGGTCCATATAATGCATTCAGGATTACAACGCAGTTTAAAAGCGTTCCTCTGAATGGCTCCGTAATGATTTTGCTGTAGGCTGCCACCCAACTGAAGATGGATGCAACAACGGAGTTTGGCGACGTTCACTGGCACGATCTAATCTCGTAACGCTTTCGACAACACGAGAACAACGTAAGCTCGACTCATGATTGTATTTCTTAACATCGGAAAGTTTGATTTGTAGTTAAGAAATACCTTTTACAATGAAAACGTAAATACGGTCTCGGTCGAGAATTGAATAGTTGCTCGAGCCTATTACTTTGGGAAAAGTGATTGAATTTCTGTTGGTGTTGAATAGATCATGTCACATGTACGGCACAAAGATCGTAACGCTTGAGAATTTGAAATTGGGAGCTCAATCCCAGATGACACCAATAGTGTTGATGGTTTGCCAGAAGCAGAATCCAATGAACTTTACCTTGATCCATATTCACAGACTCAGATATTCAATCTGTAATTCAGGTACCTCATCTTGGCAATGTAGTAAACACATGAGCATGCCCTTTACACCTCTAAAAATCAATACTTTGGGTGTGGAGCCAATCCATTGTGTATTTTATGTATTGTTCTAATTTTGAACCACTTTGACTACTAGTTGATTCTCCTGGTCGTTTAACGATCATTTTAACAACCAATGGAAGGTTGCACCCCCACTATACTTTGGTCGTACACCGATTTTCTTTTTAAAAGTTAGCGCATTTGGTCGATCACCTTGCGAATGACATTACTTTTTCTAGTACAACTTAATTTACTGAACTATTAGGTCATTGTTCTCGCATTATTACGCTTTTTTTAATGTCATGCCAAAAACCCTATAGAGTAAATAACACTTTATTGGAAGCAAATACAAATCGTTTGTTAGTTATCGGTTTTGTAACCTCAAGCGCAAAAAAAACACCAAGGTGAACCATGTAAAAAAAGGTAAGGTAGTCTAATAAGTAAGTTCTCTAACTATTCTCAATTATTTCATTCATTCTGATATCTGGGTACGAAAATTGCATAATTTTTGGTGTCTCTTAATTTTAATCGCTAATCGTTCCAAATAATTAGATACCTTGCAGGTTTGATATTCAAAACCATTTTCATACTTGAAATCAAAATCAAAGTTACAGGTATGAAAAGGAGCTGGAAACTGATATAGTACTGAAATATAACATTTGCCATGGTTACTACTTCGTAGTATTTTAACAACAAACATCGAATTCCCCTGCAGTATGATCCACTCAAAATCAAAGTTGCGAAATCTAGAATAACCTTTGAAGCAATTTTTGATAGTAGTCTTGGGTGCATGGAAAGTCTCTCAATTGTATTTGAAGGAAATTCATCAGCATAATGCTTTGGTATAGAGCAAGCTCGCTTATTCATATCATTGAGAGCTGCGAGACTAAAAGAGTTCATTTTTAACCGTCTGTCCATCGGAGAAGTATTACATGTAGAACATCACTTTTTGCAGCTTTTGATACGTTGTTGTGTGTCTATGTTTAGGGATTTTCTCTGTGCGTTCTTTTGATTAGATAAGATTAATTGAACTCTTTTGTAGTAAAAGTCGGAAAGAGCTTGTGCATGATGGTGTTTATTTGCGCACAACTATTGACAATTCAATACGCTGACCTCATAAGAAACTCTTCTAAAACAAGCAATCCACACGGAATGTGAACACAATTTCCAGACCACATTCTCAATAACTAAATGCTATGTAAAGGTTTGTTCAATAACTTCTCCGTTTTAGTCAAGAACTATTAGAATCCACACTTATTAATGCAACTCGATTTAAATTATTGGAAGGGACGGCTTTGTTTATTAAGAATTTCAATCCATGCTCTGATAATGAATTTGTCTGTGTTATCTACTCAGGTCGCATATTTAAAGCGTTCAGCATTTTTAAAACATATACAAAAAGAATTTTCTGTAATCAAGCATTAGTTTCTGCTTTTAAATAGGATTATTAGGAAAACCACAATAAATCACAGAATCAGAATCGGGAAAGCAGGTTGATTCATTCATGAGATTGAATTTCATTTAGCCAAATATGGAAAAGGATTATTCGAAAGATCAAAAACTAAAGGCATAGAATACAAGCATTGATTTCAATTGTTTTGGATGAAATGAGACAATTAGCCATAAACTACTCAGGAGAGCTACAGATAAATGAGAACTATTACTTTAACACGAAGATATAGCAGTCTCTTGTTGGAATAAAGAACCTTTGTAATTTTGCTAACCTCCAAAGACACGAGGCTCTTAACTAATCACTTTACATAATCAGTATGAGGCATTTTGAGAATACTAATATCACAACAGCGAAATTGGATGTTAAGAAAGACCTTAATTAATGATTTTTTAAAGAACTTTGAGAGGGCATAGTTTTGGAAGAGGGGTAATAGCTTAATTATTGTAGAAATACCGAATAAAGTACGGTGGCTTTTTCTTATAGTCACTACCTTTTCTTAATTTGTTGCAAGTTTTCAGATGAATCTCACTTTCGTAGCTTCTCCAACCTGTCTCCAACCTTAATAGAAGTTGAATAACCCCCCTCCTAGGTTTATGAGGATCCCAAAAGGACTTTTACTCTTCTAGTCGGGTGAACCCCTAATCACGGTCAACCGGTAATATATGGACCTACTGTACTTATCATCCGGTAGTTATCGCTGGTGGTAAGGGAAGTGACATACATGGTTGGTAGTTTGGTTCTCAATTATGTATTATTTTCCTAGTTATTTTCTGCTTTCTATAAGTATTATAAATATAGTATTATTTAGAGCTAGGTGGTTTCTTAATGAATACACAGTATATTTACCAAGTTAGCAAGGCAAAGCCTGTTCAGTACGCTTTTTTTTTTACAATCACAATTCACCAATACTATCACAAAATTTGGTAATGGGCATTTCGCATCTTTTGGTATACACTTGTTTTTAGTTTAGTTGCAAAATATGATGTTAGGGTGTATTCGCATATGGAGAAATTTTCTCTAACTATAGATATGCAAATTTTTACACGGCTTAAATAAATTTGCTTCAAAAGGTTATGTGGTCGAAAGTTTGCTTAAAGCTGGACAAAAAATTCAACTGCAAGTAATTTAAAGTCTGCACCAAAATCAGGAATTGCTGCTATGTTTCAAAGTAATAAAAAAAAAAAATTATTTATTCATACCTAAGCTACATTTTTGGTGATTGTCCAGTGTAGCCAATGTACTGATTACCATAACATAATCTAAGATCGATTGCGTCATGTGTACTACTAAATTTGGTAGTTATCATTCTTGTCACTAATGGATTCTAAAGGTGAATACGAAAATGAATAATCTTGCTTCAAACTTTTTCAATTTAGAGCAAAATAACTAGCAACATAGTTAAAACTGAGGAAAAAGCGTTTTTAATCATAATAGCTCCATTAACTGAATTTGATCCAGTTGAAGGTGAATCACCTGGTTGACTTGTCGTCCTTGTGGAGAGGACTTTGGTTGAAACTACTGTTGCTTGACCGTTGATTGTAGTACTCACAACAGCATCCACAGAATCAATAACTGTTACTTTACCTCCACTTGTGCCTTTGGTAGTGCTTTTTGAACTAGGGTTTCCCCCCCCGTCATTGCCTCCGCCAACTACAGAGCTGCTACTGGAACTAACTATGCCCTCCAAAGAGCTGGATATACCGTCTAGATCAAGGGAGGAACTGGAACTGGCAGTGTCACCACCACCACCAATAGAAGAGGAACTGGAACTGGCAGTGTCACCACCACCACCAATAGAAGAGGAACTGGAACTGGCAGTGTCACCACCACCACCAATAGAAGAGGAACTGGAACTGGCAGTGTCACCACCACCACCAATAGAAGAGGAACTGGAACTGGCAGTGTCACCACCACCACCAATAGAAGAGGAACTGGAACTGGCAGTGTCACCACCACCACCAATAGAAGAGGAACTGGAACTTGCAGTTCCACCACCAAGATCAATAGAAGAGGAACTTGAAGTACTGCCCAGGTCTATGGATGAACTACTCATTCTTAATTCATCAGCAGATTTATCCCAGCAATATCCATAACCATCCTCATCGCAGTTGAACCTATACCAATAGGAAGTTTCAAACAGCCAACTATCACAATTTGTCAAATTGCAGTCATACCCAACCTCCACAGTTATAGTTGGGAGACACCATGCATCACCAACGTCTTGTCTTTCCAATAGAAGCTTTCCCTTGAAGTCGCAAGCGGAGTCGACTGCACCAAGCAAGTTATTATCATTGACATTTAAAAACTTCAAACTCAGGGCATCATTGCAATCATCAATGCTGACATGGTAACTGACTTCATAAGGTATCTGGCCCTCTACGTCCATTATTTCGACTTCAAGAACGGCGTTTGGCTTGACATTGAAAACTCCATTTTCGATTTCACAATTGGAGTATACATCAGAGAGAATAAAGTTAGCTTTTGCTGTACCGAGAAGCGCAATTAGCGATCCCAATAGTAGAAGCTCAACCATTTGGAAAAATATACAAGGTTAGACAGAATATTAAATTACAACAATAATTTCCACACTTTTATCGGCAAGAATGCACTCTCTTTTTAACTTCAACGAAATGAGCTATTTTTATCCTATTTGTTTAAAATTATACTTCATCTTCGGGTAGTTCCAATTGAGTTATTAGATGTGCTTGCTTTAGATTTCATGACCCCAAAGTAATAAAACTTCACGCATATCTGCATGATCATCGTAAATGTCACATAGCAAAAGGGGTAAAATACAATTCTTTATTTCTGGGCAACTAAATACTTGGCGGTGATATTCTTTTGATTCCCCACAAAAAGTAAATTTCAAGTTGGATGGAGTTGCATGGTGGGGTTGCTAAGATGGGCCTAACATTAAAATTGGCATTTGTATTTTGATTTTCGAGATATACGGCTGACATGAGAATCGCATCAGTGGCAGTCCTGCCCACCTTATAATCTGTTTTACATGTTTTTAAGTTATTGTTGACTACTGTACTACAAATCTTTTCAATTTACGATTTCACGAAGCAAAAATTGAATAAACAATGAAATATATGTGACTATACTAAGACGAAGCCACCAATTGCAGCCATTAAAATTGGAATTTTAATACGGAAGCATGGTGCCTGGCCCTGAAGAGGTGGTATTGTGGTTGTAGCTGCAGCTGTTCCACCAGAAGTACTTCTAATAGTGGTAGTGACGGGAACTTTGGTCAGAATACTAGTTACAGCTCCATTAGTGGTGATAGCTACCACTGTGGCAATACTGCTGACCAATATTTGGGTCTTCACAGTTGGAGGGGCAACTGATGTTTGAGTGGATGGCTTCGAAGATGAGCTACCTTTTGATATAATAATATTTGGATTAATAGATGAACTTACGCCTGGTATAGTAGAAGAACTCCCACTAGATTTTGTTGGTACGCTTTCTACTGGGTTAGAAAGTGACGAACTTATACCAGAAGGAGAAGGCGACGAACTAATACCAGAAGACGAGGAGCTTACTCCAATGTCAGAAGACGAGGAGCTTATAACACTTTCAGACGATGACGATGAGCTTATAGCACTTTCAGATGATGACGATGAGCTAATAACACTTTCAGAAGACGATGATGAGCTTATATTAATATCAGAAGATGACGATGAGCTTATAGCACTTTCAGACGATAACGATGAGCTTATAGCACTTTCAGACGATGACGATGAGCTAATAACACTTTCAGAAGACGATGATGAGCTTATACCAATATCAGAAGATGACGATGAGCTTATAGCACTTTCAGACGATGACGATGAGCTTATAGCACTTTCAGACGATGACGATGAGCTTATAGCACTTTCAGACGATGACGATGAGCTTATAACAATTTCAGAAGAAGATGAAGGGGATGGTACATCTACGTTAAAACAGTAACCTCCTCCATCCGCCTGACAGCTCATTGAATACCTGAAGCTGGTATCATAGGGCCACCCATGACAACGCAGCGTTTCTGAAACTCCATCGACAACACAATAGGAGAGATCCAAATTAATTTGAGGGATACAGACCTTTGACGCAGCTAAGTCTGTATTCTGCCACACAATTGTACCACGAAATTCACAAGGCTTCAATGGATCAAAATGAGGCGTAACACCTTCTGGACTGAATAGACCATAATGGAGATGACTTGCTGGCAAGCAATCTGGCATGTATATCATAAACTCGGCTTGATAGCTATGATTTGGCAAAGAATCTATACTCAGTACAGAGAACCGAGCTGGGGGACGAGTTCCCCAATTTGGAGTAAGATTTGAACAATCATTATAGAAACTAACTGGTACACCAAGCGCAACAGACTGTGTCAAAGCTATCAAAAGAGCTATTTTTTGTACCCAACTCATGTTAAGTAATTAATCGATTTACAGGAGTTAAGTTGAAGCTAGGATCATTACACTCCTTTAAATAAGAAGAGAGAATCCTTTTAGAAAGTATAGAGCTTCAAATAGAACTTCTTAAAATAGTTACAAAGCTTGGCAGTCATTCCCACTGACTATCAGAAAAATATCAAATGGCTGCAAACTAGTTTATAGTGTTGCTTGAATTGAACGTTTGTTTGTTTCAATTAGGGTACAGAAATCATCGCTGGCGGGGATATAACCTAGTGGAAACAGTACGAGTTAAAAATAAGAATGGTTGCTTGTAGGTACTCAGTGAATAAAACTCATCTTCCAAAAAAAAAGACAATCATGCATTAAGGTAATTGTTCTTGTTGTAGATATATAGATTACTTCCTGCACGCCTTAGTACGGCTATCTACGCAATGTTATAACCTCACTCTGAATAGAAAGAAGAAAGAAAATTTACAAACCTATAATTTATTTCAAATCTTTTCCTCTAGCTAGTATTAGAAATCGACGAGTTCCCCTTAGCTATCGTTTTAGGGAAATCATGCTTTCTGAGGTATTATGTATTGCCCGGGTAACTATCGCCCTTTACCCCCATTACGTTTTTAACCTCAAGAGAAATAAAAGCAAGTGATTTATTTCTACACCAAAGAAAATCATGAAATTAGAGCTCTATGAATTGTAGCTTGCAAATCATTTTCTTATTATAGCCTTCTGCAGCATCTTAAAAATACGTGAAGAAAATCTTCTAGTATGAAGGGTTAAAAAAGAATTTAACTGATCTGCGTCTTGATCAGTCGCATGCTCTATCTTGAAAAAGGCTTTGATGTTTTGGTTAGTACATAATTAACAATCATCGCCAAGAAGAGAAGGCTGTCGTAAATGTGCAACAGACTAAAGTCTAATTTTAAACGTACTGATTCGTCTGGGTTGGTTCGAAGGTGACCAAAGTTACAAATTGAGTACAGTGCTATAATTTATACTAATGTATAATTGTTTTGAACCAGAATTTCTTCTTTCATCGTACTTTACGCAAGGGTTTTAGTGTATCGATGAGAATAGCCGCAATATAATATAGTCGCATAATCCTGCATATAACAAAGGGATCTATATTTGTATTTGTGAGAAGTATATTTAGAAGCCCCTTGCTGGATCACGATTTCAACGGTTGGAGAGGACAAAAATTAGCCGCATGCTACTTTGGTTGCTTTTTTGGAACACAAAGATAGCCAAGTTGCTATACCCATAACACACTTAATCGCAAAATAGATATGGTTACACTACAATTCAGAGGCGACAATACATGAACGAAAGCTACCAATTATGCAAACTAGAGAATGATGCTCGTTTAATAAGCACAATTAACTTTGACTCATGTGTATAGGATACGTACTTAAAAATCTCCATCATTGCTACTTAACGTGTAGGTGTACTAGGAAAAAAGTAGGAACTTATAAAGATCTAAATGAAATTTGTATCAATGGATTTGTATACTTTTTGAAGTGTCATACTATTTGCTTTTGAATGTGAAACTATGACCGCCAAAAAGGTATACCTTTTTATTTTCTTCCACGAGATAGTTCTTCCCCAGGAGTACACTATTTAGCAACCGAAACTTCACATTTTAGGAAATATCTTGGCGGACTTTATGGTAGGTTTAAAATGTGGAGAGAAGGCGAAATAATATGATATGAGCAACTGAAAACAATTCTGAAAATTGCTCTTCTGTGGTACTTGAAAATGTCTCCTTAAAAGGCGTGAAGTGAATACATACAATTCTCTTTTGCATCGGATATTGTCCCCCATTTAACAGATGCAAAATGTAACTATTTGTAAGATTTACGGAGGGGATATTGTTGAGTGTGAACAATATTTTATAAACCTTAATTTTACTGCACCTTGAATTTGAGGAGAGAACCAAAAGAGATATTCCTATTTTCCATCCAGAGTAATCCTTGGGTGATTTTGGAACCATGGAATATCAGACCAAATGATAGTTAATAATAAAGCTCTTGAGGCAATAGCAAACAGCCACTAAGTTTTGCTCCATGAGAACATGTGTAACGTTAAAGTCTGACTAAGGTTAAAACTTCAAGTTGTTTGGAAGTGATTAGACTTGTTTAATTCTTATCGTAACGTTCTTCCATTTAAAAGGTGTGCATGCTTCCTAAAATTCTGTGAAAATAAAGGTAAAATTCTATCTACATGGTTAACTTTGAAACTTCTCAATAAGAGAGCGACCCATGAACCTTAGAACTTTCAAAAGCGGTGCTTGTATCCAAGTCATCTTTGTGTTTAGAGTAATTAACAGTAGATGGTATTGGATCATTTCCAGCACATGCAGACACAAAGAAACAAATGACACAAATCGGCGTAAGAGGATAAGCCAACGGTACGATTTTCAAACTACCAAAAGTTCAGTAGGAAATTTATCATCACGGCTTGTTTTGTAAGAAACATAAATTAACCATTAACCACTAGTGAAGCAGTGTAAGTAAAAGTTAGGAGTGAACATGTATCAGGCGTAATTTCACCTCTTGTGGGATTTTGAGGACTAATTAGCGATGGAGGACCGAGTCAAAAATAATCCAGTGAGATCTCGGAGTCAAATACGTGCACAGCTCAGAAGAACAAGTTCGCACATGCGAAAGTTGGTTGCCCTTTCACCGATTCCGGGTCAATGTTGCCATTTTCGACTCGGAATTATCCTACTCCATCCCGGAGTCAAAATCTGTACCGCATCCCCATATGACAAGGGTGTAAGTACAATAAACCGTTTTAACGGTTGTACGGATAAGATAAATATAAGGAGCTTTCTTCTTAAATAAAATCTCTTGCCAAATTATTGCTTTTACCAGTGGCTGTTTAATTCAATAACTTTGGCTTTTTATTAGAATCAGGTGAGAGATTTCAAGTATTCTCAATACTTAGAACAGATAAAACCTGTCACACCCCATTCGTTGATATAAACAATCTATAGTTTCAAAAAAATATGATTGCGGCTGTTGCAAGACGGAGCTTGCATTCTATCAAGCCTGTTAGAATTGCCAAGTTGGTAGCTAGAAATGCTGCAACCAAGGCCCAAACTTCTTCAGCCTACTACCAAAATATCTACAACCCCCATTGCGACAAGATAGGCCTCGGCCCCTTAGACACTTTTGCTAGACGTCATTTGGGTCCAACCCCTAAAAATGTGGAAACAATGTTGAAAACGTTGGGATACAATGACTTAGATGAGTTTGTTTCTAACGTCGTTCCAGACCATATATTGTACAAGCGTAAGTTGAAGATTGAACCAGCTAAGGGGTACTCTGAACTGGAAATGCTTAATCATTTACATGAAATTGCAAACAAGAACAAGATAGTGAAAACATTCATTGGTAAGGGTTACTACGGTACTTTTGTTCCTCCTGTTATTCAGAGAAATTTGTTAGAGTCACCAGAATGGTATACTTCATACACACCATACCAACCTGAAATCTCACAAGGTCGTTTAGAATCTCTTTTAAACTATCAAACAGTTATATCTTCATTGACAGGTTTGCCCATTGCCAATGCTTCGCTCTTGGATGAAGGTACGGCCGCAGGTGAAGCCATGGCATTATCTTTTCATCACTTAAGAGGTAAGAAGAGTATCTACGTGGTTGATTCCGGTTTGCACCCCCAAACATTAGACGTTATTAGATCTAGAGCTGAGAATATCGGTGTCAAAATCGTTGAAATAGATTTGCAATCAGAACAGGGTGTAGGTGAGTTGGAAAAAATTCAGTCCAACGTCTGTGGTGCTTTAGTCCAATACCCAGATACAAACGGTCAAATCACTGATTTCTCAAAGATTAGCGAGATCATTCATGCTAATAAAGGTTTATTTGCCATGGCAACTGATTTATTAGCCTTGACCTTAATCAAACCTCCAAGTGACTTTGGTGCCGATATCGCTTTAGGTACCTCTCAGAGATTCGGTGTACCATTTGGATACGGTGGTCCTCATGCTGCATTTTTCTCTACTACTAAGAACTTGTCAAGAAAGATTCCTGGTAGAATTGTTGGTGTTTCCAAGGACAGATTGGGTAACCAAGCTTTAAGACTTGCATTGCAAACAAGAGAGCAACACATCAAAAGAGAAAAGGCAACTTCAAATATTTGTACAGCTCAAGCTTTATTGGCAAATATGTCAGCCATGTATGCAGTTTACCACGGTCCTCAAGGTTTAAAGAACATAGCAAGAAGAGTTTATGGATTCACTACTTTGTTGGCTAACAAGATTTCAAAGGTCCACACCATTACTAACTCTTCATGGTTTGATACTTTGTCAATTCAGTTGTCAGGTACAACTGCTGATGAGCTTTTGAACAAGGCTCGCAATGAATATGAAGTAAACTTATTTAAGGTGGATGACAAGTCAGTGTCGTTATCTTTAGATGAGACAGTTACCGTTCAAGATTTAATAAATTTGGTTTCTATTTTCACTGGTGAAACCTTATCAATTGCTGAAGCAAATGCCCTTGAATTACCCAGTATTCCTGAATCTTTCTTGAGAGCTGATGACATTTTGACAGATCCTGTTTTCAACACTCATCATTCTGAGACTGCTATGTTACGTTATTTACACCTTTTACAAAGCAAGGACTTGTCACTTGCTAATGCTATGATCCCATTGGGCTCATGTACTATGAAATTAAATTCAACTGTGGAGATGCAAACCTTGTCCATTCCAGGTTTCAACTCCATTCACCCTTTTGCACCACTTGACCAAGCTCAAGGCTACAAGGAGTTGGTTGATGAATTTGAAAAGGATTTGAACGATATTACTGGTTTTGATGCTACTACCTCCATGCCCAATTCTGGTGCTCAAGGAGAATACACTGGATTGAATTTGATTAGACAATACCACAAGTCCCGTGGTGAATGGGAACAAAGAAACATTTGTTTGATTCCTGTTTCTGCACATGGTACCAACCCTGCTTCTGCCGCTATGGCTGGTTTGAAGGTCGTTCCAGTCAAATGTAAGGATGATGGTTCTATTGATTTGGCTGATTTGAAGCTTAAGGCCGAAAAACACAAGGAAAACTTGTGTTCAATTATGATTACCTACCCATCAACCTATGGCTTATTTGAGCCTGGTGTCAAGGAATCAATTGATATTGTCCATGCAAATGGTGGTTTGGTGTACCTAGATGGGGCTAATATGAATGCTCAAGTTGGATTGACATCTCCTGGTGATTTGGGAGCTGATGTTTGTCATTTGAATATTCACAAAACATTTGCATTAAGTCATGGTGGTGGTGGTCCAGGTCAAGCTCCCGTTTGCGTGAAGGAACATTTGAAGCCTTTCTTACCTAAACACATATATGTTGAAACCCCTCATTCCACTGCCGAGTCTATTAAATCTGTTAATTCTGCACCATATGGTTCTGCTTCTGTCATTCCAGTATCATATGCCTATATTAAAATGTTGGGAGCCGAATCTTTACCTTATGCTTCAATTATTGCAATCTTGAATGCCAACTATATTTTGCACAGATTGCAAGATCACTATAAGATCTTGTTTGTCGATGAAAGCGCACAACAAGGTAGTGGATTAAAGCACTGTGCACACGAGTTCATTTTGGATTTGAGAGAGTTCAAGGCAATTGGTATTGAAGTTACTGATGTAGCGAAGAGATTACACGATTATGGATTCCACACACCTACCATGTCATTCCCTGTTGCTGGAACTCTAATGATTGAGCCAACTGAATCTGAAAATTTGGAAGAGTTGGACAGATTTATCGATTCCTTGATCAGCATTAGAGGTGAAATTGAAGCCTACAAGAACCAAGACCCATTAGGACAAGTATTAAAGAATGCTCCACATCCGTTACAAGATATTATCTCTACCCCTCAATCAGAATGGGAAACCAGAGGATACACCAGAGAACAAGCAGCATTCCCCTTACCATTCTTGAAGGCCAGTAAATGTTGGCCCACAGTTGCCAGACTTGACGATACTTGGGGTGACATCAATTTAATGTGTACTTGTCCTTCCGTAGAGGAAGTTGCTTCTAACCAAGCCTAATAATAATGGTAGTGATAGTGATAGTTACAAGCCCGTGACCTTATATTTACTATTACTATTCTTTTCCTTATTATTGTTAATAGCCTCACACTATCTATTTATTTATTCCGTGTTTAAACAACTTATAGGAATGCCTTTAATAAATTTTATACGAAAGAAAAACTCCATATTGTATAGTTTGTGTAGTCGAGTCATTTATGTGTGGTCATTTTATTCATAGTGTTCGCAGTGATGTCAGTAGTGCGGATTGGACTTTGACTCTCCCCAGAGAGAAAAAGCAAATTGTAATTCTTGAATCACCTACCAACATTTCACTCCCAAAAAGGAACCCAATAAAGGTACGGTCAGCTTCTCACAAGCATTTCATTTGGGCCTTAGAGACAAGAAGAGACGAGCGAGACCATGGAGTGGTACACTCGATCTTCTCAGAGAACCTCTGGTTCCAATGTTGGCGCCACACCTCATTCTAATGGAGTGTTTTCTCAACCAAGTTCTGCTACAGGAGCATATTCAATGAATTCTTCAACCACAAGTCCTCTACCACTTAATGATACCTCATACAATAGTATGACTCCTGGTGTACCAGATTGGAGTGGTTCTGGAGGTGGAGAATCAACTTATTTTGCACCAGCTTACGAGAGAAGCTCATACTTTTATGCCAATACTCCACTTTATTGTTGTGACTGGACCACAATAAGACTGGCCTCCGACTTGGATTGTATAGCGTTGGGGTCGTACAAAGAGGGGTTCAGTAATAGAATTCAAGTATTACACGGACTTCCTTTTGGAAGTGAGATGCTAGAGGATATTGACTTGGACGGAACCAGTGATTACGATTACGAAGGTATTCAAGGGTTTGATTTCCGTAAAGCGGCAGAGATAAATGTGGATTATCCTGTTACGAAGCTCCAATGGGACCCACAACTTCAGAAGGGTAACGTGGGTCCTTCAATGCTCGCTGCCTCGAGCGAAGTATTGAGAATATATAAAGTTGAACAAAACCATTTAGACCCAAACGCTGACTACAAAATGGTTCAAGAATACACTTTGGCCAACCATATTTCAGGGTCTGGCCACAATAAAAGGTTTAACAACAATAACAATAATGATAATAATAGCAATAATAATTCCACAGGAGGAGGCAAGTCACCTACGAGTAAAGACGTGGTACACACGTATCCGCCAGTTACATCGTTCGACTGGAACAGTGTGAACCTGAACATCATTATAACTTCCAGCGTGGACACAACATGTACAGTGTGGGATTTGAACAGGCCGTATGGCACTGATAATGGTATGACAAACACAGCTTCAGTCAAGACTCAACTTATTGCCCACGACTCTGAGGTGTTCGATGTTAAATTTCTCCATAAATCAACAGATCTCTTTGCATCAGTAGGTAATGATGGCTCGATGAGAATATTTGATTTGAGAAGTTTAGAACATCTGACCATCATTTACGAACCACCTCACACTGCAAGTGGCCATTTGAAAACACCAGGAACTCCTAGTTTGAAAGTTGATAATTCCCAAATGGTTAATCCCAAGGCTCTTCTCAAACTTAGCGCTTCAAACATCGATCAGCATTACTTGGCAACTGTGGGTGTGAACTCCAACAAGGTTATACTTATTGATATTCGAATGCCTGGTATTCCCTGTGCAGTGATAGATGGGTCAATAAGAGGCACATCAAATGCGGCTATCAATAGCATTTCATGGCATCCCAAATACAACTTCTTACTTACTGGTGGTGACGATTGTCAAGCGTTATTATGGGATTGTAATAATTTAGAACTTAAACTGCCCAGAACAACCACTTCTCAAAGCGGTGGTAACAATGGCAGCAACGTGAATGGTCTTAACACATCTGGTTCAGGAAGTAGTGGGACAACCACCACTTCAATAGACACACCTGTAATGGCATATTCTGAGGAATTAGAGGTGAATAATGTTACTTGGAGGGGTGAAAGAGGCGATTGGATTGGTGTGATAAGTGGGAAGGGCTTTCAAGGTGTTAAGATTTGAAACGGATGCAACGAACTTTTTTTGATTGAAAACAAAACAACAATCACTGCCCTACTGAATTTGCTCTTTAATATTGATGGCTGATTGTGTCTCGGGTTCATAATTTTATAATGGGTAATAGCAATGAAGCGAGGACTTCAGTAGAAGAAATCGTAATTAACTTTAAACACTAAAATTAGTATGTGGCTGCGAATTTAGCCCATTTTTAGTGCCCGTGAAGTCTACATATTTTGCGCATTTTTGATGGCATGGAATAATAAAATTGTTAATCTTAGGGAAGTTCAAAACGTTGAAATACGAGATACGATTACCGAGCCTACAGACTATTATTATAAGCACATGTCAGGAGAGCAATATCTATGCATATAATATAAAGGTATAAATAACTAAATACATAAGCAAAGCACTAACCACAAGGCTTAAAAACAGGAAAATGTTTCGCTGCCAAGTTTTTGTTTTTTATTAATATTTGAAGAAGTTCGGTTGATTCCTAAAGCGGCCCACTTTAATGCTCTCTGTAAAAGATTTATTTTGGTCCCGAAGTATGTCAGCTAAGCTAGAGCTCAGTTCTGTCCTTAATTGGTGTGCATGGACTACAGATAAAAAATATGTGTGCAGGGAAGCCATTGACATACTACCAAAGGACCTCCAAACACTTTACACATACTGAAAATATCACACCAATGGAGTCGGAGCCGGGGCCGGGGTCGAGTTGTCCTCTTAATGAGTTCCAATATACTATTCTCAGAGTGACTTTGCTCATTGCTACCAGTTAGAATTTAGGACAGAAGTTGGAGATTGCGGTTGCCACACATAAAAAAGGCTTCGCCAGTTAACAATGCAGAGTCTACGCAATACGGCAGGTTCAAAGTTTTTTTTTCTGTACCCCTTCATGGTTCGTTCATGCTTGGTTACACGTTACTTATTTTTAACATTGGGTTACTAGAATGAGTAAACTGGCGCTGAAGAAGAGGGCAGTAAGTAGAGACGACACCATGAAGGGGCTGGTATTTAGTTTACATATAAATATATATATACCATTGCTTAAGTACAAGTTCCATCTATGCTCAACCACCTACTATTTTCAAGTTTACGCTTTTATACAACTGAGCTGCAGCTACATACAGAGGTGTGCGCTCATATACATCTTGATTTATGACATCTGTCTGCTTTCATAATATAAAATAAAACCTTACACCTAGCCAATAAGAAGTGTTCTCCTAATTGGATTTTAAGCCATACATTAAGGATAACAATTATATCATCAGGCATACTGCGGATGATCCACCACAATTAACGCATCGAAGAAATAATTGTTCTTGAGCGCTTAATTACACAAAATCACCACTACTATTATAAAGAACTAAAGATAGACTGAGAGGAAACCACCCCAGCAATTAGGAGCCCCCAAAGTCATTAACTTCATCAAATACGAGCATTCTATTTAAGTATACTTGCTATTGAAAGGCTGAGACAAATATATTAGTTTAGGCGATTTGCAAACTTTCATCTCCATTTTTTAATTAGACTTTCTATTATTAACCGTTTGAATTTTTGGCACACTCATTTCACCAATTTTGCAGTTTCATACCATAAGGTGGCCTTATTGTTTGCATTCACTCCAACCACAGGAATTTTCAGCGTGCTTACACAGGTTGCACTATTTTAGGATTTTTTGCCCCACCAATACCAAAGATTGACTCGACAAAAGCTCCGTAATCATAAGATATCATAACTGGAGAGAAATCTAATTGCTTCCCAAATAGTTATTATTGTTTACATTTAACGCTAAGCGTCATCCTAAAACCAGTATTCATAGTGTTGAGGATTCACCCAAAAAAAGAGTGCCCAGTACTACAGTAAAATTATTATTCGGTTGCTGCCTCACCACATACACTACCGTACCTTTTTTAGGCACCCCTGTTCCAGTTTATCATCTTATATATAATCATGAGGATATCGCCATGGCCTATATATCAGTACCAGATCAAACGAGCCGAGACTGACTTAGCCAACTCCACCACAACACCCGTGTCCACGTCAGTGTCTGAAACACGATCTGAAGCAACATTGAGTTCCCTGACACCAACTTTTGCGTCGTCGTCTTTGGCGACGTCGTCTACTGACCAAACAATAATATCCACTCCCTCTTCGTCCCAAAATAGTCCTGAGATGTCTTCGTCTGCTACCACTTCTTCTTCCATAACACTGACATCCATTTTTTCATTTACATCCTCGTTGATGTCCTCATCTACACCACCATCTTCTACACCATCTTCTATTACATCTTCTACAAGCACATTCATTTCTTCAACTTCCCCGACACAGTCTTCTATCATGTCCGCCCCGTCATCAGACACTAATATAGTGTCACCCTCGTTGTCAAGCACTCTAACCCTGACATCAGAGCTACCCACAACATCGTCTGAAACCACTTTCAGTTCACCAATTTTTACATCATCATCACAGACAACCTCAGAAACACCACTGTCTTCATCAACACCATCAAGTACCATACCTCTGACACTGTCAGAAACTACGCCATCTTCCTCGACTTCATCCACTTTCTCAACTTTTACATCTAGTGAAACACCCACATCTTCCAGTGTGTTTACCCCCTCCTCCACAAGTCCCCCCTCTACAAGTGAAATCTCTTCTACAACAACCTCACTGTCAACATTCGAGTCTACTCTGCTGACTCAAACGCTGTCACTGGTATTTACGACACTGTCATTGCTGGTTTTCTCACAAACACTGTCTTCTGCACCTACTTCAGAGCCAACATCTTCTAAAATTGCAACATCGTCCTCAGAAACAACCCCTTCGTCTTTAACTGAACAACAACTGCTGTCTGCGATACAGTCACTGCTGTTAACAAGCGAGACAAGTCTGACTTCAGCATCCCCTTCTTCATCATCCTCCTCACCCGAGTCCACTACTTCTTCATCATCAACTTCTAGCAAAACTACCTCATCTAAACTGTCATCGTCAGCACCACCAACGACACTGGCCTCCTTAACTTCTTCAGATTTCACACTTCTGACATCATTGATAACTCGAGGTGATACCACTATTACAACCTTAGTATCTGTTCCCACGTCTTCACAGAATGGAGACCCCGCCCCAAGTTCTAAGAATGCTAAGTTAATCGGTGGTCTTGTAGGATCGATAGGAGGTGTAATAGTGATTGCTGGAATACTCTTGTTATACGTTTTTGTACGCCGGAAGCGGAAGCAGTTTACTAATCAGTCTCCTGATTTCAATGACTCCACGAGTACTGACAATTTCTTTCTCGGTGCACCACCAGCAAAGGAGGGCTTGCCTTCTCCAAATAACGATCGTACGAGATTGGGAGGTTCTGATGAAAAGATCTTCAATAATAGCGACACTGAACTGGGTGGTCGCGACAGTTCTAGCGGTGGATTCTTGAAAAACATTATTGCCATGAAGGGATTCAAGCGTTTAAGTGGACAGAATCAGGACACTACTAATAACGATGATTTGACACTGTTCTCAGGACCCCCTGGTAGTAATGGAACTCCGGTGAAGACCGTGGGTGGAGCTAGAGCCTATTCTGCAAACAAAGATTCAGACATTGATCAAGTAGAAACTCCAACCCATACTAATTTCAGAAACACCTCACAAGATTACACATATCGTGGAGTTACCAATTCCAATAACTTGGACTCTGTATTCAAGAAACTGGGAGGCCCAACCACTGGAAACAGTACCAATTCGAACAGTAATGGAGCTCCAACCATAATCAACGGTCCAATTTCTCCTACTTCAGTTTATGCATCCAATGCAGCTAGTAATCGAAATTCACAACTTGGAGCTGACGACTTTTATTTTAATGAAGACAGTCGGACGCCATTCCGCAATCCACTGGTGGATTATCGTGGCCATAAAGCACCTTATCCAACAAACAATGACCAATATAGAGGGTTCGGCCAGTCGAGGTTTCAAGAAAATTTTGAGTAATAATCTCTGTACTATAGTGACGAAAAGATTCCATCTTATTTTATTGCATTCTACTGGAATGGCTCACAAGTAAACATATTGGAAATGGTTTACTACTACTAATATTTGCATCATAATACGTTATTTAGTTTCTGCTTCTCTTTACATTTAATAATACTTTTGTTTTAAAATTACATCACTATTACACTGTAGTCCTCTGCCAAAAAAGTCAAGAGCCTTTGAGGTTATGATATTGCCGTGAAAAAAAAAAAAAAAAAAAACCGTAGAGAAAAGAGAAGCAACTTGAGATAACCATTTCACTGTTGCTACCGTGACGCTTACTTGTAATAATACAGATTGCTTTTGATATTGCAGTAAACACATGGTATCAACTATTACAACTAGGAATAGGTGTTTATGTCATAATCCCCTTTAGCAGTGACTGTTATACAGAAATTGAGCAGATAATGTAATACGACGAGCATATATGCATTCCAAATATACGAGTAAGGTATAGAAAGCAATACACTCACACTGATGGAACATTTACTTCATTCTAATGTATGTATTATGCATTACCTAAATTAGAACAACACAAGGTATGATGCAACCAAACAACATTCTGGTATTAGGTGTACGTAACTTAGTTTGTGGGTAAGTCACACCAAGTGTTACCATGGGGACTACGATTAATATCAAAACCATATCATAAACATATCTTGACTAATTATACAAACTTGTTAAAGGAAAGGACGAGCATAAGCGACAACAGTCGGCATCTGCTACAGAAAGAAGAAAAGATCTTCTGTAATGCATTAAAAATTGGGGCAGCTACTTCAAGAATGCACCGTTAGTAACTTCCATTTCGTACTCGTAATCTGGTTGAAATTCTGCGTACAATGATTCAGCATCCCCAGTCATCTGACAAGTATACTCAGCAACATCATGAGATATAATTTGTTTCTTCTTGCCTTGAACGGCATCCGCAAGAAGTTGCGCGTGACAAGCAGATTCCATCAAGAGAAATAAAGCGGCAGCTTCATCAACTGTAGAACCCACAGTCAACAAACCGTGGTTTTGCAAAATACATCCGATACCGTTTGGACCTAAGCAAGTAGCAATCTCTTCACCTTCACGTTCATCAATGGCAACACCACCAAAGTTGACAAAGACCAGGTGTCTTTGATAAAATATACATACATCTTGGTTAATCATTTCCAACTCTTTGCCGAACGCAGAGTAAGCCTTTCCATAAATAGAGTGTGTATGGGCGGCAGAAATGATGTCTGGACGAGCCTTGTGGATGGCAGCGTGGATAGAAAATCCAGCAGCATTAATTGCAGCTTGGTTACCATCCGAGAGAACATTACCATTCTTGTCAATATGAACCAAATCAGAGGCTTTGATCAAAGAAAAGTGTCTGTTCAAAGGGTTGATCCAAAATGTAGCGGGATCTACGGGGTCTTTGATGGAAATATGACCAGCAGAACCTTCTGAAAAACCCTTACGACCAAATATACGGAAAGCACCAGCCATATGTTGTTTCATCCATTCTCTCTTGCGTAACAATTCAGATCTTGATTTACCAAATTGTGGTATAGGGTGTGGGTGAGGGAAGCCACGGGCCAAGTTATGAGAACCTTGAGCTTCGACTTCGTAGCCCTTAGTAGTTAATTCGTGAGATAAATCTTTTGATGGAGACATTATTATTGGAGTATATCAATGGTTACAAACAAAATTTGTGATCTATCTGATATTATAAAAGATCACGAATAAGATGTCCTAAGCAGAGTATGATTGTATTGAAAATGAATAGTAGCCAATTAATAATACGGTTCTCAGCGTTAGTAAGAATAAATTGGATATCAAGTTTTATGATATTGAAAAATTATCAATGTAGAAAGAAGAAAAGGATTTCGAATACCTGAACCCTATTAAATATAGAAATTGAAAGTGTTTTATATGATTAAATTGAGAGGTTCTAATGCGGGTTAGCTCCCCTAATTAGGTAGTGGCCGCCATGTTTTACAATGGCATAATTTAGGCGACACAAAAATAGCCATAGTATTAGTTTCGGGAGTTTCTTAATTTGGGTATTAGCTCGACGGATAATTTGTGTGGTGCTTATTGTTAAAGATTCCGATGATGAAATGATTAGCGGAAATGTGTTTGAGTGTTTGGGCGCACATACTTAACAAGAGTGGCTTTGGTGTAAACATCGAATTAGTGATAACCTAATGCAATTGGTATGTGGGAACACTATTAATCAGTGTAGGTAGTCTTTTAGACGAAAGCAAGTTAATTGTGTCATATCATGCATATCTCAACGTCATGTGTCTTTGAGGTAGTCCTGCCGTCGTGGGTTACATAGACCAGTTCGGTATAAACCGCTAACCAAAAATTGCTACATCATTAACCCTAGACGGTCGGTCGACGCGTTTAAAAAAAGCCATTACGTAGTTCCACTAGGACAGCAAACCGTAAACGGGCAATCATGTCTTAAGCCGACAGTTTTACTATGATGGAATAGGTTAAACCTCTTTTTACGTTTCATAACTACATATTCTAGTTTAATAAAATAGTATGTAGGTTAGTGAAAGTGGGTAGTTTAAGTATCGCGTATGTATAATTAGGAGTGAAACTAAGAAATATAGGCAATTTTTCGTTTTATCAAACAATAACAAAAATGCTGACACGATGGATTATGATTCCCAATAGCTACACACAATAAAAGATTACTTTCCCATATTCAGTATAGCTTCCTAACCTTTTCTGAAATTGGTCTTACCTCCACTCGGTGCTACCAATTTCTGATTGTCATTCAAAAACAGAAGCTGGCGATGCGCTTAAAACCTTACAATAGGTAATTATGTTCGCTTTCGAGTAAATGCTTTTTTGTGTGCGACAGTTCTTCTCAAAGCGGAATTTGGCGATCACGGCGCATCCAATTTTATCTGTAATATGTAAGATAGTCATCTGAGCACCTTTTGAAGAAGTAAGCGCCTATAATCCACCATCAGCGTCAACTTAGTAAACGGTAACCCTGATCCGATTCTAACTCTATAGTTAGATTCCGTGAGGTTAAAATTGAAAAAGACACCTGATACTATAATTTGACTTTATATGGCATTGAGATCGTAATTGTGCGCTGTCGATTAGGGCCTATGAGAAATCGACCAAATAACAGAACGTGGGGTGGTATCCGTCAGGACCGTGGAAAATACTTTGGTTCGTGCCAAATATTTACACCATCCAAACAGGCGCAACTCAAAAAGAAACTGCGCTTACTTGTGCCAATAGTCAGATTAGATATTATACTGTTATCGACCAACCCTAATCTGGTTCTGATTCAAAAAAGTCGATATTCCATTGTACACTGAGGTATATGGTACCAGTTTGGTATATGGTACCAGTTTGGTATGATCCGACTAAAGTACTTAGCGCTATGTTATGGGGCCCGATAATCGACTCTTTGCATTATCTGGTGAGAAATCTTTTGCAACCAAATCCTGTACGGACTGCACACGAGATAACTTTTGACCTTAACTTCTGACAATCTGGCGGGAAATTGCTTTTTACTAACGTCATTAAAGTATTAAAATATTAATTATAATCATGAAGTTTTTAGACAAGGGTAATGTATATGCAAAGTAAATACATAAGGAAGGAGGCTTTGAGGTTGAGTCATTCTAAACCTTTTCTTGTACCAGATTCACAGTACCATCACTGTTTACGGAGGCATCCTGTGACCTTTCAGCCCCAGTAGCTGGCTTTTGTTCTTGCTTTGAAGCAGCAGCAGCAGCGGCAGCAGCTTTTTCAGCAGCAATTTTCTTGAAGTAGGAAGCAAAACCATATTTAGAGGTGGCTCTCAACTGGGGACCCCACTTACTGAAAATGAAAGGAATAGGAACTAATAACAATGCAATGAAACCAAATAATGTACTAGCCCAGCCAATATGCAACTTTTCGTACATTTGAACGGTGAACAAAGGGAAAACACTTGCCATAATGTACCGTAACATGTTATTAGCTGCCAAAGCCAGAGCAACATAAACGGGAGGAAAGGACATTGAAAAGTAAAGAACACAACCAAAGAAAATCCAGATTAAACCGAAACCAAATGGTAAACCTGCAAGGACAGGAACAATCCAATGCACATCTTTCTTTGCAGCCCATCCTAACCAGAACAATGAAGGAACTATCAATAACCCACCAACCTTTGCATAAATCAATTTACTTTCTGGTTTGTCCCAAACAAAATTACCTTCTTCATCACGTTTACCTCTAGTTCCATCAGGATTCTTAGGATAAACAACAAACCAATCGTAAATGGTGTACATTATAATTGCAATGATTAAACCTAAACCAATGGAAATAAAAGTAAGACCCAGGAGTTCTTGCTCTATATGATAGACGCCAACGAAAATGATGGGGAAGGCTTCAAAGAAACCAAAAAGGACAGCAAAGACAAAGGCAATGTATAGGGAAAGGAATGCCACAATTGGTTCAACAACCAACATTTCCAATGGTCTAATTAATGAAAATGCGATCATTTTACGTAATACATCCTTATCAAGGTGGGAAATAATTTTAGTTCCTCTCTTCATATGCCTCTTCTTCAAAAGAGCGACCTTATAAGTTTCAGGAGCAATGATTAAAAGAGGTATGTTGAAACCGGTAAAAATCATGAAGATCCAAGCAGCTGACCATTCCCATCCCTTGTTAACTGCAGCAAACCCACCAATGATAGGTCCAATCACAGGACCCAAGAAAGGCGTAAGACAGAATAAAGCCACAGCAAGAGACATATCTGGAGGTGAATTATTCCACATATCAGACATGGAGCCACCTGCAATTGCAAGACATGGGGAAATAAAGTAACCGACAAAGAAACGAAGTACTAGTAAAGTAACAGTATTCTTTGCTAAACCAACTCCCATGGCCATCAAAATAGCACAACAGAAAGAGAAAACGTAAATCCATTTACGACCAATCATTTCAGAAAGAGGTGATGCAATTACAGGACCTAATGCAAGACCTAACATATAAAAGGTCAATCCTGAAATCATAAGCGTTTGAGAAGCACCAAATCGTTGCATCATTTCAAAGGTTCCTGAAACAAACAATGATGATCCAAGAGAAGCAGTCAAACAAGCCAGGGCTAAAGTCAAAGTGACGTACCATTTTTTGTATTTTGGCCAATTGTGAGGATTCAATGGATCATCAGGCAGATCCCAATCCAAGTCCTTTACTTCAATACCCTCTTCGTCTCCAGGATGCTTTCGAGTAAGAGTTCTTACAATATCGAGAGGGTCGCCACCTTCAATTGGGTCTTCACCACCAGTCTTTATTCTCTGTATCGAATATACTTTATTCAATTCATTCTCATCAAGCTCTTCCAAGTGTTCAAGTGCTTCATCTGTGGTGCTTATACGTCTGAGAGATCCTCTGTTTACTTCACTATCGGAGTCAGAAGCAGGAGCATAAGCCGTAGGGTTATGACCACTTTCTTCGGTTATAACAGATGCAGATGCTGTATCGAGCACATCACCATGATTAGATGCAACATTTTTATCATTGGTAATTTGAGGCTCTGGATGATTAATTGAGTCAGATGATGGAACAATTGGTGTGTGGGTGCCGTCATCATCACTTGCTTTTATAGTTGATTGATCACCTTCTTCCTCGTCATCATGGACATGGGCATGGCTCACGACCGGAGTACCTGTAACATTTGGCGCAACAATAGGATGCTCAGTGCGCAGTTCATTTTCCAGAGCACTATACGAGTAAACTGAGTCTCTGAAATCACCTGATTGACCTTCTTCGGCAGTTTCATACGCAGATGTTGAACCTGTGGTAGTAGAAGCTCTCTCGTCTTCTTCGCGACCATATAACCGATCAGCAGCATCTCGCAACTGAGCCTTTTCCTCGTTTGTTATGCCAAAAACCATGGCTGAAACTAGTTACTTGAAATATTATAAGTGAAACAAAAACAAAAACAAATAGAATCTTCAGTGCCTTTAAAGTATTTCAGGATGCGATTAAAAGTACTCTCAGTTGTTGATACTTAAATAAACTAAAAATCTTTGAAAAGAACAGAAGCTTTCGATAGGAATTACTTTTCCTTCTTTTGAACTGGACATCTTGGTCAATATATATACACCTTGTCTGCAGTTATCATTTGATGGGATGTCCTCCATGAGAGTAATATCTTGAAATGCTAAACGGCTACAGCTGTAGTATTTCCTGCACAAGGAGCGTCACATATCTTGGTGGGCAGTTTCCAATGGAACTTTCCTGCAGAAAGAGTGATAGGGAAGCTGAGAGGGTTGCAACATAGCACCCAAAGTCAATAGATATGTTTATTAGTGGGTTCAACTTGACTTAGCGAACAATTCCAAATATCCCCTACAAGCCAAAGGTAAGATTCAAGTAGGTTTCATAAAGCCCTGAGTCCGCATGATGCTTGACCCGTCGCACATTGCTCATCGTCCTTCATACAACTCATGGGGCGCCAGAGCCACTTATATACAGTGCTGAAATATAAACATCATGGAGGCTTTATTGAAAAAGTGTTGGAATCTAATAGCATTATTCACTCAAAGCATAACTTCTTATTATAGTTCAAAACAACTTCATCTTCTGTTATAGCTTGGGTATTGAGAACCATCTTGAGCGTACCCAATTGAAGTTAAGGGATCAATCTTGGTTATCTCTGTTAATGTTCAAAGGTGGGTTGCTACATTTACTTTGTTAGGCGATGCTTCGGTGTTCAGCCGGGCAACTAACCCGTACACTATGAAGGATTCGGTATTTTGAAGTCTTACATAGCAAATCAATTTGGAGCGAAACAATTCACCGAAAATCATTGAACTGCTCGTTGTGGCGTTCCGTTCTATCTCCGTACCAAGCCACAAATCGCCATAGATACAGGAATGGCAGTTGAACCTCGGCATGTAATCACGTGACTAATATTGGAAATTTCTTTTTGTTTGAACTAGTTTCTTTGAGCGTACGTTTGCTGTGTAGTGCAAACTTATTATACCTTACGAAGCTGGAAATGGTTCCAAATACTTCGCCCTATCAGCGCCCAAGATTCCACAAAATATGTAACGTACTAAACTCTTGTTCGTAATAACCGTGCTTACCTCTTCTGTTGTTGTGGATCCCAACCATAATAGCTTTTAGCTCGAATGAAACCAAACCCGATGTTGCAGCCAAACATAATTAACCCAACTAAAAGCGCAGCCATGTAAAATTTGAGCCCCAATGGTTCCACAAACAGATTCAACACCAGACCAAGTGTTTCAGCACTTATAGCACTAATTTGTCCAATTCCTCCATCAACATCCTGTTGCATGCATTTGAGCCAGTATTGACATGCCTGTTCTAAAGCGGGAACAATTGTTTCGGGCTCACATTGATTTTCGTACCAAGACCTTTTGCAACTAGCTATCTCCACCATAACATTTGTACGGTGTCGTTTCAAACGTTCTCCGATATCTTGCTTTATAGTAGAAATCATTCCATAAATCAAATACATTCCATATATCACAAAGGTAGCATTAACGATCATTTGTAAATAGGACAGTATCATATATGGGATATGATCCCGTGGAACCAGTCGATGTTCCCAAGGAAGCGGTAAGGCAACTTCCAAGTTTTGTTCTTGTTTTTGATATTGTTGCAATAGTCTCACTTGATTTTTCAGTTCTTCTTCGTCTACCACCATTTTATTCTTTACTGGCACTATTTGAGTATTCGAATCCTTAGGATATTCCCGAGCATTATCATCCATGCCGTTGACGCTGGGATTACTCTGGTTATTGGCGTAGTAGTGGTGATGATGGATTTGAACAGAAGTCGAACCCTGAAATGGAACTCGCAGATAGCCATATTGCCCAAGAGGCTGCAATGGTACAGCCTGCTGAGCAGGATGAGATTCATAAGTATGACTTTGAGGATTGTAATAGTATTCCATTCTCTCATTATTGCTCAGAGGTTGTTCAAATTGCTTGTAATCCTTTACTCTATTTCTGCTTATAATTGTACCATGAGTGGCTGTATCGAGAATCTCTTCTGTGTCCACTTCTTCAATATCATTTGTTAACTCATTAATTGTCGTATTTGCAGTTTCATTTTCAGCAACGTCCTCTGGACCCATGAGTAGTAAACGAGGCTTCCGAATTGCAAGTCGAGCCCCTAGACTTGTCGGGGAAAGGATATTGTGCACAAATATACTGGAAGTACTAGTATCAGCATCCGCATCAGCATCAGCATCAGCATCAGCATCAACTTCATCATCTTCCTCATTCTCGTGATCACCTGTTTCTAAATTAATTTGATCTTCACCGAAGAAGCTGATGGCTTCCTTTGAATGGGAATCCTCATCTATGTCCATACTGTCATCTTCGTCATTGCTAAAACTGGCAAACACAGGTGGCGGTGACGATTCCTGGACCCCATGCCTACGCCGTAGCGCCAATTGGCGCCGGAAGTAGTTGGGAGTGTGTAACGAATCCTCTAATGTTAAGGAGTTCAAATCAAATTCGTCATTCATAATTATGATAAGTAAGAAATACAATTCTTTGATGGAATGACCAAATTAACAAAAATACCCTAATGATATACCAGCTTTATTTCATATATATTGATGGATCTCAGTATAAAATGACCAAAACCAAGTTGAGATTAAAATTAACTCAAGAGATACCGAGTTTATATCTCCAATGGCGAATCAAATGACAGTCGCTCTAGCAGACTTGAAAAAGGAGCAGAGACGTTATCAAAGGAAAGAATTCAAAATGGAATAATCAAAGAGCAATAAATCCTCTATGATAAGCAAAAAAGTACCTCGCACCTCGCAAAGTCTATATATATAGATATATTAGTAAATATTTAATAGAATTGTTATAGTTTATTAGATCGTCTGTTGAAGTAAACAATCTGGAATACAAATCAGGTAAGACAATACACAGGCGCATCGGGTAGCGCACAAAGAAGTCATCTCATCTCAATGTGAAAGCAGTATCTAGTAGATGTTTAATTTGGAGCACCATTGAACTATTAATATCAGAATTTTCATTATTCTTAGTTGAATCTACGCCTAAGTATTCATTTTGATTAATTGTCATGGGCTCTAAGAGGAAGAAGAAGGAAAAGGCAAAGGACTTTGTCAAGCAAAAGCTTAAAGTCGGTAAGACTGCAGCCAAACCAGATAATCATACTGATACATCATTTAAAGCCAAACGTATTCATATAGCAACCCAGTCGATAACTACAAGGAGTTCAGCAACCTCAGCATCTAATATAACAGGATCGAATCATCTTGATCGAAACATAGAGACTGGATCTCCTGTTTCATACAGCAATAATGAAGCGGAAATTAACCGTCTTTTACCTTTAGTCAAGCATCACTCAGCCAACACAAGAAAGGAAGTGTTACTTCAACTCATTCCACTCCTCTCGTCAAACCCAACTCCATATAAGGCTATCATGACTAGTTTAATACCGATGATGTTAGATCAAGCACTGGACGTAAGGAAAACCTTAGTTCAAGTTTTCCAAGCAGTGGCCACTAAACAAAAAGGGATATTGGATCTTCATATGCGGTCATACATCCTCTTTGTTCACTCTGCTATGACACATATAATGCCTGAAATTAGAAGTACAAGCACTCTTTTCCTTGAAGTTGCCGTGGATAATGCTCCTATTTCCCTTTCAAGATCACATTTCATAAAGACAACGCAACTCTTCTTCTCTTTAATGAGTTGGAACTTGAATTCCAACTCAAAGGGGTCTCTCGCAGTTTCAACCTCCAGTGCTATAGGAGGAGTGACAAAGAAAGCTAGAAGTGTACACATTAGAATTCTTACAAAGTTTCTTTCAGTGTCTTTATTGCCTCAAGCTTCGACATTGAATAATACCTCCGAAACTCAGTTTTACGCCATACATCCACAGACAAAGAAATATACCATGCCTATAACAACACAACCATATTCAGCACTTCGACTCTTTGTAAAGGATGCCAAAAAATCGAATGATTCTAACTTAGAATCAGCGAATGGTTCAGCTTCAATATCAAAGAAACTTGATGATGGTAAGTTTACAGTTCTGGACTTAAACACTCTTTCCTCAGAAGACTACGACACAAGAAGGAAAATTATTACTGATATTTTCTCAAACTCCTTGTTTAAAGGATTGGATTTACTCATAAAAGAAGGAGGCGAAGTTGGTAAGGAAGCAAAGGCATGTCTCGCAGTTCTTGAAAGTATTTCACCCTGAGAATTGTTCTTAATTATGTAGTTCATCTAATAAACTCTCAAAACAGATAAATAAAGTACGTGTGCCGATTAAGCTACTGTGAACATAACGTAGAACTCAATTGAGCCTGTACCAAATCAGACTAAGATCTTCCATCCCAATTAGGATATGTCACAATAGTTACTGTATAAAGTGATTATAGTCGTAGCCACTTCCATTCGTATTCTTCTCCTCAAACTTTTTCATCCTAAGCAAAGTTTAGTGAAGGAGCCAGTTGACGAAAACTACAGTGTATATAGATTCTACTATAAATGATCCGTTCGTGCATCTTAAGAAATTTTAGTAGGTGCTCAGTTGCACCAGTTTTGGTATTGAGAGCCCAAACTCCAATAGTCCAACTCAATCAAGTTGCAAGATTACACCGATCACACCCATTGTTAGCAAAAGCAGGTAAGAAGAACAAGAAAGCGAGCAAGGAAGTTGCCGAGGAGTTGGCACAAGGAGGCACATCAAAAGCTGAGATTGACTTTGATGATGCATCTAAGAAGTTCGATGTCATTTTGGATAAGTTTTCAAAGGCAGCCAACGAGATCAAGCTAGGGAAATCATCGCCAACTATTTTTGACAAATTGATGATAGAAACCGAAGATGGTGAACAGGTTTTCACTAATGTTGCTCAAACTACACTTAAAGGTCGTAACTTTGTGATCACTGTATTCGATCCTGCAAACACTCAACATGTGGTTAACGCAGTATTAAGTTCAGATTTGAATATGAATCCTCAAGTTGACCCTTCTAGTAAACTGACTTTAAAAGTTCCTTCACCACCAATTACCACTGAAACCAAGAAGGAAAATGCTAAGCAATTGAAACTGATTTTTGAAAAGTTCAAGTCTAGCACAGTTAAAAATAACTCATCTTTACATGCTATTAGAACAGATATTAGAACCAAGTTTCAAAAGAAAATGAGTTCTAAGAGAGGAACTGATGAAGAACAAAAGTTATTGAATGATTTTGAGCAACTTCACAAGAAGTATACTGAAAAATTGCAAGAGGCATTCAAGAGTGCCGAAACAGCCATTCTTAAGTGATGTTCCATGTTAAATAAGAAAGTGACATTACATTCCCAACCAAAGTAGCATAATTGTATATATAATCTGCTCAATGTACAGCACCCTCACCAACCCATAATCGCTTACTGTATTTCTCACACCATTTAATTAATTTCGAACTGTCGTTTGTTATATCGAGAGGTGATTCATTCTCTTGGAATTGAGAATATAACGCATAGAACTCATGTTTATCGTCGCAAAGACGGAATCCAACAACTGCATCACTCAGTCCTTCTTGCCATTTAATTATCGTGAGTTTTTTGTTTACTTTGTTAACAATAGTTGATTCGTTAGTGCAAAGTTGAGTGTAGAAAAAGGCATACTTCAAAACATTGGGATCTCCTTGATGTTGCACCATTGCAAATTGCTCTAAATCCTTCAGACGAAATATAAAATGGTCTAACAGAACTGGACACGGGGGTAATAATGGAGACGAAACACTATCTTTGGTTGAGCTTGGTTTGTCATACGAGAAATTCAACTCATTGGCTAAACTGTTACGGAAAGACTCTTTCTTGGCTATCATATGAATGATGTAGTTGGATAACTTCTGCATTTCAAAGAAGCTATTCTTATTTCCACTTACAAGAACTATTGACAAAGGAGTCCTTTCCACATAATTTCCATCTACTTTCACAAAGTCTGCTAGATCAATTGACTTGATAAAAACATAAAGAAAACCGTTGGAATTGAAATGTGGCATACACAACGGCATCCAATAATCTTCACCGGTATTCGACGAATTGTATGCCAATGTGGAGTTTATAGTTGAAAACAACAACAATAAATCTTTTGAACCCAAGCAATGGGGGTTTGTTCTTAACTTCGACAATAATCTCCCTTTTCCATCAATAATATATGCAAAAAGTAAATCTGAACCTAAAAATCGCAGGTGCTCTCGTTCGTTGTTCGAGAAGTAAGAAAGTATAGATGAGGTATCACTGTTATGGCTTTTTGATGAGTCTCCACGTTGTTTCACTCTCTTACACGAGAGCAAAATTGAGTTCAATCTTTGTCTGGTTGTATTTCTCAATATAGCACATTCAATGGATCTGTCTAGCAAAACACTGATAAAAAAGTTAAGGCCGTTGTCTAGTTGGACCAGATCCTTTTCTGGGGCAAGGCCATATGTGAGCTTCAAGGCAAGACTATCCAAATTGTAATAATCAAGAGGGTTCAAGACTTTCCTGAGATCGTAGTTCATTCTATTGGCAAAGCTTTTATTTATGGTTGTCAATGATAATATAGAGAGCAAATAATCATACAAAACGTTCAATTGTATTGCTATGAGGTTTGACTTAAACTCTGTTGAGAGTTTCAGGATAGCCACAAAGATCAAAGGTTCTTTATTCAAGATACACATTTGCATATCATTTCCAAATTTTAAAGAATGTACCTCACTATCAAATGACGATATGACAGTAGTTAGAAGTCCCATATACCCCACAATGACATCATCAGACCCATTAAGAGAATAAATAGGTTTACCAGCATGTGAAAAAATAAAGAAATGCTTCAATTTACAATGGAACAGATCCCCATTAGAAGACTTCTCTGGATAAATAAACTTTGATATGAATTTTGATTCCTGATCAAAATCCGTCTGGTCTTGTTGTTCCTCTTGAAGGAATTTAGCATATTGCTTGTAAACAGATAACTTAAGGAAAGATATTTGTAGCGACTTAGTATCTAAATTTGTACTTCTATGCTTCCTTTCTCTCAGCCTCAAACCTTTTAGAAGGTTCAGTAATTCTTCTTGTTCTTCTGAGATAGGACTGTTCCATTGACTGTCACCAAAAGTCTCACAAGCCGAGGAGGAAGCACTTTCTGTTGGCTGTAGGAACATGTTCAGTGCCACTGGCTTCAAATGGTTCTCATGTGAGGCTGTGTTATGTATAGTGCTAAACAGCGTGGTGCTGTCATTGGCCATCAGCATTAATGGAGTTACTGCTTCTGAGTTCACAACGTTCTCGACATTTAGTCCCGTAAGAGGCTCACATTCCTCCACCGTGAACCCCAGTGTATCAAGATTGGTCAATTGTAGTTTGTTCCACGGTATTCCATAGCTAGAATGTTCATCGCTCATGGTACTTTGCTGTGTGACGTTCCGTGTATTGAATATTGATTATCGTTCTTTTTGTTACTTGATTTATTTGTATTATAAACCCCAGGTTTTAGAGAGACAAACATTCTCACTCGGCTTAAAATAAGTGAAGTGAAGACCAATACTCGATAATTAAAGACACAAGTATTGATATGTATTCGTTTCCGTTTCATATATATCTGATATCAAATAATAAAGAACTTCAATGTAAACGGAATTCCTTATTATTACTTTAACTACGCTCACTCATAATTAATACTGAGTTACTATTTATTTAAACACTTCGCAACAACTACTTCCATATATAAAAACAGCCTTCAACTCATCTATATTTAACGTAAGAACATATACCACACCAAGAACACAAACATTAACCCAACACCCACAATTGGCACGTACTGACGTAACATGGCCTCAAAGTTTATTCTTTGAGCCTTCTTACGATACTTGATAGAATCGTTTCGTAAACTTGAGGAAAGGTCGCTCATTTTATCTAAAGAATCGCCTCTGTAAAGTAAATCTTCAATATTCTTTGTCATAACCTTTTTAACATCAGCCAACTCATTGTTCAACTTATCCAAATTGGAACGTGCTCTCTGATCTTGATAAATTCTCTTCGTTTTTGTCAAATAGGTATCAAAGGAACTGAAGCCAAAAGGCCTAGCCGAAGTACTTAAAGCATCCCGTCCATGAGATGATTGGAATTCTCTACCAACTTCTTCTAAATATAAAAATGCCAACTTTCGAGGATATGACTTTTCAGTAACACATATGTAGATAATGTCTTCAGATACCAAGTAATGGATAATGTCATTTCCTGATTCAATACTGGCCTGCTTCTCTGAATGTGGTGTGATTCGGCTCACGATTATTTTACACTTCTTCTTTTGGTCAAGAAGTTCAGGAGTATTGTTATCATCCGAAGATCCACACAAGGGAAGAGCTGAATAATATTAGTAATAATCCAATTGTAAAAACATGTCTAGCAAACATAGAGTAACTAACATACCATCATAACGATAGATCAATGTTGATAAAATCATTGTCAATTGTTAAATTTCAGTACACACGAGGTTACGTTTTCTCCCTCCAATAATATAGTCCCAATAAAGAAGTTAGTTAATAAGCAGACCAAAAATTCAAACTGCAGTCTATAAGCACCAACTAATTCACAATCTATCTTTTTACCAGCTGTTGTATTGTTAACGTAGTTGCCAAAAAACCAAAATCAACGCTACCAAACAGAGCAAAAAGGTCGTGTGCCGCTGGAAGAAAATACTATCTCTTCCCTTCACCTGTGATCTGTCTTTCTATAGTAATTTGGCAGTACTATATATACTTCTTTGTAAAGCTTTCTCATAAGAAGTAATAAGATCTACTATACAATAGTGAGAAGATGGATATTTAAACCTTTTCAAAGGAAATACAAAGAACCAGATAGAATTTTTAGATACGATTAACTTTCTTTCTTTCGATCAATCAAAATGGACTTATCAGCGCTATCTTCTGATCTACCATCTACAAAAGCGGTCTCGGAAGCTTCAGTTAAGGAGTTGGCCCAAGAACTTACAGTTGAATTCAAAAATGCTGCTAAAGCTGTTGCCGGGCTATATAACGTAGCAGCGTCAGCAAATAAAACCCTTGGGAATGATTCTACATCAACAGCTAAAAGTGCAGCAGCATTGAAGCAGGACTTCTCAGACACTGCCAAGTCTGTCGCGTCACTCTATCGTTTAGCAAACACCTCCACAGTACTATACAGACTCAAAGGCTATTTGGATTGTCTTGACGAAATCTTGGAAATTATCGAAAACGGAGAAGATCTTGAAAATTGGGTGCTTACCAGGAAAGCAGAGATCTCAAATTTGCATAAGGCTGATTCATCAAAATTAACCAATCCAGTTCTGCTGCCAAATTCTCACGAACCACAGATTGATAACAACCAACACAACAATAACAATACCAGTAGTATGAATAATGCTAATTCCACTGGTTCCACGATTCTTTCATCCGATAACATTGAAGATTTTTCAATCCCTCAAGACTTTGAATTTAAAATGCCTGATTCTTTAGCTGTATCTCATCATTTTAGACTTAGTCACCCCCCTATGTCAGTACAACACTCCAAAAACCAAATAGTCCAGCGTAAAATGATGCTCAACGAAATTGCCAATAGAAAACGATCTCTTCAAATTAACAGTCAACTCCCACAGGAGAATGAACATGAAAGTGACGAGCATTCAAACAGTGAAGAAGAAAGCATAAGATTAGATACTTTTGAAGGAGAAGAGTCTCGAAAACGAAGACGACTCAACGAATGTAGGTCATCACTAACTTCAGACGAAGATTAAACTTTTGTTAGCGTTATCTGCATCGATGATTCTTTTGATATGGTTTTTTTTATTCCGGGTACATATATGGTTATAAATGGTTCAAAAAGAGTAATGAAAATTGAGGTATTCTATATTTAATAATATTTGCTGTTAGTTATTATTCAAATGGAGAATTCTTCTTTACTATATTATTGTTAAAGTTAATTTCTAAAAGTCGTAGTGTATCTAATAACCGAAAAGGCCATCATCATTATCATCGAATTCACCATCGTATTCATCATACGAGCTTTCATCATCGTCATCATCGTCATCACTATCACTTTCAATTGCTGATTCATCACCTTCAATCAAACCTTCCAAACTTAAACAATGCAAGGTTTCATTCTTAGCCTGGGTACCCTTTACAACGTCATGGGTAGATTCAACATTACAATGAACCAATTTCAGTTTTGTTTGAATTCTCACATCATGACCTACGATACAATTCTCCAATTGGACATCGTCTTCAATGGTAACATTATTAAGCAACAAACATCCTGTCAACTTAACTCTCTTACCAATAACACAATCATTCCCAACCACTGTTCTTTTAACATGAGTTCTCTCATCAAGTGTGGTGCCTTCACCAACTAAAGAGTCTAAACCTACGGTAGCAGCTAACTTATCCTTATTCTGCTGAGCTCCTGAGGTTCCTTTCTCTTGTGCTTGCAACTTCATGAAATATCTATTAGCTTCCATTAAAACATGTGTATTAGTTGTACGGAAGAAGGTAGCCTGGTCAGGAACTAGCATGAACCCAATAGTTTCTTTGGGTTGGGAATGCTTCCAGGATCTTCTAGCCAAGTCTCGTACAATCTTTGATATTGGCCGACTTGCAAAATATTGTTCTGTTGACTTCTCTTGCATGGTGTCAAAGATATTAAAAATCTCCACTGTTGAACCAAAGAAAATACTACTATTCATTAAAGACATGCTAATGGAAGAGTTTGGGTATCGCCAGCACATTTGGGTTCTAATTTTCAATGCCTGTTGGAATTCGATATCGGCGGAGGAGTATAAGTCCAACAATTGGCACTGACCATCGTTCAACTCCAGGAAAATTGTATATTCTATGGGAAATATTTTATGCTTCTTATCCTCAATGTCAAGTAGATTTCTATAGTGCACTGAAATACCTATATCAGACTCTTCTCTGTTTCTGTAAGCTTCAATAAGTACTTGTGGAGGTAAATCAGTGACAAAGTCACAAGGCAATAACAAAAAGTGCTTATAAGCACCTATAATGTTGTTCTTGTATATATGGTAAAGCACTTCCCCACTAGTATCGGCATTCAATGATAAGATATCAATATCCATCACACTTTCCGCTTCTGGTTGAGCTTGTTCTCCTGTTAAAGATTGCTTCTGTTCTTCAACCCACTTTTTATGATCCACCAATGCTTGCTTGATGACTTGTTCCGAATCACTATCAGTTACAATTGTAACTTTGGGGAAAAACCCCAGTTCACACCACCGTAGCACATATTCTACCATTGGCTTGTTCGCAATTGGTAAGACTGCCTTTGGTATCCCAGTTGATCTCACTTGAGAGAAAGGTGTCAACTGTTTCCCCAATCCACATAAAATCACAACATGAAACTCCATTGCAAAATAAAAACACGAGTGGTGCTTCAAAGACTACTTCGATATCGACACAGTTTGTACTTCAATCACTTCAATATAGTCAAAATCAAGTATCAGTGTCATCGGGTTCCTCTATGAAAATTCTGAGTAAATCGTATTCAGCTTTCAAATATTACGTCATAAATTAGTTAATCATGACATGGGAGCGCAGAAATTACAAAAATTGTCCACCGAGAACAAATTCGATATCGATTCAGACACATTAAGGTATTGGTGCACACAATTCATTTGCCACAGACTCCAAGCCAAGCTCAAATATTTGTTGTCAAAGGAGGCATCAAGCACTTAAAAACAATGAGTACAGAAGAGACGGATCCTCTCTTAGAAGCATTGAACCAAGACTCCGAAACTGTGGAAGCCGAAAACGGAAATTCAGTCGGTGGTTCCAACGGTAATGCTTCTAATACCAGTAACGAACCTACTGCTGCTGAAGCTCCACGATCTGTTGATCCTGAAAAAGCTAAGGCTTTACAGAAGTATAAAGATAAGTTAAATGAGCACCGCAAATGGGAGGCTCGTGTCAAGGAATTACGAATGAGCATGCGAGATCTTGGTAAGGATTATGTTAAGACTGAAGATGATATTAAAGCTTTACAAAGTGTGGGCCAAATCGTTGGAGAAGTATTGAAGGAATTGGATGATGAAAGGTTTATTGTTAAGGCTTCTAGTGGACCCAGATACATTGTTGGATGTCGTAATACTATTAAGAAAGAGAATTTAAAGAATGGTGTCAGAGTGGCTTTAGATATGACCACGCTTACTATTATGCGTGTTTTGCCTAGAGAAGTGGATCCTTTGGTCTACAATATGACAACCTTTGAACCTGGTGAAATATCGTTCAACGGAATTGGTGGATTAACGGAACAAATCAGAGAATTACGTGAAGTGATAGAGTTACCTTTGAAGAACCCGGAATTATTTACTAGAGTTGGTATCAAACCTCCTAAGGGTGTGCTATTGTATGGTCCTCCTGGTACAGGTAAAACCTTATTGGCAAAGGCTGTTGCTGCTACAATTGGAGCCAACTTTATATTTTCACCTGCTTCTGCAATTGTGGACAAATACATTGGTGAATCAGCTAGATTAATCAGAGAAATGTTCAGTTATGCAAAGGAAAATGCCCCCTGCATTATATTCATGGATGAAGTTGATGCCATTGGAGGTAGAAGATTTAGTGAAGGTACCAGTGCCGATCGTGAAATTCAAAGAACACTTATGGAATTATTGAATCAAATGGATGGTTTCGACACCTTGGGCCAAACAAAGGTTATCATGGCCACTAATAGACCTGATACTTTAGATCCTGCACTTTTGAGAGCTGGTAGATTGGACAGAAAGATTGAAATAGGCTTACCCAATGAAACAGGAAGATTGGAAATCTTTAAGATCCATACAGCCAAAGTGGCAAAGAAAGGTGAGTTTGATTTTGAAGCAGCTGTTAAGATGAGTGATGGCTTCAATGGTGCTGATATCAGAAATTGTGTGACTGAAGCTGGTTTCTTTGCCATCAGAGACGAACGTGACTACATCCTTCAGAATGATTTGATGAAGGCCATCAGAAAGGTTGCCGAGGTTAAGAAGTTGGAGGGTAAGTTAGAGTATGAAAAGTTGTAGTTTATGGCTTAGACAAATTACTTAACTGATATTATAATGTATAATCCTCATTACGTAGTAATATTTAAAAGTAAGCATGTTGGAGTTGAAATTAATTTACAAAAATAGAACTGTTATATATACAAGTAATACCAACTACATAAGAAGACTCTTAATGTTCAATTTTCTTGATAGTCTTTTCGAAATCTGGCACTTTAACATTAGATAAAGCTTCCAAATGAGTTTTCAATGCAGGATTGGTGATCTTATTAAGATGGTCAGCTACCTTTTGACCAATAAAGTCCTCCACTTCTTCAGATAATTTGGAGAGCTTCTTTTCAGGTTGAGCAGCCTTCTTCGCCAAGTAAATCTTTTGCTCTGTAGATAATGGCATCTTAGGACCATTGATCATTCTTGCTTCCATTTCGGATAATACTCTCTTCTTGTGCTTGGAGTGAGGGTTTCTCAATTCAGAAAGGACACCCTTAGGTAATGGTGATTGAGCAATTGTTTGTAGTTCATATGACTTTTCAAGAACAGCATCCTGAGAAGTCGAAAGGTAATCTTCCTTGACATCTGGAGGTGTTGGCCATGGGATCTCGACACTTTCGTGATGCTTAACGAACCTACGGGGCATCCACTGTCTGTATCTATCATCATAACTTACACCTTTCATGACAACTTCATCAGCTACCACATAATAGGTCTTTCCATTCTCATCTTTGTCCTTAGCAGCCAATTTGAAGTTAGCACGAGGTATGGCCAGAGGGATTCTCAGGAGATGTGATTGTTGACCCTCCATCCAATACATTTTTGGAACCACAACTTCTTGATAAACCTCAGAACAATACACAGAATCTCTGTCCTTGCTGTATGATTCCACAGTGACAATTTTACCTTTTCCTTGGCCTTTAGTGATATATATCAAATCACCTTTAGCAACCTCTTGTTCTCTATAAGTTAAACGTTTTTCCGCCTTGGGAAGATGGGTAGCCTTGGGTAAAGTAGGCAAGTTCATGGCTGTATTTCTCTTAAGATAATGCTCCCTAAGAGCAGGAACATACTTATCCAAATCCCGCTGGAACCTCTTTCTGAATCCTTGCATCGTTGAATGTATGGGCTTTGAAGTTAGTAGTAATAGTTAAGTCAAGATAAAGTTGATCAAATTTTTCAGTCTCACTCAATTGGAACATGGAGGAATATATATGCAGGATACAAATTGGTGATAATCATTATTGATCTTCACGAGGAAATTGGAAGTCAAAATAGAGAACCTAAACACCAACAGATAGCTTAGAAGTAAGTAACAAGACTTTAAAGTGAAGCAAATTGACAGAACTAAACTGCTTAGGAAATTGGTCACTTTACCCACCGGTATATTGGTTAGACATAACTTTTGATGGAAGGACATGAATAAAAACACATGTAAGCAATGAGTTAAAATACAGGTAAGCAATGAGTTAAAATACAAATATAATATTGCTAGTGATATTTCGATAAGAAGTTATAAGTTTTGCTATACAATCCTATTCAGTATCCGATGTCTTCAACTTGTGAGAATACGTTTTCAAAACGAATACTCTTCATTCGTTGATAATATATTCTAAGGATTCCTCTTCTTCATTTATAAATGCTAGGATTAACATTATTTAGGCATTGAACTCAAAAGCACTCTCTATTCGGCTGAACACTGGAAAGATTGAGCCCCATTCTGAATATTCGAATGTTCTTGGGTGCAAATACAGTTCCAAATTCTTAGTGGCACACGACCATTGAAAAAAGTGTGAAGCCAACTCTATCGAAAAGTGATCCACACTAAATGGCCAACTCATCTCCTCACAAGATAAATTTACTCCATTTATTTATAACGGAAACCTATAAACGAAAAATTGCATCCTTAGCCACTTTGAAACTTATTTCACTGTCAATTCACTTTAAGTTAACACTTCGAATTCATAATGACCGGAAACCTAACTCAAAAGATCGAAGTCATCAAGATCAACGATTTCGAGCCTGAACCCCAAGAACAAATCATACCGCACGAAAGACAAATCGTTGACAGTGTTATTGCCATCTGGAAGGAAGATAAAGATTTTGAAGGATTGGGAATGGCAAAATTGCATGCATTGGTTAAGAAAAGACATCCTAGTTGGTCAGTTTCGGAGAAGAGAGTCAAATCTTTGTTGAAAAAATATGGTTTGGCGAACAATCAAGAGCAATTCACCTATGCCCTGGATATTACTTCTGAAATGACTCCAGATATTGACATGCCCGATAAAGTCCACATTGTTATGACTTCAAAAAGAGGTAAAGGATTGTATGCAAAGAAGAACATTGCAAAAGATGAAGTCATTTGGGAGGAAAGTCAATTATTCTTTGTACCTCCTTTGGCAAATGTAAAGTTAATGTCGACAGGGAAAGCATGTGCATACTGTGGTATTCTTTTATCTTCCAAGCGGGCATTCAAAGGTGGATTGGACTGTAATGTTTGCCAAGAGGTGTGGTGTTCTCAAAATTGTAAAAAAATAGACCACTTGCTTCATATCTCGTTAAAGCATAATGTTTATCATCCCGGCGGAAACAAACTGAAAAAGCAAATTGATGCTGCCTGTTTTCTAGATCTACAAGATTATTGTGCTAAAGAACAATGGAATGCACTTTATGCGATTACATTGATCTATGCACAGATAATTCAAGATAAAACTGGGGTTAAAGGTAAACAATTCAAGGCAATGGCTAGAGTTTCTCAGGAAATTAGATACAGAGCCTTGAACTCTTCAGCTGGTGCCTTTGATAATATGCAAGGTGGAGCACTCTTTGTACAAGAACAGCAAGAAGAATTATGGAGAGATGGGTTTGAAAAATTCAAACTAGTATTCCCCAAGACAGATGTCGATTATAAGGAATTCATGTTTATGTTGGGTACTTATAACATCAACAATTTGGATCTGTGTATGTACTTGACCCAATCTCATTTGAACCACAATTGTGAACCTAATACCAAGGTGATCCTGTTTCCTCAATCAAGAACAAGGGGCCTTCAGGTCATTGCTGCTAGAGACATTAAGGCCGGAGAAGAATTAACTACCACTTATGTTAACCCACTGTACCCGGTTCAACAGAGACAACGAGAATTACGAGTTAACTGGGGCTTTGTTTGTGGATGTCAAAGATGTAAAGACGAAGCAAAGAGCCGTGAAAGACGAAAGTCAAGCACTGGGTCACAAGGCCACAGCAAAGCAGAAATCAAGCAGATGTTACAATCTGTCAATGATGATGATGATGAGCCAATATTGTTAGATGCCCCCCAAGATTCTCCTCGTGAGCGGAGAAAGTCTGTTCGTTTTGATGAACAAGTTGTAGCAGTATCCGAGTAGATTGAATTTACGACTAAAACAGACTAAAATAATGAACGTTTTAACATATTTGATCCTACATACTTGTAATTTGCATACAATCTATTGTAGAGTTTGCATGGATACTGGAATGCAGTAGACATGTGAACTGCCACATCCAAATATGTCAAGCAATACTAAACCCTGTCCTATTTTTTTCTTTCATGCGAACCGCTCCAAGTAAGACTAAAATGCTCCAGACCAGACCATAGCTTCGGAGCCTAACTTTGAACAGATTTGCCGGAAATGTCTAAGCCTGCGTTGCGGAAACTCATTAAACAACAACTAAAGTCAGCAAAGGAGGGAAATGTGCAATTGACACTCGCAAGCCTTGAAAGCATACCTTCGTTTGCCAATGCCTCAAAGGTAGGGCTCTTTATATCAATGCCCCAGGGGGAAGTACAGACTATGCCAATCATTAAATATTGTTTTGATCAAGGGAAACAAGTGTATTTACCACGGTGTCATTCTACTCCACACAATTGGATGCAACTCTTGCGAGTAAATAGCTATAAAGAAGTTCAATCTTTGACCCCACAGGGCAAATACCAACTTTTGGAACCTTTGGTAGGAGAGGATATTTTGGATACCGGAAGGTTAGACGTATTGATAATGCCGGGGGTGGCCTTTTCACCAACCTTACAAAGAATAGGTCATGGTGCAGGGTTCTATGATAGATGGATAGCTAGTTACCACCAAAAGTATGGCATTACTCCACAATTAATTGGAATTGGATTGAAAGAACAGCTTGTTGAAAATATACCGATTGAAAATCATGATTGGCCACTAGATGCCGTCGTCATTGAAGACAAGATCTACAAGAAATGATTTCTTCGTCCAACATGTAAATAAATAATACTTCAAACTCTATATAAAATAGTAGAAAGGATTGGAGCAATGTGCCTAATTTCCCATGATTGAAAGATTAAAAAGAGCGCAAAAATTGCCATTAATATGCTTGAGATGTAATAGTGTCCACCAACACGGAAACTATACGTTCAAATAAGAAGAATATGTAGTTATACCTCGTAACATAACTTTAAGTTCACTCGGAGTAGCTTCGATATTTCTAACGTACTCTTTAAAAATAATACACTAATTCTGAGTACAACCTATTTAGATGCACTGAATACCCCAACACAGCAGCTTCCTAGCATTCTATCTACGTTAACCCAACTGTGGTATTTGTTGAACAAACTAGTACCATCTTTACCGGCACATTTCATGATTTCTTCTACTCCACCGGGGTGAAAATTGACATACGGCGTAACATTATAAACTTTTCCATTGATACAAGTCCAACAATCTTCTTGACTCTTATGCAATTTCAACTCGTCTTTAGTAACCTTAACGTAAGGTGGTGGCGGAGTATCAGGCGCCACCCCTCGGAGTTTATAGGAAGGTGTGGAAGTTGATACTCTAGCCCAGTCAAGGGGAGAATGACCTGGAGCTAGAGCAACTTTCTTCCTCTCACGTGCGGCTGTTGACGGCACATTTAATGAAGCTCTTTGGGCGGAGTTGGGACCAAACATATCGTGCTTCCTGTCAAAGTAAGGTAGCATAGAGCTAGATACGCCAAGTTCAATCAAATGAGAATCTGATCTTGTTCTGTAAGTGCACACGACCAAAGATTATTCTTAGGGAGTAATTTGAGCCACCGTCCCAAAGATCTTAAGTAAGTTTGTCATATTATATATGTTTCTCTACATAATCTAGAATGTTCGGAATTGCTAGTTAATGTTTCTGATTACATGACCGTATCAGATCTCTCATAATAGATCATGTAAGCTGCAGCATGCTCACAAAGAACAGAAGTTTTGGGGACCTCTGTTACTTGGCTGTCACTAATACGCCAGAAAGGATATTTAACGCTGGTAGGGAGCTTTTTCAAAGTTACGTTGGTTTTTGAGAATTCTTGAAGGGACTTATCAACGGCACCAAGTGCTAAAATAGGTCTTGCATCAAGCTCACCAACAACAAGTTCAGTGGGTGATCTAGCACCATCTTTATTTGGAGTTTCCTTTACTGAACCACCAATTTCTGCTTGAAAAACACTTTGTCTGCGACCAACAAAGTTTGAAAGACGACGTCTTAATTGTGGAGAAGATGGAGCATTTTCGGAAGCAGCAGAGTTTGAGTTGTCCACCGAAGCATTTGTTGAATCATCTCCATCTGGGGAAGATTCTTTATTTTCATCGTTTGATATTTTCTCCATATCTGCTACTGTATCCCCATCAACTTCGGGGGCTAATTTGAAAATATTTCCATCACGGTCTTTGGCGTAAATTGGTTTCCGACGATAGCATTCATAGTGACCCATAGTATGAGATCCATAATGACGGATCATAGACTTAAGTTTATATTTATAGATATCATCGGTGGAGAACTTGAAATTTTGGAATAGTTCTCTCAATTTATCCGATTGAGATTTGGAAATAGGTGAATTATAAAAATTATGCTTTGCATCTAATATTTCAAGTTCATCCTCTTCATCCATTTGAATCTCATCACTCCCAACAGAAATAACATCATCAGTTCCATGTTGTCTGGATGATTCACTAGTAGAACGACGACTTCGGACACGTTTGGTCTTTGCCAAGGGATCCATATCTTCATCATCCGTACTTGGGGTTGTCTCAGCCGTTTCTTCCACATGCTGAACAGCATCTGCCTTCATTTCTTCTTCCTCAGGGTTTGTGGTTAATACAGATGTATTAATTGGATAATCAATGGCGATATCCCCTTGGTATTCCTTGAGTTGATCAGTGTATTGCTTTCCAATAGATAAGGTTAGCACATCCTCAAAATGAACGCGACACAGATTTCTGGTTACATCAACACCGTTAAAGTTAGACCGAGAAAGATGAATTCCAAAAATCCGTGGTGGCTTGAGTATCTTCAGTGTTCTGAATACTGTCAGAGTAATGGTATTAATGTTAAGTCCATTGGCATTATATTGTTCAATGAACTTTTCAATTTCTTTAGGTAGATCTTGATTTATTGGTAAATTAGAAATGGCATTGAACTCTGCAATTTTAGGGTAGAATGGAGATTGTTTTTCTGGGGATAAGCTTGATTCCACATTGTAAATTGCTGCCAAACGGCATCTTAGACAATGATAACCTTCAATAGATTCTTCTGCCTCTTTATCAAGCAAAGTCATAAGGTCAACATCCAATGTCTGAGGTGTATGTAAAGTGAGCATAAGGAAGGGGGAAAATGAAGGTTTTGAAAGATGAGTACACTTCAAACAAGTCATTTGTTGCATGATAAGACCAGAGAAGGGGAATTCTTCAAAATCGTCAAATAATTCAAATTGGATATCTTGATGATGATGTTCCTTAATTAATTTGAGATACCGTTTACAATTCATATTTTCATTCTCCAAAGTTTCAAAGATCAATTGAGTCAATTCCTGAGCATCGTGTTGAGATCTAGAGATTTTGGCAGAGAAAACTGCTTCTAAATCATTAAGAAAAGTCCAGACAGAAATGCTCTGATTAGTTAATGTGGTTGCCTGGAGCTTTTTGACAATCTTTGCTAATGACAAGTGTAAGGGGATTTCGAATTTTGATTTCAAATGACGAAACTTGGAATTGGCATTGATCTCCTCCAGTTTCTTGCGCATTATTTCGTCAACATCAGATAAGTCATATTCACCGTTAGCTAAGAACTGCTTCAAATCATAGCACTGGGTTATGAATTTATTGAGATATTCAGCCAATGTAGGTAATGATGCGAAAGCTTGTAATGACGAATTTGCAAAACAATCATTACGAAGATTGATAAGTCCAGTTGTATATTTGTCGGGTCTTTTAGAAAACATTATTTGATCACGGTAGTTATTAGGGAAAAGGGAGGGGGCTAAAATGTACCACAAGAGAGTAACTGTGGCTAAACTTGAAAGAACAAAGTTTCGATGTGAATGGAAGTACAGAGAAATGGACTGAAGTATTCTTTGATGAGACGACGATTGAGTTATTGACAGGATTACTAACAGTCTCAGGGGATCAGGTGTCAGATTGGAATAACCAGCTATGAATTTTCGAATAAACGTGAGTTCAGAGAGGAAATGTTGATTATCCCAAGTTATCATTAATAAAAGTTTACCTTACTTCAAGAATTATCAGCAGTTTGTCATATCGAGTTTGTATATCCGACCGAAAATGGCAAATTCGGTACACAACTTCCGGACGATTTTGCGAGAGTACTTCGGAATTCGCAAATTATTCCATTACAAGTTGTACCGGCTTTGCTGAATTAAGATGATATTACCTACAACTAAACCGGTTGTTAAGCTTCATATCGAAGAACTATTGTTTTTATTGTCACGGCGTTCTATTGCTGAATGAACAAGCTCTTTTTTAGTGTTAGGTTCAGATAGTTTCGAACTGATTTTGACCCCTCCACTTTCCTCCTACTGTTTCTTATTCTTTATCCTTAACATTGCCTGCACATCGTTTCCAAGTAGTACCCGGTAGCGAATAGGAACTCATACCCCACGAGCTACCCCTCGCTCGGTTCATCCACTAACGAGTTTGACGTGAGCCCCACTTTTTTCGTAGATGCAACACGAATAACCAAACATAGAACTACTTGCGACATCGTCACCTTTCAAGTAATTAGTGACGAAGAATAGACACGTGATTAAATACTACCTAATTCCTATTTTAATCTGATGGACTGCGAATAGTTTGCATATAAATCTAACACCAACGACTCCCTTGGTAACCAGATGAGTGTCTAATTAATACCATAATACCAGCAGAGTTATTCAAAATTGCTTGATACATAACATTCATGGCACTATAAGATCAAATCTTATTTTTGTTGAATAATATTGCAATTCTTCTCTATCTGAGTTACATAAACGTAAACCCTTAGAATTGGGATGCCTGTGTTTGTGCGACATTAATTATATTAGTGGCAGAATTCTTCCACACACAGTCAACTCGACAAGTTAACTATTCCTTAGTGCTTAGTTACAACTTGCTCCTGAACTTCGGAGGATCGTTAGCAACAGAAGACCACCACCACAAAGATCAGAGACTTTGCTGCTTCTGTTGGATTTGACTGATTGCTTGTTGGAGATTTATTGTACCCATTGTTTGTGTTTCCCGTTTGGACCTTGCATTACCATTTCCGTTACGCATCTCATTGCTAGTCCTATATCTTGGCCTTGAACTTAAAACCATACCGGATAAGTCAGGTTAAAGTTGGTATTTGGTTTGGACGATTGTTTTTGTTGCATTGGAATAGTTGAAAGAATATCACTATCATGAAGTTTTCTCATTCCTTACAGTTCAACGCTGTCCCGGAATGGTCCTCCAAGTACATAGCTTATACTACTCTTAAGAAGCTTATCTATCAGCTTCAAAGAGATTCCCTCCGATTTAAAGGAGGGGATTTAGAACTGGCTCACTTGATTGAAAATGAGCATGCTTTGGATGACTCCAAAGATCCAAAAGGAGTGTTTATAGCTGCTTTAGACGCAGAATTGAAGAAAATTGACACCTTTTATCGTACTCAAGAGACTATCATATTTAAAAATGTGGATGAGTTGGTAGTTGATATTGAGAACTTTGAAAATGAGTTGCAAACACGTGGTTCCATCGATGATGATTTAAGATTACCAAGATCTGCAACCCAACCACTTCCTTCTCTGCAGCGTAATCCCTTAACCACTACTGATGGGGAAACTGAAGGTTTTGAAGATGAAGATGAAGACGAAGATGAAGACGATGGTGAAATTTCTCCTTTCAATTCCCGTCAAGATGACGCTTTGTCGTCAGTTGGAGCACCACCAAAAGCGGGCCGTCGTAAATCAGCTGCATCTTTATCTTCATTGAGTCAGTCTAGATCAAAAGTAGATTCAATGATGAAATCTCCCAAGACTCCCTTAACTTGGAAAAATCCATTGCCAGCTCAATTACTCTTATTATCTGAAACAAGAGTTATTTTGCGTAAACGGATTATTGGGCTCTATACCACACTTTCAGAGTTGAAATCTTTCATAGAATTGAACCATACTGGGTTTAAGAAAGCATTGAAGAAGTTTGATAAGTCCTTGAATACTTCAATTAAAGATGACTATTTGAATAAACTTCCTGAAGAATCATATATTTTCAAACCAGAAACTATCAAGCGTGTTGATGATAACATAGAGTCATTGATTCAAGTGTACGCTTTGATTTGTAACCATTCTGATTTAGAACAAGCCAAACAAGAATTATCAATCCATTTACGTGAACATGTGGTTTGGGAGCGTAATACTGTTTGGAGAGATATGATTGGTTTAGAACGGAAAGCAAACCGTGTCACACAATCTGCTGCTAGTGATTCTGAAAAAGGAAGAACTAAAAAGGTTGAATTCAAGTTATCGTTAAAAAACAACCCTACATTATACAAGTTGATTGTCATTACTGCCATTACTCTTGCACTATTGCATTGGTCTCCATTTGATGATGAACAACAAAAGAACTGTTTTGCATTATTAATATGTGCTTCATTACTCTGGGCCACAGAGAGTCTTCCACTTTTTGTTACTTCCCTTTTAATTCCCTTATTGATCCTTGTATTCCAAGTTTTAAAGAATCCTGATGGTAGTCCGATGGAAGCAGTTGATGCTTCAAAGTACATTTTGAGTACAATGTGGAATTCGGTTATCTTACTTCTTTTAGGTGGGTTTACTCTTGCTGCCGCACTTTCCAAATATCATATTGCCAAGTTATTGTCAACGTGGATACTTTCAAAGGCAGGTACCAACCCTTCTATTGTTCTTTTAACTATTATGGGTGTTGCATTATTTTCATCAATGTGGATCTCAAATGTGGCAGCCCCTGTTCTTTGTTTCTCATTAATTCAACCACTCTTAAGAACGTTACCCAAAACTTCAAACTTTTCAAATGCTTTGATTTTAGGAATTGCACTTGCATCAAATATAGGAGGTATGGCTTCTCCAATTGCTTCACCACAGAATATGATTGCGATTGGTGTCATGGATCCTGCTCCTTCTTGGGGTGAATGGTTTGTTATTGCAACCCCTGTGTGTCTTTTATCATTGCTATTAATTTGGGTTTTCTTATTGATTAGTTTTAACACCAATTCCAGAAATACCCATTTGGTGCCAATTCGGACTATAGACGACAAGTTTACAGGTGTTCAATGGTATATTGTTTTTGTTTCCATCTTAACCATTGTTCTTTGGTGTGTTGCTAGTAGATTAGAAGGAATTTTCGGAGAGATGGGAATTATTGCATTAATTCCATTAATACTTTTCTTTGGTCCTGGATTGTTATCGACTGAAGATTTCAATAATTACCCATGGAACATCGTTGTTTTAGCAATGGGAGGTACTGCGTTAGGTAAGGCTGTTAGTTCTTCAGGCTTATTAAACACCATTGCCATTTCCATTCAAAAGCAAGTTCAAGACTTTTCTTTGTTTGGAGTTACTCTTACTTTTGGGCTATTGATTCTTGTCATGGCGACATTTGTTAGTCACACAGTGGCTGCCTTGATCGTCTTACCTCTTGTGTCTGAAATTGGTAACAATTTATCTCACCCACGTCCTCGTTTATTGGTTATGGTCAGCGCTTTGTTATGCTCCGCTGCTATGGGATTACCCACTTCTGGGTTCCCCAACGTCAATGCCATCTGTATGACTGATGAATTTGGTAAACCGTATTTGACAGTCAGCACATTTATCACCAGAGGGGTTCCAAGTTCAGTTATAGCTTATTTGATGATTGTTACTGTTGGATTTGGGATTATGATGGTGATTGGATTTTAATTGGGAACTTTTGATGTATATAAGTCTAAAGCACAGCATCCATATTATTAATATCAAACAAATTTATCTATCTAATGAATTCAAACTACAACAGAAAAAGTTATATATTAATCATAGCATTAAAAATTAAGTAAATTAAATAATTATTAGGCATATGCAACTCAGCATAGCATCGAATGAAATCTCATCATAAACATATTGTGGCGAATGTTTCATTAAATTAACAGCCTCATTCCAGCTGTCAATAGGAATTAAAAAATGCAACTAGAAGTTGATACTAGCAACAACACCTAATTAAGCAAAAAGGGTAGCGAAAAAAAGCATCAACTAAGCAGCGGTGTCACCAGAGTGTCTTGGAGAAGCAGGGATCTTTTCAGTGGCAGTTTGAGCTTCGACAATGTCAGCGAATTCGTCGTATTTTTGAGCGTTAAGGTAGGCAGTAATGGTTGGTAAGCAACCAAAGTTAATCAAATCCAAGATACCATAGAAAACAGCCTCGGAAGTAGGTTTGATTACGTTACCACCTTCGGATAAACCCCAACAGACTGGGTATAACAACCATACGAGCATGTGCATCATAACGACAAAGAATACAAATGGCTTCTTACTGCCACTACTGTTCTTGACGAAATCAACGTAGTTGTAACAAATCAAGCCCATGGCAAATAATTGAGCAAAAACAGCAAAGGTAAAGTAACCCCATTTGTAAGATGATTTAATAAGTGCACCAATCAATAAACCAATGACAAAAACCCAAGTACCTAAAACCTTAGCAAACATGTTTTGGAATAAACCCAACTTTGTAGAGAATAAGGCGGTAGTACTTGAAAAGGTATCTGTTAATATAGACAAACCAAATATAACAGCAGGCCAAGCCAAGAACCAAGCAACAAACTTTGAGTAGAATATTTGTCTGACTCCCAAGCCTCTAGAGGTCGACACGTGATGGAATTCAACTGGAATTGAAGTATAACCCAAGTTAGAAGCATAAGTGAAGTAAGCGACAATCATAATAACATTGATCAAGAATGGAAGCATGTAGGAAATCTTTCTAATTGGCTTAGCATTAGAAGTAACCCCGTACATTGCACCCCAGGCTAAGCCCATGAGTGCGAACAAGGAAAATACGGCCCATAACCAGTCAGAACCATGTGTACTCAAGTGGATATTAGTGCCTACTGATGGGGGATTGATTTTTAAGGCATCATTACCTCTTTTGATAAAATCTAAGGCAGCCATTTAAGTAGTGCTAGTGGTATTAGTAGTAGTAGTAGTAGTAGTGTTTATTGTAAGCTATTGTTAAATATCAATATCAAGTATTTTGCAACTATTGATAAGTAGTGTTAGTGTAATGAAGTAGAAAACATATGAAATAGGGGTAGGTATGCTTAACCCCTATCTCTTTTATAGTTGAAGGCTCAGCAAATTATTGAGTGATAATTCCGGATAACGAGCCAATAAATTAATAGTATAAAGTGACTATGATATCCCGAAGTTTCCAACGATTCTTAAGGGGTCGTTTAACAGCTGCTTAAATTGAATGTCATGATATCGCGGCAGGATCGGATACACACTAAAAATCATTCAACTCCAGCCCATCGCTCAAACGATGTCACACTCTTCTTGTATGCCGTATACGTGGACTTTCTAAGCGGTCCATAACTCAAGGATTATACCGATTCACAACTATGTATCCTTGAAAATGTATTATTCTGCGTGAGATTGAAGTAACCGCAGGATAGCTTACTAGGACTAGCTATTATTGAAAACAATAGTTTATAATGCTTAGGGTGGGGATAAAACAGGGTTTTAGATTTTACTAACACTTCATTTAAGGATATTAGCTTAGTAATGCCTCCTTCTACAATTCATATCAAGAAGTTATAATGCTCCATCCGAACCGTAATGTACCACATGAATTAAAGAGAGCAAATAACGCATTGGCCATTCACAATGGGGGTGTATTCAATATTAATCTATCCACCCACAACTATCGTGACAAGCTGTTTTCTTGAATCGTTCGAGATGGTTCTTGATATCCGGTTTTTCATGTCCACTTTCTATTATTTCCATTTACCCACTATTAGCCGAGTGAGAGACAATTTTTTTAGTGCCGAGAGCACATTTTCGTGACTAAACAACGTGAGAAAAACAATAATCAATCTTAGTGCAATCATGAATTTAGTATCTAAGCTATACACTATTTGTTACCCCATATATTGACACCTAAAAAGGCTCAGAATATAGCCGACACCATTATGTTCCACTAAATGGACTACATGGTCACCAAAAGTATTCTTTTCAATAGAGTTTTATTTTCTCATTCATTCATTCATTCATCCGAGAGCAACGGGTTGGTTCAGTCGTAACCGGTCTATCACCAGTTTATCCAACTTACCACTACATCCACAAATAGAACACCTGAGCTTTCCTGTAACTTTATACGGAACAACGGGGACGAAAAAGAGCGTAACCCATCCCCATGATTTGATAGCATAGACACTTTGGTTGTGACAGTTACCGCAATAACATGCTATGTTCCCCACATCTTTGTAGGGTTTAGCTATTTCTCTCCCTAGAAAAGAAAGTTAGTACCTCAATTCAATCTCACATACGTCAAGTATACACATACACCCAATTAAGAAGAAGAACAATTCTACCATAAGTGACCTTTAACTTATCAATGTCTATGATTGAGATTCATAAAATATAGATAAACTAAAAATTTAGTTGTTAAGTGACTATATATCTATCCGTTTAGTTCTCTCACACTGTTTCACCAGCCTTTCAGTCAAAGCCTATTTTTCTCAAATAGAGTCACGTGACAATATGTAGTAAACTGCCATTTTGGGATACTTATTGAGAGGAGCATATTAAATTTGGCCTGGAAAGCAGTAAGTTGCGCAACGAAAAATTGCCTAATCTGAACACAATTTAGTCTCCCCTGCATACTTACCTACAGGTAAAAGCACCTTTCAAACCTAAAAAATACACTAGACGAGTTCTAGCAAGTCAACTCTGCGTTTGTCATCTATTGTCCCTTACGAGCCATTCTTACTTGCAAAACTAAACTTCTTCACATGAATACTAACTTCAGTTTCAATGCATTCAATTTCAAAACACTTGGGTTCGACATAAAGAGTACAGCTACACCGATTGACACTCGTAAGTAAATTATTCATTTATCTCGTTTTTTTCATCCTCCTTGAGGGAGCAGACCTTTATATCTTTAGATCATGAGAGAACGACATGTAGTACGCATTCTGCAGTAAGATGATGGGTACTATTTTCCAGGGGTAACTCTTCATCAAATACAAACACGATGATGAGGTATTGGTTACCACTTTGGCAAGATCAGTATTTTGATCCATCCTTTTCTTTTCTTTTCCCATATTTTGAAGAACTTCTGCAAGAAAATATATCAAAATGGATGGCGATGTCCTGAATTTCGTCGCTACTAAAAGCTCCCAAGCATTTCACCTCAAAATGCGAAACCTTTTAGTTTAGCTTATGTCATAATTTCAAGGATTATATATAGTAGATATTATATCAATCCCAAATTGATCACAAATAGGTTCTAAGCTATGGCTGAATATTTTCGCAGATAGAACTTGAATTGCATGTGTTTCGCAGCCAAAAAAATATTCATAGTTTTCGATACTTCTTAGACACCAACCAATCAAGCTAGAGCTACTTCATGAATTATAAGAAAGCATCAACTAATACTGAAAACTGCAAACTGTAAAGTTCAACTCGTTTGCTAAGTATCATATTTTTTCACTAAAAATATACTGAAAATACACTAAAAATACACATATCAATCGTACCTCATTCAATTCCAGGTTTGTTGCAACACTTTCTTTCATTCTTGCTTGAAATGCATATTATGATCTACTTTCGAACAATAAAGTGAATTGCCAAATGAATTTTACTTTGGATATTTATGAGCTTGCAATTGTTACTACATTGGGCTTGATCTTAAAGGATCTCGCTAGATGTTAACGTTCTCAAGTGCACTATTTCTAACAGTGGTGGACAACGACGTTCCGCGACTTTCTAAAAATATTGTCGCACGACCACTTCTGGTGGCTCCGTTGTCTACCACTCAATTGCGAGCTTAAGGATATCACAAACAACAATAACTTTGATAGCAAACAGCTAATCTTTTGAATTTATTAAGCATTTTGTAGACGAGAACAAGTTACTTTCTGACTTTGCTATCATGCCTCCTAAAGCATCCCACCCAGCCCCTCAACCAGTTTACAAGACAGCACAATTCTATTGGTTTTTAGGCCATGCTGCTGCCCTTGCTTACTCCCTTCTATACACTGTGGTAGGTTATTTTAGTTCATCTAAGGCATTAACATATTATAAGTATGCCTTGGTATCAATCATTTTTACGTATCTGATTGTTATCAAACAGACTCAAGGTTCACTTCAAAGGGGGTCTTTGTTACGTGATGAGAATATCACCTACTGTTCATTTGCGCTTGTGCTTTTGTTGAACTCTTCAGTAACTAAAGTTACTGTTGGATCTAGTTTGGTTTCTTATTGCATTTTCCTGGTATTCCACTGTGTTGGTTATTTCCAGAGAAATCTTTTACCTTTATTGCCAATGCCAATCGCTAAACAATCTCAGATTAATGCCCTTTTAAATAATTTCACCACCCAGTTCAACCAACCAGCATTGTTTATGGCTGCTAGTAGTGAAATGTTAATGGCTGCGTCCCAATCAGTCAGCTTGGTGCTATTATTGAAGACTCCTCTTCTGTTTTTGATCAATGCTGTTGTTTTCGTAGCTGTGATTCTTTTCCTTAGGTTACGCTATGATTCTAGCCCATATACCAAGGCTGCCATGACTGAATGGAATCAACGTGCGGGTATGTTAGCAGCACGTGTAGGACTCTACAATGTGTATTCAAGTATTGTGCTGAAGGTCGTGACTCTTTCCAGTATTCCATTTGCTAAGGTAAAGGCCAAGTCTAAGTAAATAGTCTGCCACACATTTTAGTGAGTACTATCTACACATATCATAATAATAATAAACCATATGACAGAGACATATCGAACACTTTTTGTAATAGTAGCTCAATGCGCTACAATATAAGGTGATACGGAAGAGATGAGCCGTTTCGGTAAGTTAATGCTATATTTCAATATAGAGCTTAATAGTGTAATTTACAGTAAGGCAATTATTTCAATGATGCTTAACTTTTGATGATAATTCGCATTCAAAAATCTTGAACTCATATAATGTCTTTCTTTTCATCTAAATAAAAATGGCAGCATCTAGTTCCAAAAAGACAGCAACTAAGAATGTTGAAGCACTTGCATCTCTTCACCAGACATCTGCTGGAGTTAATGGAGCTGTTTTCCTTATAATTCTTATATTCCATAGACCCGCAACAATCTGGCCTTTCCTTTTATTTCTGACACCATCTTGGGGCCTTCAATATTATCTTGAAAAGCAAGGTCGTCCAAAGTATGTGACAGACCTTGGAGTCTCTAAGCTTAAACATCCAGGTAATGATATTCATTTTGGATTATATGAACACTTGTTTGATGTTGTTTATCTTACTTGGATTATTGACGTATTGATGGTTCTCTTTGGTACCAACAAAGTATGGTGGTTATTATTATCAATTCCTGGATTTGGTCTTTATAAGATTAGCCTGTTTCTACCTGGCTTGATGGGTTTATTACCTAAAAGAGCGAAGAAGACTTCTTAGAGATAAGAAGTTTAACTATCGAATTTCTACACTTTAATTTCTTGGCTACATAATGGCATTTTTATAATATCGGTTGCATTTCAGAGTTTATGATAACATCCATATGATGCTTGTATCATTCAATTCTTTCATTTCACAGCACTTAGCCATTGGACACATCTGGTGATGTAAGGTTACAGAAAGAAAGTACATAAGTTTACTTAATTAATTCAACTATAATGTATTCCGCCGTATACAGATAATGACGTATAATATGCAATCAGATACTCCAAATCAATCACCTCTTTTTCACAGCATGTTCTTTGAGTCTCCTGGTTTTGATCTTGGTCTGTTCAATTTGTAAGAACATTTCAACCGCGAAAGACACACTTTTCCACATGTCATATTGTTCTTATTGACTACACCGCTTTTATTCTGTCTGATGTGGAGACGGCTATTTTCTACCATGCTGGTTCGTACTTCGCCCAACCCAGGCCCTATTGAGCAATCTATGGCCAAGAAACTTCAAACACTCCTGCCCACATTCCTTTCCATTGACAACGATTCTCAAAAACATGCCCATCATGCTGGTGTCAGAGGTGCATCCAACGTTACTGAAAGCCACTTCAATATAGAGATTCACAGCGATAACTTCAAAGGAAAGAACTTACCTCTGCGTCATCGCATGGTCTATAAACTTCTTGAGGATGAATTAAAGGTAAAGGGCGTTCATGCCTTACAATTGAAGACGAAAACTCCGGAAGAAATAGCCAAGCAATAACTCAAGTGTCAGCAATAATAAGTCTCATCATTTGTCTTATACTTAATAATATCTATGTACTTGAATTAATATAATATATAATATGTAGACATATAAATAATGATTAATATCTATCTATATATATATGTAAATGTGATCATGTGTTCAAAAATTTAAATTAAACATTGGCTTGAACATCACCGTTCTCTTGAACAGTGGCATTACGTGCAACTAGTTCCACTATCCGTCTAATCTGAGGCAAACTTAACCACGCTGGAACATAAGCTTCAACACGGGTGAACGGTCTCAAAGAAACACTTCTGAATGGGTCATCGAAGTGACCATCAAGGGAAACCGCCTCAAACAATTCATCATGATTGTTACCATCATTGGCCTTCACACGGTCAACCACAGCTTGCAATACTTCAGGTGCAATTGGAGTCTCGTAGTCAGCAACGTAGTATTGACTTATTAACTTTTGAATCTGAATTGGCTTCAAAGCAAAACAAACTTCATAAAGAATTTCAACATCATCAGATGTATTCTTTCTTAATTGTAATAACTTGGCCGCTTGCAATAAGTGAACCAAGCAAGCACTTCCTTCTTGAATCTCATGACCCTTACACCATTCTTCTAAACGTGTAACATTATAATTTAATTGTAACCCACGTTTCCATGATAAAAAGTTTCTTCTCATGAGCAAGTCGTTGAAACACAAGGCATTTACAAATCTAAGCAATTCAACAATAACTTCATTCATCACACTCTGTTCAACAAAGTACAGCTTCATGGACCAATAAACAGAGTTGAAAAAACTCAAGATGTCATCCATGTTATAATGAACACCAGGGCTAAATACCTTAGCCAAAAATGGAGAGGATTCGGGAGCCATGAAACCAGGTAAAGATTGAGACAACACAACAGCTGGTACAGCTCTCTTTTCCAAACCTTTTTCTAATTTCTTCATCCACATATTATAGATGTTATATGATAAAGATTCAAAATCTTCCTTCACAACTGCAACTAATTTCAAATACTCATCAAATTCTTCCTCACTCATATCATTTGATAATGTGTCATTGGCAAGAATTGTTTGTTGAGCGTACGATACAAACGAATACAATTCATGTGTGTTGGATAACCAGAATGCACCATTAGGGATGATATCATCATCCTTTAAAACGCTAACGATTTGTTGAATAGCAGCTAAGACTTCACCCAAAAACTCTTCAGATTCCTTGGTTAATCCCAATCTCCACATATCACTTAAAATGATGATTATTATTCTGGCTGGGAAAAGTACCTCTTTTCTTGTCAAGTCTGAAGCAACACCAGCTGCTGGAATCTTCAAACCCTTTAATAATCCTTCAACGATTTCTCTATGCAATTTACGTGAGTCTCTCAACAAGCTGAACAACTCATCGTTAATATCTTCCACTTTAACATGTTCATAACTTGAGACAGCAATAACAGAAACAGGACGGTTAGAATGACCTGGACCATCAAATGATCCACGAGAAACTCCGGCAACCCATGCACCCAGACTATGTCTTTTATCAGCAGAACGAACCTTAGGATTCACAAGAGGTTTGCTAGCACCGCTAACAGTAGATGCAGCAGCTGCAGCAATTGCGGCAGCATTCAGTGCTTGCAATGCGGCTATCTCCGACTTCAATTGCTCGATGTTACTCTTTAAATCGACTTCAATAGTGTCACGCTTAACCAAGGCAGACTTTGCTTCTTGTAATTCAGAAATCTGTTTGGCGACTTCGGCCTTCAAGTCTTGTTGCTCCTTACTTAATTGTTCAACCTTTTGTTGGGCAGAAGAGTATTCTTGCTTGATGATTTCTAATTCCTTGTTCATGCTAAGAATTTCTTCTTGATGCTCGCTATTCTGTGTATCAAACTTGGAACTGAATTCTAATTCTCTTTGCTTCAAAGTTTCATGGGCAGTGGATGATTGTTCCAACAAACTTTGCATCAGTTGTATTTCCTCTTGCAATTTCTTGTTATCTTGAATCTTGGCAGTCAACAGTTGCGTCAATTCAATAACCTTGTTCTCCAATTTATAGCTGACCTCCTTATAGTGGTTCGCCGATTTAGCTTCCACTTTCAATTGTTTCAACTCAGCAATAGCCAACTTACGTCTGATGTATGATTGAATAACCACAGTAGATTTAATCTTGGCTTGATAATCTTTCCGTACTTGATGTCCTCTCCAAGCATTCTGTATGGTAACAGCGGACCTCTCTGTGCGCATTTGGTTAAATGTTCTTCTACCATATAATCCTCTGACCGCTTTTTGGATAACAACAACAGATTCCAAGGTTGTTTGATATTGCTTACGCGCAAGGAAACCTCTAACAGCAGTTTGTATTTGTGTAGCAGCGGATGATCTCTTCTCCTTTTGTATGCGATCTCTTGTCAAGTATCCTCTCAACAAAGCCTGCAAAGCACGATGCGCGTCTCTAGTAGCCAAATACTCCTTACGCACATTATGTCTTCTAATATTTTTTTGAATCATAACAGCAGCACGGAATAACTTTTCAGAACGCAACTTTTCAAAATGAGCCAACATACCAGCCTTAAAGAAGATCTTGGTATTACCTAATTGATATCTCGAACTATCCTCAATATTATCCTGTAAGATGGTATCACAGAGTCCAGAGACTGACTCCTTTGAGATATCACCATCATTCATAACAGATATCCACTTCTCAGGTGAAACTAAAATATGATATCTATCAGCGAATTCCACATAGGTCCATCTGGAAGGGAAACCAGCACACGATATACGAATAGTCTCCAAGACACCACAGGCACGTAATTGAGACAATACCATCAAGGAGTCGAATTCCCAGGCTTTCTTCTGTTCATTAGGCTTGATACAACGAATATAATGGACATTCGTTGAATTAATGGTCTTCATCAACTCAATCAATGAGCCCTTAAATATAGAACCTAAAGTTGGTTTCTTATTTGAAAGTGACCTTCCAGAAGGCTTTCCAGGAGCTGGAGCAGCAGAACCATTACTCTCTTTATTTAAGTCTTGAGATGTTTTATCTATAATTGATAAAACATCTTTCAAGAATTCATTCGATGAGTTCTTCATTACTTCCAAATGACCTTCCCCAACAGTATCTCTATTCTTTTCAATAAACCCATCCATATCATACGAAACATCCAAGGCATAATGCTTAACGACAAATTTGGTTTGGCCAAATCTTGGCTTCTGGAACACTTTATTAGTAGGCTCCTTGTCTAATGTCTGATACATTTTTTCGATCCAACTTTGATCATTACCAGCAGGTAATCTGGATTCCTCATCGAGAAGAGCTAAAATACCCAACTTCTTTTCAATCAAATCAATACAAGGTTGGTTATCAGCGAAATCAATAAACGACCATTCAATTTCTTCTCGCACATACTCCTCTTGTTCTAATTTGAAAACATGCTGGTTAAACTCTTGTTGTAACTTTTCATTAGCATAGTTGATACAGAATTGTTCAAAGCTGTTCTTCTCAAAATGCTCAAACCCGTAAATATCTAAAACACCAATAAATGATTTAATCTGTTCATTAACATGTGGAGGACATAAATCAGAATTAATGTAATCAACCAACCAGTCAAATAAAGCTGAATAAATATATTTGGCAAATGAATCTCTTGCCACAATAGCTTGCTTGTGATTAAGGTTAGTTACAATCTTTTCCAGTCTAGTTGTAATCTGCTTTTTGACACACCACTTAGTGAATGCAAAGGCATCTAAACCTAATAATTCACACGCCTTAACCAAGTTTGGCTCTTCTGAAGATAATTGTGCATCATTCTTAGTAGCAGCAATGTCAATATTACCAATATGTAACAAAGCTGCCAAAAGTTTATAGATTTCAAACTGCTTGGCATCATTAATACCAATTAACAGCAAAGCATCCTTCGTGATCTGGAACTCTGCAGCATCATCAACACCTTCAATCTGAGGCTTTCCACCTTGATTTGTATATTTGTAATCTTCTGCTGAGGTCAAAGCCAAAGTAGCTTTATCATCTTCATTCATACCTGCCAAAATTTGGTAAAAAATGTGATAATTTCTTTCTGTGGGAGGTTGGAACACTAATCTTGATCTTTCTAAGAGATAAGTTCTGATACGGGCACCAATGATTTGAATCTTATCACCAAAAAGAATTTCCAAATACTTACCAAAACGGGAGGAATTATCATTTCTTGTCGTCTTAGCATTCCCAAAGGCTTCCATAATCGGATTGGTGGCTAAAATTTGTTCTTCAACTTCTGACATATCAGCGACTTTATGGTGATCAGCAGTTGGAATTGAATCACTATGATCTGATTCTTCCACTGATGCGAAATATCGCATGATATACTTGGCAGAGACAGTTTTACCAGCACCAGATTCACCGCTAACAACGATGGTTTGGTTGCGACCATCAGTCTTCATACATCTATAAGCATCTTCTGCAATAGCAAATAAATGTGGATCTAATTCACCTCTTCTTTTGCCAGCATATGCTTGAACAATATCCTGGCTATATAACTGATCCACTCGCTGGAAGGGGTTAGTGGCAATCAAAACAATTCCAGAATATGTATATATGTTTAACTGCGAGTACCGCAACTTGATAGCGTGCAACACTGCAGGTTCATTCAAATAAGACAAACTAGTCAAATCTTCAGCTGCTTCTAAAATAGGAGGGTTACGTAAGGGAGGTAGCTTATCATCCTCATCCTCTTTTAATGATTTTACATCAAGTGATATAAATGAGGCATCCTCATCATCAACAACACCATCAGGAAGTAAAATCAATTTGTGTTTACCGTCACCCTCCTTTTTTGCTTCCTTAACGGTGACACCAATCCAACCAAGTTTTTCATCTGGGTACCAGCACCGGCTTCACGTTATAGGTTAGTAAATCTCATCTCGAAAAGGGGATCAAAAGATATTCTTGGATATGCGATCGATCTTGATTCGCTGTTGTTATACGTACGTTCCAGCATCATAATCGGACACCATTTTCCACTAATATTGTCCGGCAAAGGTTTTGGTGAACAATATCGCAGACTTTAGTTATGACAGTTTTCAGTGGTAAAAACGATGGCGTACTCTGATTTGTTGTTAGTTAAAATCATTTCACTTGAACACGCGACAATCAACAGCACCAAAAAAAAACACAAAACTTTTAAATCAAAACACGATTGAGACGGTGAACCCCACTGGTAGCGCATTAGAATCATACTGTATTTAACAATCCTACATATAAGTCGAAAATCTTACAGAGGTTATACCTTCTACAATAATAGAATGAGGAGTGTGTTACATTCAGGTCAAGGAAATGAAATGAAATGGTTATACCAACCAATTCTATTTATCACATGTTCAGTTGCTTTGAGTCACTTTCTGTCAGTTACTTTGGCAGTAGTTATATCTAATAGACTTCTGAGCCTTTAACTTGACACTAAGTAGGAACACCACTGAATAAGACTGCACAGGCTTCAGTTGTTCCGGACTGTTTCTGACAAACTTGTTGTAGCTAGGTTTCATAACTTGGGCTGCATGGAACTAAAAATATAATGGCTATGTTGGAGTTTAGAGGACATACTTTTAAAATGTTACACACTTCTACCTCATTTACAAAGCTCCTTGTTGCAGTACTCCTTACTGGTTCAATTACACAAACAAGAAAATAGGTATAAGTAAGGTCTGGACCAACGCGACCTATGTATTGTACTTGTTCGCATAAGGAACGACCTTTCTGATTGACCTTCCCCCTCACCAGTAATCGGCTTGTGGAAGGAGAGGGCCTACCTGCTAAGGCATAACGAAGGATGGGATCTTTTCTACATGAAGCGACACATTCAAGACATAGGCTTGTAATTGGAATTTTTTTAGAAGTCATATTGTTTGTAAATCGAGTTCTGTAGTCATATTGTAATTGTAACTCACTATTTGCAATCTAAAGCTTAAAACCAGGGTTCTTCAACCGTTCATATGCTGTATCAAATAAGTTATCTCCAGGAATACATCTGTTCATTCTTCTAGTATCAATATACAGTTCATTCAACTGATCGATAGTATTCACTCCTAGCAAACGCATGTTCATTATCATCTCATCCTTTAAAATTTGAATAGCCTTATACACCCCATCATCCCCGTAAGTGCTCATAGCATATAAAAATGGACGTCCGATGCCCACACCTTTTGCTCCTAAGCAAATTGCTTTAAGCACATCAGTTGCTCTTCTAACACCACCATCAATGTAAATTTCCAACTTTTCGTAATCACCTCTTTGTTTAAGAATAGGTACAACTTCTGCAAGAACTTCAATGGGAGATGGAGAATATTCTAACTGTCTTCCTCCATGATTGGAAAGAACAACACCATCGACTCCATGTTCAACTGCCATTAAGACATCCTCAACACATTGAACCCCCTTAAGTAAGATTTTCATTTTAGTGATCAGACGGAACCATTTGATCAGTTCCCAAGTCAACCCAGTATCAATAAAAGAACTAATTGCTCTAGCAGCACCTTGTGATCTGTCAATAGAATTATCATTTTCATCCTGAACGTGAGACAAGTCCTCAAAATCCTTAGAACGCATATCTTTTTCCCTTCTACCTAATTGTGGAGCATCAACAGTAATGAATAATGCTGTCACACCTCTTTTTTCAGCATGCTGCACTAATTCCTTGGTAACTTGTTTGTCTTGATTCACATAAAGCTGGAACCATTGAGTTTGCAGTGGGTGTTTCACATCCACTATCTCATCAAAGGAACATGAGGCCAATGTTGGTATCATTTGAATTACATCTTGTCTTGCAGCTTGACGGGTAAGTACCTTTTCCCCGTCTTCGTGGCCCAACTTTCCTAAAGCAGTAGCTGTGATGTAAAAGGGACAAGACGTCTTGGTGCCTAACATGGTTGTAGATGTATTAACTTCAGTAACATCTCTAAGGATCCGAGGCTTAAAAAGCACACGTTGATAAGAAAGATGGTTTTCTCGAAGGGTAATTTCATCGTCACAACCAGATGAATAGTATGCCCACCCTATTTTATCCATAGCATGACGAGCTACAAATTCAAAATCATGGAGATTATAAATCAGTGAAAGTGGAGGCTTTGCCTTATTATACTTTCGTCTTTCAATTATATCTTCATCATCTTCATCATCATCGTCTTCATCATCATCATCACCGTTGTTACTACCACTGTTATTGGTATTTTCATTGCTGACTTTTCCATTGTGAGCATCATTTTTGCTTTTTGATATATGCATTCTGTCATATTCAACACTCCATTCATCATCTGGACATCCCACTTCATCTTCAATATCATCTTCTTCTGTTTCACTCTTCTTTTCCGTCTTGGCTTCTTTTGTCTTCCCCTTAAGGGAACTTTTCGTAGTCACCTCAACTTCCCCTAAGCAACATTCAGGGGGTAAGAAACGAGCAATGATATCAATTGGGTGAATTGGGTCAAACGCTTTAGTGCCATCTTTCCCAGCATATTTTAAAAGTATCGCTGAACCGCCAGGATGTTTGGTTACAAACAGTGTAATGTCGTAAACCTTTCCGTGGATGATAATCCAGCAATCATCCTTCGTCGAATGCTTTCTCACTTCAGCTGGAGAGATACTCATTGGAGTATATGTAAAATCAATACAATAGTTCAAGTCACCAACACCGTATCCATTCTAGGAATCACAACATGTATATATTTATCTATGTACTTACTAAGGATTGTGAGGGGAAGGTTGTCAAATCAAAACTTCCCCCAATGTAATGTACGCGCTACCAAATCCGAATAGAGAGCCCATCTTGAGAACCGGCACCCCACTACCTAAAAATGAGAGCCCTGTGTGGGGGAAATTCGATCTTAAGTTAGTGGATAATAATACTTGAATAGGAATAAATTAACTATATACCGACTGGCTGAGGTTTCCTACCCCCACAATTTTTTATGTAACTGGTGATATGTTAGTGGTTACCATCATGATTTATCTTATTGGCTCTTGCAGATAACATCAGCAAATACATACTTTCTAGCGTTCAAAAAAAAGTTATGCATTGCACTTGAGTTTAGCTTAAGTATCACTTTTAACTTGGTGACTGTAGACCTGGATAACTATTCCTTCTTTTTACTACGTGAATGTTCACTGATTCTATATATTCCTACTGATATAATCACTTCAACCTCAGCAAAAAAGAAAGACTTTTGCATCATATTTATGGAGCATTTCCAATATGCCAAAGGCGCAAAATAATCTCTGCACATAACGTAGACCTTTTCAAAAGCTCTTTTTCACTGCAAGTTGTTTAACGGTGATATCATAGCATCAACTTTTTTTTTGTCTAAGTTAGTTGATGATATTTACGACGTAAAGATGCAGGACATAGTGCGGATGCCAAATAAAATGGCCGTTTTATGCACAAGGCAATATAATGCATTCTACATAGAAGATGAAAGGGTAAAAAAATCGATGGCCCGGACGAGGGCTATTCGCAACAAAAGACTTGATAGGCGTAAGGTAACAAGTCCAGATATGAAAAAATACTCGCACTGCATGATTTGCTCCATGTATCAGGTAAAAGAATCAAGCTGATTAACCTAAACGAAGCTTGACCATAACGTAAAGTCTCAGCTAACGAATTATTTCGAAAAAACAATCAACTGTGAGAACACAAGATGCAACTTCAAGTTTTCATTACAAAATCACCTGTATCAGGTTTGGCCTAGAAAAGTAGATGCCAATGAAGAGTACGCTCTCACCTGTCCCATTTACACACATACATTTGAACAAATGACTCACGGGATGGCCAGAAGTAATAAGGCCCAAAAAAGTACTGCATGTGGTATACAACGGTTTTCCTTTAGAGAAAACAATGGTTAAGAGTATGCTTATTTCCCGGAGAGTTCAGTTTAACTTCTAATAGCAATTATCGTCAGGGGCCTTAAATCAACCATCAACAATAGCAAAGTCGAGCCCATAACACTAAGGATCTGTACTTGAACAGGCATTCACGTAACACTGGTCAATAAATCTATCTATATGCATTCTGCGAAGTAATAAGCGTTAAAAGTGTACTATGAATACTATATTCGATTTTACCCTTAGAAAGCTTCATGGCAGGCTATTTTTTGCTTCGTTATTTGTGATATAAATTTAGGTCAAGTAGTTCAATAGAAAGTAGTTCAATAGAAAGTTGTTCCATGACTGTATGTGCCCTGGGTTAGCAGTCTACGCATGTAGTGGCTTTCATTCTGACACTTTTATGATTTACCCTCACACAAATACCCACTACTATCTTTAGGCTGCCACTACCTGGTGCATCGCACGAAAAAAAAAGCAAATTAATCATCATTAAAAGTTTGACCGATCCCACCAACTATCACATCAACATTCAATATTCAAGACACGTAACAATCGCAGAGACTCACAACGGCAGAAATATCCAGGAGGCTCATAGAGGCAGGCAGAAATCGGAATCCGCTCCAAGAACGGTAGCAGAGTGCAGAGTGCAGTGCGCTAATATTGCGACCAAGTAAAGTATAACTGCCATTAAGGGTTGTCAAACTTGCGGAGTTGTTTTAAAGAAAACTAGTTAAAAGACATTAAAGTTTTCATATATTATTATTGTCTATAATGGTGCTTATAAATGGTGTCAAGTATGCCTGTGAAAGGTGTATCCGTGGCCATAGAGTGACCACTTGTACTCATACAGACCAACCTTTAACTATGATTAAACCAAAAGGAAGACCAGCATCCCAGTGTCAACACTGCAGAGAACAACGTAAACTCAAGGCTCATCATGTTGCTTGTACATGTGGGAAGAAAGGAAAGTCCCCAGGTACTCATTTAGCTTCTTGTCTTTGCCATAAAAATAGTCATTGCACATGTTCAAATAAGAATACTGTCAGTGACCCTCGCAAAAAGAAAGTTACCAAATCAAATATGGCTACTTCTTCATCTACTATTTCACTTGATTCATTAAAATCACCTGCTAGTGCTTCTTCCCTTCCTTTAACAGACACAGCCACTCATATAAATGGTGCTGGCAGTGCCAATCCTTTAGGTTCAATTCCCGCTACATCCGGGCACATTAATGGTAATGCAGCTTTTTCACCGGGAACATCCCATTTGAATAATTCTGCAAAGTCTACCCCCTCTCCCCATTCACAATCCAAGAAAGATATCTCAAAATCGTCAACCATTTTGCATACTTCCTTCAATAATGCTTCGAAGTCCAAAAATTCGTCATCTTCAAGCTTGAACGGGTATAGCAAACAGATATTTCAGCATCAACAGCAACAACTGCAGTTACCATTGCTTGATGGTCAACAGAAAGCTAATCAATATGTTCAAATTTCTAGTAAATCATCTGACCAGAAACAACGACAGTCTCAAGATTTAAACTCGAATACGAATGCCAACAACTTGCCTAATCTTGAATCAAACTATGTTATTGAGGATATAGTTTTTCCCTTTGATGTCTCAGCAAGTGGAGGTTTGTTTGATATGTTTAGTCCATCAGATTTGTCTCAGACTTCGTCTCAATTAACTCTTAACGGACCAAATGGGACAGGAATTTCTAATCCAATTAATGGAGGTTATAACATATCTGCATTGAATGGTACGAGTAATTTTACAGCTGCAAATGGTGCTTTTACCTCCACAAATAATTCATCTGGGATTAATAATGGCCAAACTAGTATCAATGTTTATGATTCCGGTTCTAATGGCCACATCGATATGAATACAAGCCCTAATATGAATTCAGATCAAAAGAATCCACAATCACCATCTCTTGATAATATTTTCCCATTGTTTCCTTTGGTTGGCTCCTTTTCCCTTGATGAAAATAGTGAGTTTAATGATAACAAGATGAACAATACTATGGTTCTGAATATGAATAGTAATATTGCTACACAATCAACCACTTCATATAACAATTCTTCAGCCAATAATTCTGGTGTTTTAACTAGTCCAACGACGGGAGGATCGTACACACCTGCATCAAATATGATGCACACTAATGTTGTTGGTCAGCCTAAACCGGTTTATGCTGCGGGTAACAATAGTAGCCATTATCCACAAACCCATAGACCAAGAAGACCTGAGAGTGTACTTTCTGTGACATCAAATTCTTCAACCGCCACAAACCAACTGGCTGCTTATCCACCATCTGGTGCTGGTGGACCACATCATCTGGGGATAAACAGAAATAATTCAATACTGTCATTTGATAGTCTTCCCTTACAGCATCACCCAAAAACACAGAAGAAAGTTGTTCATCACCATGAAATTCCTATAAGGGAACTTAATGATGATGTGAATGTGATATTGAGCAGATCTCAATCCGTTGAGCCTGGATACGGTACAACACTGCCACTTGCTCCTTCGGTTCCATCTCTGACTGATGTTGCAGCTCTGACGTTACTTAATCAGTCACAATTGGGAATTAATGGTTCCAAAATCCCCGATACTAGTGATGTATTGTTCAATTATGAGAATGCTATCATGACGAACGGTGTTCACAATGGGGTTGATTTTATGAATGGAAATAATACGGATATGATTACAAGCGGGTCAAGTACTGTATACAATGACCCTAATGGTAAATTACCCAATGGATCCAAAGTATATTCATATGAAGATTATGCACCTATGTTGGAAGGGTTTAATGATTTAATGTCGCCTATTTTTGGTAGCAGTGAACCTACTGAATTTATAGGCTAGTTAGTAAGGTGGTAGAAAGTTGATTTTACCAATACTTGTTTGCATTTTGACGCTTGAAATGGGCCGTGTGAATTTTTTACTTTATTCCCAGTTTCTTGTATACGTTTGTGGTGAGGATATGATGTTGATGATGATGTTGATGATGGGATTGGTTTCATTCTTTATGTACTATATGTAATAGATTGCATGTTATAGATATTTGGAATAGGATATGCTTTTTTTAGGAATCATGAAACGTTTTTGTAGTCGAATTATTCCAACTTTAACGTATCTAACCGAGATATGTTGGAGTTGAGTATAGCATTTGAAGATGACAGATGGGTATTATAATCGATTTGCTGCGATTGATCCTTATTTAGGTAAATGGCTAACTTTGAATCAGTGGCATTGAGAACATGTTTTCTTTCGGCTTGTTCATATTTGTATAAACGAATTATTGTATCAAGAAGGTTAAGCTCAGAATTGGCATAAGTCTTGGAAAAATCCCTCTCTTTCCCTTTTACATTATTATTTTTTGTCCCATCATCTTCTTCTTCGTCGCTATCTGATTCTTCATCATCGCTTTTAGTCTCTTCGTATGAGCCAAAGGCAAGCCACTCCTCTTTACCGTCATCTACCAATTTCAAAATTAAAACAGGGTAATCGCCATTATCTAATCGAAGTAAGTTTCCCAGCCTTGTAAAAAACATCTTGTTAATTACATCAACATTATATCTCATCTTGAGTGGCTTTTCATCGTCGTCGTGATATCTTTCATCATCAAACAGTTCCTCCACGGATAGCGAATACCTAAATGGACTTTCTTCAATTATTTTCACTTTACATCTTGCAAAAGTTTCCTTCCAAGAAATAGCTAATGTAGGATCACCTCCATCTGTGATTCGGCCTGGATTATAGAAGATTGAGTAGAGTTTAAGATCAAATGATGTCTCATTCTGTTTCATTCGGTCATACAGACGTAATAAACTTGTTAAACTCACCTTTTCTGGCGTATAATAGTACATATGAGTAACATTAGCTGTAGTTAATGCTAAAGTAAGAACTGGGAGTAAGCCATTGATTTCAGCAGTTAAAGATTGAATCTTCCTCTCTACTATTTCAGGTGTCTCATCTACACTAATTGTAAATGTTGCTAGCTCTGTTTCCAATTGATCTACCAAAGCCACTACTGCGTCCCATGTTTCTGCTCTCCCCACAGTTGCTAATAGCCGAACAAGACTAAATGTCTCCGTAAGAACTCGAACGCGACTTTCAAGCAGTGTTTGGAGTTTTTGGAGTCTCTTGGAAGCAGCAGCATCGATTGCCACCTTTCTTTGGGTTTCTAAATACTTACTGACTGTCTTGACAGCATACCCAGAGGCCAATGATATCCCTGATCGGATAGCAAAAGTCACTGCCTGGTTACTCGCCTTTGATATAATTGCGTCCATATTAAACTATCCAGCCTTACTAGCCAGTTATTAATATCACTAGATTGTGAACAAAAGAGATAAGGGTGCCTTTGATAGTAATGTATTTTAAGTCGCCAACAAGATTACAGCGGACCTCACCTGTGAAACGCGATATCCTTTGATCTCTTTGGGTATGCGCACAAATGTAAATAGAAAGTTGTTACTCATTCAAAGGCAAACGTCCTTGTTTAGATCACAACACTGCTCCCTTTCCATCACTGATCGGTATATTAGTAGTTATTTACAGCTAGTGCTTTGCATGACATATATATATATATATATATATATATGTTTATATTGTTACATATAATATTACTGCATCTTCCAGTGGTAGAACCTGAATACGCGTGGCTAAGTTTCTAATGCCTCCAAAATTACTAAAAGAATATACAACACCCTTGGGGAATGGAGCCGGGGTCCCCAAAGAGCATAGACCACCTCCAGTAAAGAATTCTGCGGAACGGCTAGCTCGTCCTTTTAAAGTTCCCTTCACTGATGGCCATAGACATAACACTCCTATGAGAGCTGCAAAAAAACATATGGGGAGTTATGCAATTGTAGGTGAAGACAGCGCTAATGAGAGCGATCTAGAAAATAGCAATAAAAAGCGTCGTCGAGGTGCTCTTCTTCCTCGTACTGTGTTGGGAGATGTTTCCCTGAAATCTAATACGGTACACAAGTCATACAGAATGCCATTGATTGAAGATAAGCGGCTGCTTTTGTCTAGCAATGATCCGTCGCCTCCGTTAGGACTTAGGAAACGTATTCTACTACCTCCTCGTCCGTTGCATGATCCCACGAGTGAGTTTGCTATAGTATTATATGATCCAACGGTAGATGTAATACCTGGGGACGAGATGCAAACACCTCCAACTTCAGCAGACTCTTCCATGTTAGAATCGCCACCCACCATAGAGGAAGCAGAGACCAATAATCGCCGGAAGAAGACTCACAAATCTCTTGCTGAAATATTGGGTATTTCAAACGCATCAGAGGCTGAAATGCTTGCAAAATACCCCAATGTACCTGTGGTAATTGATCCAGTTTTAGCTAAAATTCTCCGTCCCCATCAAGTTGCTGGTGTCAAGTTTCTTTATAGATGTACTGCAGGATTGATGGACCCAAGAGCTAAAGGATGTATAATGGCTGATGAGATGGGACTAGGTAAAACTCTTCAATGTCTTGCATTAATGTGGACATTATTGCGTCAAAGTCCTAGGGGTCGAAGGACAATAGAGAAATGCATTATTGTATGTCCTTCCAGTTTAGTCAGAAATTGGGCCAATGAGATTGTAAAATGGTTAGGTCCTGGAGTTCTAACACCGTTGGCAGTTGACGGGAAATCAACAAAGTCAAATGAATTAGGCCAAGTTTTACAGCAGTGGTCGGTTGCTAAGGGAAGAAATATCGTTCGACCTGTTTTGATTATTTCTTATGAAACCTTAAGACGTAATGTTGACAAATTGGCTGGAACGGAAGTTGGACTCATGCTTGCTGACGAAGGCCATCGATTGAAGAACGGTGATTCGCTTACGTTCACAGCACTAAATTCTTTAAGATGTGATAGAAGAGTTATCTTATCGGGTACTCCTATTCAAAATGATCTATCTGAATACTTTTCACTTTTAAATTTTGCTAACCCAGGATACTTGGGAACCAGAAATGATTTCCGCAAGAATTTCGAAAATGATATCTTGAGAGGAAGAGATGCCGATGCAACCGAATTAGAAAGAACAAAAGGTGATGCAAAACTTAAAGAATTAAGTGAGATGGTATCAAAGTTCATTATCCGAAGAACTAACGATATTCTTTCAAAATACCTTCCAGTAAAATACGAATACGTCATCTTTTCCAACTTGTCACCACTTCAAAAGCAATTGTATGATCATTTCATCACTTCACCTGAAATAAAAAAGTTGTTAAAAGGTGTTGGATCTCAACCTTTGAAGGCAATTGGTATGCTTAAGAAGCTCTGTAACCATCCTGATTTATTGAACTTACCCGATGATATTGATGGCTGCGAAAAATTTCTTCCTGATGAATACATTGAGAATAAAAAGGCTAGAGGTGGAGGTGAATTACAAACGTGGCACAGTGGTAAATTTCTGGTACTTGAACGGTTTTTATATCTGATTCGAACTACTTCTGATGATAAGATTGTTTTAATTTCGAACTACACTCAAACTTTGGATTTAATTGAACGAATGTGCCGAACTAGAAAATACGGTTGTCTTCGTTTGGATGGTACCATGAATATTAACAAGAGACAGAGATTGGTAGATAAATTCAATGATCCTCAAGGAAAAGAATTCATTTTCTTGCTTTCTTCCAAAGCCGGTGGATGTGGGATCAATTTAATTGGTGCCAATAGGTTAATTTTAATGGACCCTGATTGGAATCCTGCTGCAGATCAGCAAGCCCTTGCTCGAGTTTGGCGTGATGGCCAGAAAAAGGATTGTTTTATTTATCGTTTCATCCTGACAGGAACCATTGAAGAGAAGATATTTCAACGTCAGTCTATGAAGATGTCACTTAGTTCTTGTGTTGTTGACGAGAAAGAGGATGTTGAGAGACTTTTTAGTGGAGATAACCTTCGTCAATTGTTCCTTCTACAAAGAGACACAGATTGTGACACTCATGACACTTACAAATGTTCAAGGTGTGATCCTACAACCAAAAAACAGCTAACAAAAGCACCAGCCATGCTATATGGAGATTCAACTACATGGAACCATTTGGACAGGGCCTCGTTGGCACAGAATGAAGATGCATTGCTTCGAATTGAAGCCGATTTCAATGATATTTCATATGCGTTCCAATACATTAGTCATTGAAATTCGCATCTATCTATATATCTATCAATCAATGAACATCATATTGCATAATAAACTTCTATATTTACCGATATCCCCACAATCTGATTATCCCCCACATTCCTTGGAATCTTTCTCAGGTTCGGTGATAAATGGAGTGATGTAAGAATTAAATGGTGCCTTAGCTCCTGGTATACGTTATCGCATCTTTTATCTAAATTGGGATTGATCCCGATTACAGTTCCCCGCAAAAATATTGGTCCCACACGAATATGGATATTGACGTAGGTAACGGAAGGAAGTCAGAAGGACTTATTGTGGTGTCGCATGTCTTACATATAAAGTTGAAGAGCTTAGATAGTTGACGAGTTGAATAAGCTGCCAGTCAATTACACCAAGCCTGATTCTCACTTCATAGAAAGCAGCATACGAAAATGGTTTCCAACCCTATTGTTGTAGTAGGTGGTGGTTTGGCTGGACTTTCAGCTAGTCACCAAATCTACCAAAGAGGAGGTAACGTCATTCTTATAGATAAACAAGGATTTCTCAGTGGAAATAGTGGTAAAGCTACCAGTGGTATCAATGGAGCTCTCACCAGAGAACAAGTTGCTCTGGGTATTGTCACTGATTCAGAAGACAAGTTCCTTCAAGATACGTTGAAAAGTGGTAAAGGAGGAGCCGATGTCAATTTAGCCAAAATATTAACCTATGATTCACGGGATGCTATCAATTGGTTGACTGAACTGTTTGGTTTGGATCTCAGCGTCATAAGTCGTTTGGGTGGTCATAGTGAACCACGGACTCATCGAGGGAATGATGCCAAGTTTCCTGGAATGGCTATTACATATAGATTACTTGAAACATTGGAGGCCTTGAGTGCCGAGGAGCCTGACAGAGTGCAAATATTGAAGAACTGCCAAGTTATAGATTTAATCAGAGAAAATGGTGATGGTAAAGTTAAAGGTGTGAAATACAAAGATACCAAAACAAAGGAGAAGTTTGAAATTGGTAATGCTGGTGCCGTGATTTTATGCACTGGTGGATATGCTGCAGATTTCACACCCAACTCACTTTTAAAAAAGTTCCGATCTGATTTGCTTGGATTGCCAACTACAAATGGTGTACATGCAACGGGAGATGGTATAAAAATAGTACTTAAGAATAAAGGTAGTTGTATTGATTTGGATAAAGTTCAAGTTCATCCAACTGGATTGATCGATCTTCTGGATAAAGATGCTATAGCAGGTACTAAGCTACCTCCATATATGTTTCTTGGAGCCGAGGCATTACGTGGAGAAGGAGGGATTATAATCAACAACCAGGGTGAACGATTCGTAGACGAATTGGGTACAAGAGATCACGTAAGTGGAGAAATCAAAAAGCAATTGGAAAAGGGGAATGGTCCTATTCGTTTGATATTGAATGCTCCCTTTGCAGAAGAGAAACTTCCTTTCCATGTCAAGCACTATACTTTGAAGAATTTAATGAAGAAGTGTAAGTTTCAGGATGTGGTAGCAGAATTGGCTAACAAGTCCAAAATAAACACGACAATTAAACATTATAACTCATTTGTCTCAGATGAGTCAAAGAGACCAGATGAATTTGGTAAGCGATTCTTTGCTTCCAGAATTGAAGAGTCAGGTGAAGTTTACGTATCATTTATTCACCATGTATTGCACTTCACCATGGGTGGTATTAAAATTGATATACACGGTCGTGTTCTTCAAGGTGATGGCTCCAGTCCCATTGAAGGGCTCTATGCTGCAGGGGAAGTTGCAGGTGGTGTTCATGGTCACAATCGTTTAGGAGGTAGTTCCTTATTAGCTTGTGTTGTTTTCGGTCGTTTGACAGGTAGTGAAGCATCCAAATACCAATTTGAGAACTATAACAAGTCAATCGGAAGACTCCAAATGTTGAAGGTTCATTTGGATCCAAACAGAAAGCAGTTTAGGGTTGAATTTGCAGACGATGAAGATAATGATGGATCTTTCTCAACTAACATGTCATCCAAGCAAAGTAATAAGAAACAGGACACATTAGAACCCAAAAAAGGCTCGAAACCCTATACGCAATTCAAACTACCTGAAACCGAATTTACTGAAGAAGAAGTTGCGAAACATAACCGAGAAGATGATTGCTGGTGTATCATTAAAAACGTTGTTATAGATTTGACATCGTTCCTTGATGAGCATCCAGGAGGTAAGAAATCCATCTTACAATACGCGGGGAAGGACGCTACTGAACTGTTTGAAATGTTTCACCAGGATAACTTCATCGAACTTTATGTGCGCGAGAACGTTTTGGGTAGAGTAAAGGGTAAATCACCTTATCTTGAGTTTAAATAGTTTTTAGTGTGTTGACTTACACTTTATACAATATTTTCATTTTAAAGTAAGATTAATAAAATATTTTTAAAATCTACTTAGGATTGCAATAAATGGTAACTTCAAGAATACAAAAAGGTAAAATATGTAGAATCAAATGGGGTAAAGATTTGAAGAGTTGAACTGTATATTCGCAGATGGGGTTTCGACTAAAAAATGCCTAACCAAATTGCTTCAAACAAAAACTTCCACAACAAACCATGTAATAAACCAAAAGACTTACATACACTTGTGGTGAACAATAGCTGGTCCAGATTCGTCGTATTCTTGCTTTGAGATCCACATTTGTTGGAAGGTAGACAAAGATGCCAAGATAGAACCACCAATCCACACAGAGTACTTTCTTTCTGGTGGAGCAATGATTTTAACCTTCATAGAGGATGGGGCCAACAAAGTGATTTCCTTTTGCATTCTTTCAGCAATACCTGGGTACATGGTGGTACCACCAGACATAACAATGTTACCGTACAAGTCCTTTCTAACATCAAGATCACACTTCATAATAGAGTTGAAAGTAGTTTGGTCAATACCAGCAGCTTCCAAACCCAAGTCAGCAGGTCTGAACAAAGCTTCAGGAGTTCTAAATCTTTCGTTACCAATGGTAATAACTTGACCATCTGGCAATTCATAAGACTTTTCAATGGCTGATGATTGAGAAGAAGTTTGCATTTCTTGTTCGAAGTCCAAAGCAACGTAACACAACTTTTCCTTAATGTCTCTGACAATTTCTCTTTCAGCAGTGGTGGAGAAAGCGTAACCACGTTCAGACAAGATCTTCATCAAGTAGTCAGTTAAATCTCTACCAGCCAAGTTCAATCTCAAGATACCGTAAGGCATGGAGTAACCACCGTAAATTGGAACAACGTGAGTAACACCATCACCAGAATCTAAGACAATACCGGTGGTTCTACCAGAAGAGTATAAGGAAAGAACAGCTTGAATGGAAACATAGAAAGCTGGAACGTTGAAAGTTTCAAACATGATTTGAGTCATCTTTTCTCTGTTAGACTTAGGGTTCATTGGGGCTTCGGTCAACAAAACTGGGTGTTCTTCGGGAGCAACTCTCAATTCGTTGTAGAAAGTGTGATGCCAGATCTTTTCCATGTCGTCCCAGTTGGTAACAATACCGTGTTCAATTGGGTATCTCAAAGTCAAAATACCTCTCTTGGATTGTGCTTCATCACCAACATAAGAGTCTTTTTGACCCATACCAACCATAATACCTGGGTGTCTTGGTCTACCAACGATAGATGGGAAAACAGCTCTTGGGGCGTCATCACCGGCGAAACCGGCTTTACACATACCGGAACCGTTATCGATGACTAAGGCAGTAATTTCTTCTAAAACATAATGTTAGTATAATTGATTCGTACAAAATCTTGACACTTAGTCTTGTTCTTTATCGTTCACCTCATTCTGCCAGGATAAACAACCATATCCCCAACAAACATGAAACCCCATTATGTCCAAGTTTTCCATCAACAATTGGGCCTTTTTTCGACAACAAAAATTGAATTTCGCACACTGAAAAATGTCGCCGCTTTCGATTCAGCCGACAGCGTCAAGTGAATAACGTGTAAGTGTCGACCACTTTGGATGTCCGATCTCATGCCAATACACAGCGGCAAGAAGCAAGAATGTTGTATGTAGACAAATTATAGCATTAAACAAGGAATAATGGATTAATTGATTGATTGATTCAGGAGATAAAATGGAAATCGGAAGATTATAAGAGTTTGCGGTGTTAAATGACAACAAATCACTAACAAAACATAATGAGATAAACATAAGGAAAAAACAGATCAGTCAATGGACTACCATTGAATAAGGAACATACCTCCGTCCATTGTAAATTCAGTAGCTACTAGAGATATAAGTTATCTTCAATTGAAGTTGAACCTAAAGAAAGAAAAGAGTAGAACGGAAAAGAAAAAGGAGAATTCCAACCCAATTTTAAAAATTCTAGCCAACCACCAACGTTAGGCACGAATATTTTTGTTTTTTTCGGCGTGTCGTAAGCTTGGAAGCGCCGACATTATAGGTATCGAGGTTTGATATTACGGAGGACAAGGGGGTAGACAATAATTGATCATGAATTCATCACAATAGAAGAAAGAGTTCCGGGCTGATAATTATGTCCAACCTAGAGATAATTAAGAAAATGTAATAATCCGACAGCAATAGGTCACTTTCGTACTAACAGAATAACTACAATAAGAACAATCTTCTATACACTTTATGGGACCATGATGTCACGGTTGGTATTTCTAGAGGTGTTGTAACTAACTATAGTACGTCCTCCTACCTACGCAATACACATATAGTTCCTATTCCTATGGGTACCATAACAGCAAACTAATATCAAAGCAATCGTGTATATATCATATCTTCACCAAAATAATGAGGTGTAAATACTACAATATTTAATGCTTAGAATGCTGGCTTCAAGAGGTCCGGTCCGAAGAATTGTAAAATAAACGAGATTGGCCCCAAACTTTCAAGTAACAATGCATATTTTAAGACAACTACTTGCCAGAAGCCATCTCTAGGTTTCGTTTGTTTGGCGTTTCTTCAATGCTCGTCTAAGTTAAAAACTATACAACAAACTACATTGCCAGTACGTTCTTGGAAGTTTGCGTGTAGGTGCCGGAATTGGTGGGTTCCGGTACAATAATAAGTCGGATCTGGGCTGAGTTGAAAAGGTGGTTACCGTAAACTGGCGGAGTAATTGAAAGAATGACAGATTGCAAAAGTGCCAAAACTCTTAAGGCCACAAGTTCACTTTGATGTGTATGTGACAAAGATTGAGTAACTAAACAACCTGGTAATTCCAGAAGTTTAAAAATTAGTTCTTTGCAATTATTCTACAGTACTCTTTATCTTCAGAATAGGTGTCGAGTAGGCCTTTAGATATCATTCATTCACCAATATTACTACTTAAAATGTATCCGGTATTCCAGACATCCCTTTTTGACTGAAGTACCATATTTCATGTAAAGCTTTGGATTTTAGTACGGTTATTCTGAGTCAAAATCCTAAACGTAGTGAAATATTAAGCCTACAAACAATGCAAACCCCGATCTTGTGATCTGAGGTTTAACTCCAGTTCATAGTGACAGTGACAGCATTTTTAACTCTATTATGAGTAATTGTTATATTTGTATTAAAAGTCATGCTTAATGCTCTGTACATAGCCCACTCAATTATAACTGGTATTGTAGTTGAGATCCTAGTAAACTGCCTGTTTTGGGTGTAGTGCCAAAATCGGTGACAGAAAGGGTTTCACGGACTTGGTGAGAAAAATTAAAGGGCCAAATACTCATGTTTAAACAGTATTTACCACTAACAAGACATATTAGTATTTGATCAGAGTAGTATAATCAGATAACCATCATGTCATCATCAGTTCCTTATGATCCCTTTGTGCCCAATTCGGAGGTTCAAGGGGAAGCTCCCAATTCCAAGACAGCAGCATTGCAAGCAGTATGTATCAACACACACCTTCACAACTTGACTGACCAAAATAGAATACTAATCTGAATCAATCTAGCAAATTGATAACACCGTGGATATCATGCGTGATAACATAAATAAGGTTGCAGAAAGAGGTAACCGGTTAGATTCAATTGAAAACAAAACTGACTCACTTGCTATCAGCGCTCAAGGTTTCAGGCAAGGTGCCAACAGAGTCAGAAAGGATATGTGGTGGAAAGATATGAAAATGAGATTGTGTTTGATCATTGCTGTTATCATCTTAATTGTTGTGATTGTTGTTCCTATTGCCGTTCACTTCAGTTGAATAACTACAACGTTGCATTGTTGTTCAGTTTTGGCGCTACTCTAACTCCATTCCATGATCCAAGAATAAAAGGCTTTGCTTTCTTTCTTGCCAGGCTGCATCAATAGTCAGTCTACTGTTTAATTTTTATATGGGTTGAATTAATTTTTTTTATATCAATGTTGTTATTAATAAGTATACATGTGTATGTGAAATATTGTATTGAAACGTATAGATATATATGAAACTTAATGAGAATCTTCAAGGTCTTGCAAGGAGCTTTCATAGTCGGTTTCACTCATCAACTCATCAGCTTCTAATTCCTTCACATCTTCTAATTTGATTTGAGCAATCCAACCAGCTCCCATAGGGTCTTCGTTGATGATTTGTGGCTTCAGTTCCAAGTTCTTGTTAACGTAGATAACCTCACCTGTAACTGGAGTGTAGATTTCACTAGCACTCTTGACACTTTCAACACTACCAATCAGATCACCTCTTTCGTAACGAGCACCAAGTTCTGGTAATTCAATGTAAGTAGCATCTCCCAAAGCTTCTGATGCGTAGCTAGTGATACCAATAAATGCAGTGTTATCCCCGAAAACAGCAAGCCATTCGTGTTCATTGGTGAACTTAACATGAAGAGGGCCTTCCTTAGAGTATTTGTACACTTCAGATTGAGTGTTGATTCTATGGACAGAAGAATTCAAAAGTGGAGCACATGAATGGATCCATCTGCCACCAAATCTTCTGGTGGTCTTAAGTAATTGGGGGCGTAAGATACTCAACATCTTTTCAGTTTGTACTAATATCCCTCAGTAAATAAAATACGAGATGGTGCTCCGGCTATTGTAAGCAAATAATTATAGTGTATACGTTAAGATATATATATATATATTAACACTATAGTTATGATGAAAGGAAATATTCCAAATACGGTTTCAATTGGCCAGTTGCTAGGGAGCTGGATACGAAGGGCCTAGGTAGAGTCAGGTGACTAGTTGCGGAGACAATGAAAAAGCTAGTCCGGAGTCAGATACGAGTCAGATACGAGTCAATAGAAAGTTTACCGCTTAAAAAGAAAAAATGTTAAATCAAATATTGAATAGTGTAATAAGGTCAACAAAATAATGTTAATGTGGGGATACATACGTACTTTAAATATAATGAAAAGTAGATCACAATGACGTATTTGAATGATTGAGTATCTATACTTGCGAGCAGCTGATAAAATAAAATTTATTAGACAGCTTTAATGTTACATTAGTGAAAAGATACAAAGTCAACTATTGCATTCAATTAAAGGCAAGAGACAGTTAAAGACTTATTAACCAGTATGGAGTCATTGGCTTGATCGTTGCAATAGTAAGCAACACATTTAAAAGGTTCTTCTAGCATCTCTTGGAATAGACAACTTGTAGTTTTGGAGGTTATCCTTAAACTTTTCAAAATTGTTCAATTCAAGGAAATGTTGAATGGTAACTTTCTTAGTCTTTTCATATAATTCTCTCACTTGTTGAGAATTCTTTTTACATTCTTCATCATCATGCTTAGTGGATGGTGATACAATTGCCTTTTCGTCAATCTTACAATTTTCTTGGTTGACCCACAATCTTAAGAATTGTCTGTACTTGTGTCCTTGCAAAGCAGTTGCACCAATTAAAGACTTGTGCTTTGATTGAATAATATCTTCGTACTTGGCAGGAACATAAGTGATTTCATTCTCAAACAAAGCCGGGATAAAAGTACTCAATTGGTCAACTGGGTAAGTAATATATGAGCTGTCATACAAAGCCATACTTTCCTTACGTTCCAAATCCTTGAATCTTGCTCTTTCCTTTTCGGTTAAACTCTTAGAGCTCATCAAACCTTGAAAGTCTTCCACCAAAATCAAAACAGTAACATCCATAACAACACCAGACATAACATCGATGAATCTGGCATTGACCATGTTGTTGTTGTTGCCTCTGATCTTGGAGTAGTAAGGGTTAATATCCAAATAGAAAACATTGTAATGACCCTTGGATGAATCATTGTAATCAAAAACAAGTGTGTTGTTGAATTTCAACAACTTATCAAATTCAGAGGCCGATAATTGAATATCCAAATCATTGGTCCATGGTAAGTTCAAACCGTTCCAGTACCAACCAACCATAGATTCCTTGTTAATCCAGGAGAAGATGTTAAACTGTTGGGAAAAGTGAGACCAACCTCTCATCAATCTCTTCAAAATGGCATGGCGTTGGTTCATGTCAAAAGCTTGCAAATGGTCAAAGAATCTCCAATCGTAAGCAGAAGCCTTTGGCTCGTTCAAAGTGTAAGCTTCTGAGAAATATTTTGGTGCATCAAAATCCAAAACTTCAGGCCAATCGGCACTGAAATCAAATTTACTCAAAGTCTTGGACTCGAACAGATCAGCCAATGGTTTGTGAATAAATTTAGCTGCAAAATTTGTCTTGAAGCGATCCAAATTCTTGTCTAAACTACCAGGTTCCTCGATTTTAATCAGTTGACTCTTTGGGTCGACTGGGAATTGGTAAACCAAATCATCCATTAAATAGACCAAAGAAGCAGGGTTAGGAGCAGAAGTTTGTAAGTAAAGATTCTTCAATAAAACTCTGTTATCAGCAGTTAAGTAAAGAAAAATGTTCTCATTGATCTTGTAAGGAATTAAATTGTCAAATTTTTCATCCTTACAGTTAAATGAAACAGCTTCAGGTTTACCAAAATGACGTTCCAATTTAAGACAAGAGTTTTCTTTCAACAATTTATCTTGAATATCCTTTCTAGCGAAATAAGAATCCAAGTCCAAAAATTGATTCCATGAGAAGGGAACAGTTTCAGGTAAACCGGTTTCCTTCTTGGAATTCAAGTAACTGAACAATACGTTGGAGTATTGGTTCTCGGTGTTTTCAAACAGCGCATCGACTTGCTTAACAGAAGGATACTTAATCTTATAAATACCAATCTTGGATAATTGCTGGTTAGCATAGTTTGTAGCAACATCATTATGGAAACCTTCATAAACCAAATAGATGAGCGCAACCAATAAACCGAGTGCAACAAGCAAACGCTTGTACTTATACAAGAACCACTTAGCTTCTACCAACATCTTTGATAGTTGGCTTTATAGTAATGACTACCTCCAGAGGTGTTTTGTGGGGGAATGCGAGCTGGTATCAGTCAAACGATGACAATCGGCACGCGTACAAAGGGGAAAGTTGGTGATCAAGATTATAAATCTAGCTGCTGCAAACCGGTGATTTCTGACAACCTATATATCGATCAAAGGAAACACCTAAAGAAAAGAACAAGTGGTCTTTTAATTTTAATCGTGGACCCCATGGTCTAAACTCGAGGAGTGGAGTGTTGTCCAAAACGCATCTCGGGTGTACGTAAAAATTTCAGACAGACATTTTTTAAACAAGTATAACAATGAAGAATTGGAGTTAAAGGGCCCTTGGAATAACCTAAAATGAACATACATAGAATAGAACACAATCGTTGTCTACAGTCAAAGAATTGATCATTGTAACTAATGAGGTTAAGTTTGAATGGTTGTAGTTTCAATATGGAACATATTAAGGAACTCTATACTGAAGTACTCTCCTCATGGCAAGAGGATGTTAGCAACTTGGGCTTCATCTTCTCAATTAGTTCTTCTTATTAACCCCAATAGATTGGTGTTGTAGTATGTACTTAGATTAATAGGAATAATAAGCCTACGACACTTGAACTTTCTCTCAATTGTTCTTTCATGAAAACTAATGTATTCTCATGTAAAGTATCCAGATATTTCCATGGGCGACTTGAAAATGTCGGGAAAAGACCTGCAGAGAACAGATTCTTGCTCGGGAACCGAAATTTATCCATTCTTTCGTTGCTAATCTAACATAATGTAAAGTTTATTAATAATACAGGCAATCGAAGTATATTTCACTCACTTCTCCTAATACAATAACTCCGGCACACCATACTCTAGCCCACAAATAAAACGCACCTTGGAATAATAGGTATTAATGCATCTACCTGTGCAGATAACAAAGTGGGGTTCATTTGGCGATATGCCAGCTTTAAAAATAAATGTCTGAAGGAAGAGTTGCCTACATCAATTTTTTAGTATAGCTCCGCAAGTGAAGCGATATGCTAGCAAAATTTACATTAATGATTGATCAAATGGATCACAGCAAGAAAAGCCAATTTTTGAATAGCTCATTTAAATGGATTGGGAATTTGGCGACTTCATACGTCGAAATTCTTATCAAGCAATACTGAGCTTAGTGTCTTCTTTCTGTCTTTAGATTTCGTAGTTTTTGTTTGTCTTGTAAATCTTATTGTTAGGAAGTAATTATGGTTTTGCACACTTATTTTACACTTTATGCTGAAATTTGGTACAACGCGCAAATACTCTTACCTTGAATTATATTCTTAGTTCGCAAACGCTCCAACACGTCCACGGCATAACAGAATCTTGTTTACTCGTAGACTTGTCTTGGTTCATGGCGTGTCACGAGATGTTATCACCAAACTTTATTTTTTTCTCATGTGCCAGACAAAAATGTCTTAATCATAGAGAATGGTAGTTTCTGTCATTTCCAACTTTCTGCCAAGTATAATTATGTAATAATGACCTCAGTTCTATGTTTAAGTCGGTTTGAGGTGTTTGACCTAACAAAGGTCGTGTTTATTTACTGATATCATAGTAGACCATCATGACATACAATAGTATGGTCTTTGGGGCTCACTACTACGTAGGCGAGTTGTTCTTTCTTCCTATCTACGACGCCATCTACGAGGAATAAAGATCTACAATATGCAGGCTAGGCCTTTAGGCGACCCCATAAGAGCTACCATGTGGCATTAGCACGCAGACAATTTTTTAGGCAGATTATGATCCATTATTAGCAATCGCGAGGGTATGCCAACATTTATGGAATTGAAAATTCCGTTAATACTTAGTATGTAAGAGTTTAAACCTGTATATTTATCAAACATAGTTGCAGCCCACTCCATTTATGAAGTAAAGATTTATTTTTTGGATCTTATACGTACTGCAAAAAAATTTTCTTTATTTACATTACAATTACAATTACAATCCCCCATTTAAAGGTCTATACATCACGTGTCTCTATTACAAAAGTTCTCAGTTTTCGCAGTATATATAGATCTATTTACCCTCTAACAGAAGCCTGTTTCCTGTGAATAAACAGAATTGGATCTCACTCAATAATTGTCGCAAAATTAATGACCTAGAGGTAATTCTGTCGTAGACTCCGTAGTGATTGATTTCCAATTCGTCCGTCTTGCTTTCCATTTCCAATATTGGCAATTGTGTTAATTGACACCGTGGCCACAAATGTCCACTTTCCAGTGCTATGGTATCGGGTGAAAGGCAATTAGCAGTGAAAGTCTCTGTGAAAAACTGATTTGAAACTGAAATGGTCACTGGCTGTCCCAGGGTAGATGAAATACTCTGTACAATGTATTGATCATATTCATCATTTAATTTATCCATCGTTACCATATCAAGGATATGGCTATTAAGCCATTTTCTAATTGCCGTCACTATTTCCAAGTTTTCTGTTGTCCATTTTGAAACAATATCTGAAATAACTGGTTCTCGCAGCCACTTTTGTACACTTGTGATTATACTATAGTTGAAATTAAATTGAAGCTGTAATTTATTCAACCCACTATGTTGGCTTGGCGTACTTCCTAGGTAATCCAAATCAATTTCTGGTTTCACCCCTATCATCTCCTGTTTAATATTACCAATTGCTTCAACAAATCCATCCAATTCTTCAACTTCATTAGGAAATTTGGGAAAGTCGGCACTTTTGTCAAACCAAAAGCGTATTAATTGTGCTATGGTTGTTGTGCCCGGTATATCTTTTTCAAGAGGTCTAATTCGTACTAATGCTAATTCCATACAATCCTTGGAAGTAATGGTATAATTTATGACACCTTTAGGTACTATCTTGTACGCAACTGATAAAAGACCGCCAAATATAACATTTGTTGACACATTAATGAACTGACCTTCAACAGAATCTTCCTTTCCACCCGTACTTGTATCTAATTTTGAAAGTAATTGATGTTTATAAAGCGATTTGCTAACAAGCTTTACTATAGCATTGCTCTTGTCTGGTGTAATTGGTAGTAACAGCTGCTCGGTGTAAGTAAAGCATTCAATCAGCCCATTATCGAATGCAACATTCAATATTATATCATCATTTTTTGACTCAAAGTAAACCCCGGCAATTGCCTCATAATTTTGAAAAGACGTAGTTACAGTTTGCTGTTTCTCTAGCAGCCAAATTGAAACCCTTCCGGTTTGCGCAACGATAAGGTATTCGGCCCTCTCGAACGTGACCCACTGGACTTTGGAAATACTGAATCTTGTTTCCTTTACTAATCTTTGGGGCCCACTTTCTAACTCTAAACTATCGCTGAAATGTACTAACCAAACTCCATTAAGAGATGTGGTTAAAGCGAGTGAAGTAGTATCTTTATTCCACGATAATTCGACAATTTCTCCATTCATCTCGGATTGTAATTCTTCCTCCCCTCCCAATTCATATGACACATCTTGTTCTTCGTTATAGTCCCCTAATGACATAAGAACCAAGTTTTTAGCGTCAGAAATATAGCTGAGCATACTGTAATTGATAAATGCAAATGTCTTGACATTTTCGATCATCCGATGAACAGAAAAATCATCCTTAAGTATTATTAAATCATAAGTATTGTACAAAACAGCTAGAAAGCATCTCTTAGTAACTGGATCAACAGGAGACCACTTATGCTGAACCAAAAGAGGTTCAACAAATACAAATTTTTGTTTCAAATGATTGTCACCGCTGGTGCTGTCAACCTCCATTTGATGAGCTGTGTGGCCTCTTTTATACACATCGACTGCTTCCTTCAAACTTTCAAAGTCTAATTGGTGAGAAACTTTAAATAGTCCTTTCAACAGAAGTGTCCCCTTTGAGCCAAATACTTCTTGTGACACTCTAGGTAACTTAGGTTCTAGGACCACTAAACCCGTACGGGCATTTATTGCAACTTGGCAATTGTCAGACCATTGTACAGGTGCAGCAATCAGAGATGCAACATTGATACGAGGGATAGTGATTGATTTTATCATTAGTCTAAACAACTTAAAAAGGCTGCAAATATTTATCACTTAATCATTGTGAAGTGAAGTTTGGTGAGAAGTTGTTTTGATTTCGATCCTCGACCAGGACGAGAAATGTTACACATAAGTGAAGTCCAAAAAATCTCGGATTAATGGAAGCCTTAAAAGTAGTTACAGTGGAGATGTAAGTTTAAAAAAAACTGTTAATACATTTACGAATGATCAGTTTCGAAGAACTGATGTAAGTGCATTTAGTCTTGAACCCACAGTTTTATTTAAATATTTTGGGCTGAAGAATAGTTCTCTTAGGTGATAATTTGTATGGATCTGAAACGATTTCAAAAGCTATGTAAAAAATTCCCAATCTGTCATTTTTTCGAATGCAAGATTAAGAACAAAGAGTTTCCTCAGACATGAATATATCAAGTCCTTATATATCAGACCACAAGATGGGTGTCAACTACAATATTTACGCAGTGAAGCTTTTCGAAGGTTACCATTAATTGTAGGCAATGAGAAGGAAATACCAGTAGAAAAGAATGTTAAAAAAGAGAAATTGATAAATAGACGAAGACTGTCCCAGTGACAAAAATGAATGGTAAGTTTGGGTTTATGATGTTGTGTAGGCAAAATGATGACGTAGTAATTGAACTTACATGTATAGGAAAATCGCGGAGAAACATTGTATGATTTAGTTATGATTTTCACATTCATGAATATGCTTTGTTAAGTATTTCTTTTTAGGAATTGATTTCAAAATAAAGTGAAAAGCATTACGTGCATTTTAACGAGTTACTTTGTAAAGTTCCGGTTCTCCGATACCACCACATCTGCATTGTATAGTTATAAAGCTGTCATGGGTTACAGGAACCTAGTTATTCGCGAATGTGATGATGAAAGTATAACTTTAATTTAATGTTTCCTACTTGTACTTACTCCCTAAAAAATTCATGAATTAGGAATTTTACTGTCTTACTAACAATACTTTTGTTGTTTTTGCCAATTCCAACTGGAAATGCCCAATAAGGTAATGCCAATAGAGATTTCCCGATTCAGATATTCTTATTCTTCTCAACTCCTTCATGAATTCTCTTACCCTTTGTTTAGAAAATGAACCTTCTTCCATGTGAAGAGATATTAACTATCTCATCTACTTAAGAATAAGGTAATGTATTAACATACATATAATGCAATAGATAAATAAACATTATTTAGGAGACTATCAAGAGATTGAAAGCTCCAAACTAACACAGTTTACAAAAATCAATTCAATTGGCAAGTTTTATTATAACGGAGATCTCATGAACTATCAAACTTTGGTAGAGTATCACAAGAAGAAATAGGCACGTTCCATTACGGAAAATTGTTCTTTGTAAACGTTAAAAGAGATCTTCCAAATTCCCATTTTGTCTCAAATCCAGAATTTCTTCGAATCCATACTTATTATTTGACTGGGAATTAGATTGTCTTGAATCAAGTTCTTCAACTGCGCTTAGATTGCCACAATTATCAATTGAAGGCTGTCCCATGTTTTCAAAATGATTATTTCCACGGTTATGCTGATAATTAGTGTCACCCTCTCCGCTCTCTGAAGAATGCAGACTGAATATTGGCATTCCATTGACATCCTCGTTGCCCACAGAAACAATTGTCCCCAGGTTGGGCTTTTTCTTCATTGCGTCGTTTAAGCTATGCTTTGTTTTATAATTGTAACCATTGAAATCTTTCATCATCTGTTTATCAATCGGCTTCGGTACTTGACCAAGAGCTAAACATCTGCTGTAGTACTCCATGTAGCTAACACATCCGACAACTTGTACAAACTTTCTGTATCGATCCCTCCAAGAAGATGTTGGATGATGGGGATACTTGCTATGAAGCTTCTTGAAGTAGGATACGGGGACAGTAATATCATTGCTAATCTCAATGTTCTTCTGCTTATTATAATCAAGAATTTCTTGACATAAAATCATATCATCTTCCGCCGTATACTTGTTCTTCAAAGCTAAAGGTAACTGATCCAACCCAACTCTAACAGGCTCATTGGTCTGAGGATCTCTTATGAGTTCACCTCTTTCGTCCGATTTGTAAATATATTTCAACCTAGCAAAAAGTTGATGACGAAATCTATTTCTTAAAGAATTAGCAGTGTGTTCTTTAAGTATAGGATATTCTGCCAACAGTCGGAAGAATTTGTGACTATTTCTTTCACGGGGCTTTTCTCGTACCCTCTCAAGAATGAATTCATCTTTCTCAGGAGTGAACTTAGTCAAAGAAGTTGGACCAGTTAAAATTGGTGTAGTAGAACTTGGAGATAATTCGTTGGCTTGCAGACCCAGCAGTTGCCTTGAAGATGATGAAGATGAAGCATTAAATTGACCAGGTTGCAGACCGTAGCTACAATAGTCATTCTGCTGTCTTCCATGTATAGTATTTGATTGTAGAAATTGAGGAGCAGGGGGTTGGGGTTGGAATGCTGTTTGGTTCATTTGTGGCAATGTACCTGACTTTGGAGTAGAATCAACATATGTAGTTGGATGCTGGGTTGCCATTGCTTGGGGTAAGCTGGATGGTCTTTCCTGTGACGGCCTCCGTTGTTGCGCCTGCAACTGTGAGTACTGTGATACAATGTACTGGTTGGGCAGAAGAGCAAATGTATTGTTAGTACCAGAAAGTCCTAATGATGGAGTTGCGGGAGTTTTGGGAGTATTCAATTGATGTGTTATACTTGATGCTGATGTTGCAGGAGGAGCAGCATAGTGCTGGTAGTTTGAAATATTGAGAATCATACCAGCAGCTATGCAATCATCTATAAATTGCAATCGATAACTTGGTACTTCTTCATCTAGAACTGGGTTTGAGCTAGCCAAAATAATGCTATTTGTGACTGAAGGTCTCGTTTCGGTAATAATTCCTCCATGTTCATATAATTTATCTCTATAATATGTTCTTTGGGCATCGTTGTATGGAATAAAGAAGAGAAGTGGCCGCCCGTTATAATCACCAAATAGTAACGATTTCTCTGTAAGGGAGTTGAGGTTCATAATATTCAAGGCCAGAGCGCAGAGTGGATTCTGGATCAGCAGGATAATTTGGACTGAAGAATTATGGAGCATGAATAGGAACCCGAAATCAAGTCAATTGCACATGAAAGTGAATAGATACTATGTATTTTCCCCTGAATTGTGATTAGGATATTTTAAACACTAAGTAGCTGTGAAAGTAATTGTATGACTAGAGCTGTAAAATATGCTTCCTCTCAGTAAAGCTATAAATGGGTAAAGTATTGATAAATGAATTCAATTGTGTTAAAAACTAGCAATGTAAAAAACTTGACAAGTACTCGTCACTTGTTTGATTGCCTTCCTTATTAACTATGATCCAAACTGAAAATAGGGCCTAATGACAAATGGACTTGATAATCCACAACGAGGATTATCTGGTAGTTGTTTTAAAAAAAGAAGAGGCTAGAACTTTAAGTGCATCAGTCCAAGCACTCAAAATGAAAAGTGGAGCATCTCTTGTGCTTAAATAAGAAACAAATGGTTAAAAGCGCTAATAGACAATATTACGCCTTTTGACGTACACGGAGTGTGTCTAAGGTTCCAAATGGCTATTTGCTTATAGTATTCAAGGAAAAAAAAGCGGGTACAATGGTGGGCGATTTCTGAGCTCTTCTTTTGGCCAACAGTATCTGCCATCCACATCCTGCCTAAGAACTCATTCCTATTTTGTCATAAACAGCGGAAGGTTTTCGTTTGCAGTGCAGATCTGACTGTATAAGGTCGCAGGTATATATTTCAAGGATATTATATTATATTATGCCGGTAGAGCATCGGCATTGTTGAGTGTATTGTTAAAGAATTGGGTGCAAAAGGTCTATAGTTTTGGTCTACTTTTCTTCTTTCCTGCGCCATGTGATTCTAACATGCCACGGTCGAAGAGAACTATGGGGTAGGAAGTCAAGATGCACTCCTAGTTATTTTACAAAGTACGCGACTTGTCATCCCGCATACGAGGTTGAACGGCATAGGGGGTAATTTGAATAATTCACGAAACCGTTGGATGAAAATATATCCGATCTATACTTCGGAATAACAACGATTTAGATTGCGCATTTTTTGATACTTTGTAACCACGAGCACACAAATGATCGTATGAGTATTACAAATGTTTTATTAATAGATTAATCAATGTTATCTTTTGAAGGCTTCTGGGAACTCATTCGGGCTATCCGAAAACCCGGAAGTTATGATTTGTATTTCATCCAGCATGAACTTATTTACAATATCATGATAACCTTGAAAACCTGTGGTTTTAGTATTTCTTTCTTTTCTATTTATTACTTCTATTCTATTATTCCTTTGTTCCACTCATAAACGATAATTGTTATTTACTGTAATGCGATAACCCTCCTTGCAATTACTTTTACATTAGCGTCCGCTAGTTCCTTCTTCCATGCGTCTTATGTGGAGTGTATGAGCTCTTACTCTGTACAGTCTATTGTAATATCTAGGAAAATCCCGTTCCCTTGTATTACTATGACTTCTTTTGTTGTACCTATTATCCGGAAAATGCTTTTGGATTGAGCCATATATTAACTTTCTTATGCTGGTATTTGGAGGCCAAGCCTACAAACCAAGCCCAGACAATTGGTGCCAAATCTTAAACATCTTAAACATTATTTTTTTGGTAAAAAAATAACACTCTACTAGCTTGTAATCCTCCCACGGAACCAGTTTTACAACTTAGTGGAGAAGCTAGTAGGTGGGGAGTAGAGGACGAGCCGCAGGGTTCGTGTTTTAAATTTTGACACATATCAGGATTATCCGAGGTCGTGATTAGAGCCACATTGAAGAGCGAACGTAGAAAAATAAGAACCTCTTGTGCATATGGTATTACTCCCCTTGTGAATAAAGCACCTTAATCCAATTACGTTTCGGTGATTGTTATGTAAACCGGCTAAATTCCGTTAGTGTGTGTGCATTTAACCCATCGTGGTTGGGGACATTTCTTCAAGCGAATTTAAACAATAAGTCCGCTTCTTGCATGAGATGGTACCCATAGGAAATTATATACGGCGCAAAGTAGGATTATTTAGTGGTTCCATTCATAGGGAGTACGCGATTAGGAACATTGGCAGTGTCCAGGTCAAGGATTTCGATTTTCAGACCTGAAGGCCTGATTTGCCCTGATTTGAAAAAGTATTGCATGAGATTTGATGAGCAGAGCTAAACTTTATTTATTGGCATTGTCTTAACTTATATGATTGATATAGAAGTCAAAGGGGATAGTCAAGGAACTTTGTTTGTTTTATGTATTGAAAGTCGGAGACCATGTATTAGACTCGGGGACTAATAAAAGCACTTTAGACTAGGCACCTTATTCTTGTTTGAGTAATCCTATTAGGGTTACAGCAAACTAACTTTCCGTACAAGGACCAATTTACGAGATAGATTCAGAGAGACCAGATATCACACCAGCTATGAAACTAATAGTATCTCAATCATGCGCATTTATTGTGTAGAGAATGAGGCTAAGAACAAGTTTACAGAGGGTTTTGCAAGCATACCAGAAAATAATAATAGGTAAGCACGCTAGACAACCATCCCTTTAACTATGGACCCTTGGGCCCTAACCCCAATGAGAAAGGCCAGTGCACTAAAAGCAAATTCTATGTAGAAGAAAGCTCAGCTTTGGGCCCGCAATACATTACACAATATGACAATGTAATATCTTGTAATACTTTCTACTGAATAATAAAAACCAAAATGCATAATATTCTGTGGCCTTTCAGTCTATGGTTAAATGATGATCTTTGCTAATGTTTGTTATGATATATCAATTATAGCTCTCAAATTGGTTCCTCATGAAATACCAAGGCTAGTATGCCAAGGACACATAGAGCGGAATATTCTGATCCGACGGCTAGCTTCCGAAGAATTGAAACAACGAAATTAGTTTATGCAAGCATTATAACTCTAATCAGGTCCAGCGAACTGGTTTCTCTATTATGTAAATAACATGAGCAAACGCGATACATTCTGATGTTGCAGCAAATAGTCGAAATTATTTGCAATATTAAATTTCTATTTGCAATCATTGTTATATAAGACTATCTCAGTATTGCGTGCCTTTACCGACAGAATCTACTTAACGACATTTTGTTATGATGTAATTTGCGACATGGTTGATGTCTTACAACGACTGTGATTGAGGCAATCGTGCGACATTACGTGATTGTAGATAACACTACCACTTTTAATTATGGAGACTGTCTGAACCAATTCAATCCCTCAACATAACTAGACAGGAACGGAGGCGTTCACTTCAAAACAACAAACAAGCTAAAGCTACTGGTTATAGATAGAGAAGTGGCATTGTATAGTCACGGAATTGGTAAGTACGATTCAAATTCAGTATTATTCTTGATTGGTGGATATTATTTTTGATCATTCAAATTTGCATTTTCCTTCTTTGGTGATAGTTCAACCCCTATAATGAACACTTCAGTTTTTGAAGACATCGAACAGGACAATAACCCTTCATTCTATGGTAACCTGTCGATCTTGAACAATCCCTATGGGACCCAGCAAGGAAATGAAGTAAGTAATCCTGGTAGTCCTCAGAAAGGGCATTTGCAAAGAGATAGTTTTGAGCAAGTGAATGCGGATGACTTTGTTAATAACTCAATAGTGTTGAGTAACAAGATAACCAATTTGATTAATGATCCAAAAGTGGAGATTTTAATTGTATCGACTGAGAAGTTGATTAAAACATCGATTGTTGTGTATGCAATTGAACTTACAAACTCGGAATCAAGCATTATAGTGAAAAGAAGATACAGTGAGTTCAAATCATTAAGAGATAACTTGTGTAAATTGTATCCAACAATTGTGATTCCTCCAATCCCTGAAAAGCATTCATTGTTCACATATATTTATAATTCCATCGATAATTCACTTGAATTGAGCTTAATAGAAATGAGGAGGAGATATTTCATAACTTTTTTAACTGAGTTGATCCGAAATACAACAATACGATCATGCCCATTGTTGCTTAAATTTTTAGATCCTAATTATGAACTATGTTGGATGAATGCCCTTAATGAACCACCGGTTATTTTGCTTCCAAATAATTTATTACTAGCAAATCCTTTGAATCCTTCGGATCAAAATGGACTCTATTCATTGCTCCCTGTAATAAGTGGTTTTAATGCAAATAGTGGAAAGGATTCTTTACCTAACTTAACGCATCTAAGTAACGAATTTGCCAATCTCAAGATCCCTATTGATATTCCCGACAAATTGATTCAAATGGAAGTTGATTACCACAGAATTCATAAGATTCTAAATGACATGAATAAGATAGACACAAGATTATTAAAGAATATCAAAGGTATAATTGACATATTGATTGAATTGGGTGGAAATTTGAACAACTTTTCACTTACAATTTATGATTCAGCTTCAGAAGATCTTAGTTTGCAAATTGAGAAGTTTGGGTCCAATATGGATAAATGCTTTTTGAGTTATGAAACATTCTTGAACCAATCAGCTATACCCAATTGGCAAGAACCTATTCATTCTTTAATTCAGTATTATATGGCAAGTTTGCAAATACTCAAATTTTACAAGTACAAGTTGGTTCAATTGAAGATTTTACATAAACTTAGATTGAAGAAGTCAAACCAACTTTTACAATATAACAACTTGTCGAATTTAAGTAATTTGTCACAACTTGAAATCAATTCCCCCACAATTTCAATGGCAATCAAATCTCGGCAAACCCCAGGTCCTAACGCACCCATTGTATCATCTTCTTCGAAATGGAAGTCACTCTTCAACAACAATCATATAAGCAAGCCTCCATCGGGTTCATTGGATGACACGCATTTCTTTAATAATATTGAGAAGGAATTGAACAAGTTAGATCAATTAATTGGACTTTGTAACTCAGATATCCAGGCACTCTCTAAGGAGCTCCAGGTGAGTTTTGATGTGTTCAATAAGGAAATGGAGCGGAAGTGGACAATTATTATGCTTGATTTCATCAGAGATAGTAAGAAATTATTCACGGAGAATTTAAATAGCTGGTCAGAGTTTAAGGATTCTTTGACATAATCATAGTTGGCATCCTAGGTTATAATTTAGTTTTTTTTCTTGTAAGTTTCTACGTATTATGAGTCTCTATATAGGGTTGATGTTTCGCTACTGTAGAAGATTAGTTTTCTTAGTTCGCGATTTTCTGTCTGCTTCTTAAATAGGAAGTCTAGCTTTGTGGTGGCGACGACATTTGTTAAGTTTGGAATCTGCGACGTTAATATTACTAGCAGTAATACTACCGTCCATTGAGTCTTTAAAGAATCACAGTAATAATCATCCATTATTAGACATTCCCAAAAATGGATATCGATAACGATGTATCTACGCTTTTGGCGACCATCAGGCTGGAAACCGAGTCGCCTGAATTAATCAATGTTTTGTATCAATTGGAAGATTTCTACGAACGTAAGTTATGGCATCAATTGACCTTATCATTAGATGAATTCTATGCCTTGGACGAATCCCAGCCATTCAGAAATAAGATCTATGTCTTATTCATATCAAAGTTTGCGTCAAATTTGAATCCTTTGAAGGTTGTTGATTTTGTATTATTGAGTTTTGATTCGAAACAATCTCATGAGATCGCTACTAGCTTACTAACTTTACAAAGTGAGTTTGAAAAGAGTCACAATGAAGGAGGATTTGCTAGAGTGTATTTGAGTTTGCAATTAGCTCGGTTCTATATGTTACTGGGAGAAGTTTCTAAGGCCGAAGATAGTTTAGAGGAATTGGCTAAGAATTATGATATTGAGAATAGCGATTACTCTCCAAAGATTAAGGCCGCATACTACTTAACCAATTGTCAGTTATACAAGATTAAACGTAATTACAATGACTTTTACCGTAATGGGTTATTATATTTATCATCAATCGAAGGGAAGCTTCCTACTGGACAACAAGTGGAGCTCTGTTATGATTTATGTACAGCAGCATTATTGGGAGATAAAATCTATAATTTTGGTGAATTGATTCTCCATGATATTTTAAATGTATTGAAAGATAATGAATATTCATGGTTGTATCAAATGGTATTCTATTTGAATGCTGGTAATTTGAAGGAATTCGATTCTCTTTTGGCTACTGCTTATGAAAAGCATCCTCAGTTACAACTATCAGATAATTTCTTGCGGCAAAAAATTCGGATCATGGCTTTGTTGGAGTTAGTCTCTTTAAGTCCTACTACAGATAAGACTTTGAAGTTTGGAGATATTTCCAGATTCACTGGTACTCCAATTGATGAAGTTGAATTATTGATTATAAAATGTTTTTCTTTGAACTTAATCAAGGGACAAATTGACCAAATCAACCAAGTTTTAGTTGCGTCGTGGTTGCAACCCCGTATTTTGAATTTAGATCAAGTGAAGGTTTTATTGGATCATTTAAAGACATGGGATGATCTGGTTAATCACTTGGCGCAGAATATGCACAAGAATGGCGGTATTGTTTGGGCTGAATTGTAAGACGCTAGAACTTAAAAAAGTTCTTCCGTACACCACAGATTAGATTAAAGTGTTTGTATTACAATAATATTAATAGTCGCGATTAATACCTTTATTTGAGATTGTAGTATAGTTCAGGTCATCTCTCTCCGAACCATTGACCATGTGATTAGTTGAGTTCATTAAGATACGGTAAAGTCACCTTCACTATTTTCTTAATAAATCCAACCTATTTTGAATAAAATGCTGCTCGGGCCAGACTTTGGCTGACACCATCAAAAGAATTAGGTCGAACTGATTATTTGATCTGACCGTGTCATTCTACAACAATTGTATAGACAGTAAAATTAAAGAGTGCTCTAGAAAGTAATGGAGATAATACAAACAAAACAATTGATGATCTCATAGTTTACTTTTCACATAATGATCTCATACTTATTTTCCACATACCATTGCGTAGTTGTAGTCTAGGTCTCATTATATTATAATATAGTTCGTACTACCACGCACCTATAATCTTATAGTAATAATACCAATTGCAAATCTATATCAAACATGAACCAATTGTAAAGGTTTTACTTCAGTGTCAGATCACGTTTGATCCCGCATCGGAATGCTTGGACTTGCCGAGCTTCCCTTTTTCGGTGGCTAGTGCGAAAGTTAAAAGGTAAAGCAACTCGTGTTCTCTCAAGTACAGCATACAAACAAGCATCCATCAGTGAGTTATGAGGTGGAGCACAGTGTTATTAGCCACCGTGGGTATTGCGGGAAGCGTTCTTGCTAATAAAGAATGGTTTGATGACAACTACTACTCTGAAGTATGCTCAGGAATGTATTCTAAGCTTGATTGGGGTGGCAGTTATAGACCTCATATCGGTATGAAGTTGACAAGATTTGACAATTACAAAGTAGACACCAAGAAGAAAACACAGGATGAACACGATGATATCTCTCTTAGTTATGTGATTTTTGAATATAAGGATATCAATTCCCTTGGAGTGGTGCTAAATGAAGATACTCAACAGAAGAAATATATCTGTGACGATCTGGCAGTTAAACTGGGTTACTGTGATTCAAACGACAAGGGTTTATTCATCGTTAAGAAGGAAGGCACCAATTCATCTACTATCCACACTGGTATTGTCACCCAGTTGGGCCAATTACCTTATCAGTACAATATCTCCAGAACAGGTTACTACTGTGTGGCAACTTACAGCTTATTGGACAAAAAATATAGAGGTATTATTAATTTCCAGAATGCTTTTGGACATTTGTCTGCAAGTGAAATCCCTAAGTTACCTGCCTATGGGATCTTGACCATTTGTTATGCCATTGCTTTATCATTGTTTGGATTCCAATTTTACAAGAAAAGAAAACAACATCAAATCTTGCCGTTACAAAGATACTTATTGGCTATGTTTGGTATCTTGACCTTTGAAACTTTTGTGATTTGGTCCTACTATGACTTAGTTAATAGATCATCCAACCCACTGAATGGGTTTATAGTTTTCTACATGGTGTTCCTTTCCTTGTTGAATGCAACGAAGCTAACTTTTTCCTTCTTCTTGCTTCTTTGTATATCCTTGGGTTATGGTGTTGTGGTGTTGAAATTAAAAAAAAGTGTCATGTTCAAATGTAAAATTTTGGCAGGTGTTCAATTTGCTGCATCTGTATTCTATTTCATATCAAGTTATAGAAGCGCTTCATCCAATGCAACTATTACAGCAAGTTCTCCAGATGATGCATATGCAAGTCCTACGTTTACCGATTTGTTACCAATGATCCCCATTACAATTACTTGTACTGTTTACTATGCATGTATCTTAAATGCTATCAGAACCGTGTCGACCACCTTACATCAACAAAGACAAGTAATCAAGTTAAAGCTCTACAATAACTTGTTTTACATTATTTTTATGTCTGTGTTTATAACTATGGCTGGATTGGTTACTTCCTCATTCTTGTACCTCAGTATGGGCACCACTGAAATGATTGAAAACCACTGGAAGGGCTCATTCTTTTTCTATAATTTCTGGCCTTCAATTGTGTTCTTTATTTCATTCCTCTCAATTGCCTGGTTATGGAGGCCAACAGAGACTAGTTATATGTTAGCACTTTCTCAGCAAGTTTCAACCACAGCTGATGACGAAGAAGAAGGTGAGGAACAAGGCAATGGTTATCATCAAGCTGGAACTGAATTTGAACTTGATGACTTATCTTTAATGAGCAATGACGATGAACGTGGTCCTAGAAGATTATCGCATGACTCATTTGAATTATCAAGAGAAGGATCCCCAATACCACCTGAAGCTCCCCCTAAATACGATGAAGAGGACTCGTTGAAGAAAAAGAATATTGTGGATTCTCCCGAAAACTCAAATACTCTCTTTGAGCTAGGGGAAGAGGAAGATGATCACCAAGTACAAAAATCAGACTCACATACGAAGAGCGATAAATAAAATAATGTGAAACCAAGAGTATGTGTTTAGCGATGTACGTCCGGTATAGAATTATTGTCAAAATCAAGTATTTGCAACGTAGAGAATATTGATGTCATCTTCAGAATCTTGTATGGCAAGCCAATAATGCTGAGGGGTCTTGGGAGTTTGAATTCATATCGATTACAATTAAAATGTCTAGAACCGGACCCTTTAAGCATTCTCATGAAACTAAATGACGTAAGATGAATATGTATTAAAGGTGACTACAGTGGTAAGTTGCAATCATTAAGCATGTAGAGGTTCCAATGATGTTGCAGATTATCCCTTTATCGGAAAGCCGCCCGGCACCTACCGAAAGCTGCCAGAACCAATTGTATCTCTTTTCCTGAATACACACTATTTGGATATGAAATACGATTGAAATTATGCCAGACATTTTGTTGATGCAACTAGGATGCCTCCCTTTTGTTTCTATACGTAACAATACACATAACTTTAACCTTTAGCCGATACCATAACGATGACTTTCTCCTATTAAATCGCGGAAAGTAATCTTACTTCTGAAAGTACGGTATTCTCAAATCATCCTTCGGGTACGGTTTATGTGAAGCTGCATCTTTTGTTCTCTGTTGCCCCGGAATTACTGCCGATTGTACTACATGGAAAAACAATAAACAATGCAGGATTGTTCTGCGCTTGAACATAACTTTCGACCGCATATGCAAATGCCTGCATTGTAGAAGTACGCAAGGCCATCAAAGAATGCAGATCCTTATATGTTCTACTTTTCAGCAAAGCTCGACCTCACCACGTATATATTCTTGTAACCATCGACTTGGCACATTGAACAAAAATTGTCATTTTAAAAACGGCACAGATTCTATAGCTTCCCAGGGGGGGTGGGCTCAGTAGACAGCTGTGAGATAGAAATTTTTATGTTCCGGTCCGGAAAGAACTACAGCTTTACGTTTTGGTTCCGATCTTCTTAATTGCTGCAACATTTGATTCCTATTTGCCAAATAGCGCAATGAACAAAATTATAGTGTAGTTTATTATAGTTTATACTATGTTAGATTGGCTGGGGTTAATATGGAGTACTCCAGATTATCTCATTATTGCACTCTAGTTTGTTTAGTTCAGTTTAGTCAATTAGTAAAGAATACATGTTGCATTTCTGGAGTTGTTAAGAAACGCTTGGAGAGAACTTTGGTGTTGGTGTTCTTTGACTAGTTTTAGTACAACAATGGACCAATATCTGGTGTTTAAACTCAGGTAGTACTACTAAGGTTGTTGATGATTCCATTATGATAAGTTCATCGCCTAAGTTTCTTAATGGTGACCTTGAATGCCAAACTAGCAAGATTGAAACTAATACTTTGGTACTTTAAGGTAGCACACGTTGCACCTCCATCCCTTACGTCATTTAAGAGTTAACCACTATTGATATTAGAAGTTAATTATACTAGACTAGTAATACTAATATCTAAGGGACCTAGAAAAGAAGTGACAGTTTAGAATTAAGTTCAGCAGAAGATGTTCTAATAGGTCAAAATAGATTCTTTCTTCGAAATGGTAACTAAAAAATACAGTAATACCCCATAAGAAACTTGTTAGAAATCTATTTACCATGTCATTTACCTAAAATTGGTGCTCATGCTATGTATATTTAAGGTAGTATACTATGCATGTTGATCACACATATGTTTCGCCTATTTTTTTTTACATTGCTTTTAAATGCTATGATATTGCAATCAGGCTGATCAGTTGAGAGCATAATTTATAGTACATATTTCACCTGCGTCATACGTAATATGATCTAGTTTCAAGTGTTATTTCTGTTATGGCTTAAAGCAGGTTCATAAAAGGATATGTAAGCAGTTTCGATGGCAAGAAAATCCCCAAAAAAAGTTGTATACCACATAAAATTCACGCTTAACAAATACTATGCTATATAAAACGTTTATAAGTCGTTTATAAGTCATTTATAAGCCGCTTCTATTTGATATTTGTATTGCAAATCCACTTTTAAATGGCTTTTGGTCACTTCTTATCTTGTAACCAAACCAAACTTACCTTTATACTCATCTAAGGGAAAAGCGCGAACTGATAAAAACAAACTGTGGATAAATAATCAGCCACCCAGACTTGCGCCATAACTGATAGAATGCCTTCAGAAAAGGCAGTATGGATGCCTCCATCTATGAAGCGCTCAAACTCTTTATGGCTGTCTGAGCCCAAAAGTGCCAACGGATCCAACGGAGTAACGAGTTCTCCCACAAATAGTAACGATATAATTACCTTGAAAGTGGTAGGGGATAGCCCTGTTCCTAGAAGTGAGCAGAGAACACTGCAAAGATCGTTTAACGATAATTTAAATAGAGTGTGGGTTCCACTTCAAACAGTACTTGCACCGCTATCGACCGTAAAATGGCATTCGGACAGTAAGGATACCCAAAATGGGAATCCAAAGAGATCAATTCTGCTAACTGCGAAGCAAACCAAAAGTGCTACTGATAAAACTAGGAAACGAAGAAAGAAGGTATTGACACCAGTGGCGGCTGATTTTAATGTTAGTGGCTTGATAGTAGATTCTCCCGAGCCACAAGTTAATGGTATTACCATCGATACCAACGTGAAACTGGTAGAATCATGTAATAGTTCAGGCAATAGCAGCCTCATTCAGGAGACGGACTTGTTTTCAGAAACAGAACATCCTAATACTCAATCAAAAGAATCATCAGCCGTTCCTGTTGACTTTGAAGAGTCAGTTATCCCTCTAGATTCAACTGAAGATAGTGATATCCAAGAAGTAAGCCACATTAGTATTAACACCACCACCGCTTTTAGAGCAGCAGCTAGTCCTTCACGAGATAGATTTTCCATTGAGACATTTGTTAAAGACCCTGCCAGAGAGGCAAAAATTAACAGGTTTGTCAGACGAAGAGGATTGGTAGAATATTTCCGTACCCGGCTGCAAAAGAAAATAACCAAGAACCATTTGGCTGAACTCATACTATATTTGGGATACCCGGAGTTGTTAGTAAATTATGAACATAAAAGTGTCAAAGAGCTTTTAAAATTGCTCTATCAAGAAGTTAGTGTTTCCAGTATCCATAGAATTGACCCGAGAAACGAAACAATTTCCGACTTGAAATATTGTTTACTACATTCCAAACGTATCTTGGTGATAACTGGTGCAGGGATTTCCACCAGTTTAAATATTCCGGATTTCAGATCTCCCAATGGTCTATATCCAATACTAGCTCAGGAACTAGCGAACCCAGCTGATGTTTTCACATTGAAGCACTTTAAACTGAATCCAGAGTTATTCTATTCAGTTGCCTATAGAACACTACCACCAGAGAATGCCAATGTATCAGTAACACATTCCTTCATCAAACTACTACAAGATAAGGGTATTCTTTTGAGAGATTACACTCAGAATATTGATAATTTAGAGGTCAAAGCCGGTTTACATCGTGATAAACTTGTTCAGTGCCATGGCTCTTATGATGGAGCCCACTGTATCAAGTGTAACCATAAATACCCTGGGAACTATGTCTTCCCCTACATGAGGAGGAAACAAGTTCCTCTTTGCAAGTATTGTCAACCTGAGTCTGAACAAATTCACGATAACGTGATCAAACCAGATATAACTTTTTTTGGAGAAGCACTTCCTCGTGCTTATACTTCTCAATTTGGATCTGATTTTAGCTCGTGTGACATGCTCATTGTCATTGGAACTTCATTACAGGTGGCACCAATATCTAAGGCCATACACAAAATAGCTGCAAGAGTTCCCAAAGTATTGATCAACAGAGAGCTTGTGCCATATGATAATTTCAATTATCATTTACTTGGTGATTCTGATATTATTGTAAATTTTATTGCTAACCTAATGGATTGGAAAATTGATAATGAATCAGCATCACCGAAATCATGTAATATAATGAAGGATAATTCGGTAAAGAATGTATATAGATTTGGGAGTTAAATATAGAAAGTAATAAAATATGCTATACTATTATTAATATAAGTATGTAACGGGTTCAACCAAGCTCTTCCAATCTGGTGGTTAACTTTGATTCAACCTCTGACCAATTATCAATCAAACCCTTATAAAAGTTGATTTCTTCATCACACAATGAAACCATAGCATCTTTTAATTCCTTCTTATTAAACTTATCCCAATTGGGGTACTCATCGTTAACTATTTTGTCTGTAAGATCATTAACTAACTGGGTTTGAATGGCTATTTCATTCTCCAAGTTTTCTATCTTCTTCCGTAAACGAATTATCTTATTGTCTGCATTGGACGAACCTATACTAGAAGATGCTGAGGTTGAAATCGTATCCTTGATTAACTGAGTTGTTTGACTTACTATTCCACCACTTTGAACAGTGTGAAAAGCTGGGGTCGGTGGTGCCATAGTTGATGAAGTTTGAGGTCTCGATGTGGTTGATCTTTCCATATTCCCACCAAGAGAAACCAAATCATTTCTTGCTTTCAATAAATAATCTTGTAACACTTGCAAATCAATTCGTTTGTTATGATGCAACTCAATTAAATTGGTTAAGCTTATAATATATTTTGCACAGTCTTTCAAGACGTTTAAAAAAGACTCATCAACGTACCGATGAAGCAGATCCCAATTCTTCAGGAAATACTCAAGCGAATCAGAAAACACTTTCAAATTCGTTTCCAATTCATGATTTTCAGTATTAGGTACAGAATCTGCTTTTGTATCTTCGCTATAGCTATAATCAACCTTTGTTGTTCCATTACCTGTAGTGTTACCACCTTCAATTGACGATAACTTTTGGAGTTGCACCAGAAACTGATGATAATCAACACTCAAGTCGCTGTTGCGTTTATTTAATTTTGAGAATAACTTGTCCAATTTAACTAAATTCTCGTATAACTTTTTCAACTTATCATTGATTTCAAGTATGTCTTTATTTGTTTCCCTTTTATGTTTGCTTGATGTTAAAAAGTTCATTAAAGTTTCGGTCAACAAGTCTTCATTTACAACTTTATTAACAATGCTGTCATCTGTATCAAAATTCTTGCTTAATTTGAGGTTTTTCGAGAAGCTATTCCAGTCTTGAGTGTCACTTAAGAATAAATGGAAAACTGATGATTGTGAAAGAGTCTTGTGATTAAGAATGAATTTCACAAACCTGTCCAAAGAGTGTAATCTCTTATGTACAAAGTCAGTGCTAAAGGTATCACCAGTCAAGTATTTGAAATTCAGTTTCGATGGTAACGGAGGGGTCATGAAACCAGGATAATCATTAACCAAGCAATTGTGTAAGAAACGGAAATCTCCATATCGTCTTCTCGTTTCTATGGTAATTGACTTTTCTTCAGCGAGATCAGTTTTGCCACAAAGCTTCTTAAGTTGTGGATGATTAGTGGACGTGGTTATCAAATACGATATATACGGTTTAGAAGCAGTGTCAAGCTCTCTAGTAGGGGTAGTTACCGTAGCTGAAATATTATACTTCTCAAAACTGCGGATTTCTTCTTCCTGTTGTTGTTGCTGCTGTTGTCGAAGTATTTCTTGATCCTTGTTCATAGAAGTACTTGCAGATTCAAGAGCATTACTGCTAGAAGGTTTTGGTGTAAATTGTTGTTCTAAAGAAGACACTTCATCTTCACCACTAGGAGAAGTGGAATTAGGACTCGAACCCAAAACACCACCAATATTATCACCTGGAACAATTGTTGTTTCCACGTTAGCAGAAGTGGATGTTCCAACATCATCATCTGCCCCCGGGTCCTGTTGTTCCGTCTCCTTTTCTTTATCGGGTTCGACTATCTCTGATTCAAGATACGTAGGTGCGGGTTTATCCCGTTGAGTTTCAGGTTCTTCTTCCGTAATTGTCTCCTGTTGTTGTGAAGCGGAGCCTTTCACCTCGTTCCTGTCCCACTGGACAGATGTAAACTGATCTTCCAGAGTCATTATTGTTGATTAGAAGTAAGAACATATAAAAGGAAATCGCCCCTTAATCCCTAAAGATGAATTTGTTGGTTATCACTCAAATGGAGTATATGCAGGCGTGGCATGGAGAATATACTATACACTTGACATTGAGTATACTTGTTTGAGATAATCACTATAAGTTGAAGTAGCAGCAAGTGACTTACTTTGTAGTGAATTTTTTCTCATGAGCATCAGTAAACGGATTGACTTAAGATATTCAAGCTCTGTTAAAATGCTAAAAAAAAACGATAAAATACTACAACAAGAAAGGAAACCTCATGGCCACTAAATGATCAACCAAACAAATGAAGCAGTAAGTGATACTCCAATCAAAGCCGTAATAATGCCCGCACCGGCCTTGTCCTTTGAAGTCAAGTTTAAAGGCTCTGCATCTCTATTTGACGTTCCAAACCCAGCAGCTGGGTTACCTAGAGATGATCCTCCCGTGCTGGCTGTTAATGGACCTGGTCTATCATGGACTCGTAAACTCTGTATCACTTCCAACGCACTCATTTGTTCACCCAAACCCCAATATCCGTCCCATCCTTTCCATGACCAATTCAATCCACAAGTATGACCATCTGTACCTCCAGAACATGATTGAGCAGCAGCTACAGCACTACTCTGAATATACTTGTCAATTGTAGGCCTGGTGGAGGGCACCAACACACTGGTAAGAGCCAAGAAACGCGCAAAGTATGCCTTAAATGATCTTTGATCATTATTACAGTTAGACTTCGTTGCACCTTGACAAGCGGCTTCATACATAACTGGGTTTTCGGTCGTTCTATTAAAGAACACAACAGAACCAGCAAGCAAATTCTCAGTTCTGTTACACCATTTCTCTTCTTGGGTGTAATTACATAAGAAGGCAGCTCCATTAAGCATTAACCCTTGGTTATATGTCCATTGTATTTCGGTAACGTGAGAACAGTTAGTATTGTTTAAACCATCATAAACAAACCACAAGTTCCAATTTTCTTGTAATTTGAGTAATTCGACTTCTTCCATCCAATCCCAAACTTTTTCAGCCCAATCAGCATAGGAATCGTTACCTGTGTATCTTGCCAAACGAGCTCCGATATTAAACAAACACCCATTGGAAACTGAATTTTTATAATCATAACCCATATTCCATTGGAAAATCTGCCATCTCAAACCTCCACCACAATGTGCTACATCCCAACGAGCTGCCATGGTGTTGAATACACCTTGAGCGAGAGCCAACCATGCTTTCTCTGGATCTTTAGGATTGGTAAAGTTCTTTTCAGCCGCAGCCATAACTGCTAATCCCCAAAACCCTTGATCATCATTTCCTTCGGTAGTTGTTTGGTTTAAAGGCATATAATTATTTTGCTCACCTGTTTGGTATTGTAGAGAAGTTGATATCACATCCACATAAGTGTCGTTTTCCATAAGATAAGAAAAGTCAATAAGGGACCCCCATGCACCACCAGCTTCCCACCAATAGTATGGATTGGTGAACATCCCCACAGTTCCACCTTTTTTGTACCCTTGGTAATAATCCATCAACCCTGACAGAATTAGTCCTGTAGCCTCTTGGATCGAAGTAAGATTAGTGATATTTAAATTGATTGCCATAACTCTGGACACACATAGAGCCACAGCCCCAGTACGTATGAACAGTACCATCATCACGGCTTTAAGACAGGTTACAGATTAAGTAGGATTGTAGAAGAGAGGGAGAAGGAGTAGTACTAGGTTCAAATACAAATCTCCATCGTGAAAATTGCAAGGCTAAGTTCTAGGTTTTGTGTAACAACTACAATTGAGGTTGCGCTGATATAATACGCGTACAAGTGTTGATACCACCATGGAAAAGGTGATTACGATGATGATTACGGTGGTGATGATCATGCTGACGTTCATATCATTGGATTAGTTATCATCATAGTGTGATAACTATCAAAACATGGACTATGAAATTGTACTACTCGAATGCATCTGCAAGAGTTTATTAAAGAAGTAATCTAGTATTCAATTTATACATATCATCTTAAAACTGCGCCACAAGTCTTAGCGCATTCATCAATTATATCAATAACCATTGCTCCTATTAGTAGTATCAGTGTAAGAATTGACCAGTGTTGTTTTCATTCCTTCACTTTATTGTCCGCGCACAGTTACATCATAGGGTCATAAAAAGCATGTAAAGACACACCCACGGTTAAAGTAGAATGATTATACTAAGGTAAATCTGTATTGGATACTACGTAAAATTTATGAACACCAAAATTACATTTATATCCAGCTTGTGGTTTACTCACCAAACGTAGGATCAAGCTCCTTCACGGGCTCTACCTTAACACTACTAATATTTGTAGTAATGCCGTTTAAACTTCCACTATGAGTCTCAAGGTTCTGCGATATCGTAGGGTTAACTGTTGTCTCCATTCTAGAAACTTCTTCTTCATCGGTTCCATTAGTATCAACGACATCCGCCATATCAACATCCTCATCCTCTTCCTCATCTTCATCGTCATCATCTTCATCTTCCTCATCATCTTTCTTACCATTATGTGTTTCACCATTGGCCAAAGATGCTTCCAAAACTTTCTGTCTCTCTTCTGAGGTAGAAATTGCCTTTTCAAACTGGAGGAAGTCACTGACAAAATCCACCTTGGTCAACTTATCTACCAACTCTTGCTCCTCAGTTGGTAAAAGCAGCTTCTGAGATACTAATTTATCATACACCATGTAGGCAGTCGCAATGTTGTAACCAATCTCTGCATTTGGCATGTTGAAACTTTCGGTAGCGGCTCCAGTCTGTTCTCCGTTATTATGTGCTGAAATATCTCTAAGCCTATCCATAATCTTCAAAATTATATCTATCAACTTCTTAGAATATTCAATAGATAGACCATGAGCACGATGCGAAAATTTGATAAAGAGCAAATTCAACTTGGGGTTATAGTTCAAGTAAAGGTTGGATTCACATTTCGCATTCAAGTCCTTCGAGCACTTATACCAACTTTTAATTGGAGTTAAGTCCTTATATTGCAAAGCAAAATATTCAGAATTTTGTGCTTGTTGAGAGTGTGCCAACGGTAACTGCTGATGTGTTCGTATATCACTGGTACTTGATTTGTATTGTACAAAGTCATATCCTGATGATGCAATTACAACCTTCAAGTAAATTGTTTCCAACGTCTCTAAAAGGAAATCTCTAAATTGTTTCTCATTGCTGATAGTTTTGCCATTGGTAGCTAAATCATAGACAAATTGAGGATCAATTTCCTTAATAAAATATACAACCTCCAGGTCTTGGTATCTATGATTCTGAATATGCGAAACATACGCACCGAAATCTTCAAATACCTGTTGTTTCTCATATGGGTCAATAAGACACTTGAAGCATAAAGAATAGTTTAAACACATTTCATCAGTAGAATTTAACTTAGCGGAACAAATACAACAAAGTGACAGTTGACCAGGTTCTTCAGGGCTCAAAGTTCCTTGAGGTTGTCGATTGTGTAGAACATTATGGGACTTGTATAAATGCTGGCTATCAGAAAACTGTTGCTGTTGCTGTTGTGATATCTGATGTTGAGTTGAGGCAAGATATTGTTGATTATACGAGTGTTGTTTACCCGGGGCTCCAGTCATATAATTCCCTCCAGTCGCCGAATGGATACGTGATTCTCCAACATAGATGTTGTTTGGATACTTGAATTCCTGTTGAAAGCTCAAATTTGATGGTTGTGTATTCACATGGAACTTTCCTTGACCAGCAGAAATAGCAGTTGACAGATTATGTTGTGGCTTGAGCTCAGTCAGGGGTTGAGAAACAAAGGTTCCCACGGGAGCAGGTGTGGCTCTAGAAGACAGGGTATACTTGTCTGTATATTTATCCGAGATTGAATCAAAGTAGTCATGAGGGTTGTTGTATAAAGGGTTCAGTTGGTCTTCACGAAATTGCTTCATGCCATAGATCATGGTTTCCTCAGTAAGTGGCTTTTTCAGCTTCTTCTTTTCCCTTTCAATAATCCGACACTTGGCACATGTCTTATATTGTCTTACTTCCGGTGGTTCATCATCAAGTCTTCTTCTTTTGCACCGCCGACACCTTCGACCATCATTGCCCATGTATCCGTAATCCAAATCGCTCATTCTGTGAATTTATCGTTCAGGATTCTGAGAATTTTCGATATTAAAAATGGAAAGCTCAATAGTATGTGTCTCCGCAATTTTGAGGTTACCAATCCAATTAACGCTAGAAATCAGATTCTAGTTCGTTGTAGTTGAGCAAACTGATCGTGTAACAATAAGTCACCACAATGAAATATCTTCTCCTTCGATCAAAGTCTCTCCCTTAAATACGATAAAGTGCAAGAAACTCTCTATCTAGACCTTCTTTGAACTTTAATACCAAACTTATCGAACGAAGCAGCCTTTGTCAACAAAAGTAGTTATGATTAAGTTCATTTCTTCAAAGGCAGCCAATTTTTTCTGAAGGAAAATTTGTTGATGTTCTTTTTGTGCTACTTTATTTCAGCTACTAGGCACTGGTCATGAGCCTTTTCAGTTTCTGAAGGCGTTTGGAAATGCTGATGCGACATTTTCCATATTGATCTACAACATTCTATAGTCATTTCCTAATTACTGGTCAATCTTTAGTGGTGCTAAGGTATTTGAATTGGCTGCAACTTGGGTGCAATTGCATAAAGAACTGGGTGCGATCTGGGTGCGCTGCGCAAGGAAAATCTTTGGCAGCCATTTTCAGGTACTCCAGCTAGTCGCATTACTAACTTGAACTAAGATCTACTCCCTAATACAAATTTAGTGTTGATTTTTGCTTAAATTAAGTACATTTCAACATCGTTTAGGTGATTTATTATCCATATGGTTTTATTATTAGTAATCTTGCAGTCACGTGCCGCGGTAGCGCCGGAATTCTTGAATACTTGCAACGCGTAATAAAGATATTAGTGTGGAATGAGTGTATGATATGGACAGTAGAAGGTGTTAATAGAATTACTACCGATATATATAATCTGATTGAAGTAGAGATATTTTTGCTTTGCTAAGAACGCTTTACGATGGTTTGTCCACTCTTTTTATAATTAATTTATTTTGCGTACTCAACAATTTCAAACGTAGTGCTTTCGTTAACTAGTCATGACAGTGGCTGGTTCCAAATACCATCTTTTACATTAGTTTCAACCATTCAATAAGACCTATATATATCAAGATTATGAAATAAAAGGGTACAAACAATTGTTCCAAGTTCTGTACCGACATCTATGGACTGCACAGTATTTACATCGTTCCTTGCGATCCGACCTCTCGATGCTTTGGTAATACGTACATACATACCTATATGTATATGTATATATTTAACTAAACTAAAGTTATCTAGTCGTACGGTAAGCAGAATATTTTGATAAAACATTATTTTTTTTGATAGCTTTTTTTTTTCTTCAAGCTTGGTGCCATAGACTTTTTGTGTATGGCATAACAATATCAATAATAATTATAATCTCCATGTAGAAGATGCAATCCATTGGCTTCAACATTGATCATTTATGGTATGTGCACTACCAAAATGATGTTCAAACTTTGAAGTCGAAAACAGATACCCAGCCCCTTTAGAATTACAACTAAAGGTCATAAGTGGCATAAGTGCTTCGCTTAGTAGTCGGAAAACTGGGTATTAGTAAATAGGATTAGGTATATTTAGCTAGGCTACAAGGATTCTTGAAATCAGTGAACTCTTACACACTACTCAGGATTGAATGGAAACCCGTCCTAGAAACTTTATTAGAAATTACTACTACTGATAATTACCTTAGGAGATAGAAGACATTAAATTCATTTGAAAATGTCTAAGTCATTTGTGCGATCTATTAAGAACGTCACCAGTGGATACTCAAGTGTCCAAGTGCTGGTAAGAAATGCAACGTCGAACGACGCTTCTGGTCCAACAACTGGAGATATGCAAGAACTTGCTGGTTACACTTACCAGACACAGACCGACTTCCTTGAGATTATGGAAATGTTGGACCGTAGACTCAATGATAAGGGTAAGAATTGGAGACATGTGGCTAAGTCTTTGACAGTATTGGATTATTTAGTACGTTACGGTTCAGAAAAGTGTGTTTTGTGGGCCAAGGATAACATTTATGTGATCAAGACTTTACGTGAGTTTGTTCATTTTGATGAAGGAAATAATGATCAAGGAGCTATTATTCGTGTGAAGGCCAAGGAGTTATGTTCGTTATTGCGTGATGACGAGAGACTACGTATTGAAAGAGAAATGGCTCAGAAACAAAGTCGTAGAGGAAGAGATAACGAAAATGGTCGTAGAAGAAATGGTCGTGGAGGAAGACCCGACGATGCTTATGATGACGACTTGGCTCGGGCTTTAGAACTATCAAGGCAAACAGCAGATCAAGAGACTAGAGAACGGCAAAATGATGTTGAAGACCCAGACTTGGCTGCAGCCTTAAAGTTATCCTTAGAAGAAGAGGAAATGAGAAAGCTGAAACTTAGTGATAATTTGTTGGACTTGGATGATGCTACTTACAATCAACAACAACTGCAACCCCAGCAATATTACATGGCAACTGGTTATTACCAAATGCCTCCACAACAACAACAACACTATGCTACACAACAACAATATGATATGTTTGGAAATCCAATTCAGAACCCTGTGGCTACAGGCTTGTATCAAATGCAATATTTGCAACAACAGCAACAACAACAGCAGCAGCAGCAACAACAACAACAACTTCTTCTCCAGCAGCAACAACTTGCTGCTGCTCAACAACAACAAATTCCTCAATTTACTGGATTCAATTATGGTCAACCACAACAGCAACAGCAAGAACCCATGCAACCATTGAAAACTGGATCCAATAATCCTTTTGCTATTGGAAATCCTACTGCTGTGGCTTCACCTCAAAAGCCTACATTAGATACTTTGACAGAACAAAACGTTACCCAACTGCTTCCACAAGCTCAACCACAGTTGGCTGCCCAAAATACGTCATCTTCCAAATATAACGATACCCATGAGTTGAATGCATTGTTGGCCCAAGGTCCTGGTATTGATACCTATGGTAACACAGGAGCTAATAGAATACCACATCAACACACAAAGACTCAGCAGTTTATAAACTCAAGTGGTACGGGGTATAAGCAATTCACTGGCGCAGATCAAAAGTTGTCTTTGAACCCCACTGGTAATCCATTCATAGGTGGTGGAGCTACTAATGGTTCCTCTTTTGCACCACAACAACAGAACCCTGCTCTTAATCCTATCTACACCGGATATGGGTTTGGAAACGCTCCTCAACAACCTCAACAAGCCCAAAAGTCAGATGGGCCTAGTTTGATAGACATTTAAGTACCAAACAAAGAAGTGCGCTACATTATCATCATGTTATTCTTGAATCCAGTATTCTTCAATTCCAAGCACACATTTAGTTCCTTTAGTGGTGGATGTTTAGAGTTATCTTTTCCCGCTGTAGTACTACATAAAAGCATAGCTATATATATCTGTCTTTATTCGATTCTGTTATCATACTATATCATAAAATCAGAAAGTGGCTGTAATTTCATCAGAAAGATAGACTTAACACACCAATCCCATTCAATAACTATACCATGTTCAACAAACTGCTTGAAATTCTTAATGAGTTTAGTATCCTTGGATTTGCTGGCAATTAATATGACTTGGCCTTTATCGTCTTCAAGCAATTGCTTGCTATTTGAGGAATTAACATTCTTTATGCTCTTACACTCCACATTCTCACCATGACTAGACAAAATACCTGAAATGACATCCGTTCCACCATTGAGGTTAATTGATAGATTGAATTTGCTATTTTCAAACAACTTGCCCTTTAAATTACTTCCCACTAAATGAGCAAGTTGGTTTTCTGAATCTTCTGGGTGTCCAAGTTCCACATTGACTTCTGCAACAGAAAGCACTTTGTCTAATGAATATTCATCAACATGGGATTCCCAATTGTCCCAATGATTGTTTAGCACGGCCGTGAGGAAAGAAGGATGAATTATTCGGTCAGCGGTGGCCATTGTAGAAAGAAACTTGGCTGTTCTTAGTATCTTGGGTGCAATTATTGTATCTATGGGTATATGTTTCTTGGGTACATCAGAAAGTACCTTTATTCCTAATTCCAAAAGCTTATGACTTGTGTTACGGTTTAATGTGAACTCATTCTCACACCCGGTTATGATAGCATGTAATTTAACTTCCTTCGGAGCCAGAGGTGGGGTCTTGGTTTTTTTAGATAGCTTATCAACATTATTTTCGTCAGAGTTGGATTTTGATTTCCCAATTTCAATAGAGATCTCCTCCATTTCATCTCCTGTTACCAGAAATTGTTTCTTTTTGACAGATGGAGATAAAGGTGGTTCCATTTTTTGCAAGCCGTCACTAAGAAATTTATCCAACTTTCTTTTGCTCGACTTCGCTTTCTCGTAAGAGTTTAAATCAGACATATCTTGATGAAGCCTCTCTGCTGCCTTCAATGCAGCAGATCTACTTCTCCTAAAGCCTGATCCATTAACAGTCTCATCTTCAGGAGTGGTCTCTGGAGATTTGCTTCCCATGTGTGTGTAATTTTCCTTCTCCTCTGGTAAGTCTGAATCTTTAAATTCAAGTGTAGCAGACTTCTCTACGCTATGTGGAGTTAAGAAATAATGACCATCATCATCATTAGAAGCAATTACATTCCCTAATGAACTTGCTTGATCTTTGTACCAATAACTTAAAATGCTTTCTTTTAGTTTGACAGTACCAAGTAAATGCTCCACATTTTGATCAGATTCGTTGCCAAAATATTTATATCTGGGATCAGCTAGATCATCTAACAATTCCCATTTAGCAAAACAATCTTCTACCCAATAGTGGTTCACAACTTTTATGTGTGACCATTTATTAGAAGCGGCTTCGAATTTCCTACCTTCTTGACTAGCTGCAACTAAGTAATCATTATCTTTCCCTAGACTTTTAGTAAATGAACCACCCATAATGCTTATTAACGTTGATAAATAGACCCGAGCAAGTCCACTGTAGTTGGTAATTGAGATTTTAAGTCCCTTAAACTCATCAATGGGATTCATTGGTACTGGGTAATGCAAAAGATTGGAATTAGTAGGAAGTTTCCACGTTTTGGACACTAATAGTGAATACAACCATTCCATTGTCCCCACTATTATTCGCTTCGATGCACAACTACTTTGGTAATGCTTACCTCGACGATACTTACCTATGTAGATATCAACATCGTCCTCTGAAAACGTTTCTTTCATGATACCCCCATGCTTTGCAACTAGATCTACAATTGTCTTGAATAGTCTTTCTGAAACATTGTAGTCTGAATGAATAAATACTCTTTTGCTTTCTAGAAACATAGACGCTTGTGACTTCTTACTATGATTATCATCATTATGGGGTATTTCCCATTGGTCATCTTGACTTAGTTGCGTTTCCAAGTTGACAATATCCAACGAAGAAGCAGGTTCACGTTTGCCATTAACTAAGATTGGGGGATTAGGTAATAAATATGGCTTCTCGTCTAACATTTTCCCAGCTTTAAAACAATCATCTATCCAATGAGGTAAGACCACTTTAATAGCTGGTACAGAATCATCCTCAGCACCAGCTGCAACGGCGGCCAGGGCGATTATGGACTTTTCAGTTTTCATATCTAAACTGATTAAATGGGTTGTAAATTTCGATAAATCATCCAAATAATGTCCGCCGAACGCCGCTATACCTCCGTAGATCAATTCCTTATCCCCTGGAGGTAAATTATCTGCCACACAAACAAAGCAGTCTTTCATGAAATATTTAGGGTCTGGGTTATATATCTTTACTGGTTGCAATTTGTTGTAGTTGACACAGTTAGTTACCCATAGAGGTGTTGTTACAGGAACCATATGAGTTATAGCTGTTTCATATTCTATGAAATCGGTTTCTTCACATATTATATGAGTAATGCGTTTAGATGACCAAAGGTAGTTCTCTTCATTACTATAGATATGCTTGACAAATACCTTAGTGGCACCATGTGCTTCCAAAATACTCTTGATATCATCAACATTAGAAAACCGTGCTGACTCCACTAGTAAATACGTTTCACCTTCAAACATCGCCATTGAGTTAGAGATGTATTCTATTTTCGTATGCAGAGATCGTGTTTTCTGATCCAAATGGCTGAAAAGTACGCGTTTGTTTGGCGCGCTACCAAATAATTATCACCAAGTTTATTCAACAAAGTTACAAAGTTACCTATCAGACTTAATAATCATATCACCAGGGCCTTGGTCTCTCGAGCACTTAAAGCTCAAATAGGCCTATGCTGTCACTTTGGGTACTGAAACTATATATTGTAATCTTCTTAACCATCATAAATGTAGTCCATGAATAAGCCATGTGATATTCATATAAATCCTTATTATTTACGAGAACTAATGTCAATGATTTGTGTTCAAATGTATTAACGTGTGTATTGACTTCTGTAATAATGTAGAAACAGGAGCGACGAGAAATTGTAACGCTATCGAATGGTTTGTGTTCAGATCAAATAATTAAGTTCATCTGATTGTTGATCGGTTCCCCAGCAAATATGAGTACATACTGAATCTATTACGTGGATCGTGATATAAATTAAAATGGCATAATGTATAAAAAGAAAGCAAACCAAACTATAATAACAATAATAGTAATAAACAAACGAGTGCAAGGAAATCAACAAAGAAGGACAAAGAAGAACCAAACGACTAAAAAAAACAAAACAAAAAACATAAACGTACTACACATGTCCAAGATAAAACATGTGTGAGACGTGATCGTGCATATATATGGAATGAATGGAAAAAGTTGATGACGAGCCATAAATATACTCATGACAACAATAAAGAAATGATAGAAAAATCAATATTGATGGATATAACTGATAAAGTCAAAGTGCATGATGATATGGTCAACTTTGGCATCACCGAAGTATCTTAATTAAAATGTAATGCTATGACAGATGAAGAGTTAATGGGTAGATGGGCATTAATCATTCAAGCTTTGAAGTTTAAAACTAGATTTCAAGGAAAAATGCAATTTAGAAAATGCAAATGGATATGTGGAATAAGTATTGGACAACACCTTATGAAGTAGTGGAAGTAGTGCTTGGAACTGTAGTTGAAGAAGTCGAATTTGATGAAGTTGATGTTGACGATGATATACTATCGAATGAACGTTTGGTCGTGGACAACAGTTCGTCGAACAAGTCTTTATTCTCCTGATGAAACTTTTTAGCCCAGCTTCGACACAAGAGCGAAGCTTTCATAAACTTTCTGCTTGTATATTTTCTAAAGAACTCATCATGCTCCACTGGGGCAATCAAATACTGGAAAAGAAGCCCTACACAATGCTTCATATCACTTATAGTGTATCCTCCAGAATAGTGAATAAGGTTGCCGGTCCAAACTGGTTCCTTGCCCAAGATCAACCGGGCTAAGTACATTGCCGAAGCACAGCAAAGTGATGGCTTCATCCCTATGAATTTGTAATCAACGGCTGTGATTTCCACAAGGTATTTACCAAGGGTTCTAGATTGAACATCATAATCGTCTGCTTTCAGAATACGCCGAAGAAAGTTCATAGGATTAGGATAATTCAAATCGAAATCAAGAATGGTTAGGATATACTTTTCTGCTTGAAGAATTTCCTCTTCTGTACTTGCACCATCTGTAAAGTAAGCATAATTTTTTACCAGTGGGCTGAATACTTCTTCATACTTGGCAGCTATGAATAATGATGCAGTCGCTAGCAATTGTAATTTATCCACCTGTACTACCTCAACCGACATAAATCGGTCCATTATATTAATAGCAAGAAAGAGGGACTCTGGAAGTAACCGGAACCGAAGATGCATATCTACCAACCAATCTACTAGAATGGAACGCATCTTAGGTTTTAAATGTCTCTGTTTGTAGAGATATTGTGGATCGGGAAGCATACGAGTTTCTAAATCAGAAAAGTAAGAAAAAATATCCAGCACGTACTCGTGGCACATAGCGGGATCATCATAATCCTCGGCATCAAGGTCATCATATTCATATTCTATCTTTCTCTTATCTGCTATCTTTGTCTTCTTATTATTTAAAACAGCAGTGAGATTTGTTGAAGATTCTGTGGCTTGTCTCTTTTGAGGCATTCTAGCTGGCACGGGACCACTTTTGGTAGTTGAAGGAGCAACACCATTATTATTATGTCTAGCTTCACCTTGAGGCCAGTTTCGACGGTCCAAGTTCGAGACATCATTTAAATACAGTCGTACTGGTTGTTGATCTTCTCTATTTTCTGATTGGGACTTGGGAGCTTCTAGCACAGTAGATCTACGTGACTCTTGTGTATGTTCCACCACACTCTTCCGAGACCGTGTTATTCTATAGTCGTTTTCGTTGTTGACAGCTACTGGAAGCATCTTTGTATGACTAAATGTAAGTTGATCTCCAAAACTAGTACTAATGAAGAGAAATGATATAAAGAAGAATGTTGTAGTAGAATCACGCAATTGGAAAAGTGACGTTGGTAGAAACCCAATAAAATAAATAATTAATTGATTGATTGTATTGGTACCAAAACTATTACACTAGCAAAACTCTAATACAACAAACTAACAAGTAGAAGTAGAAGTAATGGAGATTCTTAGTAGAAGTAAGCAAGTAAGCAGTAGTATTAGTTTGTCGATCTCTTCTCATTGCTCTTTCTAACTCGTGGTTGGAGAAACTCCTTCCTTCGGTGGTTTGGTAGCGCAAGGACAACACCAAAACAGGCCGAAGTGAAAACTTTAGCCGCGTTTTGGGACAGTGTGAATTTCATTGGAGACAAGATCCCATAACGTACCATTCCACTAAATATGTGTTATACACCAACCAGCACACATACACATAGCGCAAGGTACAACTCGATCTACAAGTTCTAACTTTTATAAGCACATAACAATACTAGAGGTTGAGATCTTACATTATTATATCAAATTTTGCAATTATACTTTAGCGTGTTTTGTACTTAATCCATCTTCACATCCTTGCAAAAATATCTGCCTTAGATACTAAACTCAATTCTGACCCGCAATTTACTTCAGTGTACATCTTCTTGGTGTATTCGTCCCTTTACGGATAGATGATAAACAAGGCGTTTTGGCACCGCCGCATCACCAGGACATTGGTCCACTTCATTAAGGGATTCGTGTTTGGTGAAAGTTATACTGCACACGAACGACTAGATCATAAGCGGGAAATATTACTTAGTTTGGGATGTTTCAAATAGATTGATACATTAGTGGATTCTATACTTGAATTCCGTCAATTACTAGGCTGCTAAATATATACATATATATGATTTGAAAGTCATGGTACCAAATATGTCAATGGGCAAGAAAACGGTGCAACCATTTTAGAAGTACTCATTTTGTTATTATCCTAATCAAGATACGTAAATTGATCCTCAATTCTGTTGCCCTATAGATACCTTCTATACATTTACCATTGTAGTAGTAAGATACCTGGTTTGTTCTGGACCGCTGTAGTTACTGTATTTGGTACAGTTACTGTTACTGGGCGACAGAACCACCATTTCCTCTTTCGCGCTCTATAGTACACCAATCACGGTGGAAACTGCCACAATACCATAAATGGAGCCGTTCATTTTCTTTACAATCCATTACCGCAGAAACGAACTAGTTTCCATTCTTCCTGATTAGTTATCGCGTTCTGCTAATAACATTTCCCTATTCAATCTTAATGACTTCTGTGTTTCTAAATTGTCCATTTGTACTCGCCCATTAGATTTAGCGTGTTCTCGGGTTCAACTTTATCTTTACCCACACTCTTATTTTTTTGTTGATTTTCATCAACTTCAGAACATTGACCACATTGAGGTTGAGGTTCAAAGAATGATGTATTTTTACCTATCTCAAGTTGGATTTGTTCGTTACCAGGGTTCTTTAAATGGGTCAAAACTTGGGCATTGAGTTCACGGTTTTCTCGCAATGCTTTCAATACAGCTTCCAGTAACTGTTGATTGAGACTATTCATTCGATGCTCCTCTCCACTGATTTTGTGGCTTTTATCTTCCTCAACTGCATCTTCAAATTCTTCTTCTGTTTCAATGATTTTAGACGTTGTTGTAGGGGCTGATCTAGGCCTTATGCGATTGTTCTTTTTTAAACCGGTAATCTCCTCTTGAATAAGTCGTTTGATAAGTTGTTCAAGTGCAACTTTTTCGGTATCAACATTCTTTTTCTCCTCATGATTTTCCTTCTTGTTTGAATCGGTAACTTCCATTCGATGTAAGATATCAGTGAATAATTGTTTAAAATCTGCCTCTGATTTCCTTCCTTCATTATGGTTGGATCTTTCAACTTCAATTGAATTTTCTTGTGGTAGTGGTGGGGGGGACGGTTTTTGTATCGATGAAGGTCGTCTAAACATTTCCTCTATTTTGAAATAAAGTTCCTCCATAGTAGCTGAGCGGTCAGCACCCTTATTACTTATTATCAACTCTGCGTTAGACTCTTGCTTTAAACCCTTTTCATAAAGATTCTTATACTTGCTCAACTTCTCACGTAATAAACCATTCTCTTCTAATAATCGAGCAGTTTGTTTTGGATATCCGTCTCTCAATTGACGCTCTAAGGAAACAAGTTGTCTTTTTAAAGAATTATTCTCATCTACCAAATGAGATTCTCGTTCTCTTAACATTTCAGATTCTCCTTGAATTTTACGAAGCTGAAACGTCAATTCCGTCAATCTAGCTTCTCGTTGCTTACTTTCCAGAGCTTGACCTTTGGCATTTCTTTCCATCTCGTCTAATACTCCAAGGGTTTGCTTAGCCGCTATCCTTCCATATGTTTCTGGAACTGAACTAAGCCGAAGAATCTGTTCATCGATATCCACATCATCATTAGCAAACATTTGGAGTGGTTGCTTACTGGAACTATTCCTTGTAGGATCAGCATTTCCACTTCCACTAATTAACCTTTCATTAACAGTCCCTCCAGGCCGGATCCAGTTGGCCAATAACTCCTCTGTGTTGTTCATTATTATTAATCTCTATGCTGATCTCATTTGATCAATTTGGTGTGCGCTATATGAACCGCTCAATAGGTAAACATTAGATAATTGATTGATGTTTACCTGGTCGCGCTTATTTTTTGTACCACGACCAGCGAGTTAGCTGCAAACGGAAGGCATTAGGAAATAATTCCCTATTACTGTTGTAATTGTTATAAACTCTGTATTACTCAGTCAAACAGAATATGATTACGTCCTCTACAGTTCTTAACACTGAGCAGACTAAATCAGTGAATGCATGGCATCCGGTAAATGCTTATAAAACTAGATGCTTATACGTAATTACTCTTCAACAAGTACATGTACCAAATAGTCGAGTGTCTTCCCTACTGCAGTGATATGCCATGGAACCAATCCCCGAGCTTTGAAATTTGTCTGTCGAGGATAAGTTTCATCAATCCCGTCAACCACGTTTTCATCCTTCTCTTCAGTATTCTTGTAGTACCCGTCAAATTCTCTAAGACCTAGAACATCATTTAATATTATTAACTTCTGATATTGCTCCAAAAGTATATGCATCAACAGAGGCAAACTCCAAAACGCCGAACAACTGAATAAACATACTTCATACACCAAATACCTGTGCAGATCAAATGGCTTTACCAAGTAGCCAACCATCATTGCCAATCTAGTGGGTGAACTTAATGGTGGGAAGGGCAACTTTGGTACAATTCCAATGAACTCTGAATCAGCATGAGTAACAACTAGATCTGCTCCATCAATTAACCCTGAAAGACTCGAAGTAGTATTTGAAAGCCCTGCTGCTGTAGACGAACTTTGACTATAATTCGAATTGTTGTTGATTCCAATAGTAGATGGAGTAGATCCTGGCCGCCCTATGTTGGCTTGAGTACTGCCATCTGAAGTTCCAAGACCTCCTATACTCCCACCAGCTGCTGAACTATTACCATTCCCACTTCCAATGTCCTTCTCTAACGGGGAAAGAAAGTTCAGAGGCATATTTGCAAACTGCTGAGGAGAATGAAGAGAGAATGCTGAAGGTGAACCTAAAAATCCGCTGGTTCCAACCCCTGAATTACTTCCCTGGGACCCTCCTCCATTTCCTGTTTGGGATCCATAAGCATTAGATTGTCCCAAATTTGGTGAAGGTGCTTGAGACGATGTCAGATATGAACGCATAAATAAGTGTTGTTGGGGAGACATTTTAGTCTGTGAGAAACTATTCTTATTATCACCAGAATTTGTTCCAGTGTTTGTCAGTAGCTGGTCAATGCCACGAATAGCAGGTGTTATTTCACGCTCAAATACAAGCTTGGGTGCACGATTGACAGAAAGGACTATCAAAGATATATCTTTGTGGTTCACACTTAACTTCTTCCAATGAATCAATTCGTCATCAGGAATAATGCTATTGATCCGAGTAAGAACCAAAAACTTCTTACCTCCTATAACATTGGTTTTCTTAATTATTTCGTTATTAAGGATTTTGAATAAGTCGTTGCTGATACGCCATATTTCCTCACTGATTTGTCCTATTTCATACACATTGGCATGGAAGTGATTGTGTAAATGATTTTGAGTGTTCCCATTATCCATTTTTCTATCAATTGGACAATACCATGATTTGGTGTGGGTAACAATTCCTAATGGGTCCAGCCAGGCAGCAGAAACCCAATTTTTATCTATGGAACGTTCGTATGCCAAATGCAAAAATATATCATCATTATTGTTAACTGAGCTCTTAAGATTGTTAGCAGAGTTACCTAAAAACTTAAATTGAATCTTTCTTGGTGGCTCCTGAACAATATTGGTGTATAACTTTCGTACTTGAAATGCTGTGGGTGATCCTCTATTTGGATCGGGACACATGTTGTAAAGCATCATGGAAAACTTCGATAAACTGTAATTAGAAACCATCTTCAGACAATACTCATTGTGCTTTCTTTTTACAATGAAATCTGCCGGAATTATCTTGACAAAAAATTGCACTAATGGAAGCTGATGTTTATCCAATGCCAACTTAAAGTTTTTGAAGATCTTGGAGATTTGTAATATTGAATTACACTTTTGATTAAAATCAACAAACAATAAAAGTAAAGGCCGATTAAACTCAAACTTATTTGTCTTGTTTATGAGATCAAGTTTGATTTGTTCCACGATTAACTCTAACTGTTTGTGGATCTCTTTGTAGGATTCATTGAATGTATGAGTTCGATCCCGTTTCACAAGCAACATACCATTATCTTCCTCTGTCCTTCTAACATTCAATTTTGAGATATTCCCCAAATTGCATTCGCTATAATTTTGAATCAAGTTGTTCATGAATTGACTATTGTAATCGAAGATGCTGTTTGTAGTTGATAACGAAGATACTCCACTTAATCCATGATTCTCAAACAGCGAGGGTAAATGTTGTTCACTAATTAATAAAAGTTGAAAGTTTTTGGGTTCATTTAATGGAGATAAGCTGAGCATTCTCCAAAAGTTAATACCCAAATAATCAAAGTTTATAATATCAGAAAACTTCCTAACCCTTGCTTCAACAACCGGTAATTTGAAGCAAGAATTCTGATCTATTTGAAAATGGTTCCCTTTAACTAGGCCATTCACTATGGCTTTATATTTATCAAACTTGTCCTTGTTTCTTGTATCGATATTGATTGTGTCATATTCTATTTCATTTAGCTTTTTAAACTGGGATTTGGGATCAACTTCATCTCCCAAGTCGTTCAAAAAGTCAAGCTCTTCACTAACTCCACCATTTATATCGCTATCCTTTGGTGTGACATACTCATTGCTACCAAAATCACTCCAATTATTTATAAATTCAATGAGATTAACCTTGTAACAGTATGGGAAGACTTCAAAAAAAGCTGATTCAAATGATGCTGGAGGACACTCCATGTCAACTTCGGATACACGGAGATCATTTCCTTCATTTATTAACTTCATGTTGGTGAATGGTTCGTTTAAACCATAGTCAAAAATGATGTTCTGGGTCAAGTAATCCAAAAGAATGTCAAGGTGAAGAGCATCACTTACCACCATTTCATTTTCTCTAAAATCACCAAATTCACTGATAGCAATATTCTCATCTTCTTCCATCATACTGAAATCCTCAATTATCTTGGTTTCCTTACTTTGGGATAAATTATTTGTCATAAAAAACTCCGGAATTGTAGATACATTTATACTCCGTAGAAGCAAAGGTAAATAGTTTGAGGTTTCAGGTTTAGATTCATCTTCACTGTTGCTTATCGTTCCTCCTATTTCTCTCTTCTCTGGCGAAAATGTTGAAAATTGCATTCCTGAAGTTTGCAAAGTAGAACCTGGAGATCCATTCACATTGCTATTTGAATGGCCCGTTACGGCTATAGTTGTGTCGTAACTCATTGGTGATATACCAGGAAATGAATTTCCAGTTCCAACAGAACTGCTATCTTTTACTAATTGATCATCGGGAAACTGACGGGAGCCATTTGGTCTAAGTGGTGATTGAGTCTCTTGGTAAATATTATGATTTGACATTGACATACTGCCCCTTCTAGACCTAGAAAATCCTCCCATTGGACTGCTAAACGAGTCAAGTAAGTGCTCACTCTCGGTGTTCAATATTAATGGAGGAGACTTGGAGAGCTTGTTTGTACCTTGGAAGACATTGGAAGCACCATTTCCAGTTGAAGAGTCAACAAACAAGTTGTCTTCGTCTTCATCACTGGACATTTCTTCTTCGTAAACATCATATGAATTTTCATCGTTGTCGGAGTCACCTTCGATCGCTTCTTGCAGATATGCACCATTCAGGATTGCTGCCTTTAATGATCGATCTTCACGTAAGGGTATTTCATGGCCACTGACACTTGTAGCCCGTATATACTTCTTCTCCACAAGAGGAGTAGAGTCCTTTCTAACATAAAACTTCCCACCTTTACCGTATTTAGTATCAATATTGTTCTCGATGATTGGGTTGAACAATATAGGAGAAAACGCTGATTTGATCCCATCGTCTGAACCAGACGTAGGAGGCTTTACAGGATACTGCGTACCTTGACTCTTATTTGAGGAAGCAATTTTAACATCATTGGGGACATAAGGAGCTGAGAAGGACGCCGTAGAACCCGGTCCACTAGTTCCTCCGTATGTAGCACCAAACGTATTTAACATGGGGGTTGGCATAATTGGTAGTGGGGCTCCAGGATCATCGTATATAGGAGTCTGGGATTTTTTAATTGTCATTTGATCTCTTGGAATGTCAATGTAAGTTGGTTTGGATTGACCGGAACAAACTGTTGGTGTTCCAAGAGCGGAAACAGTATTACTACCTTGTTCAAACTTGGGAGTTAAGATCTTCAATGTGTTGTCCATACTCAACTTTTTGTTTTCACTCTTATTCTGTGCTGCATCAATGATATCATTGTCTCTTTGACCAATATCAGACTTAATATCACGAAATATATTCGATTTCAATTCAGAAGTATCATTCTGTCCAAATTCTTTAAACAAATCACCTTCTAATTTAACCAATTCTTGTTCATTCAGGTGTTTGATATTTTCACTCCCATCAGGAATCAAGTCATCATAACTCTTTTTCGATTTTGCTTCTTCATCCTCCTCGTAATCGGATCCACCGAAAAGGTCATCTATTTCCATTTCATCATCTTCCTGTACCCCTTTCTGTTCACTTTCTTGACCTTCAATCTTTTCATCAGTTACTACTCCTGTAAGGTATTCATTCCCCTCTGAGTGGCTTACTTTGGAGACTTCAGTAGAGATTGATAATTTCTTATTTCTATTGTCCTGATCATCTGTTGAAATTGTTCCATTCTTTATTGAAAAATCTGTTCCTGCGTTGAAGAGTTCACCCACCATGGGCGCCAAATCATCATAAGTATTTCCTTGTGTTCCTTCAGGATTATTTCCACCTGTGCTAATATTTGTAAGTGGTTGAAAAGTATTAGGGTTCCAAATGTTTCCAGAATTCATATGATGATGAACCTTATTTGCTTGTGAAATGTTGAAATCAATAAATTCTGAAATCAAACTCAAGGGATTATGCAATACTGAATCATCTTCTGTCATTAAATTACCACTTGTGTTTGGCATGAAATGTTCATATGCTCCAAATTGAAGGAGACATAGCTCCCATGGCCAGTATACAAACTTTTTATTATTTATAGAATGGATGAACAAGGAGATCTTGGATGTCAAGTTATTCATATGCTTCAAATTGGGAATTAATTTGACAAAAAGAACTTCTTCAAGTTGCTTAGGTTCATCTTCATTAGATTGATCAGGTGTAGATGCAAATGGCTTTTCAAGACCGGTATATAAGCGGATCAAACGATAGAGTTCATCTGTCTTTCTATTTATCTTTCTTATAACAAAATTTTGATTCAAATTAATAGGATCGAACAAATGGCATCGTATTGGATTAGGAAGCAAATAAATAGCAAAGTTCAAATCAATTAGCTTTGGAATTGTATCTTTGTTAGGAAGAACAAAACTTGTTTTCCGTCGAGCGACAAGTGATACTAGTAAATCACCATTGGGCAATAAAGTAGGGTCAATGTTAATAAAGTAGAGATCACCAGATGCTGTATCAGAGTAAACAGTATAGCTACCAAAAATCTTGACTGACTTGGACATGCTCAAGTTATATTGAAGCATTTTTTTAACTGCCTTATATAGACAGAGACTAGCATACTGTAGACTATCACAGGGATTGTATGTTCCAGACACGGGAATTGATGATGCTCTTTGAGGCATTGCCAATGCTTGAGCTGTAACTCTTCTTTTTCCCACTAATTTCAACGCTGGATTACGTGCAAGAGCATCATCGTCATTATCTATAAGTATAGAATCATCCTCGGGTGGAATTGAAGTTGATGCTGATGTTGATGATGCTGGTGGCTCAGCCAGGCCACTGTCATAGCTGAATTTGAATTTGTAAAGGAATTTCTTATAGTATGTGAAAAGAAGTTTGGGACTGGAGTATCTGGTTTCGAGTTCTAACTCTAAGAGTGACTGTTCAGTTGTAGTTTGCACATCGGCAGGCGCATAAAAGTAGCAATCAATGTGTCGAGCATGCGCTAGTTTGTAGTAATAGGTTTTGATGGTAGAAGCATCCACACCTTCCATGATTGATATGGGGAATGACTACCTGGTTATACGGAACTTCAAGTTCTTCTTTACGCTTCTTGTTCCTTAGTTATATGGTGTTCGCTTTGTGTGCCTTTGCCCTAGATTATCTTGCAACTAAAATACTGGAGATTTCTTAATGCAACGGCCTCACGTGACCCAACGAGGCTTGAACTGTGCTGTGTACTTGTTTGCACTGAACAGAGGGATTTAGAGGGTTACATATTGCATCATGGTTTCGGCAATGTTAGAGATAGAGATTGAAGAAAATTCCCAATCTGTAAGACGCAGATGAATGGTTGATCTCTATGATACAGTGTAAGCGATATAGTAGTTCATGACTCTGTTAGAGTTGTTCTACGAAAGAACGCGTTGAATCGACCTTTCAACTACTACTCACATGGCCAGATCACCACAAATATAAGTAGATAGAAAGAATAAAATATTTCAAAATAAGAATACCAAAGAATCCATTGAAGTTTGCTATATTGGTAGTCCCTGGTGATTTTTAATACATCACACTAATATGAGATAATGATGTATGCATCTTATCACGTGCCCAATGTTTTGCTGAGGTTCTGGAGGGCTCGGAAATCTACATTCACTTTGCTAGTCGTAACATTTCAATATTTACTACCTAAATTAATTATATAAACAGAGTTCCAACATTTTATGATGTAACAAACAAATACCCAATAGTGGCAACACCAACCATGGTTGTCCAAACTGAGAAGAAAGTGCTTGGACCATTCATTTCTACATTACCTTTACGGCCAAACCATACTTTTCCACCGTAGTCTAACAGAGCAGCTTCTGCCAAATTACTCTTGGAATCGGAGTAAGGAGGGTATCTTGATTTAAGTGTGATATCCTTCCATAAAGGCTGTTCAATTGTAGTCCTTTCGTGAGTAAAGTTACGGAATGAAAACCATCCATGATAAGCACCATATCCAGATTCTCCAATTCCACCAAATGGGGCATTTGCCAAACCAACATGTAAAATAGTATCATTGATCATTAGCCCACCAGATCTAATGGTTCTAGCGATTTTAGCAACTAAAGCATTCTTTTCAGGAGCAGTTGAACCACTAGTAAAAATGTACTGTGCTAAAGGTGTATCATGACGGGTTATAACCTCCGAAAGTGCCCTATCCAAGTTTGCATAGCTGACAATTGGAAGGATAGGGCCAAAGATTTCACCTTTCATTGTGGAATCTTCCCATGTAGCACCATCAACAATCAGTGGAGGAATGTATCTAGTAGCAGCATCAGCATTCTTATATCCACCAGTAACAATAGTACCGCTTGTTGTTTCCAACATTTTGTAAAGACTCTTGAAAGCTCTTTCATGAATAATATGAGTATATGATTTATTATCCTTGTTAAGACCAACGAAGAATTCCTCATCAACAACTCTGGTAAGTTCCTTCACAAATTTCTCTCTTAGTTTCTCTGGAACTAAAACATAATCAACAGCCACACAAGTTTGACCCGCATTGGTGAATCTACCCCAGGCAATTCTTCTGGCAATTGTTGGCAAGTCTTTGTCCTTGACATCATCCAAAATGATACCTGGTGATTTCCCACCTAATTCCAAGATAACTGGAGTCAATGTTTCAGCTGCTTTCTTTGCAATAATAGTTCCTACCATGTTGTTTCCAGTGTACATAATTTTGTCAAACTTTTGATTCAAAAGTTCTGTGGTTTCTGGAACAGCACCATTGACGGCATAGTAAATGTCAGGATCTAAAGCAGATGTGATAATCTCAGTAAATAATTGGGAGAAATGTGGTGTCAGTTCAGAAGTTTTCATCACAACAGAATTACCAGCTGCAAGAGCACCAATAATACCAGAAAGTGAAAGGAACAAGGGGTAATTGAAAGGCGTAATGATAAGAACCACTCCAAGAGGAATTCTTTCAACATAAACAGGAGAATTCTTCAAACTAAATGGAACATCTTTCACTGGTTCCTTCTTTACCCACTTGTGTAAGTTAGCCATAGTATGAACCAATTCTGCCAAAGAAACGTTCAATTCCATATCCTTTGTTTCAGTGGGGGAACGATAAAAGTCCTTTTCCAAAGCTCTGCTGATAGCTTCTCCATTATCTTTAATGGCAAAGTATAAGTTTCTCAACTGATTCAACCGGAATTGGACACTGCTTAACTTGTTTTCTTTAACAAAAGAGTCTCTGAGTCTCTGGACACCGAATGAGATCTCTTTTAAAGGAGTGTAATCAAGAGGCCCAGTTTCAGAATCAGAAGTGGATACCTTCTTTACGGTGGTTTCTTGTTTGCTAACTTTCTTGATACCTTCAGCCATATTAAATACGATATAGATGCTATACTACTTGTTGAAAAGTGTATGAATTATAAGTTTGTAGAGCTAGGAAGCTAAAAGTTGTTAATTTCTTGACAGCGCAATGTAGCTATTTAATACTTCAGTTAAAATCAAGGTGTTGAGAAGGAAGTGTATACAGTTGTGTGCCTTAACTTGGAACGTGTGGAGAATGCAAAATCACCTTGAAAAGCCGAAAACTAGTGGGTTACATTGTATCTCCAAAAAACGGCGATAAGATGGGAATTACTTAATTCAGTAGTTGGAAGAAAGAAACCAATTGATTCCCCTCACATTTTGCGCCATACAAATGTCACATGGACCATGCCAAAATATCGCATTGCTTTCACAAAAGAAGCCCTTGAACATGTTTCTCGACATTTATGGGGTTATCATGTGCAACAGTATACAGTTAGTGCCTGTCTCAAAGGTGGCAATACTTTTGTCAGGTGAATACCATCCTCATTGGTATGTTAATAGCACTTTTAAATCAGTTTGGTCTTAAAGTAACATAAAATAGAGTTACTAAAGGTGTCACATGAATTAAAGAAGTATAGATAAGAGTAGCATCTGATAAAAAATGTATCAATAATCTTGTAATAGCTTACATAGCTAAATTTAATATATAGCTGCTAATAAGTGCTTTAACAGCTATAGTTATAGAAATAGCTAAAAATGCTATACATTGTAAATTTAATGATAAAGTTAATAAACCGGCTGATTGATAATCAATAAAACTAATAATATTTCATATGTAGCTACAGCTATAACCCAAACAAAGAAGAAAATAATGTATATATTGAACCATAATCCGTTTCTTTATCTTTACTAGTTGCACCATGAAGTCCTATTATTTACAAATCATAGTAATAAAGATGCTTCAAAATACATCTAGAACGATGTCATATCTTTGACACATCAAGTTAATTGATACTATTAAACCTGAATTTGGTGGAGCTTAGGAGGAGACAGTGCAAGCTCCAGAACGATTCCACGTCTATATTTACTTTCCGGTGCTAATATCCGAATCTAGCATATACCCCGAACCATTCTCAATCTTCTTCGTTGTTCATAACTTGTGAAATTTTAGGTCCATTTAGATAGCAAACGGTTTTATGCACGTGAATGCAACAACTGGTGACCTATGGTGCGCATTTAGAGTAGTTTGCACCCCACGAATGGTTTGAGTTTTTTTTGATGATTTATCAATGCGAAATGTCTCTCAGCCCTTCAACAAGACTACTTTCTTCCGTGGACTCTGATCTGATCATAAACAACCAAAGAAAACTTTTACATCCAGCTGGAAGGTCCACTACACTAGTTTAAGAACGAAATGTGATTTGAGTTATATTTACGTACTAAGAAAGACCGTATTAAATGAAGAGAAACATCTCAGTAAACAACGTCATAACTTTGTGCAATACCCGACAAACTAACGAATTCTATGAGGTTACAATGTTTTTCAGCAGAAACTGTAGAAATACCATCGGTTATAAAATTACGTACTTATAAACCTACGTCACTACATGATGTTAACTTCATGACCGTTTTTATCACATTCTTGTAAGTACTACCTGGTCACTTCTTTCTTGCTTCTTCCACTACATTCCTTAAAATAAGTAAGCAATCATTTGTAATAACTTACACACTACTCTTTTACAGCCTTACAGTTTGGATACAGCACGACCCCCACAAGATTACAAGGATACCTTTTATCATTACTTAGGGTGTTGTCTATGTTGCTAGATATTTATTAAGTTTAAACCGAAGTATATTATTTTGTATTCCAGTTACTCATCTTCTCAAGCGCTTAAGCTTTTAATAAGTGTGTGACTATTGCAATTTATCTTTCAAAGAACCTCCGATAGTTTTGTGTTTAGTTTGTCCTTTGCCATTGTTAATCATCTTCACCTCTTAAGCTGGTGATAATCAGTTACATACAAAAGTTTCCATTCCAAGAGCATATGGCACATCCAGAGGTTGGTTTTACCGCCAGCGGGATGAAGGCTCCAGTTCCAACAAGCCCGATACGGAGGTCGCTGATTTTAGATCTGCAAACTTCACCGAAGAAGCCACCTCATCCCAATACATCTAGTGCAAGCACTAGACTTATGGTCCACAAAGATACCCATTTGAAGTCATGCTTGTCGTTGAATAGTGATATTGGAGACAATACTCCTGGACTTGGAAACCAAATACAACATCCTTCATTCATAGTTCATGACGACATTGTCAGTCCAAATAAACACGGCCTTTTGGGTTTGAACCTGAAACGTGTAGTTACACCTGCTAATGACGAAGAATATGCTCATTCACATCTGGCTTTGGACTCCACATTGATGGAGAATAATAACAGTTCAGTTTCCAGTTTAAACTCACCACCTTCGTACGCTAATGAGAAGTCGCCTAAAATTGGTATTGATCCTGTTATTATGAGTAGTGATGGTGCTCCATCATCATCAACTTCTTCACCAGGAACTAATTACAGCGGTGCTTTGAAATCCAATAGTATTCTTAACTCATTGGATAGAAATAAAAGTCCCATTAGTTTGAGTGAAAGATTAGAGGAAGGCTTTCAGAAGTTACATTTGCTTATAGGTATAACAGGATGTTTGGCTGCTCGTAAAAATATGTTTCTTTTAATTGAAAAATTATTTGAACTATATACTCATGAGAAATTGGAAATCCAAATTATACTTACCGAAACAGCCGAACTTATCTTGAAAGAGAAGCTTCCTAAATTTGAAAGTTTAGGAGTAAAAATCTGGTACTTTGATGATAGTAAACATTATTATCAGGCTAGTAAAGCCAAAGCAAAGAAGCAAGAACTTGTAAGATGTGCAGATCTGAACCAGAAAGAACCTCCTAAATTTCTTAGCTCTAGTTTATTGACTCAGTATTCTTTAGCCTACAATTTGCAGAGATGGACTGATGTCTTATTAATTGCTCCTTTATCAGCAAACATGATGGCTAAATTGATAAATGGACTCAGTGATGATCTTCTCACTGAAGTACTTCATTTATGGCCAGCTCCATTACCTCCATCACAAGGAGTTCCCAGGGTAACTTCTCCCAAAGACATGACTGTTTTATCCAATGACCAGTTACTGCCCAAACCAATTATTGCCGCCCTAGCCTTAACTGGAGCAATGTACGCACATCCTATTACCAAAAGGCAGTTAATTCTTTTACAAGAGACATATCCTAATATGAGTATATTGAAGCCAGTGGAAAAGTATGTGGATGTTGATGGTAAGATCACTATGGGAGGAATGAGAGCATGGAGAGAAGTTGTTACCTTTGTTATGCAAAAACTTGGACCACCAGTTGAGAATGAGGATGACGAGGAGGACGAAGAAGAAAATGCGGACAAAGAGGACGAAGATGACGATAATGAAGACGAGATCAATAATTCAATAGGAGACAAAGAAATTGATGAAGAAGCTGAAGGCGAGTATCATGATTATGATGAAGATATAGATGAAGAAGAAAGGAAGAAAGCTAATGGTAAGTAGACCAGGTTGCCATAGTATTTTCATTCTATGTTTACGTAAGTATATCTCAGTGTATAGTAGTGTGTAATAAATTTGTACATTAGTATTAAGTAAACGTAGAAGCCTCATTGACATTTTATTGGCTGTGGTTTGATTAGTGTGGGGTAACACAAAAGACTTTATAATAGTAATCAGTTGATTTCCAAATTTCAACATCACTTTTTTACCCAACATCGTTTCAGTGACTATACGATATTGATAACGTAACTCTATAAAAAATGAGAACTTTTGATTACGATTCCAATTACTGTTCTAAGAAAACCATCAACATTGGTGGTATCAATGTCTATGTCTACAACACAGAGTCATTGAGTGAATACATTGCCAATTACAACAAAACAATTGAAGGTCCTCACGAAGGTCATGAAAAGTTTTTACAGTTACCATTAAATGTATTATATTTCATTCATTATCGTGGAGGAAGCTACATGAATACTGAAGCTTTTGGATATCGTACACTTCAATATATTCATGAGAATAAAGGAGACACTAAGGTCCCAGCTATATTTGTAACTTTTGATCTTCGCAACCATGGAGAACGTACATTAGATGAAGAGCGCAACAAGTCATGGAGTTCTGGTAATGAAACTCATGGTTTGGATATGGTTTCAGCCATTGAGGGAAATATTGCTGATATCAAGTTGATAATGGATTATTTACCAGCTTATTTGAATTTGGAAGCTCAATTGAACGATAAAGCCAAAAATATCCTTGAAACCAAGTTAGAGTATCGTAATTTCCTTTCAGGTTATTCATTAGGAGGTCATACTGTTATAAGATTCGCAGCTAAATTTCCAGAATTAGTAAGGACCATTAATACTGTGGTGGGATGTCCTGATTTGTCGTCATTACTCATTACCAGATTGAGAAAGATTAGTCTTAATGATTCTGCTTACGATAAAAAATGGTTTTATCATGAATACAATGAATTAAACCTAACTGATGAAGAGAAACAAAAGTACCCTGAACATTTCCACAATTACTTAAAACAACAAGATATTGATGTTTTTGAACATTTTAAATTTGCTAAAATCCCAATGTATGCTTGCTTTGGTACAGAAGATTCATTGACACCTCCAAAGTTATCTAAAGCTTGGGTTGAAATCTATGAGAATACCAATGAATACAGTGAATCGTTCTTTCAAAAATCAATTGGTCATGAATGTACAGAAGAGATGCTTAAAGGGTATGCCTCATGGATTATTAAGTTTTTGTAAGCGTATACTAGATGAAACGAATTTATACAAGGCATTAGTTTTGTTGTAACCTCCGTTGTTAGGAAAGATAAGTAGGCTTATTCTTTAACCTTTAATCGGGATAGTGGACGACCCTTCATATCAGCCCCCCAACGTGTATCCAATCAAGTGGAGTAGGATAGTTTTGGTTATTACTTGTTGTCTTTCTGTGCTACAAATCACTAAACTATAGGATACTCTTTTCCCTTACATATATGTAATATATACTGTATAGTTAAGTCATCACCGGTTCCGTGCAACCATGCAACAAGTGATAAAGCTGATGAGACTGAGACTGGATTCAACAAGCATTACCCCAACTACGGAAACACAACTATATATCGCTCTCTTGTAAGTTATAAGAACTACTATTAACTTACCTAACTGTATACGCCTTATTAATGTATTTCCTTTAGGTTAACAGAAGTGTTCCTCTATGATGACACCTATCAAAGAAACACACCTTTTGTTTGTGTCACTAAAACCAAATTTACAAAGTGGGGATCTGTAGTTAAACAGGATAGAATGGATACGAACAATCCATATAACACACAAGGGTTTAAGAGCTTTTAATTGAGGCTAAGTGCTACCAATATCCATTTGATTACATTCAATACGTCAAAACTTCTAGTAGTGAGGCGGTACAATCATACTTTAATTTTTCTATTTGATTTGGATAGAGAAGACTGACTGTGATTTGACTGTGATTTGTTTTTGTAGTAGAGATGAAAGAAAACGAAAACAATAATAATAATAATAGTAATATTGTTTCATCAATGGATGGAAGCGGTATACGAGGTGGTGAGTCTACGAGTATTGGTGGAATTGGATCTATCAATTCCGGTGCCTCAATTTCTTCAGGTCCAATGGGGGGGTCTCAAGATGATACTATTAATTTCATCAATTTCAACCAAGATGCATCTTATGTTCTGATTGGAACAAATACAGGGTACAAGATTTTCAACTGTACACCTTCATTTGGTAAATGTTATCAATGGAGGAAATATGAATCTGTCGGCATTGTGGAAATGCTTTATACAACATCACTTGTTGCTGTGGTAATGTTAGGAGAAGAGGTAGGTTCATCTCCTCGTAAACTTAAAATCATCAATACAAAAAGACAATCAACTATCAGTGATCTAATATTTCCAAATACAATTCTACAAGTAAAGTTAACCAGACACAGGTTGGTGGTGATTTTGGAAACTCAAATTTATATTTATGATATTGGTACGTTGAAGCTTTTACATACCATAGAAACTAGTTCGAATCCTACTGGATTATGTACTATTTCAACTGATGAAAATAATTCAGTTTTAGCATATCCTTCTCCACCAAGAACAATAGCACATGATTCTTTACTTGTGGCAGGTATTAATACCAATGGAGGGGTTAATCTGGTACAAAATAACATCCAATCAGTAAGCAATACTCCTAATAGAATTGGTGATGTTATAATATTCAATTTGAACACCCTACAGCCAGTTTCAGTGATTGAAGCACATAAGGCTACCTTGGCATCAATGGCACTTTCTTGTGATGGTTCGTTGTTAGCTACTGCTAGTGACAAGGGTACAATTGTTAGGATATTTTCAGTTGATTCAGGTATCAAACTATTCCAATTCCGTAGAGGAACTTACAGTACAAAAATTTGGTCTCTTCGATTTAGTCTTGATAATAAGTACGTGGTTGCGACAAGTTCCAGTGATACAGTACATATATTCCGTTTGGGAGAAGATGAAAAGTTAAAGTCATATCCAAGGAAAGTTACAGTTGTTTCTCCCTCGCTGTCCAGAATTCCAGAATTGGAAATCACCCCATCAAAGTCAAATGATAGTCAAAAGCAAGATTCTCATACAGGAGGAGGGTCTGGGGGAATGAAATCACTTACAAGTTCAACGGAACTAGATGAAGATCTAGATGAAGATGAAGACGAAGACAGCGATGTTGACGAAGAACCAGAGCCTTCCAATTCTTCTAATACTAAACAAAGAAAATTATCTCAAGGCTCATACAATAGCGTTAATTCAGCCATGTCTGATGATAAAGTTGAACCAGTAGTTGATCAAACTAGATTATCAGTTGCTCGATTGATTAGAAGACAGTCTCAAAGCCTAGGCAGGAGAGCTGCTCAAAGAATGGGAGATTTTCTTCCCTCCAAATTTTCATCCATTTTAGAACCCATAAGGCACTTTGCATCGTTGAAGATTAATTCAACTTCCAAAGATACAAAGTCTATTGCAGCTATCAATTGCGAAATTCAACAAAATGTTGTTCCTAAATCATATTTGAAGGATCACACTAGTTTGTCTCCTGAACAACGAGAAGAAACTCTGAGAATGAATTTACTTCATGTTAACGTTGTTACATCTGATGGAACCTTCTACGTATATGGATTGGATCCAGAAAGAGGTGGAGATTGTATACTATTGCACCAATATTCTTTATTAGAAGATAGTGGTTAAAGTTTTCATAATCCTTAACATGCATGTCATTATATATAAGTATCTGCAATACTCGTAGTATAGTGTAAATGAAAACGTATTTCTATTTCATCTTTAACCAATTAAAAAAAACCAATCAAATAATACTGTAAAAAATTGGGGCGAGCTGGGAATTGAACCCAGGGCCTCTCGCATGCTTGTGTTAATTACTAGGTAATCGCCACCCAAAGCGAGAATCATACCACTAGACCACACGCCCATTCTTGTTACAAACAGTCCAAAGTATTTATGTGACATTTTTGCCACAACTTATAAATTGGTTTTTCCACGAAAATAAACGGTATCTTTCAAAGTATAAGAAACAGACTGTGAATTCGCAGCTTCGTGTTTAACTTAACACCTGGTTAAAGATGGTAGTATGTTGCTTGTCGTAAACAGCAGGCGTGTCGGATCTCATCCAACTGGTATTTTATAGTTTTATATAGCTTAAAGTAGATGCACAATTTCATTGCCAATAAAGTGATATAATTCAACGTATATTAAAAGTATTTCCCCAATAAAAAGTCCATTTAGAATAATTCATATTTACCGTTCCTTTAATAAATCTTTGCTGGATCAGCCATACTATAATCAACCCAACTAGCCATACAATTTTGATCTTGTAAATGGTCCCAGCGAGAAAACAGACCAGTTTTACAACGAGCTACATTCTTTGAGTTGGGACAATTCAAATATGGATCATGTTCATATCCAATATCTCTGAACCAATGGATTTTAGATTTATCAGCAAATAATCCCAACCCAATAGAATGAACAGGAGCATCACCCCATCTTTCGTAATAAAATTTCCCAGTTGAGTCTAAATGTTTAAACCAATTTGTATATGCTTCACCTCTAAAGAAATCCATATCACCAATTTCAAAATTAGACCAGAAATGACAAGTGGAATAACCTCCAGCGATCTCAGCCTTCTTAGGATTTTGCTGATTTTCAAGTAACCATTGGAAGGCACCATTCGGATTTATATATTTGTAGTTATCATCCGAATTTAAAAACTTGATGGTTTCTGGCCAAAGTGTTGTAACAGAATCTTCAATATCGTATAATGAAAGTGTGAATCCATAGACCTTTTGTGTTCCTTCAAGATACTTAAAAACATCATACTTAATATCAGTGAAAAACTTCACTTGGGGTTCAATTCTCCAGTAATATTTGAACTTTAGTAATTCAGGAATATTATAGAATGTTCCAGAATAGAAACGACACATGTTGTGATATGAAAGCTTATTGGCATATGCAACGCTTTTTTCTGTAAGAATCTTCATGGCTTCCTCAGCCTTCTTAGCATCTATACTCGAAGGCCTGGCCCATAAATCCCTGGGAATAGTTATGAAGTTCATCGGAGCATTACTGACCTCCTTCACTTTGGCTTTGAATCTTTCACTGAAAGGTGAATCATTGATAAAAGTATAGGGATACATGAACTTACTATTAAATGAAGCTTCAAATTGTCTTATTGTACTGGCAATTTGTCTTGCTTCCGAGTTTCTCACAAGTGCTAAAATTGTAGCATTCGCATGAACATATTTGGAGATATCTTCTGGAGGTCTGATAGAGTTAATATCATAATCTTTAGGTTCATTGATTTCTATGTTCATTAATTTTTGATATGATTCTCTGTTGAGTTCAAGAATACGTTCTGGATCACCTTGTTTATTGAAAGGATTTGTGAAAGTCATTTTGACATCGCCTTTAGATACAGAAACACCTTCAGGAAACAGAGTATCTTGCTTAGATCCATGTGTATTTGGTTCTGACCCAGATTCAAGTGTATATGGACCATTGAAAGTGTCATAAAGTTTAGAGGTTCCTTGTCGTATTTGATCTTTAACAAGGTTCCAGTGGTGTACTTGGATTTTAGCATATACTACCACTAGCATAATGACCATAGCTAAAAACACCCATCTGCGCAACCGGAACATTGGCAATGCCATAATTCATTTACCAAAAATTGTTGCTGAAGAAGAAAGAACGAAACATTGAAAGAAGGAGTGAAAATGAATGAAAAGTTATCAGGGTTCCTGAAATAGAAGCAATTCTAACAAAGTATTCGGTTGCGTGTCGCAGGTTGCAATTTGTGTACTTAATACTATAAATGCCGAATAACACGCCTTTTTTGACGAATTGTTCTTGCGGTGGTGTCCCTTAAAGGTCAACCAGTTTACTATTACTTCATGGTTGCGAAGCAATTCCAGTGAACTCCTTATTTCTTTCAAGATCATTAGACATCCAAATTGACTGGTGTTAGACTATGACGTTGTATTTGTAACAGTTTCATTTACTCTTTGGAAGATACTTGCAATCAGATAGCGATTGCAAATTTGTTCCGCAAAGTTTAAAAAGTAACCAGTAATCTTAGATCAAAGGCGAACTTATAACAAAAGACCTATCATTACTGCAATATACATAACGTCCTTTAACATGTGTAATCTTTAATCTCCCTTATATTACAGTAAGTTAAATCACTGTATTCTTTATCGAGTCACGTGATCAGACAAAAAATTTCCCACTCAAAATCTACGATGCTCTTCTTCCAAACCATCTAGTATACTTAACATTAATTCCAATAAGCCAATGATAGCCGAACGTAAAAGACTATCAAGTGGTCTTACAGTCACCTCTAAGGTTTTTGTGCGTTCCAGAAATGGAGGTGCTACAAAAATCGTCAGAGAACATTACTTACGGAATGATATTCCATGCTATTCTAAAGCATGTACCAAATGCCACCAATTATTACAGGCTGATGCTAAAGGTGATTTGGCCAAGATGATTTTCTCCGAAAGTCCTCTAGCTCTCAAGGGAAGCTCTAATGGACACTATGTTGTCGTGGATACTAATATTTTACTTCATGCCATTGATTTGGTAGAGAATATCAACTGTTTCTACGACGTTATCATTCCACAAACAGCTCTTGAAGAAGTTCGTAATAGATCGTTACCAATTTACCATAGAGTTAGAGGTTTAGTCAAATCTGAAGATAAAAGATTTGCCGTTGTGCATAACGAATTTAACGAAGCAGCATATGTGGTTAGAGAGAAAGGAGAACTGATCAATGATAGAAATGATAGGGCAATCAGAAAGCTTTGTACTTGGTATGATACCCATATCAATAGAGATAACAGCAAAACTAAAATAGATATAGTATTTGTTTGCAACGATAGAGATAATAGAAAGAAGGCATCTGCCAGTGGGATCAAGGCTTATTCTTTAGCTGAATACATTGATTTATTGCCCAATGGAGAAGAATTGAGAGATTCTGTTCCACAAGATGATCAAGATTTCAAAGCTGATAAGACGGAAACAATGTTTCCTGAATACTACTCCAATGCAAGACTCATGGGTGGGATCCGTAATGGTACATTATATCAAGGTATCATGCATATATCATCATATAATGTTTTAGAAGGTCAGGTCACTGTTCCTGCTTTTAAAAAACCATTATTAGTCATAGGGACAAAGAACTTGAACAGATCTTTTAACGCTGATTCTGTTGTTGTGGAATTACTTCCTAAGGATAAATGGAGAGAACCCTCCAGTACCATTGTGGATGAAAGCACAATTGGTGAAAACGATAATCCTGAAGAAGATAACGACGATGCCAGCACTAATGACGGTCCCACAAGTTTAATATCAGATAACGAAAGGAAAATGTTAGCTAATGAAGCTATCAGATCAACGGCTGCTTCTGCCGAAAAGAAATTGTTACCAACAGCTAAAGTTGTGGGGATTGTCAGAAGATCATGGAGATATTATGTTGGTCAGATTGCTCCCACTTCAGTTTCTGCAGAACATGGTCATTCATCAAAGAGCTGTTTTGTAATTTTGATGGACCCTTTATTACCAAAGATAAGAATTCAAACTCGGAAAGCTCATGAATTATTGGGTCAAAGAATTGTTGTTGCGGTTGATACATGGCCATCGAACTCAAAATATCCTCAAGGTCACTTTGTTCGTACTCTTGGAGAAATTGAGAGTGCTGAAGCTGAAACAGAAGCATTACTTTTGGAACATGACGTCGAATATAGACCATTCTCAAAGAGTGTTTTGGATTGTTTACCCTCTGAGGGTGATAATTGGGTTGTCCCAGAGAAATTAGATGGTGATGAACAATTAAAGAAGAGAGTTGATTTGAGAGATAAATTAGTTTGCTCTATTGATCCTCCAGGGTGTGTTGATATTGATGACGCATTACATGCTAAACCTTTAAGCAACGGTAATTATGAAGTTGGTGTCCATATTGCTGACGTTACACATTTTGTTAAGCCCGGAACTGCTTTGGATAATGAAGGTGCAGCAAGAGGTACATCTGTTTACTTGGTTGACAAGAGAATTGATATGCTACCAATGTTATTAGGTACCAACTTATGTTCCATTAAACCTTATGTTGAAAGGTTTGCATTTTCTGTTATTTGGGAATTGGATGAAGATGCCAATATTGTTGACGTGAGGTTTATGAAGTCTATAATTAAATCACGGGAAGCCTTTTCGTACGAGAAGGCACAGATAAGAATTGATGATGCCACTCAAACAGACGAATTAACCAACTCAATGAGAATTTTATTAAAGCTATCAAAGAAATTGAAGCAACAAAGAATTGATGCTGGTGCATTGAATTTGGCTTCACCGGAAGTCAAAGTTCATATGGATAGTGAGACATCCGATCCTGGTGAGGTTGAGATTAAAAAGCTATTAGAGACCAATTCTCTTGTTGAAGAATTTATGTTGCTTGCCAATATTTCTGTTGCTCGTAAGATTTATGATGCATACCCACAAACAGCTATGTTAAGAAGACACGCACCTCCTCCAGCTACCAACTTTGAAGCATTGAATGACATGCTTAACGTTCGCAAACCTGGTATGTCTGTTTCTTTGGAATCTTCAAAATCATTGGCTGATTCTCTTGATAGATGTGAAGACCCCAAGGATCCTTATTTCAACACTCTTTTGCGTATTATGGCCACAAGATGTATGATGGCTGCCGAATACTTTTCATCTGGTTCTTATGGATATCCCGAATTTAGACATTATGGTTTAGCTGTTGATATTTATACGCATTTCACCTCACCAATTAGAAGATATTGTGACGTGGTGGCACACAGACAATTAGCAGGAGCAATTGGATATGAGAATTTGGATTTGAGTCATCGAGATAAATCCAAAATGGAAATGATTGTTAAGAATATTAACAGACGTCATAGAAATGCTCAATTTGCTGGAAGAGCAAGTATAGAATATTATGTGGGGCAAGTTATGAGGAATAATGAGAGTGAACAAGAAGGATATGTTATCAAATGTTTCAATAATGGGTTGGTTGTTATAGTGCCTAAGTTTGGAGTAGAAGGGTTGATCAAATTGGAGGTCTTGGGTGATGTGAATTCCGCTGACTTTGATGAGAGCAAATATGAGTTAACATTCAATGATCATAATGGGAAAAAGAGAACTATTGGTGTTTTTGATAAGGTTCAAGTTGAAGTTAAATCTGTTAAAGATGAAGTTACAGGCAAAAGAAAGGCTCAACTCTCGTTGAAATAACAAAAAGGCTCTATAGACTAAAATTTACATATATACATCCACATATACTATTATTGACTAATGTATTCAACTAATTGTTGGATGGTAATTAACTTAATATTATGTTGAAAACCAAAAGTCACACAGTCATCCAATCTCATCATTAAACCATCATCATCTTTAACCAACTCACCTATACAAGCCGCAGGTTCCAAACCAGCCAACCCACATAACTCTATTGCCGCTTCGGTATGACCTCTTCTCAGACGTAATAAACCAGGAACAGCTCTTAAGGGAACCATATGTCCAGGTTTGATAAAGTCGGTACTAACAGCATTAGCATTGGCCAATAAATTAGCAGTAAGAGTTCTATCATGAGAAGAAATCCCAGTAGTGGTTCCAACATCAGCATCAACAGTCACAGTATAAGCAGTTCCATGTCTATCAGTTCTATTGGCTACCATTAAAGGTAATTCCAATTTGTCAGCTCTTTCAGTTGATAATGGAACACAGATATAACCAGATGAATGACGTACAAGAAAGGCCATATCTTTCTGTGTGACCTTTTCAGCAGATATTATTAAATCGCCTTCATTTTCTCTATCTTCATCATCCATTACAATCAAGAATTCTCCATTCTTGAATGCTGCAATGGCTTCGGGTACACTAACAAACTTTGACATGACGAACTTTAAAATGTTTATGCTGTGATTAACTTATGCTATATACTTGTAGTGCACCGCTATAATCTTATATCTATCAAGTATTGAACTTTATTCTCTTTGGTATAATGCTGTATTATATATAAGGCAACTTGTATGACTAAAAATTTTCAGTCTGGCTGTCTTACTAAATGCGAAGTCTGGGGAAACTGCGGAACATGCTATTTCGTCATCAATGCTTACATGATATTTGCTGGATGAAGAATACACTTAGTTCCACTAGGTTGTGGTAGATTACAGTTAAGTTATGTCCTTACAGTTTTTAACATCACCAGTGAACGTCACTACTGGTAACTACTAGTGTCGTTATCAACTGACGTTAACACTTTTATTTACCAACGTATTTGGTGATCACACCTTGTGGTGTGCATTATGTAATACTTACTGTATGTCTCTGATATGCCTTTGTGGTGGAAATCGGAATATTAACATGGCCGATCATGTTTAGTATACAGGCTAACTGGCCAACATCTGGTATAGCGAGTAGTACTACTAATAATGTAGCGCAGTGCAAGCATATCTGCAAGTTACAAGTAAAACACCTGGAACACAAATAAATATCGAATTCAAAGGCCACGTTAAATACAGTCGACTCATGTACGCCATGGCTCAATATTACTAGAGTTAAATCAATTTGTATACTTGCTTAAGTTGAATATTAGATGAATACTCTCAGATCTTGCTCGTCTGGTCCCGCGCTACCAATAACACAATGAAATGTTCACCTAAATGATTTCTACTAAGAAACACAACTACAAACGATTCATTTGCCACCATTGTAACCATTCATCATGAGTTTGACTAGTATGTACACCTTTCCCTCTAAAGAACCACGACAAGTCCATTGAATGCACGTACTAACTCTTATAGTAACCATTAAGTATGGAGGTAAGACACATGAGATCGCGTTGAGCGAATCATCCAAAGGATTAGACTTGAAACAGAGCATTCAAGATTTAACCCAAGTTCCTATTGCTAGACAAAAAATATTGGTTAAAGGAGGCAAATTAGCCGATGAAACACCTGTTGTTGAATTACAAAGGTTGAAACAGCCATTTCTTGTTCTTGGTACTCCTGATAAGAACTTACCCACAAAGCCAATTGAGAAACAAGTATTTTTGGAGGATATGAGTATGCACCAATTGAACCCCATTAGTAATGATCCTTCTGGTTTGGTTAATTTGGGCAATACTTGCTATTTGAACTCAACTTTACAAGCATTATATAAAATCAAAGATCTTACTAAAAAGGTTGAAACTTATACTCCAAGTCAAGGAGCTCGTGGCGGTGAATTGGTAATGGCTTTGAAATCTTTATTTTTAAGTATGGATAAGAAGCAAGAGAAAGTGACTCCTACATTCTTTTTAGCTCTTTTCAGATCTATTCTTCCTCAATTTGCTGAGAATGTCAATGGCCGTTATCTGCAACAAGATGCCGAGGAAGCATTCACCCAATTGATCAATAATTTAGATAATAGTTTGAACATCAAAGATTTATTTAGAATTGAAATGAAGGAAGTCTCAACATGTGTGGCCTTACCTGAAGAAGAAGCTCAAATCAATTTTGAAGAATCCTTAAAGTTGAATTGTCATATAGATATTAAAACCAATTTCCTCAGAGATGGGATTTTGAATGGATTGAGTGACATTATTACCAAACATAATGACCTGTTGAACTCAGATACAGATTATCAGTTGAAGAGAACAATAACCAGATTACCCAAATATTTAACTGTTCAATTTGTTCGGTTTTTTTGGAGAACAGATACTCGGAAGAAACTGAAGATTTTAAGAAGAGTTCAATTTCCCTTTGAACTTGATTTAAGTGAAATGTTAGATGAATCCATTCGTTCTGAAAAGGTTGAAGTTAGAGATAAATTGAGAAAAATCGAAAAGGATAATATTGAAGTTATCAGAGAATTCAAAAAGGCAAAGAAGGATATTAGTTTGACTCCTTTACAACAACAAGAGGAGGATGAAATGAAAATTGAATCCATTAAAACAAAATTTAGAGATGAATTTAAACAAGTTGTTCCTTCTGGATTTGACTTTGAAAGCACTACTGAAAACCCTAGTTCAGTCTATGAATTACAAGCAGTAATTGCACATGCTGGTACTTCCGCAGATTCTGGACATTATCAAGCATTTGTTCGTGATGACAATGATTTGGAAGGTGAAAGATGGTGGAAATTCAATGATGATAAAGTTAGTTCTATTAACAAAGAACGGATTGAATCCTTAGCTGGAGGTGGTGAGAGTGATTCTGCCTTAATTTTGATCTACAAAGGTGTTGGATTATAAAATAAACAAACAAATAAATACCATGATATAAGGATTGATTTTATATAGATGGGGATATGAATAAATATCTTGATTTAGTTTCTAAGTCAAAAATCTTTAGTTAACTTCTTGAATTGACTAACTTCTTCCCAACAATTTAAAGGTTTACCAGAGTTCTCCTTTAAACAACTAATAACTGCTTCTCTTGCTTCTCTTGTAGCTTCTGGGACATGTACTTTAGCCAATTCAATGTTTTCCTTTAAAGCTTTTGTTAAAGCAGTGATTTTACCATCTGCTTCACTTACAGATAGTTTGGAATCCTCCTTATCATAATTATTCAATAAACTGCCATCAACAGCATTATGGAAACGATTGCCGGCCTCTGCTTCCAATTTTGCCAATTCTGCCAGTACTCGTTCTTGGATGTACTTTTCTGTATGTTGAGCACGAGAATAATCAGACTATAATTGTTAATATATATGTTGTACTGGACAAGAAATCAATTGAGTACTTACTTCTGCTGAAGCTTCCAACTGTGACAAGAAGGATGCACTGAAATCCACTGGGGCAGCGGGAGTAAAGACCTTTGTTTCAGGTCTTGATGCTGATGAACCCATTTGTATATAGTAACAGTGTATTTATACGGGATATTATCAACACCTTCAGTTAGTAAGGTATAGTTGATATGTAAACCTACTATAATTTTCCGCGAGTCGTGTACCACGCTCAAATATTCATTGGAAAAATTTTAACTGGTCACTTTGTCTCTATCTTGAACAAACCAGCTGTCCAAGGTCACCATAGTAAGTGGTATTATTATCAAGAGATCATGCCTCCCGTTCAACAATACCAATATGCTCACCAACCATCGAACTTTGAGAAGTTCAAGATGGGAGCTATCATGGGATCAACCGTAGGAGTGGTCGTGGGGGTCCTATTTGGGGGATTTTCTATTATACAAAATGGACCTGGTCCAAATGGAGCCATGAGAACTTTGGGTCAATATATATTAGGTAGTGTTAGTACTTTTGGATTGTTTATGAGTATTGGATCTGTCATTCGGAGTGATGTTAAGTTTCAAGCATATGAAAGGGCTTTAATTGCTTCTCAAAAGCTGAGATCTTCTTTGGCTGAAGAAATTGCTGCGTTGGAAAGAGATTAAGATTTAAGAATCATTGTAATTAGGTATATTATATTTGATGGAAGCTATTACTAGGTATCCATTTAATTAGTTTTGTAGATAAAAATAAATCATGTTAATATTTCTGCTATGTATGGAATTCTATTATATATCTCCTTCAAGTTCTTGTCTTGTTCCCTTAACGAGATCATATTGATATGTTAATCCATGATGTGGGGCAATATGTGACTTACAATCAAGATTATGCTCTTGCTGTTCACTAAGTTCTTCAAGCTTAGTTTTCGGTTCCATAATTGGCTCACTACTTAGTTTGAATGTACCCCAGTGTACGCCCATCATAAATTTTCCTCCAAGTTGTTTATGGATGGTTAAAGCTTCTTCTGGAGAAATGTGTCTTGGTTTTTGATGCCAAGAGGGACAATATTGACCAATTGGTAACATGGTTAAAAACACAGGACTCAATTTCTTTCCAATAGCATCAAAGAGTTCTTTACAATAACCCGTATCTCCTCCATGATAAACTATCGATTGACCATTTCGACGGATCATAAATGAACACCAAAGCGAAGTATTGGAATCATAAACATATCTTCCTGACCAATGCATCGAAGGCAAACATACAATTTCAAACTTATCACCAGAATCTTCTAGTCCAACGTATTTGGTGATATCTAAAGAATCCCACCAATCCATTTCCACTATTCTATGAATTCCCTTACGGGCCAATTTAGTTCGAAGGCCCATAGGCACAATCCATAAAGGTTCATTACCCAATTGCTTAGCGAAATCCATTTCCAAGTGATCTGGATGATCATGAGATACGAGAACAAAGCTCAAATGATTATTTGTAGCATGTCGAATATTTTCAAGTGAAAGTGGTGAAGGTAAGAATCTAGCAGGTCCAAAATGTTTGCTAATTAAATGCTTCCCCATTATAGGATCTGTTAAAAAATTAACTCCCCCAATCTGAATAAGACTACATGATTGACCCAACCATGTGAAGAGCATCGTATCCCTTATGTCTTTATAACTAGATGACGTAAAGTATTTGCTTGAAGCTAAACATTGTTGTAAAATCTGAGAATTCTTTCGATAGGTTTCTAAACTAGGAGGAAAGCTTTTCAATACTTCTTCTATTTCATGAGTTTCATTAGGTGGGATATGAACTTTCTTGTGCACTTCAACCTGACTACCATAAATTGACTCGATGAACTCTAAAATCCGAACTGCCAAAAACTCAAACATCGTTTGAGGTCGATATTCTTCAAAGGGATTGACATAAAGTCCGGATATTGTAGCAGATCGGAATTGTTGTATGTCTGGATCTATCTGATACTTATTAGTGATATGTAGATCCTTTAAGAGCGCTTCTCTCTCTTGTTTTCTATTCAGAATGAGGTTCCGAGTTCGGATATGGTAATAGACTTCAAAGGAACTATATGTGGCTAAGAGGCCTAGGCCCACCTTGGCCTTCACTGATAGACAACTCATCTGAAGAACAAGAGTTGGGCATAGCGTTTACTAAAGTTTGGTGTTTTAAAGTCGGTTAAGTACTTTTGTTGTGTGACACAAAACCGGCTTTTAAGCATATGTCATCTACTTTTAGAAGGTGCCGAACTAAGGACTAATGGAACTATCAACTATCAACTATCAACTATGAATTACAAACTGTATTACTTAATGTCTTCTGACAACACCTGCAGCATCTGCTAATTCTAAGATATGTTTCTTGTATGCATTGATATTCCCTGGGAATCTGTAAACCTTTGTGTCTTCTGCCACCCAAATCTCATTACATACTCTATCAATGATAGTGACATCATGGGAAACCATGAACACCCCCCCTTTGAAGTTTATCAAAGCATCTGCTAAAGCATCCAAACCTTGAGTATCCAAGTGATTGGAAGGTTCATCAAGAATTAAGATGTGAGGTTGAGAAAGACATAAAGCAGCAAATGCAACACGAGATTTTTGACCACCAGAAAGAAGTTCCATTTTTTGTAAACCCAAAGAACCTGTTATTCCAAATGCACCCAAATGTCTACGGTATTCTTCATCTGATTTACCAGGGAAAGTTGCTGACATCCAAGAAACTGCTGATAAAGTTAAATCCATAGCATCAACATGATGTTGAGCAAAATATCCTATTCTCAACCTACCATTTCTTGAAATCATCCCCTCCATAGGCAGAAGTTGATCCATCAATAACTTCAACAATGTAGTCTTACCAGTACCATTACCACCACATAAAGCAATACGTGATTCCATATTAACGTCCATTTCAACATCTTTGAATAAGATTTTATCAGGAGAGAAACCAAATGTAACTCCAGACATTTGTAAAATAGGTGGTGATAATTTATCAGGATCAGGGAAATTAAAAGTAACAACCTTATCATCTTCAGGAGGCTCAAGAATCGGTAATTTTTCCAATTTTTTAATTCTTGATTGAGCTTCTGATGATTTGGCTGCATTATATCTAAATTTATCAATGAAAGCTTGTAAATGCTTTCTATAAGCCATTTGATTTTCATATTCTCTTCTTTGATTTTTAATTCTTTCTTCTCTAGTTGCATAGAAATTATCAAAATTAGATCCTCTGTAATAATCTAATCTTTCAGAATGTTGGTGAATAATATCTGTGGCCACTTCATTTAAGAATGCACGATCATGCGACACAACCAACACTGTAGATTCATAAGTCTTTAAGTATTCAGAAAGATAAGTAATAGATGGAACATCCAACATATTGGAAGGTTCATCCAATAACAATAAATCAGGTTGACAGAACAATGCTCGTGCTAATGATAATCTCATTCTCCAACCACCAGAGAATGATTTTGTAGCTTGATGTTGAGATTCCTTAGTGAACCCCAAACCAAATAAAATGGCAGCTGCTTTACTTTCGGCTTTATCACTATCCATTTCATATAGTTTTTCGTTGACTTGAGCCAATCTATTTTCCAAATCGTCTCTTTCACTATCTAATTTCTTAACTTCAAGAGAATCCTCATCAAATTCTTTACGTAAATTCTCAATTTCTTCAACTCTTTCGTTAATTTTGGATTCTTCTTGTAAAAGGTTCTTACGCCAAACATCAGCATCTAAAACACTTTGTAAAGCTGGAGTATCATCCCCTCTAATTTCCTGTTCCACATGTAAAATAGTTATATGTCTTGGAATATCCAATTCTCTTCTACTTAATGCTCTTAACAAGGTAGATTTACCAATACCATTTTGACCCACCAAACCATATCTTCTACCGTAAGCCAAGGTTAATGATGCTTCACTTAAAATACGTTTACCATCACCAACATATAAATCAAAGTTGTCTATCTTTATATCCTTTGATTTACCAGCACCGGAAGTACCTAATTCCAATGGGTTGATCGCCAAATAAAATGAGTCATAATCTTCATCTTTCTTTGAATTCAATAATTTAGAAGCCTCATAATTAACAAATTGGTTATTTCTTTTAGCCACTTTCTTTGCAATCTTTCTCTCTTGTTTCTCCAACTTTTTCTTATCAACTCTACTTTCCACTTGTCTACCTGTATGTTCGATATCTCTTGAAGCACCCAAAAGGGCCAAACTGGTATTAATATCTCTTTTACTGGTATTAGCTTGTAACAAACTAAGATCTAAAAGTCTCTTGGATGTATCACCTTGAACCTCCAATTTCGATAAATTTTTGGCCAATTGTTCTTTCAATGAGCTGGCAACACTATTGGTTAGCTTCTCTACCTGTTCTTTCTTCCCCCCAGCATCTTTTAAAAGTTGGCAAATGAAGTTTAATTCTTCTTCAATGTTAATTTGAGATGCAGTAACACTATCTTCTGTAGCGTTGGAAACATGTTGAATATAACCTACTGCATAATCAGCTACCACTGTATCGATCTGTGGAACTGCCTGACGCACTTGGAGTCCTATGTTAGACATAATGGGGTGCAAATAGTACTATGGTACAATGGTTTAGATGAAGAGTTGATTTGTTAAGGTGCAAATTTTTCTATACCGTTCGCACTTGAAGGCTCCACCATATTAGATTATACGGTGGGTAGCATAAATACATGGCTTACCCAATGTAAATATCAACAGTAGTACGTACTTAATACGTGTAATGCAAGAAGGTTTACACTACAATCAATTTCATATAAAACAGTACATTATTTCACTCGATACATCTAACAACACTACTCTATTTCTCTCATTATAAGGCAGCCTTAATCTTTGTTTTCAAAGAACCCTTCAGGTTTAAAGCTTGGATATCACTGTTACCACCTAAATGTTCACCTCCAACCATGATATTAGGAACAGTTCTTTGACCAGTGAGTTCCCTCAAGTATTCTTGGATTTCTTCACCATCGGAATCAGTATCCAACTCAATGATGTAATCATCTAAGTTTGGAATCATTTGTCCTAAAGTAGCCTTGGCTGCTTTACAATAAGGACAGTATGTTTTGGAAGCAACAAATACTGGCTTCTTTATGAGTTCATCAACTCTAGCTTTAACTGAGGCAGATACCATATTTGAATACGAGCGAGATTGGATAAATTTATAATTAGAACGGTTGATAACAGTTCTAAGCATTCAATTGTGTTATATATAATAAGCACTGTAATGTAATTGAAGTTGGATACATTTGCATTTAGAGTTGATTCTCTTGCTATTTATATGAGTTCGGGGATTGGCAAAGTCGCGCGCTACCACACATGACACTCCTTGGTAAAGAAACCTCGGCAAATGCCCTCGAAACAGTGCGAGCCCAAAGGCCATCACAGATATTAAATCCGATACTATTACTAAGCTTATGATTACACTCACTGCCACCCTTCTAGAATCAACTACTTATAATACGACATTACTCGTGATGAATAATAGATGATCACATGATGTAGAGGTGAACAGTTGTGGTTTTTGTATACTACTTAATCTAAAGCTTGGAGAATAAATTGTGACCCAAGATTTCAATAGAGTATCCATCTGGATCCTTAATGAAAGCAATTTGCTTAATGTTACCTTGATTCCACTTTAAACTCCAATTGGCATCAGGATATTCAGCTTCAATTTGTGAACATAATTTAGCTGGATCTTTACAACTAACACAAGTGTGGCCATAACCTTGAAGTGCACCATTATCTGTAGTGTTACCGTTATGATAACCTTCAAAGGAGTCATCAGACTCAGTACCCCAATTGTGAGTTAATTCTATAATACCTTCATAAGCAGCTCTTGGAACTGTATCCATCGAATCTTCAACAAACTTGTCATCATGATTATAACCAAGGAAGTATAAGGTAAATTTGGCATCTGGGTGTTCACTAGTGGAAAGTAATTTGAATCCAAGAACATTTCTGTAGAAATCAAGCGACTTTTTAGGATCTTTAACTCTAATCATAGTATGATTCAATTTATAAGTCAGAGAATTGGTTGTTTCTGGTTTCTTTCCAATTTCATGTTGAATCAATTCAATCCAATATCCATTAGGATCTAAAATAAACGCAATATACTTTTGTCTACCTTCAGACAACTTCTTTTTGAATTGAACTCCCTTAGATAAAAATTCCTTTTCTGCTTGTTGAATGTTATCAACAGATATACAAATATGCCCAAACCCTCTAAAAGTTGTACCATTACCATTGTTCAACTTATATTCGGGGTCCTTTTCAACTCCATGATTATGGCATAACTCTAAAACCCCAGGTCTAGCAGACCAATTCTTTCCTTCATATGCTGCATCCGGATATCCTAACATGTACAAGGTGAAATCAGGAAATTCTATTGATCTGATCAACTTGAAGCCAAGAATATCAGTATAGAATGGAAGTGATTCCTTAGGGTCCTTAATCCGAAGACAAGTATGGTTCATTAAGAAAGATTGATCAATTTCAGGCATTTTTGTAACTATATAGTAACTTGAGGTGTAATCGTATGCAAATGAGACTTGTCTAAATAAGAACAAAATTTATACTTCAACGTCCTCCACTTTTCAATCAGGTAGAATTTCTTAGTACCTTATCCAGGGTATAAAGGTACTGCATAATATTACCGGATAAAATATTCGGAAAATATGACTCATGTTATAAATCGCTTTCAATTCACAAACAATTCTTACGTAAGAACGCGTCATACGTTTTCTCAAGCCTCGGGTTCCTCTTATACGAGGTCTCTTTTGCAGTGGGGCAAGTGATGCCGGTTTATTTGAAAATATTACTCACCCAAGGGGTAACAAGACATCCACAGATCAGAATCAGAAGTCAGGCTTTCCCTACTGAAAGAATACATAGTTAAATAGTATGTGGACAAAGGTTCGGGGTCTGGGTTTAATGTTGATAGGAAGAAGATTCTCTTCTCATAAGACACAATCCAGAAAGACATTAGTTGATATCCATAAATTGTACGGCAATAAGACTCCGATTCTGATGGTTACATCTTACGACTATATTACAGGGAAATATGCTGCTTCTGCCGGAGTAGATATCAATTTAATTGGTGATTCGCTTGCGATGACTTGCTTGGGATACGAAGACACCAATCAATTGCCTTTTGAAGAGTTTCTTTACCATGTTAAGGCGGTGGAAAGAGGTGATAAACAATCGTTTATTGTAGCAGATTTACCCTTTGGTACATATGAAGCCTCTCCAGAGAAAGCATTGGAGACTTCAGTTCAACTAATCAAGGAAGGAAGAATTCAAGCTGTTAAACTTGAAGGAGGTCATCCCTCAATGATTTCCAACATCAGTAAGATTATTGATTCGGGGATACCTGTTATGGGACATGTTGGGTTGACACCTCAAAGACACAATGTTTTAGGTGGATTCAAATTACAGGGAACAGATACCAACCGTGCTTTACAAATTTATGAAGAATGTGTTCTGCTTCAGAAAGCTGGTTGCTTCGCAATTGTCCTTGAATGCATACCGAACAGATTGGCCGAGTACATTACCAGTAAATTAAGCATTCCTACTATAGGCATAGGGGCTGGACCTCATTGTTCAGGTCAAGTTTTGGTGATGGCAGATTTATTAGGAATGTTAGATGATGAAAGTCATCCTCCAGCTAAATTTGTTAAAAAGTATGCTAGCTTCAGTTCTGAGGCAGTCAAGGCAATTCAACAATACAGATCTGATTTGAAGGGAGTATTTCCACAGGAAGACATTCATGGATATAAGATGAAACGTGATGCCCTCTTAGAGTTTAAGAGACAAGTTGACGACCGTTCATGAACACTTGCAGGTAATCCTCAACTATAATACAGTTAAGGACTAATGTATAACTAAAAAGTAATCAATTAATGTCAGATAGAATATTTAAACTTGAAACTGGATCAGAGTAGAGTAGATCAAGTTTTAAGGTTAAAGCACGACCTCATAGTGTAGTGTGAAGGTCATACTAGTGGAATCGTGAGACCCTAAGCTCATCATTATCACCAACATAGTTTGTGATTAAATAATATTGAACATATACGTTAAGAGATTTTTAGGATATACCTTTCTGAGTGGTATACGATTGAAACCCGCCATCCAGTATCACTTGATGATTCAATGTACAACTGCAATGCTATTAATACAAGGTAACTATTAACGATAGTAATAAGATTAAACTACTATAATGTCATAACATAATATACAAAGGTTACTTATGTTGAAGGGTCCAAGGTAGTACCCTTCTTGATTGTGGCCCAACCAATCAAACGCCAATGCTTTTCAATACGTCTAGATAATGCAATTTTTTCATTAACTTCAGTACAAGCAGGTGAAGTCAATTGTAAACGAGCCATATCAGCCTTGACAGCAACAACTCTGGCACCAGTAGCAGTGGAACCAATATTAACCATCAACACTTCACCAACTTCTAACTTTCTAACCTTAGCACCTTGCTTTTGGCCATCAGTCTTAACACCTAATAATCTTCTCAATAAGAAATAATTGATTTCAATATCAGTATAAATTGAAGGTAAATTACCCTTAGCACCAACAACTTGACCCACTAATCTATCAGCTCTACATAAAGTTGGATCAACCTTAGTACCAACACCAATTAAACCACCAGGGACAGCAAATTTCAAATCATTATGTTCAGCAAATAATGAAACAATACGAGAATAAATTGGCTTACATTGGATCTTACCTCTTTCATCTTTGGTAACAATACCTGGTCTAATTTCAATTTCATCACCAATCTTGAAAACACCTGTTAAAATGGAACCACCAGCAACACCACCCTTTAAGTCATCGATTTCAGCACCTGGCTTATTAACATCAAAAGATCTAATTACAATTAACCTTGGAGATGCTTGGAAATCTCTTGGTGGTACTGGGATAGTATTCACAATAGCTTGGTTAACAGCATCAATGTTATATTTCAATTGAGCTGAGATTGGAATGATTGGTGCACCGTCGGCAATGGTACCTCTTATAAATTGAAGAATAGATTTATGATGATCTGAAGCTGTTTCTTCCCTCATCAAATCAACTTTATTCTGTAATATAACAACATGCTTTAACTTCATGATTTCAATGGCTGCAAGATGTTCTGAAGTTTGGGGTTGAGGACAAGATTCATTACCTGCAATTAATAATAAGGCAGCATCCATAACAGCTGCTCCTGACAACATCGTACTCATCAAAATATCGTGCCCAGGGCAATCAACAAAGGAAACATGTCTAACCAATTGGTAACGACCTTCACATCCGGGTCTAAGACAACGAGGTCTAATTTCTTTATCTGATTTGAAGGAATGATAACAATCAGGTTCAGGACATTCAGGGTTATCACACTTATAAATCTTAGCATTAGCATAACCCAACTTAATAGTAATGTTTCTTTCTAATTCATCTTTAAATCTAACAGTTTGCACTCCAGAAATAGCTCTTACAACGGTAGATTTACCGTGAGCAACATGACCAATGGTACCAATGTTAACGGTAGCTTGTCTATTGATAATTTCTGGTGATAAAGGAGTCAAGAAAGAGCAATCAGGGTTTTCAGGTTGTTCAGGTAATCCTCCACCTTCTTCAAATTCTCTTTTGGCCTCCTCTTCATCATAAGCTTCTTCTAATCCAGCAAATGATACAGATTTCTTTTCTTTGGTGGCGTTAAGGTTACCTTCTTCTTCTTTACCTTCAGCTTGTTCATAGTCACTTTCCACGTCGTGCTCGTACTGGTAGTCTTCTTCAACGTCGTCCATAGTACCACCGATCACAATGTCGGGCACCGCGTTATCAATATCATCATACGACATGTTGACTTTTGATGTGGTTGATTCAGTATGTAAGTGAACACTAATAATACGATACATAAAACATCATCTTTGAAATTTTTCACTTAAATTTTTTAGTGGTAAAGACACGACACAGTAGTGCGAAACACATCCCGTTATCTATATCTTGTTATGCTATTACGCTGTACGCTATTACACTGTACGCTATTACACCGTAATAGTGTAGAGCTATGTACCACAATGTAGTAACATGGTAACCGCAAACAACTATAGACAAGTCCAGCTTGTGGGAGACCCGTTTTATTTCTATTTTTTTTAAAATAAATTCTATCATTAAACAAGATCACAAAATAATATTACACATTAATTACGTATGAAACCCAAAATCATACATGACACTGTCGATATCTTTCCATACAATATCCGTATTAGTATCCAAATCAAATAGCTCTAAGCTATTTTGATCTGGTGATTCAAGAGTAAACATTGTAGAAGGAAATTCACTGGTACGAGTTTGAGATTGACCTTGAGCTCTGGAAAAAGTATTAATGCTATTGCCAGTGATTTCCATCTTCGTAGACAGATAATTATCATGTATGGATTTGAGTGGATCAGGGGTTTGTGAAAGTGACGGTATGGGTGTGGCTGATTTAGATTGGTCACTGAAAGAAACACCAATTCTATTGGTGGGCTTAGAATAATTATTCTTATTATTCTTATTATTATTATTATTGTTTCCCATGCCTTCTGAAACACCATACCCTTCCCTAACTGTGTGTCGAGGTTGATTTGAGATATCAATACTATCAACAGCAGATACGGCAAATGGTTTGGGAGACGAAGTTCCACTTTTTCCACCATCAATTTTGGAAGGTGTATATCCTTCCAGTCTCAAGTTAGACGTATTGGGTGTGGCTCTGAGTTGGTTGGGATCTTGTCTTGAGTACTTTAATGCTGATGCTGCGGAAGAATCAGGATTATTAACAACTTTGAATATAGAACTTCTTTTCATTCCCACACTAATTGGCTGAGGATCTAATGGGATAGTCCGGATAATCTTTCTTGCTTTAGATTCAGCATTTACTGTATTAGATAAGGATCGTCCCCTCTTATTAGATGAAGTACTGGATGGAGTAGTTACACTTCCCTTACCATCACCATCTTCAAATACAACGGCTTCTTCATCATCATCTCCAGAAATCTCTTCAGCCTCGTCTTCATTCTCACCACTATCTTGATTGTCATCTGTTCGACTATTCAACTTTATCATTCCCACTTGCTCTCGTAATAGATATAAGCAATCAAAGAACACCGAAGCAGACATTCTACTTCGGATAGAAACACTCAAAGTAGATAATTTCTTCTCATCCAATGTCTTGAATAGTTGCCACATGTTCCTCATAATCCCACTCGATCTATAAGCAATATCATGTTTTAAAATGGAAGCTTTGGCAGCTAGTCCGATGGTTGTCTGATAACATTGTTTCCCTGTTCCCAAATCAATAATAGTTTTTAAAGGTGAATTGATTAATTTTCCTATAATGCAAGATGCTTGCCAAAGATTAAGAATGTAAACACCTGGCAAATACCTAACAAATTTCAGATTCATAGTTTGGTAAAGCTGGGTATGTGTTATTAGTGCAATACAAGCATTGTACAACTTTACTAATCCTCGTTTAAGTTCAAATTCAGCTATTCTCGAAGGATCTAAAGTATAGTATGTCAATAGTCGTATTCTGGCATTGATTAATTGGAACTTTCTAAACCCATCAACATGAAAGTTACTTAGTTTTATTTCCAATTCATCCAACTGTCGTAATAATAACTTAATTAATGGCAATCTCTCTGTAGGATCTACAAGACCGTAAGGATCAATTGGATTGGAATTAAGCACTTTTCCAACTTGATCTTCAAAGTTAGCAATGTCCATCATTACTCGTAATGAACGATTTAGTTCTATTGAGTTTCCTGGACGACAACTATTGATAACAGGAGAATCAAATAATACAAACGACGGGAATCCAAACGACGATGCAATAGTTTGGGATACAATATTACAAGCAACCCATGTCTTTGCTTGTTCAATCCTCATATCTTGTTGTTGAGGGGTTATATTCCCCACAGAGTTAGAAGAGGTTGAGTGTAAACCAATTCTAATTGCTTGGAAGAGTGCAACACCAATAGTGTTCCATGAAGTATCTGCACTTAATGAAGAAGTAATTGGGGGCCAAAAAGTGTAAAGAAGGAACGCTTGAACTGAAAAGACAGAGCATGCATTAATTATAGGTTCATCTTCTTCAGTTGGATTATATCTGGTGATTGGAGAAATGGTTATTTCAGCCAATATGTCTTTGATAATAGGAGATAATTCAAGTAACAATGCTTTATGTGACATATCTTCAAACCTTCTCAATGCCACTAGCATAATGACCCAGAAAAGAGCAGGACATAACCTATAGATCCTTTCAGGACCCCTAAGAACATCGACAACAGGTAAGATGGGATGATAGAAATCCACAAACTCCAAAAACAACAGTCTAACCATTTCTGGAGATAAAGAAATACTATCTAACGATTTCTCTTCACATTGTAGGGCACTTTCAGGGATTTGGATTTTGTTAACATTAAAATCATCCAGTTGGTTCTCAGCAACTGTTCGATAAATAGATGGAGTGTTAGGTAAAGACCCTTCTGAAGCCGTAGAAAACCTTGCATCAAAATGATTCAAAGGAGATTCAGTTTTATGACCGTTTGAATTGTTGTTACTAGTATTAGTTTTAGAAAATTGTTGACTAGGGTGAAGTTGTTGTTGTGGTGGTTTTGGCGTGATATTATTATCTGTGAACGATTGTGGAGTATTGTTGAAGTTTTTAGGAGTATTTGGTAAACTGATATGATGATTGAGATTGATTGGAATTGGACCTTGAGCAGAAAAGGGTACCTGAATAGAAGAAACAGGTATTGGGGGTATTCCTTGCTGCTGGATTTGATGCTGTTGAGGATGAAGCTGATTGGGGTTAAAACTACCTAACATTTGATGAGAACTTATAGGAGGAGATACAGAACTTGGAGGTTGTTGGCTTGTTGGAGGGTAGGTAGGATGGTTTGACATTACCAATGATCGCTTTAACTCATTATTTTCTCGTTCAACTTCAGCCAAACGAGCTCTTTTAAACGTCCTTTTATAGTCAGAATTCAAGTCACAAGGTATATTCTTTCTTTCACATCGACTACAAGCATTAGGTGCCTTTTCATAGGCATCACACCGGGACTTTTGTTGTCTACATTCAACACACGCTAGACGTCTTACCTTTCTACCTTTTAAGTTCATTACCATTTCTCCTCCATCACTCCAATCCAGAGGCCCATTCTCCTGTTTCATCTCCATCGTCACTCTGAGCTGTTGTGGTACTTTTGTGCTTTAAGGATGATCCGAGATGAGATCAAAGGTATTCAAACAAGGCCTGCTTAAATTCGACCTGTACTCTTCTGAGTAGTGATTTACCCCAGTATGTACTCACTGCCTTAACAGGATCTTCAGGATTGATTTTCAACGTTTAATGGTGTTGTTGTTACTGGCTTTTCAGTTATGACTGGTTATGAATTTTAATTTCGGGATGAGATCGATTTTGGTGTGCGGGTGTGGAATATAAGTAGGATATTAGTGCATGGAATACATTGAAATATTAAGTATAAAATTTACTATTAAAAGAGTATAAAGATTTAAGATATGATATAGGAAGTCATGTTTACGTTGCTTAGAGAGTATCTTGCTTTGATTAAATTAGTAATAAGAGATTCGTATTAGCAGAAGGCTGAAAATGATCAACCAATTGATACCAAATATTACAAGTACTACGTTGTGTCATTCCATGAGCTAAAAGTAGGCTTTGGCACTTGTCTTGAGACTAAACCCCTAGTACACGTTAACTTTTACTATGTCCACCTTGGAAGAAACGTGACTCATATTGGTGGTACGGGACTATAAGTAAAAGCCTATCACTGCATAGGAAGTTCTCAGCCGTGCATGTTCTAAAGTTCATTATAATATCCTATAACCATATAAGATCCCAATTTATATATCGTACAATAATAATAATAATTATATTAAAACAAGAAGTTCAAAACTTTCTTGTACCAAGGCAAATGTCTTAATGCTTCCTTTTCCTGAGCAATTTCTTGCATCAACAAGTCCATGTCAATGACATTTCTTCCTGAATCTAAATCAACATCTTCTAATTTGACGTAATCAAAAAATTTGCGTTTGTAAATCTTATGTCCAATAAAGAATACCAAAACAACGATTGCTCCCAAGTAATTTTCGAAGAATGCGGTAACGTTTGGTTTTTGCTTATAGGGCCAGACTGAAGTCCAGAATTGAAGACAAAGGATAACCACCAAGCATACCATACTATAAATGGAACCCCATGTACCAGTTAATGCCAAATAAGGAAGCTCACCAAGGGAACGGCCTTGGTGTTTCATGGCCAATCTAAACCGGTAATGACTCAAACAAATGGAGAACCATGTGAAAAGACTTGAAAGACCTGATAATGCCATTAACCATTCGAAAGCAACTTCTCTTTTCTTTGACGCAGAGATGAATGATAAAAGACCAACAAAAAAAACAAGAATGTACGCAACGGTTGGTCTACCTTTTCTATCAACGTAATTTAAGATCTTTGGTGCCATTCCTTGTTGAGATAAAGCAACCAAAGTACGAGAACAACCATAAACTGAAGAGTTGGCAATTGAAAGTAAAGCAATCAAAACCACAACGTTGAAAATTGAAGGAAGAACTTTAATCCCCCCATTTCTGATAGCAATAACAAACGGAGAAGCAGAAGCATCTGAAGAAGCGCCAATCAACTCTGGGTTATTTGGAGCAACAAGGAACCCAATTAAAGTCAATGTAATCATATAGAACAAAATTATTCTCCAGAAAACTTGTTTAATGGCTTTAGGTAAAGTCTTTCTTGCATCTTTAGCTTCAGAAGCAGTCAAACCAATCAATTCTGTACCTGCCAAAGAATAGACGGCAGTAATCAACACAGAAACAAATCCTTTAAACCCCGTGGTGAATGCACCAAACTCTCTCCAGTATTTTGCACCAATGAATCCTTCGTCACCACCACCACAGATCAAAACAATACTTAAAATATTGAAACCAACAATAGCTGCTAGTTTAATTAAAGCAGCAATGAATTCAAATTCACCAAATCCCTTATTACCAGCAAGGTTTAATACTAAGATTCCAAGGTAAAATATAGTGATCCAAACATCCAAATTGATTTTAGATTTCCAAAATTGAATAGTTAAAGATGAAGCCACCAATTCCAAAGGTAAAACCATAATCCAAAACATAGCATAATTCCAACCCACAGCAAACCCCCATGAATCATCAATAAATCTTGTAGCAAATGTAGCAAATGAACCAGAAACTGGGAATGTAGCACCAAGTTCTGCAAGACTTTGCATAGTACAATATAAAAAGGATGAAACCACAGCCCAAGCCACTAAAACACATGCTGGACCATTCGATAAAGCCTTACCTGAAGCCACCAATAATCCAGAACCAACACATCCTGTAAGCGCAATCATTTGCAATTGACGTTGTTTTAAACTTCTTTGGAAATCATTGGCTTCATCCATATTGACTTCATTACCAAGTTCTGGTCTTTTAAAGGAGTCCTTGAATGCTTCCCATCTTGATCCTGAAGTTGAAGGTTTGTCATTCTCATATGGGGATGTTACTGTAAGTGTATTTTCAACAGGAGAGTCCTGCTTTAAATTTTTTTCCATAGAGCTTCCATCACTCATGATTGAAAGATTTTTTTTAAAAATATAGAATGGAAAAGATTTTCGACTCATAATATTGGTTTTGGCATATTCTACAGAGTATATATAGTTAAACATGCAATTTGTAAGCCGGTGATGGTGATGATCAGCTAAAACCGGTGAGATGGGTGCAAAAGGTAGTTGTACACAGAGATGCGGCGATTTCTGCTGCACAAGAGCGGCATTTGCTGGTTTCCACACGACTTTTTCCATTTTCGTCTCCTGTTACCGGCGAAAGTAGTCTACAAAATGCATCATAAACCATGTAGGGTGGTTCAAAGTATTTGATATAAACACTATATTAAGCAAGAGACCGTTGGGAGAAGAAGGCTTTAATTGATTAGTGGGGCAAATAAGTTTTTTTTTCACGTTAAGTTGTGGAAAACAGATGCTCTGGCCGCCTTGTCAAAGATTTAAAGCCGATATGCCATTACATTTTTAGGAGCCAATGTTAAGGACCGACGGACCAGGAACTATGGTTCAATTACTGTTTGGATTTCTTCTGTAGAGGCAAGACAATAGAACTAAATCTCTTAGTTAGTCAGGTGGTACAGTATATGCGACAGTGCTTCCTGTAAACGGAAAGTGAGACATACGAGCCTAAAAAGAAACTGAGAACACGACAATCCCTAATTGGGGAACTCAATGCGTATGACGTATTCACGTTCACTATTTAATACCTTGTGTCCAAAAGGGTATCTAAACAGTAAAAGTATCATACCAATTATCATTTATAAATTCTATTCAACTCAATTGAAAGTGTATCAATATGGGAGTATATGATAACGACAAGCTCCAATTCGGAATAGCCGAATCACATGAAGAATTAATTCAAGTCTTTTCTGTTTCTAAGGACGAGTGGGGAAAGGCTATGACCCCTCAAGGGTATCTACATCATTATACGCTGGAGTTTGAACGTCAAAGGGAAGAGGGAAAGAATATTAAGGCATTCTACATCAAAGATATTGAGTCAGGTGTTATAGTGGCCAGTTGTATCGTTAACCCAAAACCGGGGTTTTTCAAAGAAGCTGACCGGTCCCAGGCAATTGCGTCTATCCCTGATCCAACCTCGTTCGGAGTGAAAAATGTAACTGGGTTACATGTTGAGATGGTATTTGTCAACAAAGATTATCGGGGAAAGGGTTTAGGGGAAGCTGTGGTAGAAAGATCAATTGAGTATGTTGAAAAAAGCCTCATTGATAAGGAACTTGAAGCTAGTGATGTTAATGCAGTAGACAGTTTCGCTAATATGGTTAAGGATTCTCTGGGTAAAGTGGATTCAGTTCTTGCCAATTATTATTTGAGCAAAAAGTATATCTGGCATTTATATTCAGGTGTGGGCGACACTTTTTACTCTCGGTTCGGATTTAAAAAGTATCCTATACCACTTTATCTGATGCCTTTTGACTCCTTCACTTTTATGAACGAGACTCTTGATTTCCTTTTGAAAGATTCAAATAAAGGACAGCAATCATTTCCTGTGGTTCCGGGTAAACTGCTCCAATTATTAGAGGCTGGAAACCCCCAACACCAACGTATAATTGAAAGTATCTATCAGTCTAAAGAGTTGGAAATCATGATGGAGTTGAATAAAACTACTTTCCATCTGCAATTGTCAGGGCTGTTGAATTCCTCGTCTTCATTGACGAATATGAACAATATTTTGTCATATTCCAAAACACATGGAGGATTTGGGTCTTCTGCAGCCATATCAGAAATGGCTGTGTTTGAAGACATAGAAGAGCGTTCTGACACAGACTCACAAACTCCCACACTGAGGCGCAAATCTTCGGTAATGCATTCTGCAGTTTCTAAGTTTGCTATGAAACCTGATTATCTGCAATTTTGCAATTTTGCCAAAGGTGATACAATTATTGGAAGGTTGAAGAGCGAGTTGGAAACTCTGGACGAGAAAAAGGCTGACACCAAGAGTTGGAACATTCAAGGTGCAATACTCACAAATGAATTGCAACGGAAATCCTACTATATTATTTGGCAATGTCTACTTGGTGGGTCTGTATTTTTCATTCTTAGTATGGGTGAAGTCAGTGGAGACATTACCGGGAATGGTGCTTTATCTGTGCTGCCATTTCCTAATAGACGTCGAGGATCTTCTTTCACTGGTTTAAATGACCTTGGAGGTATTAATTTCCAGGATTTAGATATTCTTTTATCTGCAGCTGCCAGGGTAGCAAATCTTCGTCAACCATTATATTCAAAAGCATTCTTTGTTAGTCCTAATGATTTACCAACAGATATCCCAGTAACTGTGGTACATGATTACTTTATGAATTATCTTTCCAGTAAAAGAACTGAGTCATCTAAGCCTATTGAATTCCATGAAGATGCTAGCAAACTTTGTGTTTTACCTATGCTTAAAAGGTTTGGAGATACTTCACCAACATTTGATTTGGATTGGATTTATAGTGGCATGTGGTCCTGGGCATGAACAGTGCAGCAGTAAATTTTGAGTTTAGTTGATAAATAAGATAGCAATACAAAATCAATTGTATTATACATTGAATCTTACTATATTTGTAAGTAGTTGCTTAATAGAAAAAAAAAGAGACGGCGCTACCATTATTTGTTTTTAACACAACATAGGAACACCAGCAGAAAGAATATACCAAGCACACCCTTCACATTTACTCACGTAATAAAATTAAAAAGTGCAATACAATGGCGTTCTACCAGAACAACGGACAGCCTGAGATGCAGTTCTATCAATCGAACTATTCCAATAATTTTCAAAGCAGTCCCTCGGCTCAATTTGCCAATCAAGGTAGTATGGATGGCGGATTTGGTGCCAATGTGGATGTGAGTGGGGCTATGGGAAGTGGAGAACTTGCTCCAGGGATAATTGCAGCATTTGGAACATCTGGATATCCTGGAGAACCTCCATTATTAGAGGAGCTTGGGATCAATTTTCAGCATATCAAGGGTAAGACTTTAGCTGTATTGAATCCATTCAATAAAAGTATTAGTCCTGATATAATGTCAGATTCCGATCTTGCAGGGCCCATTTTGTTTGCACTTATATTTGGAACATTATTACTTTTAGCAGGTAAAGTTCAATTTGGATATATCTATGGGGTTGGATCATTTGGAACTATTAGTTTGCACTATTTGTATAAGTTCATGTCAGATTCAGTGGAGATTGATATCACGCGTTCTGTTAGTGTTATAGGTTATTGCATGTTGCCATTACTTTTAGTTTGCGTTATAGGGGTTTTCCATTCTTTGGATAACCTATTTGGTTATTTGACTAGTGCTGTTGCTGTGTTTTGGTGTACATATTCAGCTTCAGGGTTCTTTGTTGCTGTATTGAAGTTGCATAACGTCAGACCATTGATTGCCTATCCTCTCTGCATGTTCTACACTGTGTTTGCCTTGATGGCTATCTTTGTGGAGAAGGGTCCTGCAACATCATAAATGGGATAATACTACTGAATAGTGAACATGAGCATGTGAATGATATATAATGATTACACACCCATAGAATAATAGTAGATGATAGTATATCTGTGTTTGATTAATGTCGTATGCCGTAGAAAGCGTACGTCGTAGTAGTAGCGAAGTCGTCGTAGTGGAGTAGTAAAGTTCTACCAGTGGTGTACTTTACCGCACCGTGCGAAAATGTATCGCGTATAGAGCTTTCACTCAGACGTTACTTCTTCCTTTAACGCTGTTCCTGAATGACTCGAACTATCTTTAGTTCTGCCTTTAGGGTTTTAGGTCGTCGATATGCTTCTCAGAAACCGTTCTATGTGACTACACCTATTTTCTATGTGAATGCTAGTCCTCATATGGGCCATCTTTATTCGATGCTTTTATGTGATGTTCGTATACGGTGGCAGAAGTTGAATGCAAAGAACAACACTACATTTTTCACTACCGGAACGGATGAGCATGGCCTTAAGATTCAAAACGCCGCAGAGAAACAAGGTGTTGATCCAAAACAGTTTGTTGATTCTGTATCGCAGAACTTTCATGTCTTGAGTGACAAAATGGACATTCAATACGACAGATTTATCCGTACAACCGATCCTGACCATATGAGTGCTGTGCAATACGTCTGGAAGGTGTTTAAGGAGAAGGGATTGATTTATGAGGGATCTCATGAAGGTTGGTATTGTGTCAGTGACGAGACCTTCTATCCAGAAGCTCAATTGGAACAAGTGGAAAGAGATGGTAAAAGAATAATGATTTCTCGAGAGTCTAAGAACGAAGTGGTTTACCAAAAGGAAACTAACTATTTTTTTAAGTTGGCTCGATTCCAAGATCAATTGATTAAGTTTTTGGAAGAGAATCCGGATTTTATTGCTCCTAAAGCAAAGTATGAAGAGTTGTTACGAGAATTAAAGGACACCAAACTCTCAGATTTATCCATTTCCAGACCATCTTCAAGACTTAATTGGGGCATAGAAGTTCCTGATGATCCTTCTCAAAAAATTTATGTATGGCTTGATGCTTTATTTAACTATGTTGTATCCTCGGGGTTCCCTGGAAAGTTTCCCCTTCTTGCAGATGGTACTTATGAAGTACCCACTGAAGTACCCTGGCCCGCTACACATGTTATTGGTAAGGATATTATTCGATTCCATTGCATTTATTGGCCTATTTTCCTTATGGGTCTAGGGTTACAACTTCCAAAGCAAGTGGTTGTACATCTGCATTGGCTTTGCGATGGATTTAAGATGTCAAAAAGCTTGGGAAACGTTATAGATCCAATTCTTACTCAAGATCTATACGGCCAAGATGCTCTTAGATTTTTCTTGACTGAGTTTTCCAATATTGAATCTGATTGCAACTTTGTGGAAGAATCTTTCCACAATAGTAGAGATCATATAATTGGTACTTATGCCAACCTTATAACCCGTATAGGAGGAGCTGCTTTTAACATTGAAGAGTCCGTTCAATGGGCCAAAGAGGGTAAGTATGTGGACATTAATTCTATCATTGAGAGTCATTATGACCCTGCAAAAGCAACACAAATTTGCACATGTCGTAGCGAACTAACTTCGTTATTAGACAACATTTACAACAGTATGGATGAACGGATGGTACAATTTGACTATAAACCCGCAATTAGAGAATGGTGGGGTGTTTTAGAAAAGGCTAATCTTTTTGTACAATTGAGTGAACCTTGGACATTCAAAAAGCTCATTGCTTCTAACCCAGAGAATTCCACCTCTTACGAAATACTTCGTCATTATTCCATATATCTTGCCCTGGAAGCCTCTAGGATTGCATCAATCTTAATTCAACCTGTTATCCCTGAATTAGCATCCAAATTACTAGATAGACTTAATGTTTCAGAGTCTAAGAGATCAGCTGCTCAATGCCATTTAGGTGGTGATTTTACTTACGGTGCAGGTGCCAACTCCAAAACTCACAAGCTTCCCATCCAACGTATAGTTCCTACTGAAAAACTATATGTGCCTGTTAAATAGTGCTACGACATTTTCTTACTTATATATATTAATAGACATCTCTATACTGCTACCCTTCTTTTGTTTAACTGGAGAGTGATAAAAGTAATTGATCTGACATCGTGAAGGAGTTACCCGCACATTTCTGTTCAAACGGTAGAAAAATATGTTCAACTAGTCAATTGTAAAACCTCACAAATTAATTATACGCAACTCAAAATTTGTACTGTATTTCCAAACTCATTGCCTTGCTAAGTAGTGGATTCTGATACACGTATTTTATTGTTGAGTTTAATCAATCTGTGGTGTGGTTGGGAAGTCTACTAGCACGTCATTAATCATTTGATGACCTCTAGTACATAAACACACTAAGAATACCGTTTGGGAGTGAATACAATCCATCGAAAATGGCGCGCAGAAATCGTGGAATAACCGGTGATGACGATGACGATGATGTTGTTGTACATGCTAGAAGATCTAGAACCAGAATATCTTATAAGGAATCTGAAGAAAGTGACGATGACAACAACGATGGCATGAAGGACCCCAGACCTCATATCATGTCTGATGCGGATGGAGAAGACGCGTATAATGACGAAATCAATGATGATTATGATGATGAAGTTGTGAGTCGCAGTAAGCGTAAAAGTTCCAAACCAGTTAGAAAGTCAAACAACTCAGATTCAGACTTTTATGCGGAAGATGATGAAGAAGACGATGATGCATTCTCAGAAGAGGACGATTTTATGGAAAAGCTACAAGAAAAGAATTTCATTGCTACTGATGATGAGAATGATGAGTTTGGTGGTAACTACGAGTATGGTAGACGAGTTCCCAAAAAGAGAAAGAGGAAGAGTAGGTCCAGATCTCAATCAGTAGAACCCAAAAGAGGTAGGCTCACAAGAGGGACCGCAGCAAATAATGGTGGTGCTGGTGAAGAAGAGAATCCTGGAGAAGATACCGAAGCAGATAATAGTATTCAACAAGAGATTGCAGATTTGTATGATTCTTCCCCTGATGCATCTCCGGTTAAACATAAATTAAGAGAACGAGATCATAAGGTGGATTACACCATACCGCCTCCGATCACTAATGACACTCAATTATATCAAGATACATCTGCTTCAAAGCAATCCTCATATACAGTAAGAAAGAGAGGGAGAACAACAGCAAAAAGCGATTACAGAAATATTCTCTTCCCTACTGCCGGTCCATTTGGTGGCAGCGATGTAATTTCCGTTTTTGGAACAAATATCCCACCAGGAGGTATTCCGTTACCGGGGTTAAGACAACCTCATTCTAATCAACCTGGGATGACAGCCATTGGTCAAAATTTAAGTGATTCTGATACTTCAGAAGATGAAATTGCACCCATTAATGGCTCAGCAACAGTCACTAAGAAAAATTCATTTGCGCCTAAGAAACCTAAGAGTGGTAAAGATAAAGATAAAAAGAAGAATAATTTAAGTGATACAGATCCTTTGGGTGTTGATATGAATATTGATTTTTCAGTAGTTGGAGGGCTTGATAATTATATTAACCAACTTAAGGAAATGGTAGCTCTACCTTTATTATATCCAGAGTTGTATCAAAACTTTGGAATTTCTCCTCCCAGAGGTGTGTTGTTTCATGGTCTTCCAGGTACAGGTAAGACATTAATGGCTAGAGCTCTTGCTGCCAGTTGTTCAACATCTACAAAGAAGATCACCTTTTTTATGCGAAAGGGTGCAGACTGTTTGAGTAAATGGGTTGGAGAAGCGGAAAGACAGTTACGTTTATTATTTGAAGAAGCAAAAAACCAACAACCTTCCATTATATTCTTTGATGAAATTGATGGGTTAGCGCCTGTTAGACTGTCAAAGCAAGAGCAAATCCATGCAAGTATAGTTTCAACGTTATTAGCATTAATGGATGGTATGGACAATAGAGGACAAGTGATTGTTATTGGTGCTACTAATAGGCCAGATGCAATTGATCCAGCATTGAGACGGCCAGGGAGATTTGATAGAGAGTTTTACTTCCCTTTGCCGAATATTAATGCAAGAAAGCAGATATTGAAAATTCATACCAGGAAATGGGAACCTCCATTACATGACTCATTTGTGGAGAAGTTATCTGAATTGACGAAAGGTTATGGTGGTGCTGATTTGAGAGCCTTGTGTACTGAAGCAGCATTAAACAGTATTCAGAGAAAGTATCCACAGATTTATCAAACCAATGATAAGTTATTAGTTCATCCTGAAAAAGTTAAGGTCATAGCAAAAGATTTCATGAATGCCTTGGAGAAAATTGTGCCTTCAAGTGCCCGGTCTACATCGTCAGGCTCAGCACCTTTACCTACATATTTAAAGCCATTACTTTCAAACACATTGGATGATGCCATTGGCCGTTTGAACAAGTTGCTACCAAATACAATCACCACTGGAAAATCAACTAAGAATACCAACTTGGAAGAAGCCATGTATTTGGACCCTACTGTGAATGATGTTGATGGTGGGTTTTCCAAGCACTCTTTATTACGGGACTTGCAAAGTACGATTGTTTGCAAACCTCATTTATTGATTAGTGGTTCACAAGGGAACGGGCAACAATATTTGGGTGCAGCTATTCTTAACTATTTGGAAGGATTTCAGGTACAAACCATGGACATTAGTACTATGTTTGGTGATCCAACAAGGACTCCTGAACTGGTTATTGTTCAATCGTTTATCGAGGCAAGAAGACACCAACCTTCAATTATATTTATTCCTAATATTGATGTTTGGTTTGACATTGTACCTCACACGGCACAGGCCACTTTCATTAGTTTATTAAGAAACTTAAAGAATACTGAAAAGATTTTATTATTGGGAATAGCTGATACCGAGTTTGAGAATTTAGGTCCCTCCATTAGAGCGTTGTTTGGATTAAGCAATAATTCTATCAACAATACCAACCTTAGAAACCCCACTCTTGAACAACGACAACAGTTTTTCGAAGCTTTATTAACCACATTAAAGATGAGACCATTTGAGTTCATTAATGATTTGGAGAACAGGCCGAAGAGGAAGTTGAAGAAGCTTAAAGTTATTGAGTCTGAACCTACACCAACTGATAAGAAGAAATTAAAGCAACAAGAATACGAAGATACCAAATTGAAAAATGTATTGAAGATCAAATTGGCGGGGTTAATGGATTTATTTAAGACTCGATACAAACGATTCAAGAAACCAATTATTGATGAGAATTTACTTCATCATATTTTTGATCCTACCATTCCACAAACCAACCCTTTGTACGAGGTTTTATATGTTAAATCCGAGGACCCAAATCATGCTAATATGATTAGAGAGTTGACTACTGGGAAATATTACTATAATATGGATTTGGATGTGATTGAAGAAAGATTATGGAATGGTTACTATAGTGAGCCCAAACAATTCTTAAAGGATATAAGAATGATAGTCAAGGATTCAATTATGTCAGGAGATAGAGAAAGATCCCTTAAGGCAAATGAAATGATGACCAATGCTCAATTTGGTATAGATGATATCTACACTCCTGAATTTGTCAAAGCTTGTAAGGAAATGAGAGAACGAGAAGTTGAGAGACAAGAGCAGATATTGAAGGAGTATAAGGACTTAAAGGAGAAAGTTCAAACCCAGGAAACCATAAACGGTAAAACTGAAGTATTAGAAGCAACGTTAACAAACCCTATTGTGGAATCATCCATAGTGGAACCACCTACTGTGGAGCTCACTACTCCTTCGATCCCCAACTCTACAGCACCACTGATTTCAATGCTGCTTTCCAATGGCAATGGCAGTGTACTTCTCAACCAAGCGATGTTGGGAGACGTTTCTGAAGCTAATTCTATGGAAGTTGACGAAACTGAAGCTGAAACTATGCTTGAGGCAGAATCATTAGCGGCTACTGTTCATGAGGATGAAGCATCTGAATCCGAAGTGGATGAAGACTACAATATTGATCTCCTGAAACAAGTTGATCTTGGTACTAAGTATCAAGAGTTCTTTGGTGACCTTTTATTGAGAGTCTCTGAGAATTGTAATATAGATCTGCTTGAGGCCATGAATGCAAAGTTTATGGAGATTATATGGGAAGACAGAAACCAATGGAATAAAGCTGCAACTGTCGATAAGCTTATTGCAGCTGCATTGGAGTTTGAAAGACTATTAAATCGGTAGTTTATTATAGTTTAGTACATAGCATATATAGGAACTGTCCATAGATATCACCAATACTATAAAATCATTATAGATTGTTGAATACTTAGTCATCTGCACTACCATCTCTTGGTCTATAACTAATATTTTGGTCAGTCAAGTCATTGATAAAGTGTGGAGGTAACTTACCATTAACCTTCACAGCATATAACCCAGGAACAAAGGAATCTATACGAAGCCACCGGGCAACCCAAGATTTGTTACTATCTTCTCCTAAAGCGACCAAGCCCTCAAATGATGGTGAAGTACAATCTTGTACTTGGCCGTCTTCATTATCTTGGAAATGCAATACACTTTCGCAGTTGGGACAACCATCGTCCACAAATCGTCTGAACGGTTGAATTATCCCGCAGAGCATACATGCTCTGTCTGTCCTGCTAGACATGCTGGTATAATCTGGAGTTATGTAGAATGAATGAACGGTAGAGGTTAGATGTATTGATAATTATTTTTCACCTTTGATCAAGTGCGATTTAGTACTAGAAGTTCTTCTGGTAAGTATGGGCAACAAAATATTAATAAGTCAGAGGTTTATAGTGGTGACTGGAATAAATCCGTATGTTAATATTCCCAACTTAAATAATACTGAACTTAAGAAGTGAAATAGAGGTGGAATAAGGTGAGTCTTTTGATTTGTGCCTTCGTCTTACGTAATAATGCGACAACATGTGTTTATTTGCTCCTATGATATGGAACTCTACCTAGTCAACTAGACGTTGTAACAATAATATTTTATTATACTTTAGCTACATAGTTTTATATCAATAGGTTATACATACATATATATATATATATAACGTAATAGCACATTGTAGGTAATCATATTTGTCTCATTTCTCTTGCTTACATAAGCAATGGCTACAAAAAGTATACCCTCATTTTCGATTCCTTAGAATCAACCCCATCACAACTTCTCCTGATCGTCACCGGAGATGATGATAGCATTAAGAGGAAGGATCCTTCCGACTCGGATGAGACTGGGTCTACAGCGTCGTCATTTTTCCTTAGGAGTTGTTGTATCCACAATGACAGAGAATCTACAAGCAGTTCATTTATACTCTGGGATACCTTGGTGGGCACTTATACCAATGACTACAATAACATTAAGAAGTATTTGGACATTACCACTAGCAATTGCACAGAGAAAACGAATCCAGAAACAAAGTACGTTGAAGCCGTTAGTAGCCGCCACTAATCCAGTACTTAAGATGAAATTAGCCAGAGAGGTACTGAGACAAAAGAAGGAAACCACACGTAAAACTCAACAAGAAAGTAGAAGCAGTAGCGGTCAACCCACGGACGAACAAAAAGTGTTTCAAGCCCTTCAAGCTCTGAAAGCTAATCGAGTAGCCAATCTTAAATATGAACAGATTGTACTCATGGCAGCTAAGGAGACAAGGAAGAGACAGAAGAAGCTTTTCAGTGATCATGGAGTTCAAATGTGGAAGAACATGGTATTACCCATGTTTCAAATACCTCTATGGGTTGGAATGTCATTTACGTTTCGTGATTTAAGTGGTTGGTCAACTTGGGATGCCATCAAGAACAAAGCATTAGATCCTTCCTTATATACTGAGGGGATATTATGGTTCCCAGATCTTAGTATCGCTGATCCGTGGTGTATATTACCTGTGGTGTTAGGGGCCATATCTATTTTCAATGTTGAATGGACATTTAAAACATTGGAGTTGATGAAATTAACTATCAGAAAGGGGAATCGAATCACCATACAAGATTCTTTGGCAAATGTGGCAAGAATGTCAGTGGTATTTATGATGGCTATATCACTACATGCTCCTACAGCTTTAGTACTATATTGGATTAGTTCTCAGGTGTTCTCCTTGGTACAGAATATTATTTTGGATTTGGTGATGCCTATAAGTTATACTCCCAATAGGAGATTCAATATATCTGTCCAGGGGAAGGAAGCAAATAATATTATCATGTAAATAGAAAACAAAGATTAATTATCTGAGAACAGAAACGTAGTGTAGAAGTCAATTTCGTATACTGGCTTATCACCTGATATACTCCAGTATACGGTATACTCTAGAATACGGTATACCCCAGCAATACTATGGACCACATCAAGACTGCTGCTACGGAACTCTATCCACTTATAGTGGTTCAATTGTCCTCATCTAGTAAGAAATATGGTTCTAGAACCCTTGAACAATTAGATGAATGGAGATGTTCAGAGCTTCCCTCACTCGTCAAACAAAGACATAATGATCATGACACAACTTGGCTAACTAAGGATGAATTGGTTTTATTAATGGATTGGAAGCTTGCAAAGGGTAAGTTTAGACCTACTTTGCCCAAACTTATTCGATCTAATGATCCAGATACTGTTGAATCTGTAACAAAGAGTGGGCTACTGCAAATGGTAAGTTATTTATTAGAATCTGATACGCTTAACCAAAAAGAATACTTGCAACAAGTAAAGAAATCCATAAAGATTATCTCCCAGTTAAAGGGTGTAGGGCCTGCCACTGCAAGTCTAATACTTTCGCTTTTGGTACAAATTCACCCCAAAAGTCCTCCATTCTTTAGTGACGAAAGCTTTCTTTACTTCGTTGAACCAAATGATAAGATCAAGTATAACATCAAGGAATACACTGACATGCTTTTGCCCTTATATTTCGGCTTAATTGATGATGATAAGACACCTTTCGACACATTGGAAAAGGGTGCTTGGGCAATTAAAACTTATGACTTAAAAAGGGACTTTGAATTAGCAGATATAAACTATAACATTGAAAATTGCGCCAAATTCAAACCACCAATTGATAATAATAAACGCAAGTCTAAAGACACAGACAACAATACCCAATCAACGACAAAGAAAAGACGGAAAGGTTAAACCCTATAACCCTTCTAGATGTTGATTCTTGAAATTAACAAGCTTAAAATCATTATCATTGTGTTCAAGTCCCAAAATACTAATGTTCTTATCAACTGCTTGAAATATCCGTTCTAGTTTAGATTGGGGGTCCATACGAACTTGTCGAATAATCTGGGCATTGATATCATGGATCAATCGGTTCAAGTTTCGATCATAGCTTTCTGTAAGTTCACTGAAATATGGCGAGCTTGCAATTCTAGATCCTTGTTTCACCATAGAAACGGCGAAAAGCTTGTTGATTGATGCTAATCTCAGTGGAGATTGTTTGCTCTCAGATTCAAGCTTAAGACAATAATTATAAAACTTCAAAAATGTATCAGAATCATGTCCCTTCTGATCTAACTCCTTCAAAATAAATGTACATGCAAGATAATCCAATCTGAAAATAATGTTCTTCCAAACTTCACTATCCATGTATTCTCGGTAATTTGTGAATATAAAATCTCGGGCACCTTCAAAATCATTGCTACTAAGCAATTCCCGAAGTTCCAGTCTTTCTTTGGCTCGAGACCTATCAATCCAGTTAAGATACCGAGCTTCAAGTGTCACATTTTCCATGGTAGGTTTCCCAATACTTTGTGATTCTTGGTCCAAGTCCAGCTTGAACGAATTTAATGTCTCCATATAACCATTCTTTATAAGATATCCTTGAATTAGTCCATTAATTGATGAAGTATCATGATTCATCAAATTCACTATATCTTTATCATTGTCTGTTTTAGGTAATTGGAGCACATTTTGGCTTTCCTGTTTCAAATCATTGACATAATCACGAATTGGGAAAACAAACTCTCTAAATCCTAAATTAGTCTCAATATCAACTGTTGTAGGTGACAGTTTCAGATCAGCATTCCCATGATCAATATTATTCTCCAATGAATTTATCTTGAACCCAAATATAGGAAATACTTCATCCACAATTGTGGATTTCTCTGAAAAGATATTATTGACATTATTCTCCAAATTGAGAGTTTCAACAGGGAATTTCTTAACCAATGCACCATTTAAAGTTATAAATATTTCCTTCTTTATAAAGTTTATACCACAGCCAACAGTTTCACTGGCGTAAACTTCATTTGTAGGAGTAGTATGACGATGAACAAATTGGAAATCAAGTTCTGTTCTTCCCAGATCCTTTTCCTCCATATTTCTATTTGATAACCTCCGATTAAGAACTATTGGTCTTTCATAATATTCAGCATTCTTAAGAGAATTCCAGAATGAATTCTCAAAGAAACTAAACGCGAACAGACCATTTAATTCACCTGCCTTATGGCCTAACAATAATTCAGTATAATTATTAATACTTTCTGAGCCTTGGTTGATTTTTCTTTTCACTGAGTCTAAATCAAGCTTAACAGGCAGGGAATTCACTTTAGGTTTTTCATCATACAGAATCTCTCGTTTAACAAATCCCATGGAGAACCCTAAAGATGTGGAAGAATATAAAGCCCCATCCCCACTCACCAATATAGGTTTAAATTTAGTGGCACTAGTAACTATTTGCTTTACTTTGACTTCATAATAGTACACTCCACAAAGAGAGTTCACAGGGTTATTTGTAATGAAGTTGTATGCTCTGTTGTTTGAATAATCTTCTGCATCATCCATAGCCTTTTCATTGACTTCAGAAGATAATCTTATATGGCAATAACCATCTGTATTGGAACTAGACAAATTCAAATTCTCAGTAAGATAATTTAAAAAGTGTCCAGGTACTAAGGGTGACCACAGATAAGGTAAAGGATAAGAAAATCTAGACCCATCATTGGGAATGTAGTCAAAATCTTGAGCACTTGGATTCAAATTAACAAAAAATGGTACTTCAAAACTTGACTTATCAATATAAGTTTTAAAGATTTGACTTAAGGACATATTTCTGAGTTTATTATTATTTCCTCCCATTTCAATATCTGAAGATGAATGTGTCTTTGTTTCGCTAATGGTGCCACCATTATCACCTAAATCATTTTCATCCCCAAATAATAATCCTTTATACATATTATAGAATTCATTTAATCTTGATCGGTCGAAATCTTCAGGTGCAACACCTAAATATCCCCCAATTGAAAGCTTCCTAATTGCCTTTTCTTCCACCACTTCCCGAAGCTTTGGATACACGTCGAAAGCTTGACCCAATTTCTCCTCTAATGAATCCTTTATGGAAAGCTGCTGGGGAATAAAGTATTCGCTATCAACACCTATGACATTTCTTTCTGCCAACCGTTCATTCACCTTGGCAATCAGTCGTTGGATTTCCAATCCTCGACACGTCTCAAGAATGTATGGAGGAATCACATAGACAAACTCATGCATCCTCGGAATACTCGAAATAATCTGGTAGTAGTTAACGTTAGTATGAATAATCAATAAATATGATGAAGCATAGTATTGCACTTTCCTCTCCCTCACCCCCCACAATTTCTTTGGTATAGCTTTAGCGAGCGCTACCAACTATGTTCAAAGTTAACTTAACCTCGATGGGCATTCAAATACAAATGGATAATATAGTTGTAGATCACTCCCATTAATACAGTCATTATCTCCTGAATCTCATGACAGACCTGATAGTGCTGCAGGCTAAGTCTTATCTTCCTCATATCCCACTCACTGTGATTTCTCAGGGTGCAGAAGCTATTGTGTTTGAGACATCAGTGCATCCATATTGTTCCAAACCTTCGCTACGGAACCAAAGTAAGTTTATAATCAAATATCGTCCTCCAAAACCTTATAGACATCCTAAGATTGACGCTAGTCTTACAAAGTCACGTACTATTGGTGAAGCCAAATTTATGGCTCTGTTAGCCCGAAATGGTATTCCTAGTCCTAGTTTAATTGCAGCTGATTTCCCTCACGGCATTATATGGATGGAACAATTAGGCGGAAAGCTTCCTAATGGTGAACCCAGTTCATTAAAGAACTGGTTATGGTATCTAGAACGTACAAACAATGCTTCTGAATGTGTGTCCGAACAAGTCGAAAACATATGTCGTCAAGTAGGTATATTAATTGCACATTTACATATGTCTGATATGGTTCATGGTGATTTGACCACTTCCAATATTATTTTGGAGGATGGGAAACCTTACTTGATTGATTTTGGATTGTCATCTTATTCTTCAATGGCGGAAGATAAAGCTGTAGATCTTTACGTCATGGAAAGAGCTGTTTTAAGTACACATTCTGTATATGCTGAAAAGTACAACTTTTGGATTTTGGAAGGGTATCTGGAAGCCCAAAGATCATCCGGAGATGGGAAACGTTCTAGAAATGCTCTTGTTGATACATTGAGAAAACTTGATGATGTTAGATTAAGAGGTAGAAAGAGAAGTATGTTAGGGTGATAGAGTACTATCCTGTAATGAACATAGTAATATCAATGGTAACTACTTCTAATATAAACTGTAAAATTAGTATTATCGGTGCCTATTCGATATATGACAGTATATTGATATTGAGATATTGCATACACTCTCGACCAAATTCAAACAACACCTATCTCTATTACGACTACTTTACACTTCTACTACTTCTAACTACTCCAAAAATGGATGGCCTTAACTGTGATAAACATGCGAGATACTTTAGCTTATGTCTTATGATGCTTCCAACTAAGGCTCAAAGTGAAGATGCCAATCATATGGGTATCGTTTACTTTTGTCTCCAAGGGCTCTCACTCATTAAGCGGATGGATGTTGTTGATAAAAACAGAGACGCGTATATCAATTACGTATATAGCCAGTTACAGGAGACAGAAGATTTACAATGGTTTAGTACTTCTTCTACATTCATTGGATCTGGAAACTATGATATGCCTAACTTGTCGAGTACCTACTTTGCACTCGCATCCTTGCTAGCACTAAAGGAAGACTATACTAAAAGAATTAAACCTGATAAGGTTATGAGATTTGTTCGTCAGCTTCAAATGAAGAGTGGACCTTTCGCTGGACTGTTCCAAACAGTATTAGATTCTAGGATTGGTTCTGGCTTTGGCGATACTGATTTGAGGTACTGCTATTTAGCTCTTTGCATCAGAAGGCTTGTTAAATGGGAAAAACTGGGTATCAATAAAGAAGATATTGATGTGGAGTTACTACAATCTTTCATTCTTCGTAAAGTCAGCTACAATGGAGGGTTAAGTTCTGTTGATTCTACTGAACCTCATGCTGGATTAACATTTTGTGGTATTGCAGCCCTAAGTCTTTTGGGATATGATTTTAATTCTGCTTCCTGGACTCAACGGACCATTAATTGGCTTGTAAAACGACAATCGGATTACCCTTCTTGTCTCTATAATGAGCCAGATAATGAAGGTGTTTTCGGTTATGAATACTACACAGAAGAAGATGTTGGAGGGTTTAATGGTCGTGAAAATAAATTTAGTGATACATGTTATGCATGGTGGGTTACTGGGTCACTTTCCCTTATATCTCCAACTATTGGGGTATCCCTTATAAACATGGACCAGGCAATGTCATATCTCATTCAAGGTACTCAGAATAAGATCATGGGAGGATTCGGAAAAGATCCAGATCTGCAACCCGATCCCTTCCATTCATTTTTAGGTTTAGCTTCATTATCATTATGGATGCTGAAGGACTCTAGCTCTATATTAGACGCCATTGACTCCCAATTGGTGATCTCCAAATCTTCCCTTGAATTCTTCAATACGACTTTGTCCGGGCCTGCACATACTGTCCCGTGATTGAAAATTTTGTATGAATGTCGGGTTAACCTAAGGACCAATTTAATAGCCGTTTGTGGTAGTGAATGACTCCCATTCAAAGATTAACTTAACACCGATTGGTTTTAGAAAGTGCGGAATTAACATATTAGCAAATCATTGGCATTTCCATTTAAGTTGTATGACAATTAAATAGTATCATTTTTTACCACCACCATTCATTTATTTTTCAATTGACATCCAATATAGGAACAGGAAACAGGAACAGGAACCCTGAGAAAACTTAATGTCCCAGGCCAAAGAACAGGGGAGTAAGACTTCGACTCATTTACTTGCTGGATCACTGGCTGGACTTGTTTCAGCTGTCCTCTTACAACCGTTAGATCTTTTAAAGACTCGATTGCAACAGCAACAAAAGCAAAATGCTCGTTACCAAACCACTATTGTTGCAGAAATAAAGAAACTTAGGGAAATCAAAGATTTATGGAGAGGTGTACTCCCTTCAACTTTACGTACTTCAATTGGAGCAGGACTCTATATGACTATTCTCTCCAAAACCCGGCAGTTTATGTTTGAATTTAAAAAGTCACATCAATGGCAAAACCAAGAAGGTGTACTGAAGCTGTCAATCTTACCTAAACTTTCCGCATGGGAGAACTTATCTGCTGGGTTTTTTGTTCGTGGGTTTGTTGGTTGGTTAACCATGCCCATTACTGTTATTAAGGCTCGTTATGAATCAAACCTCTATAACTATAAATCATTAACAGAAGCCGTCAAAGGTATATACTATAATGAAGTGCCAACTGGATCAGTAATTGTGGAAGGCGGCGTAACTGCACCTGGTTCTCTCCGAAACTTCTTTGCTGGAACAGGTGCCACGCTAGCTAGGGATTGTCCTTATGCTGGATTGTATGTCTTATTTTATGAAGCATTTAAGAATGAGATCTTACCAGCAGCTTCAGGATCTTTTCTACTCCCTTCATCAATGGTTAATTCCTCTGCAGCAGTGCTTGCTGCCGCCATGGCTACCACAATTACAGCACCCTTTGATGCTATCAAGACTCGGCTCCAATTAAGTGGTCAAACTAAAAACTCTATGATATCTGCTACCAGAACTTTGCTTGGTGAACCTGGAGGAGTTCGGAACTTATTTCGTGGACTCAGTCTTCGGCTTGGTCGTAAGGGGCTCAGTTCTGGTATCAGTTGGTGTATCTATGAGGAATTGATTAAAACAGGAGTTATGTCCCAGCAAAAGAAGCTTTCATAGAAACAAGCAACTAAAGTCAAACTAGAACAGTTGATTTTTGTCACGATATTATGATGTTACGAATCTTATATTTATTTTATATCATGTACATAGACACTCGTATACACTTTCTATAACTCATACATACTAATTAAATACAGATCTCCTTAAAATGGCTAATAAGAAGTTAATGTGGTCCTCTTATTAATTTAGCGTAGTCTTGGACTCTCTTGGACTTATTCGTCTTGATCAATACTAACCCACAATGAGTTTTCTTTGGCTCAGATTAAGGAGTTTGCTTTCAACACCTGTTTGGTGGTTGACCTCCTGCTTTAAGTAATTCATAATAGTTGATTCCGCTAGTATTTCTATTCCACTTTCTGGGTGGCTGCTAATTATTGACAAGGGGTGCATAACTTAAAATTGTTTTTACGTCGCCCTAACGGCGTACCTTGCTTCATATAAACGTCATGGCTTACAATAACAAAGCTTGGGCTTTTGCGGTTGAAGACGAATTTTAATCCTTTCAAGCATATATCATGTTTCAAATGATAAAGCTAATGCAAGTGAAAAGTATAATTTAATCTTATTCGGTAGTTGTATTAAGGTTTGTTTGTTATTTGGTTCTACAGTACTCTTGCGCAACCCCAAAATATATAGATGGACTATATATTCAATACCAACACGTCTGAGAGCACACCAAGACACCAAGCCCTTCAACCTTGTCAACACGTCAATATAAGACCCCACGAAAACAATACAGATGAACTTGACTCGGCTAATGAATGTTCTTCAGACGTACTACCATTTAAAGTATAGAGCATGAGCCTACAATAAAAAAAGTTATTACCATTATTTTAGATAGGCTCAGCATAATGGAATTAACCTCTCCACTATGGAGGAGATCAGCAAGGTTGACTTTGATGTGTTAAAAGCAGAAGTTGAAATTTTGAGAGAGAAATAAATACAAACATCTTTTAGAATGGGAACCATAGTTCGTTGATAACTTGTACAAAGGCGTAGGGGCTCAATAATAGTAGGAATAAAGGAAGCTAGAAGACATTTTGGAGTGCCCAGAAGGGATATTGACGAATATTTAAGCAACACTCAATACCAGCTGGTGAACTTCAATGTCCAGTGGAGCCTGTGATATTCAAAAGAAAGGCATCCGATCTTCCTAGGCTCGAAACTATGGTAGGATATTTTTATATTCCTCAGACGACTTTGATGTAACAACAAACGGCTGAAAGCAATACATAATTTACTAAGATGAACACAAGCAAGCGAATTCGATATGGCCCATTGATCTCCAGATAAAATATCATTATGTTTGAACTCGAACCAATTGCATTAGTTGTGAAAAGGGCCGACAGAACCATGAACAATGACCAAGATTCGAAGTTGCCCGTCCTTTAGGTGCTAGGAAATGAATCAGACACTATCTGTAAGCGCATAAATGAATTGTTTTAGATGTACTAATCCACTGCTACAAATTCCTGGTCAGGAGTTTCGAAACGATTAACATGCCTACCTGATGGAATTTAGGCTTGTAGTGAGCTAGAATCAACCAATGATATTTACTGTTAGAAGTATTACATGATCTAACTACAATAATGTCATTTAACTCGGACTACCACCGAATTCGAAGCAGATCAAACATTAACCTAAATGATTTAAAAATATCGTGTATGAAATACGAGACCGGAGTAATCTCTATAAATTTGCAGCCTCTATGAAGAACTGTTAGGCAACACCTGTATATAAGTATTATTTCCCTCCTCGGTTAAAGCGTGCCTCGCCCTGATAAAATAAAAATTGATACCAAAGAGATTCTCAATTTGTGGAGACAGTTTACCCCAGTCTTTCTATAACAACCACTACAACTTTCAAGGACAATGAATGAAGAATTGATCAACAGTGCGGTCAGTTTCTTAAAGGATGGCTCTGTTGCTGGATCACCTCTCAATAAGAAGGTTGAGTTTTTGGAATCCAAGGGATTGAATCAGCAGGAAATAGAGGAAGCGTTGAAGAGAGCAAATGATGGTTATTCAAGTGTTGGTTCTTCTTCTTCTTCTTCTTCTTCTTCTTCGACTACCTCTTCTGCACCTATGGCATCTGGACCTCCATTGGACTACTATTCTGCCGTTGCCCCAGCAGTCCCCGAAAGACTGTGGAAGGATTATTTTATCATGGCGACGGCTACTGCGGGGGTGACCTATGGACTTTACCAAGTTGTAACCCGGTATTTGATACCTAGCATTATTCCTCCTTCACAGGCCACCATTGACGAAGATCGTGAACGAATTGATGAAGAGTTTGTTAAGATCGATAAGGTGTTGGAACAAATGTCTAAAGAACAAGAAGAAATCAAGAGTTCTAATGATGATAAGTTGAAGGAAATCGATATTGTAATCAATAATGTCAATGATTTTTTAACTAAGTATAATAAGGATAAACTTAAGTTTGATGATGATTTACGGTTAATGAAGTTAGAAGTTGATAATTTGCTGAATAGTGTGGAGAAGAACATGAGTGCCATCAAAGACAATGTAAAGGATGAATTACTGGTGATAATTGAAGAACTACAATCTTTAAAGCTGCTTATTGCAGCTCGTTCATCTTCCAAATCAACTACTGAATCTTCTGGTATGCGTATTGCACCCGTGTCTTCAATTCCTTCTGCTTCCGAAATTCTCAATAGGGCTAAGGCTAAGGCTGCAAAGGAAAATAATACTCCTGCTGCTCCAGATGCTGCTTCTCCTACATCCACACCTGCTTCTGTCAGTGCTGCTGCTACACCAAGTCCTGTAAACAGTTATAACACTGGAACAGGAAGCATCAACAACACAGATAGCATTTCATCTACAACAACTTCTCCTTCTGTTCCTGAAGTTGCTGAAAAGCGTACTCAACCTACAACAGTCAGTGGTGTTACGGCTGGAGGTATTCCAGAATGGCAAATGAAGCATAAGCAAAGTGAAGAAGAAGTCCCAACTCAACTGTCACTGTGGCAGAGTCCAGAAGACCCAAAGGTTTCCCAAGAAAAGGTCGATGATGCAGTGAAGAAAATAGGTGTTCCTGCATGGCAACTCAGTGCTTCGTGAAGAAAAGTAGCATGGTATAATGTAATAGTAATACTACAGCTTAATAGTTCGTTAGTATATGTACAACACTTAGTATGACAATTGCACCTGTATGTAAAGAGAGGCCGGTATAGTTGGCTGTAGTATCGAGGGTCTGGCTATTAAACCCGTCCAGCAACAAAAGTACACAAAAGCCCAACCGCCTGAACAACAAAATTTCATCAAATCAGATCTGGGAAGAATACAATGCAACAAACATCATTCATATAATAGAGGCCCATTTGTTAGGCAAGATAGAAAAAAACAGTGGATCCTATTCTTGCTTAGACTAGTATCGGGTCAAAGGAAGCTGCTTGTTGACAATAGACTCTTTTTTCTTATTGAGTTCAAAACTAAGCAGTACACTGAGCTGAACCATACGAATTGATTTGATTAAGTTCATTTTAACGAATGGGATATTAATAGTGGTGGCATAGTATATATTCAAACGGTGTTGTCATGGCGGATTTAGTTCCTTCATCAGAAGATGGCCCCCCAAAGTTGTATGAAAAGAGAGTACTTGAAGTAATTCCCTTCAGTTCTCAAATGGAGATGATAACTTATGCAACTTTGAATCAGAGTTCAAGAGGCTCAGGGTCAACGTATCAGAATAATAATCATAATTATAACAACAATAACAACACCAACTCAAGGTATGGGTATCAAAAATACGCACAATCCCAACATCACCATCATGGGCACAACTACCAAAACAACTACTATAACCAGCAACAACAACAGCTGCAACTATATGGTCAACAGAGTCACCAAAATCAATATTCTCAACACCATCGTAACCAACAAAGTGGACAGAGTGGTAATGTACGTCAGCAGTACAACAAACAGCTCTACAACCATAGTTATAACCAGAATTATCACCATGGAGGAGATAACTATTATCTTCAGAGACAACAAGTGCAACTGCAACTGCAACAGAGGCAACACCAGCAACAGCAGCAGCAACCGCAATCGTTACTTTACTCTGGTACTTCTTATCAAGGATATTACAATGATACTAACTCTCCTATGGAATATGGTCAAGATCAAAACTTTACTCGCCAGTCATCTCAATACAATACCCAGCAGCAAATTCAATTCCAACAGCCTCAACTTAGCACTTTTCAACAAGGTTATCAGCAAATGGGATTTGGTCAACTGCAACTGCAACCGCAAGTGCAACAACTGTCTAGAGTACCTCAACAACCACCACAAGAATTTAAGACTAATTTTATGCATTTGAACGGTAGTACCCAATCGCTTGGTAGCGATAGTACTAGTGCTTCCATTAGGCTTTTTGATGATAGTAAATCTCATTCACCTGGTGTTTTAAAGAATATTCACTCATCAATGTCGAACAATACAAGTTCAGTTTCACCCCCCAAACTATTCCTTGGAAACTCGAGTACTTCTGCTTCTGGATCTAGTTCAGCATTTAGAAATTCGATATCAGGTCCCAGTTCAAGTGGTGTTCCAGGCACACCCAGTGGCATTGTGCCTACCTTTTTGAATTCTCCTTCGCTATTACCCACTTCCAATATTGGAAGTTCGTCTTTCTCTGCAGGTGGTTCTAATAACAATTCCAACAGCACTGTGACCTCTTCTACTGGCTGGGGTCAATCTTCTTCAATCTGGGGTAATCAAAAGGTATCTTTGGGGTCCAACTCCAATAACTCAGTTGGGTTTTCATCTTTCACTACTGCCCAGAACTATGGAGGATCCAGCATGTGGTGAACTTGATGGACCATATTTTGTATTGTCTTTTTTTTTTGTTTTTTTTATTCATTTCAACTATGTGAAGTTGATTTCCCTCTCATTAATTTGGTATCGGCATACGGATATACTTGCTACTACCTTTTATTATTTTTGTTTTGTTCTGTTACAATTGTTTAATGATTTAGACTAACTTATACGCTCATTGAGTTTTTACGTGGGTTTATTTTTGTTTTTATACTTTGATGTTTTACCTTGGTGTGGTTTGTTGATGGCCAATAGATTAATATCATATTCTATGGTGTTGTGTGTACGCATATATTGTTTGAGTTGAGGTGGTGATATTCATCTAAGATTCTTTTTACTGTTTGCTTTAAGTACCTGTTTTCAGGTGTCCCTTTAATATATGGTAGGATGTTACGAGTTTCAAAAGAAAATACTTTTAGGTTACTGGACGGTGTGATTCTATAATTGTTATATATGAATACATTAAGTTTATATATCGAACTTTATCAGTAGTGCTCGTTCCTTCCTCAAAACAAGTACCGAAAAATATATCCAACTAAAGTGATCCAGGCTTGATATATGCCTTCCTTTGGTCCATCTTATTCGTCCTCTGCTGCTTCTTTTTTCTTCTTTATTCAATTCTTCATTGCCACTCATGGCTACTTCCCTTAACAAACTTCTCACCACCTGTGCCACTCGTCAGGTTCTGGCACCCAACTTCATCAGTCTATTCCAACAGCTAAATGAATCTCAAAAGATAGACGATAATGAATATATCACTTGTATGCTAGAAGTATCACCTTTGTCTACCGCCACTAAAGCATCTATCTATCGTAAGATTGATTTGGTGTTGGCATTGGCCATGTCAGATAACGAATCAATGACTCGGTTCTGGAGACTTTTGACCAAAACTGCAGTTCCATCACAAGTGGAATATTTGGTACATTTGAATCGGATGTTGATATCTAAATCATTGACCCTGTCTTTAAATGAGTCGTTACTTCTGAAACTCACAAGTTGGCATTTGGCTGCCTATACAAAATATGTCACTACTACTATAAAAAATCTCGGGAGACTGCCTCTACCCGTTGAATCCCGTATCTTGAGTGAATTGGTATTCATATGGAGTACTATATTCAAACATTACAAGTTACCTTCAGCTGATTCTCAAAAGGCTCGTGAATGTGTGGAAGAGTTGGCCTCTGATTTACATAAGTTGGGGTTCATTAAAGAGTACAGATATATCTGTACTCTTGTGAAACATCAACAATTACAGCAGCTGAAACAGCTGACTGAAATTGATCATCATCACAATAATATCAATTCTATTACTACCAGTAACAATATATCTGTGACTAGTTCGTTTTTTGTTGATGAAGGAGATCTGACTTTAAAGCATAAGGCCACTACTAAAAGTTTATCGTTAGCCAATATTAATCCTAGGAAGTTAACTCAAATCAACAAGTTGAAAAAATACTTTTGGTTAAGTCAACAGTTCAAAAACTTCAACTTTGATAAGAATGATTTGATGAGTAATTATACCACCTTATTTATCAATGAAAACGCCAAGAAACCATATGCTATAACAGTGGAGTTTATTAGCACTTTATTCAATGGATATGGTCATATCAATGATTACCCATTTGTTAAATTCAATTGGAAGAATTATATTGTTTCTCAGTTACCATTATCGTTATCATTGTTAAAATTCACTGATGAAACTGTAGAAGAATCCATTGTACATGCATTTAAAGCAATTGAAGAAAGAATTGCTGTTTCGGAAGAAATCATTCATATCCGTCAATTATTGGTTAAAAGTTGTATTTTTCATAATCTACTATCAATTCCTTCCTTCCATAAAATCTTCCCTACTGAAACAAGAGTCAACCAACAATATTTAGTTGGTGAATTAAATGTTTTCAACAATTCTAATTTGAACGTTGAAAGAGGAATTGATACTAAATTATTAAAAGTCAATCCTGAATTCACCTCCTTAGATGAATCTGGTTTAATTGAATTCTTTGTAACTTTGCAAAAGAATATAGAATGTCTGCATGCCAAACAAATGGAAACTACTAGAGTCATACTAAAACATCTAGAAGAATTGATCAAAAGAAAGGAAAATGATAAACTTGCAAGATTGCTCTTGGTCATACTGAATAATTTAACATTATTGCACATCATTTCTTATAACTCCAAAAATGGTCCTTACACAATTTTGAACTTGCTAGTGAATTATTTGGATTCCAAGGATTTTAATACTGATGATGATGCTGAGAATTTCCAAGACTCGTATTCTTATTTTGGAATATTCCTTCTAAGTGCTATCTTAATCATTGAAACATATCAAATTAATTTTCAAAACATATCATATTTCAATTCCTATACTTTGGATTATGTTTTGAACTTTTATTATAAATTATGTGACGGTTTAACAAATAATGAACCCTCAAATGTCAGTGAAGAAGACTCCACTATCATCAACAATTACGATAGTTTATTGACCGAATGGGTCAATGCACTCTTTGATGATTCGAATGATGGATTATCAGATGATTTGATCAAATCAGTTAATATCAAACAGGTGAACAAGCTTATTCCTATAATTTTCCAACAAGCAATCTTGGCTACCAGAAGTAACATTATTAGCTTCCAACATTTATCAAATGGTATTGATTATTTGTCGCAAAACTTCCTCATGCCATGTACTTTAAGCGTCATCAAATGGGTCATTGGAAAGATAACCTTAGAGGTTACCAATAATCCGCTGAGCAAGTTTGATGAGAACATATATGTGAAAGTATTGTATCAACTAATCAAGCTAAATACCACCAATGATGAAGAAAAATTGAATAGTGATACAGATATTATGTTTTGTATGGTTATTAACTTGGTTGGACACCAAATTATCAAGTTGTTAGAATCATTTGATTTATTCAACACTTCACTGATGGGTATTGAAATAGTGGAGAAAATTAGGCTGAGGATTGAACCAATTGGTAATCAACTTTATTGTCGTACCCAGCCTAGCAAATTCAAGCAAGTAACTCTTGACTTTGTTCTGTCATCATTTACCAGTCAATCCACACAACTGCCTCAATTAGCCCAATCACCTCCAGAATCCAATGCTGATAATCTTGATAAACGAATGATCGCAGTTAATTTTGTGAATGACAATATGGTTATAAACACATTATTAGATGAAGTTGTTCTGTTTCAAAAGAAGTCGAGTGAAGAATCTAAGATTTTTATTAATTTGATACTTTATATTCTGTTCCTTCAGGCTTCTGTTTCTGCTGATAATAAAAAGTATTGGATTGAACGTTTACTGCAGTTCAATGGAAGCAGTAATACCCCAGTAGCCTCGAATGATGATGCCATGGAAATTGACGAAGATATCAACAGTAATATGTTTTCCATCTCTTTAGAAGATCATTATTCTTCCATTTTCAATACGCCTGGAGGCAATGGAGGTGAAGTAGATGATAATGATGATGATGATGATGATTTATTTAATGACAATGCTGCACTGAATGGTAATAATGAGTTCGCTTTGGAGTCATTACAATTGAACAGGTTAAATTGTCTTTTGGCATCGATAATCACCTACATTAACAAACACAAGTATGACATTTTCAACGGGAAGACAGTTAACATATTATCCGATAAACTTGGTGACGATATGAACAATTTATAAAATGCAAGATCATAAGATGAGCAAACGAAATTCCTCAAAAATATATTATGTGAAGTCTTTCAGAAGTAATGTGGAATTCAGTATATACTATATACATACAATATTAATAGTAGTAATAGACAAGTACGACTAATCATTAAGATTAACGAATGAAGACAAAGGAATAGACAAACATGCGTAAACTAGGTGTTTAGTCATATCTGCTATATCTCCATGGGAGCCGGTTATAATCAAAAGTGATCCTCATGGCCCAATGGTTAAGGCGTTCGGCTACGAACCGAAAGATTCCAGGTTCGAATCCTGGTGGGGATGGACTTTTGCCTACATTTTTCAGTCGTATATTTTTGCGCACCGTATTGAAGAATATAAGGTGACTTTTAGGATTAGTAAATTAAATCTTTAAAAAATAGTAAACCAATTTTTTTGAACAGCTTTCTTTCTTTTCACATCAAAGATAAAATGCTTGGAGCTCCTATTAACATAAAGAAATGGATTGAAGAAAACGGACATTTGTTACAACCACCGGTGAACAATTACTGTCTTCACCGTGGTGGATTTACGGTGATGTTAGTTGGAGGTCCCAATGAACGTACAGATTACCATGTGAACCAAACTCCCGAATATTTCCACCAGTTAAAGGGGAAAATGTGTTTACGAGTAGTTGATCCTGATGTTCCAATTGGAGATGAGAGTAGATTTAAGGACATCATTATTGAAGAAGGTGATTCATTTTTATTACCTGGAAATGTACCCCATAATCCTGTGAGATTCGCAGATACTTTAGGACTTGTGGTTGAACAAGACAGACCTACTGGGACCAATGATAAGATCAGATGGTATTGTCGTGAATGTAAAGATATCGTACATGAAGTTGAATTCTATTGCCACGATTTAGGAACTCAAGTTAAAGACGCTATAGTTGCATTTGATGGTGATATGGATGCAAGAACTTGTGATAAGTGTGGAACATTGAATTATTCCAGACCACAGTAATGACTAAATACTTCTAATATATTATATGGTATGATAATGATATGAACTGTTACTGATACCATTGATCATTGTAACTTCTTGGAGGTGGTGGTTCCCTCATACCATTCCTCACCTTTCTCAAATATCCAATCTACTGCCTTCTCAACAGGTTCATCAAAGATATAAGGTAACAAGGGTACTACTGCTAACCCTAAGGCAATTGGACCATATGATTTCAATGGAGCAATAGAGGAATTCTTGAATAGCAAACTTGAATATCTAACAGTAGAATGAATGGTAAATGCTGGTAATCCCATAGAAGCAATACTTTGAAAGATACCTCTCTTCAAACCAACCAATCTCCAATCACTTTCAACAATTGAATGTCCATATTCCTTTTGGAACTCAGCAGCCTGTACTGGATCAGCCACCTTTGGACTGGATTGCCAAGGTAATAATCCAGGAGTATACAACCCTTTACTAAGAAGATTGGTTTTCCACATGGTATATCCAACATCACCCAATATATAAGCCCAAGAGATTGCATAACCAGCAGTAACTACACGAGGATGAGCAACAGGACGGAACAGTTCCCCGATATCAGATGTATAAGCAACATATCTATGAGCTGCCTTCATAATGGTTTGCATTCTTCTGGCATAGGCTGCATATCTTAAGGGAGACTCTTGAGCTGCATCAGTCTCATGAGCTTCTATCACTTGCGTGGTAGCAGAAGATGGTGACTTTCCTGACATTGTTTTAGTTTTGATTGGCTTGAAGTACGAATTTGAAAGGTCTTGATTATTGCTCTAACCATTCACATGTATTTATATTTGAGTTGTTGGTGGAGTAGATGTAATAGATTCGAACGGTGATAGCTATCGGTACGGGGACTACCCAAGGCGGTTAAATATCGATATTCCGTTTGATGATGATGATGATGGTGACACTGGAAGTTTGCCATCCCATAATCGGACCCGAATACGGTGGCGTGCAAATAAACTATAGAGTCAATTATACGTATGTATCGGTTAATTACGGGATGATTCTATGGGTGAAGATCGAATACGGTTGAATGGGTTGCTGACATGCTGAAAATATCTAATCCGGATAAGTACCGAAATTACCGAAGGTGTGTAGAATTAACATCAGTCTCTGTGAATGGTATACTTAATGTGTAGTGTTATGAAGCATATATAAGGTCGTGCGATTGTTGTTATGGTAGCGCTGGATAGAGATCTCAAGTAATTGATGAAGCTCTTACCAGGCTACTATCCCAGATAAAGTACACACCAAAACCAGAAATGCAGTTCACAATTATAGTTAGATTTACAAATACGTCAGCTTCTTCTTCGTCGTTAGCAGATCTTCGAATCCCGATTTCTATAGGCGCAGAACGCAATCAAATCAATGGACTTATTACCACCTCCTTTCTTCGTCTGAATATCCGTAACAAATACAATCAATGTTGTAATAGGCGATTAAAATTAATCTATAGTGGACGGATTTTGAACCATAAGACGGATTTCTATAAGGAAGTATTTGAACCGGTTAAAAGGGTATGGGAACAAGAAGATGCTGAAATTGAAGACGGTTCAGGACTCAACAATGCAGATTTAAAGACTTCAGGTGATCATATTCTTGGAGGAAGTATTGACCAGAAATCGAAGGAAGTTGATCGTAACATATATATCCATTGTGTGGTTGGAGATGAATTGTCGAGAACTGAGTTGGAGCAAGAAGAAAGATTGGATAATGAAACTCAAATACAAACCACTTCAGATTCAATTGGTTTTGACCGTTTATTACTGCAAGGATTTAGTGAAGATGATGTTCGGGACTTTCGTCGTCAATTTCAAATGTTATATGGGAATAACAATAATACGCTGATAGATCATGGAGGTATCGCCGATTTGGAAGAACAAGAGCAAAGACTGTCAGAAATGAGACAACTTGAAAATAGGTTAGTGGAGAATATGTTTAGTACCGGTGTCGCTGAGAATACCGGTTCAGGTTCAGGTTCTGGTTCTGGTTCTAGTGCTGGCACTGGAAATCAACTAGAAACCGATGACACAGACCCAACTACTCCCAATGTTGCACCATCATTAGATCTTGAAGAGAATGCTAATGAAGATTTACTTCTAGGGGTTCTTTTAGGAATATTTTTAGGAGCAGTAGCCCTTTTATTCCTATTGATCGATGATTCCATCTTTAACAAAAGACAGAAAATGGCCATAGTGTTTGGGCTTATAATGAACTTTATGTTTTCTGTTGTTAGAGGAAATTGGATATAAAAGAAAAAATTACTACATTGAGAGTCATAAAAAATTGTTGGGCCCACCAGCCCTTAGTCGTGATTGGAAGCACTAGCTCACGACTAAAAGGGCATTAAGACGGCCAAAATACGTGAATATTTCATCAATCTCGCCTTTAACTTGACGCTCGCAAACTCGTGGGATACATAAATGTACTAGGAACAGACAAGCAACACGGTAATAGTTAAGGCTGCCGCACGATGAAGAAAAGAGTATTAAACTTTTATAAAAAAAACGCGGGCCGTCACTTTAATTTATAGTGAAAAAATCTCAGGGTTACCCGGATACTCTCCATGTACGGCTTACATATATACACTATTTGGGTATAAGGGATATGTTAAACGTATGCTTATGAATAATGATATGATTTATGGGGATCTATAGTACCGTCACTGTGACCTGTATGGTCTCAGTCAGCTCCTATTCACTAATAAACATCACTAGTAATACTGCACTAGTGATACTGCACTAGTAACACTGCACTAGTCAAACATACCATCACATCATTATTCAAGCATCACACTTAACACCGTTGTAATTCATTCAATATAAAAGTATTCTTACTACTAACATACTTTTAATTATATCTAAAGAGTACAAACTACTTGACATCTTGACTACAGTTATTTTATATACAGTCCTGTGCACCAATACAAGTTGTAATCATTATTATTACCACAATAGTAAAATGCTAACACTATCTAAGTCCTTACTGCCCTTATATATAATGGAATATCCCAAGGGCCTAGACCCTTACAACTCTCGACAACATTTACTTCATCATGCGTATTCGCCGTTGATCTCCATCCAATCATCGATTAGTGCAGATACGTTAGCTCAGGCAATTGCATCTACACAAGATATATCCATACTACAATTATTTAAGCCCTATGGGAACAATTCCAAATATAGCATTTCGAATCAGGTGTTTAAGATTACTAATACCCAATTGATTACCAAGAACTATCCCAGCTTCCCTATTAGATTTGAACCTCCATTACCTGAATTGATAAGCATTAAGAGTGGAACCACTCGAGAATCATCGAGTACCAATGCCTCCACTCAATCGGTTTCTGAAGGTTCAGGTGGCATTGTTTCTTTGAATCAACTATTTTCAATAGGGACCTTAGAACTTTTATTGAAACATAAAGCTAATGAAGCATCTGATAAAGGGACTGGAACAGGGACGTCCGACTTATATCTTGGGTTCTTTGATAAGGTGATTACTTCTAATCATATTGTTCCCTTTGAGACGTTTAACCATCCAATAACTCAGATCTTTGTGGTGGATTATGCACAAGATTCTTTGGAATATTTAAGAGAGCAAATCGTTCATTTCCGTAACTTTAATTTCCCCAAGTTCTTCCAGATTAATGACTTATTAATGCATTCGTTTGTATTTTATGATCCAAATACGGTTTCTCAACAAGAAATCATTGCATTTGAACAAGAATTGTATACCATGCTTAATATGAATGCCACGTTGTTTCCTATTCAGGCGTTCACTCAAGAAGTGGAAACCATATCCATTTCATTAGAAGAAAATTCTACTATTGAAGAAGATCTTCAACGGATTAGTCTTAAATCTCAGTCCACTAACATCAAGATTCCACTTTCGGTCGATCAAATTCTTCGAACAAAATTAAATGAATTTATCAAGAAATATTTAATCCCCCATATGGAACAGAAAATAAGGTATTGGGATGATCAAATCCTTCAACCAAAGAAATCTATTGCCAATAAATTCTTCTCTGCTTCCAGAAGACTCTTTAATAATGAAATCAATTCCAACATTGGATTTAATTCTCATGAGAATTATTATCATAAATCTAGTCCAGAACAAGCCATTAGGAAATTGGCTGATTGGTCTTTGATTTTAAAAGATTTCAAATATGCTTATTCAACTTATGATTTGATAAAGAAAGATTTCACAAATGATAAAGCTTGGGTTTATGTGGCTTCATCACAAGAAATGTGCATAGTATCACTTTTGTTGGCTCAAACTCAACAAAGTAATTCCAATTTACGTCCTGATAAAAATACCCTAAGGAAAGTACGACATGATATTGTTGAACCTTATATGGACAACTTATCGTACACTTTCAAATCCAGACTAAATTTGAAATCTTATAGCAGTCGTGCCCATCTTGTGGTTATTGAGCTTTTATTGTGTATGTGCAACGCATTCAATATTAGTTGGTGGTGGACAGATTTAATTGAAAAATACATACTTAAATGCATTGCTGAATTTGATATTCAATTACCCATTGGAAAACCCGCTGTTACAAGAGCTATTTTATATGAACGGTTAGGGTTTACGGTGGGGAGTTCAATCTATTTAAATCTGGAGAACACTTTCTTATTGGACAAGTTTTTCGATCGAGTTAAGACAATAACTGACAAAGAAGATGATGATGATCAAGAAGCAGGAACTTTTATTAATGAACACAAGATCAAGGCTCCAATTAATGCAACTATTGTTGGCTTATCCAGGTTCCGGAAATCAGCCATGTGGTATTTGCTTTCCATAAAGGAATGGTCTTTGCTTCAAAATAAACATCAGATAGAAACATTATTAACCAACGTTGAGTTGGTATATGATCCGAAACAAAAAGATGAATGGTATACTCGTAAAGATCTTCTTTTAGGGTATATTTTGAATCAAGTTGGAAAGCATCCTGATGCTTAAGTTATATTCATTCCAATTCTTTTAATGCCAATTTCCGTCTTTTATCCATGGTTGATTTAATACCCGATCTACTTGACTTACCTATGATCCAATTCAAAAACACTTTGAACTTGGAAGTGGCATCAGGTAATGTAGTAACATGTTTCGCACCTTTCAAAGATGATAAACTGAATAAATTTGATCTTAGGGTATTCAATTCTTCGAAAAAGATCTTATCCTGATCAACGTCATCTTGTTCTGATTCTGGATAATCTTGGAGATTCAAAACTTTGAACTTAATAAGCAAATTGAACACCAAATTTGATATGATTTTGATCAATATTGATATTGGATAAGGGAAGAAGGTATATAATGCAAATTGGTCTGTTCTATCCCCTTTTGTGGAGTTAATTGGGAGTTTAAATCGTGATGATGATTCTCGAGTTAATGATTGTGTGGAGGAAGAGGAATCTACTATGGCTGATTCTCCAACAATACTATCAGTATTATTATGATTGTTGTTAATCATAGTAGTATTATTTTTCTTTGCTGTTAACGGTAATAAATAAGACTGACGATCATTTGTTCCAGATTTGAAGAACCTTAAATAGGTCCAAGATACAAAGAATCCAACAAAGGCAAGCATAAAAGATGCTTCATATTCTTCACTTAAACACTCCAAAATGAAACTAAAGATCAAATAGATTAATGGAATATGAGTGACTTTGATTCGAACGTTCCCCTTTATGAAGATGAAATAATGATTGGATAGTCTTTGTTTCATGGCCACCAATAATCCCATATTAATGGCCAGAGCTGATGCTATAACGGGAGGAACCGAATCCATGGTTACCAACAATGACTTTATAGTATACCAAATATAAACAGATAGATTGGTTATAGTTATTATTAGAGTGACGAATCTTACCAACTCTCGAGCTCCCCATATTAACTCCATATAATTGCCTAAATAAAATATCAATACCACTGAGACCACTAGTCCCACAAGGTTCTCTTCCACAAAGGCACTGGTGATCAACACCCATGGACGAGTTAAAACGGGCGACTTAGTAGGAATGAATGTTAATAGTGGAACAAAGAGTTCATGCGGATGGGGTGTTTCACCGGTTTCTTGTGTGAGTCCAGACCCGTTCCCGTTCTCATGCTTAGAGGCACTAACATAGAGGACAAAGTAGGAATAATATTTCAAAACAAAGTTTAGAAGCGAAATCAGGAGTAACACCGCCACTATAACTGTGACCGACTTCCTGGTACGCATTCTGCTACCAATTGGTGTGGTTACGGAAGAACACGAAGGTTTGACTTTAAAGTGTTTTGATTTGAAGTAAGCACACTACTATCACCAAATGTCGCAATGAAGTTGAATCGAGTAATTCATTGGATCGGGTTGATGGACTGATCTGTTCTGGTATTTACACCGAGAATGTTCCGAACTTCTATGAGGCAAATGTCGGGGACTTCTCGCACATGGCAAGGATTCCGCAGCCAAATACCATTGGTCAAGTCCTTGATACTTACGGTGGTGTTTGGGTCTGCGGTGGTGGAGGCTACAAAGAGTCGTAAAGATCTAGAAGGATACCGAAAGACATACGAGTTCCGGTTTAGTGTATTAAACGATATCATTGGGAAACTTGAACGAGACGAGCCGGTCGATATCCAACAAGAGTTAAAGGTAGTCAATACGCTTACCAAACATAGATATAATACCGCCACAGATATTGAATTGGATGAGCAACTAGAGGATTTCTTAAAGCAAGTGGAATCAGAAATAGAAGAAACGGAAGCTAATAATAATGATGATGATGATGATAATAATATTGAAGTTGGTGATGTTACCCCCGTAGACTCCAGCAAATATATATAGTTACAATATATTACATCAGACAGTATTGACTTTGGATATGGTTGATCTATGAGCATCACCAGTTCTAATGACTCTTCCCTCTTGAGTCATTCTTTTAATGGCATCATGTACATGTTGACTCTCCACTCTAATGGAAGACCGTTCGTTAAGTCGCACAACCAAGTCTGTAAGACGAATACTTCCATTATCCAGTTCTAAGATGGCCATGATCTCATTGGACAAATCCTCTTGAAGTCTTCTTTGAGCAACGGTGGTACCAGTTTGAACCATATCCATATCGATTCTTCCAGTAACCGGATCAGTGGCATATTCTTTAATGGCACTCTTAATTAATCTAACGGCCTCTTTCACATCAATTAATTCCACAGTTGAACTTAATCTCATTTTGGCATGAGCTTCAGATAGTCTAATCATCGATTCCAATTGTCTCGTGGTAGCAGTAATACGCTTATCACTTGCTCTAGCATCATCACCCAATTTTCTCATCTCCACATAGGCTCTCACCAATTCTTGCTTACCTCTTTCGGTCATAACCGGTTGGATATTCTCTTTAGCATATTGGATATACATGGTAACAAACTCCACAGGAAGAACGTAGTTTTCATTCACTTTATCTGGAGCATCCACCAAATACATTTCCGTTAAATGTCTGGCCAATTGTCTATCCACAACTTCATCAACTCTATCCAAAATCAAATACACCAAATCAAATCTGGATAAAAGGGGAGGAGGTAGATCAATATTGGCAGTCACGGGTAAATTCGGATCATAACGAGAATTAATGGGGTTTGCGGATGCCAATATAGAAGTTCTAGCATTCAAAGTGGTAATAATCCCGGCTTTGGCAATAGAAATCGTTTGTTGTTCCATAACTTCATGTAAAACTGATCTGGTACTATCACTCATCTTATCAAATTCATCAATACAACATATCCCACCGTCTGAAAGTACTAAAGCACCAGATTCCAATACCAATTGTTTGGTATCAACATCTCTAGTCACATATGCTGTTAACCCAACAGCAGATGATCCTTTACCAGAAGTATAAATACCTCTAGGGGCTATTTTATGAACATATTGTAACAATTGGGATTTGGAAGTTGAAGGATCTCCACATAATAATATGTTTATGTCACCTCTATATCTTCCACCTTTCTTGAATGTCTTATTAGCTCCTCCAAATAATTGTAAAAGTATTCCCTTCTTGACATCATCCATTTCATATACAGATGGAGCCAATGAACGTGCCAATAATTCATATAAATCATCTCTTTGACTTGTTTCCTTTATTTTCTCAATATCTTGAGCTGATAACCTTCTTATATCTTCCACTTCATGATGTTTCTCAGATAATTCTTGTTCTAATGTGGAAGGATCAGCTCCCATTCTTCTCTTGTCGATCTTCTTAACATGAACAATATCCAAATAAGTCTTGTACAAACTTTTAAGTGCTCTTTGCTTGGAATTTATTCTAACAGGGATCGATCTAAATATCCCACAGACTTCAATTCTATCACCTGCTCTACAAGTATCAACCAATTCATCATAAACACATAAGTTGATAGAATGTGGAGTTTGACCATCAGGAACCAAATCAGGGGTTTCTTGTAATTTGATAATTTGTTTATCAGCAAATGATGATCTATTATGAATAAGAACCATTGAATTAGGTTGACGACATGCTTCTCTGGGACATTTTTTGGGTTCGGCTATAATCCCTCTATCAATTTCCACCGCAACAGTATGATCACAAGCATTACATTTGAAAAAGGCAACCTTCATATCCGGGATAATGGGAGTGGATCTTAATACTAATCCTTTAACACTAACCAATTTATCAATATCATTAGGATTCAATTCTCTTATACCTTTTTGTACCAAATCAATATTATAAGGTCTAACAGTATAAATTTTCTTTTCTATTTCACTAACTTCATCATCAGTGGCATTTTCTTCCGTCATGATAGTTAAAACTGTTTCTTTTAAACTTTGATCCATAATGGGAATAACTTCTTGTGGATAATTGATCAATTGGAAATATAAAGACCGGGTAGGTACATAAGCTCTCAAGTTCTTTGCATCAAGATTAAGATTAGTCAACCCTAAACTGTGCATAGCCTTCAATTCATTCAAATAGAAAACTTCATCCATTTCTTCAGATATATCTTGATCCAATTCAATATTTGTACCATCCAATTCCTTACGATATCTATATTTGAAGTTCAATAAAAAGTCCCTAAACTTATCAGCAACATCATTAATAGATACATTGGTACCCCAAATGACTCTAACAGGACCTTCATCCAATGGTGCCATTGATGACAGAGAACTTAAATTAGGTAAGGAACTATTCTGAGACCCATTGACTGTGGTCCTAGTTGTTTCCACCATTCTTCTGGATCTCCTAGGAGACGATGTGGAATCTTGTAAATCACCTCTAAATCTTCTTCTAGGGGTATGGTCTCTTTCACTTGTTGGAAGATCAGAGTATATTCTACCGCTGGTGGGTTGACGCGCTCCCCCACTTTGAAACCCTCGATCAGACGAGGGATGTGTGGATGAGGTGTAGTGCAATGGTGAGGACCCCCCATGGGTAGAGGCATTGAAGAAAGGTCTACGGTCTGATCCACCAGCATCACTGGAGGGCATGAATAAAGGAGATGACGATCCATCACCAGCAAGTCTCTGAGTTTGCGAGCGGCTGTGAGAACCAGAGTCGCCTCGAGGATGCGACAGCGACTCATTGGTGTCACGTATGGGAGACGAGGACATGTTTTATAATTGAACGCTTATTAAATATCGGTGCTAAGGAACATATCAATGGTATTAGTCTTTGAATTTGACTTTGAAAAAATATGTGTCTCACAATGTCGCACTACGCGTCGCACGTTATTTGGTTTCCTAATTGGGCCAAATGAGGTGAAGCGGAATATGCTTGAAGATAAGGATGATAATAATGAACCGGTAGAAAACGATACGGAGTGTTAAGAGAGTAAAGAGTAATCTGTTTATACTGTTCAGTCACAATAAGACATAAGCACAATTACAAAAATTTCGGTGTAGACCTGTAGTGGATCCAATTCATTGCAAGACACTCTACTGGGGGGTAGCTCAACATGTAGTGATGCATTTCCTGATGGTGGTCAGCAGCGCAGTTCACATTAGAAGTTGGTGTGGGTGACTTGGCTGGTTCTATAACCGTTGTATTGACATGGGTTTATATTTTATCAGATAAGGTATCAAAACGTGCGAAATGATTAACGTAATTTGTAAAGCTGTGGCGTATTCTTATACGAGAGTAAGCAATAAAATGGACCATTATAGTACGCATAGGGTTCGAAACTCTATATATGGTGGCGTTATCTTTATTTATCTAGCTGCAAGACTTCCCTCGTCTATTTCTTGTATGATGTAACAGTTGTGTACGACAATGTGCAACCATAGGTTTACTTGCACTTCTGTAATTATGGCACTTATATTTCACACAGTGACACACTACGAAGCTTTGATTTATTAAGGGAACATTAAGAATTAGTGGGATGAACAGAGTAACGGAATACAAAGCTTCTCAGTTAGCCACACTCACAGCTTCCTTGTGATCCCTGCTGTTGTGGTTCTATATATACCAAAACGCGACTGTCAATAACAAATACTTTTGTACGCCCTTACTACGTACTTACCACTAATTAGTTGTTCTTAGTACTACTTAATTACTGCCTTATAATGGAACAAGATAGAACAGATCGCCGCAGACCTTTACTGCCACACCCTCAACTCCGGTATAACTCCCCGACACGTAGACCGGTGGCTGGGTCTGTTGTGGCCAGTGGATCGCCAGAAAGAAGAAGATTGATAAGAGAGATGGAGAAGAGTAGAGAGAATGAAAGAATGGCGTATAAAAGAAGTTCAAGTTCTCAAGATTCTCAGGATTATTCTCTAAATAGATCTCCAGGTGGTGGATCTCCAGTTAGAAAGGCTCAAAAGAAAGTCCAATTTGCAAATCCCACAATAGACAATGAACAATTGACTCAATCTTTTAAGGAAATTGACCAAAGATTATTGGCCATTGAAACCAACCAGAAGGAGTTCAATGATAGAATTGAAATGAAATTAAAGGAGATCCTTGAAAAGTTGGATTCACTACAGAAATAAATCACATTGTTGGCTATGGTTTACTTTACTATTATACAATTAGAAATCGATATTCTTGGTGGTTTGAGCTTGTGGTATATCCTGTTGATTATTTGAAGCGGAATCTTCTTCATCAATAACAGGAATCCCCCAACTTTCAATTTCAAACTTGTGTTTGCCATTTTTAAACGCATACTCTCCCATACGGACCATCATCGCTCCTCGTTCAGATAGTACGGGGACCTTAATTACATTCACCAAACCTTGTTGGATACGTTTTGGTTCATTCTTGTATGCCTTCTCGATCAAAGCTGACATCTGCTGGTTGAATGGCTGAAGGTTGATAATACCATCAAATATATTTTCCAACGTACTCGTGATTAGATGGTTCCGAGTATACAAATCAAGGTTGATCAGAGTCATAAGTATCGCATTATTGGAATAAGTTGACAACAAACTTTGTAAGGAATGGAATAGGGGAAGGATGAACTGTGGTGAAGATTGGGTCGGAGAATATAATGAAGGAGTAAGAAGATTTGGAAGAACAATCCGGATAACAATGTCCGGGTGTTGCTTAATTTTGGTACTAATAATTTGGCGTATTTGATTGACTAAAGTGGTGAAGTTGGGACTCAAAGCAACAAAAGATATATCTTGAATGGAAGGAGGAGGAGAAAATTTCTGTGTAAGATCAAATTGAGTTGAATAATTTGAATATGTTTCTGTTTCAACCATTTGATCTGATGATTCCTTTTCTGGTTTATTTAGGCCATATCTCCAAGCAATTTTCAAATCGGAACCACCAGTCCTTTGTCTCTCTGTTTGAATATTGGAGAGATTTGAAACACTAATTTTCTGTTCATTTTCTTTTATCTTCAATTTCTTTTGTTCTTTTGATGTTCCCTTATATGGACCGGGTAAATCATTAGCCCAAGATTGAGGCATTCCAACCACCACCAGATGACAGAGTTGAACATTTCCATCGTCTATTCTATTGTGTAAGACACCTTGACTTACAAACAGTCTAACAAGAACAGAAGCAAAATCGGTGGTTGATGATTCTTCAACAATTAACGAACATCCTAAAGGAATTCCAGAATGAAGCAAAAGCTTATCTAAATCACTGGAACCAGTGGAAACCGTAGGTTGTGAAGTAACTATGGAGGGTCTTATGCATGGAGAAGAGACATTATTGCTAGCTGTTGAAGCTACTGGAGCTGCTGTTGAAGGAGATCCTCTAATAGGATTATTCCTTCCAGGAACTGTAGATCTTCCTGGAACTACAGGACCTCTTGCTGTCAAAGCTGGGCTTCTTCCTACAACTAAGGGATTCCCCGTTCCAGAAACAACTTCTCCTCTCTTTCTAAATGACATTGGAGATTGGAGGGTGATATTGATTGAAGCCACCAATTGCGCGTGCATGCTATTTTGACTAAAGTTCTGAGATGAGATCACGTGATTAGATTAGTGAATGTCCTCAGAGAAATTGATTGAGTCAAATATACTCCAAGACACCTGACTTCATCCACGCCCAAAGAGTACAGTAGCAATGTACTTCTTCATACAAACCAAAGGAAGTGTACACCGAAGTGTACACCGTTTTTTCGGATACCAAGAAGTCACAAAAGAAATGAATTCTTCCAATGGCCATGGGTGAAGAGAATAATAAGGAAGTAACCTGTTTTTCTATCGAAGGCGTAGCTACTTTTTTGGACAGAGTGACTAATACCACCAATTGGTGTCTGTTGTTCCAATAGAGTGCTCTTGGAGTATATCTTGTAAGTAAATCACGCGAAGGACAGTCCACAACATCATTCATGATTAACACTATCAACTTTCAACACACTCTAATAATCTCGGGTTATGCTTTGCTGGTTTAGAATAGAATGCTTCTTTCTTTTACTAATCATTTGAGGCATGGCGACTCCCATAGAAAACAATCGAACATAATACTTCCTTTATAAAATTATAGTTACATAAGTGGTGATACATGATGGTGATTATAGACTTAACATAGTTTCTTTTATTAAATATTATAATCAGTAGGTATCTTTTGCAACCTTTATTCTACTACTGACATGGTAGCGCATTGCACTTTTGAATCTTTTACGTTGTTTAAAAAACATATTACCACCAGAGATACCCGGTAGTCCCGGGCTCCGGGAGATGATGATCACGTGATTGAGTCATCGTCCCGGGAAATTTAGGAATCGGTTTTCACGGATTACGGCTCGGAGTGCGGTAATGGGTGCTAGCAAGGAAAAAGCTCTCACTTCTCGGAGTTGCAGCGGGGTACTACCTCTATTTCCGAGCCTAATTACGAGGCTATTCTCGAGCATCCTACATCTGATCGAGAGCTTTTTTAGTACATATTAAAAGGTCTACCTAGTCGTATTTCCGAGGGATAGACCGGTTCCGAGACATATTTGCCGCAGTTCATACACCTCAATCAATTGCCGTGCACATTTCACCTAGCAGACACCGTCCCTCATTTACATTAAGTATGTGCGCGCTACCACCACCTTTGATGAGTTTTGTAAGGAAGAGGATCCGATTCTGAATTTTCTGAACAAGCCAATCAGTTTTGAGAGTTTCAATAAATTAGTACAACATTTCTTCAGTGAGTTGCCAACTAATTGACAGTCGTATCATCTGATCTATCACAAACCATGCTCTCCACAGGTGTTAGAACCGTTTCGAGGAAACAAGCTGGCGCTTTGTCTGCCAGACTTGCCAAAAGATCCATCACTTCTATTGTTAATGCTACTACTAGATTGAACACTAGAACAACTACTACTTCCATCAACACTGGAATTTTAGGTGTTGCTAAGAACCAAATGCCAATTTCTGGTGGTATACATTTGCAATTGAATGCTGCTAGATATGCTTCAGTCACTGTTAAGGTTCCTGATATGGCCGAATCAATTACCGAGGGTACTCTTTCTGCTTATCTTAAGAACGTTGGTGATTACGTCAAGCAAGATGAAACCATTGCTACCATCGAAACCGATAAGATTGATGTTGAAGTAAATGCTCCAGTTAGTGGTACCATTACCGAATTACTTGTTGAAGCCGAGGAAACCGTTGAAGTTGGTCAAGATTTGGTTAAAATCGAAGAAGGTGCTGCTCCAGAAGGATCTTCTGCTCCAGCTGCAAAGGAAGAAGCTCCAAAGAAGGAAGAACCTGCCCCTGCAAAGGAATCTGCTCCAGCTGCTCCAAAGAAGGAATCTGCCCCAGCTGCTCCAAAGAAGGAATCTGCTCCTCCTGCTCCAAAGAAGGAAGCTACTCCAAAGAAGGAAGAAACTTCCAAGCCAGCTTCTGGTGCATTCTCTAGAACCGAAGAGAGAGTCAAGATGAACAGAATGAGATTAAGAATTGCTGAAAGACTTAAGGAATCCCAAAACACTGCTGCTTCTTTGACTACTTTTAATGAAGTTGATATGTCCAACTTGATGGAAATGCGTAAGCTTTATAAGGATGAATTCCTTGACAAAACTGGTATCAAGATGGGTTTCATGGGTGCATTCTCTAAGGCTGCTTCCCTTGCCATGAAGGATATTCCTGCTGTCAATGCAGCCATTGAAAACAACGATACTTTGGTTTTCAGAGATTACGTTGATATTTCAATTGCAGTTGCTACTCCAAAGGGTTTGGTGACTCCAGTTGTTAGAAACTCTGAATCTCGTTCTATCCTTGGAATTGAACAAGAAATTGCCAATCTTTCCAAGAAGGCTAGAGACGGTAAGCTAACTCTCGAAGATATGGCTGGTGGTACTTTTACTATTTCTAATGGTGGTGTGTTCGGTTCTTTATATGGTACCCCAATTATCAACATGCCTCAAACTGCTGTTTTGGGTTTGCATGGTACTAAGGAAAGACCTGTTACAATTAAGGGCCAAATTGTCTCCAGACCAATGATGTACTTGGCTTTGACTTATGATCACAGAGTTGTTGATGGTAGAGAAGCCGTTACCTTCTTGAAGACTGTTAAGGAATTGATCGAAGACCCCAGAAAGATGTTGTTAATGGAGTAAACGATCCATTAGTTCATTCTTCTCACATATTCACCCTCACACTCACACAAATATATATGTAAATGTATAGTCCACCATGTAGAGAATAGCTTCAAGTTAGTAAATGATTAATATATCAAGCAATCATTATGTACCAGCACTATTAATGACAAGCATCCGGTAGCACCGATCCTACCCTCGTTTCAATTGGATATCACACTTTCCCCTCGGTAATTCCCAATGAGGAAAGATCTTCTCTCACGTCAAGTTGATGCGAAAATGCACCTAAAAGGACAAACGTTGTTTGGGTTTCATCCCTTTTAGGCAATCATTGGTAACAGAAGAATGTATTTACAAATTTGACCGTTTAGGGTGATCATGTTGTAAAGTTGCCAAAAATCTTAAGGTGAACTTTTGTTCTTGCTCTTTTCTGTAGTCAATCGAATTTCAAATTGTTGTTTTCGTCTCTAGAGAACGATGTCTTGAGAGTAAATCAGATAAAAAAAAAACACACTTTCCTTTTCTTTAACTTAACTAAATTAAAATCCAATCCAATTCAAACTAACGAGGTTTCTTTATTCTATTAGTGTTCCCTCAGCCATGAATAGCATGGGCACTTGGGAAGGAGAGCCCAAGCAACAAGTTGACAATGATTTCCTTGACCAATATCTTGAATATGAACAATTTGATGAACTTATAAATGAAACCCTTCATACATTGAATGAATTAGATGTACCATCTGGTTATAACACCAACAACGACAACAATAATAATAGTAATATTGTGAGACAAATCATGGATGAACCTGGTGGTGGCGGTAGTGGTGGTGTTATAGGTTCTCATTCTTTCTTATCATCATCACATTTGGCTGGCTCTCCAAGAGGACACAAGAGAGGTCCAAGTGGAACAGCTATATTTGGTTATGTTGATCACACAAGAGAGTTATCATTCAATAGTATCACAAATGATTTAGGTAAACCCACCACCGCTCGATCACAAGATCTAGGGAAAGGTGTAAGCCCAGATCAATTACTCAGGTCCACGAATAATAACAACAACAACAATAATAATAATAATAATAATAGGCAAAGAAAACCTATTATTGATTTCCTGGAGTGCAATTATAGTAATTTGCAAGTCAAAGAGTTCTTAGTCACCGACCAAGAAGATGATAGTTCTCCCAACTCCTTATCCCCTTCAAGAAGTAGACCTCCACCTTTATCACTAAGAGCTCCAAAATCTCCTCAAGTATACAATGCACCTCCTCAATATCCCATTACTGCTTCTTCACCATTGAAACAATCATTTTCGAATCAACAGGAAGATTTCACCACTCCTAGACAATTCAATTCTTCCCCTATAAGAAATGGAGATTATTTTGTAACCAACCAGTCTCCAAAGGCTTATAAATTCCCAAGCCCCATGCAAAATTCAATGAGACCTTCTGTACTGTATAACAGTTACTCGGCAAAATACTTGCAAGAGTTAAACCAAACCAATTATCCCATTTCGTATGTTGATGATATCGAACCCTTATTGGAAAAAGAATCAGATCCTGATCAAATTAATCAACAACCAATTACTCCTTATAATGATAAAAATTTCAAATTTGTTCCTATCCCAGTTCAAGATCCTCTGCCGTATAAGAAACCAAAGCATCATCTACCCCAACAACAACAACAACAACAACAACTGCAGCCGCAAATGCAAGTGCTGCCACAGATGCAAGTGCTGCCACAGATGCAAATGCGGCTTCAACAACAATTGGGAATTGATATTCAAACATCATCACCACAGCATCATAAACAACAGATTCCACAACCTATTAGTATTCAAAGTAATACATTTCTTCCGCCACCATCGCCTCCACTTCTTTCCAATGCATCACCTGAATTACAATCTTCACCAGAGCCACATTCACCAGTTCAATTATCATCTTCTCCAGTCAGGGTTCCGGTAACCTATGACCAGTATTCATCATCACCAATACACCCCCGACCATCTGATGCCAATAATTCTAAAAACTTTTATATGCCTCAGTACTTTTCAGATGGACTGAATGAAAAGGAAATTGCCTTTTTTGAAGAACAGCTATTTCAAGATAATCCACTTTCTCAAACACCCCAAAATATCATAGCATCTTCTCCAATACGACAGACTAAGGTTCCAATGTACCAATCTTCTTCTTCGGGGTACATTTCTTCTAGTGTTAATTCCAGTCCTGTTAAATATGATTCTTCTCCCATACGGCAACATCAGCATCAGCATCAACATCAGCATCAACATCAGCAACAGCAACAGCAACAGCAACAGCAACAGCAATTACCAGGATTAAATGGCACTGAAGATGATACGGTAGATGCTAATAACACCACCATTCAATTAACACCCCTTAAAAACAGTGCACCACCAATTACCCCCTCAAAGCAAACACATGTCAAACTTGAGTGGTCACCGGTGATCTCTCCCAATAACAAAGAGTCAGAAGTCAAAAGACTAATGAAGAAATCAGTAAGGAGATGTTTCAAGAAAACTTCTCTTTTGCCACCAGGAGAACTTGATCGTTACTGGTCAGGTCCAGATGAAAGTAAGCAATATGTTTGTTTGTTTGATGATTGTGGCAAGAAGTTCACCAGACGGTACAATGTTCGATCTCATATTCAGACTCATCTTAGTGACCGGCCATTCGCATGCTCCTATTGCCCTAAGAAGTTTGTTAGACAACACGATTTGAACAGACACGTGAAGGGACACTTGGAAACTCGATATTGTAAATGTCCCTGTGGTAAAGTGTTTGCTCGATTAGATGCCTTGAAGAAACATAGAGAAAGAAACATATGTCTGGGGGGGATCGAACGTGGGGCAACAGGTGAAAGGGGGGTTAAGAAGATCAAAAAGGAACCACCTCCAACATCACAAGGATTGATACCAACGACAAAGAACAAACAAGTTGTTGATGTTGTTAGCAATGCCTTACTTAAGGATATCTTAACCGAGTTAGATTAATGGGAGTACCTTTTTTTTACTATATGATATGAAACTCTTTATATACTTCTTACGACATTGTCGCTATCTTTAATACATACTACTTTATGATACTATATACTGTACCATACCATATATATACAGCACTATTTATACCACATTGGTTTGCTGTGACTCGGGCATATCCGTATCCATTGACTCTTCAGGAATCTCTGGAATATCGTCGTCTTCTCCTTCACGTTTATGGGTCTTTAAATGCAGATTCAAGTTATCCAGTCGACTGAACTTCTTATGGCAATGAGGACAATCATAAGGCTTTTCACATGTGTGTAAGGAACGGAAATGTCTCTTTAAATGTTCTTGTCTTTTAAACCGTCTAGAACAATAATTGCATAAAAATATCTTACTTGAATCAACCATGTCAGCTTGTTTATTTTCCTTTCTTCCTCTAGTCTTACTCTTAGTCTTAACAGTTTGATACACTTGGGTGTTGGCAGGTAATTTAAGTGAACTCAAGTCAACTTCAACTTCTACTCCTTCTTCATTCTGAGAACGATCCTGGGAATCAACAGAGGCTAAAGTGGCAGCAGATGCATCCTTGGTTTTCTTCATAAGCAATAATTTGGATCCTAATATTCTCTTAGATGCCGTGGCTAACGTAGATCCATTACTTTGAGACGTCTCACTGGTACCCAGTATTTGTTCCATACCTGATAAATCAGTATTTCGAGATGAATGTGATTCAGCTATTGAAGATCTTCCATCATCTTCTTCCAATTTGGCATTGCCAGCTTCATTAGACATACTTACTGTCATCCCTTGTGAAGAAGATTCTCCTGATCCAATGGAATTTTGAAGTGATCCATTGATATTCTCTTGTGAGGATTTGGTACCTAATTTAGTGTTGGTCTTCTTATATGATGGATAAACCTTACGTCTTCCAACTTTTTGAAATAATGCTGCATAATCAGGTTCCCAGCTCTTATCATCCGGTTCCTCTTTAATTGTATTATTATTAGTATTATTACCAGCTTTATCGGACAGAATTGTTGGTGCAATGTCTCCATTAGATGAGATCTTACTTATAGACTTATTGGAATTATCCAAACTCTCACTATCTCTTGATTCCGTTACTACCCCCCCATCTTCCATGACTTGATCCTTCGGAACTGGTTTAAAGCGCATGAATAAACCCCTTCTTGGCTTCTTAACTTTCTTATTTGATCCCGAAGGTTCACCACCATCTTCATTCTTCAATAAAAAATCAGGCTGCTCGAGATCATCTTCCAATGGTCGGGGTATAGTAACATCTTCCCCATTATTCTGACTTCTAAAGATACTCCTTATTAACATCCTTGATTGTTGAGGTGGAGGTTGAGTCTCCTTTGGAGATTTCAAATTGTCACCAGGGGAATTTGGTGAAGATGAGTTCGATACCGGTGACAGTTGCTGATTCCTATCACTTCTAAAAGGGAAGTAATTGTAAAATGAAGTGGTGAAATCCGTATACCTCCCCCTACGGTTTCCTGATTGTTGACTATCTATTGATTGTCTGTTTTTAGGGTATAAATCAAGAGATCCACGAGTTGATGAAGGAGCAGGAGGCATTTGTTCAAATGAATTCCTACTGAAAAATTGTTGAGCAGATAGAAATGAAGGTTGGGTTGAATGCATAGAACTAACGGAGGGTGTCAATGATGTTGTGGTTGTTAACGGCGATAACTCATTGAAGTTACCTATTTGAGGATTATCTTGTAAATGCAATGACAAGGTTAAACTATCAATAGATTCACGATGCAATTGATTCTTATATCGTGCATGATGTTGAGAATGCTGACTCAGAACAGAATTCGAATGAGGAGGATGTCCACCACCACGTTCATCGTCAAGTACCAGAGAGTTTCTCTTTGGTCCATGCAGTAATAAGGAAGCACCCAAATGTTCATTCAGACTATCCCGTCTTTGATCCTGTTGGAAATGTAAGTTATGATGTTGAGAAAGTTGAAGTTTCAGCAGTTGCTGTTGCAATTTCTGTTGCTGTTGAGTGAAAAATGGTTGTTTGCTTTGAATATCAACGGTTTGATTTGATTGGCCCAGTTGAGTTTCTGATAAAGCGTATTGTTGCAGTTGAGGCAGAGGTAGCACATCTTTGTTTTCATCTCCACCATGTTTTCGTAAGAAATCATGTTCAAGCAGTCCATCAGCATGAAATTCCTTACTCAATGCATCGATTGGATCAGACCCCAACGAATCAACCACTTGATAATTCATACCGGAACCCACAAAAAACAGAGTCGTATCTTGGGTTGCCCCTATAGTGTTCATATTGTCATTGGTATTATCGGTGATTGGATTTATAACCAAATCTTCTGTTATTCCATCATTTACAAACCCAAGGGTCTCATTATTTGCACCATAATTCCCACCGGAGCCAATACTAATACCATTTCTATTGCCTAAAAAATCTGCACCAAAAACCAGGTCCTTATTCAGATCAAAGTAAAGTTCCAGTTCAATTGTAAACTGGGGTCTTTCATCCACTTCCATATTTTCACCACCCCATCGTTGTGACGCATTAGGAAACTGACGGTTACTACTGCCAACTTCAAAATATTGAGAGGCGGCTCCCATGCCTCCAGAAATATTGTCGTTATCCTGACCAGTAACATTTCCATTACTTTCTTGTTGGAATTGATTGCCTTCTGCATACATTGCCAAGTCCATTTCCCCTTCGCCGACTTCCTCAAAAGTAGAGCTTCCAAACCCGCCACCTTCATTGAAATCTCCATCACCTCCGAAACCTGAATATCCATCAATCCCTCCACAAAGGCCGGTACCGGAATTCAGTACTGCTGCTTCTCCTCCATGACCAGACTCAGACTGTTGTTGCTCCAAATAGTTGGGTCCATTCTTCAGCGTAACCTCCGAAGCTCCGTACACCAAACTATCCGTTCGGAACGGAGTGCCTCCTACATCCATAGTTGGTTTTCTTTTCTGAAGTTGACTTCTTGGGTTGTAGTGCTGTGTAATTGAATTAAGTATCCTTAAAGGTTTCACACTATCATGTTTTTTTTGTGATTACCGGGGAAGCTGGTGTTATGGTGCTAGGGTGCGGAACATTGCCCCTCTCCACTACGAGAATTTATTTAGTTACTCTCGTCAACAGGTATAGGCGGGGTTTAGGTTGACTACTGCTACTACTACTAATAGTAATAATAATACATAGTAGACTACTTAATGCTTACATATACACAACACACGAACACCAACCACTATAAATCTTCGGCGATGGTCCTTCCTGAAGGTGTACGTTGTCGTATTGAGTGTTCACTAACTTCTCTTACCAGCTTTAATCTGATGGGCCCTGGGAATTGTCGAGATGGTGATTTGGGACTTGCCATGATGGACAGTTCATCATCTTGTTCGTCATCTGTCAAGCCATTACTAAGACTAGAATATGCATCAGGATTAACCACACGAAGCACTGACCGTCTCTTTGAACTTACCAACACTTGAACATCAAGATTCAGTTCAACATAACTATCATCATCATCATTATCAGTATTATTTGTGTGGTTGTTGTTGTCGTTATTACTGTTGCGGTTTATGGAATCATTCTCATCTTCTTCGCTATTGACTGTAGTTTCGTCACCTAGAGATTGAGAATCTTCATCTAATTGAGGATCGTATGTTTGGTCAGCATTTTCATCATAAGGCTCAAACTCTTCTTCTGTTAAAAAGGAGTGTCTCTTATTAATGGGACTGCTTCTTGTAGGAGACCCTGACAGGGTAAATGTTCTCTTGAGCTTTGAAACAGATCGTCCTAATAATGAGGAATACATTGGTGTTGATCCAATAGTATTGCTATGATATAATGATCTTTTGCTAGGGGTTTTGGGTATCGCAGCAGGAGTTGGTTTACTGATATAACCATTATACTCAATACTTTGAGCAGCTTTCTCGGAAATAGTGCTATTAAAATCCCCATTGCTTAAAGTTTCAGTAGAATGTAAATGAGTATGTTTCCTAACCCGTTTCTGTTCGAATTCTTGACGTTTCTTTATCCACGAATCAATAGATGCTCCATCAAGTGTCAGGTTAGAATCATTATTATTCATATTGTAGGGAGATTTATTTTGTTGGGATGGTGGATCTATTGATGATGTATGATCATAATAGTTTGTGAAATCATACTCTATTGATTGTAATTCATCAAATTGTTTCGACTTGGCAGCTTTACGTTTTTGTAAGTAAACAAAACTTCCCATAACCACCATAGAAATTGCTGCAAGGGGAATAAGGGTTCCTAATAGTGCCTTTTTGGTAACTTCTGTTGTGGAAGAGTTAGAACCAGAACCAGAATTAACTCCTGAAACAGAATTATCCTTTAATGACTTTACACTTCCCCAAGTCGTGACATCGTACAAACTTAATGAATAAGATGCCAGTGAACCAGATCGCTTGGTTAAAGAATTAGTCGAATTTATAATCACCAAGGTATTGAACACCGTGAAGGCACCATAAACCTCATCAAAATTCAAGTTAGAATTATTAATTGGTGTCCAAACCCATTCGTTTGCCAGCATATTTAAACTGGCAATATTGGGATAAGCAACTTGTCCTGAATTTTCTCCACCAATCATTATCACCAGTTCAACAGTGAATGAATTTGTAATTTCTGAGATTGAAGCATTGGATAATGGATTGAATACTGGTAAAACTAATGCTTTTGATCTTGAATTGACCATATCAGAAGTCGAGGAATTAGCAACGACAACTTTGGATGCCCAACCAGTGGTAAAGTCCCAAGTTGCCAATTGATACATATTTAGGAAGCCCTTTCCCAGAGTTTGTCCCCCAATAAGTAATTGAGCTTGAGGATTAGGAGCTAATAGGTTTGCAGCACCATAAAAGGGTTTAGGTTTGGTCAAGGTGGAAATATTGGCAAATGTTTTAGAATTCAAGTCAAATGAAATCATTCGGGAAGAAACATCACCACTATGATCACAAATACCTCCATATATATATAGCTTTGAAGGGTAAACTGGTGATGAAAGATATGTCGCTTTAGCGTAATAGGATACATCTTCAATAGAATCAAAGTTCAAGCCATTAATTAAAGACCATGAATCTTGAATGTCATTGTATTTCATAAGACTTAATGTTCCTGTTCCACATAAATCTTTAGCAAAAGTTGTCTCATCAATTGTAGATGAAAAGGCATATAACTCATCGTCTATAAGAAATAACGAAGAGTTTGTAGGAGGAGACAGTATGGTAGTAACATTTTGACCAGAATTTAAATTCACATTGTCCACTGAATAACCTCCACTTAATGATGAAAACCCAGAAAGCGAAAGGTTAAACAGGAGTAAGTCATTATTTTTCAAGTGAACATATATTTTCCCTGTCGTTAAAGCATAAAGAGTGTTCCAAGGATCAGTAGTTGAGGCTGTAGCAAAAGTAACCCCAAGAAGAAATATAACAAAATGTAGAGGCCAGTCGATCATATTTAAACGAAGGAATATAAATCAATATAACGTTGAATATGGCTTCAATATTTACCTTCCGGTAACCACTACTCTAAGTTTGAACTGAACGTACAGTAATCAGACTGGATCAAATAACGTCAAAAGTAACAAGAAATAATGGAGTATAAAAGCAATTTATCCCTTCAATATCAACAGCAGGCGGTCAATTATTAAAAGATCTATAATGTCCATGAACGGTGATCCACGATCGATGAGTTATGGTATCTCGATACACTGAGAAATTCCAACCTGAAACTACTTTATAAAAGCCAAAAGCAAACAAAAGCTGCCATGAAACTGCATGTATGGCTTTTGGTCAGCATGAAAGGGCCTTGTGATGGTCATGGACCTTGTTTTGGCTTTTGGGCTGTTAATCTTCGTTTGTTTACACATTTCCTGATAAGGATGTGGAGCAGATATGAGGATCTTGGGTCACGTGATCGGAGGAAGATTTCATTAGGTCCTATGGGCTCAAATACCGAGGGTGCCGAACATACCTCGAAATTAATAGGTCCGGGAGTTTGACTCATGTCGAAAATTTTTCAGACCTGATAACGTGATTCACACTAACATTATTGAAATGGTATACTATAAAGGGTCTCTATAATCTTTCAAAATAGTGAGACCAAATTTGGTTGTATATCAGACACAAGAAAACCAATAGCATAGAATGTCTTCTTTTGGTACCGTTTTCCGTGTGACCACATACGGTGAATCTCACTGTAAATCGGTAGGATGTATCGTTGATGGGGTCCCTCCAGGAATGGATTTAACCGAGGCAGATATTCAACCTCAATTAACAAGAAGAAGACCTGGTCAAAGTAAATTATCTACTCCTAGAAATGAAAAGGATCAAGTCCACATCCAAAGTGGTACCGAACTGGGTAAAACATTGGGTACTCCCATTGGTATGCTTGTTCAAAATGAAGACCATCGCCCTCATGATTATTCAGAAACTGATTTGTACCCCCGTCCTTCTCATGCAGATTGGACTTATATTCAAAAATACGGTGTGAAATCTGCATCTGGAGGTGGTCGTTCTTCTGCCAGGGAAACTATTGGTAGGGTTGCTGCTGGTGCCATTGCTGAAAAAGTTTTAGCCAAGGCTAACAATGTTGAAATTGTTGCCTTTGTAAGTGCCATTGGTGGTGTAAGCATGGATCGTAACCCAACTGATCCTAAATTCCAAAAAATATTGAACACTATTACCAGAGAACAAGTTGATGCTTGTGGTCCGATTAGATGTCCAGATGAAGATATTAAAGAAGAAATGGTCAAGGTTATTGAACATTACAGAGATGCAAAGGACTCTATAGGAGGTGTTGTCACTTGTGTCATTAGAAATTGTCCTATTGGGTTAGGTGAACCAGTTTTTGATAAATTGGAAGCTAAATTAGCCCACGCTATGATGTCATTACCTGCTACAAAGGGTTTCGAATTTGGTTCTGGATTCTATGGTGTTCAAATCCCTGGTTCTAAGCATAATGATCCATTCTACTATGATGAAGAGAATGGAAGATTAAGAACAAAAACCAATAACAGTGGTGGTGTTCAAGGGGGTATTTCTAACGGTGAAAACATCTATTTCAGTGTTGCTTTCAAATCAGCAGCCACCATCTCTCAAGAACAGCCAACAGCTACATACGAGGGTAAGGATGGTGTTCTTGCTGCTAGAGGAAGACACGACCCTAGTGTCACACCTAGAGCTGTTCCTATCGTAGAGTCAATGGCAGCTTTAGTTTTGTGTGACCAGTTATTACTTCAGAAGGCCAGAGAAGCCAGTGCTAGCATAGTTGCATGAATACCTAGAAATGTATACCCTGTATAACGTAATATAATAATAATAATGATAAAGGGTAATGTGGGGAGATGAGCGTACCCACTTTGGTTTTCCAACTGTTTACATAATCAGTCACGTAATCAGCGAAAATTTAGTGGTACGAGTGATCCAAATAACTTCAAGGCACTTGCACTAACTTTATTTGGTTCTTACTGGTAAAGCAAAAAGTATAGCAAGGATGGATTCTGTTCAGTTAGTTTTTGTGGCAGTATTTATAGGACTTATATCAGCTGTTGGTGTTCTTTTCTTTCAGCAGAGACGGATAAGCCATTCAAGTGGATCCAAATCTCCTTTCAATAAGCCCTCATTTCTTATATTAGGTTTAAGTAATAGTGGGAAGACAGCATTATACTATAAAATCGTGCAAGCATCTTGTTCAAATGATGAGTTTGCGGAAGAAAAGGTGAAAGAATCTAGATCTGAAATAGTTTCTACTGTTTCTTCTATTGAGCCAAATATCACTACTTTACGTTTCCCAATTGCTCATGATAAGATCAACATTCCATACCAAGTGATTGATTATCCTGGACATTTGAAATTGACTAGTTTATTGAACAAATTGATGATTGAGCAAATCACCTTGAAGAAGATCCGAGGTATTATGTATGTGATTGATCTGAGTAGTCTTGTATTAAACAATGAAGAAACGGTTCAATTAATGGCTCGTCAATTATTTCAATTGTTAAGTAAAACTGAAAGATTACCTACTGGAATTGATTTTTGTTTTGCTGTTAATAAGCAAGATTTATTTGATGCCAAGCCTGTGTTCAAAGTACGGGAGTTACTTGAAACTGAATTGAATAAGATCATTCATAGTGAATTAGAAGCAAAGACTCAGAATGCCTCTGGAATTACTAATAATGTCGAAGGAAATGACGATAATGACGATGAAGACGGAAATGGATCTGGAAATAGTGAATCTGTTAGAGATTTATGGGTAAGTATCCTTGGACGACCAGAAAATACATTCAGATTCGATATGCTTGAAGGGAACATGGATTTCCTTGGGGGCTCTGTATTAAAGAATAAAGTGGATGCGTGGGAGAATTGGTTTGATGAGAAGCTGGTAAACAATTAAGTCATATAGCAGTATCAAAACTAATTTACATATGGTACTTAATACAATGACTTGATAAGAGTATGCTTGTATGTAATTGTGTGTGCGACTCAAAATGATTACCTCAATTGAAGATTGATCAACAAACTCAAAGGGGGGACCCTTCAAGTTTTGAAAGGTTGCTTACTCAATTGAAAATGGTTACTGTTAGTGATATACCTGTAGGTCTTCAGAATGATAAATCTGTGACTCCTTATCTTGCAAGGGCAGCTGAACTTGCAGAATTTGAGCCTGTAATAAGCTATTATTGCAAGTTTTATGTGTTGGATTATATCTTGACTAATAAACTCCATGGTAAAGATAAAGAGATAGAAGCATTTACTTTAAATCTTTTAGATGAGATTGAGGTTTTAAAGAAGTCTAGTGAAGGAGATGAATCCCAAGATTTTCAGAAAGTCTTGAATGACAAGAAATTGAGTATTCAAATAGTGATGACGTTTGCCTTCAAACTCTTCAATAATTGTATGGAATCCGTTACTAAATACACCGGCGACCAAGCAGGTGTTGCATCTAAGATCCGGGCCACTTTGGTGTTTCTAAGTTTGTTAAGATTATTTGATGAGAATGAAGATGATATTAGTGGTGCTACTCAAGGTAAAATCACCACTACTGAAGAATGGCGGAAACTTTATGGAACAAAGGTTAAGGTTCTCAAATTGCAATTATCTAAGTTGATCAAAGGTGAAATAGAGATATATGTTGATGAAGCCGAACTTTCTCGAGAGTTTGATGAATTGACTTTTGAAAACACACCTCTGGAAGATGAAATAAATAAGAATACATTGGAAGGTGAAGATGCATCAGAATCAAACATACCAGATTTCAAACAACCCAGTTCACCTCCTCCTTTCATTGATGCTGAATCAGATGAAGGGTTACCAGTATTACCTGGTGCCCCAAGAACAGCACCAGATGATAACGAGATACATTTACCCGGAGCCCCATCATTTCTTCCAGACGAAGATGTAGTTGTTCCTGGAATGAATGACGGGCCAATCCACTATATCCCAAAAACAAGCAACAATACTAAGAAAGATCATTCAAAGCCGTCCGCTCAGGTTCCTGTATCCACCCCTGCTGTCGACTTGACACCAACAAATATAACCGAGATTCTAGATACCACTGAGGTAATCAGCAAAGCTCAAAAAAGATGCAGGTTTGCGATTAGTGCATTGAACTACGAAGATTATACAACAGCAGAGGCCGAGTTGGTAGAGGCGCTAGAACTTGTTAGATGTTTGAAACGTGAACATCGATAACGGAACATGGTTCATGATTCTGAATGAATCAATGAATATAACAGAAAAGTGATCAAATAAAACGTGTCGAACACAAACACCCAAGCCAATTGTTTGGGTAGTTTTAATAAGTTCTTAGCGTATTTCAATCTACTTGTTCTTCCCGACACCTGGAGTAACCTCAGGATTTACTATCACACGATAGCATGGGCTAACTTTCACTACAGCTGCTTGAGTCATTGAAAAAGATTCATAATGTGGGGAGGGGAAACAGGCAGATATGGAATTCTTAAATCAGCACGACTACCTCGTTTCGTTGTCGTGTACTTTTACGACCAACGACATAATCAATGCAGGAATTACATAGCACAACAGCTAATCGCACACAATCAACAATAAGCACCACACATACCGTTTTAGTAACAATTGTTATTATTATTATTATTATTATTATTATTATTATCATCATCATTTTCTTGTCATTTTCTTGCTTTTATTAGCTTTAAGCCTCATAACGTGCGGTACGGTGCGAAAGACCTTTGAGACTTTGTACTGACTACTGTGAACAGTTACCCGGATCGTAGCAGAGATACGCGACATTTTCACCCTCGCGACATAATTATTTCCAAATCAAATATACGTACAAGAAAATACACATGATACACACTTGCTTGTTCTATTCAGAGTACGGCAAACACGGCGCCAACAAAAGGAGACATTCGAATCAAACTCTTTTATTGTTTCAGCCGCCGTCTAACTATTATCAATAAAGAGGATCTTATTTTGGTTGAAGTTTGATTTTGATTTTGGTTTTGGTTTTGAAAGATTTTGGAGTTCTACGTTTATTTGTATAGTACTATTCTGTTTTATTAGCGTGTATAATTGTTCAGCAATGAATTCTGTTATCAAACGATTGGCGCTGGGTTCTGGAAGTCCATCTCCGCAACAGAAGAAACAATTTGAAGGTGATTCCATCTTGTTAAATAAAGCAGATGCTGAAGAAATATCACCGGAATTGGTACCAATAGTAACACTATTAAGTAGTCAACTGCATCGTAGGTACCATGAAGGTTTGTTTATGCTTTACTACGATTTAAATACTGAAGGGAAACCGGCTGCAAGAGAATGGAAAGAAGTGTATGGAATCCTTACTGGGAGTCAATTGGCTTTTTGGGATGCTGCAAATCTAAGTGAATTTAGAAATAATCCATCTGCTCTATTGGAGACAACTGCCAAACCAAACTATATCAATCTCACGGATGCGGTGTATAATGCTATGAAAGTGCTCCCACTGGCTAGTCAAACATTGAATAACGTTATTGTGGTATCAACCACCCTTAAGAATAGATATATCATTCAGTTTAAACTGACTAAAGATTTATTGGAATGGTATGCTGTTTTGCAGCTTGCAAATTTTGAGAATAGTAGTTTACAAGCTGCTTATACTGGTGCACTTCTTTCAGCAAGAGGTTCAAGATTAAGTGATATTAGAACCATTCTTGCTGAGAAAAGATTTAATCATGAAGATTGGGTAAGTATTCGGTACGGCTCAGGTATGGCATGGAAGAGATGTTATGCTGTTGTTGAACCTTCTTCTTGGAAGCGGAAATCTTTCCATCCAGGTAGAATATTGCTTTATGAAAATGATCAGCAAAAGAAGAAACAATTAATGGGGGTTATCATCAATGCTACAACTGTGGTCGCTGTGTATCCACAATCTCATATATTGATTGACCATTCTACAATGCTTAGAGTAGAAGCTTTAATTAATGTTAAAACACCAAATGTGGCTCCCAAAGTATCAAAGAAAGATCTTGAAAACTTTAAACAAACTCCAGTTTTTATCATGCCTGAACAACATTCTTCAGTTCCAGGATTTGATACTTTAATTAGATTTTTGGTTCCACTTTTGGATTCATTTGGACTTTATGGAAGACCAAAGAGACTTAAGGCAGACAGATTGGATCCTGAATCTCTTCTTTTTGGTTTACCAACACTTCCAAGAGTTCATTATTTAAATGTGGATGACGTAACTCCTTTAACAGAGAATCCTGATTGTCTTAATTGGAATCTGAAGATTTGGAATGAAAGAATTAAACTGATATTGCAGTCAAAACTTGAGAAAGGTTATGAAGGTTGTGGCAGTTCTCGTGGTTATGCTGGTGCCATAACTTCATTAAGTAGCCCTGCATCAAGTAGAAATGCATCAGGTTCTCCTCAAAAACTGGACTTTTCAACTGCACCACCGCCTCCTCCTGCTGGTGCTATTGGTAACAACTTAAAGGGACATCCTGCTACAAGTACAGATTTCTATCATCTGCTGAATAATGGTTCTCAATCTACTTTTGCAGCATCAAATCCACCTATTCCTGTTGTCACTATTGATTCTGTGGATGATGAGAAAGATATTACATCAGGTGGTAATCCTGCTCATAAATCAGTGCAATTGGATGAAATTTACCGAACTTATGCTGGTGAAACCACCTCAATTCTTGATGGCTTGAACCGGGTCACCTTATCGGAAAATCCATATCCAAAGACTGATAGTCATTTGTTTGCTGATGATGATGAAGATGAAGATGAAGATGAAGACTCTGATGACGAGCATATTGATCCTAGAAAACTTGCAGGCTTTTCTGCTTGGAATAGCAATCGTAATTCATCTCACCTGTCAGTTCAATCACCAATGACTCAGTATCATAATTTCCATGAGCAATTCAATCAAGTTGCTGGAAGAAGTGCTGCAATTGACATGGATAGGGTAGATTCTTCTACACCACCACCTCCACCTCCTCCCAAGCATCTGAAAGAAGGAAGTCATACAAAACCATTGGGGGGGACACTGGGTCTCGGATTATCTACCGAAACTATCACACCTTATCCTACTTCACAACCGGTTAATAGTGAGGTCAGAAGCTCGGTAGCTCATTTATCGACTGATCAAAAATCCATTCATTCACAATCAGGGAAGATTATTAGTGCTAATTCATCACCTTATTCTGATGGAGAAACATCGCAGAATGATGATAATCCTGTTCAACATGTTGTTCCATATCCTGTTAGCAATAGTACAAATAAGCCCAGATACATTCATTCACCTAATGTGAACCAAAGTGGAGGTCAAGCACAGAAGTTTGTATCAGAGCCCAACGCCAGAAGTTCACCACCAAAATCTTATGGAGCTGTTGTACCACCATTATCATCACAGCCTGGTCATGGTAGAGGGAATGCACCTGTTCAAGGTAATGCAGCCGGATCTTATGGCAGACCAATGCAGCAGCAACAGCAAGTGCCACCACAATATCAGGGGAAGCCTCAACAGTTTCACGGTCAATCACCACAACAATTCCAAGGGCATCCTATGAGAATTCATATGCCTCAACAGAATCAGCAACCACCACCACCACCGCCACAGCAACAACAACAACCACAAAGATGGGCTCCACAACAACAACCACAGCAACAGCAACGGTACCAAGCTTCTGGGATTCCACCGAATGTTAACTATCAAGCTCCACAGAAGTATTCAGGTGTTCCACCAAATGTCAACTATCACCAACAACAACAGCAACAACATCAAGCTCAATATCGTTCGAGAATGGGAGGACCTCCACAGCCTCGAGGGCCACAACAGTTTGAGGTTTATGGCAGCAATAGCAACAATAGCAGTAGTCTGTTCCAGTACCAATCTCATCCTCAACCCTTGAATCAGCACCAGCAGCAACAACAACGAGGACAACAACAACAAGGACAACAACAACAAGGACAACAACAACAAGGACAACAGCAGCAAGGACAACAGCAGCAAGGACAACAGCAGCAAGGACAACAGCAACAAGGACAACAACCAGGTGCTCATCAACGGTACCAAAGTCCATTGCAACAACAGCAACAGCAAAGACCTCAATATAGCACTCCGTCTTCCTCATTCAGACAGTACTAAGTGACTAAGATAATACAGGGTAGTTATTATTACGGGTTATACCGGTTGATAATGACGATATATTTAAGACATATTTATTCTAACCAGCTCTGTTCAAGCATGCTTTAGGAACCATTCCTTCTTGATCATCTCTTTTGATTTTGCACCAACCATCCAGAAACTCTTTGACTACCATCACCTTCTCTCCCACAGTGATACTCAACTCATCGGGTCTGCATTGTAGATACGGTTTACATACGATGGTTGGCTGTAGTTTAAACCTCTTTAGAAACAACGGAGATATCACGTAATCCTGAGACTTATTATAGAGACTGAATCGAGACTTGAGAAACGTCATTAGTGTAGGGGTGGGTCCGGGTCCAGGTCCAGGATTGTTGGAGATAACCGTAGACTCATTTCGGGTCAGGTTTAAGTCCAAAGGGGTAGGTTTATGTTTGTATTGGTGGTCTGGTGTATGATCCCCTTTCTCTAAGTCAGTTGATGATACTGAGGAGGAGCTGTCCATAGTGGTAGCAGGGAGTGGTGGCTTGGGCGAGGATCGTTTACGCATAAAGTACCATGTTAGAGCCAACAAGGCAAACAACAAGGTTATGCCTAGCGGAATCCCAAGAGCCAAACCCAATTTGGATGAGTTGGGAAGTGAAGAAGATGAAGACTGCGGTAATTGTGAAGCCCCAATAGAAGTAGAAAGCCCAGAGATTGAACTTGTAGGAGACGCAGAACCAGAACCAGTGGCTGTGGCTAAAGCTGTGGACGAACCAGGAGACGTAGAAGAACCAGAAAACGTAACTGTTGACAGTGATGAACCAGACAGTGTCATGGTTAATACTTGAACAATGTTCCTAGTAGTTAGATAGACGTTGTTTGGAGTGGAAGAGGTACTCTGGGCCGTCATGGTTGATGTAAAAGTCATGAAAATGGTTATATCCGAACTCATGATGAATGATGAGTAGATATACTAATTAACAGCCGTCAGGTAATGAACAGGTGCCAGTAGATATATATATGTGAGTTGTTGGTACACGAAACATGGTTGTAACTGTTTCAGTTGAGTTACACTGGTAACACTGGTTTCCCAAGAGATTCGATATCAACATGATTCCAACCCCAAACACCAATGAGCAAGCCAATGAGTCCCCCCACACTAACGTCATAGATATCATGACGATAGTCTTTAAGTCTACTGAATGCTATCAAACATGCGATAATCAAAGGGAACAAGAACATTGAGTTCCGTTTGGTGATATGCCTTAAGTATAATGCAAAAAACCCCAACCCTCCAAAGGAAGCACTCAGATGGCCAGACGGGAACGCTCTTAACCCGTCTATTAACGACCATTGACCATAGGGCGGCAGAGTGCATGCCGTGACGTCGATAATAGGACTTTTGGCGTCATCAATTGGTCCACAACGACTCATAAAGTCAGGTCTGGGTTTGCCTATAAGGTTCTTGACCACCTCGATGAGAATTAAATTGAAACTCATGGATAACACAAATGATAAGCCTATGGTGTTGGCTCTGTGTAAGTCAAAACGTTCCTTGATACCGATAACCAATAATGGTATCACTATAGTAAGAACAAAACATGCAAATGATGATACTGTTTCTTGACTGAAGGGATGTGAGATCCGAGGGTCTAGGCCATTGAATGGACGTATCACTGGTGTTAGAGTCAATTCTAGGATGCAAAACACTATCAAGATTGTAAATGACGTTAGCCACGTCCGGAGTGTCCCTAGAAACCGTTTATCTCGGAGATATTCTAATGTGTTGTCTATTAGTTGCATTGTATTAAGATTGTAGTACATTCAACTTGAAGATCATGTTTGTTTCAACATTGTTCAAGTTGTACTCAGAGTCACGTGACCGAATCTACCTTCCGGTCGTATATCAGTCAACTGTGACCGTCCGCCTGTTAACCTTATTCAAATGTAATATAATTGTCTATACATCATAACATCGTAAAGAGACATAAAAGAAATACTATATAAAAAGCAGCTTCTATCAGACAGCACATATTTCTAATAATAATAATAATAATAATAAAAGAATAAAAGTAGAGTCTATCAATAAGAATAATTTAATGCTTTGTAGATCCAGTCTATTAGAGATCTCTCAGTAATATCTATTTCCCAGCAAATGGATCAAAGCTAGATGGCATCCTTCCTGATAACTTGTAGTCCCTGGAAGAGTTATAGTTTTGTTGTTCTTGTTGATCTTGTTTAGAATTACCAAATCCGTAAAAGTATCCCTTTGCTTCTGATTTTAAATGTTCAATCAAATTCAATAAATTAATCAGGTGGAAATATGAAGGGTCTTGTAGGTTGTTCAATTCGTTGATGGAAAAATTAAGAATTTGATCATTGGTCAAGTCATATTCTGCAGGGATAAGTTTATTGCTTTGGTCCTTTGAGGATTCCGTTACTTCCTTCTTCTTTGAATATCCTGAAACATACATCTCAGGTCTATCATAAGGTAAAACAGCACATAACCAAATTCTGGTTTTATAAATCTTGAAAAGCTCTTTGATTAAAACTCTAAAATCAATTCGTTTAAAGTTAGCAAAATAATAAAAGAAAAGCTTCTTAAAATCCAGTTGATATTCCACATTTATTAATTGCAAATCACATTCTAAATTCAATTCCTTAATCTTGTTATGGCATGTAATAAATGCTTTCTTTTCTTCAAGGAATTTCCCACTAATCTCATGAACTTCTTCTGGGGTTGCTAATCTTAATACTTGTTTGGTAGGTAAGGTAATAATAAACTCATTATCTTCATTAGAATGAGCATTGATAATAGCTGAAGCATTAAGTAATGTCAGGTGAGTACCAGACCCACTAGACTTTTTGGAACCTCTTCCTGTTACAGTTCCTCCACCATCTATAATAGTCAAACTTTTCAAATGTTCTAGTTTCTTAAGAAAGTTGAAAAGAATAGCAAAATTTAAATTAACCAATGGTTCCGCTATCATTACTAAATCTTTCCCTCTATCCCCATCAACAATAACCAAATCATCTTTTTGAAGATAAATATTCGAATTAATAGGGCAAGATAATAAATCAAACTTCCCATTTTTATTAATCACAAGACAAAGCATTTTGTGATTAAATGTAAGATTATTAAGGTTTTTAATAAATCCAATTAATTTCAAAATTATAGGATTAGCCAATAGTCCATTTAATTCATTAATAATCTTTGTTGAAATATGAGGGTTTTGATAATACTTTAAAGTTTTCATGTATAATCTCTTTAACTCGGGAGAAGTTATAATATATTGATCCTTAAGCATTAATCCATTTTCTAATATGATGGGATCTCCATTAGAATTTGTTGCATTTCCAAGTTGACCACCATTAAAACCACCACTTTTTCCCATATAAGGTGGATGGAACATTGGTGCAGACATTGGAGGAGGTGGAAAGTTATCTCTATGTTGTTGAATATAAGCACGAGAAGACCCTGGAACTGAGCCACTATTATCATTGTTATTATTACTACCATTATTAGCAGCACCACTACTTTTAATGGAGGGCAATTGAGGTTGGTAATGATGTTGAAAATGGCCAAAGTCAACCAATTGAGAAGGTCTTCTTGCTTGGAAATCGTTGAAGTTGGAATTCAAATTGAAATTGGCAAATGAATCATTGAATTGATCGAAATAATTCTGGGAGAAGGCAGGACGGTTTTGACTATGGTTCTGAAAGTCATTGTAACGTGGGAATGGTTGTTGTTGTTGTTGTTGAGGAACATTTTTACTGGACATTGAAGTTGGGCTTTCAGGTGGATTGGGGTTTTGATTCTGTTGTGATAAACTATCAGGGATACCAATTGATGCTGGATTTGGTGATACGCCTGAAGGATTGAATGAAATTGGTGGTAAGGCCATTGATCTAGTGAATGATTCAGCAGCATAACTGGGACGTCTTGAGCTTATAGTCCCCACTCCACCTTGTAATTCTATGGGTAAATTGAAAACATCAGTGAAAGTTGAAGTATTACTATTATTCGGCATTAATTGATGATGATTAAATGCACTTGAAACAGGCAGAAGATTCAAATTAGCATCTATGGATTCTCTTCTATTGGTATAAGAAGCCAATTTGTTATAAAGTAAATCAAATTTATCCGGCAGCAATTCCAATTCCAGTTGGAAAGCTTCACCAAGTGATGCGCCACTAAGAGTATCTTTTGGGTCTGAAGGATAATCTAATTGGCCCAAATGATTTTCAGGTCTTGATTTGGGAGATGCTTGGGGCTCAGTATTAGAAACTTCATCACCATTATTCTTCGGTACCTTATGGAGAAACTCCGGGTAATTGAAGCTCATTGAAAATAGAGGGTAGTTGTGGAGTTTAGTATGGAGTATAGTATTAGTGTGAAGTAACGGTTGGATTCGATAATGATAGTTTTAAATATGACTGGTCACTTTGTGGTGATACTATGAATCCCACTGCTACCAATCGCAATACTTTGTTGAACAGCAATTACGTGGTGAAAGCATAATAATGCTCAGGCAATGATTTGGTCACGGCTTTAATTATTTATGGTGAGGTTTGCCGGCGGTTTTGTGGTGGTTGGGTTTAGGGTGTCTATACCAGAAAGCAACATTGGCACTCCCCACTGTAGTCTATATAGCGGAGGAATCAGTAATAAGACCAGAGGGAATCGTAGTAGGAACAGGTAGAGTAGTGGTAAGTTTAGTAGTACAAGTAACGTGCTAGTACATTTATACTGTTACATTATTTTGTATTATATTACGCAATATTGGTTTATTAGATTATTCTAATACTGTATAGCATATTCTGTATTAAGTACAACAACATATATATATGATTACTGATACGCTCTATACGTTCGATAACCATCTCCATCATACTATATAACCCTGCTATGTATGATTCCATAGGTACAGACAGATAACCGGAGATCCCATTGCTTCTTCTCTTGATCTAATAAGAACCTCCAATTTGTTCTCTATGAGCTTCAATAACATCACCATCCTCTAGTTGTAAATCATCAGGCGTGTTCTCAGGGCTAATTCTGGTTCCATCAACCAAAAACCTTAAGGTATCCATTGGTTTTCCTTGTCTTTTACAAAAAGCTTCCATCAACTTCTTCATGGGTGTAGCTCTCTTGATCTTGAAAAAAATCTCTGCTGAGCCATCACTCACCTTTAAATTAATGTGTGCTTGTGTCTCCTTCTGCTCCTTAGGAGTCTCTCCTTGTTGTTCGTATTCCGACATCTTCCTTGAATGTTTGAGAATCACTTCTATATCGTTCCACCACTTTGAAGCCAATGTTAGTTGACATTTGTGTTGGAATGCAACAAAATAATTCAAACTAAAGTAGTGTGTGCACCACTTGCCATCTGTACTGCACATAAACGGGTATATATACATCCATAGCTCTCTGAGTTATAGTCCATGGTTATACCTTATAACTTTACTGCTACGGAAGAAATTCATGAACGTAATGTTGAATCATATTCTTCTTAAAACTGTAATTATGCGAGTAAACAAATCTTTGTCATGTGAAATCCCCACAGCTGTACGCGTTTTATTTCTGCTGTTTCTCTACTGTTTCAGTTTCGCAGCCATCGCTCAAGTCAATGCATATATAACTATAAGGACAAGCCTACTTCGAATGATAACACTATATTCGATTGCAGTCGATTGCAGTCAACTCAATGATACGCTTACTGTTGCTTGAAAGATTATCGCAGGTCTATTTCAATAAAGTGGCCATTTTGTGTGGACTTTCTATCGTTAAAATATGGCTACTAAGACGATCTCTAATCGATAAACTAAATGACTTGGATAACGAATTAACTCAATTAAACCAGTTAATGACAGACGTAATCAACAAGTACTCTCAATATGCTGAATCTGCATGGAAAAGGGGTCTTCTAGACCTTGTTACTACGGTGAAAGGTTTATTTATCTTCTTTATAGAAATATGGTTGGGTACTTATGCTTGTTTAATTGGACACTTGATTGAAGGAACTGTTGATTTCAGTTTGGATATTTCTGAATCGGTGGTTTCCAAAGTCAATAGTACGGTGTTTACAGTTGCAGATGCTTTAGATACTGGGGTCTCTGGACTCCTGAGTTTCATTGATCTGCTAGTACTGCTTTTCACAGGTAGAGACAAATCGGCAACTTACTTGTCTTCAATATCTGAGGGTGCAAACTCTTTACGTCTCTTGACTACAAATATAAGTGAAGAAGCCCTTAATGGGATTGAAAGCATCAAATCTAAAGTCCCCGATTTCACAAAGCTACATAATACAACAGAAAGTTTATTGGGAGCACCTTTTGATAAATTAACGTCGAAATTAAATGGAACAAACTCAACATTATCGAACGCACCATCATCATTGTTGACCTCATCAACAAATCAACATAGCCAATCAGTTCGGAAACTTGTGACGTTAATCAAATCAATTACATCAACTGTAATGGTGCTCTTTGCCATAGCCATGGTTATAAGTATACTATGTTATTCCTTCATGGAATGGATCAAATATAGAACGACTACTACGACTACGCTTCCAGTATCACACCTCCGTGAACTCCAAATATGGAGCTATATGTCTACATCCTATTGCAATTATATCTTTCTTTCCTCCATGATGACGTTTGCAACCTATCTTGCCGAAACTATGGTATTAAATAAGCTTGGGGCAGACATCTCGATCTCTTCCAGTGCTATTGCTAACTCCGCTAATGCGGTGATCAGTGAGTATGAGAACACCATTAACTCCGATTGGCTAAGTAAAGTCAACACCACAGCAACAGACATCAAGCACTCAGTCAATGGTATAGTGGGCACTTTGAATAGTACGCTTATTCATCCCTTCAAGGACACCCCCTTTGAAACCCCTATGTCTACAGTCATATATTGTGTGATTGGGAGGAAGATTGAGAAGATGGAGCTGGGGTTGAACTGGATCATCCACAACACCCAGCTTAAACTTCCACAGTATGATAATAAAGATAACACTGTTCAATCCAGATGGAGCACTGTTATTGGTCAACACAAAGAGTCTCTCAAGTTAGAATTGTATATTGCTATTGGGTTAATTAGCCTATGGGCCCTTCAACTTCCTATCGGATTGATCTCAAGTATATGGAAAAGAAAAACCCCCTTGCCAATTAGAACTACATCATTAGTCATAGGAAGTCCTAAACCGTTGACTGATGAAGAGAAAGCAGCTTACCAATATCCAATAACCGGATATAACATATATCCTTATGAAAACTCATCATCAAGGTATTCAAAATAAACATGATAAATTAAACACTATACAATTAAGTGAAGTTATGCAAAGTAAAGTTGGTGATAATAATCTTATTGGCAATGAAAAATCTTACTTCTTTATAGGAGCAGGTTTCTTCCAATAATATTGTTTATGGGTCTTCCTACAACTTCTTAACCCACTGGTACCCTTAATACTCCTTACCAACTTTGGTCTATCAGTATCATGATCCTTATCTAAATCGTAGTAGTATTCTTCTTCCAAAGGTTTCCCAGCAGCATCTTTGCCCGTACGGTAGATCACTCCAATACATTCAATTCCATGCAAAACAACTCTAATCTGTCTTAAGGATAAGTTTTGAGTCAATTTACTTATAGTACGAAGAAATGAAGCGGGAGTTGATGATAACCGAGAAAATGCAAGATGATTAATAAGAATGTTTTCTATTTCAATCATATCTTCCACATCATTTAGAACTGTACGGTCAACAAGCATTGCTTCGTCCAATTGATTAGGCTTTCTCTTCTTCTTGTTAGGTTCATGTTTATCATCAATATTGCTATCGAGATCTCCCTGTGATTCAACCTTTTGGGTAATTTCAGTTGGTTTTTTGTTCAGTGGCTCCTCGCTATGTGCTCTTCTAAACATGGGGACCTTCTTTTGTTTATAAGGAGAGTTTGGATTAGAAGAATGCGTATTAGTGGAATCCTTTAAGATCTCTGGATGAATGGGAACAGAAGGTTCCTGGTATTTAACAATGTTAGCCACTGGAGTCATTGGCTCCATTTCGATTGAGGAACGATCTATAAAATGCTGTTGTTTAGGAGTAGAAGGTTCCAGTATAATAGTGTGCTTCTTTGGGGAAGCATCTTGTTCTGTATCTTTGGATGCTGATGTGGGGGAAGAAGTTGAATGTTTGAATTTATCTTCATGAATCTCAAACGTAGGTGCTCTAGATCCAGTCAACGATAAAACTTCAACTTCTGTCTTTGCTGGAGGAAGTTCATCATCAGTCAATTCTTCATCAACATCGACCGGGTTCAAAAGTAAAAGCTTGCCTCTTATATCCAAGAGAATATTATCAAACAGGAAAGGAACCGAGAACGATTCCCCTCTATTCATATGGAATTCAGTATGGTCATAGTCAAGTTTGATACTTCTATTGGTGACAACTTTAGATAAATCACTTGGTTTAGTACCTTCAACAATAGAATAGTGGTTACGGGACATTTGGGTCACGTAGCAAAACTTTGGGATTTGAACGGTGCATCCATTATATCCAAGACATTTAAGAATGAAATGACTATTTGAAGTCAGAGACAGAGGCACAGCAATAATCAGGAAATGAACTCTGGAAACGGATTTATCCTTGGTTTCAATATGATAAGCACAACTTTTTGAGCTTCTACCAATAAGAACAGGCTCTGTGGTGGTGGGTGCAATGGGGATACGCATGACAGCTTCATCGGGATTCAAGATATTAAAATCTCTATTAATTGCCACCGTTTCACCATATTTGTGGATGGTGTTGGTATTGCTGAAAACAACAGACTTCTTCTTTGACAAATCCAAGGGGAAAAATGGATGAGCAGTATCATATCTGGCTGGAGAAGACGATCTACCTGTGGTTGAAGATGGATTGGGAGTAGGGTAACCAGCATTACGTCCCCGTTCATGTTGATGCTTTTCCTGTTCTGATTTACGGAATGGGTCAAAGTCTGTTGTACCAATTAATGGTGACGAGGGAGGGAACTGTGCGGACATGATGAACCAAATAGAACGAACTCAACTGTTAATGACTAACTCAAATAAACGAACTTTGATTAACGAACTCAACGGTTAGTGTCAATGGCAAGTATCAAAGTGTGATCATGAATTGGTTAAAAGAAAAGAAAGATGGTGTTATAAAAGAACTCTATGCGGCTGTATAAAATGAAGCTCAAAGTAATCACGATCACGGTTGTTGGCTGTTTGTATGTAATCACGATTTGTAAGCTGCAGTGTGTGAGGACAGGATTTGGTATGGCCTTCCTATACAATAGATTTATATATTTGTTTATTTGTTTAGGTATGGTCAAACGCTAAACGTGTTTTGTGGGAGACGTGTATATCAATATTTACGCGTCTGACTATTCAAGGTTGAAACGATTAGTATCTTAATGTGTGGACATGCCCATGTCCACTATACATACCCATGTCCATTATACCCATTCAAACCGTTTACATACCATGGCGTTGATAAGTACGAATGCAACGGACCCTTTTACGTAATACTGTAGTACCATCAAGTAAATTGTATTATTGTCCACCTCTGTAAGACCAAGTCATCACAATCTTCAAGTTATTTGTTAGGGCATGTCACGTGTAGGTAACTAGGGCTATTTCCATTGAGACTGTGATAATCGTGTATATACCAAGAGAGCACTTGCCAGGTTTCTTAGTTATCAAGAGGGGATCCCTTTCCCCCATCTCAAGTTTGCGCGCTACCATGATATTCTTGCGCTACCGATGCAGATTTTCGTGTTCACGTGACTGAAAAGCTCGTATGCCTTCCCCTTCTTTGTGTCGGTGAAAAATTTTCCCATGCACTCAGTGGGAGGGAATAGTTAGTGGGTCTAGTTAGATTAAAGAATTTTCATTTACTTCTTTCATAGTGAAACAACTTATACAGTTAGATAACAAACATAGATAGCAAAGATGGGTAAGGGTACTCCTTCTATGGGTAAGAGACACAACAAGTCTCACACTTTATGTAACAGATGTGGTAAGCGTTCTTTCCACGTTCAAAAGAAGACTTGTGCTTCTTGTGGTTACCCAGCTGCTAAGATGAGATCCTTCAACTGGGCTTCTAAGGCTAAGAGAAGAAGAACTACTGGTTCCGGTAGAATGCAATACTTGAAGCACGTTGCCAGAAGATTTAAGAATGGTTTCCAAACTGGTACTGCTAAGGCTCAAACCACCGCTTAAGATTTCAAATAAATTACTTATCAATGGCAAGTTATACCACCAGTTATTTAAATAATAATATGCTTTCCCCATCCTATTCAATTTACAGCCAGATTTCATTTTTCTCTTTAATGCATTTTTAATTGTTGGAATGTCCTCCTACTTTATAATTCTTTACTATTCATAAGAAGGGATTTTGATCGTTTGGTGATTGAAAATGGAAGGAGACAATATATAAAAAGGATATGTTGGTTCTTGTTGTGTTTTATATAATTTTGAGGTTTTAACGATATAATAAAAGACAAAAACATCTGTACATTATTGATTATATTTATCTTTCTGTAAATTTTGTACTAGTATGTTTCTTGAACGAGTTCATCTATATCCATTGGAATATCTCGTCCTTCTTCCTCACAATTCATATTATAGTACAAATTATCCGCTTCAACTGTATCAACAAAACTATTGAGTACATCTCTTGCCAATTCAACCGTCTCAGTTTCGTAAGGGAACTCAATTCCATTGGCATACTCACTTTCCACGGAGGCAGTCTTTTTAGCATCTCCATTTATATTTAACGTTGTGGTACTTTTCTTCATGGCAATTGGTGAGGAAACATCAATATGGTTCAATTCTCGTGCATGTTGTTCACACCATTGATTGAATATGGGAATGGTCACCAGTAATTTCCTAACTCGTTCAAGAAATTCAGTGGCTTTTACCATTAAAGATTCATTACTAAATGAAATCCTTGTTAATACAACAAAGATCTCATACATTGTTTCAGGATAAATTATATCATTGGACCGCTTATGGAAAACCATATGATATAATATCACTATCAAAGATGCAATGATCTTCAATCTCAAATGAATGTATCGATCTCGAGGACATGTCATAATATTATTCTGTTCGTATCCCATCACTCTTATAATTGCCTTGATAACCTCTTCGTAATTCAACCCATTCATGAACATGGCAGGGTTAACAGTAACATAATACTCTAGTAAATTTGATATCAGGAGTCGAAGATTTAACAAATGCTCCTCATGTTTTAATTTCATTAAGGGGGTCACTTGCCATTTCTCTCTTCTAATCGGGTCAGGATTAGCAACCATGCTTTGACCTAAAATGTTGGTGGTAGTGGGGATGGCTTGTTCAATATATGAAAGATCACAGTTGTTCCCCAAGAGTCTATTCAAACCATAAAAAGCAAACTCTTGTTTAATTCCAATATCCATTAGAAAAGTCTTTAATAATGAATTAATGACTTCTTTAGACGAAACTCCAGCTTCTGTTGTAATGGGTTCAGTTGAGCTCTGGTCATTCTTGGTCGATGACGACTGATAAGCAAAAGAATCTGGTCCTGCTGAAGATTGCAACATTACTACCACATTGTAGACCAAATTAATTTGAGCAACACCAACAAAGGTATTGGTATTGTCAGGCAAGCATTGCCTAAACAAATCTGTGGGTATTAAATGCCATATACTAAAGTTTTTGGAACTAGCCAATACCGTTAACTTTTCCATTGTATCCATGGCACAGATTATATATAGTTTCTTAAACATTAGTTGCTGATCAGGAATATCAAAGTACCCTATTTGGATATCTTCTCCTTCTTCAAGTAAATTCATTTGGCCCACAAGAGTAGCTATTAGCCTTTCTGTTAACCATAGAATAAGCTCTGAACTGACAGCATTGGGTCGAAACCCAATACAAGTATGAACTAACGAAAGAAGAAATGGAAGAGAAGCTGTGTGGTTATGGTTGGCAATCAAATGGGATATTAACTTCATCAAGTTATGACAAAAATCTTCCACTAAAACGTCCAAACGAATCTCTTTATTGTTCATCAAATATTTGATAATAGTACTCGATAAAGGACTTTTGGGAGTCACTTCAAACGTATCGATTTCAGATATGAATGAAGATTCAATGTAAATCTTCAGCAAAAGTTCTAAATTAGTCCTTTGACATCCATTAATCGAACTAGCAGTAATCTCATCGATAAAGAGCCATGTTTGGTCATTAGACTTCTTATGTCTTTTGAGAGAAAACATAGCTCCTGAAAACGTCGTGGCTGCAGAAGACGATGGAGATGATGATGATAATGATGCTGGTGAGGCCATGGACCCAACAATCATCAGACTTTCGCCACCAATGGGCTTTGATGAATAAACATTATCGTTACCTTGAGTGTCGACCACTTTACGTCTTTTGGACGTCAGAAACAAAGATTTCAATTCGTTATTCAAAAACTTCTTCTCGTCTTCAAGTTTATCCACCATCCCCCTCAATCCAGCCACTAGATTACTATGATCATGTTTTAGTGAGTCAACTTGTTCCCGTAAGCGGGCAATCTCGATATCCTTTTTACTGCGTACTTCGTCCAATTGAGCTCTCAAGATCTTGATCTCACCATCTGCTCGATAGATATCGTTCTTAATGCTTTGCGAGGCGTTCAATGAAACACCTTCGATAGGTGCAATAGAAGTAGTTTGCTGTGTAGGTTGTAGGACAGGCACCAATCCGAATTCTGCCTTTGTCAAAGCCTCGAAAAAACTATCGTCGTCATTATCATCGGTTGGAGAAGACATTCCATACTGTCATACCACTTATCACCATCAGTTAATGCTGTTGATTTGAAAGAGTGTTGTGGTCGTTAACTTGTTGGAACCTTTATTGGTTGTGGCGGGTGAGAAATTCATCTGCGCTACCAATCGGCGCGGAAAATTTTAAACATAGTTTATCTACGTATGATGGAGGACTCATTTTCATGAAAAATTTTTGTACTGGGACTCAACTCTTAACACTTTCCTGAAATACACACCAAGAGCCAAGAGAGTCTAGACCGCTTCCGATCTAAAATTCATATTGAAGCAGTGGTTGATAATTTACCTGAGTGAAGTTTAAAATCGTTTGTGTTTGACGACTTAATATACATGAATCTTTGTAGGTTGAACTGTTAAACTCATCTCACAAGATCAAATCAGGCACACACTAAATTCCGAACCTCATTTAGATAACAACAATACATACTATAAGATTAATATAAGATAGCAGGTATGAGTACATCTAGCAACAAGGATGGGTCCGAAAAGGTTTCAACAGAAACATCTGCTACTCCAGCAGCAGCAGCAGCACCTCCTCCTGCGTCGCTTGTTCCAGTTCAACCTGTGCCGTTAAGTTCTAAAGACAAAGACACCAAAAGATTAATTGTGGTCTTGTCTCAAGCATGTTTGGAAACACATAAGATGAACACTGGTGGTTCTGGAGGTAATGACAAGTATGCTTTATTGAATTGTGATGATCATCAAGGGTTATTGCGGAGAATGGGTAGAGATATTGCTGAAGCTAGACCTGATATCACACATCAATGTCTTTTAACATTATTGGATTCTCCAATCAATAAAGCTGGTAAGTTGCAAGTTTATATACAAACTGCTAAGGGGGTTTTGGTAGAAGTCAACCCTAGTGTTAGAATTCCAAGAACATTCAAACGTTTCAGTGGGTTAATGGTTCAATTGCTACACAAGTTAAGTATTCGTTCCGTTAATTCTGAAGAAAAGTTGTTAAAGGTGATTAAAAATCCCGTTACAGATCATTTACCTACAAAGTGCAGAAAGGTGACTTTGTCATTTGATGCTGAAATCAAAAGAGTACAAGATTATGTTGCTACATTAGATGAAGATGAAAGTATTTGTGTTTTTGTAGGTGCTATGGCTAGAGGTAAGGATAATTTTGCTGATGAATACGTTGATGAAAAGATTGGTTTATCCAATTATCCATTATCTGCTTCTGTAGCATGTTCGAAGTTTTGTCATGGATGTGAAGACGTTTGGGGTATCTATTAAATATAGCATATATATAAATAAGAACATATAATACGTGCATGCATACGAACATAATAATACGACCATATTAATACGACCATATTAATACGACCATATTAATACGACCATATTAATACGAACAAATAATTCCGTACATGCGTACTCACTTACACTTATGCATCGAATGCACTGGCGCGCGTTTATGTGACAAACCCAATTGCTGCGAATTCCTTACATGGTCAAGTTTGATTTCGCAGCCATTATCAAATAATACTATAACCATCTTCCTTAACCGCTATAGATTTAAGTAATCAAACAAACCATATTTGCTAACAATGTCACATATCTTACAATCTGGTGCAGTTTATGGCTTAACATCTGCCATTACAGCCACCACGTACTTACTAGATCGATTGAATGCAACATCCATTCTTGATCTTCATATACTGGCTGCTAATGTTTCTCCTATGACTGAATACCCTACTGCTTATTATATTCGTCGTGACCGTAAGGATAAACAAAAGCAAATTAAAGTGTTTGCTAGTGGCGGAGTGCAAAAATATACCATTGAACGGTTATCAGCTCTTCATCCAGTATGGAAGCTCATGACCTATCCTCAAAGACAAGAGGTGGCTACCATTAATGCTGGTTTCAGTACGAGATCGGTTGATTTCCATAACAAGGCAGGAATATCCCATAGAGATATCACTGGGGATATGGGATTAGGTGGTCGGTACCGTAGTTTCTATTTGAATGACGGTGCCAAATACAGTTGGACTCGAGGTTCCAAATTCTTGGAGAAAGTCATTAATCCTTATGGAGGTGTTGAAGAAACAAGAGAAAGAGTCGCCAGAGTGAAATTGATGAGACAATTCAAGTTTGACTTTGAATTGCTTGTAGATGAGGCAAAACTCGACCCAGAAATAGCTATAGCTACTGGGTTCGTATCCATGTTGACCCAATGGGGTGTTGGTGAATCAACTGATACTGTTGGACCAACCTTTATTGCTGAAAAACCAATTCAAGAAGAACAACAAGTAGTCGTTGTTGTTGAAGAGAGTGATGAAGAGGATTAAACTACATCACTATGTCTCTTTATACTTAGATTACTGTATATGGCTATAGTTATCGCTTTCGATCACATTTGCCTTATAAAGTAGTCATTTTCTATACAAAAGTTAGGCTTTTACTATGCAAATATATGTACTTAAGATTAATTATATTATACAAATGACAATAACATATAAGTTTGGGTCTAATTTTACATCACATTCCATCCAAAACACCTTCTTTCCGTAGCACCTTCTCAATTTCAGCAAACAAGGTATCAGTAGTCTTCTTTGAACCTTTAACTCTGGCACATACAATCTCCGACCGTTGGTTCATCTCACGAGCATTGATCTTGATCCGGAACTTACAACTCTTCAATTCAAAAGCATTATTACTAGAAATAGCCCCTGTGATGTTGTATCCAATCTTATCAAGTCTCAAATCCTTTAACCCAAAGTTGGACCAACTCTTCAATAATGAATATAAAGCAGTGCCCATTTCATCCTTAGGCAATATGGTCTTGAACCGCTTCACTTCATCAGGTGATGCTCCATTATGAGAGCCACTGAACCATCTCAAAAATGAAGATCCCTTGGGTCTGTCTTCTTCAGAAACAACCCGTGATGATCCTCCAGCTGTAGTAGTGCCTTGGTGGTTTTCATCACTGGTCTTTCTGCTGGCCCAGGAAAACTTTCTAAAGAACGATTGCTTTCTCTTCTTCCCTTGATCATCAACATCAGATGATGTGTAGGTGTATTGTTTAGATGGTTGCTGTTGATTGGTGGTGGAAGAATTGGCAACATTAGTAGTATCACGTAAAGGTGATTTAACCTTAGGATCATTCTTGGTTCTTGTCTTGTCGTATTTAAGTTCTTGTTCAATAGTTTCACCATTTGGAATCAACAATAAATTGGCTGTGGGTAACATGGACTTTATTCTATCTGGTTTAGATGATGATTTTCCATTTTCTTTCAATCTAGTTCCATTTTGATCAGGCAACTTAATCAGCTCATAGAATGCTTCATCTTCCTGTACATCTGTTTCGTGCTTTCCTTGTTGTCTGGTTGGCTTATCACCAATGGTAACAAAGGTATCGTCCGCATCAAAATCTTCACCAGGTTCCTCTGCTAGACTCTTATTTGCAGAAGAAGGAAGATCAGGTAACTTGGAGATTGGTCTTCTGGAGTATTTACGTGTGGTGGAATTAGAAGCGGCCGACATTCTTGAAAGTCTTCTCTTATCATATTGAGAATAAGTTGAGAATCTAGCTTCGTTATCAAACAACAGGATCTCTTCAATACCATCGCCGTCCTCATCATTGTAATCACCTTCATCATGAGCAAATTTGTCTAATCTATCAGCGTAACTTGTTCTCAAATTATTTGGTACCTTGTTACTGTCATCATAGCCACCTTCTTCATCACTTCCAGGTGTATGTTCGTTGATTATTGAATGCAAATCACGGAATGACTCTTTGGTAGAATACATAGTAAGAACAGACAATCTCTTGTTAGAGTTGGTGAAATACTTTGACTTTCTGGTGACCGTTGGAATTTCAACACCACTAATGAGTGTGTTGCGACCTTGATCTTCTTTTGGTTTCGATGGAGGATTTCTTCTAGGTACTGGAATGTTGTTATCAACTTGAGATGACTTTCTACGTCTTGAAGATGCTGAAACTCTTTTCGTAGTTCCATCACGTTCAAGCTCAGAGCTTAAATTCAATTTGGAGTTCAACAATCGAGATTTTCTGATTTCAGACATATACTCTTCACTTAAATTCAAGTTTTCAACTTTTGGTTCTGGCAATTCATATTTCCCATTGTAGTAACTATCACGAGAGATTCGATCTTCATCATCAGAATCAATTCCTAAGGCAGCTGCACGAGCTTCATTAAGCATATCATCTTCAACCATAACTGAAATCATGGATTCCCTGTTCTTCTTAGACTTTTGTAATTGAGACTCACGTTGTGCTTCTTGACGTCTTCTTCTGACTTCAAGTTTCTCCTTTTCAGCCTTTTCCAATCGTTCTTTTTCAATCTTTTCATTTTCAAAAGCAGTCCATAAGGGATCTAATCTTGAAACTGGTCTTCGAGTTAAAGTTGGCGTAGATCTTCTTTGAGGATTGGGTGCCGTAACAGATCTTCGCTTGAACCCTTCGATTTCATCTCTCGTAAGACTATCACCATTAGGTTCTTCAACAACACCAGTAGAAAGGGCTCTATCATTTTGCTTAGCCAAGCTCAATCGTTTTGGTTGTTCAATAGTAGTGGTGATATTGTCGTTTGATACATCTTCATTCTCTTCTTCAATATCACTATTTTGAGATTCCTTCACCATGATAGATAATTTACGGGAACTTAACAATGACTTTCGCTTTTGTCTGGTCTTAAGCTTCTTTAATTCTCTTCTGGCCTTCAACTCAGCTTCATGCTTCTTCCGTTCAATTTCCATTAACTTCTCATACTCACGAGCTTCTTTTTCATCTTCGTCCATCAACTGTTCATCTTCTCTATTATATTCCTCTTGGTTGAAAATCTTATCACATAAGGTTGCAAATGTAGCAGAAGTTCTCTTAGTTTGTTTGTCCATGTATTCCCAATCGGTTTCTCCCAGGAATTTAGCATATGTAGCTAAAACCTTCATCGTAATTGAATTACGCTTCAAACCAACCACGCTATTTCTCAATGACTTACGTGACATACGTGACATTGACTTTCTAATAACAGAATTTCTCTTACCACTTACACTAGTGGTAATCGAAGCTCCCTCCATTAATGGTATTTGATCATCCAAAGAGTTGAAGGGTTGTTCTATCAGCTGCAAGTATGAGTGGTTGTGATTTTGGCTTTGACTTTGAGGTTGCATAGTTTGGGCCTGATGATTACTTATGGCCGCACCCATGAGAGCTGCACTATTCATACCAACCATATTGCCATTCTGTTGAGGTTTCTGTGTTTGGCTTGTTGAAGCAGCTTGGTTGTTCCTTTGAGCCTGAACTATCTCATTATAAAGGTTTCTGGGAATTGGATTATTGATGTCTTCGGGAATAAAGCTTCTTCTCCCATTTGGTGATTTGAAAGGTGATCTTCTTGGAGATCTATGAGGAGATCTGTATGGAGAATACAGATTATTAGTCCGAATTTGGGAGTTTCTCTTTGAAGCAACTCTTGATGGTCTCTTTGTAGGTGAAGAGTTAGTACTAAAGGATGTACTACTGCTTATGTTAGCAGACATTCTGTTGTACTTAACATTCCCACTACTTGCTTTGCTGGCAGAATATTGGAACGAGGTAGGTCTTGAAACAGGAATAGTTTTAGGAGCTTTCTTTTTGGCTGATTTACTTGGACTTGTGTGAAAGCTACTTGATCTACTAGGTCCATTCTTGATGTTATGTTGAGCAGCTGCAGCAGCTGCATCGTCCAACGCTTCTTGATTATGAGAATAACGTAACAACAAGGCATAGAAAGTCTTTTCTGCATTTGTTCCTGGTTTCAAAAGACAATCCACAATTTCCTTTTGAGGTCTATCATTCCATAAAATTGATAAATTGCCCAAGATCTGTTTGTCAATATTCTTTATGGAACCCAATGATTTTGAGGCAGTTTCAGGATGAGGCAAAGATTTCACTGAAATCAAATCTTCATTAGGAATGGGGTACTTCAACAAAAGAGGATGTTGTAAAATATCGTTGGTGGTGATTCTTGTTAATGGATCCACAGCCAACATTTGAAAGATCAAATCTTGAGCATCTTTTGAAATTTCAGTAGGCATTTCAAAAGAGCCTGCTTGAACCTTAAGTAATAAATTTCTAATATTTTCATCATCAAATGGTAATCTTCCAGTAAGCAAGGCAAACAAAATTACACCACAAGACCATACATCTGAGGCAGCACCATGATATTTCAATCCAGATACAATTTCTGGAGCAGCATAATGGGGAGACCCACAAGAAGTTTCTAAAAGCTTACCATTAGATTCAAGAGCGGCCATTCCGAAATCAGCCAATTTAACGTTTAAGCTTGCATCCAAGAGTAAATTCTCTGGTTTTAAATCTCTATGACATATACCTAAGGCATGACAATAAGCTGTTCCAAGCACAATTTGTCTAAAGTATTTGATTGCTTCCTGTTCTTGAAGAGGACCTCTTTCGACCAATAAGTCAAACAATTCACCACCTTCAACAAACTCTAATACCAAGTAAAGAGCCTTGGAGGTTTCCCATACATCATATAAACGTAAAACATTAGGGTGGTTAAGTAACTTCATAATGATGATTTCTCTTTCGATACCATACGGTAACCCATTAGCACTTTGAGGGTTGGGGGAAGCACCTTCTTCTTCCATTAATGCAGATTTCGAAACCACCTTCACAGCAGCCTTTTGACCGGTATTGACGTTTGTTGCCAAAAGCACACGGCCAGTTGACCCGCTACCCAATGTTTTACCCAAACGCCAAGGTCCGATTTTCTGGGGATGGTTATTGGTGATCGACATGGTCGAAGATAGCGAAGCTTGCCTTGAATGCGAGTGCATTGTGGATATTGTAAGGGAGCGTGAAGAGGGAAGTGATGAATAGACTGGTTAAGTACTTGATTCAATGGATTGGTTGAACGTGTACGGTAAACGAATGTAGTAATTAAGGGAGCGACTGAGTGGAAATGATACGTGTACTAGTAGTAGTAGTAGTAACAGTAGCACCTACACGCACGTAGATATTGATATATAGTAGAATCAGCTAGTATAAAACCGACCAAGAAGAGCAGTTAGTTGTAAGAATTCAACTTGAAGACGTCTTTGGAATCCTTCGTTGCAAAATCAAAAAGTTATTGTAACAAAATAGACATGAGTGTGTGCTTATATCAAAACGTGAAAATTCCTCAGAAAAGGGGGACACGCGTTGTGAAAATTCGCGTCGAACCGTTTGGCTGACCACAAAGGGTAAATTAATGACGATAGCAGCAACGGATGGAACGCTTATGAATTCGGCATTAGTGAATAGACATTACAATAGTAAGGCTTAATTGAGCATTACTGTTTAGTGCAATGTAGCGCAGGGTAGTGGGTAACGTGAACTGTTGTCCGGTGCGAACAAGTATACCTAATTTACTGTAGTGGAACGAAGCTAGTGGAGTGAGCGAGTAGAGTGGAACGGAACAGTGTACTTAGTTGGTTGTAGGTCACAATTGCTATATGGTAGTGTCGACCTAAATGTATGGCTATAAATGGAAGGCTACATGTTTATGGCTTTTCTATTGGCCAGAATAATGTTGATGTAAATTAAGTTGTCCGTCCGTTTCGAACTTGTTCCAGGTGGGAATTGGAATTATACCCAATTAAGTAAGGTAATGAAATAACAAGGTTACAATTGTTTCATAATGCCATTTTCGAGTAATCCCTTGTGGGTTGAAAGTAACCCAAATTCATCCTTTAAGCCACTGACTCAAAAGTTTCAGCCTGAATATTAACAAATTAAGCTCTCTATTGTTATATTTGCCTAACCCAACTCCATCTTGCCTACTAATGTATGATTTCGATCAAAATATCCAACAGCAAACGATCCTACTAATGATGGTATAAACAGGTCATAATACTTTACCATTCACTTTACTCATCTCTTTACTGTTAGATTCTCTCCTTCATGCTCTTGTTCGCTTATCCTCAGAGGGTTTTTAGCGAAGTGGTGTGCGACTTCCTTTGTACCGCGGTGCATAAGGTACTCGCAGCCGTTCCGTCAAATCAAAGGACATCTGCTCATGTATACCTACACCTGATCTTTATTTATTCACATCTGATTAATATTTCTAACGAGTCTCTTGTCATTATCTGTTCACTATCAAGATACCAGCCTTTAGTCAAACTGCTGGGCTCTCTACTATTCTAACCATAGAAGGGTAATGTATCGCCCAAGGTCCCTGTATGCACTAATTTCTGGGGGATGGTCTACAGATAGACAATACCACGGTATATGTTCATAGAAAAGGACACCGATCAAGGAAACTATGACTATAACATGTTTGTAGAAGCTGTAATATAAACACTAATTGTGAACATTTCCACTAGTAATGTCAACAAAGCTTGAGGTTAACATAGATAGAATTGCTACGGGTGACACCTTTACCAATTATGACATTGTTCAAGGTACAATAGAATTGCAGGTGCTTGAACGAATAAGTTTGTCTAAGATTGAAGTAATACTTGAAGGAACATCCAAGTCCAAAGTTTACTATAAAGAAAGGTCTGGTAAGCCTAATAATTATAAAAATTATAACGTACAGAATGCCATCAATAAGCATACGCAAGTATACCAAGAGCTAATTGTTTTCCCTTCTAAAGGAACCTACAACAAAGGAAGAATACAAGAGTTCAATTTGGATGTTGGAAGGTATAGTTATCCATTTTCCTTTCAATTACCTATGGATAATGATTGTGCTAGTAGCTCTGCTAGCAGGAATACAATGAAAGATCATAAAGCTCGCGTACAACACCATAGGAAGTCACTTTTGAAAAGTATACCCTTTAACTCTTTGAAGAAAAAACCTTCGAAACCTATGGGGCAAATAGAAGCAAAACATGTAACCAATCAATTACCACCATCATTTTACTTGAATGATGATGCAAGTATAAAATATGGGGTAAGAGCTACGCTTTTTACCACCCAACTGGATTTCTTTGGCGACCGCTCAGCATATGGTCCATTCGTGTTTCTCCCATTAGATTTGGAAGGTCCACTGCCAGATGCGCCAAAGTACGAGCTTAACATACGAGAGTCATTCTTATGTTCCAAAATGGTTCATACACCAGGGACACCGCTTCATTTTTTCTTTGAACTTAGATTGAATGATCCTGCCAACTTCACCCCAGGCGAGAAACAAAGTTATACTCTCCATATTGGAACAAGACACCAATTTACTAACCAATCCACTGACGTAATGCCCACTATCTACTTAATGAAAATCAAAACATCTCTTCTTTGTATTACAGATATCAGAGCAGACGATGATCGACTAACAGGAACATTACACAAGACCCAGCACGTTAAAACGTTAGTACTAGTGGAGAAGGACTTAAACAAATACCCCATTGAATTAAGCGGCATGGAGAGGAAACTGGATCAAGATAGTTATTCAGTGGAAGTACCACTAGAATGCTATTCTCATTCAATTCCTACAGACTTACCTCCAACTTTTGAAACTTGTAATTTATCAAGATCATACAAGTTGGAATTGGTGATATCGTACGCCTTTGATCCAGCAGCAAAGAAAGGGTTTTTACGTCAGTTCCAACTGGGGAGCATAAAGAAGGTCAAACTAAGAACTGAGAATATGAGAGTTGTCAGTGGGATATATCTCAATCGTGGTGCTTTAGGAAATAGTAGTCTTAATTCTGTTGACTCCACAGTCGATGATAACGACACCGTATATGGACTTCCATCCCATGAAGATATTAAGTATCCTTGGGGTCAATTAGTACGAAGAGATTATTGTCAAGAAAAGGAGTATTATTTGGAGTAGTTGCAGTCACTCGAGGGTCACTACGATAACTATACACTAGTGTTAAGAACACAACCATAATGGGAACAAGTGTAAGGTATGGAATAGGTATTTATATGTCAGGATTAAATGCAGGAGTTTAGGGTGAGCCGCATCGTAGAAGATTATGTAGGCTGCGCGTCGTATACTCGTTTACATATCGTGATGAAAAATAAAAGACATCACTCGTACATATCATAAATTGGTACTATTTCTACTATTACTACCACTATTATTATTAATAATAATACTACTGCTAATGACAAAGCTGGATGAAGAGAGACCTGCGTCCTTCTGTGTGAGTGCGCCAGGTAAGGTTATTATTTATGGAGAACATGCGGCAGTATTCGGTAAGCCAGCTATTGCTGCTGCCCTTAGTTTAAGAGCTTATTTACAAGTGACACCGAACGACGACCCTAATACCATCACGTTAGATTTCCCTGATATTGGATTATCTCAATCGTGGAATCGCCATGATCTCCCATGGGAAGATATAAAAGGGTATATTCAACGTTCATCTTCAGATCTGAAACCTTTAGTAACTCCAGAATTAATACCTGAAATAACAGACTTGTTGAGCGATGCATTGGATGATATCGATAATAGAATGCATTATGTGCTGTGTCATTGTTTCTTGTACTTGTATGTACATTTATGTTCTCACGATACTTTAGGGATGCATTTCACGGCCCGTTCTACTTTACCCATAGGAGCTGGGTTAGGCTCTTCAGCTTCTACAGCAGTATGCTTAGCTGCTAGTATGGCATATCTTGGAGGCCACGTAGAAAGGCCGGTGACCGGTCTTAATGAACGTGTCAGATCCCCTCATAATAAACATCATGCTATAATCTCTCCAGCTGACTTTATTGATGAATGGTCCTTTGTTGGAGAGAAATGTTTCCATGGGAACCCTAGTGGTATTGATAATGCAGTAGCCACTCATGGTGGGGCGGTGATGTTTCAGCGAACCGTTTCTAGTATAAACCCCAATGTTCGTACCAATATGAGAAACTTCCCACCGATTAAATTGCTTCTAACCAACACCAAAGTTCCTCGTTCAACTGCTGAGTTGGTTGGAGGTGTTGGGAAGATGAATATTGAGTTCCCGCAAGTATCACAGGCCATTTTGGATGCTATTGGTCATTTATCCAACGAAGCGTATCAACTCATGATAAGACCAGGGTTTGCTGAAGAAGAGCTTTTAATCTTACAAAAGTTAGTTAATATCAACCATGGGTTGCTTGTATCAATGGGTGTATCTCATCCCACTTTGGAACAGATCAAAGTTATCACCGATACCAATAAAATAGGGGCCACCAAATTAACTGGTGCCGGAGGTGGAGGTTGTGCCATTACGTTAATTGGAAGTGACGTATCAGAAGAGAAGATCCAGGCCACAATAAAGCAATTTGAGGTTCACGGATTCGAAACGTTTGAAACTTCTTTGGGTGGTAAAGGCGTAGGTTTATTACATGAAAGTGATGTTTCATTGGAAACCAGAGATAGAGTGTTTTCTCCGGAGGTGTTCCAAAGTCTCGGTAGTAGAAAGGAGATCGAGAACTTGGCTGGCGTAGATCAACAAGTATGGAAGTTCTGGTAAATATTAATGGCATATAATTGTACTATATATATACATATATATATTAAATTCCTCTATTGAATTGTAAGTGTTCGATCTTGTTACCATCTTTGTCCTTTAAATCTTGGAACTTGTCTTCCAACTTGGAAACTGGGAGTGATCTTCTTTGAGGGAAAACACCCAAAGCAAATGGTAATGCAACAAGTGAGGTACCAAAAATCAAACCAATATTAGTCAAGAGTTCTACTCTCTTGGGCTTGCCTTTCAAAAATGTCTTTTGTAGTTTAACTAAGATCAATGGAGGAATCACCATGATTGGAGTAGCATTAATCACTCTACTAGCAGCAGTTTCTCCAACCGCATACCAAGCAGCGGTCTTAGAAGTACCCACGGTATTGCCATCATTATCAAATACACTGATTCCTTTTTTGATTTCTTCTGATCTCATCAAGAATACGTTGACAACACCAGCAGATACAACTGCTGCAAATGGTACCAATCTTCCCAAGATCAATCTAGTATTGGCACTCAAAGACTTCAATCGGGGAACAATCAGATTCAACCCTAATGCTACTGAACAACTGGCAGTCACTGCCATAGCGTAATTGGTCAAGATCTGTTGGGTAGTTAAAGGATGTGACTTGTTAGCATTGGCAGTATTGATAGCAACATTCAATGATTGATTTGCCACTTGCCAAAAGAGCGTACCAGCAGTTCCCAATCCAGGGGTCAACATCCCAACTGTCACCACCATATTGGATAGAACACATGATGACATTCTAAAAGGTAAGAAGACCACTTCACCAGTGTCTGGATGCAAAGTTGAATCCAAAATACGTTTAGCTCTCCATAATTCTGGAGTCATTTCGGGAATAACTCCATTCTTATAATCCCATACCAATCGTTTGGATTGTTCAATGTCAGAACTAGTGTTGAAAAGCATGGTTGGGTCTGAGATCTCAGCACAGTGCTTGACTCTACCTGAGTATTTTGTCAAGTCATATTTGGAGTTCGGAAGACTCACAGGCCCTGGAATAGATGATGCCATTATAAGTATATATATATATATATATATATATGAATATGCAAGTGTATATACGAGTATGTATGTGTACGTATATGTATATACAAGTGTATGTATATGTATGGAAGAAGTATACGATAAGCACAGCCGTATATTTTTGTTAAAATTTCTCTCGCAGAAATCTACAAATAGGAATAAAGCATCACCAATACCCAAGAACAGATTTCTTTCGCTACAACTCTTCTCTTCCGAAAAATATGATAAGAGGCTTGGGTGTAGATTTGGTAGATTTGTTACGGTTTCAACGTATCTTCACACGAGATAAAAAGTATATAGATCGATTCACTACCAGGATACTACATCCGCACGAATTGGATAAACTCAAGCATTTACGAGATAATACGACGCGTATACGATATGTTGCAGGATCTTGGGCATCGAAGGAGGCTGTCTTCAAGACATTGGATTTGACGGACCAGAAATCATTTGCTTTCAACCAATGGTATCGCTTTAATGATGAGAATGGGAAACCGCATATCACTAGTCAATTGTATTGTCAGAATAATAATGATGATCAATTCTTACTAAGTATAAGTCATGATAAAAACATGCTCATAGCTACGGTGATACGACAAACTTTGAAACGTTTATAAGTTGTATTATTATTATACTATAGTCTAAATTTACAATGGAGAATGATTTATCTTTTTACTCCCATTCAACAGTGGCTGGAGGCTTTGAAGTGATATCGTAAGTGACACGAGCAACACCATCAACTTCATTGACAATTCTGGAGGCAACCTTCTTCAAGAACGCAGCTTCAAAAACAAACCAATCTGCAGTCATGAAATCTTGAGTTTCAATGGCTCTTAAAGCAATAACTTGTTCATAAGTTCTTTGATCACCCATGACACCGACAGACTTAACTGGCAATAAGGCAGCAAAAGCTTGGGAAATTTGTCTGTACAAGCCAGCCTTTTTGATTTCTTCAATGAAAATAGCATCAGCTTCTCTGGCAATCTTAACTTGTTCTCTGGTAACTTCACCTAAAACTCTGATAGCCAAACCTGGACCTGGGAATGGATGTCTCCAGACCAAATCTGTTGGAACACCCAACAATTCACCCAAATGTCTGACTTCATCTTTGAACAATTCTCTCAATGGTTCAATCAACTTCAATTTCATGTCTTCTAACAAACCTCCGACATTGTGGTGGGTTTTGATGGTTTGAGAAGGACCCTTGAATGAAATAGATTCAATGACATCGGGGTATAAAGTACCTTGCAATAAGAATTCGATTTCAGAACCATCCTTAGGGGTAATTTTGGCAGCTTCATCTTCAAAAACATGAATAAAAGTATTACCAATGATCTTTCTCTTCTTTTCTGGGTCAGTGATACCCTTCAATCTGTCCAAGAATAAATCAGAGGCATCAACAACAGTTAAATTGATACCTAACCCTTCAGTCAAGGTCTTGTAGACAGTTTCAGTTTCATTCAATCTCATAACACCATTGTCAACGTAAATGGCATGGAATCTATCACCAATAGCTTCTTTCAAAATCTTAGCACCAACAGTGGAATCAACACCACCAGAGACGGCACCAATGACTTCAGCAGTTGGACCAACCAACTTTCTAATTCTGGCAATTTCAGTGTCAACAAAGTTTTCCATAGACCAGTTCTGATTGGCTTGACAAATCTTGACAGCAAAGTTCTTCAACAAAACTTTACCATGGGCAGAGTGAGTAACTTCAGGGTGGAATTGAATACCAAAGATTGGTTCGGTTTCGTGAGCAATACCACAGAAAGGGGAGTTATCAGAGGTTGCAACAACCTTGTAACCAGTTGGTAAAGCATGCAATTTGTCACCGTGAGACATCCAAACTTGGGAGTGATCAACACCATCAAACAAAGGACAAGACTTGTCTTCAACTGTCAATGTAGCAGGCCCGTATTCTCTCTTGTCACCTCTGGCGACACCCTTACCGTTAATCCAAGCCAATTCTTGCATACCATAACAGATACCCATGATTGGAACACCCAATTTGAAGATTTCATGATCAACGTGAGGAGCATCTTCAGCGTATACAGAATAAGGACCACCAGACAAGATGATACCTTTTGGTTTCCAAGTCAATTCACTGATCTTTTGAGTACAAGGTAACATCTCAGCGTAAACATTGAACTCACGAAGACGACGAGTGATCAAATGGGAATATTGAGAACCGAAGTCCAACACCAAGATGGTGTCGAACACTTTAGACACTTCAATAGGAACGTCAGAGAGGTCAGCCATGGTATTACTTACAAATATGTAAAACGATATAAGGGAAAGTTATCCTTAAGAGATACTACAAAGAAGAGAAACATTCAAACGGAGATCTCCTCCACTCATCGCAGGCTAAATTCTGGAGATCACCAGGATCTGTAACCGTATTTATAGTAGGCCACAATAAGGAAAGAAAAATTAATCTCGATGAGCTGGTCACGTGCACTTGACTCTGGATTGGAGGTGAGTCAATGTAATCTATTACGTGGAGTTAGAGTCACGATAAGAGTTCGGATCGGGAAGTTATATGTATACGATGGTTGTAATTATGACACTAGACTTGAACAAACTCGTATCTATGAGTGCTGTTCCGAAGGGGGTGATCTTTATGTTACCTAAACATTAGTTCACGGCTTCTCCGTCGGATGATCCGAGAGATCTCACCCGTTCTCACTCGCTTACTCACTCTCACAATCATCCAGATTAATTTGCACCCAATTACATAACGAATCCCACCACATTCCTTAGCCGCCCTTAAACCTTAATACTGGGAAATTATTGAGTTGTCACAGTTTCGATGCGTTCATTACCTCCACCAAGAATCACTCGCACCAGACGATGGAAAAGAATAAAGAGAGCGTTTAAAACGTTTCTTGAAAAAGGGTATCTCTCCGACGGTGAATTATTCTTTAGACGGCATAAATCAAATACAAACAAGAATGCTTCCTCGGATAAAGTTTCCACACTTCGATCTTCTCGTCTATTTTCCCGTAGAGTTAAAAGAGCCAATTCTATACCTGGAGAATGGGTACCTGGTGTCAAACCTCTCGGGTTAGTTGGGAGAACCGTAGGTAAATTTGGGTGGAAGAATTTAAAGAGAGGTTCAAGTTTGTATAGCTTGAATATATTTATTTAGTACATGTCAATCAGCAGCTTAAATGGTCAGTGATATTCACTGTTCACTCACTGTCAGTCAGAGAACTTATATCGATACACTTATCGGAGTTAATGGCAGTCAATATAAGAGGCATAAAGCTAAGTAATCTGTTTGTAAAGGAAGTAGATATAAGGCATTTGTAGGGTCCATACTTAGAATGTAACTTGATTGAATTGTAGACGTATTAATTTGTATAGATTTAATAATCTTTTTCTTAAAAATATCAATTCAGACACACGAAGTACTTTCTGGGGTATTTCAATCACAATTGAGTAGATATCATCACAGGACTAGCAGATATAGTCCGAATACTATAAAAATATTAGATTACTTTCATTTTAACTATAAAAGAGTACCAAGAACTGCTCTGCGTTTAAAGAATTACATTATAAATTTTTAGCATAAAATATACACCAACGGTTAGCGCCGTGGCGCAGTGGAAGCGCGCAGGGCTCATAACCCTGATGTCCCTGGATCGAAACCAGGCGGCGCTATTTTTTCATTCAAGGTATTTTACGGTTGCTAAGTCTCAATTAATTTTTGTATTAGATTAAGCCGTGCCGTAAATAGCTTTATATAAGCTAGATGAAATTGTTGAACTACTTGCCTTTTTTAATGAAGCCTACCATTTATTCTTGGGGAAAACTACTTACAACTATACAATACATTAGACCCAGGAAGACTCAACATGCCAGTTGAATAAGGGAAACACCCCGTTTTGTCCAAAATATGCTTGTATTCTCTGTAGAGGCCAAATTTTTAACAGAAAAAGAGCGCCGTGGCGCAGTGGAAGCGCGCAGGGCTCATAACCCTGATGTCCCTGGATCGAAACCAGGCGGCGCTATTTTTATTTTTTTCATCTAGCTGAAGCATACCCTATTTTAGTATAAGACCACGTGCTGGTCCCACAATAGCAATAAATTACATAATCGGAATTAATATGAGTGAACTCGATGATCATCTCCGTTGTATAAAACAGTCCAAAGAGACGTAATTAATATTATCAACTAATCTTCCTTCCATATACACAATGGCCGTTCAAAAGGAAGTGAACCTCAACCAACCGTTGGACAGTTCGAAGGAATCGACCTTGAGTAAATCTCCATTAACACCAGAACTTGCTCAGGGTGCATTAACACTTCATGGAGATCGTTATAATCAACTTCAAGTTGGCTTGAACAGACTTCTTTTCTGGCATCCATTGCTGGTGGCAGTGTTGTTGTTTCCTATCGGATTATACTTTGCATATCAAGCATATGAATATGTTTATATAGTGGAATCAGTGTTTGAATTTGTTGAATTATTCTTTACCAAAGAGAACCTTAGAGATCACTTGGTGTTTCTTATGCCACTCCTTTTGCTCACGGTAATGTTTTTAACTGTATTCAGCTTCTATCTTTCCGATGAATTGAAGACTATCTCCGAGAAGTTCAAAACGTCTGTTTATATGAATGAATTGTTTGGGTTTGATTTGCGTAAGTTTGCCAAATTAGACACTAGTGATGTAGCTACGATTAGTCCAAAGGAAAGACAACAGTTGAAATACGGTGATAACACGCAAGTTATAATCTATAGAGATTCTCCCATTGCCATAGCTACTGTTGTTCCCATCACCGAAAAATCATCAGCCACCGATTTCTATGTGGAAATTACGGGCTTACATGTCCGGAAAGTGTTTGCCAAAGTTGATTTCGAAACATTATTAATCGACTGGTGTCTTTTACGGTCCAGACAACTATATTCTGAATTCACCAATAATAAGGAGAATGTCAGTGGATGTAAGATCCATGTATTAACCAATTGCTATAATTTTGAAAAGAACTACATCTCCAAATTGAAGGCTCTTAAGTTTGAGTTGATTGCAAAGAGCAATGAATTGAATCCTTATGAAAGAATCGAGTCCAAGAAACAAGGCTGGATAACTAACTTTTTCTATTCCATATTTGGCATCGAAAGACACGTGTATGGGTTATCAATTTTCACTGCAAATGCCAGTGAAGATAGGTTGTTGAACAAAGCCAATGAGTTCTCAAGAAAGACCATCAAAAAGAGAAAGTAAAAGAGAAATAAACTCGTTATATCATTAATACTATATACAGGTTAATCTAATAACCCAACCACTCTACTTTTTTTATTCTGTCTTTGCATTCTATAGATAATGAACACCCCCCACAATACAAGCACCCCCACTACAAGACACATCAAGTATTTGATGAATGTGATTACCCTGCGGAAGTTGCGGACAACAAATGTCGCATCTTCATCACCATACTTTTCCAATCTTCTTTTCCTATCACGTTCTTTGATGCGTTGTTCTGCTCTCTGGAGTCTAGCCAACGACTTACGGCCGTAGCCTTTTCTTTCTCTAATCTTGTGCGTCTTCTGTTCCTGTTGCAGATCCTTCTTCACTGCCAACGCTTCCAATTCCAATAACGAATTGATATATGTGCCATCTGGTTTGAGTAACCCATAGATTCTGTTCTCTATAATGTCATTTTGTTGAGTCAATTCTCCAGTTTCCGCCGAAAGACCAAGATATTTAACATCTGGTAAGTGAACATCTGTCAAGGCAACACAATTGGTCCAATCCTCATGAACTCCATTCAAATTGAAATCAATAGAAAGATATCCATTCTTAAGGTATACCAATCTCATTTTAGTTTCCCCCGTTGGAGGATTCACCAACTTCTTGAGGGGACACCCAGCCAACCTTGTATCGTAACCATCCGTGGATTTGGAATATTTAGTTGTCCCATCTCCCAACATGATATTAACATAGGGGAAAGTACCTCTTTTGCCATTCTTATAAGTATCGATCATGATCCCCATCCCATTGAAATAATTGGGGACTCCAAACACATCTCCGATATCGGGTTTAGTTTCGAGGAACCAAATAGCTAACCCATCGCCTAATAACCCCCTGGCGTTAGGCGTTGAAATACTAAAGGTCAATTCCATTTCAAAGGACTCAGCCTCAATAGGTCTGCTGGCAAACATATTACTAGCTTGATGTTTGACGTCTCTAGTTAATCGAACACATTTATTGTTCTTAACCATTGCCTTGCCATGAATCTCCCAATTGGTCACCTTTAACGAATTGGCTTCTTTCAAATAAGGGATAGTCAAACTTTGATATTGAAGTTCGGTCTTCTTCAATAGTTGAACATCTTGATTTTTATTCTGAATCAATGAGTTTAGTTCTTCCGGTGAGATCGAATCATAGTCGATGCCTGTACCGTTTCTTAATAAGAGATAGTATAATGCAAATAGTACTAACCCTAGGATCAGGAATTGAAGACCCCGCTTAACTCCGTACATCAAGAATCAACACTCTATGAATCAAACAATGTATATAAAAGAAAGGTGGAGTTCATGAGAAAACGTGTGAATTTCTTTGGTAATGATTGTTCATTTGTATACCCTTTTTGTGAACTTGACGCATGAGATTACTGAATTTTTGTGCCCGGGTTCGAATCCAGACCAGGTCAACTTCAACTACAGTAAAAAATTGAAACTACCTTCCATTGATTTCCCTATATACATGTGTGAATCAAAACATCATTATTATCTACCAAATACAACTGTTCTAACAGCAGTCAAGAATGTTTCCTTCTTCTCTCCCTTAAGCTCGCTGAGCAACCGGTCATAGTATTCAGGATTACCCTTGGGCTTCAACAACTTGTCACTAAGACGATAGTAGTTCTTATATTTATCGTTAACCATATCACGTAATGCCAAATATTGTAGTTGTAAATCACGTTCACTCATACTTTCAACCTTAGCACTGTCTTGGAATCGAGCCAACTGTGTTCCTTTGAAAGACGAATATCTTTCAAGACGGTCTTTGGGCAACGTCTTCAACAACGCCACAATGTTCTTGGTGATCTCTTTCTTACTTGACATGTTGTACAATACCGAAACACTGAAGTATCCGTGGGGTGTTAGAACTCTTTTGGTTGAAGAAGTTTGATGCCCAAAAAAATATACGCCAAAATTGGGTACACACACGACAACAATAATTCATATAGAAGTCTGTCTTACCGTCATGATTGGGCTTCCTTTCTGAATAGCTTGCCGAAGCTCTTGATGTTCTCATTAAACTTGGTCTCACTGCTTAAGGCCAACCCTCTAAGGTTCTTTTCGATGTTGTTAATAGTATTGTTGAGGTCAGGTGACTTCGACTTGGAAATACCTAACGATGGTGATCCAAGCAGTGTACTTCTTATTGAACCAAACGGTGACGGGGTACTTCTATTTTCAGATGGAAATGCTGATGATGTTGATGTTGATGATGCTTTTGGTAATGGTAAGGGGTCCGAGCCTTCTAATTTGACAAGAATGGGAGATTCATCTAAAAGATCACTATCACCTGTAGTTAACTGTAAATTAAAAGTTTCAATATATGAAGATTGTTCCTGTGGCTTGATATTCTTCAACTCAAGGATCTTAATGAAGTTATGAATGGATTTATCTCCTATGAGTTCAAAATATGCTTCCACGATGTTCTCACATGGGTCACTTGGAGTCATTAATAACTTGAGTAATATTTCAATTTTGTTAAATTGATTATTAACATATTTTTCATAATTTTTGTTGATTTTGAACTTGGAATTATTGTCGGATTCATCTGTTGATAATATTCCATCGAAATTAGGATTACTGTAAAGGGTGAAAAGTAGTGAGGATTTCTTAAGCGTTGAGATATCCATTAAAATTTGTTCGATTGTTGCAAGACTCATTGGTTTGATCAATTTCAATTTGTTTTGAAACGAATAAACGGCCAAGTCTACCACACGATCACAAAGATTCCGTACATATCCATCACGTATAATCATTGGTAAAGTCACTCGAATATTGTTCGTGGTGGTCTTAATAAAATCATTCATGTATGGTGAAACATCAGAAACTTCATTGCTCCAATTGGTATTACCAAACAGTCTCCATGCAAATTGTAAATCAGAATTGAATTTCCCAAGTAAACTATTTTGCGAGCTTTGAATCACTTGATAATACGCATCTTTGACGGACTCAAAACTTATTTTCGCTTTTAATTCTGTTCGAATCACTGAACTCAATCTATCTTCCAAATCATCGATATTATTTATGATATAGTCACTTGTGTTGATCAATAGTGTCAAGTATTTGATTGGCTCAATGCCACTAGAATTAGTATTGGCACCTTCAATAACTGGAATCAAAAATCTATCATGATAATCCATCAAATATTTTTTAAATAACAGACTAAGATCAATAAGAATCTCTCCATTACTCAACTTTAATATTTGTCCTAATGACTTGGTAAATATCTTAAACAACTCAATGGAGGAATTGGAAATATTTGGAACATTGTTAATTTTAAGAACACCAATAAACTGTTCTAAATCATTTCCTTCAAACTCTGGTGGAAGGAGTGGAGAAGCCATGAATTCATTCAACTTTCCACTTAAAAGTTTATCTTGTTCTCTAATCCAGAACCTCTTCAAATAGGGTTCAAATACCTTCAGAATAGCACTTGAAAAGTCATTACCCGAATCTGGAAATCTTTCATTAAGTGTCTTTTCAAAATCTATAGTACTGAGTAATCCATCAAGCAGTGTATCAGTTGATTTTTCAGTTGCCATAGTTGGAGCTGAAGAAGGACGAGAGGAAGAGGAGGGATTTCTCCTTAACAATTCTTCAACTGATGAACGAGTAAGATCACAAAAGATTCTTGTTAATTCGAAATCAACATTCCATTCTTCGGGGAAATATTTGGAATATTGCGATTGAACCTTCCTTAAAACATTGTTAAGGAAGAAGATATATCTTCTATTCAAGTTTTCAAGGGAACCTGCTTCATCCTGACTATTGAAAATGGCTTTAACTTCCAGCAATTGAGAATCGTAGAACCAACTTAACAATTTATCTTTCAATCGAACATCTATTACCTCTAAAATAAGACACCCATAACTCAAGTTCGAACGATTGTCATCCCCTGACTGGGACAGTTCCCCTTGATCAGGGGATTGGGTTGAACGTGACTTATTGGTATTTATGGTCATATCAAAATCCACAAATATATCATCAATTAATTTCAGTTGTGTCTTTATTACAGACATATTCATCTGGTTAATTTCATCAATAGATTTATACGGTTTGAAATAAGTCAACAATTCCTTTGCTGCGCCAAACAATTGATATATTTCCTTATAGTTATGAGACGCTATAACCTGTTGTAGTTCTTCATGGGTTTTGATAAGCATTTGTAGTCTCTTAAGTACCGTCATTGAAAGCACAAGGTTCTTTTTAGTTTGATCCAATTGCTGAATCGACAGGGTCATGTTGGATATTGAAGTTTGGATCACCTGCGACTCATTCTTTGTATCCCGTAGTAAAGTCGCTAATTCCACAACTTCTTGATGAATATCTACCTTAACGTAGTCCGATATACTTGATTTTATTTCATGGTCTAGTTGGATTTTGTATTGATGAGTGTGTTCAAATATCTGTGGCAATTCCTTTAGGGCCTCGGGAGAATTGAAGATCTCCGCAAGTAATTGCCGATCCATGGATTGATGCTTATGGTATGCGTTTACTACAATTGTGTATAACATTTGGTTATGTTTGGTTAATGACAGGAGTCGTGTACAGGAAAAATGAGTTCTAGGATATGTAACGAGTACATAGTATGCGTACAGTGGTTCTATTTAACGTTCACATCAGGTCGTGTATTTACAATAATATAGTAGATGTTCGTTACCAGTAAGCCAGGAAATGTTCCAGCCTAATGTAACAAACCATTCGAAATATTAGTTTTATTAGTTCGTTTCAAAGAAATAATTTATCGTAATAAAACTAACAGGGTTTCATAATAGGGGTAGCAAGTGCTTAAAGTCAGTGATTAAATGGGTTTCCAAGATCATCGACGTACCCTTCTACGTACTTTCAGCTCACAAATCCATTAGACAATAACCTTTAGAGTTAACTCAATTGTTGACAAATGTCACCTATGCGTAGAAAGATTCCATAGTACGGAATATGCCCTAGTATTTATAGTGCGCTATTTTTCAGTATTTTGAATCACTGTCTCACTTCTCCTTTCCACATACAATATTTACAGTACTTTAGTTAGCTCTAGGCATTTACAAGTTATCAAGTACTTGATAAAATGTCTAAACTATCGCTACATTAGCATTTAACCAATAGTGTGGGGTTACTTATTACATTGCATCCCCACGATTTAAAGACTACTTACCATTTTCTTTTACAGCCATGTTAATAGCTTCTTTATCATTAATGGCTATACCAGGTTTAAATGGTTATTATTCTAAAGATATAATTATATAATCAGTATTTTGTTTATATGATTCTATTAGTAATCCTATTTATTATATCTCTTTAGCTTCTGCTATTTTAACAGCTATATATTCTATCAGAGTAGCTTATTTAACTTTCTTCAATACTCCTTGTGGTACTAAACTCTTGCTTTAATTTAGATCAGAACACTAGAATGGTTATGCCTATGATCGTTCTATTATTCTTCTCTATTTATTGAGGTTTCTTCAAAGATAATACTACTCCTTTCTTCTCCTTCGGATTACCTCAAGATAATAATTTCATGAAAACTGAATATACTTCAAGTTCTATTATTAAATTATTACCCTTAATCTCAGATCTATCTTTAGCTTTAATCTTAGGTCTATCTTTGTCTTTAATATTAATATGAAAATAATACTTTACTAAAATTTTTATCTAACGGTTTAGATGTTGATCTATTTATTAATTCTATCACTAGATATGCTTTATCTTTCTCTGTTGTACTTAATAATTTGTAGATAATGGTTTCCTTAAACGTCTTCGTGATAACGGTATAGGTAAAAGTTCAGTCGTGCACAAGTTCAAGATTTTGTACTCTTACAACATTCATATGTAACAAAGAATTCAGTATTCGAACCTTATGATAGATATATTAGATAATATACGTAAAATATACAGTTGTGATTGCAAAGGTATGGTGGTTAAATAAAGAACAGATACATTACTTTCGTTTAATAATCGTTCTTTATATTATGGAAATGGCAAATAGTAAATATATGACTATTTCTTGTGTTGTCGTTTGAGGGAGGAAAATGAGTTAGCTTTTATTAATAGAATGGAATGTTAAAAATATCATGAAAAGATATCAAAACATTTAGTAACCAAAAGCAGCCAATTGCTTAGAAGCTTCAGAGTCAACAACAGAAGCCTTTGCAGCAGCAACCTTCTTGTTCAAAGCTCTCTTCTTAGCATAGTATTCAGCAGATCTCAACTTTCTCTTTTCTTCCAACTTGTCGACAACAGATTCGTACTTCCAACCGACAGAAGCAGACAACTTACCAACAGTGGTGTACTTTCTACCAGGCTTCAATCTCAAGACTCTCAAAGCTTGTGGGACAACAACTCTCTTCTTCTTGTCGTATGGTGGAGGCACACCTTCAAAAACCTTAAGTCTTTCCAAAGCTGCTTTACCTCTGGCAGTCTTGTGGGGAATCATACCTCTGATGGCCTTGTATAAGATTCTGGATGGGGCTCTGAAATGGAAAGGACCATGGTGACGGTTGTATCTGGTCTTCTTTCTCAAGTAGTCGTGGTACTTAAGCTTGTTTCTGAAGAATTCACCAGAAATGTTCAAGGCTTCACATCTGACGACGACAACCTTTTGACCGTTCAAGACTTGCTTGGCAATGATAGAAGCCAAACGACCCAATAAGTGGCCCTTACCGTCGATGACAACAACTGGTTCAAATGAGGACATCCTTGATTTAATACCTTGGTTACTGAAACGAAGGAGTAAAAGAATAAGCAAATTTTATCTGAGAAAGAATAAAAATTATTCCTAGGGCGAAAAGCGTTATGGTATGAGTGCACACCAATTTTCCAACCCAGTATTGGAAACTCTGAGAGTTCAAGTTGAAAATTTTTTCGTTGACTCAGTACAATTTCCTTCATATACCATTACACGTGACAAGAACCATAGTAAATTGCCAATACGAGGTGCGCGCTCTGACTTCCGGCCGTGAAAAATCTCATTTTTTAAACTTTGGTGCACCCATCGCAAAGTAATTCTTGAATGTGCATATATAATACTGCATATACAAATTTAAAAGTCACAATTGCCTTGCGGTTTTGTCGGTGTATTGTTCACACGTGATAATTAAAGGGTCAAAGCCCTAATCATAGTCATCGTTGACCAAGCAATTCACCATATATTATTTTGCAACCATTGCTAATATCAATACTTATACTTTGTTTTATTAAACCCTTAGAGACAGAATAGCTACTCATATCATCTACTATAAAACTGAATTAAACCATTAAAATAATCAGATGCCATTGATCAATTGCATTTAAATTAATTTATTTCTTTTGAAAGTCTTTAACCAGTAAATTTTTCACTCTTGCTTCTAAATAGAAATCTCATTGGCTGCAACCAACTTGTTAAGGACGCTGACAATGGCTTGCAAAGAAGCTTGGGAAACATCCCCATCAATACCACAACCCCAAGTAGCAGCCTTTTCACCTTCACGGTTCAAATACTTCAATTGAATGTAAGTTGCAGCTTTAACTGATGATCCAGAACCTAAAGAGTGTTCACTATAGTTGGCAACTTCAAACTTGGTGTTGAACTTCTTGGAAATACCGTCAACAAAAGCAGAAATAAGACCATTACCCGAACCAACAATAGGGACATTTTGTCCATTGATGGCCAAACCAGCATCGATTTGCTTATCACCTTTATCATTCTTCTTGGCCAATTCATAGTGATCAAGAGCCTGAATGGGAGCATCTGATGTAGCAATATATTCTTGCTTGAAAAGCTCAGCAATTTCTTCAGTCTTCAATTCTCTACCCAACTTATCAGCTGAATCTTGGACAACACCAGAGAAAGCAACTTGCATCTGTCTGGGCAAATCCAATCCCAAGGTTCTGAGAATAATCCAAGCTGCACCACCTTTACCAGATTGGGAGTTGACTCTAATGACAGCTTCATAACTTCTACCAATATCTTTTGGATCCAATGGTAAATAAGGAATTTTCCATGCAACTTCATTTCTGGCTTCTCTCTTGGTGAAACCCTTCTTGATAGCATCTTGATGAGAACCAGAGAAAGCACAAACAACAAGAGAACCACCGTATGGAGCTCTTGGGTGAATATTGATCTTATTACATCTTTCAGCAATTTCAATGACTGATTCAATGTCTGAGAAATCCAAATTAGGGGAAACACCTTGAGTGTACATGTTCAAGGCAACGGTGACTAAATCAACATTACCAGTTCTTTCACCATTACCGAACAAACAACCTTCGACTCTGTCTGCACCAGCCAAAACACCTAATTCAGCAGCTGCAACACCACAACCTCTGTCATTGTGAGGATGGACAGAGACACAAACCTTTTCTCTTTCGGTGATGTGAGTGCAGAAGTATTCGATTTGATCAGCATAGACGTTTGGAGAAGCAACTTCAACAGTGGCAGGTAAGTTGAAAATAATGGGGTTTTCCACAGTAGGTTCCCATACGTTCTTGACAGCTTCACAGATTTCTACGGCAAACTCAACAGGAGTATCACTGAAACATTCAGGAGAGAATTCTAAACTCCAGATTGTGTCTTGCATAGTTGGGTCATCTTTAGTCAAAGATTTCACCAATTTGGTGGTTTCAATGGCCTTAGCAATAGCTTCATCTTGAGACATATTGAAGACAACATCTCTGAACACGTCGGAAGTAGCCAAATACGTGTGGATAGTGGCTCTCTTTGCACCTTTAACAGATTCAACAGTTCTTCTGACCAAATGATCTCTAGATTGAGTCAAGACTTGAATAGAAACATCCTCTGGAGCGTTTTCAACAGCGTATCTGGTGAAGTCAAAATCAGTTTGGGAAGCAGATGGGAATGATACTTCAATTTCCTTGAAACCAAGATCAATTAACTTGTGAAAGTATTCCTTCTTTTCTGCAACGCTCATTGGATCAGGCAAACTTTGGTTCCCATCTCTCAAATCAGTAGACAACCATCTTGGAGCCTTGGTGATTTCTTTGTTGGGCCAAGTTCTATTGGGTAAATGAACCTTCTTGAAGGCATTATATTTACCCTTGGGGTCTTTCAACATGTTTTTGTATTGGAGCTCCACAGGAGGCATCCGAGATGATGCCTTCTGGAAGAGAACAAACGATCTCTTGAACATAGCGAAGATTTTACTCGGGAAACTAATTACTTCGGAGCTGAAGTTATAATACAGAGAATACTCGTCTGAATATAAACCACTACAATTCAAACCCAAAACACACAACAAATAAATAAAGAATAATCACCATTAAGGTGATGCAATAGTGGTGGTGGTGTGGTGGTGTGCATTAAGCGTTTTTGCGTCTGAAAATTTTTTTTGGTTCACCATATCAGTCCATATGTTTGTTTGATCGGTTGGCTCATTCTTCTGTACATATGTAGAAGGGTTCCGTGAGTGTTACAAAGAGGGGAGAGTGGCGAGGGGAACCGTATGGAATGGTTAAGAATTTGGAGGGTATAGTTCTGTCTCCCAATTAGGTAATGTGCTGGATACTACAATTTGCATTCATTAATTTAGTGCGGCGATGCAAAGGGCCGTACTGTTAAACAATGAGGTGGTCTATCAGTTTCCCTTAAAGCGGAGTCTCATGATCTGTTAAGTTGCAAGGGTAACATAAGTAAAAGACCCCGACCACGTTTTAAATTGTAGGCTGTAGATCGAAGACAATCAAATCTCTACAATGGTTAACTGATGAATGAGTATTAACTCCGCTTTTCTAAAGTCATTAAATATCAATAGAAGCAATATCAGTTCGCCTTGCCTGATTCAACCTACTCGCAAAGTTCTAGTAGTCACACATAGTCTACCATAATATAATTAAGAAGGAAGACTGGTGAATGGAGATGAGATGAGATGAGATTCAATGAGGTAATGTCACGTTATTACATAAGCAAACGATGATTCCTATTTAGGCAACCATTTTGTGGGTCGAAGTGACGATGCGATGCCCTAAATTTTTCAGTGCAGCAATGAGCCTGTTTGATTCCTTTATGCTTCAGTTGTTTTGGTTAGTTAGCACATACTGTCCTTGACACCGTCAAATATACATATAAGGTAAATCACAATGGCTAAGTCAAGTTCCAAGGCTTCTAAGCCTGTTAGCAAGAAGTCTAAGAAGGAAGCTGTTAAGGCACCTGAACCTTCCTCATCTGAGTCTAGCTCATCATCTAGTGAAAGCAGTGACTCTTCATCAGACTCAGACTCAGACTCAGACTCCTCTTCATCTGAAGAAGAAAAGAAGGTGACCAAGAAGGCCGAATCTTCATCCAGTGACTCTTCCTCTGACTCTTCTTCCGACTCTTCTTCCGACTCCGATTCCTCAGAATCAGAATCTGAATCTGAAAAGGAAGAAAAGAAGGAAAAAAAGAAGGAAGAAAAGAAGGCAGATTCATCATCATCATCTAGCTCTGATTCTGATTCTGACTCTGACTCCGATTCTGACTCTGATTCCGATTCTGATTCTGAATCTGAAAAGAAGGAAGAAAAGAAGGCCACTTCTTCCTCATCCTCTTCTTCTTCAACATCATCAGACTCAGACTCAGACTCTTCATCCTCTTCTGACTCTGATTCCGGTTCTGAATCTGACTCTGAATCTTCTGACTCTGAATCTGAAGAAGAGCCAAAGAAGCGTAAGGCTGAGGAAGTTGAAGAAACTCCTGAACCCGCTGCTAAGAAGGCCAAGACTGATGGTCCAAGCGAACCTGGTGCTACTCTTTTCGCTGGTAAGTTGTCTTTCAACATTGATGACGACTGGTTGAAGCGTGAATTTGAACCAATTGGAGGTGTTTTAGGTGCCAGAATCATCTACGACAGAGCCAGTGGGAAATCCAGAGGTTATGGTTACGTTGACTTTGAAACCACCGCTGATGCTGAAAAGGCCCTTGCTGAGTACCAAGGTAAAGAAATTGACGGATGGCCAATCAACTTGGACATGTCCACAAGTAAGCCACGTCCATCTAACAACAATGACAGAGCTAAGAAGTTTGGTGATGTCCCAAGTGCCCCAAGTGACACCTTGTTTATTGGTAACTTGTCTTTCAATGCTCAAAGAGACAACTTGTTTGAAATCTTTGGTCAACACGGTAGCGTTGTCTCTTGTAGAGTTCCAACTCACCCAGACACTAACATGCCAAAGGGTTTCGGTTATGTTCAATTTGCATCTGTTGACGAAGCAAAGGCTGCTTTGGAAGCATTGAACGGTGAATACATTGAAGGTCGTCCATGTAGATTGGACTTTTCTACTCCTAAGCAAACCACTGATGGTGGTTTCAGAGGTGGCAGAGGAGGCTTCGGTGACAGAGGTGGATCAAGAGGTGGCAGAGGTGGTTTCGGTGACAGAGGCGGAAGAGGTGGTAGAGGTGGCTTCAGTGACAGAGGCGGTAGAGGTGGATTCAGCGGTGGTAGAGAAAGATCTTCTACTCCTCAATTCCAAGGTACCAAGAAGACCTTTGATTAATTGAACTAACGCTCTTTATCGTTTTTTCTCCGTTGTGTATAATATGACTTTATTTTTTACCTCTTGCATAGCATGACAACCTGCGTTAACAGATATATGATTTAAACCAACGCTGTAACTTCAATTGTAGAGTACACTTATAGAACTAGCTTGATACACTACTATTCAAGAGGATGTACCTTAATCAGAGTTTCTATGGAGTCAATTGAATGACCTTTCCTGAAGTTGTCGTCGTTAACCTGACTACAATAGTATACGTTTCAACTTACTATTGTTCAAGTGTGGAAAATGATTGTATGTTCGCATGCGTGAATATGTACATAAATTTACGATGTACATATGCATTGAATTAATTGGGATATTTGCTCTCTTTATGTTTGCAACAAGGGTTCAATTTGCGCTAAGATTGTTATATTGTTCATCTATTTTTGCAGCCAACCTATGATCTCGCTTGACTATTGGTAACACCACGAGCTGTGTTTCTACGGAAATAATACCCCACATAGTGTGTAAAAAAACATTCTAGTGTGGATTAACTTACATTAAATTTTCTTGTCTTTATGTGACCGAAAAAATATGTCAAAGAAACGAGATTGGTACTCACGTTACATGTATGCACACCAAAATTGATCACAAAGTACGCTGTAATTGGATGATTGCATACTTTTATAGTAACCCGAATAAATATCAATATCCGACATCAAAAATGTTGAGAAGAATGTGTTGGTTTTAAATTTTTATAGTCCTGTATCATCTTCGTAAAATCGATATAGACAAAAATGTATCCATCTAAATTACGTACATTCCGTTATTAGGCATGCTATAAGTATGCGAAATTATACGTAGTAGGTTGCAGAGTGGACTCAATCCCAAATGAATTAGTTATTAGTATAAGCTTTCTGTAGTAGCCGATAAATTTTGCGTTGGACAGAGTCCAATTACATTGCAATTTTGATGCCTCACAGTCATATTTTAGTAAGAGTTATTATACTTGAGTAACTGCAGGACCAATAATCGGGGCTTTAAATTTGTACGGGGAGAAATCGAAAATGAAGTGGTTGACAAAGGAATTGGCAATATCAGGCTTAGATAAAGATATGCGATACTTACAATACGCTTTTCCATAAACGGATCTCTCGGAATATAACAATCAATAACAAAAATCAGACATGAATGGGGTCGAATGCGTCGTGACAGGAAGTGTCTTCAGATAATGGTTGACGTAATGGTTGACGTAAAACAGCACACTGGGGAAGAAGGATGTATTTATATCCTTAATTTTTTTGTTTCCATGGGTGCAACCTTTTAAGCAGGGGATGAGAGGGTGTACAGCGATTAATTGCATAATATTTGACCTTAGCAAGCCTCTACACAACCACTGCAGACACCGTGCTATCGAAGATCCAACAAGGTGAACCATTGTCGTATACTTGATTGAACTAAAGGGAAAAGAGCAACCGTATTTTACAAACACCAAATACAAATGTATAAGTAGGGCGCTTTAAAGTAAAAAACCAAAAAAAAGGGCTAAAGTACAATAGGAATAAATACATGACAAAAATAAAATGTGGCACGAAAATGGGAGCAAATCTCCAACGGCAGTCAAAGTCATGTCATGTAATGCAAAGCGATTCGCAGTTTGCGACCAAGTGGTTTGTGAATTGTCTAAGGTCAAAAAATTTAATGTCTGACGGAGAGTGGGGGATGAGTACAATGTGGTGGTGGAGGTGGTGTTTATGAAAATAAAAGAGACGTTATATAAAATTATTATATTACAGTTTTGTATTCTTCCTGTGAATGGAGTCGGATAGAGAGAGCGGGCGGTGCAAGATCTATTTTGCTCATGACCTACTAAAATGGTCTAGATTCAGGTTAAACAGATACAGACCCATCTGTACGACATGCAGAAGTATACTAAATATACGGGGACCAGTAAGTAAGTACGTACGTAAGTAAGTAAGTAAAGGTCCGATAGGAAGACCAGATAGGAAGACCTACACATCGATTGATTGGTATACATGTACGCCACATATTGCATATACCCAAGGCTCTGTAAAAAAAAATGGAGCACAGACAAAATACGCAAGAAATTGTCAGCGTGTACGTAATCAAATCGAACAAACTTACGGGGACTTCAGACAACGGACTCCAGACAACGCCTAAAAACTCATATCTTCAATCACCAAAAAGGGTGGTAAACATTAGTATTCATTTTATATCATCGAGCTCATTAATTCTACTAGTAAACAACAGCAGTTAATACTGAGAAGTATCTTCCAAAGTATCAGACAACGTCTACTTATTGGTTGATTTTTCAAATTATCGTCATACTCCTCCGGATAAAAAGCAGTCTTTTGTTGTCGAACCAAGTTGACAAAAGAGAGACATTAGTTGACACTACACCTAGTGACCCTGGGTATCGAAGTCGTTTGACGCAGATATACGATCTAAATAGTCAGCCACAGATATACGACATACTCTATCAGTCAGACATCCACACTTAGTGAGTGAGTCAACCAGTCAATCAGTTAGACAGTCGATCAGCCAGTCCCACACATTCTTTATACCCTCCCCCCCCCACTCCATGCTACATTCCATATGAGACGTGCTGTGGCGAAGTTCATTCCGAATAAACTCGGAACCATAGCCAATGATCAAGACGCAAGACCCCCAACAACCAGTTATAACCAAGCCTCGTCGACCTCGTCGTCATCTTTAGGATCACTACCGCAAGATTTATTCAACTTCAAATTAGACCACAGTTCGGTCGACGATTTTTACATCCAATTAGATAATCCGCATAGGTCTTATTTCCCCGGCGACGAAGTCTACGGATCAATTATCCTAACCACCAAGAAGAATCTTGCTAACATTGTTATCATCTTGTCACTTATAGGACTAGTTAAAGTCAGTGCTACGTCGTCATCCAAACTAAGACCAGTAAAACATCTTTTATTTGATCATTCCATCACCATTTATGGAGGACTCCCCCCCACGGACCGACAGCAACAACAAGACTTCTCCAATGGGTTAAGTAAAGGAGAACATCGATTCCCCTTCATAGTCAAACTACCAAAGAAAAAGGTGTATACAAGTATAGACTTTGGCCGGGGGGCTATTCAATACTCCTTGAAGGCAACTCTAGCCAGCAACTCGTTAATTACCGCACCCCTCAATAATCATTCCTCATCCACAATAGATCAGTCACAATCCTCGGATATAACCACCAAGAAACCGTTTAAACTATTACACAACTCCCCCTACACTTCAGAGAAACTCATCAAGCTAGTTAATCCAATAGATGTGTCGAAGTTGCCTCCGGTGAAACCCAAACGATTACTAATCAAGAACTCCAAAGATCAACAGATCCTCCAGCCGATTTCGGCAGCCCAATCACCAGCAACCCCTAACACCACAAGCAATGGCACCATGAATGGAACGCAGTCAGGCAGTCTAAATAATTTTACTTGTCCAAAGGGCTCCGGTCAAGCGGCAGGAACAGGCATTGGAACTGGCTCAAGCAATGGCACAAGTTCCAGTCCAGCTTCTTTGTTCCCTTCTAATGGCCTGGCACAGAACAATAATAACGCATTAACTCCAACCACAGACGATAACTCGCCCCAAAGCATACCATCACCTGATAACTCTAGGAAGTTATCGAGGACCCAGTCAGCTGCCTCGACCGTCAATACTTTTGCAACTGCGTCGTCCAATAACTCTGAAGCGTATTCGTTGACAAACATCAATTCCAGCTCGACCGTGACTCCCTCGACACAACAAGGTCCCTCTATCAAGGTCTCGTTAGACATTTCGTCCCGGGGCTACTTGAGAGGAGAGTCAATTCCTATCAAGATCAACGTCCACCATATGAGGAAGATCCGGGACTCGAACGGGATTATCTTGACGTTCGTACGGATCTGTCGAATAGAGAATGGTTCGGATGGCTACTACGAGTCGTTTAGGAAAGACTTGCAACAAGTTGTACTTCCTTTAATTGTTGATCCGACTACATTGACGGCAGAAATTAGAACTAACGTCAGAGTCCCAGCAGATGCATTCCCCACCATTAGTGGGTGTCCTTTGGTCTCGTTCCAGTACTTTATCGAAGCTTTGATCAACTTACTGGGTAAATCTGTTGGGTTAGAAGACAATGCTGCTGCTACAAACAACTTAGGTGCTGCCGTAGCCCACCAACAGGAACAAGGCGGTGGAGTACTGTCGAATTATAACTTCAATTTCCGAAGCGACTTCATCAATACTGACAAATATAAACGGATGAAGAAGTTTCTTCAACTAACTACGGAAGTGGTTATTGGAACTTTCAGATCAGAAAGTCCTTCATTACCTTCGGCAACTCACACACCCCTCCAAACGGTTTTAGAACCTCCCTCTTCAAATCCAGAAAGTCTTTCTTCTCCTCTAGACGACGGAATGATAATTGCAGGATCTTCTGTTACCGGAGGATCATCACCAGCTCAAATGGAACAAGCTCCAACATCACCATTCCCGCAAGTTCCACTGTTCTCCAATATTTCTGTTCCAACTCCTCCTCCATCTCATTTTCCAGGTCCGTCATCGTCTACAATGGCAGGTACAGGTTTATTTGACTTTGAACATAGTTACGATGTCGTGCCCTCATATTCAGAAACAAACCAAAACCATTCCACGTTGCTTATATCGCCTCCAGAGCAGAACTTACCAGAAAAGGAGTTGTTACGAATACAAGAGGCCAGTTTATTCCCATCTGCTCCTCCTGGATTGGATATTCCGATTCAGGCAGAGGATACCGATGATATCACTGATGGGCATCAAATTCCAAATGAAATTTCATCGACTGATTTGAATACGTTGGTTTCTAACGGTGCAGCCATCGGAACAACTTCATTGGAAGAAGAGTTGACAGGTGCTGAGAATCAATATAATTTTTTTGCTCCTCGTTCCTCTAACGACGGTTAATGGTATAAAGGATATTATTCGCATTATTACTATTATACTTTGGGTAATATATATGGGTAAGAGTTTATGGTGATAATACATAACAGAAATCGTAAATAACGGAAAAATTACGCAGACAAAAGTAAACGCATAGAAACGCACAGACATACGCACAGATAAACGCACACATCAATGCTGACACATTAACTAATTATATTATTCATGATTTCCAGCAAGATAAAGTTGTTTCTGTAACTGAGTAACATTATCTTTCAACTGATCTCTTTCTTGTTTCAAAATGTATAAATCGGCCTCCAAATCCTTGATCTTCATGGTGTAATGAGCAGTGGCAATTCTTTCATGTTCATCGGCATCTTCATCATCTTCGTCAATGGTCAGAATACCCTTTTCTTGGGGAACATCAGCAAACCCACCTCTGGAACTAACTCTCTTACTTGCCTTCTTAAAAAGTTTCAATTCGTTATTCTCCCTGGTTAATTTATCAAGAAGAGCCCTTTGAGAATTGGATTCTTCCTGGTTCATCTTTAAGGCCTTACTTGTATTGTTAACTGATTGAATGGCCTCTCTATAGTTTTCTTCGATTTGCTTGAGTGAATCTTGTTTGGTGTACAACTCTTGTTTGAGCGTATTGATTTCACTTTGATATTTCTCTTCATTGTTCTTACTAACTCTCAATAAATCATCAATTTGCGTTTGCAATTTGGTCACAACTTCACCTTTGGATATGGCAACAGAATCAACAGTTTTATCCACAGATGTTCCATCTGTTCCACTGGCAACAGACCAAAGATTCACCAAAGATTCCAATTGCAAAGAGATATCCTTCTTGGTACGCTTGCTAACTGTAGACATCAAAGATCTATTGGTGACATCATTATCGCTTCCCAAATCGTTATTATTGGCATCGGTTATGAAATCATCATCGACTTCGATTTCACGTTCTTCGTGAATGGCCTTGAAATTGTTGAATTCCAATTGTAAATCTTCATATTTACTCTTCCATTCATTAACTGATTTGTGTAAGGATTCTTGATCCTTTACGGTTTCAGTCAAAGATGCAATCTTCTCCTCTTGGTTCTTGATAATCTTTTGAAACGTAGATAACTCAGCAATTTGATGCTTCATAAAGGGTTCAAACTTAACCATTTTGTCATTCAATGTCTTATTTTCATGTTCCAAATACACCAATTTATTATTCAACTCCAAATTGGAAAGCTTAAATTTGGTCAACTCACTGACCTTTGGTTTCAAGGAAACGTCATTGATATTTCTATTGGAAGGTTCGTCATAATCATTAACAACCAATGATTTGGGATCAACAGTTTCTTTCAAATCTTTGATGATCGAATCTCTTTGCTTCAATTCACTCTGGTGAGCCTGTGCCGACTGCTTCAACTCATCCCGTTCCTTTTCCAAACCAACAATCTTCTCTGTGGCTTCTTGCATTTGAACCTTTGTAGAGTGCTTTAATTGAGTCAATTCCGATGTCAACTCAGCTATCAACTTCTTAACAGCATTAGCCTCGACTCCAGACATTTTGGGTGTACTCATTGGATCATTATAATCCGCTTGTCTGATGGACCTGGACCCTTCGATAGGCACAGGTCCAGGCCCACTAGAAATGATGGGACTGTTATTAGCAGGGGGAGCAGTATGAGATGAATTTTTTTCGACTTCAGCTGGCTTGTTCACATGACTAGGGTAGTCATTTTCCATTTCGTCTTCCGTTTCAGTCTCTGTGTCGGAAGAAGCACGGTAAGCATTCTTGGTTGGTGATAACTTTGTCTTATTCCCTTCTCTATGTGCTTCTTCGACAACATTTGGCACTTCATTTACAGAGTCATGTCTAAGTGTGACATCTGCATCTGCTACAGAAGTGGCTTCAGAAGAATTAAGTACAACATCAACGAAATCTTGAGGTGGTGGTTGGGCAAAGTTGTCCTTCTGGTTGTCATATGGATCGATATCCCGAGTCTTAGAGTCCACCAATCTGGAATCTAGATAGCCTGATTCCACCAGTTGAGGTGGAGGAGGAGATACCTGTGGATGTATTTGGGAAATATCAGGTTGTTGTGGGGTCATCATATGTGTTGCTGCATGTTGAGGTATAGGAGATGCGTTAGGAGTTCTGAAGTCTTCGGAAGCATTTCTTCCATGTGACAGCTGAGACTCATTGGAGTTACCGTACACAGCAGAAGAGGCTGCAGCAGCAGAAGCAGCCATTTTCTTAGTAGTATAAGGTGGAGGGCCTGGTACCAAAGTTGAATGGATTTCATTTCTTGACTTTGTAGGCATAGGATTAGACAGTAAAAACCGATCCAAATTATCAAGATTCAATTCATAAATCATAGTACCAACTGGTTCATCATCAGCTTCTTCATAAGCTTGGAAATCATTTGGATCTTCAGAGACATAATCATTCTTTTCACCTCCCATGATTAAAATTCGATTGTACTTGGAAATGTATGTCATTGAATGACCACATCTTGGACCAGGACCATTCTTTTCACCCTCCAAGGTAAGTTTGGACCACACAAATGTGTGCAAGTCTAAAACATATAAGGAATCATAAATGACACCTGAGAAATCGTTCCCCCCAAAGATAAACAATTTCTCTCCACAAATACAAGCTGAATGTTCATTCACAGGAAGTGGAACGTTACCCGTGGTTGGAACTTGGGTCCATTTTTCAACTAAGACATCAAAACACCATAGATCATTGGAAACTCTCTCATTATTGTAAACACCACCAAACACATAGATCTTATTCTTGTAAACCGACAAGGAATGGTTAGTCAAAGGAGGAGGTTTAAAATTGTTCAAAGGGTTAACCAACTTCCATGTAGCATCCTGAGACTTGAAATAGTTCAATTCAAAGTAGTACATATCGTCGAAAACATTATTCTCCAATTGACCTCCAAACAAGTAGAGTCTGGGGCTTGAATTGTTCAATGAACTTGTCCCCAAAGCATGGCCATATCTACCACAAGGCTTGTTCAAAATATGAGCAGGAATTGTATACTTGTTGTTGTTGATGTTAAATAAGTAAAAGTTGTTATCTGGAAACCCCTTCTCATCAGTGTCTACGGTATCACCACCAAATACAATGAAAGCATTACCACATAACACCACTGAATGGCCAACTCTCGCAGGAGGATTGTTTTTATTGCTGACTTCAGTGTTCTTAGCAACATATCCTAGAACTCTATGTTGGGCCGGGTCTTCTTGGGGGACGATTTTCCAGGTATCACCAAACACTTCACCTTTCTTCAACCCACCCATAACAAATACTTCACCCTTTTCACTGGCAATAGAAGAGGCTGCGTGTCTGTATCTTGGGAACGGGGAGTTGAAGAGCTTGTACCTTTCCCAGCAAGAATTAGGGTTTGGAGGCTGTGCTTGATAAGCTTGTTGAATACCAAAAGGTTCAGGCAGTTGTTGTTGCAATTGTTGTTCGGGTGGTGGTGGTGGTGGGAGTGGTGCACCGCCACCTTTTCCAGAGGCATTCCCCATACCGCTACCATTACTGTTACCATTTGGTTGTTCATTGTGATAGCCTGGAGCTTTTGACACGCCATTATCAAACGACTGTCTTGAGCTAAAATTGTTATTATTACTTCCGTGGGGTAGATTTTCAAGAGACCGACCGGCGTGGGTCCCTGGAGGAGGAAACCCTCCGTTTGAAGCTGTTCTATTCATTGGAGCTTCTGGGGGTTTCTGTCTTTCGAGACCCGGAGAATTAAACGATTTGGGCGAAGCAAAACTTTGTTGTTGAAGTTGAGGAGTGATTGCAACGTTTCTTCCAGCTTGTTGAACGGTTTGAAGAGGCAATTGATCTTGTTGTGAATGTTTTCCAATTGAAGGTAAATAATGTTGATAATGTTGTTGTTGTTGATGATGATGATCTTCAATCAGATGTTGGTCCATTGACGAGAGATCAGAGGATTCGTCTGTATGGCTCTTCTTTTTCTTTCCAAACTTGAAACGTGCCATTATAAGTATGGCAGTAGTAAATATATGGGGAAAGAACTACTCCACTCTTGACAGTTGATAGTTGACACTTACTGTTGACAATTACTATTGACAGATGTTATTGATGGTTACTGCTTCTTGTAATAAGATGGACGAAATAAATTGAAGTGAAAATCTTTGACTGTCGCATGCAACTTGAACCGTTGATGATATTCAATGGTGCAAGTACTAAACATAGTTGGAAGGGACACGAAGCAAATCAAAGTTGCCCAATGGGGAAATTTCGACTGAGGTTATTACTATTGTACGTCTGCCATACAGTCCTCTTTTTCCTGGTGGGGAAGGACCAGTAACTGGGTGTGACAGTTGTTCTTTGGACGCTCTACGTTGTACTTTCTTACGCATTACTCTGTTAATGTGCGCGGTACCAGCAGTATTGGTGGTATTAGTGCGACGTAGTAAGGTCGATGTAGTTAAGGCGACGTATGATGCTGGTTGTTTATTGGTTTTCCTGTCTTGTGGTGATGCACGATCTGCTAACTGGTGGCTATAACTACTAGTGTGATGTCTTGTTCGTCTTGTTCGTCTTGTTCGTCTTGTTCGCCTCTAGTTTTTTTTGTGTGTGTCGTCGCCGTATATAGTCAGCATCGTGTATCGTCGCAATGTTCGATTCGTTTATTGTGATCGAACTACCACGACTGGAAATATGTCTACGCTTGAGTTTATACCACTTTTACACGTGACAACTGGTGGTAGTTTCTAGATCTAGGCATACGGACCGTGGGAGTGATGCCCGCAGTCCAATTAGGCAAGTCAAGGTTATTAGTTGTGTCCTTTATTGGTGTATATTAGACCCTGTTTATGTCCTTAATTGGTAGTAAACAGATATACAAAGATTTACCTCAATTTGTTATTCCGACAGATTACATACACGTACTCTATTACATTATGCTGTTTTCGTACAGACTTATGTATACAGTGATTCTATTTAAGGTTCGTACTAGGTCGTGTATTTACATAATATAGTAGTAGATAGTTCGTTACCAGTAGCCAGGAAATGTTCAAAACTAATGTAACAAATTATTAGTTTTATTAGTTTTATTAGTTCGTTTCAAGATATAATTCATCGTAATAAAAACTAACAGGGTCTCATAATAGATGTAGCAAGTGCTTAAAATCAATTGCTGAAAAAAGTACTCAAATTTGCGCACTATAAATATATTCCGTACTAAAGAACCTTTCTACGCATAAGTTGCATTTGTTAACCACAAAGTTAACTCTAAAAGTAATTGTCTAATGGATTTGCGAGCTGAAATTAAACGGAAGCGTTATGTTGATGGTCCTGGGAACCCATTTAATCTTGGAGAAGATGAAATGATTCTTGAGTGTGAATATGGTTCCTTGGATCACTGCCGTAGTTACAAGGATTACAAATTAACTAGGAGCCAGAGAAACATGGAAGTTGAGAATAGTGAAGTTGATGCTGATTGTGATACCAATCAAACGATAATTGGTAAAAGTGTGCATAGTAATAATGTAGGTAATACCAATGATATTGGTGTTTCTCTTGAAATGAAGGTGATCCTTTAAAAATAACCCCAAAGATAAGCAAGCTCTGATATAGAGCTAGACTATGATGTACAGTTATCTTCTGATGTAGAGGTGAATCTAATACACAATCGGAAATCAACAGTAGAGGACCATTTAGACACTATCCCGAAAGCCTCCAGAAACATTTTTGGCAACTTGTTCTTGAAGAAAGGTGTTCTGTCTATAAAGAGGCTGGTATTTGTGATATTCCTTTACAGTCAGCCTACACTTGGAAAAGAAAATGGTGTAAAAAGGTTGTAAAGGAGGTTGGTATCTACGAAGAACCTAAGAAATCTGTACGTAAATCTACTTTCAGATGAACATAAAGAATTCTTACTAAGCATAGTGAAAGATGATTCAACACTCACTTTGCAATGTATGTAGGAAAGACTACAGGAAAGTTTGAAGATGTCAATGTAAACCTAACACCTTGCATACCTATGTATCAAAAAGGGGTGAGCTTAGTCTTAAACAAATCTCAAAATAGCCAATAGGAGATCTGGAAGAACTCAAGCAGGAAAGAATTGGATGGGCGACTGGAAGGAAAGCTTGACTTAAGTAAAAACTGTATTTCTATAGATGACGCTTGATTTAACTTTGGAATGAGAAGAGAATATGGTTGGTCATTAGTGGGAGAAAAATCAATTGTCAAGGTACCAGTGGTAAAAGGAGTAAATGCTTCATTCATAGGTGCTATTTCTTATAAAGGATGTGTTGATTTAAAGTCCAGGACTCCGAAACCCGCTCCTCAAATGAAGAGAAAACTTGATCCAAGTATCGAACCTACAAAATCTACCCCTAGAGGAACTTCAGCCAATGATTTCTATTTATTCTTGGAGTCAATGATTCAACAAGTTACTGAGAATACAGAACTCTAATATTTGAAGTCTATAATTATTGATAATGCTGCAATCATAAGAAACGTAATATTCAATTATTAGTAGCTCTGAGAGCTTTAGAACTTGTCTTGCCCCCATATCTCCTAATCAAAACGTAATTGAAGAGTTTTTGTCAGCCTGCAAAGCAAAAGTCAAGAGAACACACTTAAGTAGAAAGGAGGAGCTTACAGAAAGAGTAAAGAAACCTACTACAAATAACCACAGTAAAATATGGAAGGTTTTGTAGGCACGCGGGGAACCATATTAATCTCTGTTCCAACAATGTGTCTTTTTATCCTTATATCGTAGTTTGAGAAGCAAGTGTAAGTATAAAACTTAGGAATTTTATTTAATTAAAAAAGAAGTATTTAGGATAAAGAAATACTATACTATGTAAGAAAAAAATGAACATTAAATAGAACCACTGTATATACATAGGTAACTTTTCGAACCAAAAACCCACTCCAGTGACAAAAACCTAAAAAAAGCGTATATAGAGAGCAAAGGTCATATGTCCAATCCAGCGGTGATTCAAAAAGTAAGGGCCCAAAGGCAGAAAACCATATGCAATCATTGACAAAAATGCTGGAACTCCAGGTGAAACCACAGTAACTACCTCCTTTAGCATATTTAAAAGCAAACCGAATAATAGGAGAAGCAAAACTGTCGTAATAAGTGCTGGTTTTGCGACTATCATGGGATTTGAAAGTACGTTTGGATTTACCCTATTGATAGTTTCATTGCGAGGACCCTCTCTATACGGACGTCTTCCTTATTGAGAGTGTCCGTTATAGGAATTTCTGTAAAGTTGACATTCTCATCAAGGCATCATATTGTATTCTATATCTCTAACATCCACTGGGGGGTTTAAATACTAAATGGAAAAATCTTCGAATAAAGAATTATATATCGATATATATATATACCTTCGAACTTTAAATAAAGTCCGGCAGTAAAATTATACAACCAGAAGAGCATGTATCTTCTCGATTAGTCAACTACACAGGTATTGTATAAAGGTCACAACATCTACTAGATAGGGATACTGGTACGTACAACGTTAGCAAGATATTTGGATGAATGATGGTCCACTGTTACTGTCTTTTCTAATATTATTATTCAGGTTGGTTATGTGTAATGAACTGAAGTAACTAAAGTTTAGTGATCCAACCCTACTTCCCTGCACAACATTTGCCCATAAAGAACTAAGCCACGACCTGTTTTACGAAAGTCGTGTATAGTTGACACATAGGATCGGAGGTACCTCCTTACAAGATACGCCATATATAAGTGTATACAAAATCCAAAAAAGTCCACACAAAGAACAAACAGCAAAGGAGCACTGACAAAATCAGCTTTAATTCAGTATATTACGGGTCAACAGATAGAAAACCATATCCAACCATCGGAAAGAACCCTGGAGCCGCAGGTGAAGTCATAACAGCAACCTCCTTTGGCAAATATGGCTGCAAATTATAAAATAGTATAATAAAGCACGGTGCTAAAAGTGCCACACCGGCGTAAAAATTAGAAGCTTCATTCGGATAATCTTCTATAAGGATGTCTTCGTCATTAAGAGTTTCAGTTAGAGGATTTTCTACAACGTTGTCTTCGTCACAGGGGTTGACGTATAACTGTTCATCGAAGTATTTTCCATCGTATTGTACTTTAATACTATAGTGCCAGCTGGGTTTAGTTACTAAATGGAAGAATGCTCGAATAAAGAATTATTATATCAACATCTATATATATGTACTTTCGTGGTTCAATTGTCAACAGAAGAAACAAGAAACAGATCCCAATAACGTTAGCATACGCAGAAAAAATATTGTGAAAAACATAAATATCTTCAGATCAGATAAGTATACCGGCGGTGACTTAAAGTCTTGGAATTCAAAATGCTACAAAGTATAGCACGTTCCTAAGCGCTCCTGGTAGGGAGACATTATATTAAAGTTACAACAATTTCTAGGATTAACTTTACCATAATAGAATCAAGGAGAAGGTCGAAGTGGAAGTTACTGAGATGGCAGTGAATTGGTAATCTTAATCTTAACAAACAAATCAATAATATACTCTTTCGACATTCATCTTCTTTGTTTTGAAAACAGAGTCATTGAGCAAGTTCTTATCTCCTATACGGGCATTACTGTCACTGCTGTGATGTGAGTGTGCCATTACTTCTTATCAAGAGTGTCCTTCTGTCTTTCCCATCATGCATTCACTGGTCTCCTACGGTTGATCAGACATACCATAAGTCTTTTTTGTTGATTTGAAAATGAAGGTAGGTCATTCAACTAAATCATTACTATATAAAGTAGGTTGAAGTCTTCTGTAAGTAGCTCAATATTTAATTGGGGTCACGGAGTATAAATTGTCCCTGGAAATGGTTGTATACTTGAAATTTTACTATGAATTTGATTATGGCCATAAAGGTTAATGCCAATTCTGCTCTGTCATTTCTTTCCCATGTTTATATCGGTTTCAGTCGAGATGATTTAGTTGTACTCCACACTATTGGACCCAAAAAAAATACATCGAGTTTATGCAACCTCATCCTACTCTTTAATCTCCTCCACAGCAACGGTTCGATCGGTGATACGAAATGTATCATCTTCTACCGAATATATGACTCCTTCATAATTAGATGCCATGAAGGTGCTGACTCCTGGCAAACCACCATTTGTGCTACAGACATCCATAGGTAACCCTGGGAATGAATAGTGATGTTCTCGACATAATGTAGGATACCAGTTTCGTAACGAGTTAGTTCAACATCAGTGTACTAATTTTGAATCCTTTAAGGTATATATCGAGCCTTAAATTTTCTTGAAATATATACTTAAACTTTTGGCATCAATGACATGGTTTTTCCAAGAAACTAATGTTAACTAAATAAAAGAATAGAACGGAAATAAATGAAATGCAGACGGCCCATATTCAGTGTTGAGCCATAAACTTCCAAAGACTACACTTAAACACTACACTTATTTTGATAACCATAGCAGAAACCTCTGCAGTTATTAAACCCAAATATAACTATAAAAGAGTGCTTACAGATGCAGCACTTTTTGACCTTAGACCAACCAACTTACGATAACGGTAACTATAATAAAAGTATGTTTAGAGCCTTATTATTGTCTTAATCCGCCCAATCCACAGCAGTTTTTTAAGATTATCATTAGGCAAACATGCTTGTGGAGAAATAGCAATAGGAGGTAAATCTACCTTCAATCTTAAATTCATAGGGAACCGCAAATTTATGGACTCTAACAGGATATTAACATCATTATAGCGGTACAACTTACCCATATGCAAAAGTTGAAGTTGATTTAAGGCATAGGGAAGATTCTTAACAAATTTCAAGTAACACAACACATGAGTAATGGTCAACGGATAACCAGGATATCCTAACTCAAGAGCCCATTTAGAAACATCTTCAAGGGGTATCAGTATTGATGTTTCATTGTATAAGATTCTTATCATATCTATAGATTCGATTCCAGCTGCTTCACTTTCTGTCCTTGATGATGAACGTGAAGATCGTGTTTCTGTGGCCATCAAGGAAGATGGAGCAGAGGTTGCGACGGTGTTTATACTTTCACGGTCATTCTGATCAAATCTCTGAGGATTTTCCACTAACCAATTAGTTCTGGTTTGCAAGAGCTGTTCAACATCTGTTGGTTCAAACGGTGAATCTGTGAAACTTGTCATGGTAGTATTTGAGTCGCATGGTGAAATAAGAGTCTGAAAATCAACCGACATATTTAAAGGTGGTTTTTTTGCATATGCTGTTATGAAGCTGAATTATCATGAACTCACGCCAATTAACGTTTATTTTATATCAATTATTTTTTTTTCTGATTTGGACCTGGGCAAAATCGACCCCACCACCCCACGTCGGAAATACAATAGGGGGAACGATGACCCCGCCATGTAGTTGTATGCCGGAAGAAACCCCTATGGTTCGGGAAAATTCATATGGTGGCATAATTATGGTAGGAGTAAGCTATAGGAGAGGATACATTCAGGTGAGAAGATAGGAGTAGAAATGGATAAGAGTAAAAGGCTACAAACTGTAGCAGCATAGTGCTTTTACAAGTAATTTTCTGTGTTCTATATTTTAAGTGTTTTCAAATATAGAATAGTATTTGTACTGTTAGGTGCTCTGAAAATTTCATACTATGCGGATATTGCTTTCCTACAGCAACATACAAATTAATACTATAATTATTGTTTTTATTTTTTATTATTATTACTACTATTGTTACTTTTATTTTTATTATTGTTATTTTTATTATTAACCATTAAGGTTAACGGCTACAGTTCCATTACTGTCAGCATACCCTGTACTATGGTGTCATCGTTACACACAACCGTGTGTGTCACGAGATTCTCCGTTTCTGTGTATATTTCGTGATATCCAATGGTAGCGCGGTTCCGGGGCCGGTCCCCTATGTGAGTCATGGGAGTCAAAGCGCAACACTACTTCTTTTAGACAAACAGCAAGACTTTTGAGTAATATGGGGTTGTACAAATACGAGGAGTTGCAATCACTCCCATTCAGTTCAGGAGACTTTTCTCAAACTCCAAGAATCACTACTCCATTGCACTTTTCATTGGAGAAACTGCCTGAAACAAACGTGACCTTATTTCCCGTCCATGATTCATCTGTAGTTCCCAAGGCATTGAAACAAGTCATATGTGATGAATTCAATCATATTATCGACGAGGGGAAGACTTATCCATACGTTGAAGTGATGGAAGTCGATGAGTTTGTTGACTTTTGGTTCAAACACTTTGTGGCTATTCTAATTGAAACAAGATCAGAAATCGAATCACAATATGAATTTTTGGACCAGTTGGGAAACCAAAATGATATAGATTTCTGGAGAGATCGGTTCCTTGGTAACTTTTACGTGAAACCAAACTATATTGGACGTTCTTCTCATATTTGCAATGCTGGATTTGTAGTTAACCACCAAAAACGAGGCCTAGGACTTGGAAAGGAATTAGGTAAGAAATATCTTGTATGGGGACCTCAATTAGGTTATCTGTATTCTGTTTTCAATTTAGTATATGAAACCAACATTGCTAGTGTTAAAATCTGGGATTCTCTTGGATTCGATAGAATCGGTTATGTAAAGGGTTCAGGCATACTTAAAGGGGAGGATAAACCTGTTGGAGCCATAGTCTTTGGCAAAGACTTTTGATTGACTAACGTACTTATATACATAGCATTTTAATGAATGGCATGTCACTGTTCTCTATAATGAACATTTGATTCGTACGTGATGAATGGGCAACTTGTACAAGTTTCTGATTAAGTACTCTATATTCCAAGCCTATACTGTTTTTAACCAAGAGCTGGAGTTCACATATCACTATCACCAGATGTTTAAGTTTAGATACCTCGGCTAAAAGGTCTTCAACAGTTGATACTCTGGTATAATTTATTCTGGCCAAATTGATGGTGTCATCAGAGTCGAAAATATCAAGCAATTGATGAGGCAGTGTTCCATTGAGCACTTGTATTTGAACATGCGGCTCAATACGACCTAAAACATTATATAGACCTTCTTCCAATGACAGTTGAATGTATTCAATCATAGTATTAATGTACAACCGACTGACAGTCGGTTGACCGACCGTCGCGTACTTCAACGCACTTTATTTGATCGCGCTAAGTTAAGTCGACCTGTAAACTCGACCCAGGTACATCATCAACTTTACGTGGTCGACCTAACTACTTTATACAGCGACCCATATGAACTCGTCTTTCTTTGAGCCAATCGACCAGAATGCTTCGGCCCTCGATAACGGATCAATCAACTCGGGTAGCGATGAAATCGTTGGTGCTAGTGAGATCGAGAGCCCGCCAGATTTTGAACCTCAAGCTACTGATGAGTCTTTAGAAACAGCAAATGCAGAAGGTACTACGGGATCGGCACATATGCTGCTGTTATTTAAGGCTCAGCGGAATTTATATGAACAAGGCCTACAAGAATTAGATTCCCTACAATTGGTTGATCTCTCACCCTTAGCTAATTGGAAACTCTCCCTGTTTAAACCGGGGTACGGCGTGGCACAACTTCGAGATGATTCTCCTGATTCGTATTGGCAATCTGATGGACTGGGGAACCAAAGCAATAATGCCAATAACAACAATAACAACAATAACAACAATAATAATAATGGGGACAGCAATAGTAATGAATTGGCTAATCCCCATTCAATAACCATTCAGTTTCTGAAAAAGGTTAGCTTGGAACGTATCTCCATCTTTGCCAACTATTCCCTTGATGAAAGTTATACGCCTTTCAAGATCCAAGTGATGGCTGGCTCTTCCGAGACTTTTGATTTAACAGAGGTTTGCGTGGTCAACTTTACTAACCCCAATGGTTGGTCTCATATAATATTTAATGGTATACGATCCGATGGAGTTCTCAAGTGTTTTGTGGTTAAAGTGAATATTCTAAGTAATCACCAAGACGGTAAAGATTCGCATGTTAGAGCCATAAGATGTTTTGGTAAGAAACAAAGTCTTGTATCAGACTCTGGGACTAGTACCACTAGTGGTAGCGGTAGTACTAGTACTGCTACGCATACACAGTTATCACCAATGTTAACTGATCCCAGTATATCTCATAAACTGGAGATTGAAATCGAATCAGAAGAGCGAATACTTGATACTACTTTGGAGCAAGAGTTCTCCAAAACAGTGGAGAATGTCCTGGATGTTATAGGATTCAATTCAGGGTTTCAAAGCTTATCGTTTAAAAGTATTTCGTCTATTCGATAAAAATATAATAAATCTATGGGTTGATCTTCAATGAGTAATCAACAATGCCAGTACCTTGGTGAATTGAAGAGGTGGAGTATATGTCGATATCGTTGCAAAGATAACTACTCAAGTTATTCAAGGTCAACCCACCAGAACATTCCAATAAAAATGACTTGGTGGGGTTAGCGGCCTTCAATCTTCTAGCCACTTGTCTCAATTCTTCTCCTTGGAAATTGTCCAACATTATGACATCAGTACCAGCATCAATGGCTTCTTGGGCATCTTCTTCAGTGGCTACTTCGACTTCAATTTTCACAGCAAACCCACATACCTTCCTAGCCGCTTTAACAGCCTTGGTAATACTTCCTGTACTAGTGATATGGTTATCCTTCAACATAACCATAGAACTTAAATCATATCTGTGAGTATCTACACCTCCAACTAACATGGAGTACTTTTCCAAAAGACGTAACCCTGGGGTAGTCTTTCTGGTACCAGCAATAAGACCTGTGTATCCACTTTCATCCGCCAACTTCTTGGTAATGTGACTTTGAGTGGCTATCCCGGAACTTCTGGCTAACATATTCAATGCGGTTCTTTCGGCCAATAAGATCTTGTTTGCTGGTCCCTTAACAGTAGCCACAACAATCTTACCAGACTCTGGCAATTTGTCAATGTATTGACCTTCTTCATAGTGCCATTCGGCTTCCAATTCACATTGTTTGAACACTTCTTGAGCAAAAGGAATCCCACTAATGACACCAATTTGTTTCATGTACAATGAAGCGGTCTCAGGTTTGTTCCCAACGACATAAGCACCAAAGTCAAACGAGGGCACATCTTCAGAGAGAAACTTGGTGATTTGGTTCTTCCATTCACCACTGACAGGTAACAAGTTAGCGTACGACATTCTATGGGGAATAACTGTGGTGTATCTGAATATGAACGATAATTAGTCTCAAGATCCGTCCATAACCCGGGGAAGTTTTTCACAGCTTTGTGTGAGGTTTATACGAGCCAGAACATGCCATTAATAATGGAAGCCTAAATACTACTGACTACTAACAGCAGAAGCTGTAGACTACTATTAGTAGTAGGAGTAGCTGTAGTACTACTAGTGTACTACTATTAGTAGTAGGAGTAGCTGTAGTACTACTAGTGTACTACTATTAGTAGCAGCATCAGTATATATATGTGTATAAATGTTTAATCTGTAAAAAGTATCTGTTCACCCGCAACGTTAACTAACCTTTCCACATAATTGTATAAAGCAGCTGTCAAACCTCCATTGATAACAATCTTGAACCCTCGGGGAAGGCTACCTTTGAACAAGGCCACGGGCCCTTGTTGTACCACCAAATTGAGTGCTGTTTTCAACGAATCCTTATAGAAAAACTTTCCATTTTTCAGTTGCATATGAGTCTTTATAACATCTAAAGGTTGGGTGACTGCCACCACGGCCACTGATGATAATAAATGTAATCCAAACAGTTGTATCACGGTGTGCTGATGGCCAAACCAATTGTTATTGGTAGAATGTGGATCAATCAATTGTCTAGTGGCATTATAAGTAGAGAGCCAAATCCCAGATATCCCAATCTGTCTAACAAAAGTGATAATCGACCCGGAAGTGAAAGCCCGAACTCCCTTCATCTTGTACATTTCATTGATGGTACCTACAAATGTCAAGCTCGGATTCTTGTTATAATGAATCCGTAACAAATCAAGTTTTGACATCTTATGAACGTGTCCACCAGAGTAATGGTGACCACTGCCAACTTGATGACTTCCAGAAGGGGTAGCCCCAGATCCTTGTCCATGGGCCAGGAATTTGGTTATTGGAGCTTTGGATACTTTACCAGTAGTAAACTGCGATAGTATTTCACTAGTCCAATATGCATGGGGTGAAATATATTGATATTGAATAGCAGGTTTATGTATATGAGGTAACTTTGATCCGGTAATATCATAAGCTATCTTCTCCTTTTCACATCTAATCAATTCATTATTTAGAGTCATATTTTGAACCATTGTAATCTTAATGTTCTCAAAGGGAATAATCCATAATGTTTCCAAAAATCCACTAATAATACTAGCAATCACCATTCTAGGAGCAGAGGTCTTTCTCTTACCATCTGCGGTATCTATAGCCATAAATTGGGTCAGCCAATTATATGATATCAACCGAGCACTGTTCTTAAGCACACTTCCCAACACCAAGGCCGAACCTCCTTTGAACAATTGAGCAAGACTACCAGGATAGTTACCAGGTATGGAATACTTGGCCATTAATTTCTTGTTGTTCAATTGTTCTTGAGTCTTGATACAATCAAAGGGATAAGTCACAGTGGCTGCAAACGCAGCTGCAGTGGTTCCCGACACCAATGCCGTCAACAAACTTTCTCCTTCGTTACTGCTACTTGACATCGTGACAAGATACTGGAACAAAAGTGTACTGTTTCTGGAAGTTCAATCCCTATACAGAGTTCATTTATCACCATCTGAGTTTCAAGTGTATTGCTGCTTCCCAACCACAGGTTACACAAAAATGCGCATTTTCGCGAACACAAAGTGGTAGCGCAGAGAAAAATAAAAGTCACGATAATGCGATGAGATTATTGTGTAAACATAAACAAACTAATAAGCTGAAGCCTAACCTACAAGGTAAATGCACAAGTGAAATCCTAATATATATATATATATATATAAAGTGGGATGCAGCGAAGCCCCACGGTACCAACAACTCCCAAGGTGCACTTGCCTCCACTGGAATTGGGATATATCACCCATAGATTACGGAAAGAACACAGACATGCTGGTCTCGTAATCAATTCTGCCCCAGGCTCCAAACGAAGATCCCTGACAAGACTCAGTAGAGGGTCTACTACTCCTAGGAGACATAGTGTAAGTAATCTTTTTGATGATGATAATGCTCCATATACGCCTACTAGAGTGATGTCATCAAGTCGACGACTTAGTGAAGTGTTAGGAGAAAGACGGAGAAGATCGTCCATGTATTTGTCTAGAACCGGTGATACTGTGTTTCAAACAGATTACGTTGGGCCTATAAACTTGAATTATTTAAGATATTTGTGTAAAGTGACGTTACAAGAGAAGGAGAAGGGGAAAGAAGTTACTGTGTCTTCTCCACCATACATTGCTGTCAATCCACAGCCTCAAGGATCACCAAGATTATCATTCTCAAAATCTAATCCACTTACATCCAAGTTCTCATCGCCACTACATGAGGATCAAGTGGACTATAATGAGTCGCTTCCTCTTCCAAGTGATGCGGATACTATACTCAAATCTCCAGACTTGGGTATTCTTGCAGATCAATTTGATCATGAGTATGAAATGAATCTAAGAGTACCCCATAAGAAAGCTGAGCTACTGGTTACTCCTCCTCCTAAGAAGCTATCATTTTTAGAACGTATACTTGAATCTCAGCGGAATTCCCATAAGGGACAAGACGTTAGAACTCCGGAAAGAGATCCAATGGAAATATACAAATTGAATAATGATGTTTTCATGATACCCGAAGGAGAGCATATTCCCGAAGATCAGTCAAATCTGGACGCTGGCGTCGAAGACACAAATGAATTAGAAAGACATAATGGGGAGGAAGATAACTTTGGTATGGGATATGGACGTGAAGAAGAAGAAATAAAGTCATATGCTGAAAATCCTTCTGAACCATTAAGGCTTTCCTTCACACCTATAAAGACACTTACTACTAATGATACACTTTTAAACTCATCAGAAGATAGACAGCAGAATGAACCTTTACATATGATAACACCTTCACCTCCAAGAACAGAATTTAATGATAACTTTTCACCCAATATTCTTGTTGAAAATGAGTTTACCGTTGATACTGACTCAGGATCAGAAAATGAAATATCCAAACTATTAAATGATAAACTTGACGAGCCTATCAATAGTGACACTGAAAGCCAGGAACTATTAGGCTTAAGATCACCTATTTTACTGTCACCAAGTTCAAATGAACAAGACCAACAACCAATCACAGACCACCACACCACGCGAATTGTATCCAAGCTCAAGACGCAGAATAAAGTTCCTGTCATTAATCAAGGCATTCCTTTGTCTATGATTCGGAATCTTGTGAAGAGTATTTCATCTCAGTGCTATAATAGGAGTGTGGATTATCCTGCTACTACTAAGAGGAGAAGAGGGCCACAGATTAACAAGAGGTTACTCCCACTTGTCCAAGATTTGTCTCTGGACTTTCTCAGTGGATTAATGAAAGATTTAAGCGCATATGTTGATCACAGGAAGGGCCTCACAATTTCCATGAAGGATGTAACATTGTATACCAAGAGATTGGATCTTGCTAATAGTAAGCTTCATGGGAATACAAAAGGGGATAATTATAATGAAGATTCCATTATGCTATTGGCACAGAAATTCTTACCATTGGAGACATTGAATGAACTACAAGCTAGTTTGAAGTCTGAGGGTATGCCATTAAGCAAGAAGAGAAAGATCACCTCACAAATGGACAGAGAACAGGTAAGCAGTGGTGTAGATTATGATGATGATGATGATGATGATGATGATGATGATGATGATGATGATGACGATGATGATGATGATGATGACGATGATGATGATGCTGAAGCAGAAGAGGAACACGATGACGAAGATTATAATGACGAGGGCGCATGATATTTACAGGACATTTATTATATACAGATGTTAACTTGAAGCAAACTGGCTCTGTTTGTTTCTTACTAATTTATACAATTCAAAGATTGCAGTTGGGGTTATACCTTGGATTTGTCTTGCTTGACCGATAGTTACTGGTTGAACGGTATTAAGCAAATGACATACTTCATAGGAGAGTTTCATTCCTCCGTCATCAACAGAATAAGTATAGTTTTGGGGCAAGAGCAATGATTCATCAGCTTCAAATGCTTTAACATGATGTTTTTCCTTCTGCAACCAAGGATCATAGGTACTTTCGATCCCAATGCGTCTGATCAATCTTTGACTCATTGAATCATAATAATCTGGAATTAACCCATCACTAGTGAACTTGTCCATAGATGCAAGGACGTCATCGAAATGAACATCTTTATAAGATAACAATTTCCACCCATTAACTACGGTTTGTCTCTTCAAATCCAGTTGAGCTCCAGAAAGTGCTGGTTTCCATTTGGCACCAGATAACTCCAAGCTTGTTAAATGGTCCTTTATGTTTTGAAACTGGGTCATTTCCTTGATGTAATGGTCATATCTTTGTTGTGACACTACTCCTGCTTCATACCCCCTAGCAGTAAGTCTCATATCGGCGTTATCAGCTCTCACGGAGATTCTAAACTCCGACCGTGAAGTGAACATTCTGTAGGGTTCTTCAACTCCCTTGGTGATAAGATCATCGACCAAAACTCCAATGTAACCTTCTGAACGTTTGATTTCGAACGCAGGTTTCCCCAAGTATTTAAGTCCGGCATTGATCCCGGCAAGACACCCTTGAGAAGCTGCTTCTTCGTAACCAGTGGTACCATTGATTTGACCAGCTAAGAATAAACCCTGGACTAGTTTAGTCTCCAATGTTCTGTTCAATTCTCGAGGATCGATATAGTCGTATTCAACCCCGTACCCTGGTTGAACCATGGTGACATTCTCACATCCAGGCATCAACTTCACCATCTGTTCTTGAATCTCAGCAGGTAAAGTACATGAGATCCCATTGGGGTACACCAAGTCTGTGTCCAAGCCCTCTGGTTCCAACCAAACCAAATGAGACTCCTTCTGCGGGAACTTGATGATCTTGGACTCAATGGAAGGACAATATCTTGGTCCCTTCACCGACTCTCTGATGTGGATAGTCATATGTAAACTGTCATTGATCAACTTGTGCATCTCCGGAGTGGTTCTGGTCATATGGCACGTAACCAATTGGTCTTGAAGCGCAACTGTATCGTTCATGAACGACATGGGTTCCGGTGGACAATCCGAAGGTTGTTCTGTCAAATGAGTATAATCAATCGTTTTAGACAGCAATCTACAAGGAGTCCCAGTTTTCAATCTTCCTAAACGGAACCCTGCTTGTTTGAAGGTTTCACTCAATCCAAAGGTAGCTGCTTCACCTATTCTTCCTGATGGATACGCTGTAAGACCGATATGGATTTCCCCACCTAAAAAGGTTCCAGTGGTGACCACTACATTGGGACAGTTGATGATGGTACCATCACCAAGTATTACCCCCAATACCTTACCCTGGCTTCTGCCAGTGGAATCAAAATTGTCACAGTCACCATATGTTGGCTCTATGATGATATCTTCCACCAGAGCTTCGAGAACTTCAAGATTACGATAGTTCAAGATCTCTCGTTGCATCTCTTCTAGATAAATCTTTCTATCTATTTGAGCTCGGGGTCCCTGGACTGCTGGACCTTTCGAAGAATTAAGCATTTTGAAATGGATCCCGGCCTTATCGGTAATTCGACCGGCCACACCGTCTAAGGCGTCCACCTCTCGAATTAACGTTCCTTTGCCCACACCTCCGATCGACGGGTTACATGAAGCTGTACCTATTTTGTCTATATGGGGAGTGATTAACATCGTTTGGGCACCTGATCTGGCAGCCCCAGTAGCTGCTTCACATCCAGCGTGCCCTCCACCAATGACTATCACTGGTACATGCTTAGCGGTAGATAGTTGCAACTGGAGATCATGATTGACGTAAATGGATCTGGAGAAGGTCTTGATCAATCGTAGTCTTGACAACATAACAGAGCAGACAGAGCACAGACAATATTTGGATGTACTCACTAACAGTATTCAGCACGACTGTATCCTAAGGGTATACTTAAGGTGTATACTGTAAAGGTATACTATACTTTATGACTGTTATTAAAGTATACGTTAGTGTCTGGTTACGACCGTATACTGTTTTGACTATGATTGGGTTGGACACGACATTTTTTTATCTCATCGCAGTCGTCAGTATACAGTGCTGAACTGGCTAATGAAACCACGATTACACCTTGCTACTGGCGTAACAACGACAATGGCAGTTAAGAGCGAAGGTAAGGGCAAAGGTGAAGCTACAGCTAAAGGAAAAGCTGAAGCAGAAGTGGCTAAAGGTATGGCTAACCCAGTTGAAGCAGATGACTTGGACGATGGATTAGACTATCAAATTGACTATTCAGAGGATGAGAATGGTGCTGAATCAGACGTTGAGCCTGATCCTGAATCAAAGCCAGGTGCTGAATCTTCCAACAAAAAGAGAAAACTTAAAAGCTCAAAGCTTCAAGATAAGAAGAGACTCAAGATGGAAATCGATATGAAACGAAAGAAAGACATTGCTCGAGAGTCATCTGTGGACTCTATTTGTGATTATATCAATTCCAAAATAAGAAGTAAAAATCCCGACTTATCTGCTTTAGAATTGTCTTCCTTATATGTGGATAAGAATACCTTAAGAACTACATCTGATTTTGAAGATCCAAGAACGTTGGATAATTTGGAGTCGTTCATCACTGCAAGATTCAAGAACATGATTCCCCATACAAAGCAACACAAGAAACAAAAGAAGAAAAACAAGAAGAACGACGATGATCAAGACGAAAGAAAGTTCATCGTGGTGATGTCCATGTCAGCCATTAGAGCTTGTGATGTTCATCGTGCCACCAAAGACCTTGGAGGCTCTTCATTGAAGGTCATCAATAAGAATAAGTTGGCTGTAGATTTGAAACTTCTTACCACAACTCATTCCAGAGTGTTATGCTGTACACCAGGGAGACTTTTAAAAGTGTTGAATGCCCCAGAAAGTCCTTTGAAACCAAATGAAATAAAAATCATCATTATGGATAATACTTATTTGGATTCAAAGTTGCAAAATGTATGGGATATCAAGGAAACACTGGAAGCTGTAAACCAATTGGCCAAAACAGGTTCAAAGGTATATTTATATTAGAAGAATTTAGCAATTCAGTATAGGAACAAGTAAGTTTTTATTCGATTTGTAGTACTCATTAATACTCTTTAATATCACTTCTGCTGTGCTTGTCTCCAAAAGCTCGGTGGTGTTGTTGATGTGCAATACCAACTTGTCTAATAATGGTTCCTTCTTATATGAACTCAATGGGCCCTTTGAAAAATGAAGTAAATATGCCATGTTAGCAAAGAGTTGATACTTTTCCGTTCTCTTGAGGTATGAATCTTCGGAGGTATTGCCTGGATAATTTACAGTTGTGGAGTCAGAATCGGATTTGGACTCAGACTCGACCCTAGGGTCAGATTCAGGAACATCAAAATTGCTTTCTGTTTCTTTCTTCTCTTGTTTCTGTCCTTCAGGCTCTGTTTCCGAGTCCTGCTTGTCATTAGACGCCTCAAGCTTGGCCTCTTCAGTAGAAATAATACTCTCAATTAACGTTCCCACAACGTTCTCCATCCATTCATTCTTCAACTTAATAAACTGTTCACTCTTGGTAAACAATTTCCCATATTTGTATGTGTGTCCACAAGTGAGCCCCAAGTTGAACTGGTACATCAACGAAGAGAGCTTTAGTGACGGTCTGGAAGGAATATCAGATGCACTGACTGAGAATGATATGGATTGAATATCTGATATCAAGGTTTCAGTAGGAACAGTCTCAATTATCTTTTTGTAGATGTCCAAGGAAAGTTGATCCAATTGGCTTGTAATGCTAGATTCTTGCTGACTAAGTTGAAGTATATTCGACTCCAACGTTAAAACAATTGCTAGATAAAAGTAAAATTCTTTCAAGGTAGTCAAACCAGAAATGTTTTCTTGCATTGAACCAAGGAATTGATCAAGAGAGCCCCACAACTGCTGATATATCCCAGTTTCCAATTTAGTGATTTCTCTAGCCAAATCCGCAGAGGTGAAATAATCCCATTGATGGTCAGTGTTATCAAGTACCAGCATTAAATGACTTAAACTCAGTGGGTGAGGTTGAGAAAGGTTTGGCCGACTTTCAGAAAGCACAAGTATGTTTGTAATGGTTAAAAATTTGGAGAACCAATCGGAGATAAGATCACAGAATCGATCATCCAACGGAGATAATGCAATTTGATCAAGTTGACCCAAATAAACAGAAATATCTGAATATATTAGATCGGATGTTTCTGAGGTGAATAAGCCCTTACTTAAAGAAGCACCTTCCTCCTCTTCTAATTGGTAGTTAATTTTCGGTAATAGTTTTAAATGGTCATTTATGAAATTGGTAACTTGATCTGTGACCAAATCCAATAACGAATTCAATGTTTTGGCTGATTGGAATGATTGCATTCTTTTCAACAAAATAGAATCTTCAGTTGACAATTCTAATCTCTTAAGATTGACAACAAAATTATAAAATACCTGGAATGCTTCAGGAACGTCCAGCGTTTGAGAGATTGACTTGGAAACAAAATCATATAACAATTGGAAAAATGGACAGAAATCTGTTTGAATTATGGAGCTTGGAACTAAAAATTGGTGATAATCAAACGTAACCATTTCATTGTCGATCCAATTTTTAAACCCAAATAAATCAGAAGCATTCCAATCATTGGTGTATAGTTTCAAATACTTTCTTAAATCATTTGAATCAACTTCAAAGTACTGAACAACATAATTGAATGTATTCTCCAAATACATCACTAATTTGCCAAAGTCAAATTGAGATGATGAGCATTTCTTGGAAGTAAATGCTGCTAATATCAGTTCCATAAATGCGTATCTTAGATCAATGAATCTCTTCAACGTATTCTCTGAAGTTATACAATCACCACCATTTGAGTTTTGGATGATGATATAAGATATCAAATAGTTCACAATGGGAGGTAGTTTCCTATTGTAAAATTCATGCTTTAACTCGTCCTCCTCCAAGTAATCTACAGTACCTGACTCCGAAATCTCATCATCGTCTTCATCATCATCTATTTGTCCCTCAAACACATCAAACAACTCGTCGCCATTTAGCTGAATCACCGATTGCAATTGAGGATTATACAAGTCAGTCTCATGTAGTCTCTGAGATTTAAGGAACTTATCATGGGAATAAATCACAGCAGACGAACTATTATAATTGGATAATTCATATTCCAAATAGTTGACAAAATTCAATTTTAAACTTTGAAACGTCTCATTTAACAAAGCGTTTTGCTGCAATTGACCACTGAAAATCCGTTCAATGGTGTAGAATAATTTGGCATAGTAAATGAAATTGGAAGTATATCTCAATGGTGATGACTCATACGACAAGAGTTTCAAATTGAACTTGATTAAAACATTATTGATAAGGCTGTTCAAGATTCTTGATTGTTGAGACGTTTTAATGTTATTGGCCTCCCATTTTTGAGTGAGGAGTTCAAACTTGTTGGCATTGGACTCCTCAGGGACAACAAAGTTGATAAACAGTGAATTCTGGAACGAGAGTGAGGCTAGACGGTCTCGGACTTCATTTGCCGTGGTGTACATGTCTCCAACATCCTCTGCAATTTCAATGAGATCGCGATACTTATTTCCTACTAGAGCATGTAGCTGGTCATTGGCTTCCTGGGCTCTTTGCCTGTAGTGTTTGCTGATGGAGTTTATTTGGGGAATTGTGAGATCCCGGAAAATCACATCTATCGGCTGTGATATGTAAGCCTCCGACTCAAACAATACAGACGACGACATGGCACAGACACGGAAACTGATACAGATCGTACATATGTCTCTTATTGTGTTGTAGTACTATGAAAATCTGTTGATGGTTGAAAAGATCAAGATAGTCGTGTACCGCACAATAGTACCTAGTGTGGATAACAGTACTTTACTCAAGTATAAATGAAGTAGTCGTATAAAATTTACCACTACTTTCCATAGAGTAAGAGTATACAAACTAATAGAATCTAGTCGTTTAATATGACGAACTGATAGGACAGAGAGCTCCGTAACGAGTTTGTATTATTTTGTATGATTATTCAATGGCACTACACAAAATGAAGCACGTACAATAATACACCACTACTCTAAGCTTAAACTACAGGCACAATACGTTTCTCTTGTCCTGAAACATTATATAGTATTATACTTATCACCGTCTCGCGCTTCCAGTTACCATATATGGATACCAGGTGACAATCCTGATACCAAAGAAAAAGGTGCGTGAAAATTCATCTTGTGTTGGTATAAGAATTGCGCGCTTAACTCACAGCTGAGTTGCCTAATTGGGACACGAGTATAATGTTGAAATTAGATGCAATAATTCCTAAAAAAATATCCCTCTATACGAAACATATCAGTTGTCTTTCACCTAGTGAAGTTGTGAGTGGCCCCTCGTAAGGTAATGAGTAAGACTAATGGATTCTATCACCAAGATTAACAAAACGAGAAACACCAGGTCTCGATCAGGATGTCTTACTTGTAGACAACGGAAGAAAAAGTGTGACGAGTTGCTGTACCCTGTTTGTCAAAACTGCTTAGGGAAGAACTTAGAATGTCGATGGTCCCGTCAAATACTTGATTTGCATAATAAGTTGAAACAGGTTAAGTATGTTGGTAAGAGTAAGAGTCCACTTCCAATTGAACATATGACCAAAGAGAAACAAAATATATCACCAAGTATTTCCACCAAGACTGCTTCGGAAATACTAAGTTATACAACTACACCATCTACTTCATCTGTTCTGACGCCTATTGTAGCTACTTTGGACGAAGATCTAATGCCAACCTATTCCAATATTACCTACTCCAATATTTCCTCTGGGTATCTCTGGGATGACATAGACAGTTCACAAGCGCTACTGGCACCAAGTTTAATTGAATATTCCAATTCACCTATTGGTGAAAGTCTACGGCAAAGTTCGATTCAAGTAGTCAAACCACAATATGAGTCAACAAAGAGGAAGAAGCCTTCAAGAATAATAGACAAGATTGCATATCAGGAAGACGTGACGAATGAAGGGAACGCACCTTTAGAATAGTATATATCACTACTAGTTATAGCGGAATTATATAGGATACAATAGTAATGGTCTAGCCATGACTCACTTAAAACCCGAACTAACTTTTGCTATACGCTAGCTCGCTGGGAGGCCTGGTCACGTGACTCGATTGAATGAAAGTGCAATCGAACGTAAGTAGTATACCGATAAAACAATCACTACTCATACTATCACACATATTTGTACTGTACATTAACAAGTCTTCCTTATTCATGACTTCGTTGGAACAAGAGTACACCGAAGCCAACCTAGCGGCAACCTCTGGCCCAGACGTTCAAGATTACTACAAAGGCACAACAGAGCAAAGCTACGACAACCAAGAGTACTACGAACAGTACTACCAGGACCAACGACAGAGCCACTCTGAAGAAACAGATGTAGTAGGCGCCGGAGAAGGAGGAGGATATGAGCTTTCTCAAGAAGGGGGGTCCAAAATCGACACAACCACAACAGAAGATCAAATGGTGATGGTATCTGAACCTCAAGATGTACAACAAGAGCAGCCGTTTTATGTCAATGCCAAACAATATCACCGGATTCTCAAACGAAGAATTGCCAGAGCAAAGTTGGAGGAGACCTTGAAGATCGCCAGAACCAGGAAACCGTATCTCCATGAATCAAGACATAAGCACGCCATGAGAAGACCCCGAGGTCAAGGAGGGAGGTTTTTAACCGCAGCAGAAATCGCCGAGTTGGAACGAGCAAAGAAAGTGAAGGAAATGGAAGACCAGAATGATCTGAAACTGGACTCTGTAAACACCGATGATGGAGAAACTGTTAATAATTCCGAAACTATTGTTAAGCTTGAACAGTAGAGAAAACTAATGTATTTTAATGATTACGGTTACATATTTTTAAAACCGAATATATATATTTAATCCGAGTATTCAATCCGGATTTATGTATTTTATTCCGGTTATGTATGTATTATTTGTTCAAGTAGGTGTGTAAAATCTCTTGACTTTCTGCATTAATCTGGTTGAAGACCCCGGTATTTGCTAGCTTTTTCAACTCATTGATCACTTGAAATTGAATCGCTTCTTCATCCCCATTCTTTATGCTGGGCAAAGGGTCAAATACCGGTGCTGGAATACTTGCCAATCTACTAAAATGGGAACCAAATGAAGCACTTTCTAGATCCAATTCGTTTAATGGGGCCATGAATTCTGTATCAGCGACTTTGGCATGAGATTTACTAATCCCTCGTAATGTAAGTAAATTCTTTGCAATTTGTTCAATAGTTGGTACCATTAAAGAACTTAAATCAAGTGAAAAATGAGTCAGATTCACCATTTGTGATAACCCAATAAGAGCCAATTTCTTATCTTGTAAATTAAGAAACCCATCTGCTGATGGTAAGATAAAAGATGTGAAAATATTCTTAAACACATTAGCCTCAGCCAAATTAATAAAATCAATAACAAAATCAGCATTGATGGTCGATTGAATGGAAGGATTCATTGGAATACAACAAAGTGAAAGAAGAAACAGCGTCAACTTCTTAACAAACTTATCAGTACGAGATCTGCTTAATCTGGTTAAAAGAATAATTGCAACTGTTTGAAGATAATTACTCAATGTCTCCGGGGGGATAGTTAATAAAATTGTCTCCAATAATTCAAATCCATAGATGTCGTTGACTTTAGAAGATGCTAATTTCTGGAAGACTCCAAATAATGGTACCAAAGACCCTTCAATATCAGAGGTGAAAACCAGAGAATCTTGATTCAATATGGCAATTAGTAATCTGGTTACACCAGGAATGTTCCCTCTGAATTCCCATACTGTTGGAGACATTAAAGGTTTCACCAATTGCTTATATGAATCCGGCATAGGTTGATTCTTAGGATATGTTTCCAAGAGATATGCAAGAATTTGAAATGAATAAGGAACAAACTCCTGAACATCTTGAGATAAAATTTCTAATAATTGAGGCAAAATTAATGAAATGTAATTTTCCCTTTCTTGTGGAGGGGCATATTTGATTAAAAGTGCCAAAGATTCAAAGGCGTAATGTGAAAACCGAGGGTTGGAAGGATTCTTGGAAATCAACTTCAAGATCTCTAACAATTGACTAATAATTGTAGGTCTATTAATAACAGTATCTTCTGCTGTAGATAATACTCTCATCACACATTTCATGATGAATTCATTCTCAGCCATTTTTTCAGGAGTTTGATCCTGTAAAATGATATTAAATAATTTGGCTACTAATTCAGTAGCAAATGGAAGATCAGACTTCGTGAAAACAGGTGAATGGTCTCCTCCAAAGTTGGTCATTGCTAGCAATCTCTCAATAGTGATTGCAGCATAAGTATAAACCACGACATTAGAATCCAGTAAGTTTTTAATAAGTAAAGGTAAAGTTTCAACCAATTGATCCTTTGTAAGTTGATTTCTGAAGGTTAAAATATATCTGATTGCATCAGTCTTCAAAACTGGATGTGAATCAGCAACCAAATCATTATAGATATGCTTCCCAAAGAAATCAACCACATCTGCTAAAACGTTGGTTGAAGTGACACCAACATTAGTCACAGAACCTTTAGCAGCTAAAGCAGTATATAAATAAATGGCCATATCCTTATCTCTCCAATCGGAACTGGTAAGGAATTTGTTAACTCCATCCAAGACAATTTCTGATAATAGTTTGGAATCCACTTCTCTTAACTCCCTAAGGAAATCGGTAGCTGATTTTCTTCTTGAATCTAATTCGGAACCTTCTAAATCCATTCTTACAAACACAATGGGCTCATCTTCAAAATGTTCTTCATCTGATTCTCGGAAATAAATATTTGGTAAAATGATCCGATTGATGATCTCTTCAATCCGAGACTTTTCACTAAAAAGTGGTTGGAATTTGGGCATCTTGGCAACCAATGCAAGGAATCCAAGAGCTTTCACCACCAAAAGATCGAATTTCTGTTGTTTAGTTACAAATGTATTGATCAAATCCCAAATTGTGGTTATAAATTCTCCAATCATTGGTTCAAACACATCAGCATATCTTGTCAGATATAAAGAAACCAATTCAATAATAGCAGTTTTGATTTTAATTATCACATCCACTTCACTATCTTCATTTGGAATGGTAATATTGGGGCTTTTAAAGCTCAAGTATTTCATCATGATATTCATACCTGTTTGCATATTGTCCTCAAAGAATTCTGGGATATCTTGACAATTCAAATCGTAGTAGATTTGCACCAAGAGCAAGAAATTCTCCAAATATATCAGTAAACTAGCAGGATTGGCAGCATTCAATTGGATCAATTCATCTGTTTTGACCAAGATGGTCAAGAAGGGTTGAGCAAAGATTTCCAATACCAATTTGATTTCCAAAAACAATTCATCCGATCTGAATAACGGTCTCCATTTCTTAAAGATCGAATGGGCCACCATGAGTAAACCTTTATTAGTGACAAAGTCATCCACGCTCAATTTTGCCACTAGAGCATCGATCAAATTGGGCCAATTATGAGGGAAATCACTCTCTGCAATCAACGAAATAGCTTCACCTATTTGGACCTGTAACAAATGAGGCAATTTGATCATCACATCCAAGATCTCTAATTTGATCTGGCAAATGTCGTCTTGAGACAACAAGTAATTACCATCTTCGTCCATCCATTTACGTTTTATCAAATTTTTGAAGAAAAGCGCCCCCGCCAACCGGATGCTATCGTTAATACTCGTCAGAGCAATAACATGAAGCAAATTGGTTGGGAATCCAGGTTGAGTTTCAATTGATCTCAATAAACCTTCAGCTTGTTTGGCATGCTCACGCACTAGTGTTTGCTCCAAGTACTTGGGGATAGCCTCCAAACTGATATCAGTCATATTACAATTCAGATAACAATAAGATATAAGGTGATTGACTTAAAGATTAACAAACGTTAACAGAGTGACTGGTAGTGGCATCATCACTTGTTTTTCATTGAAGAAGCCGTTTATGGGAGAAGACCGTCACGTGACACACGTTGAATAGAAGAATGTCGCAGTACACTGTGGACGTGAATGCAATCAACATACAACTAACTGTAGTCCTATATTAAATGTTTCCACAATTAATTAATGCCTATGTAAAAATACACGGAGATGATCTAGAAAAGAGATAGTAAATGGCCAAAAAAGTATTTAGTCACAGTTTCAACCGAGTGTTTATTTTGGTAACTTAGGAGCAGTTTCCATTTGTTGTCTTTGCTTAGCAACAGCGTAGACCAAACCGGCTCCAAACCCAATAAAGATAGAAGAAACAGACCAAAAGTTAACAGCAGCATCAAAGAAAACCAAACCTGATAAGGCAATTGGTAACTTGTTCAAAGCACCAACCATAGAATAAGTAGTGGAACTTGTAACTCTAACACACCAAGCAGAACAGTAGGAAATGGCGACAGAAGATGCACCAGAGAAGATCATGGCCAGAATGGTGGCGGCTCTCTTATCTTCTGGGAAGTTCAATGCAAGATTAGCTGGGGACCAATCTTCAAGGAGGAAAGAACAAGCCAATAAGATTGGGATGGAAAGCAAATTGTTGTAGTACATGGTATCGAAATCCTTAAAGTTGGTCAACTTGATTCTCTTTCTCATGACCAAAACAAAAGCAGCGGAGGAGAAACAATTGGTAAACATCCACAAATAACCCAAATACATAGTCATGGTATCGGAAGCAGTCTTAGCTTCAGCATTATCACCGTAATAGGCAACAACAGAAGACAACACCATTAACAAAAAAGAACCTAAAGCCATTGAGGTGACTCTACCACCAAACCATAAGACTTCACCATAAGCAATCAAGATAATGGTTAAATTCTTGAAAATGGTATAAACAGGGATAGATAAATATTTCAACGCTTTGGAGGAAGTATAAATCATAACCACCAACAAAATGGCAATGGGAGACCATTTTTTAGCTTCATCAACATTAAACTTTCTATAAGTGATGATACCAAGAGCTTTCAAAGTTGAAATGGTAGTAATACAAACAATTCCTTGAACGGCCAAAAGGAAAAAGTTCAAGTTAAAAGAGTAACCACTTAAAACATACTTATTGGTGACAGTCATCAAGATAGATGAAGCACAGTAGGAAAAGATCGACAAGGGTGCAGAATTGGCCAATGATTGGCCATGAACGGCAGCGACAACTGGAGATGACATGATGCTTTGGAATACTTGTGTTCTTTTGAAATAATAGACTATATTAGAAGTTATAAACAAAAGCAATAATCCCATACACTATCAGTACAATGATATTATTGTATGTATATATAGTAGATAGATAGAATACGGAGAACGTCTTCTCGTCGGAGTTGATGATGATTCGACTCTAAAGAAAAAGAAGACACCGGTAGGAAAAAAACTTGTGGGTTTGATAAAAATAACCCGTATCGCTGAGGAACGAAAATTTCACTATTGGAGTGCACACGTATTGGCGAACAATAAGACGTGTTCGAGGTGCACGTTTAGCACACAATATAACTTGCAGACCAACTACATATACAAAAGGAAAAGGAGGCAAGACATGATGGATACGACAGTCTACCAGATGCCTACATGCCTATAGATGTCTACAGAGTATACTGACCGTAGAATGACCGTCGAATGACCGTAGAATGACCGTAGAATGACTGTAGAACGCAATAGTACGAACGTCGACTGAACTATTATCAACAATAGACCAATTGCTACGAGCAGAACTGAAACCTTCTTCTTATTGTGTACAGATAACAACATAATGTGCGGCTTTTGTCCATGAGCCTCCACGATAGCATCAAGGTGTGTGCACCGTTCAAGGGCAGCGATACGTGTACGTGTACGTGTACACTATCGTATATTTACCACTGCTAATGATAAGTTGTTTGTGTGGTGCGGAATGTGCGTTGTCTAATGTACAGCACTTAGTGCACACTGTTGAAGAGATGGTCAATTAAGATTGATTGCATGGCTGGTTGTGCTTTCCTTAAACAGGTTCTGTTTATGGCCAGTGGAACTATAGTAGTAACCGTTATGTACGATGAAACTTGCCGACCAAGATCCAGATCCTTGCGATGCCAGATTAATTTCAGTTGACCACGACCTGTACTGCATTGTGGGTGCAGCTGTGTCCAATGCTTTGTTCTTATCGTTTATTCTCGTATCTATAAAATGAGTGTTTTCTTTAATTTGCATAATCTCCAGTATTGTAGATACTAATATCCACTTCGGCTTTGATATCAACCATATCTGCAGAATCAAAGGCCGCATCAACAGCAAGCCCCTTTCCATGACCTTCTCTTAACCGTTGATTCTGTGCTCTAATCTTCTCCAATTCCTTCAAATAACTGTCTTCTACTCCAGTGACATATTGACCATTGAAAACACCAACTTCAAATTGGGGTACAGCCTCTGATTTACAGCAGTCAATTAGATCTTCCAATTCTTGATAAATCACTTGATCTGCGCCAATAGCATTGGCAATCTCATCATCCAGTCTATCATAAGCAACTAAAGCCTTGGTGTCAGCCAAATCAATACCGTAAATATGGTTATGTCTGATTGGAGGTGCACAAGAAGCAAAGAATACCTTTTTAGCACCAGCTTCTCTTGCCATAGCCACAATTTCCTTAGAAGTAGTACCTCTTACAATGGAATCATCAACTAAAAGAACATTCCGTCCCTTAAATTCACTTTCCATAGCATTCAACTTTCTTCTAACACTCAGTCTTCTACTTTGTTGATCAGGCATAATGAAAGTACGACCAATATATCTGTTCTTAACAAACCCTTCTCTGTAGGGAACATTCAAAGATTGAGCACATTGTAAGGCAGATGTACGAGCAGTGTCTGGAACAGGAATAACCACATCAATCTGTTCACCATTAGGGATAGACCGTTTGATCTTATCAGCTAAACGATCCCCCATATCAATCCGGGAACGATAAACAGAGATACCATCCAATACAGAATCTGGTCTAGCAAAATAAACATACTCAAAAATATCAGGAGCAAAAGTTGATGGTTCAACCAATTGTCTAAATTCAGGACGTTTACCACTTGATCCAACATCCTTAGGAATGATAACTGCTTCACCAGGTTTAACATCACGGAATGTATTAAAACCATGCGCTTTCAATACCACAGACTCACTGGCTAACATATAATCATAAGTGTTTGTTTGAGAATTATATCTTTCACCAAACAATAAAGGTCTAATCCCATTAGGGTCTCTGATCCCAATTATACCATATCCTGCTAACATAATAGTACAAGCATAAGCACCTCTGATGGCCTTCATGGTACCCTCAAGAGCACTGAAAAGATCTTCCAGATTAACTCTGGACTTCTTGAACTTTTGCAATTCAGATGCAAAAATGTTAATCAATAATTCAGAATCACTATCAGTGTTAATATGACGATGTACAACTTCATCCATATACTTTCTTAATTCAATAGAGTTAACCAAATTCCCATTGTGACTCAAAGTAATCCCATAAGGACTGTTGACATAAAATGGTTGAGCTTCACTACCAGCAGATGATCCAGCAGTAGGATATCTTAAATGAGCAATACCCATGTTACCAACCAAATTATCCATTCTCAGTTGAGTGAACACGTCTCTGGCCATACCATTCCCCTTACACTGGTAAAGTCTTCCCCCGGGACCACACGTGGCAATACCAGCAGCATCTTGTCCACGATGTTGTAAAAACATACATCCTTCAAACAACTCTGGTGCCACATTCTTCTTGGTATCAGCCAATACAACTCCTAAAATACCACACATTTTTCTATGACAATCTCTCTAATTTATGACACTAGTATGTCGTCTATTACACACTAGGAAGACTACGGCGCTTAGAAACCCCTTTCCTTACAAAAGGGAAAAGTTTTAAAAAGAAGTATTAAACTGTATGTCAGCTTTGGGAAACAAATTCCTAAGATCATCTCTTCCCCAAAAAAGAATTTTTGGAGTCAGATAATTAACTGAGGTTGACTCTGTCCCGATCACGTGACTCGCGCTCGGCTTATCCCAAGTATTTGGAAGTGTCACACTACTACTACTACCATCAGTTTACCGTCTATACCTCATTTTGCGCTATGATAATCCATGCATTCTAAATGACTATATACATTAAAGAGTATCTATAAGCAGCAAGAAAAAAGAAAAAAAAAAGGCTAAAAATCGGTGAAAAATAAACACCCAAAAAGACCATACGGTATAAGCAACAAAAATCTATAATAACCCTAATACAATATCAATAGTAAATCAACAAAAATTGGTAAGCAAATTTCAATGTAAAATAAGCTTTAGAAACAAAGGAAAACATCATTAAAATAATATTGATCAAGCTATCAGCAAGAAAAGTCATGGAATGGAAGAAGTCATAAAGTATCATTTAACAAAGAACGATTCGTGGAACTTTGTATATCGGAATCCGTTTTCAGTGTATAACATAATCAGAATCTATTATAATTCTCATGATTAGAGAACAAACTTATCTTTATAATTCTTAAGATGCTCCTGTTAATTTTTTTTTGTATTTTTTTATATTTTTTTAAATTTTTTTTATGGTTTTTTTGGTAATATTTTCAAACATTCTGATTGTATCCTAATGTGTCGATCATTTACGTCACAAATGATTTCAGAAAGTGGGTGATAATTTAATGTTGGGGAGCTGGTTGCCCTTGAGGTGGGAATTGGCTATAGTTTGCGTACCCATTGTATTGAGAGAATTGCTGTGGGGGGTAGCCATTGAATTGAGGAGGAACTTGATATTGGTTTGGTTGTTGTTGTTGTTGTTGTTGTTGAGGAATTTGTTGTTGTGGGGGTGGAACTTGTTGTTGTTGCTGTTGTGGTTGTTGTGGAATTTGTTGTTGTGGTTGAAGGGGTGGAACTTGTTGTTGTTGTTGTTGTGGAATTTGGTTAGGATCAATTGGGACTCCATTGTGAGATTCAGGTTGGCCATGATAATGATATCCACTCTTGGTGCTATCATTACCCTTGGGTAAGTTATCGATCTTGAATGGTCTTGGGATTGCATCTGGAACATCTGCAACATATAATCCACGGTCAATGACTGCAGGAATAGGCTTGATTTCAGTACCTAATTCTTGTTCAATCTTATATAATGAATAACGATCCCCCCAACTTAATAAATTGATTGCTAAACCTAAATGACCAAATCTACCCGAACGACCAATTCTGTGTAAATATGTTTCTGCAGTTTTGGGGAAATCGAAGTTAATGACAACATTAACAGCTTGAATATCAATACCTCTAGTCAATAAATCGGAACAAACCAAGTTACGAACTTTACCTTGTCTAAATTCGTGGAATACCTTATTTCTTGCTGCTTGAGGCATCTTTGCATGTGAATAATAACATGAATAACCCAAGTCGGTGATTTTCTTTGCCAATAATTCAACTCTATTTGTTGAATTACAGAAAATAATGGATTGATTGATTTGCAATTTACTGAACAAAGTGTTCAAACAATGTAACTTTTGCTTCTCTTCAACAAAGGCATAAAATTGAGAAATACCTCGTAAAGTTAATTCATCCATCAAATTAATTTCATAAGGCTTGTTTAAATGGCTATCCATAAAGGATTTAACAGTCAATGGGAAAGTTGCTGAGAATAACAAAGATTGTCTCTTTTCAGGGAAAAATGACAAGATTTGTTCAATAATACGTCTGAATTCACGAGACAACATTTTATCAGCTTCATCCATAACAAACAATGGACATGCTGATAAATCGGCCACACTTCTAGCGGCCAAGTCTAAGATTCTACCTGGGGTACCTACTAAAACGTGAACAACGTCATCTAATCTAACAATATCATCTCTCAAAGAGGTACCACCAGTAGTAACCATACATTGAAGACCCAAATGTTTACCCAAAGTTCTAACCACTTGAGATGTTTGCAAGGCCAATTCTCTTGTAGGAACCAAGATTAACGCTTGAATCTTATTGACTTTAGGCTTAATCAATTGCAAACAGGGGATAACAAATGAGGCAGTCTTACCAGTTCCATTCTTGGCTCTGGCCAAAATGTCTCTACCAGCAAGGGCCATAGGAATAGATTCTTCTTGAATGGGTGAAGGCTTTTCAAAGCCTGCTTCAAAGATACCCATTAACAATTCTCTCTTCAAATTAAAGTCTTCAAAGGACTTACCCTTTGTGCTCAAAACATCCTCGGTTTGAGGTCTTGTGTCTCTAGCAGGAAGATTTAACAGTTCTTTCCAATCTTCAGGCATTATATTTGGTTGTATGAATATATGTCAGTTTGAATAGAAATGTGTGTGTGGAGCAGTGGATAATGGTATAAATGCTTGAATATGGATATATCTGATAGGAAACTTATACGAACAAAAAAACGACGACTAAGGTGTAGAATCAGCTCTGGTTATAAAGTAATATAGTAGGGCGAGATTTCTCTTTCAAGTTTGTTATAGTAGATATGGTTAAATTTAAGATGATGACTGAAGGGGGATACGGTTTAAGTTGTTGGCCATGTTGAACAAACTTCAACTCCAAAAAAATTTTCTACTATTGGTGGATCAAAAGTACACGACGTTACCCGGACACCAAATTCTGCCGTTGCAAGAAATGAACTATGGGGTTTACTTATGTTGTCGATGAGTTGAAACAGAATAAAACAAGCAGTGTAATATAAGTCATCCATAGTGCTTAACAAGAGACGTATTTGGTATTAAGGGCGACTCACACTTCATGTAATTAGTTTGTGGGTGTTACTACAAGCTCATACATATTACAGACTAAATACAATGCTAGTAGCAAACAATAATGACAATAATGATAATAATGCTAATGAAGATAATACTTTCAATATCAAGACATTATTACCATCATAATCACAACATTAAAAGGTTCTAACTGTTGTAGTTGATGTCCTACTGTAAACTATAGTGCGATAGTGCACTGAAAAAATGCACTGAGATTATCAGATTATCATCGTTATCATTACTGATTGGGACTACCTTCTTTTAAGCGCAAGTACACCGTCTCAGCTAAGATGAAGTTGTCAACAGAGGAGCTCAATTTGCTTCAACGGAATACACAGAATATCCGGAACGTTTGTATTCTAGCACACGTTGACCATGGTAAGACTTCATTAAGTGACAATTTATTGGCATCCAATGGGATCATCTCCCAGAGGATGGCCGGGAAATTGAGGTATCTTGATTCTAGAGAAGATGAACAACTTAGAGGGATCACCATGGAGGCATCCACTATCTCATTGTTTTTCCGAGTAATCAGAAAGAAGGTAGACAGTGAAGAGGTTGAAGAACGGAAACACTTGATTAACTTAATTGATTCCCCTGGCCACATTGATTTCTCATCTGAAGTCTCTACGGCCTCGAGACTTTGTGATGGTGCGGTGGTGCTTGTGGATGCTGTTGAAGGTGTTTGCTCGCAAACCGTGAATGTGTTGAGACAGTGCTGGGTGGATAAGTTGAAACCATTGTTGGTTATTAATAAGGTCGATCGATTGATCACCGAGTTACAATTGACCCCTTTAGAGGCTAGTCTCCACATGACAAGACTCATTGAGCAAGTGAACTCTGTCATTGGGTCCTTCTTTGCTGGGGAGAGAATGGAAGATGATATGATATGGAGAGAAAGCGGTGAACAAAATGAATTCGTAGAAAAGGATGATGAGCATATATATTTTGCTCCGGAAAGAAACAATGTTATATTTGCGTCTGCAATTGATGGTTGGGCATTTTCAATCAATACATTTGCAAGACTCTATCAGGCAAAATTAGGGTTCTCTCAATCTGTTCTTACCAAAACCTTATGGGGGGATTTCTATTTGGATATGAAGAATAGAAAGATTTTACCCGGTAAAAAGGTGAAACAACTGAACTATAAAACTTTATTTGTGTCCTTGATTCTAGAGCCTATTTGGGCAGTCTATCAGAACTGTGTGATGGATAGAGATGAAGAGAAATTGGAAAAGATCATAACAAAACTTGGAGTCAAGGTAAGTGATAGAGATTTGCGTTCCAAAGACCCAAGAAATTTGCTAAGTTTGGTAATGTCACAGTGGTTACCTTTGAGTCATGCTTTATTAGGGGCTGTGGTCGATTATTTACCCAGTCCAGAGGAAGCTCAACAAGAACGGATGGGACTTTTATTGAACGAATGCCTTTATGACGTTGTACCAAGTGAACCGCATGAGAGATTACTTGAACCAGAGTTTGAAAAGTCCATATTGAATTGTGGTTCCGAAAACAATAACTATACTTTAGCATACATCTCGAAGTTGTTGTCGATACCTAATGATCATCTTCCCAAGGATCCTTCCAAGGTGAACCTTCCTGAGCTCTTAACCCCGGAACAACTTCAAGAGAAAAGTCGTAAGACGAGAGAGCTTGCAAAAATAGCTTCAGAACAAGCAGCAGTAGAGGCGGATAGAAGACACGAAGAATATAATGCCTCTCAAGGTAATGCATTTGATTGGAATATAAATTCAGAAGATCTCCAATCTTCTGCTGAACTATCTGAAGCTAACGAAACAATAATGGCCTTTTCAAGAATTTACTCAGGTTCATTGACTGTGGGACAAAAGATAGTGGTTGTTGGACCTAAATATGATCCATTATCTGCTGAGAATGTTCCTAAAGAAGTGGAAATTAAAGATCTTTTTTTGTTTATGGGTAAAGAATTTGTACGAATGGATACGGTTCCTTCAGGTAATATCGTTGGTATTGTTGGAATGGAAAATTATGTGTTGAAGAATGCAACTTTAATGTCCAATAGTTCCTTTCCTTTCATCAACCTTGCATCTACAAAGACTTTGATTCACAATAAACCAATCATGAAAATTGCTGTTGAGCCTACGAAGTTACGCATGTTGGAAAAATTGGAGAAAGGGTTGGACTTATTGGCTAAAGCAGATCCTGTTCTTGAATGGTATATTGACGATGATACAGGAGAGATCATTATGTGTGTGGCAGGTGAGTTGCATTTGGAGCGTTGTTTGAAGGATTTGGAAGACAGATTTGCCAAGGGAGTTGAGGTTGAAGTCATGGAACCCGTCATTCCCTTCAGGGAGGGACTCACCAAGGGAACCGACTCAAGAGCTGTTGTAAACCATGATGATGAAGCTGAAGACGATGGTTTACAAATGGAAATAGAAGCCTTCCAACTTCCTCAAGAGTTTGTTCAATTCTTAACAAAACATGAGATTGCTATACTGGAGAATATTGTTGCTAAACATGGAGATAAGCTAGCATTCAGGGATATTTGCTTGCGTTTTATTGAAGAGCATTCTCTTGAATTCCCAATGTTCCCCACTGCATCTGACTTTTTGGATAGTATAATTGCCTTTGGACCCAAAAGAATTGGCCCTAATATCTTTGCTGAATTACCTTCTGTCCATAAATTTGGACATGTATTCAAGGATGATGAGAGCACTTTTGAATATGCTCATAACATATTGAATGCGTTCCAGATTGCAACCAATGAAGGTCCATTGGCTTCAGAACCAATGCAAGGTGTTCTCTTTTTACTTAAGAGGTGTGGTGCCACAGAGATCGGGGACGGGGTCGACGACGAAGAAGAAGAAGAAGAAGAAGAAGAAGAAGAAGGAGGAGATGACGACGATGACGATATTGGACTTGAAGAACTTGCTAAATTGAATGAAGGAAGAATCATTCTGTCTGCTAAAGAATTGATGCACAAGGCATTTCTTACCAGGGCCCCTAGATTTTACCTTGCAATGTATACCTGTGACATTCAAGCGTCTGCCGAAGTGTTAGGCAAAGTTTATGCTGTTGTCCAACAAAGAGGAGGTTCTATTATATCTGAAGAGATGAAAGAGGGAACCCCGTTTTTCACTATTAGTGCACGTATTCCGGTAGTTGAAGCGTTTGGATTCTCAGAGGATATAAGGAAGAAGACCTCTGGTGCTGCATCGCCGCAGTTGGTATTTGATGGGTTTGATATGCTTGACATTGATCCATTCTGGGTTCCACATACCGAAGAAGAGCTTGAAGAGCTTGGAGAGTTTGCTGAGAGAGAGAATGTTGCTCGAAGATATATGAATAATATTAGAAGAAGAAAGGGGTTGTTTGTTGATGAAAAGGTTGTTCAAAATGCAGAGAAGCAGCGTACCTTGAAGAAGGACTGATATATACTCCGTCTAGTAATGGTATACTGTGACAGTGGTGCGCACTACTTCTAATAAGCTGTAGCAACTACATACTATGGAGTAGGCTGTTACTAAGCTTATAAAGGCTTGACACCTCTTCTCTATATGCACTGGTGCCTTACATTCAGCTGAACCTTTATACTGATCAGTGGTGTCCTTTATTACTACTCAAAGGCCTTACCGTAGAACGTAATGTATAGACATCACCAAATTAGGCCGAAAATTTTTACAGTATTACCAATTGTAGTGGTGTATACAAATTATAACGTACTACTATCAACTACTATCAACTACTATCAACCACGGCCCCATACATATAGCAGTGCACATGATTCGCCATATATAATGAGCAATAAGGAGAGTACGGCAGACCAAGAGGAAGCAGTGTATCAACAGATGAAATTAGGACCGAGTACCGATCCTCGATTGAATGGCCTCATTGACCCCACAACAGGTAAACCACTATATCCCAGAAAACTTTTTGAATTGATGGCACGGAATTATGATTCCTGGCTGCAGATGTTGAACACAAAGAAGTTCAGCGACGATGAAGGGTATCTGCCCTTCCCCCAGGAAGATAATGGAGGTAAGCCTATCTTTAGTTACAGCTTATTAGAGGCATTAGAGAAGGCGAACACTGATTTTGCTGAACGACTTAATACAACGGAATCAGTAAAGGAAGGCTCCGGCAATGGTCCTTCTAGCAAAAGTCCTTCTAACAGCGATGAAAAGATTGTTCATGTGGACTACGCATCGGATCACTTACTCTATGGCAAACCACCACAGGCCAATGATAATAATAGAATCCCCCCTGAATCCCTTTTGAAAGATGCAGAGATATCATACCTTCGAAACCGAATATCGGACATGATCAAACAAGACATTATCAACGGGAATGGGGGCCGAGAAGGGTTCAATTTATTTGATACCAAAGATGAAGAGGGACTTCACGAAGGCAATTGTGGGTATTGTGATCGTGATGAGGAGATCGGCGATCAGGACGATTACGATCTTGAAGAAATAGACGAAGATGATGACTTTCTGTACGATTATCAACCTACTACCCACCACATAGAAGTGGAACTAAACACTTCTCCCAATTGTTATGTCCATGGGACAGAAGGGTGTAATTGTCCTATGTATGATGATGAGCTTGAGAACTCTGAAGACGGTCCTTCGTGTGAGTTCACGTTTGAATACGACTACAATGGGAAGTTGGTTCCTACTTATAGCAATGTTGAAGAGAAACTAAGATTAATGAATCTTCAGTCAGAGTTAAAGGCTGCTGCTGCTGCTGCTTCTGCCGTTGGATCGAGTAGATTGCCAGCCATGATTGAGCCCATAGAAGAAGAGAATCAAAAGAAGAGCAAGAATAAAAAGAAGAAAAAGAAGAAGACCCAACAACAACTGCAAATACAACAGCAAGAGATCATCAACAACAAATCCAATTCTTCCATGATCCCACAACCAATAGATGACACTCAAAATGGTAGTTCGGGTGCTACTGTGATCAAACTGGGACCTTATTGTTGTCTTTTCTGTGAATATGAAGCATTCTACGGTACCAAACCTCGGCAACTAATCAAATCTTATGAGCTGAAACTTAAAAAGGAAATGCAGCGTCGACAAGAGATCCGAAGAAAACTTGAAAATGCTAAGCTGAAAGCGTTAAAGAAACAACAAGAGATGCGTCAAAAACAAGTACAACAACTTGACCACGAGGCATTGAAAGACTCAAGGGATAATAGCGAAAGTGTAACGAACGAGGGGACTACTGCCCGCCAAAGCGAATGACAATAATAGTAATAATAATAATAATTACGTCTAATCCACAGGTATAACGAAGGAATCGAAAAGAGTAGAAATGTACAATCAGATTAAAGAATATGGAAGCCATTATACTACTTTATAACTTAGTAGTGTCTTAACCATGTTCTTCTATACTTTATGGTAGCGCGCGCTGTCGTACATGTAAACAGTACTTGCTTATGAAATCCGGTACTACAAACACCTTCTATTCCTTATAGCCATGTATTCACGAGGATCAACGGCTACTCCTGCACCCGCACGTCGTCATGAGGCTCTTAGCGAGAGAGTCACTTGGGTCAATGACTGGTACACGCCAGACATGGGATCTGGAGACGGTAGTATTCCGTCGGAGTTAAAGTTGAAAGGTTGGTACCGAGTATCATCTGGTCACACAACCCAAGCCAGCCTTCAATTAAGTCAGGATGATAGTTTATCATTACAGAACCATGCATATATGAAAACAGTTGAAGAGGAACAACAGCCTACGGAAGTCAAATCAGATTTGGGTACTGCTATGTCAATGAAGAGTGAAGAAGGTCAAATCTCTGGTTTGGGTATGAAGTCATAACTGAAGCATCATGTTTAGTTAGTTTTTGTTATTTTATGTTGTGTTGTGTGTATACTGATTCCTGGTTTTGTCTGTTACTTTCTCTTCTTGGTTGTTGTGTTGACAATGACGCCATCTTGAAGGTGTTCTTTTAATCCAATCATACAAAACCCTGAACGAACTTGTTCCACAGTTTCACGTAATAGTGTTTCTTTAGCATCATCCCATTGATCGTCAGAATTCAATTGGTCATCTTTCCCTTCTTTCGTTGACCTTTGATATCTTTGTTTCCTCTCCTGTAACCGATACATCTCCACGGGACTAACTGAATTGCCCAATAGAATGAATAAACTTCCAACTGGTAATAAATCATAGACTTGAGAGATTCTTGAGACTAGTTGTGTGTTTCCTTGATCTACTGGTGATTGTTGTTGTTCGGTTTGTAGTGTTCTCCATTTAGACCATCCTCTTTCCCTCTCTAGATCTTGGAGATGTAACATGACCATTGGAGTCTCTGCTGATTCAATTGAGTCTATAGCTGCTTTGATGATGGCGTCATCGTCAGAATATTTATCTCCCCCGTTCAAAACATCTATTTTAACCTTGTGCTCTTGTATAAGTTGTTCCTTTAAAGAAATAGTATCAATAGTTGACCCAAAATATAATCCTGATTTAAGTTTAAGCTTCACTAGATCAATACACGTTGAGCTGTCTTCCACCAGGCAATGGCCATTATCACCATTTTGAATCACACGATTGAGATATGTTTTGGCTAACCATTTAAGTGATGCCTTCAAGGGGGGACCTCGGGGATGATCATATATATGGGCTGTATCGATGATTCTCCGATGATATATCTTTAACACATTCAAATCGGAGTTTAAAGAGTGTCCCACTAAGTAATCCTCGCTACTAACTATGGAAAGGATCTCCTTCTGAACATCTCCAATGGTTGTAGTGATACCCTCCAATAATTCTGGGGTTATTCCTGAGTATTGTGTCTTGTAGTCAATAATTGGGTTCTCTGGTTGTACAAAGGTATCCAAGATGACCTCACTGTCACCGTTAACCAATGATATCCGAGTTAACTCATTTCCCAGCTCTGACATGCAGAACTCACAGTCCAAACCAAATAATTTGGGAGTTTGGGAGGCCGCCAGAGATTCCAGTGAAGGAGGAGATTCGGTTGTGCACCAGCCTTCTTTCGATTCCTGAGCGCTCAACTTCAACGGATAATTGCTATCTTCCATCTGTTGGTCAGTCAAGAGCAAATCATTCAAGTCAATATTCAACTTGCTTGCACGAAGTTCTCGGACAGCTGCTTTCGTTCGAGGAATATGTGATATGGCATGGAATGGAGAAAAGGTAGAATCCTTTGATCCTGGAAGCATAGCAAAGAATCGAGTCTGGAACATGCATTTTAATGGCTCAAATTGTTCATTCAATTCAATTTCATTCAAGCTTTTGTGCTTCTTATCTTCAAGAGTCGAACACGAGTCAATATCTGAATACAATAAACCGGGGGCAACCGCAACCACAACTTGCTTGATATCTTCTGGCTTAATCATTTTGAACCAACCATTGGAAACGTTTCTATTAAGAACAATCGAAGATGCTAAAGTCCTTATGTGTGGAACTGTCAATTGTTCCATTCCTATTTCAATGCTTGGTTTTAAGAGTGCCTTCTTTTGTTTCTTCTTGTGAGGTTTATGAGCCTTTTCCGGTGGGCTTTCACTAGTTCGTTTGTTCGCTGGTGGAGGTACACTCGCGTCACTATTTGACACGCTGTTGCTGCTTTCGAAAGACAGCACCTCTGTTCCCCCTTGAGTCATATTGTTGAACAACGTGACGCCAAATAAACTTAGCTTAAAAGCAGCACCTTGTTGATATCAATGGCACTAGTATAGTGAGTTTGCACCCAGATCTCAATGCGATGGGGTTTTAGGTAGGGACACGACATTTGATCCTGGTGGTATACTATGTAAAGTAACTTACTGAGTAATAAATATAGATATGGGTGGAAATCTAGTTGTTAGTTATGTAGAATGAACGACCTTGTAGTTGTTCAAATACTCCGTCAACGTAATTGAAGGTTTATGGGGAGATTTCATATTTGAAGCAGATGCTGTGCTCTTACTATTCTCTTGTAGCAGCATCCACATGTCGTCATTCCGAAGATATTGTTCATAAGCATGGATGAAGTCCGTGTATTCTTTATCGTTTGCCAATTGTGGTATGGAGGAGCCATGGCCTAGTGACACTTTGGCCAAGAGACTGATCTTTGACCATGAATCCCAGCCCTTGGGAATATATAGAATCAAGTTGTTTTTTTCCTCCGCCACAGGTTTGGGCCGTAGCAAGTCGAAGGTGTTATTATCATTGTTGATGATCAACTCAAACACCCAGTCCAAGTCGTTGGTATGCGAAACGACAGTCGCACCATGTTTAAGCGAAAGGGCTCTGGCAAACAGTTGAGCAGATATGCTTTGACTAGATAGAATATCTGCCGTTATAAGTTTGGAGGGGATCATGAAATATGTTTTAAATTGAATCGGAGAATCACATTCGCTGAAAGTGTGTTCAAATTGAACTGAGTTCGTTTGGTTCAAGTTATACAATACTTTCAACGCCCCTAAAAAAGATCTTAGATCGTCATATATCACTATCATTATAGGCTGGATCTGTTTCTGGATGAATCCTTTCACTAAACTGCCCAATATCAGGACATTGTTAACATAGTAGACATCATGGTTATGTCGAGTCTCGTATTTCACCAGTAGAGATTGCGAACCAGAGATAACTATCAATGTCTCTTTAGAGTCTCTAGGTGATTCTATAATTCCGTTATGACGCTCCACTGTCATTGTTGATGAGTAGTTGTAGTAGTAGTAGTTCCTAAAGTTTACGTGATTCCTTTAACTGTTGTCTATTGGTATAAAATATCACAAAACCATAGATCATACTGATAACGTCACTGAGAAACTAACGAGATGACAACGATTGCCTAGTATGGAAACTGGCTTGAATTATAAAGGTCAATCAATTGTCAGTGAAGTTTACGGTTGTAGTATGCTTCAAGTCATAGGTTATCGTATCCTGTTTCCGAAACTACGATGTAAGCCAACTGGTTGGCTTACATTACTGATACCTCTTACGTATACTCTATACCCTGTACTACTGTGATTACCACTGAGGCCATTACTGAAACTATATCACGTATACACTAGAATAAAACTAAAGTGTATTAAAGCATTCTAAGTTGCAAGATCTTTATACTTTATAGGGTCGTGCCATTACCGATTTGCTGAATCCCATCAAAGAAAAATAGTCAGTATATTTGACTACTTGCTACATAACACAGTATATATGTCAATAAGGAAGGCAGCCCTATAGCTGTTATCATAATGAGCAGAGGAGCAAAGGACGGTGATGATGCGGCCGTAAACAAATATGTACAGGGCAACAATGATATACCGAATGATGAGATTATAGACTCGATTTTTCTGGCCAAACAAACGGTTCATGCTGATGACGCCATTGATTACGAGGACTTTGATGAATTGGCAGAAGATGAACTTGAAGAAGAAGACGAAGGTACAGACCTTGGTGGTGCCGCCAATGAGATAGCTGTAGCTGATGGTGATGGTGGCATGGTAGAGGTGGATCAGGAGGAAGCGGAGTTACAGCGGAGAGCTGAAAAACAATTTGATGATCTCTTTGGTCCCGGTGAAGATGATGATGTTAATAGAATGCATGTTGATGATGGAGGATATATGGGGGATATTGGTGGGCATGAGGGCCATTATAACGATCTTAATGATGATTATTTGATGGCTCCTGATGATAATGGGTTAACTAATATGGAATTGGGGGATATATTTGGTGATGGTGAAGGTGATGATCATGTTGGCTTTGAAGATGATGTTAGTGTTGGAGAAATGTCTGACCATGAACATCATCAACAGTCGACAAAAGTCTTAGTAGGTGCTAGACGAGATGAATCAAGAAGAAAAATCGCTCGAGCAATTGAGAGACTTCGTCGAAGGAAAGTTGAAGGGAAATCAGTGCTACGGCGAATGCTTTCTTATTATTATCCAGATTATAGGGATGATAAACCTTTTAATTTCCATAAACACTTTTATCCATCTCCAATCTACTTTAAAAATCATAGACCTCCTATTGCATTCAAGGAGATCACCAAACCTTTTATTCCTACGAAGATTGCATTTGAATTGGCCCCAGATGGAAGAAAATTGTTCACCAAACCGTTATCTGAGATTTCGTCTTCTTCCTTCAGTAACCAAAACGTTAGTGAGAATCTTGCAAATAAAGACGGATTCATTGTTGAGCTTTATGAAGGTCTTCCTACAAGAAAACCAGTAGAGTTCTTAGAGAAAGATGCTCTGACAGATGATAAATTCATTGAATTCCTGAAAGATTTGGTGCTATCAACAACTGGATGGGACGATGAGCAAATAATAAACCCTAAACCTCAAGCTTCAAATGGAAAGACCAATTCACAAAACACAATTGTGCGTGAACGTGAAGTGCCAGGACAGGCAAAGATTATTGATATTAATTACGATGATGATATGATATTTGAGGGGCAAATAGATAAGAAATTACTTGCGTTGGATATGAATGATCCTAATTTATTATTTGTCCCCGAGAAAATGGCAGCGACATCTAAGGTACTAATATCTCCCAAAGATCGTTTGTTCAATATGAAATTTAATATCTCCAATGATAAGCAATATGAGGTTTTGAAGGCTAATTATCATAAGAAGGTTAGAAGTCAATTGAGTAATTTGAATATTGAGCATTCTGTTCCAGCATTGAGATTACAAACTCCATATTATAAGGTCAGACTTAACAAGCAAGAATGTCGATCATTCCATAGACCCAGATTCAGTGTTCGTCCAGGTACTTTAGTAAGTTTTTCGAAGCTAAAAATCAGAAAGAGAAAGAAGGACCGGGGCAAGACACCTCAAGAAATTTTCAGTAGAACTTCAGATCTAACACTTGCCGATACCGGTCCATTAATTGGTATGGAATATTCTGAGGAATATCCTCAATTGTTATCAAATTTTGGTATGTGTTCCAAAGTGGTCAATTACTATAGAAAGGAGACTAAAGATGATAATACAAGACCGAAAACATCAATTGGAGAAACCCATGTGTTAGGTATGGAAGATAGGTCACCATTCTGGAATTTTGGGGAGGTTGCACCGGGGCAATTTGTTCCAACACTTTACAATAATATGGTTAGAACTCCAATTTTCAAGCATGATCCCAAGTCAACTGATTTCTTGATGATTCGTTCACAAGGGGCAGGAAGTCACCAGAGATTCTATTTAAGAAACTTCAACAGCATGTTTGCAGTTGGAAATGTTTTTCCAGTGGTTGAAGTTCCTGCTCCACATTCTAGAAAGGTTACCAACACATCTAAGAACAGATTAAAGATGGTTGTTTTCAGAGTTATGAATAGTAAAGGAGAATCCCGTATTTCAGTGAAAGATATTTCCAAACATTTCCCTGAGCATAATGATATGCAGAATAGACAAAGATTAAAGGAATTCATGGAATATCAAAGGCAAGGGGATGATCAAGGGTACTGGAAAATCAAAGGTGCAGGTGATAACGTCCCTACAGAGGAGGACGTCCGGAATATGATAACACCTGAGGATGTTTGTATGCTTGATAGCATGCAATCTGGTAATCAGATTTTAGAAGATTATGGGTACCTTTTTTCAGACGAACAGCCAAGTCTGCAAGAACAACAGAAGAAGAAATTTGATGAAAAGGGTGACGAAAAAGACGACAGAAAGGATAAAGAAAAGGATAAGGATGGAGACAAAGATGCTAAAGAAGGTAAGCGGAAGTATAATAAGGATACAGGAGAAATCAATGACTTTGATATTGAGGAAGAGTTGGCTCCTTGGAATTGGACAAGAAACTTTCTTACTTCGACTCAAACCAAGACAATGCTTCAATTAAATGGTGAAGGAGACCCTACGGGTATTGGTTTAGGGTATTCTTTCTTACGGGCCACACAAAAAAGTTCCTTTACTCCACTTTTTGCACCAAAGAGAGAGAATGTTCCTAAGAATACATCCGCAGCTTACCAACAAAAATTATATGAGCATGAGATCAAACGGATTTGGTATGAGCAAAGAAGGTCATTAGCTGACCGAGTTGGTGATTTTGATTTAAGTAAAGAAATTTATGAGACATATAAGCCACTTGATCATTATAAGTATTTGAAACGCAAGTTTGAGGACGAAGAAGAGAGACAAAACAAATTAAGACTTGAAAGAGAATTGAAGCTTGCCGGTGATGACAAAGAAAAGCCATTACCTTCCCAAAGCAAACGGGTTCTTCGTATTGAGAGACGATTCATGGATGAAAATGGGATTGTTCATCGTAAGGTTGAGGTTATATCTGATCCCAGAATAATCAGAGCATATGTTAAACGGAAGAAGGAGATTGAAGACGAGAAGATTAAGAATGCAGATGTTGATGATATTATCCCTACTAGCGACAAAGAATTGAATAAGATTCGGAAGAAGGCATTGCAAGAGAAATTGGCTAATTTGGAAAAGAAGGTGAAGATGTCTAAGAATAAGAAGCCTCCAAAGGATAGTATACATGCTGCTGCTGCTGCTGGGGGTACTATTATTGATGCGAACACAGTGTTATTACCTGATGGTACCTATGCCGTTGGTGGTAAGGGTATTGGTAAAGGAAAGTCGACCAGAAGAAGATGTAAATCCTGTGGAGCATTTGGTCATATTAGAACGAACAAATCTTGTCCATTGTATCTGTTAACCAAAGGTGGAAAGATACCTGCACCACCTGGGGCTGCAGCAGAAGCGCTTCTTGCCGCCAAAAATGACAATAATAATAAGAGTAGCATGAATCTGCCATCGATTTCAAACGCAGCTTCTCCAAGTACTACTAACGGGGTTTTACCTACAGAAAGTGCAAGTAATCCAGCTGCAAATGTGAAACCTGTTGAAGAGAGTTTACTTGTACCTATTGCCACAACTGAAGCGTCAGCAGCTGCAGAATAAGCGAAGAAGGTTGCGAGTTGTTTCAATTGAACGTAATATGTTAAGTTCAAATAAAGGCATATGACAACTGTTAGTAGAATTGTGAATGGTATAGCCGTCTTCTCCTGCACTTACAGGCCAAAACAGGTTGACACAAAAAACGTCAAAAAGCAATTCAAGAACCCGTGCAATTAGGAATATGGAACGGGAAAACGTTAATCCCGCCGGAATAACCTCGACCATGAAGACATGATCGCAAAAGGTTTTGAATAACAATGATGTTTGGATCTCGCGTATAGCTTAAAATGAAGGTACCATGAGTCATATGTGGTTTTATTACCTTAGAGCCGAAGTCAAGGTCGACAATTTATATTTGAAGGCAGCCATTCATTTGTTCGCTTTTATTTACGTAATTTGCAGGACATTTTTCCGACCCTTGTAATTTCAAACACGAGTAAAATTGAGCAGCCAAAACCACTTGAATAAAGCAGTTTAACAGTTTATATCTGCTCGTTAGGTATAAACTTCACAAGATACTTCACCGCGGCACGGTATCTTATAGTTTACTCGATATGAATGAAGAAATGACAAGTGCAAACACCGGAAGCCACTCCGGTCCTGTTTCTGCATATAATACTAGCGATGTAGGTCCAGATGCCGTATCTTTATGTGCACATTCAGAAAATGAGCTGGGATGAGTTCAAGTGACAGCCGAAGGGATCCACAATAAGATGATAAGACACATAATGGACACACATATAAGGCATACGTAGTAGGCACAAATAGTAGACATACTTGGTAGAATTGAGACCTGGGTTATGTCGTGAAGATCCAAGTGTGGCAGGACACAATACCTAGTGTAGTTATGGCATACAGCAATTGTGGCTACCTTTAGATACAGTTGCTTTCTTTTTTCTTGAGGCGTTGATGATAACGTTATCTCACTCAGATCTGACAAACGTACATAATAACAATTTGAAAACCACTACTATTATTTTCCTTTTTTTTTTTTGGTCTTCTCATTGTATTTATTGCGGTGCATTTTTCGTATACAATTTTAGGCCATATACATTTTTAGTCGATTTAATTTTGTTAGTTGTTTCTTCTTGTTCATCATGATGTCTGAAAAAATAGATAGCCTTGAAATCACAACGAACCATGCCACTGGGTACTCCTCCAATGGAGGTTACTTCTCCAGGATGGTTGACTCTTTTAAGCCAATGGAAGTAGTCAGTGAAGATGATAGTACATTGGATTTGGTCACCAAAGGTGTTCACGGTACCGCCAATCAACCTTTGGTCCGCGATTTGAAGAATAGACATGTGCAGATGATCGCTATAGGTGGATCCATTGGTACTGGTTTATTCATTGGTTCTGGTTATGCGTTGAGTGTTGGTGGACCCGCAGCGGTTTTAATTTCATATGTTCTTGCAGGCTATGCTATTTTCTGTATGGTGATGGCATTAGGTGAGTTATCTGTTCAGTTCCCAATTAGTGGATCGTTTAATGCATTTTTCTCACGTTTCGTCGACCCAACAGTGGGGTTCACCTTAGGTCTGATGTATGCCTTATCATGGTTAATTTCATTCCCCAGTGAATTGATTGCTGCTGCCATGACTATTCAATATTGGAATCAATCTATCGACCCTGCTTTATGGGTTGCCATCTTATTTGTTCTTATCATTGGTATCAATTTCTTTGGTGTCCGGGGGTTTGGCGAAGCAGAATTTTGGTTATCACTTATTAAAGTTATTGCCGTCATTGGATTCATCATCTTGGGTATTTGTATCACCTGTGGTGTCGGGTCTCAAGGTTATATTGGTGGTAAATACTGGCACAACCCCGGTGCTTTCAATGGGGGGTTGAAGGGGGTATGTAATGCATTTGTCTCTGCAGCTTTCTCCTTTGGTGGTGTGGAGTTGGTTGCATTGGCAGCTGCTGAAACAGAAAACCCAAGAAAGTCCTTACCAAAGGCCACTAAGCAAGTTTTCTGGCGGATCTTTATCTTTTACATTTGTACGGCCATTGTCATTGGTTGTTTGGTGCCTTATACCAATGAGCAATTGTTGAATGGTAGTGGTATCACTGCATCACCCTTTGTCATTGCTGTTCAAAACGGTGGGATTAAAGTTGTTCCTCATATTATGAATGCTGTAATTCTTGTGGCGGTCATTTCATTGGGTAACTCGTCTGTTTACGGTTGTTCTAGATCTTTGGCGAGTATGGCTGCTCAAGGCTTACTACCAAGTTGGTTTGGTTACATTGATCGTAAGGGGAGACCCTTGGTTTCTATTGGGTTTATTTCCGCATTCGGATTGTTGGGGTTCCTTGTGGATTCTACTAAGGAATCAGTCGTTTTCACTTGGTTATTTGCCCTTTGTTCGGTGGCTACTTTCATCATTTGGGGTACGGTTTGCGTAGTTCATATTCGTTGGAGAGCTGCTTTAAAAGCCCAAGGTCGTTCTACAGATGAAATCATTTTCGTTTCTCCAATGGGTCTCTTTGGCTCCTATTCTGGTGCCCTTGTTTGTTTCTTAATGATGATTGGTGAGATTTGGATCGCACTTTTCCCCCATGGATCTGCTGATGTGAACAACTTTTTCCAATTGTGCTTGTCTATTCCAATTATGATTGTTATGTACGTTGGTCACAAAACATACACTCGGAGTTGGAACCGTTTCATCATCAAATTGGAAGACATTGATTTGGATACCGGACGCCGTGAAGTTGATATTGATTTATTAAGACAAGAATTAGAAGAACTGAAATTGGCTTACAAGGAAAAGCCTATCTGGAAGAAACTTCTTCAGATATTGTTTTAGATGGGTTATTATCGACATATTCTTTTACGTGTATTATATTTAGCATAATTTATTAATTGGTTTTTAAAGTGCGGGTAACTCCTCCGTGATAAAACGACTACAACGACATTCATTAATAACCTGTATTAAACATAAATATACATAGAACTGGATCTCATCCGTTAAGCATTCACTCCAGGTGCATGGCCAACCTTAACCTTTTCGTAAGCTGGGTCTGCCTTAACATAAATCTTCTTTAATGAACTTTTGTTATAGTAATTGGTAGCCATCCAAGCAGCACCGAGAGCATAGAGACCTCCACAGATAGCCAAAGCCTTAGAAGTATTCTTGATAGCCATTTTGTATATGAATAGATTTGTGTGCGATTAAGTGCTGTAGGAATAACTAATATGATGATTGCTTGCCATTCTACTGGAACCCCTAGTATTTATATTCTTGGACTACAGTGGGAGTGAAGGAGTGAGGGGTGGCCCAATTACAATGGTACAATGTAGAGGTGGAGCAAACCTGACGATTTTGGAAGAAATCGGGTTCATAGTATCACCTTATATTAAAGTCACCCCATTTGATGGAGTGACCACTGACATATAAAGTTAATTTTCAATTGTCGTGTGTGTACCATCGAATGATCCATATGGTTCAGCCTCATGTAAAAGACAAAAGACCGGTAGTGGATTTACGGTGTTCGCCGAATATTTCCGAACGATTACGTAAACCATTACGTAGCTATAATATAGTATTAATAAATAGGTAAATATGATTATTTGAATCCATTGGCACTCTTCCCATCGGTTCCTGCCCCATTGGTGTACATGTAAAGAGGCGTAACCACTGGTTGATTGGGCAGTGGAAGTGCCAAAGACGGGAAGATGTGCGACCCCCCAGCACCACCTCCACCAGTTAATGGAGGAGGTATTGTTGAATTAGCCAAGAGCGGAGTACCCAAGTTATTTGTAGTATTTGTGGCTCCATAAAAGGTATGTCCAGTAGCTGGTCCAGCCCGCTGCTGATGCATGGTAGGGGTTGAAGGTAAGATGGCTTCAAGTGGAGGTGGGAGTAACTTACTCACAAGTTGCTGTGGTTGACATGGTGGTGAAAGTGTAGCTGTCATTGAAGATGATTGATTAATTGAATATGTGGAATAATTGGAAGATGATGACACTGATGAATGTGCTGATAACCCTGATATTGATGACCCATTAACAATTATACTGCCTCCTCCGATACTTCCTCCATTGCTATTCGATCTACCACTACCAGGTACTTGTAAAGTGCTTGGAAATGATGATGATGTACTGTTCAGGTGTCCATGTGATGATGGGACAGGGGACACAGTAACGTTCGACATAGGTGGTGGGAACTTGGATTGAAGCATTCCAATAGAAATAGAATGTGATCTTCTATTCATTGGTGATGGAAGTGTAATTGAATGTCTTGGTCCAACACTTTTGGGGGATCTATTGTACCCCATGTCATCTCCACTACCACTACCACTACCTCCACCATATATATTCTGTGCAGAGACAACACTTGGAAGTTCAGAGGAAGTATATTTGGTGGTGACTGATGTTTTTGATTGTGCAACAGCAACAGCACTAGTAGTAGAATTGGATTTGGCAAAGTTTAAGTGTTGCTTAATCACAGGTATCAAATAACTGTTCAAATTATCTTGCAAGATATCGAAATCTGGATAAAGGCACAAATCAACCACATATCTCTTGAAGATCAGTTCGATTTTACCCTTTAAATCCCAAAAACTATCTTCGTCAAAAGCCATTTCCTCGGGTAAAACTTGACTGGTGTTTTGGTTCAAAAGGTAAATCAAAGATTGGTTCACATAATTATCAAGAGATTTGTACTTGAAGATTCCCACAAGTAATTTGATCATGGATAAATACCATTCCACAAAGAATTTAACCAAGGAATCTCGTTCCAAACTTGAAAACTTATTGGGATGAGATGGCTGTTGTTTCAATAAGTTGTAGTTGAAGATAATCGGGAAGCAAACGATCGAGATGTTGTTGTTCACAATATCAATTTGATTATAAATATTGAAAAACTTATCTTCAACCAATTCCTTTGGAGATGGGGGAGGAGTTCTTTGACTTGTGTCCATTAATTGTAGTGTCAATTTTGATAAGTCATTGAGCCCTAAGTTGAATTCCTTCAAGGTAAGCATAAGCAAATACCATGTGTGAAAGGAACTTAATTGAATGATATAATTGTTGAGCAATTCATGGAATTTTAAAGGTGAATTGATGATCAACTTCTTCTTAAATAACTCGAATATTTTGTTACTGGGGGCAAAATTGGCTCCGGTAAATGACATGGATTTGTTAATCAATATTACCGAGTTGTGTAAAGAGTTTTTATTATCAAACACCTGGAACTTTTTGCACCCAACAAAATGGAATAATTCATTGCTTAAAGTGTAAATCACAATCAGTTGAAGGAAGATCAACTCTTCGTTATTTTTAGCTGGGAACGAAATCGCCGATCTGCATGAGTTTTGAAGCACCGAGTTCAATGTCATATCATTAATAAATTTGGAATTTAAAAATGCTTGATACAACTTCAAAGGTTGGAACTCTGAACCATTTGCAACAGGTAAATACTTCAGAAGCAAGTTGTAGACACACCAGAATAGGATTCTGCTATCTGTTAATAAGCACTTGTTTAAATTCAAGAGGTTAGAATATACAACAAACGAAATATCATTGAAATAGTTGATAATCACCTTCAAATTCACATCAGGCGTCAGTAGCTTGTTGTGGAACTGGAGAAAGGTAACGGTTACGATGAACATGTTATTCATTATCTCCACTTGATCAAATAGCTTTGTAAAAGTGTTAGGAATCAAGTCAGTCACAAGCAAGTCCCAGGAATTCTCAAAATACACTCGGCCGTTATCGAAATCATCATTAATGTTATATCCGAGGGAGATAATGGCATATATTTGGCACAACTTGAATTTACTGATGTCCAAGTTCTTATCTCTTTTATTGTCACCACTACCAACGTTATTGGACGTGGTGGTATTATAAATGGCCAAGTACTTGAGCAAGTCCAGAGCCATGGTTATGGTACAAGGATATTGTTTCATCTGGCACAAATGGTTGAAACCAATGAAAAAGTTGTCAATGACGATCGAATCATGGGTATCAAGAATGGAATGAAGTACTTTTGATATCGATAAAAGTTGGATAAGATCGTCGGTTGGATTGTGAGGAATAAGATGGCCAAATGGAAGCGAGAAGTCGAGAGAAGGGGGTAGCAGTGTAGGCGACACAGAGTTTCGGTGGGGGCTGGACTTATTGTTGGGGACAGTACCAGTTCGTGGAGAAACCTCATTATTTGATAATGCAAAATCATTGTCGTAGGGAGGATGTACTCCAGTAGATCCATTGTCTGAGTTCTGCTCTGAAAGCTTTCTTCTCTTTATGGGTATATCCGAGGAGTGATCTGAATCGTCTAATCGTGGAGCAATGGCAAGAGGAGACGTCATGGAATCCGTGGGAGAATTTTGTGGAGACTTTGACAACGCCAAAGGAGAAGGACAGACATTTGTTGTCTCAGTGGTTGAAGAATCTGACGTTGGATTGGAGTGTATTTGCTCTGAAGATTTTGATGATGATTTTGCCTTTGATTTTGCCTCTGTCTCGGTCGATGTTTGCGAAGGGGAGCCTGAGTTTGTTGCAGCGGTTCCGGCTGACGATGTTGATGATGAGGATGATGATGATGGTGTGGCGGATGTGAAGATGTTGTGGACGGTTCTACAGTGGCGTTGTAAAAGATCTCGTCTTACAAATGCTGAAGTGCAATGTAAGCAATGGAACGGCTTTTCATTGGTATGGGATCTTTCATGACGTTGCTTATGTTCTGAACGGGTGAAGGCTCTGGCGCAGAAGGCACAGATATATTTTTTAGTAGCTGCCATGATTAGTAGTCTGACAAGTCTAGGGGACGATTTATCTCTTATTTGGCCACTCCTTTGTTGGTTTAAGTGACAAGATGAGAGAAGGCAAGATGACACGACACGGGAAGCTAATAAAAATAGGTATGGATTCAAAAAGTGAAGCTTAGGGCTTACGTTTATAATACGGAAGAGAAACTACCCCGGTAAATTGACCACACAGGAACAGACAACAGGACAGCCAGACAATGGAAACACACAATCATGGACTAGTTAAGTGGAAGATGTAGGTCGAGTCATCTGAAAAAAGCGAAACTGCAATCCGACACAATTTAGTTTCGTTAGGCATTTCGTGGGGGTGGGGGTGGGGGAGATTTACTACTGATTGACTGACGGAGAGTCAGGGGATTCTTCTCGCTGAATCCAATGGTACATAGTTTCGTCTACTGCTTCTACTACTAGAATTACTATTACTACTAATGTCCGCTTGAACTTGAGCTAATTGGTGTGGGTCCGGAGAGTCGGATGTGTGTTCTTTACTCCTTATGGTGATGGGCTCTGCAGAACCTAAGGCATCGAAAACGGTCAAGCGGGAAACAACCCCGCAAAAATAGAAGAAAGTTTCTGGGGTATCTATATGTAGGTGTTTGGGGTAAGTAGCCTCCGCGGCTTCGAACAATTTTCCGAGAATGTCTGATTTTTCATCCTGTTTTATAATGGCAAGCACCACGGATGTCTCATGTACCAAATTAGAAACATGAAAGTCGAGCTGTGAAGATTGACCGGTTATTAAATAGCAATCATAGTGAAAAGAAGAGCTAGATATAATGTATCTTAGAAATTCGACCCCACCTCGCTAAATCTCTGTAGTAAAAACCAGGGCTCCGTGTCAGATTAAAAATGTCGTCGTCGGCTACCCATGATCTGACGGAGTTTGGCTATCTACCAAATCAAAAAGTGGTGGGGTTAAGTACAGACGTGGGGTGCGCAAGAAATATCGTTTGAAGAAAATATTGTCAGTCATATAATAATAGGCATGAGATCCCTTCACCCATGACCGGCTGTAGTCTGTGTCCTATGTGATAATGAAAACATTTCGCTTACACCAAGATTTTTAATTACTAATGGTAGTAAAGGTAATTCAAATGTCGTTTACGTAAGCGCAATTATTATCTTAATATTGCACTCCGGGTTAATTTTGAAACTACGAATGTGAGAAATATCTGACAATTTTGCGCTTGTGAACAGTACCAAGGGGTTGTCACAGGCTTGATCATGTTGTTCTTCGGAGCCGTGTTCGCTGTCGGTGTAATGTAGTGTTGATTTTTAAAGTCACGAGCCACAAAGTGTAGTTTTGCACGGCAGTAAGGACAACCATATATATATACTACTTTTGTATCGTTGTTTGTCCGATATAAACTCCGGGAAAACCATAAACCCCTCCCCCTCCTTTGCCTAAATTATTATCGCCTGTTTTGTGTATCCATTCAAAAAGCAAGAACTTCCGGGTAACTTGCTCCTATGCCTCAGGGGTTAACTGTAATAAGGCCAGAGAGGCTACACTGTCACATGATTCCCTTGAGATGACTTATGAACCAACGGATACATTGCAAAACGAAGTGTTGAGATTGTTATCGACGGTTACCGTCTGTAGTAAGATACATATTGTATTCTTACGCATTTTATGGTTCTCCCCACTTGATGCCTTGAAGATTCAATTTCTTATGTTAAAAAGTGGGTTCATAATAAATCCCTTTGACCGAAACATTCCAATAGCCTCCATCCAATTACGCTCAATTTCAAGTCGCTTACTTCTCCACCTTTGGTACTCATTCCAGGTGATAAATCTTTTGGTAATAAAAATGTCAGACTATTGATTCTACGTACGTTTTTAACACTCTATCGCTACATTGTAGCTCCTATCTTTGACTCTGACTCTGAAAATTCCCCCCAAGATTCTTCGTGCAATCCTGTGAACTCCTATTCAAAAGATAACTTAAAATAAGTCATTTGACCCCCACTTTGTTTAGTTTCCTTTGCAATGAGTGGCGTATCTACTGGGAAGCTTACCCCATGGGGTAAGCGCAGTCGCCATGTTCCAATATCATCCCGCTTATTCTGCAGATTGCGAACACATGACTCCAGACAGTAAATGTCGTTTGAAACACACCTAAAAATGGCACAAAGAAGTATAGGAGATTCAAAACCGATACGCTACATAAAACCAAAGTTGCCGATAATTCACATGATTCAGGTATGCACAATCTCTCATGAATAAATAATGGATTGAGCAGCACAAGTATCGATTTCACAAAAAAAAGTCCAACGTTACTACGCTTTACTTTCGAAGTAGGAAGGAAGTGTCGCAATTTTAATGTCGTGAATTTCTCGATTGATAAGTGATCCGATGACAACCGAACAGTACAGCGCAATACTGTTAGCCTGAGTAACCGAATAGATACACATTTGAGCCAGGTTAAGCACATGGAACGTCCTCGTCGTGGTAGTGAAGAATCTTTAGCCACTTTAGTCCATTCAGAAACAAATACTTCTCGTTCTATTGCTCCACCCAATGAAGAAGATGCAAACGATGACTTGCTATCGCTTTTATCGCAGAATACGTTGATTAATCATCAAGATCTAATCATGAGACATCCAGTGATGGCATATACTACGGTATCAAATTTCCCTGTTGTTTCATCATTAATGCAAAATGGAGTGTCTGTGTTTCGGGATGTTCAGGCTATTATTGACTATCAAATGAATAAGCAGAATGTTCATCCACTTCTTCTGACATCATCGTCTTATCTATCTCTCTTTAAGAAAACAAGTCCGTTCATGACATTCCATCAATTTGACCAAACCACAGGCGAGAAAACAGAATTTTGCAAGGTCTATTTTAAGATTCTCAGTAACTATGTCACTAGCTATGTGTTTATGTTCTCTTTGGCGAGTGGTATACCTCCAATTGTTATGGCAAATAATGGGATTCATGGTTCTTGTGATTTTTCCTATGCTGATACAAACTTTCGAGTCACTGGGATATCAAATTCGGCCTCCATATTTGGGAACTCTACTAAGATTCAAGCTTTCCCATTGACAAAAGCGTCAAAGTCACTTGTTGATGATCTTGAACTTATTTTTCCCAATGAAAATAATATCAAGAATGTCAAAATCATCTTGGATAATGAATTGGCCCGGATGGTGGATCATCCGGCTTCCCACCATCAAGCATTACAAGCTATACAAGGCGCACTGTATGTCATTGGACAGCGAGACTTTGGTCGTTTCGTCGATAAGGGAAACGTTAAAGTGGGCAACAATCTTCATCAGCATGGAGTCCTCAGCATTCTCAGAAGAGAAAGCCTTGATATTGTAGAGAATGACACATTAGTTACATGCTGTGTATTATTAGTATTACGAGAGCAAGAGTATAGAAAGCACAAGGGGAATAAGAAGGTAGTTTATCGTTGAGCTACTGTATATATTAGAACAATATAAGAGTTAGTTCTATGCAATTGAATAATTAGTTGCAATGCATTGCATTGCATGGCATCGCACTGCATTAAAATAAAGTTCCCGTAATCTACGACTCATTCTTTATAATAACTTTTACGATGTCTTAGTTTATGATACTCTTGAGCACCTTTATGAGTTCTTCACTAACAGTATTCACGTGCTTGTAATACTCCTTATTGTTGACCAAACAAATATTCAATCCCCCTTCTTCTGTGCTAACACAATAGGCGGCAAAAGCACTGCCATTGACGAAATCAGCATTACTGAATATAAGATCTTGGACTCTTAAAACGCTATCCTTTGGTTGTTTGAATAATCCCAAATTAGAGCATTCTAAAGCCGTCTCTCTGTCTTGGGTTATCCCTTTCTCCAAATAGTTCTTTATAGAAGGAATCGCTCTCAAAAGACCGATAGAGTAAATTGGATATCTACAATCATCATTAAGCACTCCGTCAACTTCTATTGACCGCTTCTGAGCTTGCTTTAAAATGGTTTGGGTTTCGTCTCCTTTGAAGTCTAATGCTTCAAGTGGAATAGTAAATCCACAAACGTAAAGTCCTAGCGGTGTTCCGATGTCTTTAATTAACGGTCTAACGTTAATAGGAATGTTACCTTGTAAGCTCTGGTTTTTTGGAAGAAATTCCTTCAAAACCAGTTGTAGGCATGTAATAATCCAGCAAACAAGTCTAACGTTCTCTTCTTTGCATCTAAGTTGTATAGCTTTAAGCGTTTCCGAATCTATGTTAATAATCTCTACCTTTGTATCAGATTTATACTCTGTTTTAGGTACGCTGGCATGTGCTCTACCAAGGAGTTTCTGGATCGAAGGATTCACCAAAATCAGCCAGAGCATTGATACTTTAGTTAAAATAGGAGGGTTGAAGTTGTGAAGTAATTCTCCGTTGGGCATCTTTTTCTCACATCTCGTAACTTGGAAATCCTCGTATAGAAGACTTGAACCATCAATTTGGTTGTTCTTATCTCCGTTTACATACTTTTCTGCTGCTTCTCTAAACTTGGAATGGAAAGCCATCCCACTTATACCGTCCATAGCAGTGTGGTCGTAAGAGAAGCAGGCTGTAAAGTCATTAAGAATATTAAGTCTCCATAATGGTTTATAAGATCCAATTTCCAACCGATTCTCTAATGAATGAGACCATTCAAGAAACTCGGCAGAACATTCAGTATATGGACACGGTTTAACCACGTCATCGTAAAGAATAGTTTTCACAGGATCAAGCTGCCACTTTTCCACGCCGTCAACTTCCTTGTAGTTCGTACGAAGCGGAGAGTTCTCGTGAATCAATTCTTTAAGCACCTGGAATACGAGGTTCTTATCTCCAAAAATAGGTAATCCATAGGTTCCGCCAACGCTTACACAGGTGGAAAGCTTTAGTTTATTTCTGTAGATGTAGTAATCTTCCAAGCCTGTGGTCTGTCTCATTCTTGAAGTACAACCCGGAACTGGGTGATATCTTGGAACAGTCTAAAGATCTCTTCATATTGTTGTGAGTCCACATGCAGTATGGGACCCAGCCTTAGCCCCTATATGCTGAGATGGAAGGGTAGATTTCCAATAGAGTGTGAATACTGCTGTTGAAGACGAAGGAGATACTCCAATTAAGAATGAGCTCGTTGTTTTCGTCTCTTCCAATAGACCTAAATGCTAGAAGACATCAATTTGAAGTTGATAAATTACGCATGTTTGTACGTTAAAAACTGTTTATTTTAATTGTGGTTGCATTTGAAAGTCAATATATATATTCACTGTCTGATGTATGTCGTATCCCTTACGTACGTATACATAAACGAGGTTTTTATCGCATTATGCATACGGCCCCAAAAGGAAAAATGTATGCGAACGATTTCTGTGATTTCCTTATACTTCTTGGTTTAAATCGAAACTACCTGTTGTAACCTAGCCTTGAGAAAACACAAAATAATAATTCTTTAACATTGATGTAACTAGCACGTGGGGCTGCCAAGACTAGATTAAAAGGTACAATTAAAAGGTACAGCTTTGGTGAACCTCTCATTGCTCTCGTGAATCCTTCTCCATTCCATTGCACTCAGACTACAAGGGAGATCACGCATAAGTTGTGAGCTCCGACAAGACGTGCTTACAAGACAAAATAAAGCCTCAAAACGCAATACTAAAATTCAATTGCGTACCTTATCAACTGTTTGGACTACTGCATTTATAAACTCTATTGTTTGAATTTTTTAAGTAATTTGACGTGCTTCTCGAATGCAGCATCACACACGATGTTTTATATAATGTTCCTCTTCGGCAACGTAGATTCACTTTTTCAAATCAACCACTACCACCACAATGTTCCAAGGCGTCAAAGATCATATGAAGGGGTTCCCGTATAGACAAATGCTAGTCATTTGTCTTATCAGATTCAGTGAGCCTTTAGCATTCACCTCCATCTTCCCCTATATGTACTTCATGATTAGAGACTTTCATATAGCACCGGATGAACATCTGATAGCAAAATACAGTGGTTATTTGGCCTCTTCATTTGCGTTATGTCAATTTATCTTTGCTGTCAAATGGGGTAAGCTATCGGATATCTATGGACGTAAACCCATTCTTCTTTTTGGCATGTGTGGTACCGTTGTATCATTATTGGTATTTGGATTCAGTACAAGCTATTATATGGCCTTTGGAGCGAGAATGATCGCTGGATGTCTCAATGGGAACGTTGCAGTGCTTCGGACAATGGTTGGTGAGATTGTAAAGGAGAAGAAACATCAACCATTGGCGTTTCTGACTCTTCCGCTTCTATTCAATTTTGGATCGACTTTAGGTCCATTGATTGGCGGTTCTTCTTATTTCACTCGTCCCAAAAAGGATAACCCTTATGGAACAAATTCAACTCTTAGTGGAACCCCAATAATTTCCGGAATCTTCAACGCCATCTCCGCTCCAGGGTTTGGGTCTCTTCCAGACCAGATTCCTTCTCTGTATATCACCACAGAAGGTTGGTCTCTGTATCACGATAAGTTCTTGGACAAGTACCCCTACGCCTTGAGTAACATAGTTGTGTCAACTATCATTCTAATCAGTTGCACCATTGGCCTTTTCCAGTTGCAGGAAACGCACCCAAAGCTTCAGAAACGTCGTGATCCTTTCGTTGACTTTGGTGATTCTTTTTTGCGATGCATCGGCTTCTCCACGCCTGAGCGGCCATGGCATCAAAAGGAGATCGATGACTGCAATGAAACCGCTCCATTGCTTGGATCTCGATCTGAATCTGAATCGAACTCTGAATGCGGTGAAGACGAGGGCGGATTGAGTCCCGTGTTCACAAAAGGTTTGGATAGAGCCATAGTAAATCAATATGGCACTAACGGCCATACAGCAGAAGAGACTGCGGGTGAAGAAACCATTCGGCCTTTAACTCGTGCATTGTCTAGAGATGTTGAAGAATCACCAGGTAACCAAGTTACTACGGTGCAAAGTATAGCCAGTGGGCCAACTGATTATTCCAACGCATTTACTCCTGCTGTGATTACTGTGTTAACGTCTAACTTTATTCTTTCCTTCCATGCGATCTGCTACAACGAATTTTTACCTGTGTTCCTTGCGTCACCACTTCAACGCAAGTATCTTCACTTCCCATTGTCGATCAAAGGGGGTTTTGGTCTTACGTCCGAGTTTATTGGGAAATTATTCTCGTCTACCGGGATCGCGGGCATGGCTATCATTCTTGTGATCTTTCCCCTAATCGACCGGAAATTAGGAACCATACGTGGGTTTAGATTTCTGTGTTCGATCTTCCCCTTCATGTACTTTTTTGTTCCACTCACTATCTTCACCCATCACGACTACAACTCGAACTTCCCAAGATGGGTTATGGTGGCTGCGTTGTACACCATTACTTCGCTTAAAACCTTAGCACAGCTGACGGGGATGCCTCAGATCACTCTTCTTAACCATCGAGCTGCTCATGTTTCCCATAGAGCCTACATCAACTCCACCTCCATGAGTATAATGGCTTTAGCGAGATTTACAGGACCCATGATCTTTGGGTATGTGATGAGTTTTGGTGATTCTTTAGGTCGTTCATGGTTGATTTGGTGGTGTTTAAGTATGCTTTCATTATTCGGTTTCTTCCAGTCCTTCCGTATGGACGAATATGCTGATTGAAACTAAAATATATAGAGACGCATAGAAGAACATGTGTCTGCCCAACAATGCACACATTACGCACATAGTGCACCACATTAGTCAAACTCAACTACATGAAGATAAAACCAGGTTTATAGTATTAAAGGATGTGCATAAAGACTGTAGCTAACTAACTGTCTTGATTAAAGGTATAAAGAAGCAAAGCAACGGAGTAAAAGAAGGCAGAGTCCACCACCAGCAGGACCTAACCCATTGATAATATCCTCACCGGTGGATAACCAGGAAATAAATACAAAATTCTGTGAGTACTAGTTTATTGACAAAACTTAGAATCTTTGGTTGGCCTTCTTCCTGGCTACCAACTTCTTTTGGACGAACAAACCAAAAAGAAGAATACCGATGGCACCAAGGATGCAGAAAACAAGAATAACACCTGCAGGCAACATTATATATTATGGGATGAGATGGACGAGTTTAATTAAAAGAACAGTAACTAAAACTTTAGTAAAAAAATCGTTGAGTATTCCAAACAGGGAATACGCTGGTTTATATATGGGGGGAGATGGACAAAAATATTAAATTTGCGTTTTGTTCAACAACAGATTGCATATAGTTTACCGAGAGTCCCATTTCCACTTGTCTTTCTTGTTACAGACGCTACGAGCCGCCGATCGGCCTGATGCCGGTGCATTCCTAATTAGAATGAGCCATTGAATGTCGCTACTACTACGGGAATTGTTACTGCGGGAAAGGTTACTACTTGAAAGGCAACTACTTGTAGCGTTGCTTCTTGCAATGAGTTTTGCTTGAATGAGTTTGTATTTTGGAAAACACTGTCTCTATCTGCAAAAGCCTCACTACCCACCGGGGTTCACTCTTCCAACAAGGTAATAACAACAAACGCTGGTTATTTATTTTACTATTGAGATAACAATCAAAGTACGAAAACATGCATTAGGGTTTGGCATAGACGGCATGCCGGGGTGGGTTCTAATTGGGCAGTGGGGTATAAGTGAGGGAATAAAACACATTTGTGTTCTTGTGAGCCTTTCATCGTTCTATCCGATCCCATTAGTTGAAGGTATAACGGACCGGTCGCTTTTATACCAGGAACAAGGCTTCTTATATACGTACGTCCAAGATTCTTTATCTGTAGCTCATTGCATGCCAAAATAAACTGATTTACTATATGTTATCGCCGATTTTTACAAACAACAACTTACATGATCATATTTACTTTTAGTTCTTTTCTATGACGGGGTGCCACCTTTTGACGTGCGCAACCCCCTAAGTAAATTTGAATTTGATGTATGCGCATGCATGTAGCTTATGATAACCGACGTCTGTAATCCAGTAGCTTTCACCTGTTTATACCGACTGAAATCATCAACGGTCGGTCGTTAATTAACTCATTTTAGCTTTATTCTCACTCTACTATACGATGATGTATTTCTTATTGGAAAATGTCTCCATTGGAGCTGGCGAACGGAATAAACGGGACCACCCAGATACATTAGGCTCATGTGCACAATGTGACACAAAATCTTTCCGCGCACAATAGAGCGATTAAAATGTGTCCAATAGAAAAAAACACAAAAGAAAGCTACTTTCGAATAGACCAACAACAAGTATGCCCCTCATTGAATTATTTTTTTCTCTTGTAACATAAAGATGTCACCTTACGTACTTGTTGCCAGAAAGTGTTTAAGTTTTATCATGAGTAGAAAAACCCGGTAGTTTTTCCGAGGGACCAAGTATAAAAGTTATTCGGTGTTTTTGTTCCTGCATCCAACACTTCTCTGACGCAACTGTTTACACTTGAACACTTTCTACCACTAGAGTTTGCTGGTGGACCAGAGGTTTCCATAAAAGCTCAGTTATAACTTGTACTGGCCAAAAAAGAGAATTAAACACCACTTGGACAATTTTCACTTGAGCTTAACCAACCGAAACAACGGATAACTTTTTTGCGGCCATGGTTTAAGGCTCTTGAGAATACGGCTTGACTTTTTTTTGACAGTTCTCCTGTCACTTTGTTGCGTGGTCAGACGTCAAGCATTACCATGCGCCAAGTATTCTGTAAGATTATTTTGGGTTTTTTGTGCAATAAGTCGGATCTTGGTCACGTGATAACAATAAATTATAATAGTACAATTATATAAATCTCTCTCTAAATATGTACGCATGTTGTTCTATTCACTATGGTATTGCAATGATGAAAGAAAGATGCAGCGTCCTCACGTCATCAGAAATCTCTAGGATTCTTAGACTTGGTTGAAGGGCATTAATGCCGAGGACTCGGGTATAAAAATAATATAATCATAATGCTAATAATTATGGGTAAACCGATTGTTCCCTAATCGGACTGCATATCTCATCAATTGAACGGATTTGGCACTATGGAGAAGTCAACAGTTTGAAAGATGATGGTAGATTCCTCGGCTGGCTCGTATTAAACAGTCATCTTCGAGTAATCTTCTTTTGGAGTAAACACATGAAACAAATTGATAATCTTTTCAGGCAATAATTCGAGACGGTCGTCGACTATTACCAAGCATTTGGTTCGACTGTTCTGTCAAAATTTTATTCAGCGAAATAGTCGGCGCCATGTCATCTTGAAATTGCTCAGAGACATATCGTCGTTTTACATTGGGAGCAGGCTTAGCCTCCTCTGGTAAACTCAGGCCAACTTTAATCTTCCTTCTCATAGCACTGATGGACATGGCTGAAATCATTGACAGCAATGGAGCAGATGGTCGTGTCTTGGTGGTAGTGGGTGTAGTGGATCTAGCACTGGCTGTAGTAGTACTGGAGGCTGCAGTGGCTGTAGTAGTAGCTGTAGTGGCTCGTTTGGTGTACTTTGAGATGTATTTCAGTTCCGTATTGTTCATGGAAGAAGTGTCGTCCTGTGTATCTTTGGGAGCCCTTGTGGCGGTTACCAGTTTCTGTTTCAGCTTCTGTTTCAGCTTTTGTTTGAAGGTTTTATTAACATTATTCTCTAACGTTTCATAGTAAGCCGTTTTCATTAAATCAAAGCATTGTCGACGCAATATACGCCAAAGATCTGGATCTTCCGACCCTTCTAGTTCAATGCGTTTGATTCGAGCTTTCATGTCACTCTTCCCAGTATTTGAGTTGAGAATAGTTGGTCTGGGCTCAAACTTGATGTCCTCGTAGTTCTTATTAAACTGTTTAACATACTCTGGGTCCAACTTAAGAATATCTCCGTGTCCACATTTTTCAAGCAACTGTAATATCGTTAAAGATTCACCAGGAGCCTTGGCTTCAAGATTAGAGGGAGTCACACAGGAAGCATTGACATCTTTCCGTAGATACTTATCAACATCAACCTCCAGAAAGAATGCAACCGATTGTGGAACCTCGGTGATGCTCAATTGCTCGGAAAACATGGCTCTGGTCCACAAATTACTAATTTGCAAAAGTAAGGCAATCTTAAATTTGTCATCTTCATGCACAAGATATCTCACTTCATCATGAACGGTAAGCAATAACCGAGCGTCAACTTTATACAATTTGGTCAAATAATCCATGGACATAATCAACAAGTGCAAGTAGTCAACTCCGGAACTTTGAATGGTCCAGTTGATTCTAGAGGTCAAATAACTATTGTTGGAGTTGAGATTCCCTACACTAAGAGCATCAGTTATTCCAGCTCCAAGTACTGGAGTTCGTGGTTCTGGATTCCCGGCAATTTCTTCAAGAGCATTGAACACAATGGATTCCGTACCTCCATAATAAAGCAGTAAGCCATTTTTGGGTGCTTCTTCGCCATATAATGCTGATACCTCAGGCTTATTATAATCATTCCGATACAAAAACTTACCCCGACTTCCCTTTGTCCGAGTGTACAACTCATTGGCCATTTTACTGGCTTCAGCATCAGACAAAGTAGGATTACACTGCTTCAAAAGCGTCCCAGCAAACTTCTCACCGGCCCCATAGATTCTACCATAATTAAACACTTTGGCGTCATTCCGTGAAATACCCAAGATTTCAGCTGTCTTCAGATGTAAATCCGTTCCCTCATTCTTTTCACCTTCAAGGGTCATCCAACCTAATGGACAACCTCCATGGACCAAATACTTGGAGTCACCAATTAAACTGGCTATCCATAACTCTTCAGAGTCCACGTCTGCTCCAACAAATACATAACCCTTGGGTGCTTCTATTAAAGACTTCAACTCGCTCCCGATCCTATCTGCTTTAGCGTTTGAGGCAGTAAGCCATGTGTTTTCCGTTGCCCGTCTGGTGATGGTACCCATGGTTACAAACTTTGGAATAATTATGCCCATATCCGGGTTTGAACTCTGTTGTTCTGGAGTCTGAAAGAATTGGTTCTTTTTATTCTCCGGGTCTTGGTATATGACAAATTGGTCCATGATTCTGTTCCTGTTACCCATCCAGTACGACGCCATGCTATTCAAGCCCAAGATCTCTTTGGCATACTCATAATGACTGGACAATACCCCGTTGTCGAAGTATTTCAGGTATGATTTCGACATAACCGAGGTACACCGTTTCTTGGGTCCACCAGGATGTGGAACCTTGAACAATACATAAGACTGACCCAAGTCTTGAAGCTCAGGTAAGAACTTCTCTAAATCTTCTTCAGATAACCGGGCTTGGTTATAATTTTTGGCTTCAAATTCGGCTATTCTGTCGTCGTTGTAGGGCACCTTGAAACACCAACCTTGAGAGTCTGTCCAGATCAAAGGTTCACCCTCCCATTTCAATCGTAGTAATAAGGGAGTGATTCTGGTTCTCACAGTAATGTTCAACTGTTTCTCCTTTGTACCGTCCGACAACTCAACCATCTTGAATAACTCACGATACCAATTCGGGTATCCGATTAAAAACGATTGTTTCTTGTAAGGAGTCCCATCCTTTTTGATTCTTGCTTCCTTGATGGTCCAATCCAATTGTTTAAGCCATGGGTCGGTTTCCCAATCTGGTTTCAAGGATTCATCATGCTGAACCGCAAATTGAATCAATTCGTCGGCTCTAGACTTCAAAATGTCCGAAACTTGTTCTCTGTTGTCTTGATATATTCTCTCTGCCGTAGAAACATATTCGTCCCACTTCTTCGTGGTGGGTAGGAACAAGGTGCCCATGTGTCTGAGAACTGAAAAGGAAATAGGATGGGGGATCTTCGACTCATACCGAGGGAACAAATGCTTGATCACAGCAAATGTGGCATCGACATCCATTGCGCAATAATCCATTAAATCATTGAAGCTATCGATAATCTCCGAGGTTTCAAGAGTTTCAAAGATATCCCGTGTTTCCTTCTGTAATTTGATTCCACAGTGGAATTCAGCAACGTTAGCCAACGAATTGGTTGAGCCCTTCGAGAGCCATGGGTCGTCAATCAAGTCAGAATCAATTTCCTCTTGCATATCAGTAAAGTCTGTCTTCATGCTAGAAAAGATTGCAGCAGTTTCTGCAGCAGTGTCTGTAGAGTCTTCTTCGTTCATTAACTCTTGAAGTTTCCTCTTATTCTTCTTATGCTTCATCCATCGAGGTCGTTGTTGAGACGTGATTCCGCTGGTTGCAACGTGCAATGCCATACCATCTAAATAGAACGCTTGCGACTGTTTGATGTTGTATTCATCGAGAACACGAGCTCTGTCGTAGCTGACATTGTAACCCAATATCAACTTATCATTGTGTAGACAGTTCATCGGTATTAAGTGCTCGTAAGAAGCATCAGGGGATGCTTCAAGCAATGCTGGTGATACCCAGCCGTACCATGCCTTTTCAGACGCACAGACGGCCATGACGGCAAATGGAGACCGTTTATATTGTGTTTCCACATCAAATACCAATGCGTCTTCAAGAGGATACGGCACGGGTTGCGGTGGCTCGTTAGGTGCATATCTGGTCCAGCCTGATTTGAATTCCCAAGCTTTGGGTCGTGGAGGAAGACTCTGCTTTAAAAAGTCATGACACATGGATCGGTAGGGCTCACTGGCATGAGCACCCACCTTGTAAAAATGTTCATCTAAAGTGTTGTTGCCTACTAGCTGGGGGAAGTTGGAAATATTGATTGGTTCCAGGAGTTGTGTTTTCTTGCCTAGTAAGCCGTTCCGTTCCAATTGGAACCGTGCTTCGTCCAAAAGCTGGGGGTACGGATGGTTCAAGTAGCTGGTGCTAGGGACTCGGGGGAACACTTTCAGATGTAAATCTTCAGATAGATACTGTATACCTACTTGGTTTATTCGAGGAGGTTCATTGAACTGTTTCACTGCTTGTCGTAGTCGACTTGTGTACGATAAGTGCCGTATTATTGTACCCCGGAGGGTGGACCGTAGGAGGGTCATAGTCAAATGTGTTTGTTTATAATGGCAAATTGTTTAGACGTGGGTCTGGTTCTATAACTCTGTACTTATATATATAGTCATGAATGTACATATATGTATGGAAGTATTGCTATGGATTGATCTCTACCCCTTTGATGTTTCAAGTGGGGAGGCAAAGCAGTCTACACTGTGAAAGATGGCGATGGTGATAAAGTAGTATTATTTTTCTTTGTGTAGTTAATATTATGTGCATACTACGATGGTGGTACTACAAAATTATGGCATCAAAAAATGACGTGCACCGTTGCTAAGAATTATGTAAGTGAATAAATGTGTGAATGTATAAATATGTATATGTATACCTACATGTACGTATATGTAAGTGATTAATGTATGTATATGTATGTTTCTAAATGTATTAATTAAAGCTTTAACATATCTAGTGGCGCTGTAAAAGTATGATATGATTACATCCAATTGATTGCATTCATTTACACCAAGGATGGATCTGCTCCTTGCCGTTCCCCAGCATTTCTGTTCCAATTTACCACAAACTCAATGTTTTGTCCTTGGCCCCTTTTGGAAGACACGAGCGACTTTCCGGTTACAGCGAAAACGTAAATGAATCGAACGAAAAAAAATCCCACGTCGGTCAGAGGCCCTTTGTAACTGACGCTCCAACAAACCTTTGTTATTATTTCCGACAAATTCGTTTCTGGAAACTGAAACCCAATATGTATTGGTGCAGTTCCAGGTTCCCCAGAGTGCTGAAGTGACTTGCAAGTTTGTTCTTCAAGTGTTTTGTTTACTTATTCTGCCTTATTTCCTGATTTCAACAAATATCTCGACCAAACAGAAGGCGCTGCCCATTAAATTCGAACGAGGAAAATCTGTTGATCAAATTATTATATAATTAACAACACCAACCAAAATAAACAACCAATTGCACTACCACCAATTGGCACCCAATTACTTATAGCTTTATATACCACCACTGTTATACTGTTTTACACATCAGTATGGTTGTTGATTACACCGGCTATAAGAAAGCCGACCTCACGAGAGTAGCACAGCTTTTGGATATCCATACCGTAACTAAGGACACCAAGAAGATCTTGACAGATAAGTTGGACAATTATATCCTCAGTCATCCTCAAGATGGTGAAGCCACCGTACAACAGTTGTTGGAGTTGCCACCACCAGTAACGGAAGAAATCAGTCTTCCAACCGCCAATCCTCAAATCGATGCCGACGCTACCACGAGCGACTCGGACGACGACCACTTACCACCACCAGTCGTACGCGAAGAAGTTGAGGAGGAGGAAGAAGAGGTTGAGGTTGAAGTCGAAGTTGAAGAAGAAGAAGACGATGAAGAAGACGATGAAGAAGACGACGACAACGTAGAAGGAGAAGAGAAAGATATTAATGACGACGAAGATGATGAAAACGATGAGGACTACACCCCAGGCCCTCCGGTCGACTTGAAGGAATGGATCGTGGACCCTTTGGTTGAGTTTGGTGAATCCACTTATCAAAAGTTCTACCAGTTCACAGACAGAGTGGGTATCACCACGTTGCCTGAAAAGGCAAGAGGAACCTTATCTCAAGTCGTCACCTTGAACTACTTGTTAGTGTTGATGGAATTGGCTTACTTCACCGCAGCCCACATCAGGTTTGTTCCCATATACAAGAACAACTTATTTGTGAAATCATATTTGGTGACCTTAATACCTTATTTGAGGACTGTTTCCATTCCCTTCCCTGACTTGACTGTCCTTGGTGACTACACTGTGTACTCCACTTTACTCTCGTGGATTGGTGTCACTGTTGTGTTGCCCTTATTTATTTCGTACTTTGTCAACTTCTCCAGTCGTTTGGTGATCATCAACGACGACGAATCAAACTTGTCAAGCTTCAGATACGACTATGATCCCTTTACATTCAACCTTGTTCGTCTTGTGATCATTTACTTTATCAAAGATTTGACTTTGGAATTGACCGCCGACTACGTGTATCAGGGACTCGTTTCGCATGTCAAGCACTCTTGGACGTCTTATTTGTTCAACTTGAATGTCTTCATCCATGAATTGGGCACTTATCCTACCATTCTTGGTTTGGCTAACGTCTTGCTCGGTATCTATGCTCAATTCGAGGAATTATAATAAAGACACTGATTTATTTTTATTGCCTCTTTTTATCTTGTTCCCTTCTATTGTTTTTAGTATTATTATATTTAATTGATTTACCTGTGTACTTGTCTCACCTATAATAATGTGTATAGAAATGTTATGTGTGTGTATTTGTTCTATTCACATATATACATGTTTACTTGTTCTAAATGGCCGTGGACATTTTCTATAAATAAATGTGTACTTGTTCTATACATATTTATGCATGTATGTATTTAATTATTTTACAGGCCATCTCGTATTAATTCCCATGGCATCCAAATCCTCGTTCAATTCATTTCCTTTGGCAATTTGAGGACCTTGGAAATGCTTCATGATCTTAGCTAATAGTAATGCTTCCAGGTACTTACTAACATCAATATCCTCGACCGACTTGCTACCACCAGGCGCCAAATGGCCCATACTATTGCTCGACAGTGATGCAGCTGCTCTTCTACCTCGTCTCTTTGGCGTTGTAGGTCCCGGTCCACTACCTCCCCCAGTGCTAACATTACTTGATTGCGGCATACCAGAATTTGTCATGTCTCCTGCTGCTGCATTGAAAACAAGTCTATCAATCACACCTGTACCCATGGCCGCAAAGTCAGACGTGTTACTGTCTGAGCCACTGGTGTACATTGGATCATAAAGTGCACTTTGGAAGATTTTATGTTTAACGTTGATGAGATTAGACTTGCTTATCTTATCAGCTGACTTGGACTTCATGGTGAGGTTCTTCACTTGATTGGGTAAATCTCCAGTAATTAAATCGAACTCAGCAGGTGTAATTAATGGCATCAAATCATGTACAAGTGCAGTCGATGATTTCGCCAGTAAAGTATCTGAAATTGAATGTGGATCTTTAAATAAGTTGGAATCCTGTGGACTAAATGAAGCGCTGTATCCTGTAGGAGCACCACCTTCGTTATCAAATATAAAAGAATCTTCTTCTTCCGGTTCAACGCTTTCTGACTTATGGCGGAGAGCTTTCTTAATTACTTGGGCATAATCCGTATCATTGTTGACTCCATAAAACAATTTAGAGCTTTCTTTGGATTTGATATCAAATATCTCGCTCGATTTGTCTTCTAAATGCAGATTAAGAATCTTGCGTTGGTATTCAAAAAAATTCTTTAACTTCTGAAGCTTATTAACCATCATCAAATTCAAATTCTTATAAGCTTTATTTGAATCTTGATAGAATTGTAACGAACATTTCAACTTTTCATAATCATCAGCTAATTTCTGTCTTATCAACTCAGTATCTCTCTCGACTCCTATGTCATTCAACTTCTGCTGTAATTCCTCGTTCATAATATCGCCCTCTTCAGCGATGAACTTGATTTTACTCTTTCGTAATGTTGATAACTTTTCAAGTAACGCAAGTTTCTTCTCTTGGTATATTTGATGTTTCTTTTCTTCTGTAAACGACTCAACAGCGGTCAAAGCATCCTTTAAATCAGCTTGTCTTCTCAAGAAGAAGTTTCCACTTGCAGAAACTATATCTCTATTGATGTTTGGAATTATCTCTTTAATGGAATCAGGGTAAGAAGCAACATTCCTGTCAAGTTCTATCTCCTTAACTTCGGTTGTAGTAAATGGGTTGTATCTTTCAATGGCCCCTTTACTTACTACGTCGTTCCTTCCATTTCTCGAATCACTTATAATACTAGTTGTAGATGCATAGTCTGATGGAATAGTGTTCACAACAACCTGACTATCAACGGAGTCTTTAGACCACGGAAATATAGGTTTTCTTTCGGAATCCAAACGATAATAATCTTGATAATCGATATGTTTAAGAAACGCATAATCATCCTCGTCTTCTCCCTCGTTGGTTTTCTCTGCGTCATCCTTATGATCATCCACACTATCATCATCCAGAAACTCTTCACCTAAAACTCTTGCATCTTCTTTACGGCGAAGTTCATCTTGTTTGGCAATTAGGTTGGATATTTGATCGGGCGAAGAATTAAGCAACTCATAAAGGGACCCTGCGGCACTGGCCACTATCATATCAACCCGAGGAAGATATTTCAGTGCATCTAAGAAACTGTCAACTACCTCTGGCGGCGTAAGTGGTCCCTTGTCCGAATGGATTGGATATGGCATGTAATTAGAAGGAGGAAAAGGTAAAGGAGCAATTTCTGGGTACTCTGATGGAACAAGTACATTGTTGTTATTATTCCCATTTTGCTGCAGTAACTCTATGCTTTCTCTGAACTTCGATAACGAATATGGGATTTCAGATGGTTTTATTATAGGTGGAGGGGGATAAATAAATGGAACATAGATTCCCCCCTCGAGACAGGGTATTTGTTTTGCATTAACCCTGGGTGTGGAAGTAGGAGACGTATTAGGTGTGGCATTATTATCCAGACCAGAGTCTTCCGATGAAGTCATATACCGATGTCTGAAATCTTCAGCCGTTGGAGCGGAACCAGCAGCGGTGGCTAACAATGACGAGGATGGAGGGTATGGCGGTGGGAACTGGTATAAGATGTTCTGGACCTGTTCATGGACTTTCACATCTGTTACCTTTGGGAAATCAGTGTAGAAGTCATATATGCTTGTTTTCAAGGGGATTATGGGTATCATGTCTGAAGGAGCAGTGTGAGCCATTGGAGTGAATTTTTCATTGTATATTGATTCGTCATCTGTTATTTTAAGTCTCTTATGTTGTCTTAAAGACAGCACGATGTCTTCAGGACATGGTAATTGAGTTCTTTTCTGTGGAAGGGACGACGTTGAAATTGGCGGTACAATCGACTGATGATACGCATGAGGATTACTTCCTGTTGGGAGCATCGCTGTGACAGGGATCTGTGGAACGAAAGAAGGGTGAACATTATGCTGAATAGGCTGCAAATCAGTAGGTTCCAATACCTGACCATACGAGCTTCTTGATGTGTCATTAGAAGCGTTGGTGAGCACTCCTGTTTGGGGATTAAAGGAAGAGTACGATTGGACGGGCGGAATAATATTTGGTGAGGTTTGTTTCCATGCATTGGTCGACAGATTATTATGCGGGTGAAGATGAGGATCGCCTGAAACGCCAGAAAGCAAGGACGGATTTGGAGCCTGTTCTGGAGGTCGAGGGAATGTATACGACGATATAGCCGGCAAATGAGATCCCATTTGGTCCTGTTGATTATTGGAATATATAATTTGCAGTGGTGGTGGAGGTGGAAGTTGTTGCAAATATTGTAGGGGAACCGTTGGGGATGTGGAGAATTGCGGTTGCAACTGGGTTCCGGTTCTATTTCCAGGGTTCATGCCACTACTCGATAACGGATTCTGATGCTGGTCTTCTGTAGAATGATTCATGACCTCCTAATGTTAGTTATAGATATTATTAGAAGATTATGGTATGTTGGCCGTGCAGAGCAAAGAACTTTGAGTGACAGATTTGGTTCGCTTCGTGCCAAATGAAGACGTCAGGTATCGCAACTTTTTCCTGGTATTTTTTTTCGTGCGACAAAGTTCAATTTAGACTGGGTCGTGGTGCAGGCAGTCGAAATAATGCACAGAGTTCAGTAAAGTTCGACCTAAGGTAATGAGCTACGGCAATACGAGCTAATGTATACGAGCTGTGGTGATTTCAGCTAATTAGATGTGCTAATGTGATACGAGCTGCGAGCTGTGGTAATCTCAGCTAATCTAATGCGAGTTTTAGAAAACATCCGTGTACTTAATGTTTGCCTAGGTCGGTTGGAAGATTTGTGTCGTGGCGGAACGAAACAATGTCACGTAACATGGACATCACCGATAACGATACACAACGAAAATTCATATTAATTATGCTTTAGGACTACACCTTACTGTAACTGGTAGAGTGAAACCACCATTGAAGTTACTTCTATTTCTTCTCTATAGTTTTGAGTGTTTTTTTGTAAGAAATCGATTCAAATTGTACCCAAATGATTACTGAAACTTTGCTCAACAAACCAACAAAAAGTAACCAAATTTGAACCTTACTTTTTTCATACTTTGTAGACCCCAGTAGAAAAGCTCACTACAACTGAATAACGATCTACGAAGCACCAGACTATTAGCGATAATACTATTTCACAAATGCTTTAAGTTCAACATATCATTCCATTACACTACTATATTGCCTATCACTACAACTACACTATAACTTCAACCACGTACACTACCTACTTCAAATCAAGCCTTTTTTATCGTATCACCACAGTACTTTTGTACTATGCCCCCACGTCTTCACCCCTAACACCAATAATGGTAGCGCCAAATCAACGGCTACACGACACAAAAAACCTTGTGTTCATTTGGATTTGTTTTGAGAGTCGAATTTTTGATATTGATTCTCTTTAAATTCTTTATTGAACACAAGCGATCAATAAGATCAGAGTGTGATCCATCTTGAGACTCATCATTGGAACACGTGTATATTTCAGTGTCAGCTTCCAACGGGTCTTGTTTGAGTGAGTGTCTGATCTACAGACAGGCAGACACAGCATACACAGCAGGTAATCGGACACATCAGTATTTGTTGTCAGACATAAGATACTGCTGTTGTTGTCGGACACAAGATATTGCTGTTGTTTTCGGACATAATTTTTTGCTGTTATTTATCTCCGATCTGACTTATTCAATACAGAAGAATATCGATTCTGATGACACCTATAAAAGGAAAGACATTAAAAGCTGAACCAAAGCAATTGGTGCTAGCTAAAATGCTGGGTTGGCCCGCATGGCCATCGTTTGTGATGCCCACGAAATTGATACCTCCAGCCGTACTCAAAGCAAAGAAGAAACTGACGGAGTACTGTGTTATTTTCATTCCGGATGGGGATTTCTATTGGATGAATGAGAAGTCAATTGAAGTGCTAAGTCCAGACAAATTAGAGAAACGATTACTTAAAATAAAACCTTTGGCAGAAACCCTGGGCAATGGGTCGCGGAAAAAGGGTAAAAAGGGTGGACTGAATAGCAATGGAGGAAGCGGTCGTACCTTAAATGTGAATGATGCCCTAGTAGCAGCAGAAGGATTGAAATTCGAGATTTTCATGAAGAGGTTGAAAGATCGTGACGAAGGGATAGATGATGAAGAAGAAGACGAAGAAGATGATGATGAAGAAGAGGAGGAAGAAGAGGAAACAGCAGACTTTGGAGAAGATGAGGACGAAGCAGATCTGGCTCAAGTTAAAACTGAGGATAATGAAGAAGACGGAAAGGAGCTCGCAAACGAAGGGGATGACGAATTGGACGAAGATCTCCCTATGGATGAGGAGAATATCAACCAGAAACGATCCAGAAATATAAAAGACGAAGCTCGAAATGGCGAGTCTTCTAAATCAAACGGAAGACAAAGGGGTAGACCATCACGAAAGCGATCGCATTCCCCTTCTGTAATTAACCAAATTAATGAGGATGATGAAAGTAATCGCAAGATCTCCAAGCGATCAACCCGAGTATCTAGAAGCTCTTCTCCCAACACAGCAAAGGGAAGTAGCAGTAAAGATATGGGAAAGCTCACCACCAATGGCAGTCTGAATAATGGATCTAATGATAAGGAACAACTTGATGAACGTCAACACCAACTTTGGCTTTGCCGGATAAAGCTACAACGATCATTAATACAAAGAAACCAAGCTAATACTCCTCCTAACCCACGAGACTTCCCACCTCCATCTGCTGACGAATTATCAGTTGCTAGATTGATTTTGCACAAATTAGCTGATATTCCGGTTACTACAGAGTTGTTGAAAGTCACCAAGATTCACAAAGTGTTGAAATGTATTTTAAAGGATGAAGACTTGGAATATCCTGATAGTTTTAAGTTACACGAGAAGTGTCAGGAGTTACTAACGAAATGGCAGGAAGTCATAGAACAAATACGATTGGAAAAAGTTCAAGCAGCAACCAGTGCTGTAAATGGCGATCCAAGTGACACCGATGTTGCTAAGTCAACCAGCGCAAATAACACAGAGAAACTGCCTTCCGAGTGTCTTGCTGTAACCGAAACGGCTATCGGTGCTCTTAAAACAGAAGGAGAGGAAGATGGAGGAGTTCAGCTTGATGACAGTGAAGTATCCACAATTAACGGCACAGAAGATGCCAGGAAAGAGCAATGAAAGAGATACATTCAAAAATGAACTTTAAGACTCCATAAGTCATACCAAGAGAGGCTACAGGCCGTAATATGGGCATGACACGACTAAAGTTAGGCGAGAATTACTTGATAATTATCAATGTACTCATGTGCTTTGTACGATTATAATTGACCAAGATAGGTATCATTATGAAAAGAGAAGCAAGACTCACAGAATTAGGGCCTACAAAGGACTAAGACTTGTGTGGCCAGCTAAGATTACAGAGAAGCACTTGAAGTTACTAAACTGGTGGAAATAACATTGCATCATGCTTTTGATCGGGCTTTGAGGTTCACGATCCCACAACTTTGAAGGGCTACAATTTTGGTCATATTGCTTGATATTGATGAATCTTTAGCAAGTCATTCAAGAACTTGTTTTGTGCGACAACCAACAACAATAGAGTTTTTACTAATTGCTGCTTTTCAGAATGTGTTATGATTGTTGGAAACAAACATGATCTACAACCTGAAACGATTGCACCTGTGGGTTTCAAATAGTCTTTTTATTTGAAGTTAAATGGTTGGGTGCAAAAATGCAGTAGAAGAAAAGGTACAGTTGATTATAGAAAAAGCGCAAGTCTTCTGCACTGCAAGATCTTCTTACTTATTTGCAGTAACACGACGACGCACTTATCGGTAGCTTGAAATCAAACGAAAAACTAGATGATAATGGCTCATTCTAAGGTAAGAAAATGAGTAACCTCTTCAGCAGATATGTAGTTGCCTTGGATTTGGTCCCTAATCGAATTGTCGTTAACCAGTATGGTGATTTCTGTAGTTGATTGCCTTACAAATGACGTGACTGTACCAATTCAGCAAAGATGTAACTGGGTAGAATGAGTTACCTTCAGTACAAGCTGAGATCTTTTAAATAGATAAATCCCTTGCTCCTTGATTCGGCGTTACATTCTTAGCGTATACCTTTGCAGACATGAAGTGGTAACTGCGTTTTAGCTACATATTCCAAGCATATGTAAATATTTATGCTGTTCTACAAATTGACTTCAACACATGCTGTGGCTTTGACAGAAAGGTAAAATGCGTAGATCTGGGAATGCGTTTGCATTTTCAGTGTTAGGGTCATTTAGTGCTAAGTTTAGTATGTATGTTATTTGATTCCATTTACAGTAAGTTCATAGTAAAGTGATCAAATTGATTGCCTAAAAGTTTATAGCAAAGTGATCAAATAGATTGCCTAAAAGTTTTGTAATTGGCCTAGTTATCACTGTGGTTACTAAAGTGAGATATCGATGGGATGACTAAAGTCGGAGTTTGAATTGAAACCCACTGAGGGAGTTTACACATAGGGTTTAGGTGTGGTAAAAAAGCGCACTAATGTGAATTATCATCGCTCGGTTTACATCGTTTACTGTTGTGGCATTTTATGGTTGCCTCTCTATTAGCAATACGTTAAAATCCCACTTAGCATTATAAATATTCCAAACTGATATGAAGCAAAGAACTACTCTCATTAATACAATTATTATTCTGTTGGGGTATATATTCATCTTTTTCATTATAGTAGACAAAATATGCTAGTTAGCTACATGTACCTGCTTGCATATAAATTCAGCCCCAAAATAAATCTAAGTCTGCAGGTAAAGGCCATCGACGATATACGATATTTATTGTTGAAACAATTTTGGATCACTTCTTATGCAGACTCAAGAAGGTGTATATTAATACTAGAAAAGGTTGAGTTGTGGAACAAATTTGTCACAAATATGTTGCAGATGATAAGCCTAGGAGACATGACACATTCCTACCCGTAACCAAGTTGTCGCAATGCCAGATCATATTATGATACAAAGAACTTATCAGCTTATGCAAGTAGCATCAGAATTGGAATCGATATTAATATGAGTTCACATAATGGAAATATAGATAGATGGTGTACTATGTAGAATCCATGGGTGCTGCGACGCAAGTAACAAGCTTGGTTTAAATACCGAGGATTTTCTTCAGTTTCTTTTTGGATATTCAAGTGTGATCTACTAAACCTTTGGTTTAAACACACGGTACCTCGCCTAACTTTTAGTATATGCAGTTTATGGGGGCTTTAAATGAGGCTAAAATAACACCTATGATTGTCTACTGCTTAAACAGACTCTTATAATTATACAATCAGTAGAAAGCTGTCGGCATGAATTTGCATGCATTGGTATTGCATAAGCACATCATAATGTATTATGTAGATTAAAGAAGTAAGTTTCCTTCGTAGTTAAAGAAAATACGGAGAATACTGTAATCATAAAACCTTTAGTCTATTGTCTGATTAATTACCATTTGAGGATGTTCACCTAGAGTAAACGATTGTCAAATATGAGATGGAGCTCTTCTATAGCTGTACGAAACGAGGACCAGCCTTATTCAATCTCTATATCAGGGAAATTCCATCCTATGCTTTCGCTGATAGGAGTTCCCTACGACACAATATCTCACGACCCTACAAACTAGTATTTTTTCAACATGCAGCTGGATGTTTCGGTGCGTATGTGTCACCATGCCCGTTTCGATTCTTTAGTGGTTGCAGGTGGCTTAGTTGCCCGGTTTTGTAGTCTGGGAGTTAATATTTCATCATGGGATTTCAACGCATGAGTAGATCATATGAATGTCGTACTCAATGTGGTATTTAAACCACTTGTGCCCCACTAGTCTGTCTGTCTGTTGTATTATTGTTCATATAGCACCCTAAAGCAATGCATTGGATTAATTTGGTTGCAATTATTTCATACACCACCGCGCATGTTTCTGGTGCCCCAACTAATCAAACAGGAACCCTAACTTCGTTAGGTGGTGCTGCTGCCACGACTCTAACCTCGGTTGGTGAGCCTATTTTCGTTTACTATTCTTCTACAACAGCCGCAAGCTCCAAATCCACTACCCGGACTTCATCTCATGGACAAGCTACCGGAACAATCATGCCTTCTCCAAGTCCTGACGGTACCATCTAGGGATCTCTCCTTCAACATGGCTGTTCCTGGTCAATATTCTCCCTTTGACATTTACGCTGCTAGTCAACAGATCCAATGGCGCCTGACTGAAGTGTCCATTGATGGTAAGTTAGTTCCATCTGATTACTACAACGTTCCCCCCACTCAGTCTCATTTTAGGTTTTTCCAATTCACTCAATCCATTGATGACTCTGAAACCGTCACAGTCAAATTATCAGGTGGTGCAGTAACTCCAGGTGCTTATACTGCTTCTTTCTTGGTGGTGGCTAATGTTACTTCTTTAGTTAAGAGAAATGGCGTCACCTTCACTTTGGTTGTCTCTACTGTTGTTTCAGAAGAAAGTGCTTCTACATCTACCACAGTTGCAGAAAATGCTTCTATCTCGCCCACATTAACAGAAAATAGCTCTCTAGCTATTTCAGAGCCCACTGCTGAAGTTTCACCACCTGAAACATCATTTGAAACCTCTATGGTTACCAAAACTGCCACTTTGGAAGTTTGCTCAGGGTTATTGTCATCCGTACCTGAAGATGCTTCACCTTTTGCCTCACCTTCTGCCTCATCTACTGCCGAATCGTCATCTGGTGAGTTTTAAGAATTTTCTTCATCTACTGGATCTTCGGTTGTGGGATCATCAGCTGCTGGGTCATACACGGCTGAATCTTCATCTAGGGGATCATCTTCTGGTGCTGCATCTTCATCTTTGGTTGATGCACCTAGTAGCTCTAGTTCTTCATCAGAACTTCCTGGACCCTCTGTCTTAGGAGATAAACATAACATCTCTCCACTTTTCTATGCCATACTTCCTGGTAGGATCACGTCAGCAAGCGTCTTTGCTTCCACCAATGAGTCCTTTGAATGGTCAAATTCATTGACTGCCAACTATGAGAATAAGACCGTCCACATTACTCCATTGGCATCTCTGCACACCTACAAATACTTCCAACTTACCGCACCTCTTGATTACGCTGAACTGTCAGTTACTATTAGCTTAATTGGGAAACCAACTGGTACCGGTGAGTTCGCTGCAACTTTCACCATCATTGCTGGAAAACCAGTAAAGAGCGCTGAAGAAACTTTTGTTATCACCGCTACTGCCACGTTTACAAACACATTGACTGAAAGCAGTTCAGTCAACTTGAGTACTGTGCCACTAATTTTTATTTTTCGATTAGGTATCCTCAATATCTTATATATTTGGTGAATTCTTCCGTATTTGTAGTCCCCATCCCCCAGACTCTTTTCATGCTTTAATTCACACCCTATAGTTTTCGAGGACTGATTTACACATTTACAACCTTCTTTCGTGCCTTCACCACGTCTTCTACTCCCTAAGTTTTTCTGACGTCAGATCTCACAATTTTTCAGTCATCATTCTGCCAACCGAATTTATTTGCATATAACTAGACAGCGAAGTATTTAGGCACTACTTAAGTAATACTTCAAATTCTTGACAATCTTCGTGTATACCAATTTCGCCCGCTTAAGAAAATATATAAGCTTTCCTGAAGTGACACTTGATAAGAGAATGGTTGCCTGAAAATTCCCTAAGCCTTGAAGCTATTAGAAAGCTCTTGGAATTTCATGAAATAAAATCACACAAAAAGCACAATCTATGTGGTTCTGATCCAATGATAATTTTCCACGGCAACCAGACGAAGGGGAGATAAAGATGTTGTGGCTTTCGTAGCGCTGATATGCGGTATAAATAGCACGAACTACCCTATCCATGCATTCAACCATTGCGGGGGTTTTTTGCAGAATATAGACAAGTTTGTAATTTTTACATTATTAACTTCTGAAGGCTCCTGTTTGAAGGTTTAAATCTAAAGAAGAGGATTTGAAATAAGTATGCGTTTAACTGATTTGTTAATAATCATGTTAACTGCTGGGGTGCTGGCAGCGCTGCCTGAGCTAATTACAAATTTGAATCAAAATATGATATGCTACTTATTACAGTGGGGCTTGAGAATGGGTAGTAGAAATATCACTGAACAGTATCAATATGGATTTTGGGTGGAAAGCCTTGGAACAGCAATAGTGTTGGTTAAGACTGTGGATGATAACACGGAATTGGCTAGTAGGGAGCAATTTGTTGAGTATACTAAAATCAGTGAACACGCACCAGAATTTGATGATAACATCGATTGGTGTGAAACTGCTGATACGATATTACATGCCAATCCCTTTCAGCTAAGGACACCATACGCTCTTGCTGCACGAGGATGGAAAATAAGTTTTGGGAGCTGATTTGGGATCCATTTTGCATAGATTAAATCTGTGTCTGCCATTCAGTTGATGCTATATTCTTTCTTTTTAACTAGTAATCGTCTGGGATCAGGAACTGGTACGGTGAGAACAGGTTATATGTCCGGGTAACTGGTGCAACCGGGTTTCAGCCATTTCTCACAAGGGTCGTGTGTGGCAAAAAGGAACCACACAAAACAATTTACAAGGCACGGCACGACCCTTTGGTCTGGATTCCCAAAACTGTACAATCACACAGTAGTTAGGTTGGTCAATAGTTAGATACACGTATGAATAAACTAATAATGCCAGTAATATAAGTAAGCAATATAGTAACCGAAGGCTACCACCGTATAGTATATTAGAATGGACAACCATAAAAAATGAAGGTCGTAAAGAGTAGGCTGCGTTTTCACAGCCATTAATTGTGAACGACATTCTTCCCAAATGTCGTATAGTATTTTGTTGTACATTCTGACTTTGTTCCTGCTTACAGCGTGAGAAATTTTCTGTTCACCCTTTTCTTTTCAGCTATTTTTTTTTACTCCTTCTCTTCTTTCTCTTCCTTCCCTTACCTCCATACATTTATTGAATATTCACCATGGCTGACGAAGACGTATGTTTTTAGTTTGATTCCGTGTCTGGGATCTTTGATGGCTTCTCGATCGACACTCGCCACGATAAACGAATGTTGATCGGTTGGTTGCTGGTTGGCGTGACGCTGACATTTGATGCTGAGAGCGTCGTAGATCAATGAATTAATACTAACTTCAATATAGCACCATTTCGAAACCGCTGATGCAGGTGCTGCTATGACCTTCCCAATGCAATGTTCTGCATTGAGAAAGAACGGTCACGTTGTTATCAAGGGTAGACCTTGTAAGATTGTTGACATGTCTACCTCCAAGACTGGTAAGCACGGTCACGCCAAGGTTCACTTGGTTGCCATTGATATCTTCACTGGTAAGAAGTTGGAAGATTTGTCTCCATCTACCCACAACATGGAAGTCCCAAACGTCCAAAGAACCGAATACCAATTGTTGGACATTGATGACGGTTACTTGTCTTTGATGACCCAAGACGGTGACACCAAGGATGACGTTAAGTTGCCAGAAGGTGAATTGGGTGAAAAGATCCAAGCTGACTTTGACGAAGGAAAGGATTTGTTGGTCACCATTTTGACCGCTATGGGTGAAGAAGCTGCTGTCTCCCAAAAGGAAGCTCCTAAGTCTTAAGAGTGATTAGTTGTTTGTTGACTACAAGTACTTTGTCTTAATGTTTTAAATATAGAACGTTCTTATGTTCTTTGATTATTTGAAGTATAGAGCTTTTGATTCTACTCGTGTATATGTTAAGTGAGCTTTTACTTTAACTTTCAATGTATGTTATGTACACAAGACATAACTGTAGGCTGGATGGTGTCCAATGGTCAAAAAATTTTTCACCTTTTGAACAGGACACCCGCACACCATTAGTGGTACGCACACGCAGATGATGGGCAACAGCCTCACTTCTGGAGTGACAGATTTATCGCAAGTGCACACGACATGCTAGACGACATGAGCAGGACATGATCCAATTGGACATTCCCATAGTAATGAACGGACATCTAAGTAGCGCCATTAAAGCGGCAATAAATCATCCGTTCTCTAATCAGATAATGGACACCAGCTAAACTGAATTTAGGCTATGCTTTACCTACAAAAAATACCTCTAACTGAACTAAGCCCGACTATCAAATCTCATCCTCACTGTACAGAAACAAACAATTATTACTGCATCAATCAAATGCGTTAGATCATGCAAAAAAAAAAATCAAGTGGACTGAAAATAATTAAAGTAATCGGAAGCAATACCACCCATTATGAATTGCTGTACACCACGACAAACTAATTCTACCATCAAAATAAAACCAAACGGAATACTATACAACTCTATACGACAATCGTGTAATTCTAGTAACGTTCTGGTAGTATGATGTGGTACAGTATGTAGACGTTCGTTTAAAATCTGTCTGTCTACCTCTTGACTGTTATCTCCATCATCTGGACTGACCTTCTTCGGCTTTTCCGAACTGTTTAACCCCACCTTTAAGCCCTACCATTTATAGGCTATAATAGATTGTGGACACACCCGACTGCACACACTGTGAGAAATAGCAATAGACTTTTATGTCGAACCAGTTACTAACAAACCCTTCGCAACCAGCGCTACCACATAGCCTTGTTCTGCTAACTTCCTAAGGGGATCACTGATTTATAATAGAAATCTAGATTGTAACCGTGCGAACATAACCGTGTGATTATAACCGTGGTCAGTCTCTACTCCAGTAAGTGGGCCCTTCATTCATATATAATAGATATATATATATCTATATATATCTATATATTTATAACACCTCCTTTATATCGTTGTCTAGTTGGTTCTGACGTTGGCTTGCAAAGGTTTAGAATATTTTACTTGTGTCATTTTGCTTTTAATTCCATCTCATTGTATATCTCCTGACTGGTTTCGCCATTGGCAACGATGAGTTCATTAATTGAAATAGTGACGTCGCTGTTACCCTTTGCCGTTCCCTTATCGACTAACTTACGCTCACCGTCACAAACGACAACCACTACCACGGTCGCCACGCCTGTTTCCAAACAGCCTGAAGCCAGTCAAACCACTGTTTCCGGAAACAGTGGTGGATTCAACCAAGGCTCATTTGTAGGTAATACACCGCTGACGGTGCTTTTTTTCCTTGCCTTAGCAGTTGGTGGAGTTATTGCCAGTCTCTTTTTATTCTTCACGTTACGGTACTTTGTTCGGTCCAGATATGGGATGCACATTTATCCGTTAACGTATGGACTTTTGTTCCAAGGTCCCAGCGGTCGTCGGGGGTATCAGTCTTCAGTTATAGATTATACGGACGAGGAGTTGGTATTTATGTCTCGACTGCATTTCATTCATGCGGACCTTTGGGAGCGAAGACTCTTTGAACGGCGAAGAAGAAGAAGAAGAGGCGGTAGATTCTCAAGAATGGCGAAATTGACTGAACAACAAGTGGAAAACTTGTTCCCGAAAAAGGCTTATAAGGATTGGTTGAATAGTGGGAAAGATACTCTGAAGAATCATTTGAATGGGATTTTACATGAAGAAAAGGAAGATCTGGAATCTCCAACTGTTGGAACTCAAACCCTGGATACTCCTGAGGGTCTTGCAACTGTTGCCAGTAGTAGTGCTAACAATATGAAACGAAGATCTGCAGTGATTGATGAAAGTGCTTTGACTCTGGAAGAACTTGATCTTGGAGAAATTAACATGATCGCACTGTCTTCCAAGAACGAAACAACTAATGAATCTGGCAATGACATTGAAATGCTGGAATTGCATTTTTCAAGTGGCTCATGTGCCATTTGTCTCGAACTATATGATGATGATGACGAAGTTAGAGGTTTAATATGCGGTCATGTTTTCCATTCAGATTGTCTTGATCCTTGGTTGACGAAACGGAGAGCTTGTTGTCCTATGTGTAAGCGTGACTACTTTTATAATGGTGATGCCGAAGGTACAAACGAAGAAGCCGAAAGTCATACTCGCAGAGGTGACAGGTCGACTAATAATGCGGACAATAATGAAATTAATAGCAATAGAGGTGCCAATACTGCTGGCAATGGAGGCAATAATGACACCACTACGCCTACCACTACTGCCAATAATAATAACGAAGAAGAAGATACACCTGTGTTTGACATTGAATTGGTACGAAACGATCCAACTCTCCGTTCGATTCTTCAACAATTGATTTCGACCGAAGAACGTGCAAGAATGATTTTGGCAGACGAAAATATTCAGCGAACGGATATTGAAGCTAGGGCGAACGTAGTGGCAGACAAGAAATATTTACCACTTTACAAACGGGTGTGGTGGAAATTAATGGGTATTAAGCATCTGGATTTATTCAATTGGACAGTTGTTCGTTTATACCATGAATACAGAGAGAGTAATCCCATTCCTGATCCCATTGCTGCAGCAAGAAATGGTACTGCGACAAACGATGCTAATACCGCGACGAACGATTCTAATGGTAGCACAACAAACGATTCTAATGGTACTGCGACAGACGGTGCTAATAGTACGACTAACTATGGTTCTAGGACCAGCGATAACGTTACTGCGACTAACAATACTAATCAGACAGAAAGTGGTACCACGACAAATGCTGCAAGTGGGACTACAAATTACTCAACAGCGACCTCAGCCAATAATTCTACGATGAATATCTCACCACAACATTTGGAAGTTGATCTTTCGGATGCAAGTAACACACCTGGGCCCAATTGAACGGTTATCTATTCAATTTTATTAACTCTAGTGCATGCGTATTGTATTATTTATTTTATGTTTTCTATAGTAAACGATTAATTATCAGGAGCAATCACTTCCACTGCGTCCGGGCACGACTACCCGAAAATTTTTCACCACCAAGTGTGTACGGGAGGCAGACGATGGCGTACAAAGGAATGTGATACTATCCAGTTGAAAAGCCCACAGTAATTGTAGATAACGTTAGTTAGGTGTCTCCAATCCATAAGCAGCAGAAATAGCAGCATTAATCCAATTAGTGTCCAGAGACTTGTGCCCAGACACTTTTGATATAATAGTCAACAAATAGACATACAAAACCACAGTATCAATCATGGCTCCTCCTAAGAAGAATGTCAAGATGGACTTAGGATCCTTTTTGGCCGATGACACCCTTGGTGGCGGTTCATGGGCCGATGAGGACGTTGATATCTCTTCCATTGCCGTTTCCATTGGTAACACGAGTACTTCTGGTGGGTCCCAATCCCATTATGGTTCTGGATCCAGTGGGTTTGGTGGTGGTCATGCCTCTTCAAACACTGAAGGTGGATTCCAAGAACAAAGAAGAGAACACGTAGAATACCCAATTCCTGATGCTCCTCCTTATCGTGCTAGAATTGGTAACTTACCATATGAAGTGACCGAAGCCGGATTATCTAGATTTTTAGAAGATCGTTTACAAGCTCCCGGATCTGTTGAAGATCTTAAGTTGCCTATGGATCAAATGTCTGGTAGACCCAAAGGATTTGCCTTTGTTACTCTCGCAGCCAGAGAATTGTTAGAAGAAGCATTGGATATCAGTGGAGTTGAATTCAATGGCCGTAAGATCTATCTTAGTGTTGCTGCTCCTCAAAAGCAAGATGTATTTGACATGGATTGGAGAGGTGGTAGATCCAGTGGTACTGGTGGATCTTCTAGAAGAGACAGAGCAGAAGAAGTTGAATTAGATTGGGGTTCAGCTAGAGGTAGTCATACCTTACCTCCAAGAGAAAGATCCAACAGAGGAGGCGAAAGAATGGAAAGAAGACCTAGAAGAGATGAACCTGAATTTGATTGGGGTTCAGCCAGAAACACTCAAGCTACATTACCACCTAGAGAAAGATCAAATAGAGGTCAATTTGGAGGTGGTGAACGTGTTGAACGTGAACCCAGAACTCCAAGAGAGGAACCCAATTTAGATTGGGGTTCAGCTAGAAATACCCAAGCTTCGTTACCTCCTAGAGAAAGATCCAATAGAGGTCAATTTGGAGGGGAACGTAAGCCAAAGAAGGATGAACCAGAATTCGATTGGGGTGCTGCTAGAAGCACTCAAGCATCATTACCTCCCAGAGAAAGATCCAACAGAACTCCTAGAACCACCAACTCTACTCCAAAGAAACAGGATGACAGTCTTGACTGGGGCAAGAGAGGTCAAGCATTACCACCAAAGCAACAACAACAAAAGACTACCAACAATGTTAATAAAACACAACAAGACTCTGAAAAGAAGGAGAAGAAGGATAAACCAACTCACTCGTTTGGTGTTTTGAGTATCGAAGGCGACGAAGATGAAGAAGAAGAACAACAACAACAAGATCAACAACAACACATAGAAAAGAATGCATCCGAGGGAGAAAAGAAATTGGAATCAGCCACTGCCAACTTGAGCATTGAAGATTCAAACGATGGCGAATGGGAAGTTGTCCGTAAATAAGAAGGAGAAAGAAGATAAATCGAATCGGGGGGATCACTTATTTTATTTTGTTTTATATTGACTTATTTTTTATCATCGCACTATCATTTAAAGTCTTTGGAGTATTTTATTAGTTTGGTTTCTTCATGAGTTAAGATCCGCCTATTGTATTACTGCTGTTAATTATATGTAGATAATTGTCCCATTTAATTGAAAAGAATATGTATAAATGACAAGTAGTACTGACTAGTAGTATTAATAGGAGTGTGAGGCTATACTGCTCTGTACATAGTCAGCGCTACCACCACAGAAAATTACGAGTTCGCACTACTTACTATAAAAGATATACCAAGTTTCAAGTTTCCAACCTACTATCACTCCTACACTCTTAGTATACACTAATGCTATAATGGACGACTCCATCTACTTAATAGACAACAATAGTATGTATCTTTACATAACTTATCTCATCACTCACTCCAATACTAATAAGTTATATCTAGAACGGTATAAACCATCTGAGCCAACACCATTAGATAATCTACTAAGTAACTACGGCCTAGAACCCATAGCCGAATCCCTTGCCCGAACCAAAGTCGACGGGTCGAAAGGAGTTAAGCTCAGAAAGTCGTATAAGAATCACATTCTGGATCTCGTAGGGAAACACCAAATAGCCAATCCCAAACCAATCCAACCGGGGTTACTTGATCCCAATTTGGATAAAACTCCGGATATGATCAAAGAGATTGACATCAATTTACTCCGAAGGGCTCTCAAGTTTGATAAGACTCCTGTGAACGGAATAGCGGGCTTCAGCATAGCAGACTTGGCCATTGGGGATCTGCAGTCGATCATAAGAGGCGATGATAGTCCTGATGATGATAATGGGTCCATGAAGAAGGGTAAACGGAAGAAGAAGATACAAGAAGGTGGTGATATCAAGAGACAGCATATATAATACAGACGTTATGGATGCTACAGACTTAAGGATGAGATGGTATGGACATCTCTAAACTCTTCATAACTCAGGATGGGTTTAAGCTGTCGAACGGCCTTTTTCTTTCTTGATTTGGTTACCTTTTGAAGCAATAATCGACTAGAGTGGCCCACTAGTGTCTTGATAACACTATGCTTAAGTAACTTGGTGATATCATAAAGTGAAAGAATCTGATGGTTGATTTCCATAGGTGGAAAGTTAAACACAAAGTCCGTGACGTTAAGAACCCTCAAATACCTTTGTAATTGAATGGAGATTTTAACTGGAACTGGTGATATTCTGAAGTATCCAATACTCATATATTTTCCAGCTCTTTTGATCATTTCTTCAACTTGATCATTGGGTGTTTCACTTGAACTTCCAGAAGACAGCTTATCGGAGTCATCATTCAATAGCGAATGATATGATTTCTTCTTGTTGCTTTCATCATCATCAGCAGCAGCTTCAACATTAGCATCAGCAGCGGCACCAACAGCCGCTTTATCTTCATCAACTTCTTTAATGTTCGTGTTGTTCACTTGTAATAGTGGAGAATCTTCTATACTATCGTCAGTTGCAAAGATATATCGGATCAATTTCTTGCCCGTTATGGCATCAAGATTAACGTTTAATGGTTGAAAGTCTATCTCAAAGTTCTCCAAGATCTTAATGCCCCCAACGGCTTTATTCATGGTCCAATCGACAGTTAAGAAATCCTTATTAACCCATTTGGTACGATCTTTATTATCATAGAATGGTTGAATTAAAGTAGAAAAACAAGTTCCTTTAACCAAATTGAAACCTTGCACCATCCCTACTTGTATTCGATTCTTATTGGAGCCATTCTCGTTAACTATTCGACTGAACCGTCCTTTAGCCATGGCAAAATCAACTATGGGTGTACGATCATCTTCTAACAAGTGGAAGATGATCTGATCAGCTTGAATGAACCATTCATCTTTGGCATGGAAAGAGTTTGATTGACTTAGTGATAATTCTCCAGTAAGAATGCATCTCATCAACAAATAAATCTCTTCTGTGATTTCATTTTCAAGAAGTGAAAGCAGAATTGATTCATTAAGTAAATGATTGTCGGACTTTAAGTCCCGAAACATATAATTCCTCTTCAACAATTTAATCAATAAATTATACTTGTGAAGGTTGCAAAGTCGATAATAAAGTGCTTGTAAGTTCTGAAGATCAAGAGAGAATCGTAACTTCTCCAATTGATCTTGTAGCTCTTTGCTTAAGGGTTCACTGTAGAACAATAAGTTCAACACAATAATGTATAAACTAATATACTGTTCCGAAGTACAAGAGATCACCAACTTGGGACAGTCAATCTGTAATCGTTCTTGAATGAACTTGGTACCCTTGGGGTCTTTAATAAGACTGGGGACATTCATATTATCATGATAATAAGTCAATTGAGTACCCATAGGCTTCAACATATCATACATCAACATCACTGATAAATTATCCACCAAGATTCTAGACTTTTTCGCCAACAGAACATCTCGACACACTTCAATGCCCAACCATGGAGGCCATGGCTTATCCTTTTCCTCTTGACTAAAAGCAAAATCATCATCGTCACTTTGTAAATCGGATTTCTTCACCATAAGTATACTGGCCTCAGGTAGAAGAATCCCATATCTGGTTTCAAGTTCATTTTGCTGGTCATCCAATACCGTGACAATCTTCCCGTCGATCTTGGGTGCCGTTATAAGAATCACACTATCTTCCAATTGTTCACTTTGAAGTTGTATCTGAGGTGAAATGATTTCCAACTCATAGTCCTGTTGGATCGTCTGGTTATCAAGATAATACTTAATGAGTTGTTCGAAATTCTCCAACCTTTCCTTTGACGATAGCTTAACTCCTTTTCGACTGCTGGAGTCAGCTACCAGACCACAACCATACCCTCCTCTATTGAGTAATGAAGATGATGAAGTTAATATCGAGTTACCTTCACCACCACCACCTCTTCCTCCATTCAACGACTCAGGTTGCTCAAGAATACTATCAAGCATGTCTCCCACTGTTGAAATCGATGCAAACGATAAGTATTTGGCCATAGATGAATGTCTCTTCACCAAACTAATGTATTGATAAAGACAGTTTCGATTGACATTGTTCCATTTGAAAAGCATATTAATAAGAATAAACTTATTATGAAACTCTTTCTGGTCATTAGTAGTAGCGGTATCTTCTGTCTGACTTGACATTTGCTTCCATCGTTTCTCAAATTCAGCCTTATATTGATTTAAACTGTTGATTCTAGGCCCCAAACTGTCCTTTAATGATTTCTTCTTTTGAATGGCCCTCAGCAACTGCGAGATCCGACTGTCCAAGATCTCTATTTGAGGAAGAAACACGTTGGACTTGAATAACGTACAATTGTGGTTCTCTTCGGCTCCAAATTTTGACTGAGAATGGGTGTCTCGTAAGTAGGAAAACTGTTTGGTGAATACAAAGGGCTTGATGATGAATTGTTTACCCTTATCTCGAATCCGGGGTAAGAACACTTCATTGAAGCTATCAACATCATACCAGCCTTCATCTGAATATTTATTATTATGATTTTTAGGGTCATTTGTTGTATCATTTTCATGTTCAAAAGCCGTTTGATCAAATGTAGCATTCATGATTCGTAAATCAATATTTGATAAATGAACTTCCCCTAAATTCATAGCCATCCGTTGACCTTCACTCTTCAAATTGGTTTGTTCCTTCCGTTGATGTAAATCAACTACAAAGTCATCTATCTTGGCCCGTAACCCCACACATTTGATCTTGTCCTCGGTACTTGTGTTGGAAGCATCACTTCGATAGCCATGAGCAATGAATATCGAGTTGATACTGAAAAGATACTTAATCGTCGATAAGTGTTGGGAAAACTTAGTTTTAGCTTGTGACTCTCCAAACAACTTCCCCTTCCGAATTGGAATCAGAGTAGCCCCATTGAATAGCTTCCACCAACTAAAGAACTGGCGGAATACTCCAGGAGAAAGGTTTAAACAGTTATAGCACTGCTTATTGGCTGCCTTTAAAGAAATGCTCATGTGAACATAGTCACTTCTGAAACCTCTATAGGAATCATGATTAGCTTGACAATAATTTGGATTCCACAATAAGATTTCGTAATGGGGAGTGGCTTCACTAGTGGTGTTACCTTGTGAATTTATCCTTTCCAATAGGAACCCAACTTGGAAGGAAATTCCACCTTCAATGGAGATAACACACTTTTCAAGCACATTAGCATTACCACTGACATTACCATCAGACGCAATATCACTTAAGTAGTAGCCAAACGTCGACGTAACCATTTCCTTGCAAGCCATTAAAGGTACCGTCTTAGAGGACTCTCGACTCCAAACATATAGCAGAGCCACTAAATAGTTGGGAATATACCAAGTAACTTTCTTGGAAGTAATGTCAAAGAAATCAAGAGAATTGTTACTCTTATTTATTAACCATTTGACGTTGTCATTGAAGCTGAGAATAAACCCTGATGCCGTTTCAAGAACATCGTAAGGATCATTGGAACCTTTGAAAGCCACTTCTATTGCACTCTGAGATCTCAAGGTAAAGTTCCCATGCATAATGAACCTAATTTTATCCCAGAACCCCAATTTCTTCGAAGGGTCAATTGGAGGTTTGGAGAACTGATCAAAGTTCATCATCACCTGTTGCAAAGCAAATTCATATGAGTGTCCCCAAACTATTCTAGTTGGAAGATCCAGATTGAAATCTCCAATCATGTCGGTGTATATCTTAACTGTTGCTAAAGATTTCTTCAATAATAAGCTGTAGTAAGTGTTATCATTATCATTGTTCCTTGTAGGATCTGGAGCAGCTAATGAAACTAGAATCTCTCTCATATGCTCTGGAGAAGTTAACAATTGTTCGGCAAGGACAATATTACCGTACAAGTGTAAACCCGGTAGTTCACTTTTGGTCGACGGAGTATGAACTAAGGGCAAGGGGTAATCTCGAAGATGCATTCTAAATTCAGATAGCTTAAGATCCAAATACAGTGGGATTAAAATGGAATACTGGGAATCATACGGTACACCACTCCCCATGTCATGAATAAAACTGGTTAAATCATTATGATCATCAAACTTGGGTTTGGAAGCTCTCAATTTAACGTCATCAAATATCATAGTCAATAAAGGTGTCAGTGAATATGAAGGTTGAATTCCTTCATTTTCAACAGGTTGAAGTTTCAACTCATTTCCAAATAAATGTTTCCTATTATCAATGATTTCCTTTCTAAATTTCAACTTAAACGCTTTAACCTTTCGTATCCATGATGAGGCCAAATATCTATTCAAATTGTCTAATTCTTGTTGGTAATCTTTATCATTATCATTGGTGTTGTCACCACCATCACGAACCTTTGCATTAAACAAGTCCCACAATTCCATCCGTTTCCTTTGTTCAACGAGTCCCAACTGATAATTCATGTTGATTTCTGCTTCTAATGGATCGTCTTCAATGAGATAAATGATCTTCTTACTCTTTAATTGGATACGAGGAACGCGGACTGGTTTGGATTCACTAGGGTAAATAACTCTGGATCGTTCATGGGATTCCTTCTTTAATGCTCTAACTAAGCACTTTAAAATCGAAATTTGAATGGAAAGATTATCAAAGAATCGATATACAACAGACCCACTCGGTTGGAGGATTCTTATACCATCTGAATAAATATCAATAACTGGATCAAATAGAATAAGGTTAATTTCATCAATCTGAACAACTAAATTGTCAATGCAAAAGGCTCTGCTAAGTAGTTTCTTATCATCCATATCAACCTTTCGAAGAACTCGGAAGAAGCCTGATTTCAAGGCCAACTTTCTCTTCTCATAAGATAATTTGCTATCGAAAGATTGAACAATACATGAAAAATCTTCAGATAATTCAATTAACACCAGTGTTTTGTCCACATTGATTGTCCAGCTTACCATATCCAATAGGCTATTGATTTCAGACTTGGTATACCGTTTTGGTCTTTGAAACAGCGATTCCAATTGGCTAGTGGCCCTGATTTCCCGATTAATTTTGGTCCTAATTGATTTTAATGGCCTTATGAAGAACTCTCGAATCAAATTCACTGCTCCAAATATAACAAATAGTTTATACTTATCGTAGTGAATATTCATTTGGCTTAAAGCAAAGTCTGCTTTGAAAAATGGTTGCAACGCTGACCCCACGGACTCAATAGTACCTTTAATTTCAGGTATTGAAATCACTTGCAAATCATAAGACGATTGTAAGTCAAGTTTAGCTGTCATATCTAGTTTACTCAACTTTATCTTAGCTTCCCAATGATCTTCATTTAGAGTTGAACCTTCTTCTTCTTCGCTGGAACCTGGTGGAGTGGTCCCATCTAATAATGTTGAGCTTACGCTATTCTTGGTACTCTGTAATGATGGAGAAGAGGGAGTTGACGGAGGAGGACTGTTGCTTTTGCTTAAACTTGCTTGAACACTTTGTAAAGTCATTCTGATAGTCTTCAATCTATGACTTTCACCTGTAGAGTCAAAGTTCAAACCATCATCATAAGTATCTGCTAAATGAGACGTGGGAATAAGTAAAGATCTAGACCCAATAATCACCTGAATGGCTGATACCTCCATATCAATGCCTTGAAGCCAATCAGGCAAGTTTTGAAACCTCAGTATAGATTGTTTAAACGAGGTAAACATTGGAAGATCATTTCTGTCATCATCATAGTAGTAGTCATCATCAGTATCAGTATTCAATTCTTCCATATGTTTAATTGCTAGAAGAAACTTCTTTGATGCAATGTAAACCATAGAATCCAAATCTGAATTAAGATTACTATGTCCAAGAGCATTTTTGGCCTGTAGGATATAGGAGTCTATAATTGAATTCATTCCTGACATCACCCTTAACTGAGACATATCAATTATTGCGTCTGAGAGTTTATAGTGACAAGAAAGCATAAAGTTCTTGCAAAGCATAAACTTACTGCTCATAGTTTTCAATTTGAAGATATCTGCATCAAAATAGGTGAAATCACCGTTCATAGAATTAGATTTCTCTGAATATGTAGTTGTTAAGTTCTCAAGAGTCCCTGTGATATCATAGTTTCGATCTTCTGTTGTCTTTAAATGGATAGCTAATTGGGATATAGAAACCGTCAATATATGTAACTTCTTATCCTTCAGATTCTTGTTGCAAATAATGAGTCTAGGTTGTTCTATGGTTATGTTGGCGTTGAACCGAGGATAATATTGGTAAAGTAACTCCATGACAAAACTAAAGTTGTTTCTTGGAGGTTTATCATCATCCAATTTTTTGGTCTTTCTTATTGAGTTTTCAAATACTGAAACTGCCTTTTTCAATGCTTCGGCATTGTTATTAAGTCTCTGTAATTGTTTAACCTTGATATACTTCTTCAACATGAAAACATTATAAATTATTATCGCAAGTCTTTCCGTATCAATATCAACTGTAGGACTTCCTGTTGCTGCGTAGAATTCTATGACTGAATCTTTGAATCCCTTCCCATTAACTAAATGGTTCAAGACATTGGCCTTGTTGGAAATAGAAAAACTTGGCAAGTTAAAGATCTCATATAATTCCGTAGAATTATCTTCATATAAATGGTTATATCTAATCAGAAACATTTGTAAAGCAAGAGTGAAATGGAAAGGGTAATCCAATATTGAATTGAAAAGGATAAAGTACCCTGCACCTGTTTTATGGATTCTGCTTGCATTTATGGAAAGCCCTTTTAAATTCAAATTTAATGAATTATGCAGTTGAGCTGTGAATAACCTTTTTAATTCAAACTTTTCATTGAAATTAATGAGCAGAATATCTTTGATATCGATATTTTGAAATCGTATATCTGTATCTTCCACTTTAGAATAGAATCTGCCTATCCAACCCCAAGCTGGTTTCTTATTTTGCTTCTTAGTTATAACAGTAGGAGCATCAACAGCAGCTTTCTGGTGATCATCTTCTTCGGTTATATCTGCAAATATAGTTGAAAAAAGATTATCAATGTCAAAGAGACCAACTTCATGAAGAAATTGAAACGTTTCGAAAACATTAACTGTAAGATCATCCACCAACAATTTGGATTTCATTTGCGAAACATTCCCACTGGTTGCATTGACCATACTGCTCAATTGAACTCGAAATATGTCAATAACAGCAGGAGTAAATAGTCTTGTAGACTCCAGATTAACAATGGTATAACAAGTTTCATGTATGAAAAAGTTCATATAAAATTTCAACAGATTTGGTTGTTTCAGACTAACTTTCGACATCAATGTAAATTTTGAAAAGGGGAACAGAACCTTTTGATGTTTTGATAGCTTAATTTCTACCTTCTTTAACCGAATATTTATGGAAGGGATTCTTTGTATAAGAAAAGAGCCTAATTTCTTTAGTATAATGTTGTTGGGAAGAACACTTATTAGAGTATTGGCTTCATCATCATTATTAGCACTATTACGTTTAGTGCTTCTATCAGTGTCTCTCTTCCTTTTCTTTAGTTTCTTGGAATGGATTTCTGTTTCTACTTTATCAACATCAATTAAAATCGACCCCCAACCCAATTGCAATCTTAGATTTCGTATGGTGGTAGTTGAATGGCCCTTCTTAATGGTTATACCTCTAAGATTGAGTCCACTTTGGATGTAGAAGAATTGAACATGAACTCCAGTAATAATGTACACCAAGGACCACCAAAAGACCCAAGCCAATACCACGTTCCATACGTTCAACTCAAGATGTTCACCATCAATTAGTACACCCTTCCAGTACCATAACGATAACCCTATTCGTATCAAAGTCCAAACAAGTGTCTTCTGACTCGGTATTTCACTCATTGTGACTTATCAGATGTAATGTATCAGATGTGACCTATCATATAACCAATGATAAAACTGTAATAGTTAACGTGTGTTCAATATTACATTGCCTAACAGGGTTGCTATCGGTATTTGATGTATGGTTAACACTGTGCGCCTAATCCTAAAACAGTACATTGAAATATCCGATGCGCTACCGTGTTGTTTACCCTTTCTTGGTCCAACAATGTAAACGTACTGACGGTGTCTATAATTATGGAGATAATAAACAAAATAGATGTAAGGGTGTTATATAAAATGACCTGTCGTATTGATGCTCTAAAGAAAGCATGTTTAATACAAGACTATTGCTATATTGGAGCGTTATAATGGCATATCACGTAATAGAATAGAATAGGCTTTACCACGCTACTCCACAATTCATGTATAATAGACAGGTATCATCAATACGCTATTGTTCTATCAATTTAATTACCCTTACCTAAACATATGTAAGTCACGTGTAAAATATAATTTCAAGGGATTGTGCCCTCATGTGACTGTAGCAAGAATTAAGTGAGTCGTGTGAACAACACTATATTTTGTACATTAATGCGGGTAACACATACCAGAAATTCACGCTCTATATGTCGGCGCTCCCATAAAGGAGAACCCGTAATACAAAGACGCTCCACCACTGTCCTCCATCCCCAATTCAGTTTTGTACGACTTTCGCTACACTGTGCGAACCAAGGTGAAAATTTTTAGTTTGAAAATCTACTTGGTGAAAAGAAACCATCTCCACTTGATAGTCTTTTAACAGGTCTTTACACATCAATCAAAAAGTATGTGATATCGTTGAATAACATGTGTGATGTGATGGAACAAACAAACAAGCAGAGCAATGGAAACGTATAGGGGAGTTATACATGAGTGAATACAAGAGTTAAACGTTATGGTAGAAGGTGGCTACGATGACGGAATAAATGAGAGTATAAAGATAGATGGAATATATAACACAAGTAGTGCAATGAGTCGATATGAAGTTGAGCAAACTATGTTGAGCATATACTCCGTTAAAGACTATGGCTCGTTAAACAATGGAATAGATACGTTATTATGTTACAGCAGCTGGTCCTATCATTCACTGGTTGTAATGCTTTTTTCCCTCCATCACTCACTAAACATAATACAGTAATACTAACAATATAATTCTAGTGGCTGCCGCTTTACCACACCCAAAGATCGTCAAGAAGTACGCTGGTAAGTTCAAGAGACACCACTCTGACAGATACCACAGAGTTGCTGAAAACTGGAGAAAGCAAAAGGGTATTGACTCTTGTGTCAGAAGAAGATTCAGAGGTACCATTCCTCAACCTAACATTGGTTACGGTTCCAACAAGAAGACCAGACACATGGCTCCTTCTGGTCACAAGTCTTACTTGGTGAAGAACGTTAAGGATTTGGATGTTTTGTTGTTGCACACCAAGACCTATGCTGCTGAAATTGCTCACAATGTTTCTGCTAAGAACAGAGTCCTCATTGTTGCTAAGGCTAACAAGATGGGTCTCAAGGTCACCAACCCTAAGGGTAGAGTTGCTTTGGAAGCTTAAATATAACTAGGGAAAACATTAATATTATATTATATTGTCTTTGCAATCTGTTTCATAATTATCTGTATATTTAGTGCTACTCAATAAAATGAACTAAATCTATATATACTTACCGTCTCCGTACACTACCAGAAAAAGATTGTATGGCGACATTACTAACGTCCAAATGATGATGTTTCTTCAACTTATACCCCAACTCACAGGCTCCATCAGCTCCAAGCTTTAAAATTGTACTGTTACTCTTGAACACTTGTGGCTCACAATGTCTAGGCTCATTGCTTGCAGCGACATTGGTATTCACTGTAAGATGGCCTATCCCAGTGGAAGGTAAGCCATGGACAGGGGCATGGGCATTGACATTGTCATTCGCAGGTGTTCCAGAAGGTGTAGGAATTGTTCCACTCATAGACAGTTCAAGGGGAACAGTTGAAGGAATTGGTACTGAACCAGCCGCAATATGTTGTTGCTGTTGTTGTTCAGCAGCTGCAACTTCCCGATGTTGTGGATCTTCTTCCACTTCAGCTTCTCCTTCCTCTTCAATCGGTTCTATGGCATTGGCATTAGCATTGTTGCCAGCATTGGACAAGCTAACAAAGCTATTTGAATTTGGAATCTCACTGGCACTTTCCTCTGGAAGAATAGCTTCCTTTTCTGCCCCTTCTACTACTTCCTTTTCACCGGAGGTAAGTACCTCCCCACCTTCAACGGCATCTTCCTTCTTTAAATGCAATGGTGTAAAACTCAATGAGCTATTGGAATGAATTGAAGCATTATCTTTCAATGGAGTAGAAGGTGCACCGTCTTGGGCTTGGGAGGCATGTGCATGTTGTGACGAGAGTTTCTTCTTGGGGTCTAGTGAAGTCAAGTCAAGCATGGATCTAATAGGAGTTTGTGGCATATCATGAGCCGTTCCTCTTCTTGAATTTGTCCTTGAATTAGGAGTACCAGTTGAAGGACTTGAAGTTGAACCACCACCATTCTGAGGACCTCCAATGTGAGTATGTGGAGCAGTCAAATCACTATGACCAGGTATAAAACAAACGTCTTGATCATCGTTTTCATAAACACACATTTCTAAACTGGTGAACCAAGGATCTTTGAATAACAAATCCAATGTATATCTATTGTTAACAGAAATATCACATAATTTCCAAGCAACTCTGGATGCTCCAACAGAATGGAAAGCAGCTGCCCATTTGAATTCTGATCCAGGCCCCTTGGAATATTCTCCATCACTACATCCGCCGTTATTCTTAAACAACGGATGAGCAGAACAGTATCGATCATGGTTAAATTTATAATCCCTAAAGCCATGATCATCGTTGTTAGCTTTTTGAAAGGGAACACCTCCATAGGCAATACAAAACAAGAGCATACCTAAAGCCCAACAATCCATTTTAAAGGGATCGTATGCCCATTTTGATAATTCTGAACTGCTTAATTCCTTCAATTTCATGACTTCTGGAGGAACATACGGAGGTGAACCCACATAAGCAGTTGATAATTTAACTGGCGAAGAGAAATCCAGATGAACTGTATGACCATAATCGGAAACACCAAAATCACATAATTTACAAATCCCATTGGCATCAATCAAAACATTTTCTGGTTTCAAATCACGATGGACAATATCACATTCATGTAAAAACTTCAATCCATAAGCAACTTGCTTAAAAATGCAGTATCTTTCTGTAAGAGGGACTCTTTTCCAACCTGGTTTTACAATGGTATTGAATAAATCACCGCCTTGACAAAACTCCATAACCATACCCCAACCTCTAGTGAGGGATCCCATTGATTGGATCCGAACAAGTGCAATACAATCAACAACATGTCTTGACTTGGCAATACGTTTGGATAAAATATATTCTTTGATGATCCGCTTATAGAATTCTTCGTCACTTTCCTTTGCTAAAAGAGTGAACTTCTTTAAAGCATAAAATTCCTTCTTATGATTTAAGGCGTTGATGATTCTAACGTCAGAAGAACCTCCATCACCCAACTTTTTCAACTGATGTTCAATTTCATAGCAATCAAACAAGTTTACATGGCGTTGTCTCAATTCTTCTGGAAGATAATCATTGGGGTCTTTAACCGGATTAGCAACTAGTCTTTCGAAATCAACTCCACCGGCGAGGTAAAAGGACGTGGACTTGGGAGTATTGTCCACCACTTGATCTTTATTAATACCAAACGGATTGTAAACGATCTTCTCATGAGTAGCACTTGAAGACGATCGTGATCTATTATTACCTTGGTGTGTACCAGATCTTGAGTTGGACATTGATAAAGGGATGACGGGAGGTAAGCCCATTCTCACAGGTTTTGAAGTAGCAGGATGTTTTTCATCTGTAGTAGTAGTAGTAGTAGTAGTAGTAGTATTGTTAGTTGATGATGTTGTAGTGGAGCTTTCTGCAGTATTATTCCATTCATTAGGAGTAGAAGTCGACGAACGAGCTACCGATTTCTTATGGTTGCGATCATTGATATGTTGGATATGAGCGAGGGTGGCTGCTCTACTAAGAGTTGTCTTTGGAGGAGGAGTTGATGAGTTGAGAGACGACTCTATGGCTTTGGTTGTAGAAGGATGAGAATGGGAATTGGATCTCTTGATGTTTGCTGAAGTCTTTGTATTGGCTGGGGAGAGCAGGGCTGGGTTTGGTGTTGGGGAGGAGTGATGGAAAAGCTTTGAAAGCGAACCGTGAGAAGACGACGATGATTCTGATTGATAAGCTATATCCTTATCTTTCTTGAAGATACCTTTTAGACCTGCCATGATGAGAGATGTGAGGAGTAGTCAACGGAGTTGATGTTGACAGATCAAGTTGAAGCAAGCAAGAACTAACAATTAGAGCTTATAAGTATAACAATCAATTCTATCGGGTCACTCTATATGTCTATTGTCTTTTTTTCTGACTCCGAGTTGAACCCTTTCAAACAGTAAGTAATTCCGTGGTGATTCGTTCAGTCAATTGTATTCAGTCGAATGTATGTGCAGCTGCTGCTCACACCTTTAATGAAGATAAGACTATTCCTTTTACGATAATGGAAAATGATAATCATTTATGTTATCGCCCATTTACTACAACTTGTTGCGGTATCAGCGGTGCGAAAAAGAAACCAATGGTAGTAGCAGACGAAGCGTGGGCAGGACCAATAATGGCGTGGAAAGCGCACAGAACAGGCACCAGGTGCAGAACGGCAATTGAAAGGGAATCATTGTGCATTACATTATTATATGAATGGAGAACACTTTGATAATAATTAACATTACAATACTACGAAACGAATGCACGAACACTATACGGATAATGTATACGGATAACGTATACAGATAATATACGACTTCAATGATACGACACAGATACAGTTGGACTATACTCTGGTTACTACATCCCTTGGTTCCACTGTACTATTTGGTATTTGGGGTTGCATGTATGCACGGTCCATGTGGCAGAATGTCGCGCAGAAGGCACTTAATTACCCCCACTGTTTACGAGCTAATTCTACTAGTTAATCCTTAGCCTAAACCTCTATCTATAATACTCCACTCTTGTACCCCCTATAAAGTACTCTGTATATTCATATACTCCATGTATTTTCTGCTGAGCATATATCAGCAATCTCCTCCACATGACCCCACTATTATACTGCCAAGATTTGCCTTGCACCCCACAATAATTACAGGCATTTTGGTTTGGTGCGCACACCATTTTATGTTCACCATGAGAACTGGGTTGATCCTGGTGAGCTTAGGAGTACCCATGAAGTGCGCCGTGCATGATCAGCCGTACCTTTACAATGTTCCATTGCATACACTAAGCAAATGTTAACATCGAATGTTAACATCGACTGTCCACCGTATAGAGAGTGAACAACAGTGTGTTATATCTTTGTCCTCCAACTGTCTGTTATGATTTTACTCAGACACCTGAACACCGAACACCGAACACCATTGGCCACACTTCGGCAATGTGCTACACAAACATCATCCTAAATAAATTCATATGATTAATATTAAGATATAGACATAAATAAAGAATTAAAGGAACGGTAAACGAAGAAAAAATTAAACGTGAAAAGAATTAGTAAAAAAAAAACAAAAACATCGTGTAAAAAAAGAGCTTTAGAGTGCCTTCAAAATTAGAAGTTGATCCTATCAAATGCACTTGGAAAGCGATTGAAGTTTTGAAAGGATTTAAACCGATTCTTCGTCTGAAGTTTTGTGACTCTTCTTAACTCTAAAGAAACGAATTCCACCATTACTATGTTCCTTTTCAACTTCAGCAGGAGCACTTCTGGTGAAACTGGATTGATCATTCATACCTGGAGCAACAATTCCACCTTCTGGTGCACCTTGTTGTGGGTATCCTGCTTGTGCTTCCTTGTTAGCCCTAACACGAGCAAGATGGTTGGACCAAGATTGAGAGATGGTAGCAAAAGTTGTGTTTAACCATACCAAACCTAAACAAACAAAAGCAGTCCAAACAATGGCCATAAGAGCAACAGGAACATGAGCATATCTATTATCATTGTTGAAAGCATCCTTGGCCATTACAACAACAGCAGTTTGGAATGCAACACCACCTGCTTGGAAGAAAAGAGCAATCAAAACCAAAAGAACAACAATCTTGTCAATGACTTCCCAGCACAAACCCAAAAGATCAACAATTAAAGCGAATCCAGTGAAGGCAAGAGCAATAAGGAAGAAAACAAAACTAAATCTTGACAAGTAGTAAAAAGTGTCTTGACTGGAAATGAATTTTTGAGGAACGTTACGTCTTGTTGACCAGTTGTTAACAGGAGAGATGGGAGTAGCAGGGGAATTAAGATGTTGAGTAAAGTTATTGGCATTTTGAATACCCCAGAATGTCCATCTTGTAGTATCCCAGGCACCTGGAATACCTGAAGTGTCAGCTTCAATCCAGTAAAAGTTCTTAAAGGGGAATGTATTGGAGACACCGGAAAGAACGGTGAATACAAGAAGAAGGACAACACCTAACAAAAGGATGAGATTAATAAATGTTCTGATAACCTTCATTGTGACTTGTAATATGAATTGAGTCCACTAGAAGGATAAATTGGGTATCACAGGTTTAGGGGGAGTAACCGTAAACAAAGGAACAATCAACTGTCTAACAAATGTATGCTGTGCAACTACTGTGAAACAACTGTCAAATATTACTCAATGAAGATCACAACAGTAATTGATTGAATACTCTAACGGAAAACAAGTGATGTTTTAAAGTCAACGAGAAAAGAAAGTGAGAGAAGAAACAAAATAATAAATGATGGAAATGAAATTTGATTATTATTTTTCGGGAGTGGGTTTTGAGAAACAAACCAAGTAGCAGCAGCTACAAGTGGGTCACAGATGAGACGGACGTTGTGCATGACAAAACTCTCAGCAGCATATACAATTACGACACTAACAATAACAACATGTCTACGTTTGTATGTATAACATGTAGAGTATGTGACAGACACATTGGTCGTTATAATTGGTGTCCCTAGGTAATACGGCTACGAATAATTCTACTCTTCTCCATAGCACTTGTTGTTGGTCTTACTTCTTCCAGCACCATCTTTTTTGTCTGTCTTTCTGTCTTTCTGTCTTTCTGTCTTGTGTGTGCGTGTGTGTGTGTGTTCCCTGTGCTTCTGTAATGCTTGTTGTTGTTGTTCTTCTTCTTAGTCATTGTTGTTGTTGTACTCTTTTGGGGACAACATTCTTTTGTGAACTGTTATGGTGTTTCCTCTTTAGGCCGCAAATGTCACCCTCATCCTGTACCCTCCATTGTTAGCCTGCACGCCGGCACTCCAGGCCATTCCCATGACGTAGTAAGCCTATGGACTCCTCCATCGCTTGTCCGTCACATAGCCCGTACCTCTTCACTGTATTATTGTAATGTACCGTAATGCCACCTGGAATTCCGGAATGGGCTCAGCTCAGGCAACATATCCAACGTCAACCTCAGCCTTCCCACTAAAAATAGCTAATTACTGTCACTAATAATCATACTACTCACTGTGCTATTGGACCTTACTATGATTTCCAGCCACTAATAGTGCACTAATTAATGTGTCAATTGACTTGCTTGCTATATACTACTAAGTACAGCCACTAATACACACATTCATTCCACAAATGTTAACTGACATCGGTCGCTACCAGTTGTTACTGTCACTGCTAGTGCACGTAGGGCTCCTCTACCTAGGTCAATTTACATCTGTACTAACACTTTGCTTCGTTAAACAGTATCCTATGTAAAACTATATAAAGACTCCTACAATTCTATTACGCAATAAATAATTTCACTATCCTTTAATCATCACACCATTATCATCATCATTATCATCATCATCATCATCATCATAACCCCATTTAGAACACCAACCATACCAAGTACGCTCTAAACATTTGGTAGGCTTCTCCGTAGGAGTACTAGCACTCGTTGTCTTTGAAACACTCAGAGTGGAACTAGTGGTACGCAGAACTGAAGTTGTAACCTTGTCTCTGTTATTATCTTTATTAGTCGACGATGACAGAATGGATTGCTTGCATTGAGTCAGCTCCGATTGCAATGCTGTAGAAGTCCGAGTCAGAAACAATTTCAGACTCTTCAATGGATTGGGCAATTCAGGCTCATCTCCCTCAAAATCATCATGGGTAACATACTTCCAATTAAAACAATCACGACAAGGTAATGCTTCAACACATGGAGCTGTGTCATTATATTTCATAATGATGTCATCAATCACAGTATGAATACGATGATTTAATAAGTTAACACTCCATCCTTTATCTCCAACAACATCATAAACACATTGCTTACCAGTATGACATTGAGTTTCCATTGCATATCCTGCTGCATTACAACTGGATGTAGCACCATTGCATACACCCATATAAATAGGATCTGCTGTATTTCCAACATGCCAAATATTCTCTAAATGTTTGGGAATACCAGGAGCTTGTGGTAGATGTAATCTTTTTGTAGCTAATAACTCGCCAGGAGCTTCAAATGCAACTGTAGGTAATCCAAACGTACGACCTAATAGAGAAGCCAAAGCTCCTCCAAGTGAATGCCCTGTCACCCAAATATTATACTTTTCTGGTGGATAAAGCAGAGTCACATTATGATATAAATCCATGACTGCTTGATAATATCTATCTTGACGAAGTAATTCACGCTCTAGGCAATCTTGATTGCAAGTATACGTTTTTTCGTAACAATCACAAACAGTGGTCCACATGTATCCTACACGAGCACAACAACAACTAAATAATAGGTTGTCGTTAATTTTATCATTTGTGGCTGTCTCATCACTTCCACCTCCAGGTAATCCAGCACCCAGAGTACCCTTGATACCAATAACCACTGTATTGGATTGGTTACTAACGAAAATGTGACCTCGTAAACCATCTTCTAACCATCCGAAATTGATGTTCTCTTCATCTTGATCTGGCTCCCATCCTTGTCCAACGTCCACCCAGTCAGACTTCTGTTTCTCCTTATCATCTTTAGGAAACCTTACATATGCATTTGATGATATGGTAGCCATGGAAATCACAGTATCCCTATCATTCATATCTGGAACAGGGATATCTTCAATATCATTCCATTCTAGGCCAATACTTCCTAATATCTTTGGGTTACCCTTAACCCTAATTGCATAATCTAAATAACCCTCAATAAACCCAGGAACGTGACGATGCTTCAATCTTTGGGCCTTTCCTTGTTTGAAACTTATTGGAAGCTTAACTTTGAAAGGGTTCTTACCAGCATGAGCACGGGGCCAGTCCACTGTATCTTCCAATAAATTATCCAACGTCTTACCCTCAATATCAGCAGAGGAAGCAGCATTTAACTCTGTCTCCTCTTGAGCCACAGCAATGTCCATCATGAGGGCCAGAAAGTCTCTCAGTTCAAGATACTCCGGGGTAATATCAAGCCTCCTATGCAATTTATAGTTCTTAGGACCAGCTCCATGGTGAAAGATATGACGGAGTTGAAGACCTTCGTCATCGTTTTCTTCGTCATATCCATAGCTGTTACCCTGTATTGTTTTAGTGTGTTCGATAACTCCAGTAAAATCAGTCAAATCACCATGATGTGTCCAAGTCAGAGTCAGAGACTGTGATGGCAAAAAGAAGGATGGAATGCTACTCAACGTGATCGGATACCAATGCCATGCCAAAAGTACCAAGGTACATATTACTGGTAAAACAGCCACTCGCCATTTATGAGCGCTGTGTTTCTTCCTCTTATTATTATTACCCTTGGTGGCGCCCAAGAGGAGGTGGTGATGTTCTGGAAGTCGCTGTTTAGTGTCTGCTTGAGACATCAGGTAAAGCCCAACAACAATACACAATCGAAAAGGGCTAATTGATTTGGTCGCCAGTATTGAACACTCGACGTCCTTTTAGTATAAAGTGAATAGTTAATTACTAATTGGATGTTAATCCTGAGTAGGGTCACGATTAAGTTATACCTTCATGGAAGGATCATCAATTGTATTCATGTTGGGTTATCGTGAAGTCGTGCGTTGCGAATCCTTTTTCCAGACACACCCCTGCACCGATAAGAGCTATCTTAATAGTCTAACAAATATTCCTGACATCTCCTTGATTGACATCTGTGAAAGTCTTATAAAGAATTATAGTGCTTCTGTATGTATGCAGTTAGTGGGGAAAACTAGTGGGGGAATTAGTGGGTGGAGATTGTGACGTGCTGTGTGTTGTACAGTACGCAGCATACACGGTACTGTGCTTGTACTGTAATTTGTACCTTACATTGAACCCTGAGCTGTACCGTGCGGTGTACCTAACTGGTATTCATTAACAAGTACCAGTCCTTTAGAAGACAAGCAAGACATTTGGTTTCTTTCAATCGAATATATAATACTTTAAACAGAGCTTATCTAAAGCTACGCATTATTAATTTAGCTGTTGCTTCTACATGCTCCCATTAATCGCAATAAACTAAGGACTTCGTGCTCCTTTCAGACAATCAAATTCTGCCATTACCACCAAACACAGTTTTAAAGTGATGAATGCCCATAATTCTATCGTATTATAGCTTGAACCTCTATGCCCATACAGGATTCAGGTAACTTACATTTATATACCAGATTGAACAATTTTGACAGAAATAAGCGAGGTGATTTCATTTCTAGATATATATAGCGTTCTCTATAAGTATTTCCGAGGTATCTAGTAAATATGGCTGCAGGGCTACCACTTGAATATCTTGAACCACTTTAGGAGCCATATCACCATTCCTTTCAGTTGCAATGTCTAAACTTAATCGTAGTATACGGGTAAGTTTGTGTAGAACATTTCCTAACACTTGGACGGAGATTTCGGTAGTTGTCTGGAACCGAGCACTTAATAAAGCAGTAAAGAGATCTCCACACCCGAAAAAATGTACGGGAATACGTTCAATGGGTATTAGAAATATTGAAGTTTCCTTTCTTTGAGCATGAAACCCAACACCATAGAGACTCCCATTAAGTTCTATCGACAGTATCACCACATTTGGTATACAATACCGAAGATAGAATTTATCTAATGCATCTCGTAATGACTTGAAATCTGCTATACTATACCCAGAAATAGTTTCAAACTCAAATTGATTAGGAGTAATACAAGAAACATACCCAGAGGAAAGCAACTCTCTATAAATAGGTACAACTTTCTCCAGTACATAAAGTTTGCCATTATCTCCCAAAACAGGATCAACTATCCATTGAGGAGCCTGGGAGCTTGAATTATTATTGAATATTTTCTTTATGATTTGATCAAATAAAATCTGTAAAAGCTCTTCATTAGGTACATAACCTGTGACTATCATTTGGTATCGTGAAAGACGACCCATTTCCGACAACCCTTCAAAAAGAGCTAACATGTCATCTCCCTTTGTTGCCTTCCCTTTGAACTTACCATAACCTGGGTGATTAGAAAAGTTGGTTGTATTAATCAGATCTACATCCCATCCCATCACTTGAAGAGGGAAAGTCATGGCTCTATTTCCCACATATCCATGACTTACATGTGACAGAATGACCAATGCATTCTTCATGATTTGCCTAAGAATTATAGTAGTCAACCCGTATAATGTATGACTAACTGAAGACTCTTATCACTTGTTCCCATTTAACCCCAACATGGCTTAACACATTGATTACCTAATCGATCCAAATACGGAAACCAACTATCACCTTTGAAAACACCATACCAGTCACGTGACCGAGGTGGCCAAAGAAAATCTTGATATGCTGTACTTTAAACTCGAATCAAACAAACATAACAGAAATATCAACCTTTATACGCAAACTTTCAAGGGGTTCTGTTTAGAACTCAGGTACATAGAAGTGACGTATTTGTATTGATAGTGATTAGCTGTGAGAGGTTCATCCTGAAACTTGTGTGAGCCTTGAATTAATTGACGTACTGAATTTCACAGAGTTTCACAGAACTTTACTGACCTACACTAACCTTTGGCCTCTAACCATGGCAATTAAGGAAACTTCGGTGATAAGTGTTGGGTATCCTATCCTTGCTACCAAATTCATCAATAATAAGACAATTTTAGTCATTGGTGGTGGTGGTGAAGGAAACAATGGAGTACCTAATAAAATCACTGCTATAAAATGCAGTTTTAAAGTAACTGATAAGAGTAGGATTTTACAGCGATTCCGTGAGATTACTTTACCCTCCAATGAGGATTCGCCGCAGTGTGTTGATATTATTCGTACTTTGGACTCTGATGAAAAGTCATACGGTGTTTATGTTGGTTGTAATCAATCCAGTCAATTGATGCTGTCAATGGGTATCAACAATAATTTACGAAAGTATTCCTTCACTCATGAAGAACATTTGAGGTTTTTAGATGCTGCACAGATGGAACCAACTACTCCTGGAATTGATGATTTCCCTAAAATCGTTAGATTATCACCACATGGAACGGTTGGATGTTTGATGACAAGTACAGTACCTTCTTCCATCTATGTTTTCAATCCAGATTCATTAGATTTAATTCACAAACTCAAACCTACTCCTGACCAGGAAATTAAAGACTTCACGTTGGATACAAACGATGACGAGGGGAACGTAATGGCTTACATTACTTCCAAGTCGATTGAAACTGTGATAACGAAAACCGGTCAATCTATTTTCTCCTCTTCCAAGTTGAAGAATAAGAATCAATTGGAAATGTATTCTTTAGCTAAAGTCAGATTTAGTCAAACAGGACAAGAGTTGATTATTGCAGGTACTAATAAAAAAGATAAATCAGCAGTTGTTATTCTATATTCATTGAAATTGGGTAAAATAATTAGGACTTCAAAAGTTTCCAAGAAATTTGGTGTTATTGGTGCCATGGATGTTTCCTTTGCAGCCAATTTGATTGCTGTTGCTGGTAACAATCTTTCCGTTGTTCTTATTCGATTATCTGATTTAAAAGTAATTGAAACTTTTGAACAATTGCACCCATTTGCTATTACTGATGTGGCATTCTCTCCAAATGGCCACAAGTTGGCTTCTGTTTCTGCCGCCCAAACACTTCATGTAATGAAGATTCCACCAAAATATGCAAAGGGAAAATCAACAATTGGAACAGTCTTTGGATATTTATTTACAATTATATTCATGGCCATTGCAGCATTTTTAATCCAAGCAGCTTACGACGGTGGAGAACTTGATCAACTCATTGCTCTTTCACAACAATACAGCAAAGAATGGGGGAAGCTTTCCAAGGATTTCTCAATGGACATTTCAAAGGAATGGTGGACCCACTCTAAACAGTGGAGCGAAGTTGGTATTGTTTATGCCAATGACTATGGACATAAGGGATGGAAATTGGCCCAAGTTTATGGGAAGGTTGGCTTACAGTATAGTAAGAAAGGTTTAGCGTTGGCAGATGTTTATGCCCATCGTGGGATTGATATCATCAAGGAAAAGCTTAAGAAGGACAAGGTGAGTGATAACGACGAAGACTTTTTCAAGGTAGATGATTGGGATGCAAAGACTCATGAAATAACTGGTAAAGATGATACATATATGAAAGTTGAAACAAATACCCCATCTTCTGAAGAAATTGAACAAGAGCAAGGATTCAAATACGAAACTACGGTTTTAGATGATGTTAGTATTCAAAGAATGACAAAGGATATCCACGAATATACAAAAGACAACCAGAGCATTGATACCGAATCCTTGTTGAATAATCCTGACATTTATGAAACAAAAATTGTGACCAAGGCAGCTTCTTCCATCGAGTTAGTTGAACCTTCACAAATCGCTAGTGATCCAGTGGAGTCGGTATCATCTGAACTTAAGACTGAGACTATCGTGGAGTCATCATTTGAAGTTAAGTCTGAAACTACCATAGAATCTATTGCATCCATAGAATCGTCTACTGCACATGAAGAGTCAACGGTTTCCAAAAAATCTATCAATGCCGAAGTTTCTGCAACAGTTGTTTCTCAAAAGCCTGTTGCTTCCAAAGTACCAATTGAATCAGTAGTTTCCGAAGCAGTTGAGTCGGTAGTTTCCAAAGCAGTTGATTCTGTTGTCTCCGAAAAACCAATTGAATCTCCAGTTTATGAAGAGCGCATCGATTCTAAAGTATCCGAGGAACCTTCCTCTACCGAGACTACATCTACAGATTCAACTGTGAACGTATCATCGTCGTCCATAAGTATTGAAGTTGAGAAGTACCCTGATATCAACGAGCCCATTGATGTCAACACAAAACTTGACAAGGAAGTCAAAGACTTTTCAAAGAGAGTCGAAGTAGAAGAAAGCAACATTTCTGAAGGTACAAGTGCCTCTGAAATTGAACAAGAGTCTTCTGTCACTTCCAGTAAAGTTGAGAGAATAGTAGAAGACTCTTCCACGGAATCCGTTTCAACCAAGATTCCAGAATTATCAACAGTTGAAGTACAATCTACAGCTTCGGAAAAATCTGAACCAGAGCTTGAGTCCACTTCGTCTACTACTGAGACAGTAGCTACTGAATCAGTTCCAAGGGAATCATCTGTTGTTGATCCCGCGATTGAAGTGGAGTCAGTGGAGAAGGCCTCCCAAGCTAGTATTTCAGCCATAGTCGATGATCCTCAACCATATATGTACAATCCTGAAACTGTGGAAGAAGATACTGAAACTTCCATCTCATCAGAATCCACTATTGAAGCAGTTGAATCCCAACACTCAAGCTCACCATCGGAGCCTTCAAAACTGTTATCTGAGACTTCCAGCTCTCCATCGGAAGAGACTTCCAGGTCATCAGAGCCTTCAACATCGCTGCCTTCCAGCTCTCCATCGGAAGAGACTTCTAGCTCTTCATCGGAAGAGACTTCCAGCTCTTCATCGGAAGAGACTTCCAGCTCTTCATCGGAAGAGACTTCCAGCTCTTCATCGGAAGAGACTTCTAGCTCTTCATCGGAAGAGACTTCTAGCTCTTCATCGGAAGAGACTTCTAGCTCTCCATCGGAAGAGACTTCCAGGTCATCAGAGCCTTCAACATCGCTGCCTTCCAGCTCATCTCAGGACAAGTTTGAAAGAGAACAAACTTCATCGTCTCAAACAGAAGCGTCCGTTCCTCCTGTGTCCAGTGAGGAAAAGGAATTATCTACGACTCCAACTATTGAATATTCTTCTCTGACAGTTGTGGAAACTCTTCGTGAGACTCAAACCAATGCTCAGGGCCAGAGGCAAGTGATCCATAAAGTTATCACCAAGATCAGAAAGTATCCAATTCTGACTAGACAAGTTGTCCATGACGAACTTTGAGGTAACCTCTTAATAAAATAGTTTATAGAAGCGTACCAAAATAGATTTATGTATTTAAGTGGTAGCAGCAGCATTACTGTTAGATGAGTAACAGTAGGAGCAGCAGTGGCAGCAGCAGTGGTCGTTTATATTATCAGTAGTACTATCGTATTTATGTACTGCATCTTCAAATCAAGTCTATGCGCAGAGGCACTAATCTCATGGAGTCAAGTGGCAACTTACAAGCAATTGATTACTTTGTTAATGAAGCTCACTCCATCGGTAACAACTAGTCATGAATTTCAATAGACTACTTGACAACATAGGAGATCCATCTGATTGGAGGGCTACTAAGCTTCCAGAAATGTCGCTGCTTGACGCGCTTCAACGATGCTTCATTTGCAAGGAGTTTCTTAAGGCGCCATTAACAACGGGATGTAGTCATACATTCTGTTCCTTGTGTATACGAGAATATCTTATAGCCAATAGCAGATGCCCACTTTGCAAAACTGAGCAGTTTGAAAGCAATCTAAGACGTAACGTCTTACTAGAGGAGATCATTACTTGTTACGTATCGTGTCGACCTCATCTCCTAGACTTGATAAAGGAATCGGCACCGGAACATACGATGACCATTTCAAGACAGAAACGACCAGCTTCGTCTTCACCTTCAGAAATAGTAGAGGTTTTACTGTCTGACGAGAGTGCTAATAGTACTAATACTAATAATACTGTGCCAGTTAAGAGGCATAAACGCGAACCAGAGTCAGAGTCAGGGTCAATGGTATCACCGTCTCCATCGTCTGATAACATGGCTGAATGTCCCATTTGTGGGGAGATAATGCCTGCAGATATCATAGAGAGAAAGCATTTAGATGATTGTCTCAAGGGTAAGAAAACAAAGCCGTCAAAGTCAACTAAAAGGACAAAGAACAATTCCTCAACACAGGGGAACATTCTGTCTTTCTTTACCGCTAACAACGAGAGGAAAAAGAGACAAATCATTCATAAACGTGATCATGAACACTACTACTTCCATGAAGCATCTACTCATGGAGACCTGGAACATAAAAAGCTACCAAAATTAGATTTCAGTTCACTTTCAACTTCAAAATTGAAGGAGAAACTTTCGGCATTAGAAATACCAACATCAGGTACACGTCAACAGCTTGAACTCCGATACAACCATTATTATGTGTTGTATAACTCCAATCTTGATTGTAATCATCCACTTGTGGAAAAAGTGTTAAGACTGAAACTTTCCCAATGGGAATCTTCTCATCTGGCTTTCACCCCCACTACTACAAGACACTACAATTCAAGCAAGCTTATCACTGATAAGGATTTCCTGCCCACTTTATGGGTGGCCAGTCATCGAGATGAGTTTTTAGAACTTACACGTGCTGCCAAAGCTACATTAAAAGCCAACATGAAGAAGTCAAAGTCAAAGTCACAGACAAAGTCAAACACAACGCCAGAGTCATCTGAACCTCCAAATGAAGATCAATTGAATTGTGATCAGAGTCTTTTATTCTCTGTACCCGGGCTTTAGAAATGAAATATCGGGTTACATTTCATTTAGATAATATCATCCCCTCAGACCCCACATAAGGCTAAGGCTCCTTATATTCCTATAGAGCTTGGAGTTCAGCGAATCTTTTTGCTTTATAGTCATTAAGGTTCTCCTCGGGAAAACAGCTGCACCTAAAACCGTATTAGGAAATTATACCCGAGGTGCAATTGCTGCCGAAAAAAATCCTAGATCATTGAAATACGGTATCATCTAACCCATTTAGGATCAAATTACCTTCCACTATCTCTTGATCATCATCGAACCGGTCGGTCCGATATTCAAATAAGGATCCCTGTCTTTGTCTTTGTTGGTCATTGTGGAACGACTTCAATCAGTGTGATTGAACTTTGGGGGGTTTACTATTCAACTAAATATACCCCATCATTCCGTTTCGGGAATAGCACTTTAAACTTGAATTATTCAACACTACTTGAAGTTTTTGAGTCCTTTCAAAATGGGAGATGAATACTACCTCTCAGCAAACGAGGCTGCCCTAGCGGTGGTGGCCACAGCCATGAAGAAGGCCCGTCTACGGCTAGATACTCTATGCGTGAACTCACTTATGGGAGGGATACTATTTTCTAGTGGAGGGATGATTCATATTATGGCTCAAGGATATATGGGGTCTATTTTCCAGAATGATCCCGGTGTGATTATGTTTATACAAGGGTTGGTATACCCTATAGGATTGTTTTATGTTGTGATCATGGGGGTTGATCTTTTCAATTCCAACGTTTTATTTTTCAGTACTGCCGTGGTAAGAGGTGCAGTTAGTATATTGGATTTATGCATAAGTTGGTTTGTTAGTTGGTGGTTAAATTTGGTTGGGAATATCTTTGTGTGTTATGTTATTTCAACTTATTCAGGTGTTGGTACTACGAAAAGTTTTATTCGTAGTGCAGTCGAGATTGCTGAAACAAAAAATGCTCATGGATTTGTTCAAACACTTTTAAGAGGTGTTGCAGGCAACTTTTATGTTAGCATGGCAATCTATTTACAATTGATGGTAAAACCATTGCATGTTAAGTTTTTCATGTTGTTATTACCAATTTTCACCTTTGTTTCCCTTGGATATTCCCACGTAGTTGCAGATATGTATTTAATGGTGATGGGGTTGATTAATCATGCTGATGTTACAGTGGGGGAAGTGATATGGAGAGTCTTCATACCCGGAACTTTGGGGAATATGATTGGAGGATCTGCATTTGGAATTGTCGTAACATGGTATTTGCATTTAGTGGTTGTGGAAAGAGATCAAAGAGAATTGAACTTACCTCAATATGATGTACGGGATGAACAACCTGAACTTAATCAAGATTCACGTGTTGTTAGGAGACCTCTACAAATCTCTACAGAAGATGATGATGATGAGCCCCTAGATGAGGAACCTGAATACATCAATGACAAATTGGGTGGTATTAGAGAAGAAGAACCTTCAGATAGTTCAGATTCTTATCGAGCTGAAGCTCCCCAAGCATTATATGAAGATAATTTATCTCGTATGAATACCAGATCAACAGGAATATCTCGACTCAGTAATATGTCATCTTATAGACGACTTCGTTCACCCAAAAACGTCTTCCCAGTTTATGGAATGGGAAATGCTGGCAAACGGGAAAGAGAAATTGCTGGGGAATTTGCCCTGAAAGTGAAATCAAGGCATTCAGGAGAAATTGATTCAATGCTTCTGCGTGCTGCTACTACCACAGGCACAGTTGATCTGGGAGCAAATTATTTAGGTGAAACTTTGAAGCGAGTAATCACCAGATCAAAAGTACAGAAAGAGGAACGAGATATAGAGGCTCAACGCATCGTGTCTCCTTGTCCATCATTTTCTTCGTATCATTCAAGACATCTGACTGGCGTACCTATTAAACCTTTGAGGTCTGTTAGTGTTGACAATGTAAATAAGCGAATGTTACAAGCAGGGATAACTCCGAAGGCAGCCAGAGGTGCCAATGAAGCCGCGGGAATCGATTCCATGACTACTCGTCCTCGGATGTCATCAGCTATGGGAGAATCAGTATCAACTGCTCATACAATCGACCTGATAGATAGTGAGAGACAAGAGCCCAAAGGTAGCACTCAATCTCAGTTTGATGTAAAAGATTTTTCACCACAGAAACCAGCATAAATAATTTAGGAGAGATTATTATTATTATTATTATTATTATTATTATTATTATTATATAAAAGCATTTTGATAGAATATTTATTTATTACATACATTTAATTAAATTACTAGATTAAAAAGAATGGGATCAATTGAACCCACACCAAAAAGTAATGGACGAGACAGGAATCGAACCAGTGACCTTTTGCTTGCAAGGCAAACGCGCTACCAACTACGCCACACGCCCTTTTTGTTTATTGTAGAATGATCGCTAAATATAGAAGTGAGAATCAGAAATTATAACGGTATATTCACTACCACGGGTAATTGATATAGAGTGGAGAAGGGTAACTATATATAGGAAAGCAGAGATAGTCATAAGAATCCCACAACAACAACAACAACGACAATCATAGTATTTAAAGAATCCTTCAGTGCTTGATAGAATCTATTGCTTAAGATGACCGAATCCAATTTCCTAACTAATATAAGAGAGTATACTTCCAAATACTATTCCAACCAATCAACATCTATATGGCATCGATTACCAATACTGAGGCGGTCAGCAGTGTTTATACTTCTTTTCTTTGGACATCTTGGTGAACTCAGAGTCATATTAACCCGAAGACTGTCTAAGCTACGCAATTTCCCCGGACATATATCTTTACCAGGAGGGAAGGCAGATACGGGTCTTGAATCCGAATGGCAAGTAGCCAGAAGAGAAATGCATGAAGAAATCGGATTAGATGCTGATGATAAATTATTGGTTAAACATTTTGGGTTCACTGTTGATTATTTAAACATTTTACCTGCTTATCTTCTGAGAACGTTTTCCGCAGTACGTCCTTGTGTTGGACTAATGAAAATAAGTGCTAATGAAGATGAAGCCAAACTATTAAATGATTTGCGGTTAAACTTAAATCCGGGAGAAACAAGTACTATATTTTCATGTCCCTTAAGAGATTTTTTGTATCCTGTTCGTGATGAACCACCAATGGAATGTTTTGAAAGAAGTTCTCATGAAATGAATTGGGGTGGTATACCTTGGAATTTACGATCTTATGCTTTCCTTCAACATAATAAGAATGAAGCTGTTTTTCTACTGGACATTGTTGGTGATCTAACTTCCGAGGAAGAAGATCATCACGATGATGCCCATGGTCACGTGACACAAGTAAATCAGAGCAAAGTTACCACTTCCAGTAAAAAGGACTTATCTTCATGGGGACGTCTTGGATCACGTCGACACTCAGAAACCAATGAAAAAATATACGATGTATGGGGATTAACTGCTAATATTCTACATGATCTAGCAGAAATTGTTTATGAAGGAGGACAACTTGAACGGGAAATTGGGGAAGAAGAGCTTATTTATAGTCTTTGGGAACATGGAAATCAATTAAGACTGAAAGAACGGCTGGAAGAAGAAGCTAAACTTATAGCTTCCACTCCTATGGATCGATGTTTTGGATTTGGTGATGTTTTACCTCGTACAGAGTTTCTTAGACTCAAGAAACTCTATAAGCTTTAACCATATGGGAGCGCCGCTATTTAGTATAATGATAAGAAATTTCATTGTAGATTATTCGAACTATGTACTACTTTTACTTACTACTTCTGTATATTTATCATGACTGGGGTTGAAACAGTGGTAAAACTCATGGAGGATATATCTATAAGTGCTAAGGAAGAAGAGGATGAAGAATATCAACTACCAATAGACGACCACGAGAACCTCAGTGCAATTGATACAAAGACACTTGAATTACTACAGTTACTAGACAAATATGAGAACACTATAATGAAGCAGATGGATATTAATTTTAAGAATGGATACTTGAACCTTTCACGTGCCAATTACAACTCTGGCTCGTTGACCAAGAAGTTTGGAATAGAATCCATTGATATGAGAGAGCATTTGGCCAATAAGATAGTGGAGGTTAAGGGTAAGGATATAGTGCTAAAGAACGTCACAAAAGAGACGATACAAGAAACTAAGAAAACATACAACACTATGAAAGCTGATGAATCTAATAATGAAAACGGTCTTAGAAATCGAAATCAAAATATAAAGTCATCCAAACCCAAAGCGTTTGAAGAATCCGAGGAAGGTGGTATATTAAGAGATCCAATACATCAATTTGGTGGGTTGGTTCCTTATCAATTAAGACAGTCACAAACTTATTTCATTAAAGGTTTGAAAGATGCTATTTCTCTTGTTGCATTACGTAGTGATATACAGCTGTTGATTCAAGAAATAGAGTCATTAAGACTGACAGACTGACTGACGGTCCGACTACTTTTCAATATCACTGAACAAATCACTATCATTTTCGTAATCGTCAGGATTTATTTCATCTTCACTGGATTCAACTTCGTCATCGTCAGTTTGTTCAGTTTGTTCATTTTGTTTGGCCTTTCTCTTTGCCTTCTTCTCTTCCTTTTTTGCCTTTTTTGCATCGACATTGGCCTTTTGTAAAGCTCTTCTTTGTGCCTTCTCTTGTTTCATGAGTGCATGTTTCTTGTTCAATTGTTTCAACTCCTTGTCGGTCTTGTGGACTTGCGAATGGTAAATGGTCTTTGAGGATCCTACCAACCCTTCTTCTATCTTATAAAGATCCATAGAGATTCTTGGTCCCAATTCAATTAACTTGATGGCCCTCTTTCTGGTTGTAGAAGTCGATGCAGAAGGTGCCGACTCATTGGCAGTGGTTGTTTTCTTGATGACTTGCTCGTTTTTGATTTCCACAATGGCATCATCCTCAATCTCGGAATCAGAAGTTAACCCACCCACTGAATAAGGGTCTAATAATAAATCAGAAACATCTTGATTTTTTGTCATGATGGGTAAACTCTTTTTGGGGTTGTGATGAGAATTAATAAGTTTCTTGATGTTTCTATTCTCCTCCACAAGTTTAGTGGAAATAGCATAATGTCTCAATTCTATGGTACCTGTTTCCTTATCTTTGTTTATCATGAGGACTCTTTTTATAGAAGAAACTTTGGTATTCTGTGGTTGAATTGGAGGGAACATTCCTTGGAAAACCGTAACCATTAATTTCTCATGATTATCAGCTTCCTTCATGTTGGTCAGAAATCCATTCATAACTAATAATGGAGGATGTAAAAACTCAGTGGAATCCTTTCCTAAAGACTTTGGACGTTTCAAAATCCGTCTAACATCTTTGGCTAAAGCATAAGTATTGATTCTAAACTGTAATGTAGGACCTCTAGGCATCTTACCTAATCTTAAAGAAATATTACCTGATTCTTCAGATTGATGGAATACAAATAAATCAGACACTCCTAAAGGTCCTGCCATAACAATGAAATCCTTGAGTCTATTGGACTTTCTCTCCCGTAAGTTGATAGCCGTATGTGGTTGCATGATATTTCTAAAGTCCTTGACTAATTGTGACAACAGATGATTCTGTAAGCTCAGACCTAATCGAAGTACCATTGACCGAGGGATCTTGGCGAGTTCTTCCTCACTCACCTTGGTATGTGTTCTTGTCTTAGTTCTTCTCTTTGCCATTCTAACAGTAAGCTATAGTGATGCTATAGTGTAGAGTGATGCTATAGTGTAGAGTGATGTTGTAGTACAGCAGTAATAGACTGCAACAGTAGGTGTCGGTAGAGTTGCAGTAGAATCATCTCGCTGCTTTTTCGTTTTTCTGCTCATCGCACCTGTATGCAGGTCATCGCAGTTATTTATGTGAACGAGGGTCTTCAGTAATACCCATTTATCAGTGCAAGCCACATAACCTCACCGTATAAACATAGACAGCATTGAACTCGTCTTACTATCCATATTCAAATCAGCTCCGTGTTACGTGTGACCATGAAAGTCTCCAAATCCAAAAGAACAGTCGACACCAAGGCTCTAGCGGAAAGAATCAAGAAAAATGTCTTGCAAGCAAAGAAAGCATCTGATCCCATCACCAAAGCATCACCAAAGTTATCCAAGTCCACACCTATTGAAGTCGATGCTGATGCAGAAACCAAAATCTCATCCTTTTCGGAATTGGATTTGGTTCCTGAACTTCTTCTTGCCATCAACGGACTTAAGTTCTCTAAACCCACCCCCATTCAAGCTGAAGCCATTCCTCATGCGCTTTTAGGGAAGGATATCATTGGGTTAGCTGTTACTGGGTCAGGGAAAACAGCAGCTTTTGCCATCCCCATCCTACAAGCCTTATGGCATGCACAAACGCCGTACTTCGGTTTGGTGATGGCTCCAACCAGAGAATTGGCATATCAAATTAAGGAAACTTTTGATGCCTTGGGTTCAGGAATGGGGGTGAGAACTTGCTGTGTTGTTGGTGGTATGGATATGATGGACCAAGCTCGTGATATCATGAGGAAACCACACATTTTGGTGGCCACTCCAGGTAGAATCATGGACCATTTAGAACATACCAAGGGGTTCTCGTTGAAAAACCTTAAATACTTGGTTATGGATGAAGCTGATAGATTATTGGATATGGATTTTGGACCTTCTATCGATAAGATCTTGAAGAGAATCCCCACCAATAGAACAACGTATTTGTTTTCTGCTACCATGACCAGTAAAGTGGACAAGTTACAACGAGCATCATTAAGAGACCCGGTTAGAGTGGCCGTGTCGACCAAGTTCCAAACAGCAGATAATTTAACCCAATCAATGATGTTGGTCCCGGACGGGAAGAAGGATACTTATTTGGTTCATTTGTTGAATGAACTTCATGGCAAATCAATGATCATCTTTGCCAGAACATGTTCCCATACTCATAGAACTGCACTTTTAACCCGGATGCTTGGGTTTTCTTCTATCCCCTTACACGGTAAATTGACCCAATCCCAGAGATTGGGAGCGTTAAATAAGTTTAAAGCCGGTCAGGCCAGTATTTTGGTATGTACAGATGTTGGTGCTAGGGGGTTGGACATCCCATCTGTTGATGTGGTTATCAATTATGATATACCTACCGATTCCAAATCATATGTTCATCGAGTTGGAAGAACCGCCAGAGCCGGTAGAGCCGGTAAATCTGTTTCCCTTGTGTCTCAATATGAAATTGAAATGTACTTGAGAATCGAGAAGGCACTAGGGAAGAGATTACCTAAAGACGAAGATCCTCCAAAGGAAGAAATAGAAGCATTATATGTTCATGTTCTGAAGGCTACCGCGGAAGCCATCAAACAACTGAAACAACTCCATGAAAAGTGGAACACCAAGAAGGGTGGAAGAGATGATCGAGACAAAGAAGAGAAATAAATTACATAATTTAATAACATACATTAACTGAACTGAACTTACCCATTACCGTTATTGGTGCAAGAAATGCACCGGACATTCACCAACACCCTTTGTATTGAACCAATCTTTAATACAAGCATAATGAAAAACACATAAACATTCTAAACGACCCACTTTATCCCCCGGTTTCAAATCTTCTAAGCAGATCACACATTCGTTATCAAAGTTATCATCATCCTTTTCCTTTTCTGTTACTGTTGATCCGGAAGTCACAGAACCTACCACTGTTGAATAAGACCCACTACTAGTTCCAACCCCTCCAGAATTGACTATAGTTTCAAATTGTGGATATGGAATAGGTGGAATGTTATATACCAACATTTTATTTCTCGTATGCTTGGTTGGCAGGGTAAACCTATCATGAGACGTATCAAAGTCAAACTTGGTTAAACAACTACTTATATGAGACTCTTTATACTTTTCAAAGCTCTCGTGCCAATCATCCCTGCAACGTCTTTTGGGGAATTTCTTTCCATAGCTTAATAAAAGATTCCGCGCACAGACTGGACACAAATCATCATCTGTAGACGTATCACTTGTATGTGGTTCACTTGAACTGGACCCCACTGTATTTGATCGTGTGCGAACATCACCATATTTTGTACCGTCATCAGAACCATTCACACTGTCATCACCCGTATCACCGTCATTATCATTATCATTAATATTATTACTGTTATTATTATCGTTATCATTATAATGTCCATCGCTTAGTTCAGCTATACACAGATCACATGTTCGATAGTACCGTCCATATATACCTTGACTTGTCTTGCCACCTTCTCCTAATACAACTGGACCCCCATACCAATTCATGGGCTGCGAAGAACAACCTCCACATACAACAAGCCCACAGATTCTACAGTGGTGTCTTCGCACGAAAAGCGTGAATGGACACTGGCACAAATTACATGATTTAACGTCCCAATCGCTCTGCCACAGGGGGGACGTCATCGTTATAAACACTGTATATAGTAAAGAAGAATAGTTGATTAACTCCTTAGATTCTGGGGGGATTTCCTAAGGTTATATATCGGTACTGAAGATTGAGATTGTTCGGGGCACGACCTTGGGTAGCACATTTGAAGCAAAGAATATTAACCACCACTTATGTACAACTATATATATAGTCCACATATCTGTACAATGACTGACAGGTTGACTCAACTACAAATATGTTTGGACCAATTGGTGGAACAGTTCAACGCCACAGTGAACTATGTCAACCTCAATAGTGAGCCAGGGCTATTAGATGAGAACCCTAAGTCCGTCATTAATAGAGCAGCAGCAGCACCTGTTGCCGGTCAAACTCAACCCCCAGGACAAGGACAAGGACAAAATCAGACAGGTAAAGCAAGTCCCTCGGAAAGCAATCGGCAGTCCAATGCTCCTAACACGGGTAGTGACACGGGTATAAATAGAGATGACGCAGAAGCTAACTTTGAAAACACCATCAATGAATTATCAACAGATATTATATTGAAATCTCGTCAGATCAGTTTACTTATTGATTCACTCCCCGGTATCGGAGTTTCGCCTGAAGCGCAATTGGAATTGATAGAAGAGTTGGCTGGAGAATACGATACGGTGGAGAAGGAAAGAGCAGAGAAGATAAAACAAAAAGATGAACTACTTAAATGGTGTGATTCCCTTATAATAGAAGTAGCCAATGGAATCACAGAAGCAAGATGTTGATAATAATAATGTCGTTAATCTTAATGTTAATCTAGTTTGGTATAAGACATACAACTCATATCCCAAGTTGAATACCATTGTCTTTGAAGACATCCATGGACAGTCCATTCCAGTCCATAAATGATAGGAAAAAACTGAACAAAGCAGTACATGGCACCTGCAGAGATGGAGATCATCATCATATAACCAATGGATTGGTTTCCAGCCATACGATACTCAATATATTGTGCAACCAACAATATGCCGAAATATACACTAGGCAAATAATGATGAAGGAACAACTGTCTTTCCATGTTGAAATATGGGATATAATGCATCAACCAACCTAATAAAAATCTCAATGAACAATCATAAAAATTTTGTTTATGGTTAGGATAAGTGGTGATTAAAAATGGGTTCAAGGCATTGAAAAAATACCAAGTTTGTTTGAAAAGAACAACCAATATCACCACAAGTGAAACATAATAAATGGCCATATTCCCTAATAAATACACTGAACTTCCTGTTTCATCTGTTAAGACATTTTCTGTATCTGTACGGAAATAATTCACTCCTCTAATGAGGAATGGCCATGTAGCAGGTTCAGAAGCATAGTTATGCTTTTCAGTTAAGGATTTATTCAATTGGAACATTGCCTTATGAATATAATACACTTTAGACCAAAGTGATACCTTTCCGAAATCAACTCGATCATGATTATCCACATCATTGTCTAATAGAGGATGAGAATTGAACTCAACGGTCCATAAAGTATTGTCTAAAGTTGGCTCATTAATACAAACGATTTCCCTTTGACCAAACCCCCAACTGGGTAATTTAGTATCATGAGACATCAAAATACATTTGGTACCCTGATGAATCAATTGGAAAATCGATTCTGTTGCTCTAACTTTAATTTTAGGTAGATTATTCTTACTATGACTTTCAGTGTCAAGGATTTTAACCTTCCATTCATAGTTGATATCTCCCAAGATTTCTCGAGTACCATTGCAACTAACTTCATTGGCATATTCGTGTTCCAGAACTGGGGGTCTAACATCATTGACATGTAAATATTTCCCTGTAGACTTATGGTATAAACGAATGATATCACCGTCTTTAACATATCTTAAATAGCCATGTAGTTTCTCCAATGGTTGTTGGTTTTTAGTTTCAATGATCCATTCGTTCTCAGGATCATCTGCAAACGTGTACCCGGTAACTTGTTGTTCGTGGCTGCCTGATTCATAGGTGAAGTTATGTGAATGGAGATATACTTGCAATGGACGGTGTTTCAAGGTAATTGTACTACCAAAAGCCACTTCCACAGGCACATTTTTCAAGATATCTGAATCATTGAAAGTAGATTGAATCTTTGCGGGTAAATATCCTATGCCTACACCCGAATAAGGCAATGCTGATAAACTGGTGATGAACACTCCCAAGAATATCGTCAAGGGAATCAACACAAGAGCCACAAGTCTACCAAACGAATGCATAATCAATTGAAGATTAGTTACTTGTAGATCGCCCAAATACTGCCATAATTTGATCAATGTTAAAGTCGTAGCCCACACCAACGTAAACACACCAACAAACTTAATCGAGACAGCACATCCAAGACCCACACCAGTTAAGATCAACAACAGACACCACTTGGATGTGAATGGTTTGGTTACGTCCACCTTGATGGTCCCCAATACAGCGATGGAAATGGCTAAGATCATGGGAGAATCCAAAAAGATAAATCTTGATTGAGTAACCAAGGAGTTTTCAATGAGGACCAAGGTGGCACCAAAGAAGGCAACCATGGGACGACACAACGAAGCTCTAAGCGTGATGTAAGCTATCAATACTGTCAATACACCACATACACCACTAAAGAGTCTCAAGGGAACATAAGGAACGTTTTCAGTGTAGGGGTTACCTATTTTGCTAAAGTCGAAATCACCAGTGTACCCAAAGGCCAATGCGATCCAATAGTAGAGCAACTTCCCTAAAGGTGGATGAACGTCAACAAAGAAATCGCCAGTTATATATTCGTTGACAAAGGTACCGAAATGGACTTCGTCAAACACAACGTGGGAGGGCCAGGGGATATTGTAAAGCCTAATGATCACTCCCAACGTTAAGAGAAGTGATAGGTTCAAACGATCTCGTTTATCAAGTTTACTTTTGATGGATATATTAGTATGGTCGAGTTCTGTCAGGAAATACGGCATGTGTTTTCCCAACTTGTAGCCTGACTCCAATGAGTTAGTTGGTTGAGTCATTTCATGGAGGAGGCGGTGAGAAGAGAAGAAGAAGCAGAGGAAGAGGAAGACGGTGGGGTACGCTTTAAGTGCACTCAACCAAACTGCGCGAAACAAACGCATTCATTTGTTGAGAATAGTAGTGGGCCGTAACAGAGGACTCAACAGAACGTAACAGAGATCTCAGTAGTAGAGTGGTTCATGCCTTCTATTACCCCATATACACTCTAAACAGGCCATTACGTTCATCCAATGTTTCAATGACATACTCCAAACAATCTTCCGGATATCCATTCATCCAACCCAACGTAGTACTAACCTGTACATGCTTCAACTTTGGTAATCTGCCTTCATCCAAAGCCACAGCCAAATCAACAGGTTCAATTCTGTTGTATGTACCTAAAGTACCACTAGACCCTAACCTCAAGTTCTTTAAAGGACGCTGATAAGGTAAATATTTAAGATTATGCTCATCAAAGAACGACAGCAGTATGTAATCAACATTAACCTCCAAAGTGATCAAGTTGGGACAATACAAGAACACACTGTCTCCCGCATTGGATATTGACATTGGGTATTGAATCCGGAGACTGGTTAAATTCTTACCTATTTTCAGTAGCACATCAACAAAACCAATATCACGTAACGAAGAGCAATGGGACAATTCCAACTCACATATAGTGGAGGGGAATCGAGTTTGGATTATAAATTCATCAGATATCCCTCCAGATATATGAAGAAATGATAATCTGGGAGGCCATTCAAAATCATATTCTTCATCTTCATTTGATGATTGGATAGAACACCGAGGTAGTGACAAATGTGTCAACTCATGATGATTCTTTATAGCTTTGAACAACTCAAACAAGTTCATGGCTTCAGAAACTAATCGTAGATCCAATACTTTCAATCGAGGACAATTCTTCAACGAAACCAATGGACCCAATCCAAAACTGGTTTGAGGGGCAACAAATTTCCTGAGACTCTTACCTGATCTTTTAAGTAGCTTGGATATAGAGGCATTCTTCCCTCCATGATTGATATTGGTTAGATCAAGTGTTTGAATATATCCGCCCAACGATTTGTTACGGGTAATCACTTCAGTGAACGAGTTGAAATTATTGGGATACAACCATGGGTGCCCATATATGATTTGTGCAACTATACCATAAATGGCTTTATTCAATATCATATATTTGCTAGTCAAATGGCCCTGATAATGTAGGATTTCAAAGATTTGTTTCATCACTTCAATGGGTAACTTCATCATATTATGTCGGTCGTCGTCATCTTCTTCTGCTTCATGGTCACCCACTTCGTCATAATCATCTTGTTGTTGTTGTAGTCGTGATGCTTCATATTCCTTATTGCCTTTGTCTAGATAGCATCGCACTAGATCAACCTTTTGAAACTGACTCTGGGGCCATACATATGATCTGACCTTGTGCTTTATGCTGTCTCCTTCTTCTATGCTGCTATCTTGTCTTGTAAGAACATGGACCGTTCTTATATTAAGCTTGGATCGTAGTTGTTCATCTTGATTACTATCATTTGCTTGTCGTGGTTCCGTACCTTCACCAGAACTGTATACATATCGTTTGTAAGGTGCCTTCACCTTCTTAGCACGGAACTTGTTGGCCATCAGTCAGCACAACAAGTATATATAATATATATATATATATATACGCTATGGACCTATGTTAAGGAGCTATACCAGTACACTATTGGATGTAATTGGATGTAAAGCCCCACTGCTTATCGATGTAATAAAGGGCAAAATTAATAATTGTTGTGGTGTCACACGACTTTTGAGTGAACCGTTGATCCACAGTTATTATCGTCAGTCTTTGAACGCTAATCGAACATGTTCTGAACGTCTCTCAGACTGACGACTGAACTCTTCATCATGATCATGCTCACGATGATATCGTTTGGTTAAGTTCTCAATAGGAAGTCTTCTGGTTTTAACTTGGTGTATTCTGTTGGTGGATGATAGCCTGAATTTCTTTATACCTTGAAACTCTTTATCAGTTTCAGTGCTGTTGCTGAACTTACTCCTCACTCGCCGTGATTCGCAAAAGCCGAACAAGGGAAGCATTATAAAGACCCGGAAGAGTGCACGGGGAATGAAACACATGATAGAAACATATACCCGAAGTATGTTCCAAGGTAAGACTATGAAGATCATGAATAAAGGATAAGTGAATTTCCATATCAATCTCATACAAAATCTATGGATCTTGAAGATTGTATCAATCGGAGATATTGATTTGGTTATAATATGATGATAGAAATACTCAACTATCACTCTTTTTATCAACATTGTGAACATTGTATAGGTTGCAAGTTTTTGATGGTAATAATTGTTAACGTGTGGCTTCACTTCAATGAAAACATGTTTTAAAACTCCATAGGGATCATTTAAAAACTTCAGCATCGTAATTTGATGCATACATGAATTAATGAAGAATAATAATATTTCAGTAAGTCGTTCATCTTTTGAAAGAACGTAACTATCAGATGAAACATCGGACATTTGAAAATCCTTTATAGATACACGGTTTGTATTTCTTGTTATCAAACGTTCAATACTTGAGGTTAATGGAAGTCCATGCAATGAGTACATTCTCTGACTTGGTTTGGGATCATCATCTTCTTCTTCATCTTCTTCTTCATCATCATCATCATCATCATCATCATCATCATCATCATCATGAGCAGTTGGAGTGTTATGGTCATAATCATGAAGTTTATTTCCTGACGACCAAGGTTCAAACATTAGATCAATGGGGGTTGTTCCATTTGATGGTGATTCTCCATTTGACATTCCTTCAAACACTGTATCGTCATCTGTAAGGTAAGAATCACGTTTATCTCTTATTGCTGGCGACGTCATAAGAGAACTGAATGGGAATAATGGCACTGATACAAGTTCTTCATCCAAATTTGAACCTTGATGATCATCATATACTGAATTTGGAGTTGCAAGATCAAAGGAATCTTTTTTTTCCAAAAGTCGAGTCATATTGGTGTTGATATTTTGTAACAATTCTGTAAATTCAGGAGATGTAGGAGTTGAAGTAATTAATGGAGTTGAAGTAATTAATGGAGTTGAACGTTGGTTTTCAAGAATGGTAGCCATTTCCTGTTTCAAATCAAGATAATGTGATTCTATTTGATTCAAACGAGAATCATCAGGTAATTGTTGCAATTGTTGTGGCTGCAATTGTTGTGGCTGCAATTGTTGTTGTTGTTGAGGTTTATCCGCTTTCAAAGGTTTAGCAACAGATTTAACCCATTGGCTCAGTATCCATATACCAGACATACGTAAAGACCCAATGATCAAATACAATAAGGGGAAGGTTACGTTTCCAAGTGCACCATCAGTTTCAGAAGAAGCACGATATATCATATGAGTAGCAATAACCACAAGTAATACCCCACCAAGAGTGGATAACATACAAATAGATGGACCCAATGCAAGCCATAAACTTTTCATTAAGGACCTTCTTTTGCAATTACATTCTTGTTGGTGGTGCATTGTGCCATGAGTGTGACAGGTACCGCTGACGTTAAGCCAATTCCATGGCCATACCGCCAAAAGATCTAGAAGCCAATTGAGTAAGATAACGACGGCAAGGTTTGTTAGGACCGACATGGAGAAGCTGTTGTAGCGGAAATGGTGTTGGAGGAGAGGTTGGCGGATACTTTCAAAAGAAAGGGGAAGTATGATGATCGACTTGGTTGTGTATTTATGGGTCGCAACAAGGGAGATCATCATTGGAACGGAAGTCTTTGTTGATGGTTATGACCTGTAGTATATATATGTGTTGTGACCTGTAGTATATATATATGTTGTGACCTGTAATATATATACATATATGTTGTGACTTGTAACAATATATAGATACTGCTGTATATATCAACGTATATATATCCAACACTTCCTAATACTATGTATGTGTATTATGATTGTATGTATATATTTTTGTATGTTCGGCTCGATCCTTGCTTGGTACTGGGCGTGGCCTGAATAGGGCCAATAACTGTTTATATATAATAACTTAATACCATCTGGGTATACGTGTAATGCACATATTTATTAAGCACGGTTGTCTATACACAACAATAGACAGATCTTAGATAAGTCACTAACCAGAGGACCTTGATTCACGTATTATTGCTACTGTAGTGAGGCTGAACCAAAAGCACATGCAACTGAACATCTATCTATCTCATTGTCTATCTATCACACTGTATACCTAACACTATATGACTACAGCACTATGTAACTATGAAGGCATATTTAATTATATAGTGGTCAATATAATAAACCAATGCTGTCTGTTAATATAATAGGATAACCGATAACCGATGCTTGGCTTGGACCATAACCATTGCTTAAGGTGTGTCTTATCTGCTGTTTATGTTCTTCCCTTATAGTCCTTATTTTGATCCCCACATACGCGATCTGTGTCACTGGTATACAGGTACAGAGTTTGGGTGCAAAAAAAAACAGTGTCACGTGCGAAACAAAGGAACAAAATCATCAACAGTTATGAAACGGCGCACGACTGAAAATTGCTACTACAGCCAAAAAAAACCTTTAGTCCTTATATGCAGTATTTTTCAGTTACCACTTTTAGAAGCATACGACTACTGCCCTACCCACTGCATCATCGATGTAACAACCCGTTCTAGGTCACTCGAAAACACAGACACAGCTCTAAAGATTTCTTCATAACCTTCTTCGGGAATTCTATAGTCTTCCTTTCCACTCCATTACCTGCTTTTCAATGACTGCTACTGCCTTAAACGTGAGCCATCATGGATTATACTCTCCGCGCTACCAATCACTGTCATTTTGTGGCATGTTCTGTGCACTTCCTCAATCTTCGCACTGATTCTTTCCTCTTGTGAGGAGTAATGAAAAATTTTTCACTTCTACTACTTTAAAAGAAAGACTTCCACTTGTTAGTACATCCTTTAGATTTGATCCAAAAGTTTCATTAGTTCAAGATGGTTTTAGTTCAAGATTTGTTGCACCCAAGCCCAGCATCCGAAGCTCAAAAGCACAAGAAGAAGACTTTGGTCCAAGCTCCAAGATCCTACTTTATGGATGTCAAGTGTCAAGGATGTTTGAACATCACCACTGTTTTCTCCCATGCTCAAACTGCTGTTGCTTGTGAAAACTGTTCCACTGTGTTGTGTACTCCTACTGGTGGTAAGGCCAAGTTGACCGAAGGTTCTTCTTTCAGAAGAAAGTGAGGTAACAACTACCGATAGAGATTTGATCACATGACATCCATTGAATCATTGATTAAATATATTCAATTACTGAAAGAATGAATGTTCAAAGCAAATATACCTTTCCTCCTCCTGGTATCCTTTTCTGGGTACTGTCTCCTTTTGTATTATAGACTATGGAATTCATCTACCTTTGCTATGCAATTTAATTAGGTTCCAATGTTGTTATATAGCTGGAAATAAATAATCAAAATACGTTATAAAATTCATGTAGTCTATTATTAATATACTCTTGATTACTATTTACAAGTTTTCATATATATATAATTATATGTACCCTTATTTCACATACCTTCATATTGTGTCACATCAACGTCTAACTTCATCTTTCTTCCCTTTTGTCTGTACTTCTTGGACAGTTCCAATTGAGTGGCATATTCATCTGCAATCTCAAATACAGACTTCTCAAAGATCTCAGGATTGGCACTGATAACCTTCTTCATCTTTCTCTTTCTTTCTTCCTTCATAAAAACCTTCTTTTCGGTCTTTGCAAGAGTTTCCAACTTTTCTTTATTCTTCTCACTCAAAGTGTTCTTCACTATAACGCTCTTCTTCCCCAAAGCCCATAAATCCCCTCGTTCGGCTTTGCGAGCATCATGGTACGCTTGCTTCCCAAGTGATTTGGGGACTGTCCATGTCTCAATCTTCCCCGAGGGGGCACACATTGGTAACTTGACATTATTCTTTATTTTATCCGGGTTCTGAATGATTCTAGGCCAATTATTAGGGTCATTCAAGTCTAATTTAGCAGTCTCGGAGTTATATGACCGTTGGTGTTCAATCTTAGCTAATGTATCAGAATCATTCAACGATCTTTGAGCAATTAAATATGAGAATGACCCATTTTCAGTATTCTTGCTTCCTGGTCTTCCGCTTCCCTCATATGCCTTCAGTTGCTTCTTGGTCATTTTATCTAAACCTCTACCATCTTCAGCACTTTTATCCCATTTGGTTGATAAAAGCTTACCTCTCTTCAATTCCATAGTATACTTGGGTCTTTCTACCACTTTGGAAAACGAACAGAAGCTTAACCGGTGCTTATGTGACGGGATTTTGTAATATTTGGGGTCTCCTAGTTGTAATGGACATTTTCCATGATGAGGACAGGGAGATATAATTGATAGATGATAGTCAATACCTTTCAACGAGGATTCTTCTTCTGTCATAACTTCAAATTTATCATCATCTTCAAATTCAAGTTTAATTTCTGCTTCTGTAGCTTTACCAAACTTTTCATCCAATTCTTTGGCCAATTTCTCTCCAGATTCAATGTTGTCTTCCAATTCTTTGAGTAATTGTTCTTCATATTTTATGTCTTGGTCAGTAATTAACTCATCTTCTTTTCTTAGTTTCTGAGGCTTATAATTGGACCCTTTGATATATGGTCTAGGAATCTTCCCAATTTCAGTATCATACTTCTCTGGTCTAATCATGATTTGCCTAGCTCGGGCAATGGTTTCAAATCCAACATAGTTCCCACGTTCAACCAAAACAATGTGTCCACCAGGTTGTAATAAACGGAGAACCATATTGATGTTCGTGTCAACATCAGATGGAAAGTTAAATTCTCTTGTAAGAAGTGCTTGGTTCACAATAATCAAATCATATTTTTTCTGTGATGGAATAGAATCACGAAGTCTTGACTTAATCTTAATTTTGGAAACATCTACAGGTCCATAAGAGTCATGGGTTTCACGTCTTTCGTCTTGTTGTTCCGCAGATTCTTCAGCTTCAGTTTGTGTAGGTTGTTGCACACTCGAAACTTGTTCACATTCTTGTCGTGAAAGTAATATCTTAGCTGTTTTCTTCATCTCGTAATTCTTTCTTCCCACAACATAAATGTCTTTCACTTCAGGATTCCAATCCTCTGTGGCATCCATTATTTCATTCAAAGCAATCATTCCAGTACCTGGTCCGTATCCAATATCTAATACTCTATTCGGTTTGAAGTTATCCTTCCCAACTCTTTTCTGTAAATCTAACAATACATGATGAACATGACTATAGTTTTGAAGAAATAAGCCAGCTAGATAAGCATCCGCATCAATTTTGTTTTCCGGCGCCTTTTGAATTTGATCCTTTCCAAGTGACTCATAAATGCTTGCAACTCTTTCCCGTAATCTCGCAGGGATGTGAAGACTCAAGATGTTCTCATTGATTGTTTTGGCTATTTCATAGGGAAGAGTACTGACTTTTCTATCGACTCGTCCTTTTATAGTTGCATCATCGAGTCTTGCCTCTTGAGAAGTAGTACCTTTAACAAAGGAACCATCTGCATTTCTGAATTCAGATACTTGTTCTGCTTCTTTGATAACAACTCCTGACTCATCCTCATTTAGAAGGTTCTCTCTATCCAATATATCACTTCTTACAAGTTGACCAAACTGTTCGCCATGTCTTCTGATATCAAAGGGGAGAGAGGATTTATTATGCGATGCCTTGAATTGAAAGGTTTCTGAATCGAACTTGAGGTCTTGAGCCTGCGATGAAGTCAAACGATAAAACGTTTGGCGTAAGCCATCATTATTGGAATACCTCCTTATCCGTATTAGTCTTAACATATTTCAGTATAGACGAATATAATTTATCGTAGGTATCTCTAAGTTAGTTCAAGTCATCGAGGTATAGGCTGCTTTCCTGCGCTGCCATGAGACGACATTTATATTGATGATAGTTTGCGACATAATGTCGCCAATTATCAGCACTCAATGCACATTTTCAACTAGCCAATTAGAAAAGCATAGTCGAAGTTATTGGGACCAGCTCCAACAAACAAACATCTATTTCTTAATGCTTGGCTTGAGATCTGTCCGTTATATCAGTCCCGTTGTGGCCGGCTCCATAGTGTATGGCATGCAATCACCTGTTTATAACGATGCACCCAAACGTAACTTCTATGAGGACGACAATGAAGTTGTGCCAGTTCCTGGTACTACAGTGCCAGCAGCAGGTAGTGAGATTGAAATGCTTGGACCCAACAAATTGATTAATGGTATTTCTGTGAGAACTTCCAGTGGATTGGAGAGCATTTTCAAAAGCATTAGAGCCAATATTTCTGCATGGTATCAATCATCACAACAAGTAGTTGATGAGCAACTTAACAACTATTATACTACTGAAAGAAACGTCACAAATACTGTTAGTGGATGGCACGATAACTCAGAGGATCTTTTACCCAACTCAATATATGTAATGATTGGTACTTTGACAGGTAACATTGCTGCTCGCCAAAGAGGACCATTGGCTAAACTTACGTTCCCCATTATATTTGGACTTGTGTCGTTCAAGTTCTTCCTTCCCAAAACATTCAGTAACACCACAGGTTGGTTCCAGCAATTGGAGAGGGCCAAACTCCCTGAACTTGCTCATCAACAAGACTTAGCCATGGCTAAAGCCGATGCAGCCATCACCGGTTTGGAACAATCTGCCGAGGCCAGTAACAAGTATGTTAAGGATACCGTTGTATCGCTTAGAAAGTCGATTGCTGATATCACGGGGTTGAACATTGATGAAGAAGTTTCTAAGAAGAAGTAGAGACAATGTTTAGTGTAAATAGTATGAGTATATATCTATCCATATAAAAATGTCGTGATAAGTCGCACTTGACAACAACATATATAAACATACGACGACATATATTCACTTTATTACTGCTACTTCTACTACTGTGCCTTTTACTACTTTTACTACTGTAACTTTTACTACTGTGCTACCGCTACATAGTACATTGGTATATGCACGCATATTGAATAACCGTGAGTGTTCTCTATATTTTTGGAGTGTACTTTATCAATAATTTGCACCCATATTTTTGCAGCATGTTTAGAGACATGCTATCAACAACCTCTGGTATCCAGTATACGCCCTCGGGAGAGTCCCAAATACCCTTGTCAAGTATAAACCCCAGTCATGATTATCGTACACGAACATCGTACACTCCACAACCGTGTAACGGGCGAGGGGCCTCGGTTAAGCGGGCGCTAACTAAACCCTTTGCAAATACTGGCGCTACAACCAATCTACTGTCGCATACATTACAAGGGACTCTTGGGAGAATCATTAGGATGGAAGCAAGATTATCACAGAGTTATGGTGATTTTGGTGTGGAGATCAATCAATGGAATAAAGTACTTTGTCAGAGTCAGAACTCAGATATGGTCACCAAGATGGTGGCGTTAATGCAAACCAATGAAGAAATACATACGCTGCTAGCAGAGGAGATAGAAAAGCTCAAGAACTCCTTTGGGAACATCTATGAACGAGAGAAGAAGCTTATGGATAAGATTGCTCAAAGCAAGAAGAATTTGGCACATTTTGAAGACCTAACCAAGAGGATTGGTAGAAATGCTGCAAAGACCAATTTGGCTTATGAAAGCTTGGAGGAAGATGCAGAAAACATCAGGGTATTGGAGAACCAACTAGCGGTTTCATTATCAACAGATTTAAAGGATGCAATTTTAAGTTATTTGCTTCGACTTCTGGTGACTTCTTCTCAATTGCATAGTATAGTCAATGAGTATCAGAGCTCTTTATTGGAGGGGTATAGTAGCAATATGATTATTAGCAGCAGGTTAGCTCAAGAAAATACTTCTGCTGGGAACCATCCTCAGTCTACTATACAAGAATCGCCAGCTGGAAAGTTCAAGTCCGATACTGAAGGGTTCAAAACTCCGACGGAATACTCCGAGAGAGAAGAGTTGATTCGAGGAAGTAAGCAATTGGATACCGTGTTATTGCCAACCCCCACTTCTGGATTCAGTGGTGATAATGGAGTGGTGCTTCGTAACGCTGAGGTGCCATCCACAAACAAAGGCGCCACTCGTGGTCAAAGAATATTATCCACATTTGCACTGTACCAACCACGGGAAACATGGGGATAAGAGAAGGAAGGTATCCTACTATAATATTATTGATTTAACCATATTAATATTATGTACAAGGTTCTATTGATCGTTCTTAAAAAGCTTCTTTCCCACTTCATACGAAGATACCATGATAGCACAAGCTGGTGCTATTTTGAGCACTCTTGGTCCAATCCCAGCATATAATGCACTTATTCCCTCCGTCTTGTAGATGTTATAGAGGGACAAGAACATCGAGGGTTGCTTTTTTGCCAGCGATTCTACGTCTGTTGCAATTTGAAGACGTGTTTTCCCTACATCAAATGGATGGGTACCTATTGCTCCTAATGTACCAGCTAACGAACCTGAAAGGAAACTGGTGGCGAAGATTCTCCAATCATCACCACTTTCAGTGTTTTGATGACTGAAATCAGCTTTAAAAAGTTTCCCAATTTGAACTTTGGATGTTTCATAACACGACCAATATATCCCTGAAAACGGTACATCTCTCCATAACGTGATCTGTAATCCTTTGAACAAGGTTCCTAAACCTTTGGCTCTGGTTGTGGCGTACATTTCTTGTAGCAAGTCACGAACTACATGATCACCACCACCATTTTTGGCACCTGCTGGGATAGATTGCAACCTTGTTTTGATCAACTCAAACGGGGAGATCACTGTTGCAGCTATAGTACGAGATAGACATCCACAAAGAAGAGGGTTCAAAGGGTGATTGGGGATAAATGAGTGGTCTCTAATGTATTCATACCCTGTGAAATAAATAACGTTGGCAGGAATAGACATTAATAATGTTATGGAAAGCCCCCGCCAAAGCGTACGGATACCTTCATTCTTCAGAATGCGTAGTAGCCCTTGGTAGGTGGATGTTATCTTAGTACAATCTGGTGACGTCCCACAGTAAGATTTGTTGATCCAAAACGGTTCATTGGGGCTATGTTGTGTTGTCAGCAAGGGGTGACTTTGCTGGAATGCGGTCCTACCTGCTGATGCTGATGATGATGGCGGTGATACCATTGATGGATTGCAACAATCTTTGGTCAAGACTTCTTGCTGTTGAATTCTGACTCTAACAACATCAAATGGTGTAACAACAAGAGACGTGAGAAGTGATCCCAGGCAAGCACTTAGCATACTTTGAACCACAGTTATTTGTGGTGGAGCGAGCTCCAGATCCAAGTTAACTCGATGAAGATCATTTACGAGCTCATCGCCCTCGATTCCGGCCGCTAGCTCTGACGAAAGCAGCATCAATACGGAAACAAAACGAAAAAGCAGGTGCTGTGGTGGCAAAAAAGAGCTACTTATATATGTATATAATATAGAGTTTGGGAGTATGGTGGTTTTTGTTGGTATATGAATTTTCATTCGGCTTTATAACGCCGATCGCGGTGACACGAATTACACAAAGAAAAGCAAAGACTAAGTTGAGTTGACAGGTCTAAGTCAGACATATTGTTGGGTATGGCTTATACGTCTGGTGTAACATGTGTCTATAGGTTGAATTAGTGTTGGGATGGATCGCATGTTGCTGTTGGGGTGTAGAATATATCTAGGTTGGTGTAGCATATATTTGGAGCAGTATACATCTGGTGTTGGGGTGTAGTATACATCCAAAGTGGTGTAGCATCTATCTATAACTAGTCTAATACTCAAATGCATTCTCTGTGCACGTGTAGATGTTAATATGGCCATCCTGATTATAATTGGTAGCCACCATCATTCTATGAGGATGATACGCTGTGTTGTGGAGATAACCCGAAGTACGACTACCCAAATATGACGTATCATGAGGTTGTTTCAAAGTCGAGATCAAGTCTCCTGACGTAGTCCATATGTTAGTTTGTTTGGAGCCAGTGACTACGATAGGAGCATGCTCATGAACATCAATACACCGTAAGGACTTCTCTGGACTTATATCAAAAGATGACACTGCTTCTGATTGTCTAATGTCCCAAATATTGACCAATCCAGTTGAGGAGCCACTTACCAACTCTCTATACCCTCCACGTTGCATGTGGACGTTTTGGATAGCACCACCAGCTCTTGTTGAGGGCTGCTGTTGCTGTTGTTGGAATTTGGTGCTATTCCAAGTTCTAACCATTGACTCTCTGGAGTCCAATCGTCTATCATAAACTCTTACGCTTCCGTCTTCAAAGCCCGCAACAAAGATATTGCCTGCTACCTGGTCCGAAGTGATAGACGTGATGGAAGACGTTGATCTGGCCGGAATATCCACCAAACACATTTCTCTCAAGGCATCCCATACTCTGATGATCTTGACATCACCACTTACCAAAAGGGACCCTCTTGATTGTTGCCATTCGGAAATCAACCCTGAACTCTTGGAGGTAAGCAACAAATCCGTCAATGCTCTCCAAGAAGCTATTAATTCCACTGGTCTATCTTCATATTCTTTGGACATGTGGAAATTACGATACACCTTAATGACTCCATCGGAAGACCCCAACATCAACAAGGCGGAATCATCTTCATTGACTAGTTTCATATCGGTGATCTTCGTACCAAAGGGGTTGGTATTGGAGAACTTCTTGATGGTTTCATTCTTTTCCCAATCCCAAACAGTGACGTTATCCTTCTCGTCACTGGCAATAAGAACCTTTTCAAATTGGGCAAACCTCAATAGTTTGGGTTGAACTTTGTTATCAAGCACCGTGATCAGTTTATTCCAATTTCCTTGTATGGCTAGATTCTTTTGAGGTTGGGTTTCTTGAATAATGGCTTCATTTCTATTCCGTCTCCAGAGTCGTTTGGCATATTCAATTGAGCCTGGTTCGTCGATTTCATTCTTGGACATTTGCGGTTCTTGAAAGTATTCACAACTATATTTAAAAAAGCCTGATTCATTTGCAAGGTCAGGTTTCTTCTTTAAGTCTCTAGGTTGAAATCTGGGAGTTAAAGGTTTATATTCTGCTCCATAATTGGTGACCACAGGACCACTGTTTAATATCCGAGTTAAGTTGTTTAAATCGTTTTCATCATTAATATGGAAACTTTTAACTAGTTTGGAAAACGACATGGTCTTTAACTTGCCTATTATAGACTCTTGATCTTGGTGATGGCTGCTGCTGTTCATTCCATTCATTGAATAGGATCGCGACGTTGTCGTCAACGAAGACCCATTGATGGTTAATTTGTTTTGCTTATGTTGAATCATTGATCCACTGGACACTTGTCTCTTGCTGTTATGATTGTTGGCTGTTGACGCTAATTGTTTGTTGACCACGGGTCGATTTGGTTTGAACCCCAGCTCAATGTCAATGGTGGATTTGCTAAGTAAATAGTCTTGCATTTCACATACAAGAGGTCCAAGCTCACTTTCATTCAATTTGACCATGACTGAGTCAATCAATGTTTCAGCCAATTGTTTCACTTCCAAATACGGGTCTTCTGAAAGAATGAGTAAAGATTTCCAAATGGAGCTGAAGATGGAACCATAGGCAGGAGATTTCTTTCTGAATTCATTCAAATAGTTGGCTTCGTCAATCAACACAATCTCTTCTTCTAATTGATTGAATGCAACAACAAGAAAAAACTTATGATAGATGGTGATGAATCGGTTGATGAAATAAACCACTTCCTTTCTAACCATTGAAGACCCATCTCCAATTAATCCTAATATGGCACTGGCTAATTTCAAATCTTGTTGTTTCAAAGCATCTTTCCTTAAATCTGCCGTTATGTTAGCCTGTTGTTGAACATTGACAGCCACCACTTCATCATCATTCAAGAAATTGGTCAAGGCTAATATGATCGAGGTTCTAACCTCCGGAATGGGGTCATTGACTAATCCAAGTAATTTATTAAGATATCCATCTTTGTAAATGACCCATTTCCCATCAGGATACTTGTTCCAAAGCTGAGAGAGTAATAAGCAACACCATTGTCTTAAAAGAGGGTTTTCACTGGTCTGAATGAACTTAAGACAATTACTTATAATTTCGATGGAGAAACATAGCCGTTGGCCATTCTTAAAGTCCTTTATAAATAACGTCAAGATAAAGGCACTCATGGCCTTATGATCATCATTGATTATATTATTAGTTGTCGATCCATTGCCTGGAGTTCCATTGGCTGACACTGTGTTCAAAATGAAATAAAAATAGTTGTATCCTTTGTCTTTACACAATTCCTGTTGTGTATTACGATAATCTATAGCCATTATTCTGGCCCAAATGAAGATCAATACTGGCTTGAGTTCTTGTGCTGGACTTTGTAAGAGCTTGAGAACATAGGGAAAGATACCAATGGAAAGTGAAAGGTAAACTGCCCATGGACCAAGATCAAGAAACTTTGAAAGTAATATCAATGCTCTTAATCTGTGAACTTGTGATAATAACACTTGCAACACAATAGGAAGTTGTTCTGGAGGTTGTTTTGTTGAGGGACCCGCATGCTTCAACCATATTTCAAATGCTGTTAATTGTTGTTCAAAGAATGTTGAATGTTGGTAGTTACTAAACGTTCCTGGTTGTTGTTGTTGTATTGGAGTTGTAGCAGTTGTTGATGTTGCTGATGCATTTGAATTTGATGATGATATTTTATTTTTGTCATCGGACAACTTTCCATTTAATTGTGGAGTTGGAGGGACTACCAGCACCTTTGATGAAGGTGTAGTCGTTTCTGGAGTTAAGTTCTTGATCAATTGAGACAACACTTGATCTATTGCCAAGTCCCAAGAGTCCCACATGGGATGGTAACGAACACTTTCAGGTAACGGAGGATCACTCATGGGATTACAACTTAGATGAGGCATGATTCTCTTGGCTAATAGGAAGTTTCGAAATAAGGCAGCAACCATCAAGTCTTGTCTAAAGAGTCTTTTAAATATTGGACGAGATAAACAAGTCCATGCAATGGTATCAGTTATGGCTGTAAAGATCCAATTCAATTCCCCTAGCGGGGTCTTTCTTTCTGTTAATTTACCTGGGATGATCACGTTACCGACGGAGTTTCTAGGTAGAAGGGAGTAGTAATTAGAGCGGAGTGGAGATTGCATAATGAACCATCTTACACTGATATCAATGGGACAAGTTAAACAACAGGTGAACAAATCAGCAGGAAGATCTGGCAGCATAGGAAGCAATTCATTGCTTCTACAGGCAGCCAATTGAATACAATCCAAATAAGCAGATGTAGGAGATTGGGCACTTTCATCATGTTTACCGTCATTATCATCATCAATTCTCTTTTGTACAAACTTCTTGAAGTTATGAACAATGTTTCCAGCACTATTGCAATCATATACAAAGATCACGGGAGCTCCCAACCAGGTTTGAAGATCATAAAGGGAGATAGGAATGTACTGGGTATATCCTCGGTTAAAGACCCATATCTCTCCAGAACTAGTAGGTTGAGGTACACCATGGCCGTTATAATGAAAGAGTATTCGTTCCTCTTTAGCATTCCTTCGTAAGGTATTGCAGAACCGTTTGATATCTTCAACACAGGGATCAAGAGATTGCTTATACTTTGTTCTTAAAGAGAGTGTTTCGTATTGGTTCTGGAGATTCTTCCCCATGGCTTCTAGTGCCTTCTTTGTGTCGGTGAAGATTGAAGGATCAACCCAAGCTTCGAACTTAGCACAAGGGTACGTTTTCATAACGTCCGGTGGATCGACACCAATGTTTAAGCATATCACTAGTAGGGCACTCACGGTCTTTTGTCGTTCTCTCATGACTTTCCAATCGGTTATGGGCTGGAAATTTTTATACAAGGCTCGACCAAACTTCAGCTCTTCAGGTATCGGATTCCCATTGGTGTTGTGTCTTTTATCATCGAAATAAATGTAGAAGGTGTTGGCAAGTAAGCTCAAAAAGTTTTCGGAGTTATAGTCCTCATCAAATCCATGCCGCATATTATCATTGAGCGGCTTTAGTGGTCTAGGACCATAATACACCTGGTTTCTTGATGCCATCTTATTGTGTACGGTCCCTTGGAACCAGTAAAGATACTGGATTTAGCCAACTGTAAGCATGATCAATTAACGGACTAATACTGGGCACTTTTTTCAATATTATATGCAGGATTGTGGGTATGGAGATAACCCAGAAGATATGTATATGCAATGAATAATGTATGCGCATGTATATGTATGTAAATGTAAGTGAATTATTGTGAATATGTACACTATAATGTTTCATATTTATTGATTATTATACTTTAACAAGTTGATGCATTCTTTGTTCCAACAACTTTGCCTTGTAAAGCATAATATTTAGACATATTAACGTGATGTTTCTTCCCAGTTTCGAATTCATACATGCAGCATCCATGTAAAGCAGCATACGGTGGAGTATATAAATGTAATGATATGGATATCTGATCATCTAATTCATTCTTAATCCGATGAAGTCCAATGCTATCATTGATATACCCAACATCATTTCTGTCAAGTACAGTTTCTTTCTTCAGCACCAATGGTTGACCTTCTTCTCCAGGAAGATCATAAAGACATTCTCTTAATTTCCCCTTGATAACTTTCATACAACAATGAGCTTGTGCGTGATCGTGAATAGCACTTCCTTTGCCTGGTGACCAGACTAAAATCAATAAATTGGCATTATGATTAATATTGACCACCAAATTTCTGGAGTATCCTCTAGTAAGATCAGCTAATGCATATTTGCCCCATTCGCTTTCATCGCTATGGTACTGCTCCATCATTTTTATAATAACATCAGCATCTATTTCTTCAGATGTAAGTCCCCTGTCACTCCCTAACACCAGTTTCAACCGGGATACCAATAATCCAAATTGATTTGTGGGGTCCTGTTCTTCTTCTATGGAGAATGTAATATCTTCAAATAATTGTGGATCCCAAGTCCCCAGTCTATTCTTGCAGTCTTCGCTGTAACAAGAGGGGGTAGTTTGATTAACAGTTAACATTTTGTAGAGACGAGTTGAGTTTGAGCGGCGGTTAAATCTTTCTTGTGTTCACCAATCAATAGTAATGGTTCTTAGCTGTGGCTTTATAAAATATTATGAGATTATAATTTTTGTAAATTAATTGCAGAAACAAGAGGGATTAAGTTGTTTAAGTAGTAAATTTTTAAACTATAAACTAAATGCAAACTTACTTAACATTATCAGACGGATCTTAATATTAATCGCACATACCTACCGTTTTGGAAATATCCCTATTTCAGAAGGAGCGGGGCCGCTCCTAATTGGCCCGCTCTCATAAGGCCCGCTTTCTATTTTAAGGGCCGCTCCTTATTTTATGGCCCGATACTCATGCACGGTAACCACACACTCCTTGACTCAGTCGGATTCCGTGTCACTTTTGGAATGTGTACAATGTCACATTTTCAGTGAATAAGGGTATAGGTTGTTTCATCTATAAGCCTCAAAAAATTCATGAGTAATAATGCGTGTCCTGTAGGAGGTTTTGGAGAGCGGGACTTTAAGGTCCGCTGTAATTCCGTTTAGGAAATTGTGGCAAAATGCCACATAAGTTTCACAGTGGTAGGTACACGGAGAGCGTTCCCGACGCGGGCTTATAACCCTTTCCACGTCAGCTTCATTGTCACATGTCCAAGAAGAGTCACTCCAGCGGGAATTAAATGCATCCCAATAGGAAACTGTGGAGCCGTATGGCACTAATTTTTTTCTTTGGTAAGTACACTAATGGAGCTTTGCAGGGAATTAACTCCCGATCTTAACTCGGGTTCCCAGAAGAGTCATCGGAGCGGCCGCCACAGGTCATCCTTTATTTCAGCCATGGGGGGTATTTATAAAGACATCTTGCAGCTACCTCTTTCAACTTTTGGTTCTTTGAATTTAGAAATACTTATGAATCGCTTGAAATCAACTTATAGGACAATTTCATTATAATCCTCTTTGTTTTCTGCACAATTATTCCATTAATTGTTAACCTTTTCACCTCATTATGGTAGAACGCCACAGTACTGAGTCAGAACTTGAATACGAAATGTCAACGTTAGGTACCCCAGGAATATATGAAAGATTAATGGAAGTCATAGACCAGAGGTTGGTCAAAGGATTTCACCCCGCATTCTTTGTCCCCATCATGGGAACAGGGATTGCTAGTTGCATCCTTTACAGATTCCCATATCCCGCCGAATGGCTCAAAGTTTGCGGAGTAATCATGTTTGGGTTTGCTGTGTTCTTCTTTCTCACTTCAATGTTCTTCTTTACTTGGTCATGTCTAAAATATAAGGGCTATTGGTCTAAATTCAATTCTGATACAGCTATTGCTCCTTTCATGGGATGTTTGGCTATGGGATACACCACCTTAGTCAATTTTTTATATTTCTTAACCTTGAAACGTTGGATAATAGGAATATATGTTCTTTGGTGGATTGCTGTGTTGATGTCATTATACTGTGCAATTGTGGTGTTCTACTTTGCATTAATTGCAAAGAAACATGGGAATCAAAATGAACTTGACCCTCGGAACTTGCATTCAGTACTTTTATTGCCAATAGTTACATTGACTGTGGTTGCATCATCAGGAGGATTATTCCTACAGGATTTGCCCACGCTTAACTTGAAGATTACTACCATGTTCTTCATTTATATTCTTTGGAGCAATGCTATAGCATTGGCTACAATAATTCTTGCCGTGTACTTCTGGAAACTTTTGGTGTATAAAGTTCCACCAACCAATATGGTATTCACGTCATTTCTTCCTATTGGTGTATTGGGCCAGGGGGCTTTCGCTATATTATTATTTGGTAAGAATGCAGCCACTTTGGTAGCGGACCATACAGATACACTCATCACTTCTGATCACATTCGATTCTTAAATGAAGTCGGCATTAAAGGACTCCAAATCTCAGGAAATGATTTAGGAGCCATTCTTGCATCTATATTTGTGTTTATCACTTCTTTCATTGCATTACTACTTATATCATTTGGATACTTTTGCACAGTCATAGCAATCATATCATGTTTATCCAAAATCAGACCATTTACCAAGAACTATAACCGGAAGTTTGCTTATCATCCTCATGATACTCATAAGTTGAGGGGTCTTATCGGATTTAACCGGTCATTTTGGGCCATGACTTTCCCCTTAGGCACTATGTCCCTATCCAACACTGAGTTATCGGTGTTGTTTGGCGATTGCAACGCTTTCAAGGTTGTGGGTGCAATGTATGGAACTTCTCTTATCGTCATTGTATTGGTTTGCATTGGAGGGGTGGTGCACACTGGGATCAAAGATATGACGAGTATCATTAGCCCCCCTCAAGAGAATTCAAAAGTATAGAAGCACAAGCAAGTATATTTATTTATTCATAGAATTATCATAGATACAAAAGTCATAGGAAATGTCGTACAACAACACACCTCTTATTATTATCAACACTTGTAGATTTGACACCTAACAGGTAAGCACACATTAGTGGCGTACACAGAGGAGCCTCGCTTTGCGTTAGTGTCGCGAATCGTTTGGCTTAATCCAAACACCAAACTTTAATTACAGATAGCGCGGATCTACACTTATCGATAAACCACCACCGCGACCACAATTAACTGCGACCAAACTCTTACATCCAAGTGACACACACACACACTCATACCGACATCGATGAGTTTGGCGGTGTATTTCCCGAGCGACGGTCGAGAGTTGGAACAAGATTACAGAGCGTTTGAGAGCCGACTAAACAGCACTCGCAAGAGAACAATTGTTTTCTTCGATGAGTCGATCACCGGGTATCTCGTGTATAAAGGGAACCGGGCCCGCAGTACAACCGTGGATATAGAAGTTAATGTGATCCCTAAAGATATTCTAGAGAACGAAGGGGTTCAGAATTCCTTCTTGGAAGACGTCGCTTCAAAGGACACAGCCTTTGGAACTTTTGAAACGTTTTCCACAAAGGTCACTGCTTCCGATGTTATCTTCAATAAAGAAACCGAAGATAATACAGTGGTTATAGTGTGGAAGGTAACATTACCATTGGTCTATCCTAAAAGGCGTTTGCACAACCCTAAGTTCGTCATTTCATGTTACTACGGTCCATTCGATGAAGTTCCCAAGTCGCACGAGTCAAGTCCTTGTATCGCGCCCGATGTTGGTGCTCACGAAGTCCATCTTAAAGACTTCGCTCCAGCAGATGGAAATTTGTTATCTGAGCTTTCAGTTCCCTTCCACCACAATTCATTGACTCTTTTACAGAATAACATCTTAGAGGAACGGAAAATATCAAACAGCTCATCCAACGAGTCATTGAATACTTTCAAATTGGAGGACCATCATAGGATAACTTGTCGAGCTACGACCAATATCGATATATGTACGCCCTTGGTGATCCGACTTAAATCAACAAAGCCAGCAGGTAGAAACGAGTGCTTGTTGGCCACATTGTCGATCGACATTTCGGAGAGTTTGGTTAAGCTAATGAAAGAATGGGATGAAGATTATTTGTTTGAGATTGAATCAGTTAACGTATGTTTTAACTCTGGTGCAATGGCAAGTTTGGATTCTATACAATTCCCTGTTAAGTTGGAGTCGTCTGAATCCATCAGTTTGACTTATAGATTGGTATGTGATGACCATTTAAACACAGAGAACGGAACCGACCGAAGCTCGATTAAACCAGTGAACTTTAAAGTCGCCGTGAAAGTGTTAAGACGCGACCAGAGCTTCACTCCTTTGACCAATGCGATTACTACAAATTGGACTCCAAGTTTAGATTTTGGTGTGATTGCTCCTCCTACAAATAACTCCCTTAAAACTTCAATATCGAGTCAAGCGTACTCCCAAATCCAAACTCCGATCCTGTCTAACGTCGTCATGACTCCACACATAGGCTCGTCATCCAATTTGTCAAAGTTAAGTGTCAAGAAGATCTTTCCTTCTTCCAGCGGTGGCGCCAATGGGTTCAGCCGACTGCCATTACAGTCATTCCAGGCTCAGAAGAAATTGAATCGATCGCTAATAACTCCTCTAAACTCATCACCAATTACGGTTAATCTAGCCACTAATGCCAGCTCGGCCTTATCTGGTTTGAAATTGATCTTCGAAGGCAGATTCAACATGAAATTGGGCGAGGTCACCAAATGGAAGGTTAAGGCGATGAATAACTCGTTAAACAGAATGAGCCTTTCGTTGATTATGCAGAATCCAATCAATTTTAATCCAGTTTATGTCAACCCAGGGTTGCAATTTAACAATAACAACTTCCTGTCTTCCAATTTACTATCCAGTACCAAAGCTACGGGTGATATTTTAATCTACAACAAGCTCGACTTGCAATCGCAATACAGTTCACTCAAGCAACAACAAAATGGAGTGATAGTTCTCAACAACGATATCCGAATAGGACCATTGGACCCAAACTCAGTATTTGAAACGGAGTTAACATTAATTGGTATTTCAAAAGGTATATACAATCTCACGGGCCTAAAAGTGTTCGAAATCAATAGCGGAGACGGTTTGGATTTTGGAAAGTTGGTGGAAGTGTTTGTTGTATAGCATTCAATAGACTTTTATATATTTAAATATTTGGGGTATTCTATTGCTTGGTTGGCCTTTTCAACGTTCCGGAACATTGGTGTTTCTGGTGGTACCAATTTTTCTGTATTATTACCATCACCAATGTCGACCAATGAAATGTGTTTTCCGTCGAAAATTAAGGAATTAACAACGTTAGGACTCTTATCTACCATGATTCCTGGGTTACCAATATTCAGCTTATACAACCTCTTCAATTCCTCCTCTTTACTGAGTCTCACTGGCGGTCTTTTACTCGAAACAATATCATCGACCAAATAATTGTTCTCGCTAAATCTCAAGAATGCGTCCGTGTTAATAGACAACGAATTATCAACGTCGTTCCAATGTCGCACAACAGTGTCGTCGATTTGACCTACTGCCAACACGGCGTCGTAATTTGAAGTGTAGATATCATAAACCAAATCGGTCAATGCGTCGACTGAAGATTTGGGAAGGTTTGTTTTAGTCTTTATAAACTTTATTATGCTTCTCAAGTTGTTAATGTTGAACTTGATGATTCCCTCGTGTTCGACCATGAACTTCCAGAATTTGGTCGAACCTTTGAGTGCATCTTCTTCGTGATATTTGTTGTAGAAGCTCCTAATTGCTTTATAGCTTTCAGGGCCCTGAGATTTGAGTAGTAGGTGCAAATGCTTAGAAACTATAATGCAAATGGAGCTAGCATTGAGTACCTTGGAAAGCGTATTCACATATCCATAATCAAATTTTGAATTCTTTTTTAAACTTGAATCGACTAGTTTGATCTCTTGTTTCTTGTTGTACGAGTCCACCTTGTCGAAGAAGTCAATAATTATGATCAGGGTTATCAGGCAGAGATCAACTGAAGACATATGGTTTTCCCATAAATCTATCAAGTACCCAACAAATGCCAAATACGGCTTCTTCAAGTAGCGTGAAAAGGTTGAACCATCAAGATTCTTTATCCATTCGAAGCAATATTCATTCGCCAAAGAAAAGCCCCCCGTACTAGAAAGATACTTGATATAGAGACTCCTCAACTCTGTTTCTTCTAAAGGTATGAACAGAGTGCTTGCCCTGTTGAAGATGGATGTCAATTTGATATCTTTTGCTTTTTCATCGACTTCATACTTATTAATAAATGCAATGTACTTGAGCCACAAGTTTTCGTTGTAGCAATTGGGAATAAGACTTCGTTCAAAAATACTACTTACAAAGTCAAATGACACAGGTGTGGGGGACTCTTTGTGAAGAAGTATGATTGCATCGAGGTATTCTATCCATTTTGAAGTTTCCTGTGCAATTACTTCTATTTCAGTAGGTATGAAGAATTGACGAGTGATTTGAGATTCAAATGGCCACACTGCAGTAACCCATTTCTGAGTTTCTTGAAATAAAGATTCATAATGGGAGTCAACTATAGTTTTTTTCTCTTCATTAGTTAATTGTTCCACACTGGTTACGCCGTAGGTCGAAAAATGAGGTGCGAAAATATTCAGGTCGAAGGATTTCTCTAAATCGAACTGTTTGATAAACTCTGTAAAATGCATGTAATACCGTGAATATTCATATAACGGTATACGAACCACTTGTTTGTAGTATGCTAAAGCTTCTTGAGATTGAAGTTGAAGTTTAAGTTCAAACTGAATGATCTTATCCCATAAAGTGTCGGCGTTGAAATGCCATCCAACTGCGGAAACTGCTCGTGGGAATTCCGACCGAAGTAGTTCTAATTTTTGGTCGACTATCGTTGGTGTCGCACAATTTTCGTAGTCATCAATTAAAATATCGAGGTAGTCGTTCCAAAGAGCTAGCGACCCAGGAACCAGGTCCACAGCGTTCTTAAGTACCGCGATCGATTTGGATTTGTCGTTATGTAGTTTGTATTCGATAACCAGCCATTTCTGCCAATATGATTCAGCACATGGAAATCGGGCAAGGAACTCGCTATATGTATTGTGGATAAACTGTTTGAACTGGCTATTAATTGCATCAGTGTTACTTTTGTCGTACAATTGGGCAACTGTATCATCGATTAGACGGAAAAGCTGGTCCCATCCACTGATGGCCATTGGATTCTCATTAATTTGAAGCTTTAAACGCTCATGCGGTATATTAGCATTGAGCTCGTTCTTATTGGATAACCTTACAAGATCTATAGGTCTGAACGAGTTCATCTTGAATGGATCTTGACAGTGTAGTTAGAAGTACAACGAAAATGAAGAAGTTTCAAAGTAAATTTCAATCATCGCGCAATCAATTTGTAGAACTAGAATTACGAAATAGGTATCAATATTAATATTAAATACCAGACACTATACACTCTACTTCATTCATTACACCACTACAGGCTTGTCCTAACCATCCCCACTATTACGTTCTATCAGTATTTTAATTGCAATCACTCATCTATCCTAATATTCTAATGGAGTCTACGCTTACTGCTGCCTACAACGGGCAGAAGAAACCTCTGATATTGTCACATCTCAAACCGTTAACTTTCAACGACACCAACTTGATATTTCCAGCGAGAGCGTTCCAAATCCCCATTCCTTCAGACACAGATGTTTCCTCTTTGGTTGAAGCCAATGATTCGAAGATCCTGGCCCTTGGCACTTACCCTGAAGCCACCAATAACGATACACTCAAACGAACAGCAGCTCAATTGAAAAAGGAAACCCAACTAGATGATAAGCAGCAAATCCACAACTTTGTTGAAATTAGCGAGTTTTATCCAAAGAATTTACTCCAAGAGTTGACGACTATAACTGCAAGGAACTTCCCCAATGTCAAACGAATCGCTGTCGAAACCATTTGGAAAGCTCTTTTGTTACAAGGGAAAAAGGAGTTTATTTGGAGTCAGATCCATCATGAACTCTTAGACGAAAACAGACTACTCTTCATACGGTTTGCTACAATTGAGGATGTTATTTGGTTCCGGAAAGTGTATGATATCAGTTTGCTTCGTCGAATACTTTCTAAAGACGATGTGGAGATCTGTTACGATAATCAGTTGGATGAGTATATGGACAAAGTTGACGATGAAGAATCGTCAAGCATTGACAGTGCGACATTGACGACAATCGAAGGAGATATAGAGGGGTTTCTCAGTAACCGAGCCAACTTCGAACAGGAGCTGTCGACTACTGGTACAGAAGATTTGGACAAAGTTATGAATTACTATTCGAAGTACAAGGTCGACAACTCGGAGCTTGTGGATGTGCCCAAGACGATGAAGGAGAAGATCATCAAGGATATAATCAAGTTCAGGACCAAGGTGTTAACTATCGAAAAAAACCATCGGAAGAAGGAGATTGAACAAGAGCGTCGTAAAACCAAAGAGAGGCTACACAATATCTTCAATCTGTTGCAGAATAGCAGTAGTAATAAAGTGGATAAGTCTGGATTAGGGCCAGTTTCTGATACTTCTGTGTCTGCAACTGTTCTTCTGGAGGATGAATATGAAGAGCTCAATGATGAAGAATATGAAGCTATGATGGCCGAAAAGGAAAACGCGGAGCAACAAGAAAGATACAACAACATGCTAAGGATTCAAAGCGAGTTGATGCGAACCGAAGTGACTCGTTTGAGAAACGAACTAGTCGCGTTACAGAACTATGAAGATGATCTTATAGACAATAAGTTCAAGTACGTGGAGCAGGTGAAGAACTTTGATGAGTTCAAACATTTATACCGGGTGAACCATTCTGAATACTTGAAGCAGCGCGCAGTGGCCCGAGAGAAGGAAAAGGAGTTCGACAAGCAAGACGCTTTAGAAGAAGCGACGGAAGTTGGCGGTCATCACGACCCAGAACCAGTCGCGGTAGACGACAAAGTTTCTGTCGAGGAAGTGCAAGTACAACTGCTGCAACAGAACGACGACCTAGATGCGACGGTGGTCATGACAGACGATATTATCAAGTTCGACGAACAAAGTCTTAGCAAGATCAAAACTTACATTGGCGAATTGATAGAAGAATATTTGGGCATCAAAGAAGACCTTTTGATAGACATCATATACGATCACATCCTAAAGCATAGCACGTCCTCAAAGGATAAGTTGATCCTGGAATTAAGGGAACCACTTGATGACGATGCTAATGAACTAGTAGAAAGCTTATGGCTATACATAAAGTCTATATAATAGCAAGCAAGCCAATAATAATCTAAAGTATATTTATTTTTGTTGTTCTATTAATACATACCATCATTCTGACTTCGCTGATTTACCTCCAACCTAAAGAATTAGAAGCATTTACAGGACCAGATATAACAGGTGGACCACCACCATTATTTGCTGCCCCAAGAGCAGTAGCAGCTGAAGGACTAGCACCCTCAGGTTGTTCACCAACCTTATTCAAAAATAAAGCAGAGAAATTACTACTTGAACGTTCTTGCATTCCAATATCAGATTCACCATCTGAAGGAGGTAAAGCAATTGACTTTTGTCTGTATCTTTTGAAGATCAATACCATCATACCCATATAGAGGGAAGTACCTAAGGCAGCACCTATGGTTATACCAGCAACACGCGCCTTTCCAGCAGACGAATCAGGGGCTTGCGTAGTCAGTGATTGATCAATAGACCCATTATTTGTCCCCGTGTTTTGTTGATCACTATTTCCGTTGTCACTGGAGATATTGTCTAACCCAGTCAACGGGATTCTCGAATCTATCAACGATGCCAACGTCAGCTCCACGGAATCAGGATTATTATACAACAAGGATGTCGTATCTTGAATGAATTGATTCAATGCAGAAACTGCTTGAGCAGGGAAGTAAACCTCCGCAACGGTAATAGTGTAAGAAATCCCACTAGCTGTGAATGGTACCAATTTACTAACAGAGACTTCGCGATATTGGGATTGATCGGTGAATGGGAATGTCAAAATACCTGGCAAATATTGGAATATTTGTGCTGAAGATAACGAATTAGCAACAACGAATGGATAATTTAATGATGACTTGAACCCAATATAAATCACTTGATAATCACTTCCAATAGATGCGGTAGTTGCCGGTTCAATAACCTTTGGCAAATCGGTACCTGTAGTTTTTGTGGTCTGTGTAGCACTTCCAGATTGGAAAATCAACGAGGTAGGTAACCAATTGGTAGGACCGTTCGTTGAAATGGGAGTAACTGCATTGGTCAACACAATTTCAGTTCCAGTGCTCAGAGCAATCGTACGTGTAGCAGGGGTTGGAGCAGGCTGAGTACTTTCCACTGTGGGTGCAGTTACAACAGTGGTAGGATTTTGAGCAATTGTAGACTGCACTGTTGTAGGAGCTTGATTGGTGGACACTAACTCAGTAGGAGGGACACTTTGGTTCTCGGAAACAAGAGGAGAAGTTGCAACAGCAGTATCAGAAGCAGTAGTGGTTTCAACTGAAGAAACTGGAGAAACTGCTGATTGAGTTTCAGATAAAGTTGCCTCGGATTTATTAGGAGACGATGCAGATACACTTTCAGTACCTGTGGTTGCAGGACTTTCTGTGGCGGCTGATATATTCAAGGTTTCCTGAGAAGTAGATCCAGTAGATTTGGATATTGTTTCAGGGTTGGTGCTTGCAGTGTCTGCTTTTATGCTTTCAGTTCCAGTTGTTCCAGTAGTCTCAGCGTTACTAGTGGCCGCAGTGGCTGCAGTAGTCTCAGTATTGCTAGTAGCTAGAGTGGCTGAAGTAGTCTCAGTATTACTAGTACCTGGAGTGGCTGCAGTAGTCGCGGTGTTACTGCTAACTGGTGTGGCTGCAGTAGTCTCGGTGTTGCTAGTACCTGGAGTGGCTGCAGTAGTCTCGGTGTTACTAGTACCTGGAGTGGCTGAAGTAGTCTCGGTGTTGCTAGTACCTGGAGTGGCTGCAGTAGTCGCGGTGTTACTGCTAACTGGTGTGGCTGCAGTAGTCTCGGTGTTGCTAGTACCTGGAGTGGCTGCAGTAGCTTCAGTGTTGCTAGTTGTTCCAGTGGTGTCAGCGTTACCTGTTGTACCAGTGGTGTCAGTGTTACCTGTAGTACCAGTGGTATCGGTGTTAGCTTGAGTAAATGGAGTAGCTTCAGTGTTACTAGTTGTACCAGTGGTGTCAGTGTTACCAGTGGCATCCGTGTTACTAGTAGCTAGAGTGGCTGGAGTAGCGTCAGTATTACTTGTCACTGGAGTATCGGTGTTACCAGCCGTTCCGGTGGTATCAGTGTTACTTGCATCTGGAGTAGGAGTGGAGATGGCAGAAGCAAGCTCAGTGGTGCTTGTTGTCCCAGTAGGGTCACTTGCTCCTGTGATTCCAGTGGTATCCGTGTTACTAGTAGCTGGAGTGGCAGCAACATTCTCAGTATTACTAGTATCTGGTGTGGGAGAAGGAGTCTCGGTATTACTAGTTTCTGGAGTAGCAACAGCAGTCTCAGTATTACTAGTATCTGGTGTGGGAGAAGGAGTCTCGGTATTAGTAGTTACTGGAGTAGCAACAGCAGTCTCAGTATTACTAGTGTCTGGTGTGGGAGAAGGAGTCTCGGTATTACTAGTTTCTGGAGTAGCAACAGCAGTCTCAGTATTACTAGTGTCTGGTGTGGGAGAAGGAGTCTCGGTATTACTAGTTTCTGGAGTAGCAACAGCAGTCTCAGTATTACTAGTGTCTGGTGTGGGAGAAGGAGTCTCGGTATTACTAGTTTCTGGAGTAGCAACAGCAGTCTCAGTATTACTAGTGTCTGGTGTGGGAGAAGGAGTCTCGGTATTACTAGTTTCTGGAGTAGCAACAGCAGTCTCAGTATTACTAGTATCTGGTGTGGGAGAAGGAGTCTCGGTATTACTAGTTTCTGGAGTAGCAACTGTAGTCTCAGTATTACTAGTAACTGGAGTGGGAGAAGGAGTCTCGGTATTACTGGTTTCTGGGTCAGCAAGAGTAGTCTCGGTGTTACTATTAGTTGTGGCAGCAGTAGGCTCTGTGTTACTAGTGGTTGGAGCTGTTTCAGCACTCGAAGCAAAGATAGTGTCAAGAGGTGTACTAGTTTCAGGAGAAGTATTTGTCGTAGGTGTTCTTGCTGGGGAGGTCACAATAGTTTCAGAACTAGGTGCCAAAAGTGTAGGGCTAGATGATGATTCAGGAGAAGCAGCTGAGAAAGTTGCCAGCAGAGATGAAGCTGTTGTTGCGCTTGAGGTACCCACATCATTTGGGGTGGTAGAATCAGCAGTAGGTGACAGGACAGTGACAGTCTCTGATGAAGATTGCTGAATATCTGGGCTCGTCAAATCGGTGGGGGTGTCCGTCAGATCCTTAGAACTAACATTAGCTAAAGGTGTCTCGTTAGTAGCTGAGGTGGTATCAGCTTTAGTACCTGAAGGAGTATCAACTGGCGTGTTCACAGAAATCGATCTAGTACCAGAAGTAGCGGTGTCCGATTGAATAACAGTACCAGAATCTAGTTTGACAGAAGGGGTATCATTGGCAACATTCGCAGTGTCAGCTGCGTTTGCAGAGTCGATTAAAGTAGATCTGGTTCTGTGAGTATTATCAACTGCAGTGGACTCTGTCAACGTATTCAGTGTAGGATCGTTGTTATTTGGCACAGAGACAGTACCATCATTACCAACTGAGGTACCAGTTGCAGCATTAACTGAGGGTACCGAGGTATCTGCACTTGTGAATGTGAATCCCTGAGGGGTATCTGTTACTGCTAATTTGGTGTCAGTGTTCGTACCTTGAGCTTTACCGGTAGCAGTACCAGTATCCGAACTTGTGGGAGATGAGTTGAACCAGTTCAAGATCAGTGAAAGCATGTTCCCTTGAAAAGACGTCGAATCTCTTGTTTGAGTCTGTGAGTCAGCGGGGGGGGAACTTGTTGGGGTATTTACGGCATTAGGTGATCTAGCTGGTTGTGACGAAGGTGATTGAGCAGCCACTGAAGGTGCGGAAACTGATGATTGTGGCGACGGCAGCAAAGCCAGCGCCAGGACAGGATCTGTGGGGGCACCGTTGGCAGCATGAGCATGAGCCAAGACATAAAGACACAACAAAACTTTAAGGTTTGCTGGGGACATAATGAAAGGATATTTTAAAGAAAGACTAAAAGTTGGGGCAAATTGTCAGCAAGTAAAAAAGCAAAGACAATAAAAAGGATGAGCGTCTGGAGGGTATAAATGTTCGATTAAGAAATCTGTGTCAGTAAGAAAGAAGCAAAAAACTAATCTACCAAAATTTAAGATCTGGTGGAGGTTGTAGTTGTAGTTGTTGTTGTTGTTATCTGTATTTGACAGGTAACAAAATTTGTAGCGAAAGAAGGAATATAAAAGACAAACACTCAATGAGTGGACTGATAAACACAGTCTCTTAACTAATGAGTTAATAAGAGTGGATCCAAACTCGAATGAAGTCGAGGAGGTGACTTTAAGAATCCAAAAAAAAATTGAAGCAAAAGTTTTCTTTTCGTTAGAACCTATTGTGTTGATGTCACCACTCACTTTCTCTTTTGGTACGGCACGTTTTGGTGATGTTTTTTTCTGTGTGCGGAATGGAAGAGGAGAAGCTGTGCCAAAAAAAGGAGGGAATGAAATTTCAGGGTAGAAACGAGCGTGGGAAATGACAAGATGGAGTGAAAATATAAAAGAATAAAAGAGAAAAAATCAGCAAATCCAATCCAATAAAAACCACTCAAGATGTTCGTGTCGCAATGTTTACATGGCAAATGAGTACATATGCACGAGGTACAACAAGTTAAAGGCTACTCGATATTGAAGTTCGCTAGTATTATTTATTTTTATTTTCTTTCTTAAGTTGTGCCATTTTTGAATGTGATTGCATTGAACGTGTACGAAATGTATTTTGTGTAGCTTTGTAAGGATATTTTGGAGCATTCCTGGTGCATATCTGGTGTTAGTTGTGTTATGTATGGCACATTATTTTAATGATTCTTTGTCAAAAATGTAGACGAGAATCATAAATAGAGGAAAACCTAAAACGAAATGCCCCAGGGGGGAATCTTTATTAAGGCGACTCAAAAACAAAGAACAATCACAAATAGCCGGATAACAGATTGCACAAACTCACGGTTCGCAAAAACGTATCTCTGTTACGAACTGCCCATAACTGATGTACAAGGTTACTGCTTTTGTTAATGAATGACAAGAGCAACATCGAACAAGGTAATACATTGATACAGGCCGTTTATATGTAACGATTACTTACTACTACTTTTGGTTATCTAGTTAATGCGTCCTATTATGATCCGTTCGTGTACACACCAGAAGAATGTATACTAGCCAGGGTGGTACTTAGCCTCTTATTAAAAATAACTGGATCTCTCTTGATCTGACTTTTACAAGGTAAAATCTTCACGGAAAACCGGAAAACCTATTCATACTCGTGACAGCTTTTGTTTGCATCCACAATCAATAAACATCAACTATTCGGTTGATTCCTGTTCTTTTTTTGTTTATACTCTTCGGTATAACTGTGCATTACTGCATATGCACACCTTCCTTCTATGTGGGAATTATTTAGTCCAAAAGCCTCAAGGATAGTAGTTAGCTTCAGGCACAACACAGGCGTGTGTGAGACCTTCAAGTGTGCCCCTGCGTTACTTTTGATGTGTTTGTGTTGACTTACTTTGTAACTATAGTAATGAAGATTGAACAACCTACAACGAGAAAACGAAGATGTAAGTAATTGCCAACCGAAATTGATTGCATTTCGTATACCATCTATAGGTTGTCATGTGCTCAAGTATTCGGCATTATACATCTCTACCGCAGTTGATACGATTACAACTACACTTCTTACTTCAAAAGTCCAGTTGGATATTCCTTTCGCGTTTCTCCAATTTCAGGTTCCAGGAATGGTGCGAAATCTGGAACTATTCAAAAACTGTTACTACAAATCAATATGATATTGCTGGCTGGTTCTGCCGTTTTCAAACAGATCTGGATCTCAAAACCACAAATGCTATGCATTTTATAACAAACTGGTGTGCAGACGTCAGTTGCATTTTGTGATTATCTTTATTCATTTATTAATGGAGTTTCTCTCGAATCTGACGGTATGCATCAAAACTCTCATCGAAAGCACTTGGATGCCTTTGTTTTGGTTACTGTTATTGAATGTTTCTATTTCTGGTATTCTCTGTTTGTTTCTTTAGATGATCGATGCTCTTTGATAACAATAGGAGCTGTTACTTAGAATCGCGCAATGGTGTTTCTGCAACAAAGTCGTGTTTAAAGTACCCATACCATTCTGAAACACCAATCAATGGATCTAGTTGGGATAACCCTAAAAGATAATTACCCTAGTGGGCTTTTTTAAGGTACAGAGGCTAATAATGTTCATGGCCAGTCATTAGCTTCAATTTTATTGAATAAGATGTAGTGTAGTAGCAATAAAATTTCATTAGTTACCAGATCGTCTTGGTTGCAGCAAATGGTCATATTTTGGTCTACAGGTTTATGTTTATGTTTGTAAGATCATGTAGACAATATACATTTGATGTGTTAAGCTGAAGTGGATCGGAATGTATCTTAAAGCATTTTCATGTGAGAGTTGGTTCATCTGTTTACAGATATTTTTCGTGAAAACACCTTAATTTATAAGTAAAATTGTACTTGCAACTCAAAGTGAGCACTATCTCCCGTACTATTAGGATTTGCTAACACTACAATCCCATTCGTTTCCCACGTTTTCTGTAGCTTGTAGCAATGAATTAGTGCTTGAGAATAACATATAAAATAAATAATAAAAGTCGCTCGAAATTGGTGAGCTACACCCCCGAGCACCAATTTCATTACCTAATGAAATTATGATTCCTATTCACCTATAATGCCCTTAAACTTGGGGCCTTACTTTTGAATAAACAATATACGCAAGCGAAACTATCGATCCTGTCATTGAAAGCAAATATGGAATGGATTCATTAGATGCTGATAAGTGAATTATACACCTTATACGAAAGTGCTAACAAATATCATCCTCGTTGGGGTGAGCAGCTAGTTTCCATTCTAAACAATGAATTCTTATTCATTCTCAAACACTTTTGTACTTGTACTTCAATTTATTCAAATCATCAATCAGCCTCACCGTTCCTTCAAATGAAGAATGCACAGACCAACACAACCATAAATTGACGCCACCTATACCAAGGATTAAAAGGTTTCTATGCCAAAGACTGCTTAGTATTGCTCCTAAAACCACAACTACCAACATTGTCCATTCTCCATAAGGTATATTTCTGGTGTGACTCGTAATAAGCGAAGGATGGTTGAGCTTTAAGTACGCCAAAAGAAATGTAGAATAGAAGCCAATCGACGTACCAAGCCTATTCACTCTCCCTATAACTTGGTATATTGATACAGGTAATAATTGCAAATAAAGGAAGTAGTTTATGTATCTTATGTTCAGTAAATATTGGTTACGATTGTCCACTGACAACTTGGAAATAAATGCTGTTTGATCATCGAAATCTAAGGGCACATCAGCTGAAAGCTGATTGAGAATGTCTCTATCCACATTCTTTCGTCGGGACATTTTGCAGGGGGAAAGCACGAGAATGGTTCACTTAACATTAATAGAACATTTTTTGATTCATCAACTCCACATTTCGCCTGCATATATGAGACCTTCAATTATCACCATCAATAGCATACATGAACTTCTGTTATCACCATCATTAGCATCACTGAAGTAATATTGGAAGCTGATACTGTCGAAGTAGCAGGCAGTTACGTCTAGTCCTAGAATTAGTTAAAAAACAATTACAATTGTAGCTGACTCTAGCTTCTACGGGATAAGGTATCACAAAGTAGGCCACTCATGATTGGACTTCTAGATTAGGGGTAAAAACTTACTTCTAATCCATTATGTACCCCTTGAGTCTACCAAAAAGAAACGAGGGCATTAAATCCTGGTAGTAGTGTGTGCTATGAGCTGATCAATTCAAGTGTATAATATATTATAATAAAGTAAGGGATATCACTATTTTCAACTAAGCTTTCACGGATACCCAACAAAAGAGTTGTTTCTACATGCTTTCAATCCCCAAGTACCACCATGAGACAAAGGAGGTGGCAATAGTGGCATGAAATTAAGATATTGAGGTGTTTTCGGTTGCATGCCATCTCGTTACCTTACGTGGTGAAAGGTTACAGAACAGCAAGTAACTGAAGCTGCAACCAGAAGTCAGCTCAGTTACAATTGTAAAAGTCTAAATTGGTTGTACCTTGTACGACTATTGCGATAAGTGTTGTAGGCATGCGGAAGGGCAGGAACTTACCTACTCAGACAGTTAATTGCATGACAGCTTAATAATAATGGTTACTCAAAAATAATGATTGAGGGGACCATTCTTGATAAGATATAGGAAACGCAACTTTTTATGATTTGTCCTTCCATACAAAGGCGGTTTTACAGTATTATCTTACCTAATTAACAAATGGGTCGAATGTCTGACAAAGCATAGCAATGCATTTCGATATATTGCTGATAGCAACATAAAGTTGGTGTCTGCTGTAACCACTAATACTTTGTGGATAAACCTTCTTAAAACGGAAAGTCCAATTTATTTCACAGAACTACGCTACCAAATAAATCAAGTATGGTAATTAATTCCCGAGTCGCATAATGTAGTTCTCTGAATGACTAATGGTTCCAAGCCATTTCACTTGCGTCCGGACTTCATCGATCGTAGTTGTAAAAGTGAAAGTGCCAGAGATTTATCAGCCAACTTTTGGGAACGCATTTGACACATGTTTTAAAAGTACCGTTAATAACATAACATTAAAAGGATAAGCAGACAATTTGGTTTAGTAAGGCACAACCTTATCCTCCCCTCTCAAAGGACGCCGACAAGAATATGCAAATTAGATACAAGGTTCAGGACTGATAAACAGATATTTTAACTTGTGTTTAACTACTACCCCGACTTGACGTATATTCTGAATATGTATAAAGTGGGGAGGACGACCGGAGTGTCCGATGGTTGTTACGGCACTGGGATTTTGGCTCACCTACCAGTACTTTAGTGGGGTTCTCACCCCAGATTTTGCACATTTCTTTT